CATCGATTTCACTTTGGTCTACGTAAGTTACCACTGACCAGTGACTGGCGGATGTTTTTTTCGATTAATTAATGCCAATTAAATGATTGGGTAAGGGTTCTATCAATCAATCAGATAGTTATCGTTCATTATTACAGTACGTATCATCAACCGACCCTAGCTAGTAGCTACCCACCTACATGTCGAGTAGCCTAGTCATGGAGCCCCTAGTTGCTAGCGTTCGCACACTAACGAGCACCGACCATTCTCGGTGGGCTACGACCGCCCATCCTGCTTAAGCGTAGATCCCGCAGACTTTTCCGCCCAACAGCAACGACCCAAAAGACGCCTTGCGGCTCGCGGGGKGTGATCTTGGTGGACATGTGCTAGGTAAAGAAGAACTAAAGGATGCCCCTTCAGCGAAAAGCAAAGAAAAGCTGGTGGGGGAAACTCAAGCGGGTTTCCCGCCCCCCCTTGAGGAAAAGACGAAGTGAGTAAAATTGATTGACAAATGATTGTCCGGAAACATGGCCTAGTGAATAGAACTAAGTTGCAACTGACAGAGGTGGGGGGATTGACGAAAGGGGCCAATCGCAGAATTGCCTTGTGATCGGATGGTTCCAGCCGGCGATTAATGATCGATATTATTGGCCTCGGGCTGTAATAGTCGCGGTTGAGATCGTGCGGGATCTCAATACGATGCATTCGTCGTGGGCATGATAGCATCGCGACGCATATATGACTTTTCAAATATATGCATATCTTGGCGGGACATACTATCCTCCAAACAAACATTAATTTACTGTGGCGCTTGTTCTTGTGTCTAGACTTGAATGAATCAGTCGATAATCTCGTCTTTCGGCATAAGTTCAACAATCCCCGCTAAAAATGATCCCACCCTAGGACAAAGTAACACTCCCCTCGAAAGAGAACAAAGAACGAGCCGCTGGATAGATTAGCTTTGGGCCAAAATCCTGGATGGGCAAAAGCCACAAAGGAAGCTTGTTTTGATTATGCGTACAGCATCATTGGTTGATAGTCTACCATAAGTCGGCTGAAATAAGGGCTGAACCATGATTCACATGTTGTCATCTCTCCAGTGTATCATCAAGATCGAATAACAATGAACTGGACAACACCCCAATATTTAATTCGAACAATCTGGTCTTGGCCTAGGCATCTGATTTGTCCCAACCCTTGTGCTTCCCTACTTTCACATCTGGTTCCCCCTCAAAACATAGGATACATTGCAAGCGAGACTATCAATCTACAGCGTACGGGGCTAATAACGAATACGGCACGGATTAGGACCAGGGTATACAACTACATATCCACTTTAACTTGGCTCAAAGTAAAGTTGTTTAAGGTATGTCGGCGTGATCCACTTGGTTTGCGCGCTTTCGTCTCAAAGGAGAAGTGACTGCGCCGCAAAATAATGCAGAAACAGTAAAAGAGAAAAAGAAACAGGGCGCCCCCCTCTCTCATGGGCAAAGACAGTAAAATCTTCTCTTTCTTACACCTACTTGGCCAACCGCCGGGCTAAGCAAGGCTATTTGTCTTTTTCTCCCTCTGATATCCTGTCAATCATTTCTTCGCAGTCCCGACAGTTTGGTACTGGAGGGTTGCCTGCATTGTCCTTCGTGTCCAACTCCGTTTCCCCTCCTCTATTCCCTCCTGCCGATGCTCCGCTAATTGTGAAATAAAATGAAGCGTGTATCCTACTCTGGATTTCCCTCCTTAATTCTTACTCGATAATTTTTTGTGCCGAATCGTCCCTGCTTCTCTGGTGGTGATATCGGGTCTATTGCGGCTTGAGATCAGCTCTTAGGGTTTGGCGACTGGTGTTGCTCCAGTACCCGAACTCGTCACTTGTCATATCGCCTTAAGATGACTGGCATTTGATCGGCTGTTTTTGTATCAGAATCAGATTCTGGTAATATTTGGTGGTTTTCGTCCTCTTCTTTTTTTTTATTTACGTCAAGTTCTCACTGTCTGTGGCGCCCCTTTCTCACGTCGCCCAACCGACTCTGATATCCTCGGCAACATCACGCAAGAATCCTGCAAGCGAAAAAAAAGTACCACAGCACATGGTCAAATAGAATCTTTTAAAAGACATGTGTATACCGGACTGCATGACAGTCAAAATGGATATCTTCCGATGGCGAAGAAGGAAAGCCCTTGGGTCAAACATGGACGCCCGGTTTGGAGACCCATCGATATCCGCTCCCACGCAGGGATCCTGGAACGAGATGCCCTGTCTACGGCCCGGAAGAGCAGAATTTGCAACATTGCCAAATAAGGTCACTCGATTCAAGACTTTGCTCCGTTCAGATGTAGTTAAATCATCGGAATTGTCAGGTAGCGCAGATGTCACCAATTTTCCGCGGCACCCGATGGTCGACATGCAAGCTCGAAAGCGGTCTATCTCCACTGATAGGATGAAGGAGCGAAGTGATAGGCAAAGAAACGTTAGCAGAACACGTCAATCTCCAAATTCTGAAGTACGACATCGAGTGTCATGCGAGTCTCTGTCGTGTTCCGAGGAAGATGAAGAAGAGCGGCAAGACCATCATAACCCCAATGGTAACAAGAACACTGAGCAACGCAATGTACCGAGTCGAAGTCGCTCGCAGGAAGATCATTGGAGAGCACAATCCGGGAATAATCGACGAGACAGTCAACAAACTTCTATGCACCTCAAATCTCCTCCACTTTCTGCAACGGCAGTGATGCGTCGGTATAGCTCTCAAAGCGAGTCTACCCGCACATATTCATCGACCCCATCAACAGCCACTTTCAGCTCCAGACATACCAGTGTCACTACACCCGGGCTGCATGGATTTTCTGCATCTTCCATTCCTCCATTACTCAAAGAAGAAGAGTATGGAACAAGGTTTGACAAGGACGCTCCTCCTATTCCTCCGATTCCTACAGACCTAAATGGCTCTGTTACCTCTTCTTCCTCTCCTCCTTCGGCTTCCCGCAGTGCCTTTCGTGAGCAACATCGTGCCGGCCATTCTAATAATAAACGACGAAATGGAGGCCCCGTGGGTCCACAAGAACTGGTACCATCCCAGGATGAATTATGGGGTTACTGATTGGTATACGACGATAATAAAGTTTGGTGTATGGAGTGTTTTCTTATACAACGTTGTCAGGGTTTATGGAGTTTTCTTTATGGCTTATTTTCTAATGTCTCTTCTTTTCCAAACCAGTCTTCAACGACGCCTTTTGTTATGTTAATTCAGGGCTCTATACCCTACATGAAAGAAAGAAACGAAATTGATATATTCACTCCATCCTCGAATACATTTCTATTGATGGTACTCGCTATATTTTGATTTCCAGTACAGTACGTCCTGTAAACTTCGTCAGGAAAGTCTGTCCCTGATGACTGCCAGGTACCCGCGTAATTTACAGACTAAATTATGCAGAATTTCCATCCCTATTGTTCTAAGCCTCGACGCCGTAAAAGTCTAATGCGTCTAGAGTGTGATCAGTTGACAACTGGACACCACATTCTGACCACAAGCACATGAGTGATGTTACCCGAGCACTCAACATCAAGCTAATCAGCTCAGGAGATAGTAGTATTGCAATAGACGAGAGAATCATCGTATGACTCGATCTGCAAAGGTGTCCCTCAACCCTTGGCAAAATACGGCGCAGTGCAGCTGTATATCAAGCTACTGATGATGAGGAGCAAGGTCGCAGCAAGCTATCCAATCTACCCCGCTACGATATGCAGAACTGTGAAAGCCTATGCAATGTAAAGAATAACGCTTGTAGCATACCCTGTCTGTATTACTGCATACTACTACTTATCGTGGTAGATCAAGAAATTAGGGCTAATTAAGCCCCAAAGAGGTTAGCGCGACGTGATTGTACTACGGCGGATGGATCGAGGGCCGGTGCTAGTCTGAATCGGGTGACACCGCCAAGTCCGACAACGAGATTGGCTGAGAGCACATGATCAGCCAACCTCTCAGAAAGAGACATCCCAGCAAAGAGCCCACCATCCCCTCATCTGCTCCCTATTAGCCTCGTTGGTCGCTGCGAATCACCCGTCGTAAACCCACTTCTGCTGCAAGTCCCTCATCACTATCACAATGTGCTCTCCTCGAACTCTGTCCAATACTTTGCCCTCCCCAGCAAAGCTTGGGCCGCCCATTCCCTACTCACGGCGGGGCTCTTCACTGTTCCACTGTTCACTGGCCCAGCATGCTCTCTCATCCAGCGTATCCGAAGCCTTCTCTAGCCGCCGAGGGAGATAGCTAAGCTTCGGGCATGGGCAGCTTTGGCTAATTTGCATACTTCCAGCTTCTGATTTGCTGTGTGTTTTAATCACACTAGAACTTCTTAGTGATAATTTGCCAACATGCAGCAGAAACTTATGTGCTTCTTCGACCTAGACTAATGCATCGTGCGCTTCGGTCTTTGTTCCTTTCTTTTTCTCCCACTTCGTCTCCTCCATTGATTCCGGTCTTTCCTCGAGCAAGGACGAGATATTCGGTAGTGGTACTCGTGAAAATGCATCAGTAGATTGCGCAACCACTTACTCATGCCTATCAATTGTGGTCTGGCCAGTCCCAGTGGTCGTAAGTAGTTCCTGTATTACCTAGTGGATCCCCCATCACAATGGATATAACGCCCTTTCTTCGAAATTTTCAAAAAGGCGTAGTATCCATTCTACCCATGCTCGATCCACGCATTCGTTTTCTTTGTGTAAACCCGGCATGCTAACCACTGAGATCCTTCTCTTAGACGTGGGCAAACGTACCTGAAGCCTGCGTGTTTTTCTCGGCTGTCGATCAAATAGCCATACGATCCAAGCTAGTCGGCTTTCTGTGTTGGATTGGGTATATATCGTTCATGACGGACCAATTTACGGCTCTACATTTGTGCGATTAAGGCTACATCTCTATCTGGGGAAATACCCATACAACAAACGATTTACCACTGCAATCAATATTTGAGGAGTCAAATACACAGATACAAGTAGTACTGTGTGAGGCCTCGTCATGATGGCGGTTCGATGGGCCTGGTGGCTCCTCGCCATCGCGACACCCATTTCTGCGTTGCGAACTGTTGCGGGTTCACCATGTACAGATGTGTGCGGCACAACTACAAACACAACTTCCGATGAGATGGCCTGCCTTGATGCAGACTTTAATAGCACAATAGGCACGACAGTCGGTAAAAATTTCAAGAGCTGCGTCTCATGTCTTCTCTCCAGCCCTTATCAAAACACCACCATTGGAGAGACTGATGTGAATTGGGGCTTGTGTATGTCCTCCACTGTGCATCCCGTTTATGCCATATGTTATCGCCAACCTGGGAAGTTCAAAGCTAACCGTACTTGATAGTCAACATGCGATATGCATTTTCTTCGTGTGTTTATGACTACCCAGTGAGCATTACGAACGTATCCACGCCATGTCTAGTCTCGTGTACCTCATTGGGACCAGCACTCGATATGGCATTGACCGATCCTGTCGGCAATCAACTTTCTACTTTCTGCTCTTCTACCTCCTTTGCCGACAATGTCGTCACAACATGCGAGAATTGCTACGCCTTGACTTCACAACAATCATTCTTTGCAAACTGTAGGTTCTTCATATTAATAGAATGGAAATGATCTAATAGCTGACTCCATGTCTTCTCAGTCTTGGAAGCTGTCCGTTACAACTGCCATTTCCCGACTTCTGGCGGCACCGCTTTCCCCATCTCAGCCACTCGCATCTTCAACACTACACAATTACCAACCACAACCGTATCCTACACCTCCAAAGCCACATCGACAGGGTCGTCGACTATTCAAAACTACCTGACCGTCATCATTGTGATGCCCATCATTGGCTTCCTCATCATCGTGTCTTTACTAGCTCTCTGCTGCTTCTGCCTCGTCCGACACCGCCGCAAAGTCGCAAAGAGACGTCGCAATCAAATGCAAACCCGCTGGATGCAACCCGCCTGGGGCGGATTCCCAGTCTCTCCCTACCAGCAAGCAAGCCCCATGATAGCACAGCAACCATACATGATGGCCGGCGGCATAGGTCCATACGGCGCATCGGTCCCCGGCAGGGGGTTCTCGGTCGTTGATCATGACGGCAAACGATACGAGGCAGGTTACTCGACCCACTACATCTCACCAGTTAGCCCGGAGGATACAGTTGCTCAACAACCGTTTCAGTTTGGGATGGATGTCACGCATGCACAGGATTTTAAACAGCCAATTACGCAGCAGACGGAGTACCCACCGCCACCACAGCAACAACAAGAATATTATCCGCCGCCTGGAGCTCCTCATGCTCAATAGACGCATTGGCAATCATCATATTTCCGCAGGCAACGCGATCACATACGAACCACAGGTGATGAACACCCGTGCGGATCGGATCCCATTATATATGGCACTTCCAAACACAGAGTACATCTCAACTGTTATCTAATGTTGAATCTATCTCGATTTTAGCGATATCCCTGCTGTATTTAGATGCGTTTGATATTCGGAGTTGGGGAAATCAAGTTTTGTTCTCTTCAATATTCTTGGTTGATACAATACATCCATGGTAAATGCCAGATTGCTGAACACTAAACTAGCGTGAATAAATGAAAATGGTAGATGAGGAGCCGAAGTAAATGTAATATGTGTGTTTAAGGATCAGAGAGCAGCCAGGCCGGATCAGGCTCGTCATCCTCATCTTCTGATCGAGATGTCGTAGGTTTCAATTCTTCCGGCGTCATATCCTTCAATAGATCTGCTGGTGGCTCGTCTGCATGCTCGTCATCCTCGCTTGCACTTATCGTAGGAAGGTTGGTTGTAGTTGTGATAGGAACTGAATTTGCACCTTGAGGATCTCGTCGCTGATCGGATCCCTGTAGATTGCTAACGCTGTTCCTTGCTGTTGTAGTCTCCGTAGCGTGTGCAAAATCGTGCTCAGAGTCTTCCTGGTCTGTATAGCCGAACATCTGCTTCAGCATTGTTTGCGCTTCTCGTAAAGCTGCAAGCTCCGTGCCAATGCTGCATACGAGTAATTTCCAATCTTTCTCCTCGGCAAGCTCGAGTTTTTCTTCGATCACACGAGTTGTGGCCTCCAGGTCTCCAATGATTGTCTTCCCCTGTTCTCGCCTCAATCCTTCCTCGTTATCAGAGGGTAGCGTTGACGACTTCGACAGTATTAGGGATTGTTGCATCCCATCCCTTAATCTTCGTTCAAAATCTGATATTTCTTTCACCACGCTCTGCCATACGGGTCCGCCATCATATAATGCAGCTATTTCCATCTCCACACTCTCTTGTCTTTTTACCAAATCGGATTGTTCCATCTGCCAATGTTCGCGAGCTAGTTCGAGTGTTCGTCGTTTCGGGTGGAGGGAGTAGAACGAGGATTTTTTGACGTCACGCTGTAAGGACCGAAGCGGCGGAGTTTCCAGATATCGACGGACTTCTGTATCGAGAATCGACAAGGACTCTTTATAAGACGAAAGTTTGGCGTCTACGACATTCTCTATCCGAGACACTTCTTGTATAATATGCCGGTGCCTTGCCTTCATATCGGCAAGCTTCAACTCAAGCTCCTCAATCTCCTGTTCCAAGCCCTTGGCTTCCCCCTTCAGTTTCCGGGCCCTATCGCCCTCGCGATCGTTCTCCAAGTCCGATAATGTTTTCTCAAGGCCGGCCTTCTTGTTCGCAAACGTGTCGACGTCTTCGATGGCATCCTGCCTTTGCTGGATCTGTCGTCGTAAAAGTCGCTTCTCTTCTTCTCTGAGACTGAGAAGGTCACTCATTGATCTGAGTATTCCCTTCCGTGCAGCGCGCAAGCCGATCTTCTTCCTCGGCGGTTGTCGAATGGGTATTGTTCGCACGCTTCTGTCTCGACTTCCTGTTGCAGAGGTAGGAGGTGTAGAGCTTGCATTCGAAAAGACATCATTATTCACATGCCCTGGAGACTGCATACTAGCCAGCAAGCCATCGCTTTGTGCATCCAACAGGCTCTGTATTTGTCGCTGCAGATATTTTGACTGCCGTTCGATGTATATAAGTGGATCGTCATGTTGTTCGGGTGCTGCGAACTGTAGTCGTCTCTCTGATGAGGGGATATTAGAATATGGAAGTAAAGTAGACATGTTGGATGTGTTGGTTTCGGGCGCGGTATCTCAATGACGAAGGAATTCGGGTATTTTGGCAGCAGAAAATATATCGCTGGAAACAGTACTGTCCCTGAGACGCAGGAAAATATTTATAAGGAGTGGAAGAAATGTCAACAGTATTGTGTGGTGTTCTCATGACCAAACAAACCACATGAGTTCTTGTAAACAACCAAGCTAGTAAGCTGAGGCTAATCAGTGCTGATAAGGAAGGAGCTCTTGGCAGGTCGAGAGCTCCCCGTCATTGCACGTGACCTCGCAGCAGCGTTTACTTTGTCAGCTCCGGCGTTGACGTGTGCTCTGTCTGCGCCCAAGCAAACTCCATCATCCATCTCCCTTCATCTACTACACCTCGTTTTCGTTTCATCCAAGCTTTTTGCAACTTTTCTTGAATTATTTATTAGTAAGTATTCTTCTAAGTTTCTGGAACATCGCGTGTTGACGTCGCCCTTCGATGCGATCAAAGCTACTAGCAACAATCTGCTTACCACTTGCAAACAGCTCCGTCGTTTGGACCATCACTTAATCGGCTCACGGAGCACAGCTTTGCCGCGTCTTCAGTACATCTGCCATCAAGTTTTCGGCAAAGCTTGAAAAATGGTTGGACTCACATCGGCTTCTGGCCTTGTCGGCTTCCTGTCCGAGCCAGACCCAGAGCTCAGAGTGTTTGCTTTGAAGACACTTGACGCCGAGGTCGATGTGCTGTGGACAGATATCGTCGACGCTATTCCTCAAATGTATGTTTCACTCCAAACACTTCTTGCTCATCATAGATCGATTGTTGGTCTATCTTCAATGGCGAGCGCTGACGTTTTTTGTCGTACAGAGAGGCGTTATATGAAGACGAGACCTTCCCTGAGCGCGAACTCGCAGCTTTAGTGGCTTCAAAAGTCTACTACCACCTACAAGAGTACAACGAGAGCATGGTGTTTGCTCTAGGAGCCGGAAAATTATTGAACTTAGACAAGGGTGGCGAATTCGAGCAAACGATCATCTGTAGGAAACTATTAACCGCCCTCTGAGCGTGCAGATTTCTGACTTGAGCATAGCCAAATGTATCGACACGTTCATCTCGCTATCTGCCAGCCGCCGTCCATCGGTTGGCGAAACCCCGTTGTCTCTCAACACAGCCTTTCCTTCCTCGAACGGCGCTACGAACACATCTGCCAGCCTAGCTTCTCCTATTACTCCATTTTCACAATCCGCTCTCCCGTCGAAATCTCTTTTATCACGTGAGGAGGAGCCACACACAGATGCTACCTTTCCCCAAGACGGCGCTTCCAAATTTGAAGAGACTTCCTTGGTTGTAAGGAGAGGTGTTCAGAAACAGTTGCAAGGTGTGATTGAACGATTATTCGAGCAGTGTTTCCGCCAGCAGCGATATCGCCAGGTTGTCGGAATCGCAATCGAGGCAAAAAATTTGGAGGTCCTCCGAACGGCTATCCTTCGTTGCAGCGAGTCTGAGAAGCAACAGCAAGGGGAGGCCTCAAGGCATGGCGAAGAGTTGATCGAATATGTCCTAGACATCTGCATGAGCGTGATTCAAGAGCGAAGTTTCCGTAACGAGGTTTGTGATGTCTGTTTCGAACTGTTTAGCATATAAAACTAACCATGGCTGGCACTTAGATCTTGAAACTCATCTTGGAGCTTTTGAACCAAATTCCGTCCCCAGACTATTTCGCTATCGCCAAATGCGTTGTTTACCTTGATGAACATTCCATGGCCACCGAAATTCTCCGGCAACTCGTCGATAAAGATGAAACTAGGGCCCGAACGATCGCTTATCAAATCTCATTCGATCTCTATGATAACAGCACTCAAGAGTTTTTGAAGAAGGTGATTGCTGAGATTGAGGAGCTTCTCCCAGAGGAACCCAAACCAGAAAGTACCGAGGAAGGGGCTGCCACCGAGTCGGATTCTCTGCTGGCAAATCAATCTTCCTCTAAGACCGAGTTGACCGAGGAGGCCCGTCTCGCTTTCACAAATATACGCGACATATTACAAGGTGTCAAGACTATTCAGTTGAACCTTGAATTCCTCTACCGTAGCAACAAGGCTGATGTGTCGATTCTCAACAAGATCCGGGATAGCCTTGAAGCCAGAAATTCGATCTTCCACAATGCCGTCACATTCTCGAATGCATTCATGCATGCAGGTACGACGCACGACAAGTTCTTCCGAGACAACCTGGAGTGGCTTGGAAAGGCTGTTAACTGGTCGAAATTCACGGCAACTGCTGCTCTTGGTGTGATCCACAAGGGAAACCTTTCGGAAGGTCGAAAGCTTTTGGCCCCGTATCTCCCTCGTGAACATATTTCCGGAGTCGGTAGCACAGGTTCTGTCTATAGCCAGGGTGGTTCACTCTTTGCATACGGATTGATTTACGCCAACCACGGTGGTGCTGCTGTTGAGCTTATCCGTGACCACTTCAAGAAGGCCACTGAGGAAGTTGTGCAACATGGAGGCGCTCTTGGTCTTGGTGTCGCGGGTATGGCAACAGGCGATGAGGGCATCTGGGAGGATCTCAAGTCTGTTCTCTACACTGACTCCGCTGTTAACGGTGAGGCTGTTGGTTTGGCCATGGGTCTTGTCATGTTGGGTACTGGTAACATGAAATTGTTGGAAGAGATGGTTCAGTATGCACACGAGACTCAGCATGAAAAAATCGTGCGAGGTCTCGCGCTGGGTATGGCTTTGATCATGTATGGTCGACAAGAAGCAGCTGATGAACTCATCAACGGCTTGCTGGGTGATCCCGATCCTTATCTCCGTTACGGAGGTATTATGACTGTTGCATTGGCATACTGTGGCACAGGAAGCAATAAAGCTGTTCGCAAGCTTCTTCATGTCGCAGTGAGCGATGTCAATGATGACGTCCGTCGGGTGGCTGTAATGAGCTTGGGTTTCATCTTGTTCCGCAAGCATCAAAGCGTACCTCGCATGGTTGAGTTGTTGTCCGAGTCATACAACCCACATGTTCGTTATGGTGCTGCAATGGCTTTGGGTATCTCATGTGCTGGCACTGGTCTTGATGAAGCTATCGATCTTTTGGAGCCTATGCTTAAGGATCCTACGGATTTCGTCAGGCAGGGTGCTCTCATCTCGCTTGCCATGGTCCTCGTTCAACAGAACGAGACTATGAATCCCAAGGTCGGCAGCATTCGCAAGATGATGAATACGATAATTACAGATCGCCATGAGGATGCGATGGCTAAGTTCGGTTGTGCTATTGCTCTGGGTATCATTGATGCAGGCGGTCGTAATTGCACCATCAGTCTACAGACTCAGACGGGTAATCTTAACATGCCTGGTATTGTTGGTGCTGCTGTCTTCACACAGTACTGGTATTGGTTCCCTCTTGCACACTTCCTTTCCCTGAGCTACACGCCGACTGCAGTCATCGGTGTCGATCAATCCCTCGAAGTCCCTGTATTTCAATTCCATAGCAACACAAGACCCAGTCTCTTCGACTACCCTCCTGAGCAACAAGTCAAGGCCGATGAGGCTCCCGAAAAGGTGAAGACCGCAGTTCTTTCTACGACAAACCAGGCCAAGCGACGAGCGCAACGTCGGGAAAAGCAACAAAGGCGGGAGAGCATGGACGTTGATCAGACCCCAACGACACCCAAGGTTTCTGGTCAGCTTCCTGAAAAGATGGAGACTGAGGAAACTGCTATCAAGGAAGGTGAAGAGGGCAAAGAGACCAAGGAGGAAGCTCCTGCAGAGAGTTTAAAGAAGAAGGCAGAGAAGGAGAAGGTTGGATACGAGTTAGAGAACATGTCACGTGTGCTCCCGGCTCAGTTGAAATACTTGACCTTCCCCGACCCACGATATGAGCCTGTCAAACGCGTAAGTCTTTTGATCTACTCGAACTACTGTTTTCTGTGCTCATTTACTAACTCTATCTTAGCCTACTGGAGGAGTGGTCGTTGTTCTTGACAAGAAACCAGACGAACCACGAGAGACAATCGAACTACGGGCCACTACTGAGATTCGACAAGCGGCTCTATCAGATGCCATGCAATATTTCACGGATCGTATACAGGCTCAAGGTGGTGCTGCCTTCGAGACACCACAACGAGGCGGAGCTGCAGCCGATGCAACTGGTGCTGCTCTCGCGGCTGGTGTACTCACTGCCGTTGATGAAGATGAAGAAGGCGCGGAGGATGCCCCTGTTCCTGATGAATTCGGCTACGAGACAGACAACATGGAGGAGTAAATTCGAAGACAGGAGGTACTTTAAAGTAGACGCCTTTGCAGCTTTGGCATGGTTGCATATGTTCCTGCATGTATCACTACTTTTATTATAAATCTAAGATCATTCTGTATAGCATGGACTCGGGCTGCCGGTCAATTTAATTAATCTGCATTGAAAATGTTCTTCTAAGCTGTCAAGTACCGAGTTTATCGACTCTAGATTCCTCATGTGATTGCGAGTCGCAACAAATCGAACCAAGTCACGTGTGTCCGTGACAAGAATGCCTCGGCTGTTTCCCCTTTAGGCTTAGTGCTAGACAATACGTAGCAAAGAATGTCTTCCCTCGCGGTCGGATGACTCTTTCTGGCTAACTTCATCCTTTTACGGACTACGTACGTACTATTTATCTCCTACTCGGCTTACTGTCGGTCTGCTAATGCACTAGCAATTCGGCCCTCGTCCACGAGTGGTAATTACTGCTCCTAGTAAGGCGGCTGGCTTACTATGGAGTAGTTTAGCCGGCGCGTGGTTGGTCCCATGAGCTCCGGTACCAGCGGCCCGCAAAATACTTTCCTTTGCCTATGACGCCGGCGGGCAAAATCCCCAAGCATGTGAATCTCCGAATCCAACACAATATTCCTACCTCACGCCCCGTGGGGTTCGATGGCTCTTTCCTCTTTATATATCCGGCTGACACTCTGACGGATATTGTACTCTGTTCATTTTTTTCCCTCTAATCCTATCATTCTGTGTTGTATCGCTTGCTCCACGCATCAAGCGTCGTTTCTGTCTCGAATACAAATCCGAGTCTGTGTACCACAAGAACATCGTCACTCATTACACAATAGAATCACAGCACCACGATGTCGCAAACGGTTTCCAAAGAGCAGGTCGCTGCTCATAATAAGTCGGATAGCTTGTGGATCGTCATTGACGAAGATGTCTATGATGTGACCAAGTTTCAGGATGAGCATCCTGGTAAGTGTCTAGTTCAACCACGCAGGTAGTCAAGATCGCGGACTAATTTATATGTGATTAGGTGGCAAGAAGAGTATGCTCGCATCAATACAGATACTAGCTTTATTATCATACTAATCGAGTTTGTATAGTTCTGCAACGTGTCGCTGGCAAGGACGCTTCCAAGCAGTTCTGGAAGTACCACAATGATGGCATCTTGAAAAAGTACAAGAGCCAGCTCCAGATTGGCTCTCTCGACACCAAGAAAGTCGAGGCGCCCCCGGCGCCTGCGCCTGCTCCCTCTGCACCTAGTCCTGCAAAGGGCAAAGCTGTTGCCAAACCCGCCAAGTCAGAGGGACCTCTGGAGCCCTACGGAGATCTTATTCCTTTCGCAGACCCGTCATGGTATCAAGGCGTATGTCCTTCTGAATCTCCTGAGTTATGGTTACTCGCTGACTTGTCCTCTCACTAGCAACACTCGCCTTACTACAACGAAACACACGCCGCTCTTCGCGCCGAAGTCCGGGAATGGGTAGAATCTGAAATCGAGCCCTACGTGACAGAATGGGACGAAGGAAAGAAAGTGCCCGACAGCATCTACAAACAAATGGGAGAGCGTGGTTATCTAGCCGGTCTTCTCGGTGTACACTTTCCCGCTGAATACACACAGTCTCGCGTCAAGTCTGTCCCCGCAGATGTGTGGGACCACTTCCACGAACTCATCGTCACCGATGAGCTTTCTCGCACCGGTAGCGGTGGTTTGGTCTGGAACTTGATTGGTGGTTTCGGTATTGGATGCCCGCCACTCGTCAAATTTGGCAAGAAGCCTTTGCTAGACAGAATTCTGCCTGGTATATTGGCTGGTGATAAGCGCATTTGTCTCGCTATTACTGAACCCGATGCTGGTAGTGATGTGGCCAATCTGACTTGCGAAGCCAAGTTGAGTGAGGACGGAAAGCACTATATTGTGAACGGCGAGAAGAAGTGGATTACGAACGGTATTTGGTCGGATTATTTCACTGTTGCTGTTCGTACCGGTGCTGAGGGCATGAACGGCGTTAGCGTTCTGCTTATTGAGCGAGAGAATGGTGGTGTCAGCACTCGTCGTATGGACTGCCAAGGTGTTTGGAGCAGTGGTACCACTTATATCACTTTTGAAGACACCAAGGTTCCTGTTGAGAACTTGATTGGAAAGGAGAACCAGGGATTCAAAGGTAAAACTCCTTCCAATGTATTTCAATTGACAAACAATGTACTGACATTGACTAGTCATTATGACCAACTTCAACCACGAACGCATCGGCATCGTCATCCAATCCCTCCGCTTCTCTCGCGTCTGCTACGAAGAATCCGTCAAATACGCCAACAAGCGCCGCACTTTTGGCAAGAAACTAATCGACCACCCCGTCATCCGCATGAAACTCGCCGACATGGCCCGCCAGATCGAAGCCGCCTACAACTGGCTCGAGAACGTCGTCTACCAAGCCCAGTCCATGGAAGAAACCGAAGCCATGCTCAAAATGGGTGGCGCCATTGCTGGTCTCAAGGCCCAGTCCACCAGAACCTTTGAATTCTGTGCTCGTGAAGCGAGTCAGATCTTTGGTGGTCTGAGTTATAGCCGTGGCGGCCAAGGTGGAAAGATTGAGCGATTGTATCGTGATGTGCGCGCTTATGCTATTCCCGGTGGTAGTGAGGAGATTATGCTAGATCTTAGTATGCGTCAGAGTTTGAGGGTTTACCAGATGTTTGGCATGAAGCTATAAAAGGTAGCAGTGTTTTATTTTTGATACCCTCTCAATCTTGACTCCTCAAGTTGAGTTTCTTTGCATTACCTTCTACGTATACATATGCATGTGCCCTGTTTTACTTATGACTCATTTTTAGCTCTCAAACCATGGCTTCGTACCATTTCTCCTTTTTCACAAGGTTGCAATGTTACTTCTGTTATGTACCTAGATCTCCTATATCACTGCTTAAATGACATGGGAGCTTCACTATATTTCATTACGACCTCCATGAATACTATTAGATTCATCTACTTCAATTTTTATTGACCATTTAAAGTCCTCGACGATCACGTTGCTGTCGTGGCTGGTGATAATTTTTAGCTTCAGGGTTCAATTATAAATTTGTGTTGTGTGAATGAAGAGTATGTACCGAAGTAAATGCTATGGTCATTTGATGCTTAGATTAGTAGTCACTGAACTCCCAGAAAATATGATAGCACTTGTAAAACTGTATATCGAACTGATCAAACCTGAGTCTTTGACTCCCAACCCTATATGGGCTTTCTTTGCTGAAGAGGTAAGTAGTCTTCTATTATATTCCTCAAACACTACGTCAATGGTTCCGCCAGTGGAAAAGAAAATTCAGAGCAGAAGAAGCCCCATCCTAGCAAAATGATATTTAGTTTGAGATAGTCAATATCTAGCCAGGGACAAGATTCAAGTTGGTAATTGTAGGGAGCTTGTGAGACCTGTTCAATTTGCCTTAGAATTTCACTTTTCGAGGGGCTAGAATACACATACCAAAATGATAGATCGACGGGACGCGCGCATCATTTCAATGCTCACTCAAATTGCTAGCCAGTCATTTAAAGTGGCTTCACAGTCAGAAACTGAACTACTCTTAAGAATAATGACGTAACCTAAGTACATTGAGCTATTCCTAGCAGGCCGTATGTGACCTGTTATAATAAGCAAATAATACACGTATATACTAAGGTAGTTCTACCCTAATCAGGTCGAAGAGAAATCAAAATCCAGCCATGATCCCATCATCTTTTGGACCTGCGCGTAAAGGGGTAAATCTTTGGCCTCCCTGTCCTCATTCAAGTACCTGAAGTTATCCAGAGTCTCGTAATCCTCAMCCGCCGAGCCATTTTCAGGGCGAAGAATAGTTTTCGCCGTGCTGATATTCTCCTCGAGGTCCGACATGGCACCGACGCCGATGATTGTGCTGACATGCAGTCCGTCATGCGAAGCTCGCCACGCCTTAGAGAGCGCAAAGCGGAGGGCAAGAGCGCTGAGACATTCACCCCGAGATTCTACCCACGTAGCAACATCCTGGGAGATAGCACGCAATGCCGGAGGCGCTGGGTGCCAATCACCCAGCGCACCGATTGGCACGCCCCCATTTCTCAGTAACCCAGAGCCCAGGGGGCTAGAATTACACAAACAGCTGACTCTCGCATCTTTGAAAAGCTGGAGGCCCTGTTTTTCTAGCTTGGTGTTTTGCAACGTGAGCTGTGCCCAATTTTGCACGATATCTATCGGCCGGCCATACCGCTCCAGTGCTCCCAATGCTACCCGTGCTAGAGCAGGAATGTCATATCCAGATATACCAACGTACTTGAAGTGACCTGCATCACGCAGCTTGAATAGAGTGCCCACGGCAGTGATGGCTTCTTCAGGGGTGACAAACTCGACGTCGTGGCAGAAGACAACATCAAGATACGTGGTCTGAAATCGCGCAAGAGATCGAGTGACTGATTTCTCGATCCAAGCCGGCGAGTAGTCGAATTTATCCACCGATATTCTTCCCACTTTGGTCATCAATATGTAGTCACTTCTTTTGTACTTTGATGCTATTTCCGGCTGGGTTAAGGCGTGGCCCATTAGTTGCTCTGATGGCTCGTAGTATGGCGAGGTATCGATGGCTCTCAGGCCAAGGTCGAACGCTCTTCTTAAGATACTGACGACATTCAATGACTCTGGATCTTTGGTGACCTGGTAACTGAATCCTGAGCCACCCATTATGAGCATCGGCAGTTTGGCTGTCGCCAAAGGGTTCATGCCTGTTGCCGAAGGATTCACACCTGCGTCGCCCATCGTGCCGTCAAGGAAAGGGTAAGAGTGGTTATATAGAGCTGGAGTTTCTGGAAGTGCTCTGTTGTAGCTGCAATCGCGGACTGACTGTCAGAAATAGTTTCATTTGCCGTAGACACTGGACCGGGAAGGATTCTATCAATCTAGTATGAGTAAAAGTGAGTCAGTCATACGTCTGTCTCAAAGGATGCCTTTGTGCCGCAGATGAGTCCTCGAGGCCTTCCCCAACAGCCTGCTACTGAAATACTCCGGCAACAGCCCGAGAGAAATATGTTTTCAATATTTCTTTTTTGTTTCCTTCCATCTATAAGGTTGACACTACGTGTAAGTTCATGAAGTTCATTCAACCCTTTTGCTCCACTATGCTTCGAATATACCCGCGGGTAATTTAGATAATCTCAATTTCGATCAGTCTCGACCGATGATTAATTTACCCTCGGAGAGATCCGCACTTTACCATTGTATACCTAATAATGTGCCGGTATAGATTCATTGATGACGAGACGATAATCTCGTAAATTAACCAACGGGATTAACCATGAATCTCTCTATTAAGGTTCTGACGCTCTCTGTCAAGGGTGGATTAATTGGTGCATGTGCCGACCCTCTGATACCTTTGTACAAACTGCACTTCATCAACTCTTTCCAAGGTGAGCAGATATAGGAACTAGGTTAATATATCGGTCTCTATCTACAACGAATTGTCTTAAGAGGGTATTGGAGATGACAGCAACCTTGGAAACAAAAGAAATATATAAGTTAAGTTAGAGAATATTGATTATATAATGGAATTATTTGAAATGACCAGCAAGCAACATTGATTTATACCTTATTTACCAAGCGGGATTTATAGATGAATCCTATTTTTCTCTCATTTTTCTAAGCTCGACAGAAGGAAAAAGAGATTTGTAAAGTAACTTAAAACAAAGGAGGCCTCCTTATACTATCTTGTGTGTCGATGAATCTTTGAGGCTCAAAGTACAGACACTATTGACCAAAATGTATTCATTCAAATTGCTCGATGACAACGGCTTTCTTCTCCTGGTTCTCCAATGTGCCACTGACAGTCTCCTCGTCCGCCGAACGGTGTCCATGTAGACCTAGATCAGTCTCGGTAAGCTTATCCATGGTGTTCACGTAAGCAGGCACGAAGTTGACGCAGATGGCATAAGACAGAGAGCCAACGAAGAAGATCAATGGCACAAACATGGCAGTGCCGGTACTGTAGGCGTCGGCTGTCACACCTGTCAAGGGCGGAACACTAGAGCAGGATTTAATTAGTATTGAATATAGTGAAAAGGGTGTTGGCTTAGAAAGTGACGTACCAAGCACCTCCGAGCACACCTGCAACAATAAAACCCGAACCACGCTTCGTATAACGACCGAGGCCCTTCATACCAAGCGCAACGATGGTAGGGAAACAAATGGACTCAAAGAAGAGGGTGACATAAAGCATGCTCATGCCGATATTTCCACGCTGAGTGATGGAAGGGGCGAGGAAAACCATGACCATTAGCATGTAAAATCCGAAGACCCAACGAGGTCGTAAAAAGTACATCAGCCCTACACCAGCAAACCGGCCCACCGCAAAAGCTGCCTGTGCTCCAGCCAGGAAGTTGGAAGCGGTTGCCGAGCTGGTGTTGGCTCGTGTTTCTGTGACGTAGTTTATGAAATACCTAGAGGCGCTCTCGCATTAGTGTCAGGTCTCTCTGATTATAAAAAAGGCATTTACCCAGCAATAGCAACTTGAGAACCACAGTAACAGAACTGAGCAAAAGCAGCGTGGAATAGTTTGTATTGCTTCCAGAATGGTTTGCTGTCTTCGTTAGTATGGGCCTCGTTCGCCAGATAAGCCATGTCTGCGTCGGTAATTTCGGGGATGCTGGACATGAAAAAAACACCGGCTAAAATGAATACGAAGATGGCGATGGCCGTGTAGACCCATTGAACATTTTGAAGAGCCTTCGCATCATCAAAAGCGAAGAATACGTAGGAACCAAGCACTGGTGAGATGACTGATCCAACACCATTGAAAGCCTGCGATATGTTGATACGGATCTCTGCGTACTTGGGAGGACCGCAAACTAAACAGATAGAGAAATCAATTTCTGGAGGTCCAGGAGCATGATGAAGTCGGACATACTGGTAATATAAGGGTTTGCAGCTGTCTCTAGGGATCCTAGACCATTTCCGATAATGAAAATACAAGCACAGAAGCCTCCAAAGCTTTCATGCTTAATAGCAGGGATAGCAAGCAGAGCGCCGACGCCTGTTTCAAGGTATTAGAAGAAGTAAGTTGGCCCCGGATAGGGTGAGTTGATCGTACCGTATAGAAACAACCCCCAGATAAAGACAGCACGATAGCCAAAACGTCTCAGAATCCAAGCAGCATGACCAAGTGATGCCAGGGGATAAGCTCTGGAAGATGGTCAGATTTTAATCATTGTAGAGGAAACGAAAGAGATGGTAAAGTACCCAAAGTAAGCAGCTTGAAGGCCGGATGAACGTGCCTTGGTGATGTGCAGCGTGTTTTGGAAATGTTTGTTCAGAGTGTCAAGCAGACTATAAGAGAAACCCCAGAGGAAGAACAAGATGGTGACCAACGCGATGGGGTACAACGACTCGCGCAATGTGACCTCGGGTCTGTTCGTTTGATCATCGCGAGAGCGCAAAGATCTCTTTTTCCAAAAACCTTTGGTCGGCATCGTGTCTTACAGACTGGAAGAAGGGACAAAAAGATGTAGCGCTTCGATTTTGGCTCGAGATAGTTCGGGCAGCTGTGATCTAATGCAAGGAAGCACGAGCAGGATGTAACCTTTATAGGCCTGTGTGCCCTTACATGCTACATGGTACATGCTACATGTAAACACGATGCATGATCTCGCGGAGAGCATCTCCAAAGGTCCGAGCCAAAGTCACATAGCTATTCGGCGCCACAATTCCATATACGGGAGGAGGGTCCATCATGGCTGTCCGGGGGCAGGATCTGGTCTGGGGAAATTACCCACAGGGTAAATACTATCAAGCCAAGGCCCTCTTTATACCCGGATCCAGCCACGCAGCGCAGAAGCATATAAAGTTCTTTGAGAACAGCACGACCGAAGGGAGTTTAAGGGTTTCCATCCAGAGATGGCTAGTACAATTGTCGATTTCTTTTTAAAGCTTAAACACAGGCTCACCTAGTCCGTACAGTATCTAAGGACTGATTATACTTTCCAATTGGTGGGAAAATGTCTTCCAGTTATCAAATCAAAAATGAATGCACCATACTGTGGGGGGCCCTATTGTCTCTTATTATCACACTGAGATCGTTCAATTGTTGGTTGGCATAGACAGGATCGGGAAATTTCCGGGCTTTAGGGTAATTACTTTTCTTGCATCCAATAGGTATTGATCATCATCATGGTCACAGACCGCTCAAATCGTCGCCAAAGAAGAGAAGCCATAGCATCTCGCACTTTTATTAGGCAAAATTGATTTACGAATTCTACCGATGGCCAAGTAGTAGTTATAGAAAGTACTCTAGTTCGGCAGCCATTCAACGACAACTAGGTACGGGGATTACTTCGTGGATACGAACTCTCTGGGCAGTAGCTTAACAGTCCCCCTTTGAAATCCAAATCAGAACGGTCTATTTGGAGGATATCTCCCATTGAAATTCTCGCAAAGTCGCCATTGAACTCAATTTACACCTCACAACGATGAATTCCAGTGAATTGCTGATTTCAAAAAGCGCGAATGCTTTCATATACCTAGTGATCGTAGATGTGGTTCATCTCTTCTTTGCCGTTGATAAAGTAAGACTCTGTCACCCACAATCAAGCAAGGCCGTAAGATACCCTATTATGCCCGACTATCAGAAGGACCGCCTTATATCTGTGTACAGCAAAACCATAGGTGCGCAGATTGCGCAAAATCAGCCCTCTTATTCATGTAGGAATCCTGGGGATATGCTCGGTATATGTGGAGTATATCATATCAGACTAATATTGTCCCAAATTATTCAGGGTTTGGGGTCGGCGAGTCTCAGGGGTGAGGGGTGAGTTGGGAAGATCTTTCGGGAAGCCCACCGCACGGATACCCCGCCCCGAGGCTCCCCAGTCTGTGTTCTCGTATATGATTGGTTTCGAGTATGCGAGCATGTTACTCGTGGGTGAATTGCAGGGCTCCCCCAGATTCTCCCTTTCAATCCCCATTGTAAAATACTACCAGTGCTTGAAGCTTGAATTCAAAGGTCTCTTGTCTCGTAGCTTATGATGTCTCGTCCCGTCGCAACATGACTCCAGATGCCATGTCAAGCCCAGATCAGGGCCAGCGTCGACTGCTGACGCGGAATTCGAAAAGAGTATTGCGGGCTTGTGACCAGTGCAATGCGTCCCGTACACGCTGCGATGGCCGGTATCCATGGTATGATTTCCTTTCCTGGCTCCTTAGAGCAAATGAAGCTGTTTCTACTAGGAAAATAACGTCTTGTGTAGTGGACACTGCTATGGTGAGTGCGCATTATCTTCTGCGGGCATCGGAGTATAAGTCTGAAATCTAGCCCAGCGGTAGGATGTCCATGCCAGTACAACCGCGAAGCAAAAAAGAGAGGTCGTAAGTCCAAGTCATTTAGACGAAGTCCCTGTGGGACGCCATCCAACAGCGGGTTGCAAACCTCCCTTATTCGTTCGGCACCGACGCCATCATCAGAGGGCTTTGCTGCTTGTGAGAGTGAGACGGGGAGGGTATCGACTTCACAGGCTGGGCCTTCTCCCGGCTGGAACTTAGAGAGCGTAAACCTAGTTGAGGACGATGCAACTATCCCTGTCGACTCACCTAACCAAACGACTCCAATCACGACGAGTTTGTCCCATGCTCATTCTATGCGAATCGATGCTCTGCCTCCGATCAACCTTTCGGTCCCTCTTTGTGCGACGACAGCACTTGCAATTTTCAGCCCCAAAGACTCTTCCTCTTGTCGCTATCCTTGCTTGGAGCCTCTTTTACCTAGTTTAGCAGAGTTTCTTGATCCAAATGCAGCTTGCGATCTATTGGATATCTTCTTCGCAGAACCTGACTGTTATCCGTGCTTCGATCACAGTCCGTATGTCCTGACCCCAGTGTTGCGGAGAACGGCTGTTTTGCACCCGTCTGAACCACGACTGACATCCCCAGCTTTGCTCGCGGCAATGCTCTGGTGTGTGGCTCAGACAGCTGGTGACCGGCAATTCTATTTGCCTGGATCCCGCGAGCGGGTGGCTCATCGTCTCTATCGTCTAACCATATCGTTGTTACGAGAGCGAGATATGGACAACTGGCATCGTGTGCATGGTAAGTCTCGGATGTTCTGATCAGAGAGTGTATTTAACAATCATGGGTAGGTGGCTGGGAACTAGAAGACAACTATCTCGACACGGACTGTAGCAACAGACCGCGACGAATCTTTAGCACCGGGCCGACCCCTACAGTGGACGATGTGTTAGCCTTTGTTCTTCTGGCTGTTGTCATCTCCGGCGGCGAGTTCAAGTCAGATTGTATAAAATGGTGGAACAAAGCAGTAGGCCTGGTCAAGCATCTTAATCTTCACAAAGAGCCATCGATATCAGACAATACTGCACTTCACTTCGACACTGACCAGTCTATCATTAGAAAATTGACCGAAAAGCATGAAGAACAGCGGCGAACCTTCTGGCTAGTCTACCTATTGGACAGACATCTGGCCTTGTCACACAACCGGTCTTTGCACATCTTGGACGCCGAATGTGAAGTTTTCAGTCCCCTACCAGAACATATTTGGCAGAAACTGGATATTTTCGCTCTGGAATCGCTACCACGACGCTCCTATGGGCCGCCTACTATGATTACTGGGGTAGGCTTGTTTGAATATCTACTCCCAATCATGGCCATCCTCGGCGATATTATTGACTTTCGGTTTTGGCGCCATCATCCACGACTGAAATGCGACGAAGAGACTACTTTAAAAGCCATCAAGCTTGCTCTTGACCGTTGCGATTGTAGCCTTACAAGATTCTCCAAATCACTTAAGTCATTGGAGGACCCTTCTTCTATCACCGCTTCATTCCCTTCACAGACCAATCGAGCAGACTTGGTTGTCGCGTATGCGAGATATATAATCAAGGTCTTGTATGTTCTACTCTATGGGAACTGGGACGCTATCTCCATGCTTCAAGATAGTGGCGACTGGATATTATCACCTGCGTTCTCTGAGTGCGCCTCAAATTCCATTGCCGCAGCCGAGGCAATAGCCAATATCCTAAACCTTGACCCTGAGCTGTCATTTATGTCCTACTTATTGGGTATTTATCTCTTTCACGGTAGCTTTATTCTACTACTGTTTGCGGAGCGAATGCCTCAGATTGGCCACAATCCCTCGGTGGAGCATGCTTGCGAGGTTATTATTCGAGCGCATGAGATCTCGATCGTCACCCTGAGCACGGATTTTCAGGTAAATACCTTCTTTCATCCAGTTTTCAAGTATCTGACAGATTTCTAGAAAACTTTTCGAAAAACGTTGAGGTCTGTTCTCTATAATGCTCGGCATCCGGGAATGATGGACACAGAAATCCACTCGTTAAGGAAGGAAGTCTTATCTGTGTATCGATGGACGATGGGACACAAGGGTCTTTTTCTGTGATTAAACTTATTGGAAAATCATGATACGCATGAAGAGTTGTGAGTATTMAAACAAGCCGTGAAATATTCTTATGTACATTTCTTTTCATCAACGCTTAGCTACTCAGAGAATATCTGCCTCCAGCTTAAGAAGCTTAAGTATATCAGCATTAGCCTGAGCCTCAGCCAATGACAACGCTGTCTGGCCATTCTGGTCTGGGATATGCGAAATCGGCTCTCCGATATCCATCAACATCTTCACAATCCCTACATGACCCTCTTTCACAGCACAAGCCAACGGCGTCACCCCAGTCGCCACTGTACCTCCATAATAGGTCTTTGCCTCCCCCATCCTCAAAAGCAGGTGTACAAATTTCTTCGTAGCCCCTCTCAGCGGTATGACTCAATGGTAATCGACAGTGAAAATCAGCAGTATTACCATCCACCTTTCCAGTCTCCAGCAATCGCCTGACTATACCCTCATACCCTGCCGAAGCGGCGTATAACAGAGCCGTACACCCATTTGCATCTCTCGTATCATACCAAGCCTTGCCATGCCCAATCAACGGCCTCACAACACCTTCACGGCCCAGCTTCGCAGCCACAATCAAAGGCGTTGCGCTGTCAATAGAACGGTTATTCACATCTGCTTTTGCTGCCAGAAGCATTTGGATGCTAGTTTCGTCACCGCGTTTGACTACGCAGCATAATGCGGTTTTGTAGAGTGGTGGGCCGCGATAGTCGATCTGCACTTTGCCTGTGTCGAGTAGCAGTTAAACGATCTCGGGGTGTCCCTCGCGCGCGGCCCAGGTTATGGGACGCAAACCATCTTTAACTGCTGTGATGCGAGCGCCAGCTTGTAGGCTTAGTCTGGCTGTAGTAGTGTGGATATTTTTGGCCGCCCAGACTAGTGCTGAAATCTTGCCCAGTCGGACATTGAGATTATAGAGGCAGGAAGGAAAGAGGGCATGGAACCTGCGGCTGGCCTGGCACAAGGAGTTTACGTCATATGCACTTTCAGATAATTCGATCATTCTTCCAGGGTCGGTAGCGTGGACTATATGCAAATTGATAACGGTGATGGTGATACATATTCCGCGAGGCTTAGAATATGATTGATTTCAGAAATTATTGGTGAGCACTCAGCTCAAAGGTTTAGCGTGCACTGATGCCATCCAGGATCCAATATAGATCCCGGTCCATTTGCCTATTCTATCATGATTCTATGTATTCATATTCTCAGTTGGGGCTAGCAGAGAACATATATGTGAGATTGTTGCAGAAGACGATAAAAAGAGTATATGGATTACATAAGCACGTAGTTCATAGGGCCGGTCAGACCAGCCAAAAGCGCAGTGCGGTATCTGGCCCGTCGAGCTAAGACTAATTCCAGACAGCCTCAATCAACTTATTTTGAACAACCTTCCTTCAGTTCGAATTCTTCCATTGTATCAGTTACGACTCACTCTTCGTATGTTTGTGATCGGAACTGAGATAAATACTGAAGACATACAATCCGTTTCAATACACAGCTCTACTTAGATCGGAGGCGAGCAGGATTCCCAGACTCGTGGCTGGGCCTGAGGATCGCCAACAGCTTGTTTGGACAAAGGACTTTGCGCATTTACCTGTCGTCTTGTTTCTCGTCGCTTTCTTCAAAGATTTGATTCAATATTACCTGCGTGGGCTTTCGTATCCTCACAGCGACTTACCCACGAATAGTCGGTTCACCTCTCGATCTACACGTTCTTGACGACCATACCTTACCCACATACATTCTGACTATCCTTCTATTTCGCTACTTTTCCAGGTGCTCCGCTGAACCAATCGTGAAAAAAACCTTATCAAACAACCGCGACCATGTCAAATAACGTGCTCAATCAAGATTTCGGCTCCGACGAGGAGGACGACGACTTCAACCCAGCGCCCGCTGTCGACTCCGACGAGGAAGGCGCCAGACCCGGTCGCGGACGAGGCCGTGAAGTCGAGGTAGACGAAGACGCGGAGGACGACAATGAAAGAGCCGAGGGCGAAGGCAAAGGTGATGAAGACGAAGAAGGAGATGAGGACCAGGCCGAAGACGAGGAGGACGAAGAAGAGGATGAAGATGAAGATGAAGATGACGAGGATGCTGTTTCGGTAAGTTTACATTCGGTCCAGGAGTTCTTACCCAGTGTGGTATCTAATGGCTATGTTCAGGGTCGTCCTAAAAAACGCAGGAGGCGAGGCGGTGTCAATGCCTTCTTCGAAGAGGAAGCTGGTGTTGATGACGACGACGAAGAAGCAGAAGATGAAGAAGACGATATGGGCGATGGATTTGGCGCTGAAGCCCATCCCGACGATCTCGATGCGCTCCCCGTCGGCGCCGAGCTGGATGACCGCAGACACAGGCAACTTGATCGCCAACGAGAGCTCGAGGCTCACATGGACGCTGAAAAGCAGGCGGCTGCACTCAAAGAACGATATGGACGTAATCGCATGGCCGCCACAGACTCGGTCGTCGTTCCCAAGAGACTGCTTCTTCCCAGTGTGGACGATCCAAGTATCTGGGGTGTTCGCTGCAAGCCAGGAAAAGAGCGAGATGTAGTGCTCAATATCCAGAAACGTATCGAACAACGGCCTCCCGGTACTCGCCACGGATTGAAGATCATATCGGCCTTTGAGCGGGGAAAGACAATGACTGGTTTCGTTTATATTGAAGCGAGAAGACAGGCAGAGGTCATGGAAGCTCTTGACGGTCTTCTTGACGTCTATCCTAAGACTAAGATGGTCTTAGTGCCCGTTAAGGAAATGCCTGATCTTCTACGAGTCAAGAAATCTGAAGAGCTCAACCCTGGTGACTGGGTGCGGATCAAGCGTGGCAAATACCAAGGAGATCTTGCTCAGATTGAAGAAGTCGAAACAAACGGTTTGGAAGTCACTGTGCGACTTGTTCCTCGTCTTGACTACGGATTGAATGAAGACCTTTCGGCACCTGTTGATGCCGCCAAGAGAAAGAGATTTGGTGCCGCAAACAATACAGCCGCTCGCCCACCCCAACGTCTCTTCAGTGAGGCAGAAGCGAGCAAAAAGCACGGCAGACATCTAGTGGGAACATCGAACTTGAGTGGAAAGTCTTGGAATTATATGGGCGACACATACGTTGATGGTTTCCTTGTTAAGGAGATGAAGATCCAGCATTTGATCACGACAAACGTTAACCCTCGTCTAGAGGAAGTCACCATGTTTGCTCGAGGATCTGAGGACGGCACCGCAAATATCGATCTCGCGTCTTTGGCCAACACACTCAAGAACACCGTTGCAGAAGACGCTTATCGACCTGGAGATCAAGTCGAAGTGTACAAGGGTGAACAACAAGGCATAATCGGAAAGACGGTCGCGACCAGAGGCGATATCATTACATTGGAGGTCACAGAGGGCGACATGAAGGGACAAGTAATAGACGCACCAATTAAAACGTTGAGAAAGCGATTCCGTGAAGGTGATCACGTCAAAGTCATTGGCGGTAGCCGTTATCAGGATGAACTGGGCATGGTGGTTCAAGTCAAGGGCGATAGTGTTACTATACTCAGTGATATGAGTATGGAAGAAATTACTGTCTTCAGCAAGGATCTGAGACTTTCGACGGAGTCTGGTGTTGATGGCAAGCTTGGAACGTTTGACGTGCATGACCTTGTCCAGCTTGAGTAAGTAGTCCCAGGCCTTTTCTTTTTGGGAAATGCATACTTAACAAATATTCAGTGCTACTACCGTTGCTTGCATTATCCAAGTCGACCGCGAGTCGCTGCGCGTTATAGATCAGAATGGCTCTGTCCGAAATGTTCTGCCATCGCGAATAGCATCCAAAATCGCCAAGCGCAAAGACGCTGTAGCCACAGACCGCAATGGCGCAGAGATTCGACATGGCGATACAGTGCGCGAGATGTACGGAGAACAGCGGAGTGGAGTAATCATGCACATTCACAGATCTTTCCTTTTCCTGCATAATAAAGCTCAGGCCGAGAACACAGGTGTCATTGTGGTTCGCACTTCGAACGTTGTCACTGTGTCAGCAAAGGGAGGTCGCGCCACAGGACCTGACTTGTCTCGCATGAACCCAGCTATCATGCAACGCCCACCGCAAGGGGGAGCTATGCCTCCTCCACGAGTAGGCCGAGATCGACTCATTGGAAAGACTGTTGGTATTACAAAGGGCAGCTATAAAGGACTTATTGGTATCGTTCGAGAGACCACCGAGGACCTAGTGCGTGTTGAGCTACACACAAAAGGAACGAAAGTCATGGTTCCTCGAACTGGTGTTGTTGTCAAAGAGTAAGTTCATCTCGTTCTCAATACTACTCATCCATTTGCTAACAAATCTTTTAAGTCCTCTAACCGGTCAGACCATCGACATGGGTCGTGGGGGTAGACCTCGTGTGCCTGGAGGCCCCGGAGGTCCACCACAGCCTAGTTGGTCTGGATCGCGAACACCCATGGCTTCCCTCGACTCCAGGACTCCAGCATGGGGTGGCTCTTTGTCTTCAAGAAGTAAGCGTCATCTTTTTATAGCAATATTCAAATTCGATACTAACTATCTAAAGCTCCTGCCTGGGGAGGCTCTGCAGCCAGTGGCTCACGCACACCAGCCTGGAAAGCCGACGGATCTCGCACAGCATACGGCGGCGCAATGGGCGGCGGACGAACACCAGCATGGAACAGTGGAGCCCGCACACCTTACGACTCAGGCAGCGGCGGTGGTAGCGGCGGCAGTGGCTTCGACGCCTTCGCAGCCGGATCTCGCACACCAGCCKGGGGAGCCACAACAGGCAGTCGCACACCCGCCTGGACCGCCAACAGCGGCAATACCCCTTCTTCCACTGCCACCGGTCACAACACAGGACGATACGACGCTCCAACACCCGGAGGCGACTACTCAGCACCCACACCCGGCGCATACCCGACTGCTCCTACACCAGGCGCTTCAGGCACAGCATCCACACCCCGCTGGGCCGAAAGTGCGCCTACACCCGGAGCTCTCAATGCTCCTACACCAGGTGCCGGAGGCGGTGCCAGCCTAAATGTTGGTAGCAGGTTACCGTATGATGCGCCCACGCCAGCTATGGCTGCTACACCAGGTGCGATGGGGGATGATAATCCAACGTATTTGGATGATTCGGAGTAGTCTTTATCTCAACTTGAATTGTTTCAAAACCGTTGTATTTTTACTTTTTCCATTCACATAGCTAGTTACTTGGTCTGTTGTTCTATCTTTGGATCAGTGTAAAATCTAATTCAGATGCATGAGGGCACTTGAATTTATCGTTTGATGTCTATTTCTCTGATAAAAGCTTTATATGTGCTCAGAAGCACCTACACATGATTATCAAGGCGGAGAATCCGTGATTGAGATAGTCAACTTTTCGTTCCTTTGTTCCATTCCATTGCCCCTGTAACTGAGGGCAGGAACCAAAAAATAACACACCATATTAAATTTAGATAACCCTCATCAATGCCCACATGATAATAGATAGAAAAGAATCCAAAAGAGAGGAAATTAATAGATGATTATATGAAGACATGTAGAAAAAAAAACCGCTCATAAGGTAAAATCTTTCAAGACGCGAGGTTTAGAAGCAACCCATGCCATGTATGGGTTCAGATAGCCGCACTCTATGATGAAATGATAAGAAATTCGTTCCGACCGTATGAAAGCTTTCGAATAAAAAAGAAAAAAGAGATAATTTGTTTTTGGGCGTATTCGTTCAAGGTTGTCACCGAATCAGATGAGGGGGATGAGAGGGTTTGTGCAACGATGAGAATATCATGCATTCGGAACAGCGCGAGCGAGGAATCGGACGTTATCGACAAAGCCTTTGATAAGCTCTTCGTACTGATTTCTTGCGTCCCCTTCCCTGGCAAGCTCCCCTTGTCGTCGTACCTCCGCCGCTGAGATCTCGACTTCAAGCTCGTGCTCGAAATCCTTCTTGATGGCGCTCTATCCAAAGGTCGTTAGTCAAGTGATGATACTAGCATGAGAAACGCAACTTACATCTGCTGTCCCCACCTGCGTAAGATCTATCTGGTAGGCTAAATGGCGGTAACTCATGCGATCCTTGATTCTCTCGCCACCCGGTCTTTGAGAACCACCGCCCGCAATCGGGAAATTGCGCACGTCGCGATCATAGTTCATTTCGATATTGACAGAGATTCGCCAATCGACGTTCGTCTGAGGACTATAAACATCTAAGTCTGCCAACCGGCATTTAATGATCTTTGCCAAAATCTCGCCAGTTTTCTGATCGGTAGTCACTCGAACTTTAGGCTTGTGTCGGGGATTCATGTAGTTTTGGATGAGCGGAGGTAGCTCATGGGGCGGTACTTCGTAAAAGGTATCGCGTTCTCTTTTGTGAGCATATGAAAGAGGAATCCGATTGAGCCCGGCTTGAGGCATTGAAGCCTTCACAGCTTCGTTTAGGAAATTATTCATGGCCTGATGTTGTGCCTAGAAACTGTTAGTTCGAAAGTAAATAATGCATTAGTTCATACCAAGACTTACCAGACTCATAGAACTCTCAAACGCAGTGCGGTATCCTGAGCCTTCCGTTTGGAGTATGCATTCACTCATAACAGGTAGACGTAGGCGTCCTTGTCGGTCCTTATCCATTATTCGTCCTAATTTGGCCTCAATTTCCAGCATTGCCGCCGATCCTGTTGCCGCAGCACCAGCAGCACCAGCAGCAATATCATTCTTGAGGACAACTTCTTTAAAAAGGAAATCACAGACAGTCTTTGTAATCTCTTCGTATGGAATCTTTCCAGAAATTGATGGCTCCCAAGGTCCCAGCAGTCCGTACGTAGGTTGTGGCTGCGGCGGAGGAACAGGGCGGTTGTTAAGAGGAGTAGTACCGTTGACAGGAGGTGGTCGCGCAGGGGTTTGAATTGACCTAGACGGCGACGCCACAGATCGTTGCACAGATGTCGCGCGCGACGGGGCGGCGAAGCGCGCAGGTGAATGTTTTGGAATGACTGGCCTCGGACTGGAAATGATTGGGCCTTTTCCAGCTCTAGGCACTCTTCGAGCATAGATCGGAGGCTCAGTATATCGCACCTTCTTCCGTTTGGGTGGTCGTCCTGAGATCTCAGACGGTTCTGATATTTCTGTTTTGACGGTTTGACTATGAACGGCCGAAGGCTCGCGGGAGGGTGTGTCTCGTGCTATTGGGGAGCTGCTCATCTGCATCGTTTGTGGGCGCTGAGGAAAGTCCTGCTGAGGCGGGKGTGGTGGGKACTTGTGTTCTGCAACAGAGCTGCTGTGAGAGTGGCTGCCAGAAGGGCTCTGACGCCAGCGATCGTCTTCTATACTGGTGCGATGAGGTGCAATAGGGTCTCGGTCCTGAGATAGACTCTGTCGGGAGACAATGGTTTTGGGACTAATGCTAACACTCCTTTCCCTGTCAGAGTCTGGTGGGTATTGGCTTTGACTAGGCCTTTCTGCCTGTCTCACTTCTCTGGGTAGTGCAGGACCGGCTGGATATATCTGTGGATAGCCCGTTCTTTGTTCAACTGCAAGTGAATCGTGAGGACTCCATGTATTTGCTGCTTGAGCTGGCGTACCTTCTCCCGCTGATGGAGGTCGTGCAGACTGAGACGGGGGACGTTGATATGGACCAGCAGGCGGACCTAGCGGTGTGCTGGGCTGAGAACGTTGTGGTGGAGGAGGAGATATGTGCTGAGGTTGAAGTGGTCGTTGAGCATTTACTGGACGAGGACTTTCGCTGGCGTGAGGCGGGTAAGTGAAATTAGACTGAGGGCCGGGAGTAGAATGAGCTGGTTGAGGCACAGGGTATTGATTGAAATAAGATTGTTGCTGTTTCTGCTGTTGTTGAGTTGCCGAGTTTGTCTGTGGTGTATATGGGGAAGCTAACGATGGTTGTGTGTAAACCGCAGGGCTAGCCGGAGTAAGCGGGTTAGATTCTCGAGACTGGTATGTTTGTGGAGGAGGACTCTGAGCGTAGTGAGAAGGAGGTCCACCATTCGAAGGTAAGTTTGAGTTGTATTGAAACGGAGAGCGGGTTGAACTGTACGCTGAGGATGCGCTGGGAGAGTGTTGAGTTGGCTGTAACGAGGGAGGTTGCGGGCGCGCGAAATGATTTGATTGATACGATGGACCGGACGTTGCGTATTCGCTTGGTCGCGGAGTGGTGACCGGTTCTGAGTTTTGTCGCAGAGGGGACTGCTGGAGTGATGGAGGTGGAGGGGGAGGTTTCGCAGCACCGCTGGCATCATTGTTCATGATGTTGCGCAAATCCATGGCGAAGGCGACGGGACTGCCAGCCCCAGGGATGGCTCATCAATATCCAATCACGGGTTCAAAGTTCAATTTTCAACAGCAGATGACCGCCAGGCACATTTTGATAACGGCGTGTACGCTGGTTGGGGTTGGTTGTGGACAGCGGTGACGGTAGAAAGGCGAATGCGCGTCTTTGAAGATTTTGGGATCGGGGAGTTCATGCGCAGTGGACGTCGGTAAGCGCGACCATGTATCCGTCGATGACAAAAAGGCCGCTCCGCAATACTGAAACGAACTGCAGGACCCTGCTGTGGAAACAACGATTATGAGAGTGTTATACAGCCTTGAGCAGCGGTTTCTAGATTTTTGCAGGTCTTGCTCTCGCTTCCCCGAATACAGCAGGAGCGAACTACGGCAGCCCGACACGCAGCCAATGAGAAGCTCTCTTTATTTTTGTAGATTTTTAGACCCAACAGCCCTATCTCTGCCTTATAACAGAGTAATCTTTACCACATTGTCTGTGGATCGCTCAAGGCCTGTTCTTCTATAGAATTATAGATCCGGACCTCGGTGTCATAAGAAGATAGTATCAGATCACGTGCTGTCTTGCATGCAGAAGCCTGAGTACATTGAACTAGTCATGTGACTGGATTAGTCAGGTGCTGGTTCTGCTTCCGGCTAACTCTCTGCAGCCATCTCAGGCGCCCACACTACAAAACTAAGGTGTTTTATATGTAGTTACACTTCTAAACTATGATTTCTCTATTCGATGGAGCTATCACGATCACCAGAGACACTACCCCTTTCTTTATAGATGACGAGACGCGGGCACTCTATCCCCGCGCAATTGCAGACCCTGAGTCCCTAACAGACTGATCACTGATCGCCCTCCTCCAGATGAAGAGGACTTCCACTGTCGACAAGCATATATGATTGAGCATGACTGAACTAGTTTCCAAAGCTACAGCACAGAAAAACAGCACTGCCACTAGTAATACAATAACTTGCTTATCGAATAGCTATTAGAAGCCCGACCGCTTATGGCCGCCGCCATCTCGGTTTATGTGATCCTAGATTAGCTGTACCTTCTTTGGTAGGTTGCGAGATCGATAAATAGCAAATATGTGCAGTCTTTATTTTACTCAAGCTATAGCAGGAATTAATAATTATGTATACGACCGGCCACATAATCCGTCAAGAGCAGGGGAATTTCAGATGCAAGAATAAGTACTGAATACGTATTGCGCGTACATAGCCTTGGCGACTTGGCATCCAGAGAGTGAGACAGTTCGTATTTCTCAGGCACCTGCTATGGATGAGTGCGCTATTGATAAACTGATATGCTTGATCAATAGAGTCGAAAGTAGACACATCCTCTGTGCTCCGAGATATTATTTACTCCGTATGCAGGGAGTAATAAGGAGCCATGTGAGTGAGGCAGTGAGGCCCAGCCCAGACCGCGGCAGGCGTTACTTAGCGCCGGTCCACCAGGCGGTCATTGGCCGGCCGAGTTTGCGCCTCCGGGGAAGTTGCATCCTACATACCTGTCTTCTCTTCACTCTTCACTATCTACATATTCATGTTGACTGTTGCACATATCATACGCATTGCATCGCATCGCTTCTGTATTCTCATTGCATAGCTTGCTCTCTCTTCTGTAAAATCCGCTGCAACCTACGTATCCGGCACTCCACATCAACGCCCACCTGGTGACCGCCGACCAACGTTCACATCTGTACAGGGATACAAACCCCTCACGACTCGGCCAAACCGAGGACTGTTCCAAGGGAGTTGAGGCCAGATGAGATCCTCTCATCCTGTCACAACTCCAGTCTTTGCATGCAATAATCCATGTCGCTCGCTCGATAGATTTGAGTCAAATTGAATCAGACTTGGTACCATGACTGCACAGATTAGGGACTCTGTGAGACGCAGGGCGTCTCTCATTACGCCCTCCCATGATATGCCGCGAAATCTATCCCTCGAATTCAGCCTCCCGGAGCTTGAGCGACGACAAGATGCCGATCGCCCCTACGCAGAACACCCACCTCGCCATGCCACTTCTGACTCATCTATGCCGTGGTCCCAGTCGCTGACGATGCAACAAAATGAGGATCTTCCCGAGTACGCCGAGCGGATCTTTTCACAATTTATGGTCTTCACAGTACCGAGTTATTTGCAGCATCACGTCACGGGCGGAGAACCGAACAAACCGAAAAAGCCGCACGATATCGCCGCGTTGGATGGTTTGCGAGGATGGGCTTGTTTACTCGTCTTCAACTTTCACTTCCTTTTCACGTATACATGGCATACACATATAGGCTGGGGCTTCAACAAGCAGTATTTTGGACTACATCAGCTACCGTTTCTCCACATGATTTTTTCGGGGCATATCATGGTCGCCATCTTCTTTGTTATTTCCGGCTACGTTCTGTCTTACCGACCTCTTAAGACGATTCGCAGCGGGTCGTTTGAACAGACCTTTGCCGTACTTTCCTCGGCCACTTTCCGGCGTGGGTTGCGTCTGTACATTCCGTCGATCGTCGGGCTATTTTGCGTCTTTGTTGCGGTTCGACTAGGTTTATACAACTACTCCCGATGGGTGGTGGATAATAGTCGAACGATTACCGGCACGAACGAACAACATCCGATTATTCTTCGATCAACGTACATACAGTTTTGGGACTGGTATAACACAATATGTCGATTAATGAATTTCTGGGACTGGGGACTGTATTATAATAACTACAACCCTCATCTGTGGACGATTCCCGTCGAATTTCGAAGTTCGATCGTCCTTTTCGTCACAATTCTTGCAGTCAGTCGATTCAGAACGAAGGTGCGCCTAATATTAGAGGCTATGACCCTTTGGTTCTGCATACGGTGGGGACGATGGGATGTGGTGCTTTTTTTGAGTGGTTTGATACTTGCTGAGATCGACCTTGAAAACGGAATCTGGAACAACACTACTAGTACGACTAAATCCGCATCTATGCCCATGCCGTCGGATTTGGAAAAACTTGTACACACAGCCCCCATCCAGAATTTCTTTCAGCGACGACATAAGGCCATCTGGATAGGCGTTTTCATCTTGGGGCTATACATGGGCTCATCACCAAATATCGGCGGAGTATACACTCCAGGATATGTGTGGCTTGCTCGCATAACCCCAAAAACGTATCCAGAACCTCACCGTTTCCCACAAACCCTCGGCGCCGTGCTGATCGTCGCCAGCATCAACAACTCGAAGACTATCCAAAAGATCTTCGTGAACCCACTATCTCAATATCTCGGACAAATCTCTTACGCCTTCTACATTGTCCATGGACCTATTCTGCATGGACTAGGCTATACCCTGATGCACAATATCTGGCAAATCACCGGCCGCGAAACGTCGTTTCAATTCCTCTTCGGGGCTGCGATCGGATGGAGCATCTGTCTCCCCATCGCCCTTTGGCTTKCGGACATCTTTTKGCGCGCTGTGGACGTTCCTAGCGTCAGGTTTGCACGTCAATTGGAGAGTGAACTACTTGCCAAATTTGATGTATCTCGATAAATCCCCCCGTTTCAACATCAACGATCCTTCTCTCTCATTTCTCTGTACACTATACTCACTCACTACCTCCCTCGAGCTAGTGGCTGCTCAAAATTACCTTGCATAATCGGTCATGGGGTCTTATTTTTCATATGTCTGTATTACTCATAGCGGATATTCTCCTGTTTGCACTACATAGCTAGCGTTCATTATCGATGTATATATTTATATCCATATACATGTAGATTCGAGTATAAATATAACCACTTCAGTACATAATCTGATGCCATTTATTCTGAGTCTAGACACGATAAACTGAAACGGATATATTTTTGAGAAGGGGAAAACGTTAATTCTTGGGCCAAATGCATGTATGCGAAGAGATATAATAAATGAAAACAGAATCAACGAACATAATAAAGAAAATAGTTGAAAGCGCTCGTTATGATGGAAGACGCAAAGAAAGAGAAAAAGAGAGAGATATCTACATGGCGACACCCCAAAMCCCCTTCCCACCACAGACGCCGAGCCAGTCACGCGAGTTTTGAGATGATCCCTGAGGTGACCAGGAAATGTTTGAGACTTCGTAGTCGCATTGCCATGCTGCTGCGGGACCGCGTTCAGTTGTTGATGGGGCGGCTGCTGCTGCTCCTGCGGCACCGGGAGCTGCTGGGGCGGGGGTGGGCAGAGCAGGGGTAGATTGTTGGTGTTGTTGTTGAGGGATTTGAGCGGCGTTGTGTTGGTTCAAAAGGTCCCAGACGAGCACGCAACAGTCGTCGCCTCCGGAGGCGAGTGTGCCGCGACGACTTGGGGACCATTCGATGCAGTTTACGGAGGCGGAATGGCCGCGGAGTTCGACGAGGGCTTGCCCTGGTTGGCGTACGTCGAGGATGCGGATTAGGTTGGAGTCTTGGGAGAATGTTGCGAGGAGGTGGGCGTCGTGGGGCGATGCTGAGTGGAGAGTTAGTGGTGTTTGTTGAAGTCGATATGAAGAAAGACTTACTGGCAATCCGCAGTAGGGGTGGAGGCCATGCTGAAGAGTGTCCAGGGCTGGAGCCTCCGGGGCTCATGACTGTGATATGTTAGTATTCATTGGAATTTCCTTGCATATTTGCAGGAAGAGGAAGAGACTTACGCTTTTCGTTCTTTTCCGACGGCTCGTATATGATAGTACTATGTTCCAAGCTCCGCAGATCAAACATACGCACACTGCCGTCCGCACCGCAACTGACGAAAACATCAACACTATTCGCACAAAAGCGTACGTCGTACACTTCCTTGTCGTGCGCAATGAGCTGTGTCTTGGCAGTCAAGGTTGGAATGTCCCAGATCGTGCATGTCGTGTCGATACTGGAAGTGATAATCAGACTCGGCGAGAGTATATTCCAATCTAGCGAAGTGATAGGCGCCGTGTGTTCTGGTGATTTTGAATTGGACAAAAGAGCTAGTGGAGACAACTTTGCTGGCGATGGGCCCTGGTTTCGATTGTTTATCGAGTTTGTAGTCTGTACAATCTGGGAGTTTGGCAATGACCATAAACGGAGGTGGTCGCCCGATGTCGCAAGCAAGTCTGTTGATTGCTTCTGGGAAGAAGGGGGCTCCCATAATATTCTCGTAACCGGGTATGAATGCGTTGCCTCTGCCGTCTTGACATACTCTAGCTCAACGTCTCCTGAGGCCACGTCTGGGGTATCGGCCTCGGGTTGTTTGCGATGGGTGTCAATGATTTGAATCTATCCAGTTAGCTTATTATCACACAGTAGAAGATGAAACTACGTACATAATTGTGGCTATCTTCAAGATAACTTCCAATAGCCACCTTTCCAGCAAAAGAGCTTGCCGTCGACGTAGGCCACTTGCACCAGTCAACCGCATATATCGGCCACGGAGCGACATAATTGCTGTTGGTGGGTATTTGAATGTCATTATTGAAAGCTGGAAAAGACCCCGGTGTCATTGGATGATCCATCAGTAGGGAATCACTAGGTGGCCTTATATCTGCAAGACCCAACGGCGAATATTTGGCACCTGAAGGCGTATGTGGTGCGAAGCCGCCTGGCGGAGACGCGTACTTTGCGCTTTCCGGCGTGGTTCCATATTGCTTATACCTAGGCTGGTCAAATCCTGCAGGACTTGATCTCGAATGGACGTGTGTATGGCCGACGGTTCCTGATCGAGACGGCGTCGTCGCTTGTGGTTGCGAGGTTGGCGGAGGTAGGGTCGGCACAGTGGAGGGGGCAGTATTGGTGGCTATGGGCGCTGGACGACCAGACATGTTTCCGGGCTGCAAGGCGCCGGGAAGTGCACTGGTTCCTGAGCCATATTGAGAATGCTGCGGTGTCGACTGTTGAATGCTTATCGCAGGAGGAACATGGCCAGCGTCTGGACCTGTCGAGTATCGAGGGGCATTCGAAGGGACGGTGGTGCCAGACAGAGGAATATGGAGCTCTTCCGACTGACGAGTGAATGGTGCCGGCCGCCTGGGCGTCTCGTACTGTTGCTGGGTTGGAGGATTAGACATTTTGGCGAGCGCGTAGAGCTGTGTGGGAGGTGATGGAAAGAGTGTCAACGGTCAGTCAGTTTAACGCCGTGATCGAGTCGCATGAGAAAGACACCGCGGAGCTCCGAGACACCAAGAGCTTAAGCCGCTTGTAGATCAATCGTTCTAGCACACCATGGGTCTTATGCGTCCATGGTGTATATCAAGAATTGAGATGCTCAACTGTCTTTGAAAAGTTGTGTAAGGAGCTTAAGGCTTAAGGCTTGGGCGTCCCCGCGTTCTCGCTCGGCCGCCCGCCGCAGCCAACCAGCGGTCAGCGTTCGGCTTATTCAGCCGCTCCTTCTTCTTTTGGCTTCCTTTCTCTTTCCATCAGCTTCGTTTTTCAATATTCTCTTGATTCAGTCTTATATACACATCTCTCAAAATTGATACGAAAGGGTGATCTGAGTTGGCAATCATGGCTGCTCTGTATAGTCTTCTGCTGCTTCCGCCCCCGCCCTCCCCCGCAGTGCGCCAGTTGAAGGAGGTCTATGGGCCGGCCTTGTCGCATATATTCTCAAGCATTGCGCAACTGAACGCGTCTAGCGATATTCATAAGCTTGATGTTGCTCTAGTCATTCCTCAACTACTGTCCGCTCAATACCACCCTCGAACAAAGGCCTTTGCAAGTATTCAGAAACTTCTGGCCAACTTTTATACGCTGGTGGGAGCTGTCAGCGCCGAAAAGGATGTAGAGCTGGATGCACCAGGAGGTGTTGACGTCCGTGTCTTCTTTGTGGACAACGCAGAATATGAGCAGACCGAGGAATGGAAGAGAACCCAAGGGCCAGTCATTGACTTCAAGACATTAGCAGCTTCCAAAAGACCCTGGGATCATGTCTATATTCCGAGCACAACCGAGGGAGAGCTTTTAGGAGCCGCGCTGTCAATACATGGGGTCACCATCGCTAATACTAAACTACCTGCGGGCACTATATCTAGCACAGCAGAGACAGTCATAAGCCCCGACGATGAACGATCTAAAAGCCATGCCGCAGTCATTGTCGGCGGAACGTTCGATCATCTCCATCTTGGACATAAGTTATTGCTCACGGCCACCGCATTAGCACTAGACATTAGGAGAGATCAAAAGATGCTCGCAGTCGGGATAACCGGTGATCAGATGCTCGTGAACAAAAAGTTTGCAGAGTATCTGGAGAGCTGGGAACAGAGAATGCAAGCAACAGCGGCATTTCTACGAGCCATCGTCGATTTTAATCCTCCGGAGACTTCGTCTGCTGATCTCACGCGCACCGAACAACCAGGCCCAAATGGCAAGCAGGTTTCGTTTCAGGTTGCGCCAGATATAACTGTGCGGTTGGTACAGATTGATGATCCGTTCGGACCAACGATTACGGAGGAAGTGTTTAGTGCTTTGATTGTGTCAGCAGAGACACGATCAGGTGGACAGGCTGTGAACACAGAACGAAACAAAAAAGGATGGGCATCGTTAGAGGTGTTTGAAGTTGGTGTCTTGCAAGCGGGAGAAGCACAGGAGGTGGCGGATACGTCAGCCAGTAGCTTCGAGTCCAAGATCAGTAGCACCGACATTCGACAACGTCGAATGAAGAGTGCGGGTAGCAATCTTTAACGGGCTTCGGMACTGCACTGACAGGCCGAATTTGTATCAGTAGCACCTGGCCTCAAACCATTGATTCAGTGGTGGTGATTGTGCCACGTAAGTGACATTATGGGGGAAGGTAGAGAAGCCAAATAGCATCACCAAGATGATCTGCTCAGCATGCTAAGCAGTCCGTATCCAATCAAGCGGATATGAATGTCCATGTCGGGATGACACCTAGATCTTCCCGAGGCGTAACTATCACCGTATGACAGGATTGGCAATCTGAATTGCGCGCCGGTGAGCATGAGTGCACAGCGAGTAACGATATCCACGGAAACATCAATATTCCAACGTCATTGGCTCGTCCATATCACAGACTAGCTACTTGGTGCACTCGCAAGTGGCCTTTAAGACTTTTCTCCGACGTCCATGCTGATCCATAGGCCTGATCCATAGGCATCTGTTTCTGGCTGTCCTGCAGAATCCGGCAGCTGGCTCTGATGTCGCGGACGGAGGCGGCAACGGGGACCACTGAGAGCAATGCACGGCGCAATTAAAGATCGGGACCATGGGACTTGTTCTGACGGGGGACGACGAGGACGCGATGGTTGGTGGGTGTGTTTTGTGAGGGAGACACTAATGAATGGGCGGGGGAGTCTAGAGAGTCTAGGTACTTCGAAGGGGGGGACTAGGGAGACTAGCTAACCGCCGGGCCGTGCACCTGCCTGCTCGCTCCTGCAGGGCTCCCGTTCTTCACAACCTCCAATCGTTTCCCCCCTCCGCTTGATCTCTGCGCCGCCAGACCTCGTCAATTTGCTCTCTCTCGCCTGATACAGTTCCAGCCGGTGCCTGTGGCTGCATGATGCTCCTGATCTTCCCGGGTCGATTTCGGTCATGTGACTCCAGTGTGGGTGGTCTTCCAACGCCTGAGAGGCCAGCTCCMAAAMCCCGCCATTATTCGACAGTAACCCAGGATCCGCTTACTGCTGCACGTCGAATGTAATTAAGTCAGGCCAGCATGCATGGCTGCTCTCTGTGGTGGTGACATGAGACCTGACTGCCCTTCCCCCCAACCCAATCCAACCCAGTCCAACCAGTCCAGAGATGCCAGCTTGTTTCTGCAGCTTTTCGTTTCTGCTCGAATGATGGCATATCCCCTGTCACCTACTTTAATAATAGGAGTAGCCGGTTCCCCCAGGTTTAAAACAGTCTCGGCCGCTCAATCCCAGTGCCACGACTCTTACTGTTTGTCAGAGGGAATAAAAAGGGGTGCGCATTGCGACAATAAATTGGCGACTCGATCCGGGTTTTCCTAAACCAATTCTTCCAACCGTGTTTCGTCTCCTGTCTCGTTTCTCTATGCCAAGTGTCGCGCGCCAGACAGCCGGTGAGACGGCTGCCTGCTCACGAAGTCGATGATTATGATGATGAGTGAGCCCGGCCGCATCAATTATTTGGCCGACGAATTGCTAGGTTTGATCTTGTCGTTTCTGATCGCCGATGCGGAGTTTCCGGATGGACGCGAAATACTTCAAGACTACGCCTTCCCGCCATACAACAACAAGCGAAATGGAACGAATGCGGTGGCATCGCGGGGAGAGAGAACCGATCTGGACAGGTATAGACTTGTTTGCACGCGTTTCATGAGGATTGCGACGCCGTGGAAGTTTCGTCGCTTTACATTAAGGTTTTCGGCAGAGGGATTCCGACGGTTGAATGAGCTGGTGGACATGCAACAGGCTCATCACACGCGATATTTTACTTATATGGTCCGGCCTTATTACCAGGGACGGGGTATGATCAAACAAACTCTGTCACCCATTTGAAAATACTGATCAAGCTGTTTAGACTGGGAACGATTCCTCGCCGAGATTGCGCGTGACTACCCTACGCTATCCGAGATTCACACAGCCCGACTCGCGGACCAAACATCGCTGGTCAAAAATGCACGAGATATTCTTTCATTGAAACGGGCGCTGGTCGCGTTTACTTCCCTGCAACAAATTAAACTTCTCCGATTACAGGACAGGGCGGATGAAGATATCATGGAACGAGCAAGACGGTTCGTTAGTGTTAGAGATGTCAAACTCGACTGGGAGCCGGCATGCTCTCGCGCGATTGAAGGATTGGCATTGGCGCTGATGGGATCTAGCTGCCAGTCTGTCCGATTTCTGGGTCCGCAATTGAGCCCTGAAGCTGCTCTGAAATTACTGAATGCGCCCCGAGTGACAATGTCTGCTTTAGGCGAGCGACTTACATGCTTGGATATATATTTTCACTCGGCGTCGGATGTGACAGCATTGATGTCAAAATTATCAACTACATTTAAAGACTTTTTTCAGGCGGCGCGAAACCTCGTTACGATTAATGTCGGGTTTCCGGCTGATCGTCCATTGAATTTGCATCTGGAAGACGTTTTTCATCACATACATTGGCCGCGATTACGGAGTCTTGGGATTCAAGGCTGGCGTTTGCATTCGTCTGAAATTAGTGCGATCGCGCGGCGTCATCAGTCGCAGCTCCGCGAGTTACGCCTACCATATGTTTACCTGCTTGACGGAAGCAGATGGCGTGACGTTCTTTCCATACTCCACGATGACATGGAACGGCTTGAAAAACTAAATCTTCAACATATCAACTACGCATCTCACTTCAACACCGAAATTATGAACGGTATTGAAATACCGCCAGGAAGCACAACAGACGAAGACGAACAGAGAGATGAGGATGACGACACAAATCCAAATGGTGAACTTGAACCATCTCAATCAGACACAGACTCTTCATCTATTGCGTCAATACATGACTCGCAAAGCGAAATATCATCAGAAACAGAAGAATCATATCGACAGCAGCACCGATACCCGTACCGCCACCACCATCACCAACGAGACTTGCAAACATTATCTGAGCAAGAACTCAGTATGCTTACTGCTAACGATCTGGGCGATAACGGGATATATGTGAAACGAGAGCATTGGCATATATGGGAAAAATGGGTGGTTATATCACGGCGTCGGTTGTAGGTTGGGTTGGGAGGGGATGGACATAATATCATGATCATTGCAATAAAATGGGTTTCTCTATTGAGTTTTGAATGTTAGCAGGCATTGGCTTTGACAGGTGTGCATAGCGAGGTCATGCATTTATTTATTTTACTTGAAGAAGACGTATTGTAACGGTGAATACATTGCATTATCTCATCATCCAATTAGATCCGCAAATTGGCGGAATGAACCCGGTAATCAATACAACAATAGCATTATCCGATCTTCTTCATCTATCAATATCAATATACTCACCTGTACCCTTCCATCTGATATATCTCATATACCATCCAATCCTGCCCGAACCCGATCGATCACAACAATCGCCTCGGCGACAATTCTTCACAATGTCCTCCTCCTCAACAACGTCAACGTCAACAGCAGCAGCAAAATCAACACCCGACTCAAACATCAACCACGCCTCCTCCCTCGAATACTGGAACACCATCCCCGCAACCGTGAACGGCATGCTCGGCGGTTTTCCACAAGTATCACGCATTGATCTGCGGGGATCAGCCAGTTTTCTCGCTAAGATTAGACGATTACTTCAGACCGAAGACCAGCAACGAAATAATGAAGCAAGCGGGCAGCAGAAAAAGAGCAAAAAACTGAAAAGAGGAGTAGACTGCGGCGCGGGCATCGGCCGCGTAACGGACGGATTTTTGAGAAATGTTTGTGAGACGGTGGATGTGGTTGAGCCTATTGCCAAGTTTGCAGATGTTATTCGGCGGGGTTCCAAACGAGCGGTCGAGGATACGAATAACTCTACTGAAACGCCTAAAGAGCAAGAAGAAGAAAAAAAAGAGGAAGAAGAAGGAGTGGTAGAAAACATCTACGTAACAGGCCTCGAGTCCTGGCTCCCTACCGAAAAATACGACCTCATCTGGAACCAATGGTGTGTTGGGCACTTGACCGATGTCCAACTCACGACGTACCTCCAACGAGCCGCCGATGCTCTGACTCCGAATGGAATACTGGTCTTGAAGGAAAACAACTCTACAGACCCAGATGGAAAGGATATATACGATGAAGTGGACAGTAGCGTTACGAGGACGGACGAGACATTTCGCAAGATATTCAAAGAGGCGGGACTGAATTTGATAAAGGCAGAGGAACAGTTGGGGTTTCCGAGGCATTTGGGGTTGTTGCCTGTGAGAAGTTATGCGTTGAGGCCGGGAAAGTCGTCAATGAATGAATGAATGAATGAAAGAAAGAAAAGAAATGAGGAAGCCTGATATCATTGATGCGCCGGAGGAAAAACTACACAAACTGCCTATCCTATTGAAAACAAAAAAAAAAAGGAATCAATGCATTGAATCGATTCGAATGATACAGAATCTGCCACCCGCATGCCAACGAGCGAGAACTTTTCTCTCTCCTCGTCGATGCTTAGTTTGCGAGGAAAGCGCTGGAGAACACTGAGGTAATTCGCTCGGCTGTACTTTGGCCGTTGATGCCGCCTTCGGTCGACTTTTCGCGATCGACGACAGCATCTTCGGGCTGCTTGGAGGACTGTTCAATTGGAGCCGGGGCTGAGGGTTCACGGGCGGTAGATGTGGCCTTTGCAACTGGTTCTTCAACAACAGGAGCATCTTCTGTCGTGGGCTCGTCGGTATTTCCATCTGCCAGACCATTGACTTCAGTCTCTGGTTTAGTATCTTTCGTCTCAGTATCAGCTTGCTCTTTAGCGGCAGCCTCCTTTGCAGCAGCCTTGGCCTCTTTAGCGGCAGCTTTGGCAACGGCTTTCTTCGTGTCTGCCTCTTGCTTATCGATCAACCCCATGATAAAGTTCCATTCTTGTGGTGACACGCGCGACACGCTCACGCGGGACTGGCGCAATGTCTGCATGTTCTCTAGTGCTTGGCCCGAAAGAGCATATGATTTGAGGGTCTCTAATGTAACGGGATGTTCAAACTTGCGCCGGAACTCGACATGCACGCACTCCCACTTTGGATTCTCGCGACTAGATTTCTCGTCGTAGTATGGATGTGCGGGGTCGAAGGCGGATTCTATGTTCGCATGATTAGCCAGGCACGCAGTTTACCACCATCTTAGACGTACCATCTACGGAATGTTCCTTGACAATTTCCATCTGTCCCACAATACCGGGAACCTTGCAACTCGAGTGGTAAAAAAACGCGTAGTCGCCCTGCTTCATAGCGCGCATATTGTTTCGAGCTGTCCATGTTAGTATTGACCGTTAGAGTGAGAACGTACACATACCAACAGGGTTGCGAACACCTATCCATTATCAGCAACATTCTAAAATTTCAGGAAGGAATATAACATACCATCCCATGGCTCTGGCTCCGTGGCCGCTTGTAGGTCATCAATCGAAAACTTGACATCTACACCCTTGACGATTCGCGATTCCGGTTCCGCTTTCATAAGCCAGTATGACTTGCTGTCGGGTCCGAACGCATCCTCTTCAGCCACCTCAATAGTTAGGTCGGGCTCTTTCTCTTTCAAAAATGCGGGTGTGCGAGGTGCTCTGGTGACCTTTTGGCTTTTGGCAAGCTTTCCGGTCGACTTTTGCGGGACATCTTGCAGCTGCTTGGTAGCACGCTTCCTCTTCTTACCGGCGACTTCGGTGGAAGTCGACTCGGCAGATTTGGGTGGTCTACCACGTCGTTTACCAGGCTTACCTGCAGATGTTGTCTTGGTTTTGACGATGGATGATTTTGTTTGGGGTTTGACAGTGGCAGACTTTTTGGCAGGCGCGGAGGGTTTGGCTAGTTTACCTTGACAATATCAATTAGACTTCGTTAAAAAAAGCATCGCGTGTGATGGATTGTACCTTTCTTGACGGCTGTCGCGGCTGTCCCAGCTGGACGGCCTCTCTTCCGGGGTGTCTCTTGAGCTTGAGTTTGAGCTTTGCTGGCAACAGCGCGTTTCGTAGGCGATGGCTTGGGCGCAGGGGCAGCGGCTTTGGTCTTTGCTGCGCGCGGTGGCAACTGTGGAAATCGCTTGGGCCGTGAAGCTGCCGCGGTCTCTGAGCCAGATGTTTTGCGCGTACGTTTGGACGGGGTACCTGTCGCGTCGACGTTCGCGACCGTCGAGTTGCGCTTTTTGGGTGGCATGGCGCGTGAGTATTCGAATCAATTATCCGATTCAATGGCTCAAAGTGAGGAAGAACTGATGCAATTAAGTGGAAGCTACGCGACCATCTGCAAGCTACACCATGCAGTTGTTTATCGACTCGCGGAGCTGACTGTACGGCCGGGTTTATTTTTCTCCGCGTTTGTATCAGCCAGACAATCATGAAGGAAGTAACCTTATCATTCTATTTTGGTTTTCTTCAGCTTCATGCTCTTGGATAATTAATGTCAATTGAAATGTCTAATTATCCTATGTGTCATGCACCGTACTACTACTAGGTAATTACGTATATTCGAACTTGGTGCAATGCATGTAAGGCGGTCTCGCCTGATACACGTGCAGTCCCAAACAAGTACTGTAGACTTATCAAACAATCGAGCAATAGCAGTACATAGTAAACAAGAACCACCGCGAATAAGCGCGCTCAAATGTCCGAACGCTAGGTAGAATGTTCAGTAATCCAGAATCTATCGACAGCACAGAAAAAGGGCCCAGTCAAAGGATCCAAGTCGGTTCGGGATTGCTAAGGTGGATCGCGGAAAGATGTCCGCCTGCCGATTTGCCGATTCTTGCTTGACTCATTATGGGTCGCTCGACAATTTTTATTTTTTTGTGTGTTGGGTCTCTGCTTTGTCAGTTTCGCGATACAGGCTGAGATTGTCGATTTCGGTGGTTGAAAGAGACGAGACCTCGAGGTTTACAGGTCGATGTCCGCATCAGTCCGTATCAGGAAATAAGAAAGTGCGCTGAATTTCCATTCCTGGAATCCCCTCATTTCTCGGGCGAGACTTAGATTCATCACACCTCGAGACTAGATCTCTCCGAGGAAGAAAAATGACACAAGAGAGATCAGAGTCCAGATTGGATGCGCCATCTGATATTCAAGATGCTTTCGCAATAAGTTCAGCGCCAGCAGAACCTAAAACGGCAACAGCGCCACAGCCGAGCGAGAAGGGTCTTGTTGATCCGCGAGATGACATATCCTTGGCAGACAAGCAACACCACACTGAAGAAATCGAGTATCTCTATCTCGACTTTGACACAGAACTCCCCACACCTGCTGGACTCTCTGATACAAAGGGCTCAACACCACCACCATGCCCTAACCTTAAAAAATATACATCACCCTTCCTCTGGTCTAGCAGTCGCAAGTCCATGACAACATGGCTGGCATGCGGCGTCACGCTACTGGCCGCCTATTCAGCAGGTGAATACACACCAGCATCCTCGCAATTGCTCTCTGAATGGCACGTCAGCCAGGTCGCTTACAATGTCGGTGTGACCACTTTCACCGCTGGATTCGGTATTGCGCCTATGGTTCTGGCGCCGTTTTCCGAGATTAATGGACGACGACCAGTGTTTATCGCTAGTGGGGTTTTGTTCACAGCTTGTATCTTTGCGTGTGGTGGAGCGAATAATCTTGCTGGAACACTGGTTGCACGATTCTTCAAGGGTATTGGCGGATGTGAGCAATATCCTTTTGACGCTTAATAGTTACGTACTGACTTTGATAGCGACATATTCGACGATGGTGGGCGGAGTCATCAGCGACATCTACCACGCCGAAGACCGCAACACGCCAATGGCACTCTTCGCTGGAGCAGCGCTCTTCGGGACTGGCCTGGGACCTTTGATTGCTGGAAACATCGTGGCACACACGTCATGGCGATGGATCTACTGGTCGCATGGTATCGTCAGTGCGAGTTTTGTGATTTTCATGTATTTCTTCTTGAAGGAGACTCGAGGCAGTATTTTGTTGAGTCGAAAGGCTCGCGCACTTAACAAGTGGTATGACAGTCTGGAAGAAGCTGGGTACTATGGGTTGTTGTTACCGTCAGACGAACCAGAAAAAAGAGTTGTTCGTCGGATTCGATGGAAGGTGAAGGCTGATGAAGAGCGACAGTCGCTTGTTCAGATGATCAGTGTGTCGTGTTATCGACCATTCCGTAAGATATTCGTCTCATATATTTGACGACCTTGGCTAACATAGGATCAGACTTGCTATTCACTGAGCCTGTTGTTTTCTTCTTTTCGCTCTGGGTAGCCTTTAGCTGGGCTGTTCTTTACTTGCAATTGTCCTCAGTTCCGCTCGTTATGGAAACCAACCATAAATTCACAGTTGCCCAGTCCAGTGATGTCTTTGCCGGTGAGTCTCAATGCTATCATCGTAAGCAAGGAAACTGACAGTAGGTCCAGCGATCTCCGTCGGCGCCATCCTCGCCACACTCCTCAGCATCTACCAAGAAAAAATCGCCATTCGATTCGGCAAGATGTCCAATACTCCTGAAGGTCGTCTATACTTTGCCTGCATTGAATCCATTCTGATGCCCGTCGGGTTGTTCTGGTTTGGATGGACGTCGTTCTCGTCTGTGCCGTGGATTGTGCCCACGATTGCCGTGGGTTGTGCAACCATGGGCATTTTCTCGGTGTACCTTGCCGTGTTCAATTACCTGGCCGATACGTATCATCGGTATGCTAGTTCAGCCATTGCCGCGCAGTCATGCTGTAAGTCTACAAATTCCATAACAGTATTTTCTGATTTACTGATAATGTTGTAAGGTCGAAATCTTCTTGGAGGAGTGTTTCCTCTGGTGACCAACGCGATGTTCAACAACCTCGGGTTCCCGGCTGCATCTAGCCTTCTGGGTGGCATCGTAAGTTTAGTCATACGATCGTTTTCTCAAATACTAATAAATCTACAGGGCGCGCTGTTGACAATCGTGCCTTGGGTACTCGTCTTTTACGGTCCCAAGATTAGGGCTCGAAGCAAGTTTGCTAGTGTATGTTCGCCTCTACGATGCTATTGTCAACTGCTAATTGTTGTTAGGAATTGGTGAACCAGCATTAATCTCGACATCATGCATTTGATACCACTGTTTTCCTCTACTTAATGACCATATACGGAGTTTTGCACATATCATGTCATGATATCTCTAGCATCGTCTTCTTTCCTCTGTTAATTGCGCCATTTTCTTCCCCTTCCATTGGTTGGGATGCTGTCTTTTGTTAATCTATCATTCGGCCGATATTCTCGGGTGAGAAGTGTCTGATCATGTAGATATTCCCCCAAGCACATACATCAAATACCAGAATGTATCAGCCAACAAATATACCTTTCAAATAGGCAACAGACAGTGATGAAACAAACCGAATACTCCCATCTCACACAACGTAGACAGAAAAGAGGGTAACAGACGACATGAATTAATCTTCTGCTTCAGGCCCAATCGAGACTAGCGTCGGGCTAGTGCGAACCACTCGACCGAGAGCCTAATTGGTAGGGCTGCCCTGAGCTACGATTGGCGGGAGCGGCAACATGATGAGGTAATCAGGAACTACAATTTGTCGAACAATCTCGCACCATCAGCAGCCAATCAGATACGTTCTGCCGGGCGGGCAGCGTCGATGGCGTGATTGAAGCAGAGATGAAGTCAACGAGGAGAGCTTGACGCAAGCGTAAACAGCTGCTCATTGCGCCTTCCCAATGGGTCAGAACACGAGGGGAAGGAGGGGTGGGCGACTGAGGGGTGGAGGCTAATATTTATAAGACCAGACTCTCTGCTTCCTTCTTCTCTCATCGCAGTAACTTCAAACTTTGGAATCTACCACTACATCTATCTTCAATTTATCGATCTTCATTCTAGTATCCTCTCACATTTCATAATGGCCACTGAGCGTGTTCCTCTCCGTCTGGGCTCTACTGCCCCCAACTTCAAGGCTGAGACCTCCAAGGGTCCCATTGACTTTCACGAGTTCATTGGCGACAACTGGGTCGTCCTCTTCTCCCACCCTGTATGTTTGTCCAACAGTCAAGCATGTAAAGACAAATATCTAATGGTTTCAGGATGACTTCACTCCCATCTGCACCACCGAGCTCGGCGCCTTTGCCAAGCTCGAGCCTGAGTTCGCTGCCCTCGGCGTGAAGCTCATTGGATTGAGCGCCAACAACGTCGACTCCCACCACGCCTGGATCAAGGACATTAACGAGGTCAACAACGCCAACCTCACCTTCCCCATCATTGCCGACCACGACCGCAAGATCGCCTATCTTTATGACATGCTTGACTACCAGGACATCACCAACGTTGACCAGAAGGGCCTCCCCTTCACCGTCCGTACCGTCTTCGTCATCGACCCCAACAAGAAGATCCGTCTCACTCTTGCCTACCCTGCCTCCACTGGCCGCAACACCGCCGAGGTTCTCCGTGTCGTCCAGGCTCTCCAGACCACCGACAAGAAGGGCGTCACCACTCCCATCAACTGGCTCCCTGGTGACGATGTTGTCATTCCTCCCACCGTCTCGACTGAGGCTGCTGAGGAGAAGTTTGGCAAGGACAACATCCGCGTCGTCAAGCCGTGCGTCTCCCCTTCTTCCTTTCCTAACGGTTAGAAACGGTAATACTAACAGTGTATAGTTACCTCCGATTCACCAACATTGGCAAGTAAATGCCGGATGAACCGATGGGTGTACGAAAAGCAGATGCTTTCAGATATTTTAATATTTCTTTTGTGATGCCCTTATGATACCGACAAGATTAGTTATCTTGAATGAAGATACCATTTTTTATAATCGTATGATTGATACTAGCTAATCACATGTTTGTATCAACTAGCTGTCTGCGCCAAAGAGTCGTAATAAAGATCAATCCTTGTCTTGGGCACATTTTTGTCTTGATTCTCAAATATCGTCTGCATAGCCTTGGCTAATGTATCCTCCAACGACGTAAACCCTTCTGCTTTACCCATCATCTTCAACACCTCAATACTCCTCTGATGATCCACCTTACCCTTATCAACCACCTCCTTCTTCCCGTCTTCTAACGGCAAAGCCTTCAACATGATTCTGTCAGGATATCGCCGATGCAGAATCTGTAGGATTCGCGTCCAGCTATACCGTCCCGCAAACGCAAGTAACCGCTCACCTTGCACTTCGGGCAATGTCAACGCTGCGATGTGTAAAAGAGCAGTATCCTCGACATCAACGAACCACTGCGAAGGCAGGATCGATGGCGCAGCTGGATAACCTTTTACGACTGCATCGAGCACTGCGGCGGTACTGCGATAGCCCATATTGGTAGGCGAAATTGCAATGCCGAAGTTTACGTTAGGCACGACAGTGTTGAGGCGGAAAGACGGGTTGTGTTGACCAACCCAGGTGAAGGAGGCTTGCTCCGAGAGGGCTTTGGAGGCGGCATAGAGGGTTATGCCGTGCCAGCGGGCTGAGGTTTGACTCATATTCTGGATGGTTGGAAGGGGGTTGCGGGTTTTGGTAATTGCGTCCGTGTTCCAGGTTTCTGGGTTGATGGTGTATGGMTCTCCTGTCGTGGGAAGAGCGCATGCAGCGAGGGAGGAAGTTATGACTACACTTTTCACACTTGATGTTCTTGCGGCAGCTTCCAATAACCTAAGCGTCGAGTTTACGGTATCCTGAATGATGGCATGATTCCCCGGATTCATAGACGTGTCCATAGCCATATGTGCAATCCCCTGCACACCGTCTAGCAATCCTTCAGTCGTGAATGCATCCAGAGCGTAGATGTCGGGTACCTCGACAAGTTCAAATCGGGAACCGAAATGGCTGCTCATCCAAGTATGAGATGCGAGACAGCGAACGGTACCACGCACGGAGTAGCCACGCTGTAAGAGGAGGGCAATCGTGACGCTAGCTAGGTAGCCGCTTGCGCCGGTTACGAGGATGAGGCCGCCCGGAGGGATGGAGGGCATTTTGATATGTGTATGTATACGTAGATAAACTTGTCTTTGTCTATTAGAAGTTTGGTTCTTGGAGGTGGAAGATGGGGGGTTTATGTAGCCATTGTAGTAATAACAGTACCTCTGGAGACATATTCTCGTCGTTTCTCTCGTTTACCCGTTTTGGAAATCTCCCATTATAACCCTAGCGCTAACCCTAAGAGTGCAGGCAGCCACCTATCATCAGGCTTGCGTTTTCCCGATTTGGAATACGAGGTCGCAGTCTCCACTATATATGGCTATGATCTCAATGATGATTATGAACACTAAAGTCTTATATATTCGTCACGACCTCGCAAACTTCGTTTTCATGCATCATCCAATAGACTGAAGAAATGTCCACCTTCGCCAATTCCGTTCTGGTACAGACCGGCCAAGGCTCTACCCTCCAAACCACCGGAGCCTTTGACAATCCACGCAAGAAACGTCCTCACTCTAAGAGTCGACGAGGATGCGTGGCATGTAAACGTCGGCGTGTTAAGGTATGCAGCCAGTCACTCCTAATAGACTCATTCAATGTTCTGACTTTAGTCAAGTGCGACGAGCGTTCCCCATGCTCCAGCTGCATTAAACGCAACATCCAATGCCTGCAGCCCTCTCATCTCCACATCATCGGCACAAGTCTCTCAACTGCCAATGCTCATTTGAAGATGGACACCAATCCTACAATCAGTCTTCTACATCTCGAACTATTCCATCATTGGGATACGCAGACTCGCTCGACGCTAGCGTTTACGCAGATATGGCCCGTTGTGATGCAGCGGGCTTTTCATGTACCTAACCCTACCCACCCCTACCTTAATCGATGTATTGGCTCAGGTGTTGATTTATTATAGGAAGAATTCATCATGTCCGCCATCCTCTGCGTCGCAGCTCTACATCTCGTATCTCTGCGCCCCGCCGACAGGAAATATGCACACGCATCAATGCACTTAACTGTCAAAACGGCACAACTCTTTCGCAGAAATTTGTCTCGTGCTTTTACAAAACACAACTGCGAAGCGTTGATGGGTGCCGCGCTGCTGATTAATTACATCTCCTGGTCCGATGTGGGGTTTTTGATGGATAATGATGATGATGATGATGATGATGATGCCAGCAAAAGTAAAAGGGGGTTGAGGCTTGAGCAGGACCAACTGTTTCTTATGAGTCCTGGGATTGTGAGGGTGTGGTTTGCGGCTGTGCCGGTTTTTATTGATGAGGGAAGCGTGTTTGTGCAGCTTTTGACACGGGACACCAGGGGTAGTCTTGAGAGGGCTCTGGTCGAAAGGGGAGAAAATCCGGAGCGTTTTGTAGAACCGTTTATGAACATGTGGGATGATGAGCTGTCCCAGGTGAGAGGAGCTGATGAAACGCGCGTTGATGGGCCGACGTCTTATGCATGGCGGTTTCTGCGTGGTTTGGAGAGAAATTTGCTGCCGTGTCGTGGTAACTCAGCGTATGATGGCGGGCACAATGAGCAGAACGGGATGGTGTACTTGAAAGATACAGTCACGAAATTGACGGCCCAGTCGATGTCGCTCCACGAATCATCATTGCACTCAGCCCGCGAATCTTTCAAATACATCATCCGCCGACTGTCTCCTCTTTTGTGCTGCATAGCATTGCTGGAATCAACTACTCAGACAGATCCAATCATCGATTCGTGTGCGACAGATATTGAGCAACTAGTCTATGGATTTCCCATTCTGTGCTGTGGCCCTTTTGCCGAGCTGGTGACGCGGAAAGATTCGCGGGCGCTGGTCTTTCTATTCCATTTCTACTGGGCAGTGCGTGTGCTCCTAGAGGAGAGGTGTTGGTGGGCGGCTACGAGAAGTCGTTTGATGGAGAAGGCCATTTTGAAAGAGTTGGAGGCTCGGGGAATTGATATGGAAGCGATAATGATAAGATAGCCAACGGTTTGACCGCAAAGGGTTAGTCTGTTCCAGCATTCGTATGCCGGTAAACTAAACAAGGGGTAAATTACGAATTGCGTATTGTGCACCAATCAGGGCGCTGAAACAGACCGGTTCATAGCCCAAGCGCCAGGGAACGCGCACGTCACAGTACGTGAAACAGAAACATTTCAACATGTTCCCCGCTGTGGAATAACGCGCTTTTCCATTCCAGGGATAGCGTAGTACAGGCCAATGTCGACGGAAGAAAAAAGAACACCGCCAGAACGCCTGAGGGGGCTGAATCGAGGACTCGACTACCTGCCTTGTTGCTTGACTCGACTTGATCCTCCTCGTCTGTTTTCTGTACATATCGTGCAGTCACTTTTCTTGCATTCGTCTGATTCTTTTCAAGCGGGGTGTGCAATCACGAATTTTTCTTTGTTTCATGCATTGATACATCGAGAGAACCAACCAGCTCGCTCGACATCGAATCTATCAAGAACACAAGACGACAGGAAAAGAATGCCGGCGTTACACCACCTCGACTCGTCCTGAGACCAGAACGATTAATTTATCCCTCTACCTCGTACCGGTCAACTTAACTCGTTAACATCATTACACAAACCAGGGATCTCGGCAGGTATTCGAGAAGCACGGTCAGCACAGATAATCGACTTGGCTCGGCACAATCCCTGTATATTGTGTGCTCTCGGTTGAGATCATCTGACATTTAAGTTTTCTTTTTCGCAATTTATATATATACATATAATATTTGCGACCGCGGGCATTGCTTGGATAAGTGATTTGTTGCGATACACACCACATAACGGCTCACTGCTGTACATATCACAAGATAAGGACTGACCACTATTTCCGCCGTTATCCGATTTCGAACGTGTGATACCACTATTCTTATACTGAGCACATTTTCCTTTATACATACAATGTTGCGAAGCCAATCGAGCCTAAGTCTGAGCCAGACCGACGGCGCCAGAGAAGATGGCGTCTCGCCTGCCCCCAACCTCGCAAACTCGACAATGTCCGGTCCCATGAACCTATCTGGTCTTGTGTGCAACGTGCGCAGGACAACCGGCCGTGAACCTCGAGCTCTCGTCGGTGCGACCACAACAATTCTGGGCGATAAATTATACGTGTTTGGCGGCCGCTCCGTTTCCAGATCTCATTCACACGTGCAACTCACTTCGGACTTGTACGAGCTGGACTTGGTGCGGAGACATTGGTCAAAAGTGGAGGTCTCTGGCGACATTCCTGCTCCGCGGTACTTTCATAGTGTGTGTGCGCTTGGGGATACGAAGTTGGTCTGTTATGGAGGAATGTCGCCGGCCGATTCGACATCGCAACAGCATAGTTCGGATGAGCAGACAGACGTGCAAGTCATGTCCGATATACATATATACGACGTTATTACACAGATGTGGACTCGCTTGCCTGCAAAGGATCCGCCGCTAGGTCGATATGCGCATTGTGCCACGATACTGCCTTCAAGTGCATGCTTCACATCGGCCAATGCGCCACTTTCTGCTATACACAATAACCCGTCGTCAGGCAACCCACATCAAGGCTCGATCGGACCAGATATTGACGGTTATGGCGGCGCTGAAATGATTGTTGTGGGCGGACAAGACACTTCCAACCACTACATTGAACAAATTAGTGTCTTTAATCTGCGCAGTCTAAAGTGGACGTCTACCTCCCCGCTAGGTAGGAGTTGCGGTGCTTATCGCAGCGTGGTCGCACCGTTGACTGGCATGGATGTATCAGAGCTCGGCAGCGCAACCGAAGACGGCGCCAGTAATCAGTCCGCCGATACTTCTGAGACTGGCACCTCAATGCTGATATATTCCAACTATAACTTCTTAGATGTCAAACTGGAACTCCAGGTACGACTTCCTGATGGCCGCTTATTGGAAAAGCCCATGTACGGGGAGGCGTCTCCTCCAGGATTACGATTCCCAAATGGAGGGATCATCAATAATCACTTGGTTGTTAGTGGTACATATCTTACATCATCTAAACAAGAGTACTCTCTATGGGCATTGGATTTGAGAACCCTTACCTGGTCACGCATCGACGGCGGCGGCACTGTTTTCAGCAACGGCAGCTGGAATAGGGGAGTTTTGTGGGAGCGCCGAAACACGTTTGTCATTCTCGGAAACCGGAAGCGAAGCCTGGTGGATGACTACAACCATCGTCGAATCAATTTCTCGCATTTGTGCATGGTCGAGTTGGAGGCTTTTGGTCTCTATAATAATCCCTGTCGAACGTCGCCAACCTCTGGATACACCTCCGTTAGCGCGCCCATGGTCCCGGCTTCGTTGCAGTTGAAACTTGCGCAATTGACAACCGGCGGCCGGCCGCTTTCAGCTGCGTCTGATGAGCTGGGTAAAGTTGCGTTCTCAATGCCTGAGATGGCAGACATGGAACTGCAAGCTCTAGGTGGCGAACGCATACCGGTTAGTTCTCGGATGTTGGCTAGACGATGGGGACCGTTTTTTATCCAGTTGCTACGTGAGGCATCTGATCCGGGCATTGCAGAGACGGCGACCTTGCGCGGTGCTGCCGGCGCAGGTGGACCTGGTCATCCGAGCCGCAATTCGAGTATTACAATTACACCCTCTCTAGGATCAGGTAACAGCTTCTCCAATGCTAGCACATTAGCTAGCGGTAGCAGCCACAGCTTATCATCTCCGCACTCGCGTCTTCTCGCGAACCTGGACGTTCCATCTGCGCATTCAATTGCGCCGTCTCTACGCCCACGCGTGTTGTATCTGCCGCACACGCTTCAGACCGTTCGCCTTTTGGTCTATTATCTCTACACGTCATCACTTCCTCCCGTGAATTCTCCCCTCTGTACTCCTTTGATTCTTTGCTCTATATTGCAACTGGCTCGCCCGTATCAAGTTGACGGGTTATTGGAAGCCACGGTAGAACGCCTCCATCAAGTCCTCGACGGCCGCAACGCAGCCGCTGTCTTCAATGCCGCTGCCATGGCAGCCGGCGGCGGTCGCGGTACGGGATTCATCTCTGGCATTGGCGGTACCCTTGAGGTTCTCAACGGTGTACACAACTCCCACAAGGGCTCCTCGGAAACCATCGCCTCCGACGGAGTCGGAACCGGAGCCGGACCTGGCGGCCTGCAAACGCAAAACTCATTCTCGTCTCTCTCCACCACATCCGACTCCTCAGACACCGAACTCGGTCGCCAACAACAACAGCGACACATCCGCTCCGACTCCGTCATGAGTCAAACCCAACAACGACCGCTTAGAGTGAACACGAGCATGTCTCGCTCTCGCAATAATAGCGAGAATTACTACGATGATTCGTTCAGCGATGCCAGCGCGTCGGGAGCGTCGTCCGCAACGTCGACGAGCTTCAGTCATACGGACTCGGATACGCTTGAAGATGGCGGAAGTGGTATCCGCAGTAATCGTGCCCGGCACGGACGCCGAGGCACGGATGCCGAGAGCCGCGGTGAGCGGCCGATCTGGACTGGCGATGTTAGCAGTGTGATTGGATTGCAGAAGAGAGGGCTCAAGGGGTTGATGGAGGGGAGAAGGATGAGGGAGAGAAGTGGCGGGAAGTCTGGGGTTGCTGTTGCTGTAGATCAGTAATATAGATTTTTGTTGACTTTTATATATTGAACGTTTTGTGTTTGATGAGCGTTTGTCTATACATATACCATATATTTATGCAGACATTGAACTGATTATTTATACATATCCTCCGTCCTTTTCAAACCGGTATACACCAGCTTTTCAGCCGCATCATTGACATCCAACACCGCAACATCTGCCCACCTATAATTAACCTTTCATCTTCCTTCAGATCGTAGAAAAGGGGACTCACCACCATAGGGCAAAATCTGACTCCCAATCATCCCACCCACACCACTCTCCCTATCTGCCCACCAGAACAAATTCGCAATCCCCTCCCACGACGCGCTTCCAGGTTTTCGACCTGAGTCTTTGGTTTCATGGTTAATCGCAAACGTTAATCCCCACCCTTCGGTTTGGGATTCGGTTTCGTGGGCTGCGAGGGGTCGCACCGGACCGTGTTTTGCGAGATGTGGTTTGGCGCTGAGGGAGGGTTCATTTGGATATCGTGGCATGGTGGGGATTTGGTCTTTGAACATTTCTGTTTCGCCTGTTAGGTCATAAAACAATCAACGTAGAGGATGTACGGGAATTTTACCAGCGACGGTTTCCGGCTCGAGGATCTGGGCTTTGGTTTTGGGACATGTCCCATTATTCAGTAGGACTGCAATAAGCTCTATGATAAGCGTCAGCACCCATCCTCCCTTTTGAAAAGATTGGGGAATATACTGCAGTACTCCCCAACAGTCCCAAAACACCCCGCACCACCAGAACAAAACCTCTCTTCCGGACCTTGTCTTTCCATCAATGCAAACCGATACAAATGATCTACCACGCCCAACGACCCATCCTCCGCCCTTCGATGCATATATGCCAATCTGCTCTTCATATCCCCTCCGGGAAAAAAGGAAATATCTTTGATCCCCAACGGCTCAAAGATGTTTCGTTGGAAATATTGGTGTAATGACAGACCAGTGACGCGCTCGACCAAGACACCGGCCCAGTCAATGTTTACACCGTAGTCGAATTTTTCGCCTGGTTGGTTTACGAGGGGGAGATCCAGGATGTCGGGCGTATGGCCGCTGAATTCGTCGTAGCCGATGGGGAGGGAGTAGGAGGTTAGTTGGAGGTGGGAGAAGGGGTATCCGAAGCCGGCTGTACGATATCATTTATCAGCTGTGAAGGATGTATTTACAGGTAGGAGCTGAGGGAGTACCGGTATGGTTCAACAACATCCTCAACGTGATCTTTCTCTGTTTCTCGATGAGTCTGAATCCAGACTTCAAATCACCCTCCAGAACCTTTACGCCTCTCAATTCCGGCGCTATAGTCTCGACTTGTTGCGCATCGTCTAGAGATAGTTTCCCCTGTTCGACGAGTTGCATACATGCTATACCCGTAATCATTTTTGTGCATGAGGCTAGCCAGAACACGGCATCGGGGGTCATCGGTTCGCTGTTGAAAGGCGCGAGACCGCGTGAGCCGGAGGCGTGTGTGAATAAGCTGTTGCCATTGCGGTCGATGGCGCTGTATACGAGGCCTGCGATGGAAGGTGTTGGGCTGGAGGTTGTGCTGTCGAGGAGTTGGCGGAGGGACGCTGAGATGTCTGCGGGGAAGTGCGGGGAGCTCATTTTGGCGATAGTTGGAGATTCCGATGGAGTCGCAATCTTGATTTATTTATTTATTTTTTAGAATCTCGAAAATAATTGTTTTGTAGACGAAAAAGTCACTAAAGAGAAGTACGGTGAAGGATAAATGAGGTGCAGGCATGTTGGACTGCTGTAGCAAGGGTCTCCATGTGTACAGATAGGCATGCGGGGTTGTTGGTCTTATAGATATATGGCCCCTGCTCAATATGCTGAATCATCTATGAACGTTCAATCCACCGGCTTCACAGTCTTCACCACCTTCGCAGGCTGCCCCATAGCCACACTCCAATCAGGAATATCACGACTCACCACCGCCGCCGCCGCAATCGTACACCCCTTCCCAATCCTCACGCCAGGGAGTATGATTACATGCCCTCCAATCCAACAATCATCCCCAATCACAACTGGCTTTGCATACTCAATATTATCCCTCCGACTCTGCACATCCGTCTCGTGTGTGGCGGCATATATCGACACATTCGGCCCGAACATTACCCTATCCCCGATGACCACTATTCCGCAATCGAGGATCGTCAGACCGAAGTTTGCGTAGAACCTTTCGCCGAGGGAGATGTTGCAGCCATAATCCACGGTAAAGGGGGGCTCGATGAGGATCTCGTCACCCTTTATGGAGCCTATGAGATCGCGGAGCCAGGTCATGCGTAGCTGCGCGAGGGCTTCGTGGGATTGTAGTTCGACTGCTTCCGGTGGGGGAAAGTAGGTGTTATACCGGTTGCACCAGGCGCGGGCTTTGAAGCGCGCGTTGAGTAGTTCGGGGACGAAGGAGTCGTATCTATGCAGTTGTATATGTAAGTCAGTGTGTGAGTATGTCCACGGGTTTCAGGTGTACATACAGCATGCCCGAAATCATGCGCTCGTATTGTTCGCACCAGGGTACTTGGTGTAGGGTTCTGGCGAGAGCTATCTGCTCTTCATCTTTGCTTTCTGCTGCGCCTGATGATTTGGCGCGGGCTGATGTGTCTGTCATTCTGTATTGCGAGCTTTATACCTAGGTGTATAAAAGTGTAGACACGGTGGTAGTTGAAGAAGCCAAGACATTGTTACCTAGAGGAGTCTTCGTCATATTGCTGTTCAGCACCACTTTCATCAAATGTGGTTACTAGTTAGTATGTAACCAACTCTTTATGGACTAGCTCGTTTCAGTGCCGTTTCAAAGAGAGATTTGAAAAGAATCCGAATGATTTCATGAGGGAAACTGATTTTACTATACTACAGACAGCTTGGTACATGAATTAAGGTGATCATCTGGGTGATCTGAATGTTTCCTTCTAAGATCATAATTTTCCTTGTTCCTCCAGATGCTGATGTGCACTCTTCTCATACTTTTTGCTTTCATATGCTCTTTCTTAGAGCCTAAATATAACTTCCTGGTCTGTTTGAATAAAGCGGGCTGTCATTGAGTGTCGGTGCCTGAATGGAAGCTTAATTGTGGGGGGCCGCCACGTGAGCCTGCCTGCTGGGGTCCTCATCTTCTCGCAACTCCAACCATTCCAAACTTATCACGTATCCCACCTGCACTCGTTCTTTGCACCGAATTGCGCCAATATGCGCTTACTCCCACATATCAATTGCGCCAGTCCCAGAACACGAAGCTGGGATTAGTGTAAGGCTAGTCCAACGAGCCTACAAAGATGAGCTGACCAATATGGTAATAAGCTTCAAATTGTCATTGATCTGTTCGAGTCATCTGAACCGAAGATTTACTGCTGCTGCTGGCTGGACGGCAAGGTCTCCTTTGATCAGCCGACGGAGTACAATGGATGCCTGGAGCTGATTTAAAACCAGACTTGTGAGACATCAAAGACTTCACAGGCTTCAAAGGCTTCACAGGCTTCAAAGACTTCACAGGCTTCAAAGGCTTCACAGGCTTCAAAGGCTTCACAGGCTTCAAAGACTTCACAGGCTTCAAAGACTTCACAGACATCGAGTCTCATATCTGTTCTCTGTGCTCACAGGCACTGGATATTGAACACGTATAAAACCCCGAGTGTGAGCCCATATTCTGCTGCCTTTGACTGCTGACTTTGATTAAAATTCGCAACATAACCATCAGATCACACACTACACCTAGGTATGTCAGAATATTTTTGTCCATTATCTCATTGCACTGTTTCAAGAATATCAGCTGGAGGTGCTTCTGGTTTTGCTTTATCCTTCAACATTCCTTCAGCATCAAAGCTAAATTGATATGTGGGGAGTGCTTCATTGTTCTATTCTACCTTACCACAAGCATATATAAGGATGCTGGGATTCTACAGTTGCCCTAGCTCTACTTGGTAATCCAAGGTTTATGCTCTGCCCCTACGATTTCAACAAAATGGCGCAAACAGTTATTTCCACGGAGACAAGTGCTGACTCCACATGCAGATTTATAAAAGTTGAATCAACCATGCCTCGTCAAGCCACAATCACCCCTGAAGATGTCGACATTCGTTGGCCCTTTCGTGCAGGGTATCCACGCCTCCCTCGGCCACCCGTGTGGACTTTCTTCATCCTCAACGAGGCTGAGAACCCGATTTCCACCGCCAACTTTGAGCTATTGAGATCTCGTATCGATGCCATACTGGAAGCTTATGATATTCCTCGTGGACGCAATTCTCATGAACTGGTATATCGACGAAGCCGCGCCTCTATGCTCCCTCGCGTTATTGTCGACTGTACGTATGATAAGGAGGCTAGTCATAGCGCGATGTGGAAGAGGGCCGTAACTGAGATTTACGCGGCAACCCAGTCTATGATTGAAGGAGATATTGAGGTTGGTGTGGAGCTTCTTGACAGAAACTACATGCATACTATTCATATATGTGCACCCCCGCCTTCTGAGAGTCAAGAGCTGTCATTGAATTGGGAGCGTGGATACAACTACTGTGAACAAATTCTTCAATTGTTCGAGAGTCCTTCTCAGATGATGCAGGCTATGTTACCTACGGGTCGGTGCTCAGCCGGTGAAAGGGAGTACGAATGGACAACTGTCATCTACTTCTCCGCATTGAACGCAGAGGATAGAGCTTGGGATCACATCGAAGAGAGGACCCGCTCAATACTCCCAAGTCACATCGGCATTGAAATTCGCCAGTGTACACGCCAATTTTTCTGCAATGATGATGGTAAAAGCAACTCTGCAACCAGTATTGCCGATATGTGTATGCGACCCCCTAGGCCAGGTTGTGAGATCGGTCGCCGGAGTGACAAGGAGGCGGGCACTATGGGCGGATACATTGTGACAGAGGCCCTCGATACCAAGGAAAAAACCACATACGGCGTTACAAATGCGCATGTGGCGCTCGGCAGTAAGACTCCATCTGTGACCATCCGAATGGCATTGTTCACTGACACTAGAATAATAGGCTATGAAGAGTGTACTTTCAAGGATCCAGCGGGTTCAGAAATTGTTATGCAATCACCGGCCGAAAAATTTCTCGAAACGAAGAAGTCCGAGTTGTATACGATAATTTCACGACTTGAAAAAAAGGTACGGAAAAAAAAGGATATTGTTGAGGCGTTAAAGGCGGAACATCCTATCAAAGATCCATTCCTGGTTGAGCGACTGGAAAGAAGTCTGAGAAACGACGAGCTGGACCTTGCGTCTTTAAAAAGTGACCTTCACTTTATCGAGCAAGATCCATCTATCGGCTCGGTACACCATGCAARACTTGGTGTCAGAAACATCAACTCCACAGCCTCACCAAACAAAGCCATTGTTGATATAGCGTTGGTGAAAATAAGTTGTTTGGCTGGCAAGTCCCCTGAAGAAATTTTTCTCAAGACGAACAGCGGTAATCCTTGGATTCTCCCGAGGAAAACATGTAACTTCTGGGAGGTCGATTCACTTGGGGAACAGAGTAATCCCGTAAAACATATTAATGTGGTTGCAAAAATCTCCAGGTCAGGCACCTACAGCATGGGCATCGTGGGTGGGTTCAAAGCACGCATTTTTCGAGAATTGCAAAGGAACGGAGTCAAAGTAGAGGAGAACCTTTCTGCGTGGACTATTCTCGGCCCTCGTGGTTACACGAAGACTCTTGAATCGCGTCGTTCCTTGTTATCCGAACCAGATGAGTCTGTGAACCCTTTTACAAGCCCAGGGGATTCTGGTTCGTTTATCATGGCGGCAGCAGATTGGAAGTGTGGCGACTATGATAATCGAGTCGCAATGCCGTCTGAGAAGGTTCAATTGTTTGGTGATGGTGATGTTCGCGAGCCATTTCTTGTCGGTCTGCTATTTGCAACAGACATTGAGGACGATATAACTTATTTCATGTCCTTCGATTTGGTCAAGTCTGAAATTGAGGCAATGAATGGTGAAAAGATGGTATGGCCTCAAAACCGAACGGAATACCTAGAGAAGTTGGGGATAATAGCGTCAAATAGTGGTTTGTTATAAGAGAGTGTGAAGGGTTCTTACCTGGGAATTGCCCAGTGATTGAGAAATGCGTTCTGTAAGAACGCCGTTATATTATAAACCATTAACACCTCACTATAACCAAAAACATGACAACCTGTTGTTATATATATTGTGCCAATCCGGTGCGAACCTGCGCATCACATCCATAGCGTCTTTTTATAGGTTGTATAACCTTGGGCTATATTTAACAGAATAATTATTTCATAGGAATCAATTATACAACGAAAGTAAGGCAGGTCCGGGCCAAGAAAGTGCTGAAGATCTCCCAGTCTTTCAAACTACCATTTTGAGTGTAAAGTCCTGTGGATACAGGTGCCCATCAGCAGTCAGATAGATCGCTATCACAAATGAATCTTTTGGTCAATCTACATGACGGAGATTTCCTTTCTGCTGCAGGTGTACCTGGTTTTTGAGCGTACCTAGGTATTTATCGTGAATGGTAGATCTTCGTACCTCAATGCAGAAGTGTAATTATTACCCAGGTAGCCTTTGAATCCAGATCAGTGCAGGAGACTGTCAAAGCACATATCACTCATCTCATTTTGGATATAACGTGACTATCTCCAGCTTGTGTGTTTGAAGCTGATAGATGCATGTCTGTGGTGGTTTATGACTAGTTTGTCAATAGGAAAAAGCATTGGAAACTATCCGATTAGACAACTATATCACCAGCCAGACTGAGCGCTACAGGGAAATTGGAGCTAATCACTATTTTGGATTTTTACTTAGGCAATTGACCATAGAAATGGTGACATGAATCAATCTGTCCGGCCAAGATTCAGTCTCGGAGCAAACGCCGATCCGGCTCACCATTTAACCGTATACATTGCGGGGGAAATCTATCGACTTATCTTTTCTTCTCTCCAACATTCATCTTCGATAAATACATGATAGCCACTATGGCCTCAACGATGTGAGTGTTTAATATCTTATAAAGGAGCAGGCCGGATGTTGACGAAGATAGTGACTTCGTCTTGGTGACTGGGTCCACCGGCTTCATTGGTGCCCATGTCGTTGATACACTGTTGGCACGAGGCCTCAGAGTACGAGGCGCAACTCGTTCGCTCGCCAAAGGAGATGAGATGATTCAAGCCCGACCGCAATACGCGGACAAATTGGAATTTGTGCAGATTCAAGATTTTGAGAATCCCGGAGGCTTGACCGAGGCTGTCAAAGGGGTTGACGCGGTTATTCATGTTGCTAGCGTACGTCAGGGTCGCTGTTGATGATCAAAGTTTTATAGAGAAGGATTTCTGAGCTGAATTGTATAGCCATTTAACTATGACATTACAGACAACGAAAAAGAGCTCATCATCCCAGCAATCAACGGCGTGCGCTCCATGCTCGAAGCAGCCTCCAACGCTCCTAGCATTCAGCGGGTAGTCGTCACTTCTTCATTCGCAGCTGTAGTAGACATCAACCGCACAGGACCCCCCGGTTTCACCTATACAGCAGCAGACTGGAATCCTCTGACCTACGAAGAAGCTGCAGATCCCCAATCGACACCCGTCGTCGCTTATCGTGGCTCTAAGAAATATGCCGAGCTAGCGGCTTGGGACTTTATCAAAGAGAAGAAACCGCATTTTGATATCGTCACTTTGTGTCCTCCCATGGTCTTTGGTCCTATAGTCCATCCGATCAAAAGTCTAGACCATCTCAATGAGTCGAACGCTGCTTTATGGAAGATTACGCGAGGCTCTAGTCCGCTACCTACAGCCCGTGTCCCCTTCTGGATTGACGTTCGAGATTTAGCGATCGCCCATGTCGAAGCTGCTCTTCGAAAGGAGGCCGGAGGCAAGAGATATACACCTGCCTCACCGGGACGATGGTCCTATGCCCTCGCAGCCCAGCACATGGTCTCCGAATTCCCACAATTGCGAGATTCGGTAAAATTGGAGGAACAGGTTATTGATGAAACACTCAATTTGGATGGTGAGACTGCTGCAAGTGAGCTTGGTTATCAGTGCCGCAAGTTTGAGGAGACGATTCGCGATTTTACGGCGCAGTGCTTGGCTAGGAAAGAGAAAGAAGCTGCCTAGGATATAATCATTTGTCTCTTTATAAAGTTTCGTGTATGTAAATAGCAGAGCGTCAGAAGTTAAGTTATAGACCTATAAAACACAGTCCCGAATGTACTACATGTAATAGCTCCAGCTTATTATGTTAGTAATTGTCTAATATTACCACATTGTCGAGAACTTCTCTCTCGCTCTATAAATTTCTTGTTGCTAAATGTATCTCAGCATATTAGATCATCTGATGTGCCTTCTGCTTTTAGAGCTAGCTGGTCCAGTCCCAACATTTCACTTGCCATGCACCTGACTAGGGATGACCAACTGCCTAGTTGTCGGGGAAGGTCTCTCCGAACGTTCTCAAAAGGAGGAAATCAAGTCCGAGCAGCGCTAAAACCCCGCTAAATTATGAAATTATCATAAGATAACAATACGTAGTATAGATCATTCACCGCCCTTCTATCTCTTGACCGCCCAAGTACTACTTATCTGTATCTTCCGAGGGAATGCTAAGTGTTCTATGTTTCCTGGCACGGGGTGGCATGCTTGTTGTTGAGTTATATAGAGATAACGCTATGGTAGATGAAAGTACACTACAATTCCCCCCAAAAAAGAAACCTGCAAGATCTTGGGCTGTATGGCGGATTACGAACGAATAATCAATTAGGCTATGCAAAGCTATTCAATCTTCGATGAAATCCAAGTCTTGCAATTGTCAGGCGCGTGGTGAAATCGATCGCTCATACGCTATTCGGATATCCTTACCTCAGTTTACGATTGGCAGTAGGTAGTGCAAAAATTCCGAATTGGATGGGGTGGACGAAGGAATACCATGTTTTCTTGATATCTCGTCAGATTAGTTACGGCCATGTGATCCTGTATTTGAAGGAGCTTACTGTAAGATAAAAGTAGAACTTTTCCGAAACATAGTGAGTACTTGTTTACAATGTCAGACACGCTCATTAAACTAAGTCGCAAGAATCAAATTGAAGGAAGATCATCCTGTCTCATCCCACCTCCAAAGGAAGTAAAATCTGGGTGTTGTAAGCATGACAGTGAGCCACTCTAGTGTATATATTGAGAGTTAAAACACAATGCTAGATCCAGTAGCATCAACAAATGCATAATCCATCATGCGTCAATCAAACAAAGACCTTCTTGTAGGCTGCTTGGCTGTTGGGACGATGTGTGCCTTCAAAGTGTTTATCACTTGTTCTACATGATATCTTAGTTCTCTTTTATTACCTTTCTTCACTTCGGTGGCATACTTCATCTGCCGTAGTAACTCGGGGCTTTTTGCCGGCAGAATGCTTCTAGTCGTTATATTACCATTAGGTAAAACCTACAGATCTTAGTGGTACAGATCGTATGAACTCGAGCCTATCTTAATGTAGGCCAATGTTACCAGTCCGCCGTAGTCGGCACGATTGTGCAAGAGCTGTTACTCTATCTATATAAGTAGAAGCGCTCTCCGGGACATAACTACAAAGAGTTCTAACCTTGAGTACTTCCACAATACCAGTTCACTTACTAGCACTTTAATAATGGCTGACGAGTCAACGCGACATGTGAGGGCCATGTCTCTAATACCTTTGGATCTTGCACATCATTTCTCCAGAGCTTCGAAGAAGAGAATTCCAAATGTTCTAAAAGAATACTACAGGTTTCTGCGAAACCCTGAAATGGCTAATTTTGCTGGTGGTATGCCTTGATCAGCATATAATCAATTCTTGATTGATGTGATTCAGAATTAACGAACAAGTCGCATAGGTTTGCCATACACGGGAAATTTTCCTTTCGATGCCTTGGAAATCCACCTTGTCGCGCCACAGAGCCTAAATACCCTCAATGGCCAAAGTCGCGACATGAACTCGGAAGGAAGTAGGATCTCACGGATGCGAATCCTTCGGAGTTCAGTCGGCGAGAAGTCTCAACGCATCATTGATCTGGACACATCTCTTCAATACGGTAGCTCGCAGGGATACCCACCTCTCTATGCATGGCTTAAGAAACTGGTCAATACGGTCTACCATCCGAATATACCGTACAAGGGTGGAGCCGATGTCATGATTTGTGGCGGATCGGCAGACGGATTGTCTAAGGTCTATGAACTTCTTTTCAACCACTGGGACGAAGATGTGAACGATATTCGGGACCGCGAGGGGTTGCTCGTAGAAGAGTTTGTATACGCTCCACCAATCGCGCAGTTGAGACCCAGAGATGTCAATATTGTACCCATTAAAATGGACATGGAGGGCATGCTTGCATATGGATCAGGTGGTCTTCTTGACGTCCTTGACAACTGGGATCTCTCGAAGGGAAAGAGACCTCATGCCATTTACCTCATTCCGTGAGTTAAGAAGGTACACTTCATCTAGAGCACAGCTGACAATGTCAGTACGGGTCAAAATCCTACGTCAGGCGTACTGTCGTTTCCTAGGCGCAGAGACATATATGATATCTGCTCACGATTTGATGTCATAATTATCGAAGACGATCCTTATTGGACTCTTTACTACGCCTCAGCGAACTCAAACTCGATCAAGCATCGAGGTACTCCTCTCTCAGCAAACTTCCCCGTTGATATTCATCATAATTACATTATACAGTCACTCAACGGCCAATCCACCGGACATCGTTTTCTCGACGGTCTAGTTCCAAGTTTCCTTAGCATTGATTTGGATGGACGTGTCATCCGATTGGATTCATTCTCAAAGACAATTGCACCAGGTCTTCGTTTGGGGTGGATCACTGCTCAGCCAAGAATATGTGAGCAGCTTTTCAGAATCACGGATGGAACCACCCAGCAGCCCTCTGGATTCGCTCAAGCTATTGTTGCGAAAATAATAGGCGACTTTGGCAAGAATGCCACTGATGTCAATTCAACAGCCAGTCATGACAAATTGTCCAATGGCTGGGGGTTAGAAGGGTGGGTTGATTGGCTTGAGAATCTCCGCTCAACTTATGAACGTCGAATGATCACAATGGCAGCGTCGCTTGAAAAGAACAGATTCCTGACATCCGAGACAGGGCAAGTCGAGATGTTCACCTTTAATTGGCCATTAGGAGGCATGTTCATTTGGGTCCGGGTTAAGATCCTCAACCATCCTCTGAGTTCATCGATTGACCCAAGGCGACTGATGCTGGCATTGTGGAATTTTTGTACTCAGCAGCCTTACAGGATTCTAGCTGTTCCCGGTGGCGATTTCGCCGCTAATGATGCCGTCAGAAACGCAGAAGGATACCAGTTTCTTCGTTTTTGCTTTGCCGCTGTTGAAGAAAGTACTCTGGCAGCCAAGTCTGAATTATTTGCGGACGCGTGTGCACAATTTTGGAACATGAAGGATGCCAGAAGGATTGATGATATTCTCCAGGAAGAAGATCTGCTTGCATCGGCGAACCAAACGGCAGAAGAGACCGCAGTCCTTGATAGAGAGGTTATAGAGGATTGGTAAGAGAAGGTTATGTCAAGTATAAATTGATAGACAGAGAGTCGAGTAATTCGAGAAATTGTCGAATGTTTACGTATCGGGCGTTATAGAGTTAGGGCTATGCCTAATATCTGAGTCATTATAGCTTATCTTATCCCACTTAACTAGTACAAGAATCATCCCCCACCATGATTCTTCATGGCTTTCAGCTCACACTAATCAACATTGATATGTGTTTGAGCTATCAGGCCGGGAGAAGAAAGTCAGATAACGAAAATTACTAAGTGGATAGTCGAAGCAGCAGAACGCATACTTTTGAATTGATGCCAAAAGACCATAAGTCGTTCTCGCCGTCCATAATCGGAGGACGACCTGGTTTCATACAATATGCGTGCTAAAGGTACGCGACAGACATCCTTTAGAGGGTATGCCTTACTGAATTTGACTTGTACATAGATGCTATTACGCATGATGTCTTCCATATGCTAACTCTGCGGTATTTCACCGAAGGTGCTGGACTTGCAAGACACGAAAAGTTCGATGTGATGAGCGGCCATTTCCTTGCGGCAATTGCGAGAAGAGGGGAATTACCTGCGGTGGCTACGATATTAGATTACAATGGATCTATATCGCCGACCCTTTTTCCTCAAGTAGTGGAAGTGAGCCTCTTCATCAGGGGCGCAGGAAGATTGCACTTGGTAAGTAATCAAAGAGAAGAGGGTAGAACTAGCGATCGCATTCATGGACTAACTCATTACAATTTTGCTATCTATAGCCCAAGGTTATCGCTATTGCCTAGATGAGGTTGATGAATTCCTCTCTGAGATTGACGGCGATGTCGATCATGGAGTCTGCCTGGGACGCGGTCCGTTTTCTGTGTTTCCTGCTGCAGAGCGTCTGTTCTGCTCGAGCCAGTTGTCTGATAATGAGACTGTCAACAATGAAGTATTGACAGTGATTCAAACCTCCGACACATCTTCTGAGGAGACTAGTAATGATATAGAAGCTGAACCGCAAACTTCAACTACGCTCCGTTCAGCTGAGATTACTACTCAGGGAACACCAATGCACGACAATAGGCATGCCAATGTCCATATCTCAGACTACTCTTCAAGACTCCCTGGGGAAGCTGTGACAATTGATTCTTCCATAGGTACTACTAGTGTTGCAAACTTTCGAAGCCCATCTTCAGCACTGGAGTCTGATTTGATCCTGAAGCCTACCACGCCCAAAACACAGCAAAAGAGATCCAGCTCAATCAACGAACTCTATACTTCAATCTTTGGTTCCAAGACTGTCGACCAATTGCTATCTCACTACATGCTAAATATCGCTGACTTGCTTTTACCTATCCTCCATGAAAACAACCCTTGGCGAAACTTATACATGCCTGCAATCTTCGACGCAGCCGCTAGCCATTACTTTGCTCCGGACCAAGCGCAGGGAAAGGCAAATTCGGCATTATATTACGCGGCATTATCAACAGCTTCATTCCACATTTGGTATGGCCAGAGAGACAAAAGCGACTTTCTCAGAATAGGTACATTTTACCGATGCAAAGCTATGCGCTCATTACAGCTTGCTGTTAGCTCAAAAACTTCGGGCACGAAACAAAGGGATCTTTTGATGGCCATGCTATCACTAGTGACTAATGGGGTATGATCTAATCGTATGAAAAGCCGAAATTCATTTTGCTAAGTTCATCGATAGGTGCTATCTGGAGACTGTGATGATTTCCATATACACCTCAAAGCGGCGACACGCTTAAAACGCTCGCGCAAAGGCTGGAAGCTGGTTAGCCACTCGACTCGCCAGCTAAATGAGATCAGCGCATTTATAAGCCTTATTGCACGCACAATGTCTTTTCAGGCAACCCCGTCACCATCTCTAGAACACCAATCTTTTTCTGATAGTGGTAACGAGCAGCAAATAGGACCAGAGATGTTTGAGGCCGAGCTCGGTTGCTGTGAATATATGTACGGTATCACTCGATCTACCGCTGCTATGATTCATGAGACATGCGTTCTTGCCGAAAAAATATCACAATTTGGGGGGCTGCATCGCCATGATGACAAGCTATTGAACACATGTCTACCAGCTGACCTTCTTGAGCAATGTGAGTCTCTCGGGGAGCGACTGATTTCATGGAAATTGCTTCCTGATGATGTGCTATCAATCTCACTCAATGTCAACGATCACGGCAACGACAGTTCACTCATGACGGCTGCATTTACCCACCATGCGCAAGCCTGGCACCAAGCCTCGCTGATTTATTACTATCGACGTATCCAAAGACTTGATTCGGTCGAAATGACGGAAGAAGTCGACCTAATAATTGACCACATGTATGCTTTCGAGACCGCAAAATCACAAAGACGATTTCCTTCTGATGATTGTGCCCCCGCTTCTCATTATGCTACAGCTACCAACTCTATTTGTATGGCGCCAATCACATGGCCGATGTTCATTGCGTCGTGCGAGGCGCTTCCACATCAACGAGCGAAAATTAGAACGTGGTGGGTGGAGGCCGAGGGCTATCAGCTTGCCAACATCACAAGACAGTGGCTGGTAATACAGCAGATTTGGGCAATGCAAGACAGGAATCGAGAAGAAGACATGAAAATAGCTAGTTGGATGGATATATTTCCGGGTTTGGGAATTAGTCTTTTACCATTATAAGTAGAAGTTGCAGTATAGAGGCTTTAGCGAACGCCCACCTCGGCAACTACGGTACCACGATAATATGTGTTAGCAAGCACCCTATTCAATAGCTTCCGAAAGCTCACTACCTATTTAATAAAATAAAAATTTGGACGAGGGGAAAGTTCAAAGAGACTCTGCTTTAGCGTATAGTTTACAAAGCTCTACATGCGATGCAATATGTACGCTTTATTGTCTACTGAATGATGGTGATGTGATGATTCGGATACGGGGAAAGTGTCAACACATATTTCATTGCACTGTAGCTAGCAGAAAGAATGACTCCATAATACTATGAGCTGTTCAATACAACAAAATGATACAGTTGGATGATCGATGTACAAGTCTTGCCGGAATACATGATAATTGAAACTAGCATAAGCATATCAAATTTGCGGGGAAGGTCTTCGATTCCCCCCGCTCATTTCAGGCTTTTACAGGGAATTATTCCTCTGTCAATATTATATATCGCAATCTAAGGCTGGTAGTTTACTCTATCGAGTCTATAAGCCTTACTCTCAAGTAAACGACTCGATCTGTTTTTCCCTTCCCATTGCGAGAGCGATTGACAATAACTTTAGCTCAAAGTCCGCAGGTGGATGATCGTATATGTACAGTGCCCAAGTCAGCTGCAACGTTCCTGAAGACGAAATCATTATCGGTAAGTGGAAAGTCAGCCATGAAACGCCTAGCCTAATTCATCATGAGGACTTGCTTTGCGATGCAAGTATTTATACCCTTGACGCTGGGGGTGATATCATCACAGTGCCCCTACAGCACACTCCACTACGAAGCATCCACGTTCTTATCAGGATGCTTTTCAGACTCAATCAGTAACCGAACTCTGGGCGGACGCGAATTTCTTTTGGCTGACTTTAACACACCGCAACTGTGCTCGGATATTTGCGGTTATCTTGGGTACAGTTACAGCGGCGTCGAATACTCGACGTAAGTATTGTTGCTTTTGCCATGCAACCGGGTTTCATAACGACCGCTGATATTGAGATTGGTTCTAGTCATTGTTTCTGTGGGAATGCCATTTCTAGCAACTCCGCTAAAGTAGCTTCTGCTTCATGTCACTATGACTGTGGTGGTAAATCTACTGAAATGTGCGGGGGATACGATGCGTACGCTGATTTCAAGCAAAACGGACAAGACCAGAAGCTAGTGGCTAATTATCGAATATCTAGAATCAATATTTATGAGATATCCAATCCCAATCCTCCCACAGGCTATCTACCAGCTTGCAGCCTCCCTCCTCTCTGCACTCAACAAATTTGCAACACTTCACTCTCAACAGCCGACAGAATCGCAAGCTTGATCTCCGACATGACCGTAACCGACAAAGCCGCAAATCTAATTAGTCCCGCCAAAGGACTCCCAAGCATAGGCCTACCATCATACCAATGGTGGAGTGAGGGTCTGCACGGCATCGCCAACAGCCCTGGTGTCACGTTTCAAACCCCTAATGGCTCCGATTTCAGCTACGCAACCAGCTTTCCCATGCCAATTCTCATGGCCGCGGCTTTCGATGATGATCTGATTTCGAAAGTAGCTGCCGTAATCGGCAAGGAGGCTAGGGCGTTCGCTAATGCTGGTATGGCCGGATTCGATTTTTGGACGCCAAATATCAATGGGTTTCTGGATCCTCGGTGGGGAAGAGGATTAGAAACGCCCGGTGAAGATATTTTTCGTATACAGAATTATGTGAAACGTCTGGTTCCCGGTTTGCAGGGAGTGAATGACAGGGACAGTGTGAGGCAGGTGATTGCCACTTGCAAGCACTATGCTGTCTTCGATGTCGAGACGGATCGGTTTCGTAAGAACTACGACGTAACACAACAGGATTTGGGGGACTACTATCTCCCCGCTTTCAAGACCTGTGTCCGAGATGCGTTTGCGACGAGTATCATGTGCTCATACAATGCTGTCGATGGTGTTCCAACGTGTGCGAGTGAATATTTACTCCAGACGCTTCTGAAAGACACATGGAACTTCACAGCGGATAACAATTACGTCGTCTCCGATTGCGACGCTGTCGAAAATATCTATGATGCCCATCATTTCACCTCCAGTATAGAGGGCGCAGCGGCAGTTGCTCTTAACGCTGGAACCGACCTGAACTGCAACGGCGCTTATAAGAACCTTGTTGAATCCGTGGCCGAGAATATGACGACGGAGGCTACACTGGACCGGTCTTTAACTCGTCTCTATCACGCTTTGTTTAGCGTGGGATATTTCGATGGTGCTCCGGCATGGGACGGTCTGTCCTGGGCCGATGTCAGCACTGCTAGTGCCCAGGATCTTGCGTATCAAGCTGCTGTTGAGGGCATGACGCTTTTGAAAAATGTTGACGGAGCAGCGCTTCCACTGGATGTGGCGACATTTTCGTCAGTTGCACTAATCGGGCCGTGGGCAAATGCTACCACGCAGATGCAGGGAAATTATTATGGTGTGGCTCCATATCTGATCAGCCCTTTGCAGGCTTTTGAGAATAGGTTCAAAAGTGTATTGTATGCGCAAGGAACATCAATATCTGGATCGAATGATACGGGCTTCTCGGCAGCGATCAAAGCGGGACAGTCCTCAGATATTATCGTCTACATGGGAGGCATCGACACGACAGTAGAAGAAGAAGGAATGGATCGGACATCAATAAAATGGCCTGGGAACCAGCTTGACTTGATTTCGCAACTAAGTTCGCTCGGAAAGCCTCTAATTGTTGTCCAATTTGGAGGAGGCCAAGTTGATGATACAGCTCTACTACAAAACCCCAACGTTAGCGCTATCATTTGGGCCGGATATCCCGGTCAAAACGGTGGAAATGCCCTATTAGATGTTTTGTCAGGCGCGAAATCGGTTGCTGGCAGACTACCTGTGACTCAATATCCAGCTGATTATACAAGCCAAACCAGCATCTTCAATCCTGCCCTGAGACCGAACGACACATTCCCTGGTCGCACTTACACATGGTACAGTGGGGAAGCGGTGATTCCCTTTGGCTACGGACTACATTACACTAATTTTACATTTACCTGGAAGTCAACGCCGAAGTCAACATATAGTATACAAGCTTTGATAGAACAGCAATCTAATCAAGGTGGATATCTCGAGAATGCAGATTTCGCAAATTTGTCAATCGCTGTCAAAAATATCGGGGGACACGCAAACATGGCATCAGACTACGTCGCTCTCTTGTTTCTCTCATCATCTGATAATGCCGGCCCATCCCCAATTCCCAAAAAGTCTCTCATCTCTTATACTCGTGCCAGCGCTATTCTAGTCAACCAGGAGCAGGAGCTCCATTTGCCAATCACGCTAGGTTCACTTGCCCGAGCCGATGAGAACGGCAGCCTCACTATATATCCTGGCGAGTACATTGTAACTCTCGACACTGACGCGCGATTGACTGCCACCTTCCGATTGACTGGCAAAGCTGCCATTATCGAAGTGCTTCCTCCCCAGGCGGCAGAGTATAACTATACCATACCAGTATATCGACAAGCCTGATTAGCCTCTCTCATCACACAGATCATGTGAAGGGAATAGGCTTAAACCGGTTGGACTGGATGCAAGTAAGAGATAACAGACACGCTACCTAGCTGCGTTCCATAACAAAACAAACTTAAACTCCTTAATATAAAGAGTCTCCGGATTCCAAGTTTCGAATATGTACCGTATATACCCTAATAATACTGTCATGGAGCTTCATTGGCGAACACTTTATTCAGCCCATATCACAACGAAAACCCCAGGAAGCCGACTAGGGCCGACAATAGTAGCGCCGTATCAGGGATATGGCTTTTGAGATGTTCTCGAATGTATGGCACGGATACCACAGCTTTGCCGCCTGTGTTCCATTGTAGGATAAGGACCGAATCAGTCTGTCTCGGATCGCCATCGTCCACTTGTTTCATCCATGCTCTATTACAAGAGACTATCGAGCCCGATCATTTCTCCACAATATCCTTCCCTTCAGAAAGACTCCGTAACATCTCCTTCAATTGTTTTATTGGGGCAGGCTTGGTTAGAAACAAGTCCACCCCGCTCGCCAGCGCCTCATGCTGTGTATTCGCTGACAAGACAGCGGTCAAGGCAATTATTGTTGTTCGCGGTCTCTTGCTGCGTCGCTCGAATTGACGTATCTCGCGTGTTGCGCTGAGGCCGTCCATGACCGGCATGGATACGTCCATTATCACCGCATCGAATCTTTCTTTTTTGAACTTTTCCAGTGCTGCGAGTCCGTTGTCTGCGGTCTCATAAGCAAAGCCTGTCGCTTTCACGCACATTTCGATGACTTTGAGATTGACCTGGTTATCTTCCACTAGTAAGATCTTTCGTGCTCCTGTGTTGTTTTCTGTTTCATTTTCTGTAGAATTCACTTCTGTTTCTGCGGATCCGTTCTCAATTTCCTCTTCTTGAATTGAACCATTCTCTATAGTCGGGGAAGGTGAAGAAATAGTTTTTGGTCCGGATTTCTCGACCCGTGCGGGAGCACTCAGACAATGTCTGAACACCGTTGCTAGTGTTTTGGGACTCACCCTAGTTTCAATGTTAGTTGCATTTTGTCATGTTACAGAAGCAAACAACCTACGGCTGTGTAAGGAAGATGACTGAATCTTCTATAGTCTCGTTGGTTGCCTTCCAATTACTTATCCGCTCACTGAGCACGATTAGCGGGTAAAATGGCCGAACCTCTCCTGAGTCCTTCTCTTTCGGATCCCCTGAACGCTGGTCGTAGTATGTGCGATATTCGTGCTCCGTAACAATAGCAAAGTCTACATTTTCATGACCATCGTGTTGATCGGGAGTCACAACCTGTAGACCAAACCAGCTGGTCGCCATGCGCCCAAGGCTTGTCAACATGCTATCGAATAGATTTTGGTCTATATCCGTGTTTCCAAACTTTGAGCTTCGTGTGAATAAGGAGATCGTCTTGCCTTCCAATTCTTTCTTCAAAGAATCATTATTGTTAGCTTCGGGAGGCACTGAATGCTCTGGTGGGTCGATGGGCAGAACAATATCGACATCCGTTCCCTTACCAGGCTCACTGGCGATTTCGATTGTCCCATTCAAAGATTTCACAATCTGGTGTACCAAATGTAGTCCCACTCCGAGCCCAGGAGCTGTCGCATCTTCCTGATGAAAAGCTGTGTACAGATGATTCAATATAAAGTCCTTGGATATGCCACGGCCAGAATCGCTAAAGGTCATCCTTATTGCCGGGATAGGTTTCTGTCCATCCACTCTCATTTCGTCTTTCTTCATAAGTAGACGTATATAGCCGGATTGAGTATATTTGAGTGCATTCCCAAACAGGTTCATGACGACCCGCCTCCAGGCACCGGCATATATGCTGTGGCGCCAACTCTCAAGCCACTCAATGTCTACAATCGTCATCAGCTGTCGATTTGTATCAGAATCTTGATCACTTGTTTGATTTCGTTCAAAAGCGCCCCCTTTGGCCTCCCGGCGTTGATACTCAATGCCGGCAAGGATGCCTTCCACGACTTCCTGCACTAACACGTCCAGGTTCTCATCTTGTTTCAAGCCAGACGTAGCAGGCTGAAGCTCCAATAGACCTTTTTGGCTGGAGCTTTCTGATGTAGGATGTTGTCGCGTGAGAGTTTTGATCTTAGCGTAGTCGAGGAGATGGTTCAGGGTATCTAAAAGAGTTCGACCGCAGCTGTACACTGTTTCCACGAGCGATCGTTGAGCATAACCACTCACGATATCCTGTAGAAGCTCCACAGAACCGAGGAGGCCGTGAAGCGGCGACCGTAATTCGTGGGAGATGGACGAAATAAAGTCTCCTTTCGCACGAACTGTAGCTTCAAGGTCCAGCCTCGACACCTCTGCCATAACAGTATTGCTAAAGGCAGCCAAATATGTCAGATCCTTTGGCTCCGACAGCACCCTGCCTGGGTCATTCGTCCACACAAGGTTGACGGTGAAATATCGACCACGTTGAAAGTCGTAGATTGGGTAAATTGCGATGCATCGCGCATCTGGAAGGACCTCCATGAGCTGCTTGATGTCCATAGTCTCCTGCTTGACATTGATTTCGTCCGTTTTGCTGGTTGGTAGCTCCCGACAGCCTGTCACGGAGTAATTCAATTCATCCGACGCGCCCTCATAACTCAAGGAGATAGAGCCATCCGGCTCGATGTGAAAAATTTTTCCATGAGGGTACTGATCAATTAGATGGCTGATGAACGATCCGTCCAGAGAAACATAGTGGCTGTCTTTAAGGTTAACGCCCCCTTTTGATGTTGAAGAGGTGTAGTGACCGAGGACGAGACTCCGACTTTCACCATTGTCGTCCGATGAGCCGAAATCAGGATTTGTCGCCTGCGGAATGTGCTCTTCGCTGCTGCCTTTGCGGTCTGCAGTTTCAGCATTGTATGCGTCTCGCTTGTAGTCAAGTTTGTTAGATCCCACTGTCTGACGACGAGTGTAGACGCTAGCATCAACAAACATGACGCCCTCTAGATCCAAAGCTTGGTAGATCATTGCAGCAGCGCGATTGACAACAGACTGAACATGCGACGGAGCTAATGACTCTTTCAACTGACTGGTGGTTGGAGAGAGTGCTGGTCGTCGTTTACTTTCCTGAGCCTCTGGGCCGTCCTCGAGATTTGGTGACGCACCTTTTGATTCTTTTCCTTCTTCGGCAAATTTCCGAATTGGCGACTCGACCTTGTTCTTTCCATCCCTCGACTGCTTCTGTTCTTGCGTTTCCGGGTTCTCCTCTCCGTCCATCCCCGAACTTGAAATTTGCAATTGCTCTAGTCGCTTGTTAATATCGTCGGCCTGGTTTTGGTACCCTGTATCCGGTGCCTTGTTTCTGTCAAACTCGCTAGAGTCTGACTTGCCCTTGACAAACAATCCGAGTGCGCGTACCATCTTCTCTTCTCTGTACTCCTCGCGCATTGCTCGTTGTGAAGACAAATAATCCATGACTGTAGCCGCCAATTGCGAGAGGAAATCGCCCTGTTCGGCAGAAATGCCATCTCGTGGCTTGTCATCGAGCACAGCTACAGTCCCGATGACATAATTATCGGGCGACCGAATTGGAGCAGAGACGTAGAACCTGTTGTGCGGACGGTGGGTTACGGACCAGTGGTCGCGAAAGCGTTTATCCTGGGTCAAATCATTCACAACAAACAATTCCTCTTGACCTTCGACAAACGATTTCATTGCGCGGTAGCACATGGTGCTCTCCGGGGAGGAGAAGCGGCCCACACCCATCCATAAGCCATCAGCTTGTTCTCGATTGTTCTCGCCTCGCAGGTTGCATATCGGTGTGGCCTCTGCAATGATATATTGGGTTTGTTTGTCGAACAGAGAGATCATGGACCGTTGAGCGTTCATGCGCAACGCACCCAGCTGGGCGAAGACGTTAAGGACACTGTCTCGCGAGGCATTGGGGGAGCTGCCGAGGGATTCTTGGGCGAACTTTTCGGAGTTGGAGAATCCCCAGTAGGGGAGGTATCTATAGAATATCAGATCCCGCGTTGATTGGTCGGAAGTAAAGGAGGGCTTACAGATGTGTTTCGCGCTGGCGAGCGCCTTCAGGATTGTAGGCATATTTGCGCGCGCGACCTACCATTGTGTGCAGTTTGTCGTGTAGAAGTAAGATCAATGGATAAGATGAAAGGTCTGGTGGTTGAGAGTTGGTTAGGGCTTATGAAGACCTGGTCGCGCTGACGTCATCGTGGTCTGACGTAGCGACGCTTCTACTCCAGGTTTTGCTCAGAATATCCTGATCAGTATAACTACCCGAGACTTAATGGAAAATAGTTCATCATAGTGACAGCCTATAAGCCGTTATAATGCTATCGACTGTTCTAGAATTCAATTAAGGTGGCAGATCTTCCCATATATATAGGTCATGCATCTAGACCTTTTAACTACGGAGATATATTAACATGGGGACACATCACTCTAAAATATGACCAAAGTAATTTATTCATTAAATAAGCATTTATCAATCATTTAACTTTATACTGACTTTGCTATTGATATTATGGATGCCATTAATACGGCGAAGCCTTCTGTTGAAACCAGTCAGTGACCATAACGGTCCCAGGAGTACCTAACGCGGGCCCCCCCGAGGAGGCTCGGTCACCCCCCGACAGGGGTAGTTCCCCTGCATTGTCAATTGGATATACTCAAAAGAGCTTATAAGTGGATTGAATTCCTTTTACAAATAGTACGTCCTCAATATCTATCGAGCCTCACTGCTTTTCAAATAGATCGACATGGTCATCCATTGAGCACCATCGTCTTAAACTCGAGCTTTTTTTCCAGGGCACAGACGATTCATCTTTGAGACATGATACCATGGTGAGAGTACAAAGCATAGTTTTAGCGTAGGAACAAAAGCTCCCAGCTTTTCCTCTTATCCGTTTCTAACCTAATGCTGGAAAACGAACCGCCTGCACGGTTTTATCCTTCTCAGGCGGAATCTCTGTTGAGGTGTAACTCCGAAAAGACAAACTAAAGGCTTCTTTTAATAAGTGCAGACTCCCAATCAACCCAATTCTGAATGGATCTAGCTAGATTCTCCGAATGCAATAACCGGTCCTCGAACTGTTCTTCCTCGGTATGTAACTCAAGAGGAGCGCTTTGTGAATGCTTCAGCGAGAAATATCTCTTTCTACCACCCGAACTCCTAGATCAAGATCAATGCCAGCCCACAACCTTATAATATAGAAAATGACTTACTTCGGTATACAACGTTATTGATGGTCCGTTATCATATATTTTCTGGGCCACGGCTTTCCGCGTAGATGCAACCAGCTCGACAGGGCCACATGCACCCACGCCGATTCGGTCTGTGGGCTTGCAGGATTCAACGCAAGTTATGACATGGTTTTCAATGCTAGGGCGGCCTGATCGTATGGAGTTCGCGAACTTTGTATCCGGACTCGTTACAGCCACGGGCGATAGCGGTCCTTTCTCTACTTCGCCCATTGGCACTTGATTTCTGATCAAGTCTGTCGATAAGTTGGTAGATGTGGTCGAATTCTTCTCTACCAACTCTGGTGATACCACCAAGTCGCCGGTCTTTTGTGTCACATAGAGAAAGATTCGCACATTCGGGATCTCTCCCAGTTGACTGAGCTCCTGGTCAAACCACTCGAATGATGCTGAAGGGGTGAGTAAGTATCGTGTACAATTATGTGCAACAACAAAAGTACGTACACGTATTCTTTACCACCCAAATGAAATCAATCATTTTTGTCATATTCAAACTCTGGCATTTCTTGACGATATCAAGCGCAACTGCAAACGTGAAACTAGCGCCACTACCACCTGCGATGAAAAGGAGACGGTCGAACTGCATGAAGTCCGCCACTTGGCCGTACCCTCCATCCAAGGAACACCGCAGCTGAGTCTCTGCTACTGCTGGTGTGGTCTGGGAGCCTTTGGACACTTCAGCCAAAAGATCCTGCGTGAACCCGTCGTGAACGCGGACAACAAATTGAACTGGGTCTTGGGATACAATCGTGAATGGATGAGTCTCTACCAACCGAATCCCGGGGATCCACAAGTAGGCGTGTGAGCCTGGCGTACTCCGTATACTTCGGGAGAGGGTGACTCGAATGGCGTTGTTGGGTAGTGCAGTAAGCGTTGCACGATTACCGGGGAAGTACCAACACAATCTCAAGAAACGAATGATTCTATCAGAGACCCACAGACAGGCCGTTGATATGATGATAGCCACGGTAGATTTGGTCATATCTGGGCGATGGAGCGCAACTGTGATCAGGATGAGAATGAACAGAATGATATGGATGAGATAAAACGCTAGAGTGAACAGGATCAGTCTTCGTAAATGAATTGAAAAGCCAAGGATACTTAAGAGCCAACAAAAATGACAGAAAAGACTACTCACCTTCGTAGAAGTTCTTTCGTATCCAAGGAAAAGTCGAAACGCCGATGATCACCATAGCCAATCCGGCAATTCCACCAGCGGTATTTGCTGTCAAACGCATCTCATCCAGGTTCTCAGTCTCGGCCCATGCTTTCAGGTATACAATTGCATGGCACACTGCTGAAACGATGCATGTATATCCTGCGGTTTTGTGTAGCGGACGCAGTTTTTCGTATGATCGTCCGCTTAGTACAGCCAATGGGGTGTTTCGAAGGGCAAGAAATACGAGTAATACAAGATTTGCAACGCAGATCCTAGTATAGTTAATGAAAAGTGGCTTTACAGGCTCGTGGTGAAGATGGTAGGTGAGAGACATACCAGCCGAGACGTTTACCAACCTAGAAGTACCAAATAATTAGATCCAATGCTGACTCGAAAGGAATATGAAGTGAAGAAGTGGTGTTGACAAACAAACTTATGACTGCTTAGATCAACTTTTGTCAATATCAAAACGATGTTGACTATCCAGTAGACAAAATACACCATCCAGTGGCCGATCTTCTCGTTGAGGATACTTGTGCCCAGGAACCGGCGTATAGCCCTAATTAGCAAACCAGAAGACGTTAGCCATACATTCACCAAAATTCAATGTCTCTAGAAAGAACTCAAGCCTGACAATGTTGATTGAGATTATGGATTATAAAGATGACATACCGTAAGTGTTTTAACAGCATGTTTGTAGCTAAACCATTTCGAAACGAAGATTTCCGTCTATACATCACCCATATTACATGGACCCAATGAAGAATGATAAAACAAACCATAATTCCTCCCATGGCTATCGCAAAGTACTTACTTGCCCAGACATTGTTTGTCTGCGTCGCCGATGATTTACTCATGATTTACCAAAAGACAAGTTGGTTTGCACGTAAGAGGGGACAATAACAGAATTGAATTCAAGGCAATTCGCACAGGCAGCATGAGGGGCAGAAAACGTTAAGTATTTATGGAAGATTTCTTGTAATATGATCTTCTATCCCGGTCATAGCACACTAAGTAAAATAGAGGGCGTGAACAACTCGAGATAAGCCTGCTTGGCAACCACTGAGTGGATATCCCTTTCTTCTTGGGCCTCGAATCAAGCAATACGAGGAGTAGATGTTACGTTACGTGGTTGTTGATTTGGTAGCGGTGATTCCCACATGTGCAACGGGTGGATATTCCTCAAAGTACAATGCTACCGGCATATCTTTCTTCAATGTTGTTGATTGATGACCAAGTTGTCTCGCCCAAGCGGTCACCAGCATCGGAAAAAAAAGTCTTTCTGTTTTTTCTACCTCCCTCGAGATCATGTCGATCCATGGATTTGATCAAAAAAGCGAAGACGATCAGATTACCCCTGCCTGTTTTGGAACCACAAGCCCTATACCCACTATCACATAGGCGAGCCAATGAAGAGGTTGACACAAATCAGATAACCGATTGATAAGATGATCAGGCCTTCATTCCCCACTAATGAAATACGTAGTATTTACCCCTATGACACTCACATGAAAATGTAATCTCAAGGAAATCTAAGCCTCATGCAACATTTAGACACTCGTGCAGCTACCCGGTGAATTAGAAGATATTATTACGGACGTTGCCAAGTCAAAGCAATCTACGGAGGAGTCTGGCTACTCAGTTACAACTGTCACGTATACCATCATCCGAAGGGTGGATCGTCACAGTGTATTGACTATATATGGTAGGCGAAGATCGGGATGTCTACATTCCGGTTCAAAGTCCAAGTTGGAATGGCGTAATCGGAGAATATGTTCGTATTCGCATCCAGATGGAATTTTGACACCAAAGAGGTCCAACGGTGTGCTCGGCTATGTACCTTGCCCCTCCGATATGGACAATGAAAATGTCATAGGCCGATGTAACCAACCTTACAGCCAGGTCTTGAGGTAATTAGATTTTGTAGACCTAGAAGATGGCTTCGTCACTAAGTTTGTGAAGGCTCATTACTGTATCGCAATGGTCTAGTCATATAGGCCGGTATTTTCAAAACCACTGTTCCTATCTCGAATAATAAGCTATACCAAGCATGCACTGTATACTTAATCAGAACTTGGCATTAACATCCATATCAGATATATCCAGTTACAATTGGATTATATGTCATTTGGAAGAAATCAGAAACCTACTCAGCCGATAGAGATTGTAAGAAACACTTCAAGTACAAATGTCAAAATCGTTTTGGCTAGCTAGCGTGTGTGTGTGTCTCGTGGACTCCTTCCAGTCCGGGTCATGTACCAGCGTCGAAAATTTTATCAATCTTATCAATCTTTTACGTACTCGGCATTCAGCATGCTTCACCGGCATATGGAAGCGTACTGTCTAAAAGTAGACGGTCAGCCTCTATTGGCGGTCCTGACATTTCCACTCGAAAAAAAAGTTGAACAAGGTGGGTAGTGAAAACGAAAATCCTTGAGGTATTTTTCGTCGATCTTTCAATACAGTATCGCCTAGTACTTAGCTAGTTACAGCCTTAAATATTATCAATCTTATCAATCTTAGGTTGTACTCGGCGCAGTATGTCTCACTCGCATCTCAAACGTACTATGTAGTGGTAGCCAATCCAACACATTCGGGTCCAGAATCCACCCTTATTATGTTTTTGTGATATCGGATTATAGATAGATTTGGGAATAGCTTTACGCTAAGAGGTGCTCCTCTAACCGAGTTGGCATGATTTGCCGAAGATTTCCATGGTTATTGCCAAACGCATCTGAAAGTTGATGCCGAATTTACACCTTGTTTTCAATTGTTTTTTCTTTCCAGGTGGTTTCCGAACTGAATTTGGCAAGGATCAGGAAAGTTTCATGTATCTCGTAAAGTTGTTTACACTAAGTCTAAGTTAAATTGTAACAGGGTACGAACGTTCGAATACGAATAGTAAATATTCATCATAAAGTACATCGTCATATTGAATAGATCTAAAATGCAGTAAAGTTATTGCGTGTGGTATCAGCGCTAGTCGCGATATTCTGGGGTTTCCTCACTTCCATCCAAGCCCGATTCTGTCATGGTGAACTTGAGGTCCGAGACGCCATACATCGAGAGGAAAACCATGCCTAGGACGGCAGAAACACACGAAAACACGAGAGCCACAATGCCACGCGCGGTGAACCCGGGCGGAATGAAGCCCGGTGGTGTGTTTTGACCCTTCAGATCTAGATAATCCTTTGTGTTGGCTGCCGCGTTACCTTCATAGGCAACGCCGCCGGCCTTGCAAATGTCTATGTGGTTGTCGGGAATATCAATCTGTTGTTGAATCTCAAGCGGCTCCGTAACAAAAGTCATGGCCAGTCCTTGCATCAGATGCCAGTCAATATGACAGTGAAAGAACCAGACACCCGGGTTATCAGCCACGAATCGAATCACGTAGTAACCACCTGGAGGCAGTACGAAGGTGTCCCGTCGTGGAGGATACGTCGGAAAGGTAGCATTTGATGCGTTATAAGTGGCAAAATCAGTGCCATCAGAATAATCATAGAAATTTTCGCCATATGGTGGGTATCGTTCCACCATCTGAAAGTCATTGCCGTGGAGATGGAATGGATGAGTGCCAGTGTCTTGATTGCTGAGAACGATCTCCACAACGTCGAACTTGTCTAGCACGATACTATGCGTGTAATCTCCATAAACCGCTGCGTCTGTTGCCAAGTCGCCTGCTGATTTCACGGTGTACAGAGTTGGGACTTTCGGTGCGACATAACTGATATTGTTGAGGAGCGCATACGGCTTGCCATTATCCAAATTCTCCATTACCACAGTAACCTCGATTGTCTTGGTTGGATTTTCGTACAGCGGTACACGATCATATGGCACAAGTTGAATATCATCAAATGGATAGATTTCAGTCGAGTCGGATACTGTTATGTTGACTTCATCGTGTGGAGCGCTGGCGTTGTATTCAAGCCAGTTCGTCTGGTTGAGTAAAAGATCGCTTGGTATAGTATCGAGTAGAGACGAGTCAGCCACCATCACCATGCCGTAATTTCTGTCGGTCGAGTTCTTCATGGTTACTAGGACCGAGTAGCGTTGGGCGACAGACAGATACAGGGAATCTGCCTCTGTCTCGTCGACATAGATGCCATCGATTTCGACAATGCGCATTGTATGGTCTTCAATCCAGAAGTACTGACCAACGAATGCTGCTGTATTGATGAGGCGAATTAAATAAGTCTTCCCGGCTTGCACTGGGTAACTCTGACTAATAGACTCGTTGAAAAGAAATGATTGTGGGATTGGTTCAGCTCCAGTAGGGTTGTACAGCGAGAAAAATGAGCTCTTGAGATCCATTGTCAACTCGTGATACCAGTCACTCATGGTGAAGACCAGCTCTTCATCGTAAGCATCATAAAAATATGATTCCGTATCGTGTACGACGAGGGCCGCTCGATATCCATCCGGATAGCAGGCGTCAGTATGGCAATGATACCAATAAGTGCCGTTTTGATTCACTGTAAAGTTGTACGTCATGCTAGAGCCGGGCATCACAGGACATTGAGTCACCATTGAAGGCCCGTCCATCTCGCTGGTGCCGTTCTGATACATGCCGTGCCAATGGATTGATGTGCTCTTATCCCCGAGTCCATTGTACATATTGACCACGATTCGATCTCCTTTGTTCACATTGACAACGGGAAGAGGCCATTGGCCGTTGATGCCAACAACCTGACGGTCCGCAAGACCATCGGGATTAGCTGTCACCCAAGTAACATTCCAGTCGAAGGTGTGCGTTTCGGCATGGCTACAAGTCAGGAGCAAAGGGAGAACTCCCAGAACGACACCGAAAAACCACATGGCAAAGGGTGTATGAGTGACTTGAAGTGTTGAGAATTCTGAAGCAGAAAACGTTGGCGTGAAGGTCGGTTTCGTCCAAACCTTCTACGAGAACCCCTGCTATCTTGCTGCCAGTGTGATCAAGGATAAAAAGTGGATTGGGCCACCTACATGTCGGCGCCGGTGCGACTTTTTCACACCGGCAATCGTTACCCTTTTTTCGGTCCCATCCTTTTGTTTTTCCTCCCCTCCCCCCCCCTCTCTCTCGCTAGTAACGAGCTCTCCGCCAATAGATTGACTTGAAAATTGCTTGAATTTACTAGTGGAGTAATGCTACGTAGCGTGCGTAATGTTAGATTGATAAGATACGAGTAGCGTCGTAAGATTGATAAAATCCCTCACGCTAAGGCTTCGACATGGGTCTCTTCCCTCCGTATCAGATCAATCACTGGCCTTTTACAGGCTCACACCAAACTTAGCATATTTAGTACGTTGGGGCTTGAGCCGACTGCTCTACTCATGTTACGCGCATCCACATTCCACCTTGTTTGTTCGCACGTGAACTCAAAGCGAGACCGGCTCAATTTTTACGAGAATAAGCAAGCCATGCCGCACAATAAATAAAAGACATGGCAACAAGGAGAAAACGTTCCTTTTCCAGTCATTTTCAATCATTTACTTTCTACTTTCCGTCTTGCCAACATGGTTAGCGTTTTCGCCGCGCAAGTCTTCTTCATTGTCTTTCGAGAATGTCTCGAGGCATTAATCATCGTTTCGGTGCTTCTGTCTTTCCTCAAGCAATCTCTCGGTCAGCCGGGCCAGGATCCGACCATATATAAACGACTGCGAAGGCAGGTCTTTATGGGATCTATTGTGGGAGTTTTGGTTTGTATATGTATCGGCGCTATTTTCATCGGTCTGTTTTACGGCTTGGGTCATGATGCGTGGTCCAATTCGGAAGATTTATGGGAGGGTATCTTTTATGTGATTGCCACAGTGAGTCCGATGTCCGAGAACATTGTATGAATGAAAAAAGCAGGACTGAGTCCGAATTCCACTAGGTCATGATCACCGTTATGGGACTCGCCCTCCTCCGCATCAATAAAAGCAAGCAGAAGTGGCGCGTCAAGATTGCCAAGGCACTTGTTGAGAAGAAAAAGGGCAAATCGCGGTGGATGCGCAGTGACTGGGGACGGCGATATGCGATGTTCATCTTACCATTCATTACGACGCTGCGTGAGGGTGTCGAGGCTGTGGTCTTCGTTGGCGGCGTTTCCCTTGGATATCCAGCAACGGCCTTCCCCATCCCCGTCATCACCGGTATAATAGCTGGACTTCTCGTAGGCTGGCTCATCTATCGCGGTGGTAACGCAATGTCGATCCAAATATTCTTGATCGCTTCAACCTGTGTGCTATACCTTATCGCTGCTGGCATGTTCTCCAAGGCCGTTTGGAGTTTGCAGTACTATCAATTCGAGCGCGCAGTGGGTAGCGATGTGTCTGAAGAGGGCTCCGGCCCAGGGTCATACAACATCCTCGAAACCGTGTGGCATGTCAACTGCTGTAACCCCGAAACAGACAATGGATGGGATGTATTCCAGGCTATTTTGGGTTGGCAAAATACTGGCACTTATGGCTCTGTTATCAGCTATAACTTGTATTGGCTCTTCATCATTCTTTGTGTCTCATGGATGATGTACGAAGAGAGAACCGGGGCTGTTCCGCTGACAAAACGATTCTGGGCCTTGCTGGCTCGTGTACCGGGACTCAAAGGTCTTGCCAACAAGAAATTGGAGGCTATGAATACCAGGGACGACAGTGCAGTGCGCCAGATAAATTCGTCCACGTTCCACGAGTCAGCACCGGTGGGTGTCGAGATGGTAGGACCCCAGAAAGTGACCGAACTAGCCGACTAAGGACGACTACAAGCTTAAGTTAGCTATATGTTGGAGAATAGTCCTTACAGCCTTTCTCTCTGGTGTACCTAGGGACATAAACAGGCATAGAAATCGATGATGTCGATGTTTACTTTTTTATCAAGTAATATCCAAGTCTCTGGTCATTGTAGTATAATCATCGCTTACCATTGTCACCGGTGTGGTTTCTACCATTCCATATCCAGGATGCTGTAAGACGTCTCCGAGGGCGCACCGGTCGATTGGCTTGTGAGTGCTCCCGGTTTCGGATCGTATGGGCTCCAAATCCCAAAATTAGAGCTAGCAAGCAGAGTAGTAAAATTTAGCGTGGTGACGTTTGTCACAAATACTCGACAACCGTGTCAAGACGTGCCTATGTCACGCCAGCCTTCGCAGTAATAAACACGGCCCTCGAGGCGGAAGTGGATACTAAAATTCCTTCTCTGACATTCAAGCTTTGCACTTTCAAAAGCGAAGGAGTGGATCACACACATTCCACACTACAGATAATTTCCCAACGCTCTCAGACCAATGAACGCTGCCATCGGCCGAACCCGAATACGGAGATTTCTCTCTTTATTTTCGTCTTAATACCCACTTGATTGATACTGTTACAAGTTCATACATACGCTCTGAACACTCTGCTTTGGTAACGCGCCGATCTACGAGGTAGCCTTCATTATACCAACAAGTTTGCGCCTTCTGCATGAAATGACTGTTCCAGATTTCCCGTCCAGTCAGAGTGTTGCTTTTCGGCAGAAGAAACGAAAMCCCGCCAGCCGGCGTACACTCAGCTGCTACCTCTGCCGAAAGCATAAGCTGAAGTGTGACCGCCAGATTCCCTGCCAAAGTTGCATCAGATATCAAAGAGAGGATCAATGCAAAGAAAATCCAGCGCCATCTGCTTCGGCGCGCGTTGCGCCACGACAATCGCCTCCAAGCATTGCACCCGGATGCTTGCCGGCGTCGCCGAAGCCCGGAGGCAGCGACTTCATGCTAGAAATTATGAGTTCCCCGACCAGCTACTCAGTAAAGCAAGTTGTGGAGTATTCTCAATTACATACTCGTCTAGATCCAGCACATACAAGAATATTTCTCCAATCACGTTTTACGCTGCCCGTCCTGCTGCCCCATTCTACGCTTGTTTCGGGTGAAGCAGGCAATTCACAACCCCAAATATCTCGCTATATCGACTCTAAGTTATTCTGGAAGGTGCAGTTGGCCTCGCTTCTCCCACCTCGAGAATTATGCGATGGTCTCATGTCATATTACATCGGGAATATTGACCTCATATATCACGCCATTCATATCCCGAGCTTACAGCAGCAATACGATGCATTTTGGTCGCTGGACGCTACTGAGATTGATCTCATATGGCTTGCACTTTTGCTAACAATTATCTCCTTGGCTGCGCTTATGGGCCCTCAAGAATACCTGAGTATGTTGGGAATGGAAAAGTCTCTGAATCGTGACTGGGCTCATGTCTGGCATCAAGCATCTCGTCAGGCGCTTTATGCTGGTGATTATGAACTGAAACCGACTTTAACGCAGCTGCAAGTGTTTTTGTGTACTCAGACATACTGGCTAGAAACTAAGCAACATGAGATATTGAACTCGTAAGTAAACTCTCCCTGCTGATTTCTCTTTCAATCTCTTAATTGGTGGTTTACTTTTATTTTTTCATCTTGTTTCTTGTTAACACGAGTCTTGGTGATGAACTAGAGCTCTCGGCCAAGCAGTACGAAACGCTCAAGCTATGGGACTAGATAAGAATAACCCCGGCAAAGATCGTCTGGATACCGAACTCAGGCGTCGTATCTGGTGGGGACTCATAGTTGATGATTGGTACGTGATTTGTCTTATTCAGGGTTCAGTTCTAACTTCTACATAGTTATCAAGCTATGTGTCTGGGGCGTCCTCCGCTAATTCACCCTTCATCTTCCGAGGTACCCATGCCGGCCCATTGCAATGACACCGATGTCACTGCAACGTCCATCACGCCACGTCCCATTGAGGAAATCACCGACATGAGTGCAGATATTGCGCACATTGAGGTTTATAACATCTTTCGTCGGATCTTCGAGAATAATGGTGCTTATACTTCTTCGTATGAATATATCCGGTCAATCGATCGCCAGATCCAAGACGTCGTATCACGATTTCCGTGGTACTTTCAAACCAATAACGAAATAAACATTGGCCACATGTCAAGCATGAATGTCATTGTGTGGCAGCACAATATTTTGCACCTTGGAATTTGTCTACAACGTATTCGACTGAACAGACCCTTTCTCCACGCGCGCATTGGCGAATCGTGGCTTGTTTGTGCAAAAGCCGCGCAAGACATGTTCGTTCCGTACCGGCGAATGCGTGAGATCAACGTTGCTGGATTTTTAAGATCGCAACGATTTACAGCCCTTGAATATCAAGTCTATACAGCTGCGGTAGCAGTGGCCGCTTTTTTGCTTGTGGAGCGCTCCCTGCCGGGATTATCATCGCATTCGATGATTCAAGATATTCAGATGGTAATATCGGACCTGGAACAAGTTGATCTCAGACCCATGCTAGCCGATGGAGTCAAGGTGTTGCGAAAGATGCTTGATTTGTTTGAGCATGACCAGGATAGAGACTCACAGGCCCGCACCTCGTTAGTCAAGGAAATTGCGTCGATATTTGGTGGCGAGGAGCTTGCAAAGAAGTATTTGAAACGGTCTGACGATGATACACTTGGCTCTACTAAGGCTACACACACAATTCAACCAGTCACAACGAGGGAGCCAGACTTGGGACATATCAGCACTGCGGTTCCATCCATTACAGACCATCCAGGTATTGACATTGATGATTTTCTCATGGCTGTCAATGATTCTACATCTATCGACTTTGAGGTTGCATTAGACATGTTGAGCTTCGACCAGTGGCTAGACTATCCGATACTTGATGACACAGATGCGCAACTTGAACAATGGTAACAACGGATATCTTCACTGGACATTAAATTCTTCAATCACACTTCTCGGTCTCTGATAAGGGCCCAAGCTCTTGAACTCCATATCCAACCCAAATCCCTTTGGCCCTCCGACTTTCAAGCCCCTCTCATCTTCCGTCCATAAAGGATGTGCCGCCATAGCGATCACATCCACTTTAAGTCCATATCGCAGTTCCTGGGATCCAATAGCTTCTCCATCCGCTCCCAACACCGAGATCAGATCTGGCACAGTACATATAATGTCATGTTTTGATGGATCATCTGCACTGATGACATCGTCGACGTACGCTGCGTATAGAAACTCATTCTGAAACGGAATTACTATGCAGCGCTTGTCTTTGTCGTCATCTGTGGAATGAATATTGCCGGGGGTTTGTATCTCGTCACCGGTCAAGGGCTCAATAGTGCATTGTCCCATGGTGTATCCGCGACTGACGTCTCTTTTAACGTCGATGATTTTACCACTGTATAGCAGCTTTCCGGGGGAGGTTGCGAACTGTGGGAGACAGTCTATTAGCATGTTTTCGAAACCTTGGGACCCATAAAGCACTCAAAAAAAAGAAATCAGTACGAGAGAAATTGAACATACTATGGATTTCACTATATCAGTCTTGGATCTCCTGGCTTGATGGACCGCTCGGCCGATGTACCAAGCTTGAGAAACAGTGTTCGGAATACAATACTCCTTGATGATGTCGCAGCTTAGGGGGACAGCGGCGACGGCAGCTTTGAGGCCAAGATTAACACATTGGGATCTCAGCATTCCTTCCACCCTGGTGTTGGATTCGGCATTCTGTACAACGACGTCAGATACAGAGGTTGAATAAAATAATCAAAGTTATCTAAAACATTGAACTGACCATCACAACCCCAACATTCTGCTTAGCGTCTGCTAAAGTGCAAGGAGTTATAGGATATCCGTAGACATAGGGTGTTCCTACGTATGTGTTAGAAAAGGACGACCTATCGTCCACAAATTGACATTGGAAAACTTACCATGCTCCATTGTGGGATATGCACGACCCATCAGATCGCCATCAATGACCGGAATATCATAGAAGCTGGATGTTGGAAATGTTGACATCCCATTGCCACCACCAATCTCATCTGCGATGACAGCCTCAAAGTGCGAGTGTTTTGACAATTGAACCGAGTAATCAATAGCCGTCATTATTTCTGTACCGGCAGGGAGCCGTTCGCTCGAAACACTTGGTGCGCCATACCAGGATCCGAAAACACATACATCGGTGTCCTTCATGTACTCCGGGGCGACAACTCTCATTCGTCCTTTTGAATCGGGAGATCGCAGCCAATGAAGACACTGAAGGTACTGCAGATAAGAAGGCCCTCCTCCCCCGGTACCAAGAACTCCAGTACCAGTAGCGATGAATTCTAGATCAACGGCAGAGAGATACCATACATTATTTACAACCTCCGGTTTGTAAGAGTCAAACTGGACAGCGGTAAACTCCTTCGCAGAAGACGGTGAAGCGGCATCTCTTGTTGTTGAAGATGCTGTCTGACCGCTCGTTTCCTGCTCGGATGTCTGGTCATCATCAATCGATATCCAGTGTGAATCAACCGATTGCTCTGATATCGAGTTTCCTTGAAAGTTTGCCGTGCTAAGTCTACCCACGGCCTTCACGACCAGCCTAATAGCTTTATTCGTCACATATTGCAGTGGGATCTTCTCTATCTCGACGACTTTGGCGTCATCCTTGTCCGCTCCGCGGGCGATCGCAGCCTCAATGGCTTGCTGCTTGGCTGCTTCGACCACAGCTCTCTCGTCTCGGTTCTCCAAGATCTCAATGACATCCACCTCGCCAGAGACTTTAGCGATTGCCGCTCCAACTGCATTAGCAGAATCATGATGAGGTGGAATAATACACTTTGCCACCCCGTTCAAAGATTCAGCGCAGACAATGGAGCCACCGCCGACGAGAAGGAGTGTCACGGGCAGATCGGATATTTTCATATCGTCAATGGTGCGCTCCAATATTCTCTTGATTCTGTCCCGTGCTTTGGCAAGCACTGTGTCGGGAATATGCTTAACCTTGGATGCATCACCAATTTCAGCTTTCCCACTCGCAACTGTGATATCGGTAGATGTCATTATATCACCGCCGAAAACCAAAGCATCACTTCCAAGACGGTGACCAACTGAATCCGGTCCAACAGCAACAGTATCCAACGCCTCGTCTACTCGGACAAGACTACCTCCACCCAAACCTACCGACAACACCTCTGGAATGGAGAAAGCCGTCCTGACTCCGCCTACCTCCACGAAATTTGGTGCTTTCCGGGGAAATCCGGACGGTAATAGAGCGCAAACATCGGTTGTGGTTCCTCCGATATCCATGACAAGAATTTGAGTATCTGCAGCGATAGCATCATTTCCCATTCCTCGATCTAGATTTGCGAGGTATGCAGCTCCCGTCAAGCTGTTCGTTGGTCCACTGGCGAATGTTTTTATAGGCAGCTCAGCTGCGGTGGCAGCATCTGTAAGTGTACCATCATTTTGGGTCAAAAACAATGGACAATGAAGTTGAAGATCGGCCATGGCTTTACAAAACGCGCGGACCGTCTTTCGGGCGAGACTCAGAATAGAGGCATTAAGTATTGTCGCGTTCTCGCGTTCTAGGAGTCCAACATTTCCGATCTTGGAAGAACAGACGACGGAAAGAGACGGATCGAGATCAAGCATCATCTTCTTGCAAGCTTCTTCCTGTATTCCTTGGTGATCCAGGGGCGAGAAGACCCCAACAAGGGCCACGGTGGAGATGCCGGCCTTTCTGATATCGGCAACCGTGTCTTCAATTTGCTTGGGAGAGATGGCGGAGATCTCGCGACCATCTATTTCGAGACCTATTGAAAGCTGAGAGTCAGCTTTAAAATCCTGAAAATTGACCAGTGGTCCTTTTCCTTACCACCATCAAGATAGAAAAGCGGGCCTTCCATGATCTCTCTTAGGCGTTGAGGGAAGTCGCTAAATGGAGGAATCTTTCATTTGTGCTCGTCAGCAACTAATACATCGTAAACAAGACGAAACAAACGAGAATACTCACAGCTCTTGTAAATGGACCGCACAACCTAACTACGGCCACTTTGCTGAGCCGACGCGGATCGGCTTCTACAACAGCATTGACAAAATGCGTCGTACCAATGGCAACACTCTGGACATCCTTTCGGTTGACCTCCGACTTGGCCAGCACATTAACAATAGCTGTATATATCCCAGAGGTAACATCCGGCGTAGTTGGTGTTTTGCAAGATGCGCAGACACCCCTCGATGAATTGTCCGTAGCTGTTACATCAATGATGGCACAATCTGTATTTGTGCCACCCACATCGACACCTACTCTGTATGAAGATGCTGCCATAATATCGATACTTCGAGTGTTCCTCTCTTAGGCTAGCTCATGAACTCAAAAGTACGCCAGGTGAGGAGTTATCAAACCTGCTATATACTTATCTACGGGTGTCGGTGGAAAGATGATATTTATCGATACATAGCTTCAGAAGACGGAATACTCCGACATTGATCTATTCCCATCCCACCAATCATTCCGTAAATAGACCGAATAGCTGTATTGCCTATCATGCATTTTCGGGCCTCTTTCGGCAGTTGCGACGAATGTGGAGAGCGGAGCTCTTGGTATCTCTTGAAGTCCGCCAATAGAATATAGAAAAGCTTCAAGTCCACCAATTAAAGTCCAGCAAAAGAACCTAGGTTATTGAGGAGATAAGCTAGCGTTATCTATCACCGTTATCAGCTTCATCATCGGGATCGCGTGAGCTCCCCAAGATATTTATATGAATGAGAAAACCAATTGTTCCGGCTGGCCAGTATGTGATCCTGCAGTCATCGAATGTGATTCTGGCTAATAGTCATGTCGCTTCTGAAGAGACTTGAGGTCCCCCATGAGGGCGGAACTATCCCAGATCCATGGATCAACAACGATATCAAGCCTGTCGAGGCAGGGCGACGCAAATGGGGATTCTGGACGTTCAATTACTACTGTCCGTACAAATATATTCCCTCACTGAAGGCATGCTTAGCGCAGATCATTGGCTGACTACCTTTCCAATCCAGGGGTACTCATTAATTGCAACATCTCGACGTATATGACCGGAAGCTCGTTGATACCCTTGGGATTGTCCTGGTGGCAGGCCATTATTGCCATTGTTGTGGGAAACATTCTTGCCTCTGTGTTCATCGTTCTGAATTCTCTTCCGGGGGCATTTTATCACTGTAAGAACCATGATTCGATCACTTCTTTCGACCTGAGTGGCCGAACAAAATAAATAACAATCATATAGTGGGATTTCCAGTCGCGAATAGATATGTCTGGGGTATGTGGGGATCACAGTGGGTTGTCTGGAACAGAATTTTTCTTTCGATCAGTAAGTACCATTCCAAGTCGACTTCAAATTGATCTCATGCTAACAGCGCCGAAGTCTGGTGTAAGTTGTGAGGACTCCTTCCTTTGATACCCGAGCGTCTCCTAACAACGAAAAGATGGCTTCCAGGCTTGGATCGGTGGTGAATGCGTCTATGTCTGCTTGCAGGCCATCTGGCCTTCCCTCGAAGACCGGATTCCCAACCATATGCCTGCATCAACCGGCATGACGACAGCTGAGTTCGTGGCATACATTGTATTCATGGTTATATCGCTGCCTTTCGTCTATGTGCGACCACACAAGCTGCAGATGCTCTTCTACATCTCAGCAGCGGTCGTTATTGTATTTGAGATTGTGCTGCTGATCTGGTCACTGGCCACAATGGGAAGCACTGGATTCGGAGATACAATATCCTCTACTAACAGCTCATCTGGTTGGATGATTGCTTACGGCATCATCAGCACCATTGGTAGTATTGCCGCTGGTATATTGAACCAGACTGACTACGCACGTTTTGCACGGCGTCCACGGGATGCTATCTGGGGACAGATTATCAGTGCTGCGCTCTGTGCCATTTCTTGCAGTGTCATTGGAATCCTTGTGACTGCGGCTACGCAGAACCGATATGGCGAAGCAATGTGGAATTTGCCGAATCTTCTGAGCGCTGTCATCGAGACGGGCGGTTCTCGTTCACGGGCTGCGGCATTTTTTGGAGGAGTGGCTCTCGTGGTATCACAGATTGGAGTTAATGTTCCCGGCAACGCTCTTTCGGGTGGTACGTTTTTTTTTTTCCCCCGTGGCTTAATTGTTGCGCTTTCCGCTGACAAGCAAAATAGGCTTCGACTTTGCTGCAACCTGGCCAAAATATGTCAACATCAGACGCGGTGCCTATTTGACAGTGGTCCTCTCAATCGCCGCCAACCCATGGAAGCTGGTCAATACTGCAACAACATTCATCACCGTTTTGAGCAGCTACTCTGTCTTTGTAGGACCCATGGTGGGACTCATGATTTCTTCATACCTCATCGTCAACCAACGCAAGATCAAGGTGCCCGATCTATTTGTTGGGAACAGAAGTAGCATTTACTGGTATACTTATGGGGTCAACTGGCGAGCCGTCGTAGCGGTATGTCTTTCTTCTCCTAATCATTTTGAATCAAGTCACTGACGTTCCATGCAGTGGATCTGTGGAGTCGTTCCTTCGCTACCCGGCTTCATTGCGTATGTGAGTCCTAGTATTACAGTTCCAATCGGACTGACACATCTATACTACATCTGTTTCTTGACTGGAATGTCCATCAGTGCCGCTGTATATGTTGCTCTTCATTATGCTGTCCCAGACCGAAGGCTTCAGGCTTTTGTCAATTCTGCACCTCCGGCGCGGCAGTTGATGGATGAGTATCGGGAGCTGTATGAAAACCCAGATGAGGTATTTCATGTGGATGTAACTCAGGGAAAGATGGATGACTGAATGTGATTGTCTCTCTTCAGTAATGCGTAGTCAAACCCTGCGTCAACTGGTACATGCAGATGTTGTGAATATATACGAAATGGAATTTACCATTAACACTCGCATATTATATATTTACAAACATCGAAACAAATCAAAGCGTTCCTCGGTATTGGAAGACCTTCAATGCCTACATTCTTAGGATAGATTACCACATACTAACTGTAGAGATAAATCAAAATATGTTCATACGAATTGTATTTCTCCATTGTGCTAACCACATATATACATAAAACCTCAGTGTCGTGACAAATTGAAAGTACAGTTGCTTCTGTGACTTTACAAACCATGACCTTGAGTAGACTTTCTTGCCTCACGGTTGATCCAGATATGGAGCAAAGTGTAGACAACAACACCGACACCGAGCATTCCGGAGATAACACCGAAGCCTTTGAGGTATTTTGGAGCGTCGTCGGACGGGAATAAGTACTAACAAGAGATTATTATTAGCATTTTCGCGCGCGAAGCAAACAATAATCCAGGATGGAAACCTACCGATCCATATATTTGAGCCAGGTTACCCAAAGCATTAACCATAGCAAGACTGACACCTCTAACCTGGGGATCAAAGTCACCAAAGGATGAAGAAGCATATGCAAGTGCAGCTCCATTGGTTGACCACAAGCCAGCAGCCATAAGGACCAAGAGGACATATCGTGCAGTGAAGTTGTAGACAACACAGACAATGATGGAGCACACCATGGAGAACACCAGCCAACCAGCGATAATGAGACCTCGCTTCTGGGGGACTTTGTCACCGAACAATGCAGTAATAATGGTACAGACGAAGGCGACTCCGTAGATGGGGATGGTGAGGAAGTTGATTTTCTGGGTTGAGGCATCGCCAAAGAGGCCCTTGATAAGGGTTGGATAGAAGTAGGATAGGGTGCTGGATCCGACGATGACCTAATTTCAAAACTATTAGTATTGGTTCAAGACTTAAATCGAGTCAACATACCATATAACCGACTACAAACGTCCAGGTCTTCCATTTCTTAACGGCTTGCTTCAATGCCTTGATGCTGGACAATCTCCTTGTGGGATCCTCGGAAGCTGAAGTAACATCATCCCTTGCCAAACGAGCAATAGCAATCTGCTTCTCCCTCTCTGTCAGCAGACGAGAAGTAGCCGGAAAATCCAACAAAATGAACTTGGAGATCAAGGCGAATCCAATAGTTGCAGCTCCCTCGACGATAAAAAGCCAACGCCATCCCCGGATACCATGAGCACCTTCAAGACCATCGACAATAACAGCGGCGAGAAGTCCACCAAATGCGCCAGATAAGATGGCAGCCGATATGTAGACGGCGAATCGCTTGGATTGTTCGGCTCGCTTGTACCAGGAGGAGAGCACGAGGAGGACACCGGGCGCAAAGCCGGCTTCGACACATCCAATCAGGGTTCGGAGGACAACGAGATGTTTGAAGTCCTTGATCACACCCATGATGATTGTGAGGGCTCCCCAGATGATCATGATGGCCGGGAGGAAATATGAAGGGCGGCTTCGGCTGAGGACAAGGCTGTTGAGATGTGGTTAGTTAGGTGTTACTAACTCGGAATAGAAGCTAACGTACTTGCTAGGTACTTCGAATATGACATATCCAATAAAGAAAACCACCAGAGAGATGGAGTATTGGTTCGAGGTAAGGGCCAAGTCTGTTTGCATGCCGGAAATCTTTGCATTACCAATACTAGCAAATCTATGTTAGCATCGGTTCGGACAACCAGCGTAATCAAGAAACGTACTTGGTTCGATCCATGTAGGACAGCAAGTACATGATCCAGATAGTCGGCAACAAGTGCATATCGATCTTGCGCAAAAGAGCCTTTTCCTCCTCGGGCGAAAAGGAGACCTCACCCGTAATATTTTCGACCTCTAGACACTCGTGGTCCATTTTGATATCGAGTTCACCTGAAACAGCCATGGTTGAAGAAATATACCGTCAATACAAGTAACAGATAGATGTTCGAATCGATCAGGTCTTGTTATTGTCACAGATGGATGGATAGTAACGACTGCGGCGGAATCTCGCAGCCTTTTTATAAAGCACACGACTTATACCATTATCCGTATAACCCCGTGTCATCTGGTGAATTACAGAAATTCCAGTATCATTTCATGTTCGAAAATGGGGCATTGCGCAGCGCCTGACAACCCCAGCAATAAGTTCAGGGTCAAAACACGATGTGGATCAGCACATTTCCGTCATCCTATTGATTCAGCTCATACTAGGCTGTTGTGAGCACGTCGCAATACACATTTCCCCGCGATAAAAGTCTGGATGAGTTTAAGGTTTTCGAATGGAGAATTGGAGTGTGGAGGAATCATTGATCCGGAGAGTTTCACCCCGAGACGAGGTGATTGGCCTCTATCCGAGTTTGATGTAAGTCTACTACACGAGTGTCTAGCTAATGGATTTAACACTTGGCTGGATTGCAATACATATTATTGCCTATATCGGTAATTGTGAACCCTGTTTGAAACCATTGTCGTATATAAGAATGATTGGGGATTTTTTACGCAAAAAAGCGATACACGATTTGCCGCCGATGCAAGAAAGCCACTTTTCTCTACTGCATTGGATTTTATACTGTTTCTTTGAAGTCGACGACACTTCACATAGTGACTTAACATGACTTGATTTAGTAGTGAAATCACCCATGCTGAAATGAGACGTCTATTGATGAAACCTCACACTAGATCCCCACACTTAGGGTATTGTGACTCGGGACGAGGCTCGGAATCTCTCGCCACCCCCGGCTTCTTCTGCAGCTTCCAACTCCAAGCGGAGTAAAACAGCTTTTAAGTATCGTGCAGTATTTTCTAAAAGACCCGGGGTTGAGACCGGCTGTCAGTGATAGCAATTATGTCATGTTTTGGAAAAGTCGGTCGTGATCGTGTACATGTCAAGTGAGGACGTTTGACCTAGGATGCTAGCTGAGTTTGCTAACTGCAATTGAGTTTCCATCCAGTATCCTATCTCATGCAAACGCTGAAGGTGATATTCCACTTTGTTTTGCCTGCCCTGCGTTGGTTAATCGATAATGGTGGAAATTTCTTTTTTTCACATTATACTAGGGTCCATGCCGAGTCAACGTCATTCATCTGTGGACGTGTGCATTTTCCGATGGTCTTCTCATCTCGCTATCTAGCGTTATTACTGGCTCTTCTATGTCGAAACTACAGATTACCGTCGAATGTCGACATTCAAAGCAGACTTTTAAAGATGAAATCGCGATTACTAGCAAGGACTAATCTTGTAAATGATGACATCCCCTTATCATGAGAACCAACGTCATTTTGTGAAAGTCTCTGGTCTTTAAATCCCTCAATAATCGAATATCTGATCAAATTGGCCAAAGAAAATGAAGCAGATTCATTCTCTGATCAAGATCATGTTATTTCAATTTATCATTCAAGTGGTCATAAACATGAGCCGATCTTTTATCAATCGACCAGAACTGAAGCCTTGGTCGGAAACGAGCCCTAAATACCTACACGAACGCCATTCCGGTGCCAGATTAACGTTCGATACGCATGCTTGTACTGCTTGTCCTTCTTTTCGGTCTTGCGTCACTGATTCTCGCCTTTCATCTCTGCGGCTTAAAGATCTATGGCTACAATCATTATAGGTCCCTAGGTATACATTATGTAATACTCCATCTCGTTTGTATCAGATACCTATGATACGAATCCCATTACAACAAAGCAGCAACTCCCAAAATACCAGCGGCGAGCACACCACCAGCAGCAAGTGTTTGCTGAGCAGCCATGCCAGACGACGTCGTCGTGGCCAGGTATTTTTCCTCCACCGATTGAAGCTGACTTTCCTCCGCCACCAGCTCTTTCTTCACCGAATCCGGAAGGCTTGAGTACCACGAGGGCTCGACGGTGGTGGAAGAGTCCAGTTGATATCTGAAGCCTGATGATTCCAATGAGTTCCAAACGCCGGTTGGAACGGCAGTTTGAATAACACTCCAAGCTGAGATATAAGCAGATTGGGTCGTTTGTTGCTCTTTGAGCGAAAGGAGCGCCGACGCAAGTGATGTCGCTTGTGCGCCGCTAATCCCAGATGTGATGCCGAAGCCCGCGAGATAAGATGAACTGTGTTAGTAATCATGGTTAGCATACAGCGTCAACTGTTTCATTGATAGCAGAGCGGTTGAAATGACATACGCATCGGTAATAGTTTGAGAAGTAGTGGTTGAGCTGTCCTTGGCCAAGGCAAAGGTGCTCAGAGAGAGGAGGCTGATAACGGTCGTGATCTTCATTTTAAAGTTTCAATTGATGAGATGATTTTATGATAGGAAATACATACAAATGAAAACTAAAGACCTCGCGCCAGTCTAAACCCCTAGTTCTTATACTTGTAAATCAATCAAATCACACTAGCTATCAATTCAGCCTCAATCTAAATCGTGCAAGCCCATAGGCCACAGCCAGCCTGATACTAGTCGTTCGTTACCAGGCAAACAAGCATCGCAACGTTGCATGTGGCACTGTGATACATTGAACAGTCTGCTTCTGTGGTAGGAATCGCAGTGTATGATTGGCTGTATTTGTGCTGACGGCTGCTCCTAGTTTCATGACTGTCCTCGCTTCGCTCCGAGGTTCATTTATTAGTGGGAACCCTTGTCGACTAGTGGAAAGTAGTACAGAAAACTGACTCGTTGGAGGCCTAACCTACGCCAAGTACGGGGAGATACGCGCCGAAGGTTCGTCTTTTTGTGATCTTAGAAGTTTTAATGAGTAGAAGCCATTCTGAAGAGACAACAAAATGCCAGTTGCATAAAATAGCCATTTGATAGCTGAAACCCGGTTTGCTATGTGCCATGACTTACAAAGCAGTCTAAAACGAATGAACAGTGCAGCCTGTGCTAAGACATGGGTGACTTAATACTAACAGTAGCTTAGCCATAGCCTCATAGACTACCCTTGTTGGTGCCCGCGACTTGTTCTAGCCACTCAGGACCGGAACACATCCGATTATCCGCTGTCAAATTCCATTGTATACAGCTCTTTGAGCTCTTATGGATCCAAAGCTTATGCTGTCAAAGTTCGAATGAGATGTGCCGATGGTAAAACTATTTCTGGCGGTTGTTCAACTCTTCTCACAGAGTACACTGAACTTTGGCGATTCAAAGATGAAACTTGGAGAATAATTCCGAGAGCAAAGCGTTGAAAGCAAGCGCTAAGTAATATACTATGTATATCTTATTGGTCGGCCAAATTGATTCGATCACACCTTAGATTGGTTCTCAAGTATCCGCTGTGTAGAGGCGCTGGAGCTAAGAAATAGGAGGGAGGGGAGGCACTATATAACTTCCCTGAGCCTCACTGTACACGTAATGTCTCTTTAGGTACGAGACCTACTCTGTAACCCAATACAGTAGTAACTATGTCCCGGGTATGTCCAAGCATGCGCTCTCCTGGGTTTGATCACAACTATCGAGCACCCAAAGAGTCGATGTTCGAGATACAACTTTGCACTACAGAGCAAGCTGTTTTCGCATAGAAAATATCCCAATTAAATAGACAGCCGTTGGGTCAAACGAGAAATTGTTCGGCAATTGACTGTGCATCATCACCACCCTCCTATGGCCCAAGATGACTCATCCTGTTCTGCTATCGAGGTGCAAGTCTTTTCAATACTATGATATCTATTGGCAGTATAGTGACGGATTTCTAAACGAAACGTATCAAAAAGACGCTGGAAAAGAGTAGTATCCGTCTGTCGTAACGTTCAACCTAACAGTGTAAACTCCTGTAAAAGTACCCGCAGATGCAGCAAGAACATGATCAATACAGAGGTTTGCAAAACTTCCCTTCCGCCTTATCTCTTACTTTGGAAGTCAGCCTTGGGTGGAAGTTTGGAGGCTTGGCAGTGAGACTAAATAAATTAAAGACTATAGGTAAGAAAATCGGTTTTTGAAATCTATACCTAATTTTTAATGATTGCAGTACTAGCTTCCGCCTTTATTGTTGTTCGCTGCTGAGACTGAGCGTTGAAGCTAACTGCATATAATTAAGAAAACATCTTTCACATAAGAAAGGTTTTTGAAATGTTCAAGTCATTTTATCATCAAACTGTTCTGAAATAATGAATAGTACCTATCGCCGGTCCGCCTCATCAGCAGGATAACAGATCATCCCGTACAACCAAGGTGAAGACGCATTAGGAACTGAGCCATATCAACGATATCAAATACAGTACTATGCCTGCTATGGAAGCTCGCAGAACGAATAAGAAACTGCAATTGACACAAAATCGGCGACAGAATTCGTCAGGAAAATCTGATGTTATTTAAAGACAGGGAACAATTGATAACTATGACGAAGATGCCACAATAAAGGGTTTAATCCGGGCCCTTATAAAATCTTACAGTCGATTTTTAGATGTGACGTTTAATATGAGAAAACTAGGCACGGGTTCCTCACAGGTAGAGTCATACAAATAGAGTGGCACAATTCCAGAAGCCTGTCCTGGAGTGCTTTTTGGCTCGGCTGAGCTTCCTCGAATTAGATGTCGTTGATGCCGGACGGCCTGCAAGGCTGAATTTGACGAAACAGCCCCTCATTGACAGCCTCGATCGCAGACGTTGCGCGTTCTGGATTCTATCCATGGAGAGTAAGCTTTCCATCTCAAAATTACTCAATACTTCGTGATTCATACTGCACTTCGCCTAGACAATGGCTGATCCACTCTCGATCGCAGCGGGAATTGCAGGATTACTCTCACTTGGCATTCAAGTGACCCAGTCTTTGACCGAGTATTATTCCGCATACAAGGAGAAAGATAACGACCTGGCGAAGATGGTACGAAACCTTGGGGATCTTCAGAATACTCTTCAGTCACTAGAAACTGCAGTTCACGATTGCCAGTCCCAAAAAAATGCTTATCAAATATTGAAAGAAGTCGAGAAGTCTACACAAAGGTGCCAGGAGATTATTGGAGAGCTGCAGAAGGAGTGCCAGAAATTTCATAGAGAACCAGTTGTCAATCTGACAGGTCGCATCCGAGTTGCTGGACGTCGTGCCGCATATCCATTCCGCAGAAGTACCCTACAGAAGCTTGCAGAAGATATCAGTGCAATACGAGAAAACTTGTCACTTGCACTTGATGTACTACAGCTCAAAGTCCACAACAAGACTCAACATGATTTATCTGAAATCAAATTACTCCTTGAACGGATTAATACAAGTCATTTATCTTCAACAATCCACAATTGGCTCAAGGCTCCCGATGCGTCCATTGACCACAACGCCGCTTGTGAAAAACGGCATAAAGAGACTGGATTATGGTTCATCAATAGCCATCAATTTACAAATTGGCTGGTAGCATACAATTCCTTCCTCTGGATCCAGGGCTTTGCAGGATGTGGCAAGTCTGTCCTGTGTTCAACTGCGATCCAGCACACATTTCATGAGACTAAGGACAAGCATGCGGTTGGCATCGCATTCTTTTATTTTTCCTTCAATGATGAGGCAAAGCAAAAAAGCCATGGAATGTTGTGTGCATTCATATTCCAGCTATCAGTACAGCTTCAAAATGGTGGAAAGGATCTGGAACGTCTGTATGAAGCTTATAAGTCACGTACCCCTCCAGTGGATGTGTTACTGGACTCTCTTCACGGAGTCCTCAGTCAATTTCAAGAGATATATCTCTTCCTTGACGCTCTAGATGAAAGCCCCAGAGATAGTGGAAGAGATGATGTTTTGAGAATCATAGAAGCAATACGGAAATGGAGTTTACCTGGACTCCATCTTTTAGTAACCAGTCGCAATCACCTTGACATTCATCAGTCTCTTGATCCTTCCCATGGACAGGCTGTATCAATGGAAAATCCAGAGATTGATAGAGACATTGTTAATTTTGTCTCCGATCAGCTCCAAAATGACACGAAACTTCGGAGGTGGAATACTCGACATGCCGAGATTCAGGAGCAATTGACACAAAAAGCACAGGGAGTGTAAGTTCTCACAGCTCAAGATATTTCGGGGGGCTTTTTTGTCTTAATATTACCTACAGATTCAGATATGTTCAATGTCAGCTTACGGAAATCAAACGGGCACTGAACCGAAACCAGCTTGACCGTTTTCTACACGCTCTTCCTCGAGATTTGGATGAAACATACGAGCGGATTCTGAGCAGCATCGATGAAGCCTATGTTCATGACGTACGTCGGATTTTGACTTTGCTTTGCTTCTCCACACGGCCTCTCACTATTGATGAGCTACTTGATGCTCATGCAGTGGATCTTGGTGCCCCTCCGCATCTTGATCGTGAGGGCCGACTGTTGGAGCAAAATGATATCATTGATATATGTATGGGACTCATGGAGGTTGTGGAAGATAAAGCCCAGAAAAGCGTTTTTAAGGCCCGAATCGCACATTTCTCTGTCCAGGAATATCTTCAGTCAGAAAGAATCCAACAGCGAAAAGGATGCAGGTTTGCCCTTCAAAGTGGACCAGCAAACACAGAAATAAGCCAAATATGTCTTGTATATCTTCTCGAGCCTATGCTATCGAATGGGATATTAGATATACCAAGAAATGAAGAATTTCCGTTGAACCCTTATCTGGTTTACATGACGTCAAAGGAGGAAGAGTTTCCTTTGGCTTCTTATGCTGCTCAAAATTGGTATAGACATTACATCCACTCTCAAAAAGACAATTTGGACATTGAACAGCTGTTACAGAAGCTATTTCAACATCACGACTCTTTTATTGGCTGGGCTAGCTTAAATGACATGGATTATCTTCCATACGAGTCTAGATTCCTGGGTGGACACACCCACCACAGTTTTGGATCACCTTTGTATTACGCAAGTTTGCTGGGAATAATGCCCATTTTGCATAATATAATAGCAGTGGCTACTAAACTTGAGAATCTATCGGAAACGGTCAATGCTGAAGGTGGGTGGAATTGCCATGCTCTCCAGGCTGCTTCTGCTAGAGGACATGTTGAGATCGTACAGACACTACTAGACCACGGCGCTGATGTCAATGCCCAAGGTGGTTTTTATGGCAATGCCCTGCAGACTGCATCCTCTTATGGCCATGAAGTGGTGGTGCAGATGCTACTAGATCATGGCGCCGATGTCAATGCCCAAGGTGGGCGCTTTCGCAATGCCCTTGAGGCTGCATCATTTGAGGGTCATGAGAAGGTGATAGAGATGTTACTAAGTCATGGTGCTGAAGTCAATGCCAAGTATACAAACTCTAACCCATTTGCATGGTATGGCAATGCTCTCCATATTGCTTCTGCTGAAGGATATGTTGGGATCGTGCAGAAATTGCTAGAGAAAGGAGCCGAAGTCAATGCTCAAGAGGGAAGATTTGCCAATGCTCTCCAGGTTGCTTCTGCTAGCGGATATGTTGAGATTGTGCAGATGTTACTAGACAAAGGAGCTGATATCAATGCTCAAGGCGGAGAATATGGCAATGCTCTTCAGGCTGCTTCTGTCAAAAACGTTGAGATCGTGCAGATGTTACTAGAGAAAGGAGCTGATATCAATGCTCAAGGTGGAAGATATGGCAATGCTCTCCAGGCTGCTTCTGCTAGCGGATATGTTGAGATTGTGCAGATGTTACTGGACAAAGGAGCTGATATCAATTCTCAAGGCGGAGAATATGGCAATGCTCTCCAGGCTGCTTTTATCAGAGAAAATTATGAGATCGTGCAGATATTACTAGAGAAAGGAGCTGATATCAATGCTCCAGGCAGTATTCATGGCAATGCTCTTCAGGCTGCTTCTATCAGAGGAAACGTTGAGGTCGTGCAGATGTTACTAAAGAAAGGAGCTGATATCAATGCTCAAGGCGGAAAGTATGGCAATGCTCTTCAGGCTGCTTCTATCAGAGGAAACGTTGAGATCGTGCAGATGTTGCTAGAGAAAGGAGCTGATATCAATGCTCAAGGCGGAGAATATGGCAATGCTCTTCAGGCTGCTTCTGCCAGCGGATATATTGAGATCGTGCAGACGTTGCTAGAGAAAGGAGCTGATAATGCTCAAAATGGGAGACATGGCAATGCTCTTCAGGCTGCTTCTGCTAGAGGACATGTTGAGATCGTGCAGACGTTGCTAGAGAAAGGAGCTGATAATGCTCAAGATGGGAGACATGGCAATGCTCTCCAGTCTACTTTGACCAAGCAAGTACCGGAAAACTATGTGTAAGCAATTCAAAAAAGCACAGGATGTGACAGCTCAACAATCGGTGCAGAGTTGATCCGGCACCGCAGAGGAGCTCGACGGAGTGACCGGCCTAGGGCTGAGGGCCTAGGTGGGACTGCTCTGGGAATGATCTCAGCGATGCCAGAGTAGGAACAGGTAGCACACAGAGAGAGCTTATAAAGCGGCCTTGAGACACATCTAACTATTTTCATTTTCCAGTTTATCTCCATGCTTGTTATTTTCGTACAGGAGCATCACGTGTACGATATTCTAGGAAGGTCAATAAACTGAGTTCGACCATATCACACAGTCATTGAATAGTAGCCACCACCGGTACGCCTTATCAGCAGGATAGTAGATAATCCGGTACAACAAAGTCAAGGACGCATGAGAAGCTAGGCCATATCAACTACATCAAATTAAATATAGTAGCAACGCTCTTAAATACTCTACAGATCAAGGATATGCAGAAGGAAGGATATGTTAGGACGCTCATTTCACCATGTACAGTAACATTGTGTAACCCTCTACTTACATTACTGTCTTGAATTAATTGTGGCACTGTAAAGATGTTTTGCAACATATGGAAATCAATGGTATACGAGACGGGTATGAACATATAGACATTACAGTCAAGGATACCACACAGAGAGCACTTTAAGAAAGTAGAAAGGAGATCCACTTTCAAGTCTGTTCCTTAGCCGAATCATCCATGTCGTGCATAATTATCATGCCTCAGTTCTAAAATCTCTATTTCAATAAGCACCACTTGAGCCAACAACACCGCAAAAGATGGACAAATTCAGTGTCCTCGGTATGAATACTAACACATCAGTAAATTGCTTTTTGAGTGCAACAAGCTGATGCGTACTTACAAGATCACAATGCTTTCCGAGACGTTGCCTTTGACTGGGCCAATACTCTTGATAGAAAGGTTCAGAACCACATGTACAGGTACTCCGGGTCCAAGTACTGATTGATACCACGAAAGGACTGGGAAAAATTTGGCAATATCCTCGCGCCCACTATCATGGTACTCATACCTATTAGATCCTGAGAAATCTAGGTACGTAGCTACACTGAACTTCGGCGATTCAAAGATGATACTTGGAGAAAACTTCTGAGAGCAAAGCGTTCAAAGCAAGTGCTAAGCAATATGCAATCTTACTGGTCGGCCAACTTGGTTCAATTAGACCTAAGATTGGTTCTCAAATATCCGCTATGTAGAGACGCTGGAGCTAAAAAAAAATGGGAGGGAGGGGAGGCACTATAGGTTCCCTGAGTCTCACTGTACACCGCCCAAACTTTACGGAACCACAAGCGAAATCGCTTCGTCCTGACATCACACAGCTTCCAGACCTCGTCTTCCGGGGAGGATACGTCTTGAAAATAATTGCGGAGTAATCCAGTAAGATCCATACAGACCCTCTATCGTCTTCTTGACCTGGTCAATGTCGTTGAAGAGTTTGCGCTCAGCACCGTGGTCACGAAAGAGTTTGAATTTGCAGTAAGAGACTCCAATATTGATAGATCAGGCGCTGTGGCGGCAATGTATCAACAACTGTAACCAACGAGTACAGCGTAGCCCATCTTTCCCATTAAAATCAAAGTTGACATACGTAGTTTGATCGATCATTTCCCACCTAAAATCATGAAGAGCAGAAATGAGGGGTTTTTCTCAGATAGACGGCGATCTGTGGCTGGCTGAGAACGACGATCTCTGTATCGCAACTGCTCCAGATTGTGTACGGCCACACCCGCGAATGACGCTTCAAGTTAAGACTGCTGCACGAGACTGGAGCAATCGAAGAAGTTCATGCAAAGATTTGCATAGCACTACACACACTAACACGATACTAAGTATCTCAGTGGGCCAAAGTTATGACGAAAAAACACCAATATCCCAAGGTTGCCCAGCTGCATGTGCGAAGGTTAAATACTCGCCGTGTTTCGCAATCCCCAGCACACTAATTTGCAATATCTTTATTCGTTTTTTTCTTTGCACCGTCGGCAGTATGGCATATCGGGGAGTTTCTTTGTGGCGCCTGTGCCTTCTCTCCCTTCCCTTTGCTTCTGCTTTAACCATTCCTCAGGAGCCTCTCGTAAAATGGCCTGAAGACCAGGCCATCGATAATGATGTGTTCAATATCACTGATTACACATCCTTGGATGACTGGAACCCGAAAAATTGGGACTATGATGTCGTAATTGTCGGTGGTGGCCCAGCTGGATTGGCCGCATCCATGTCTCTTGCTCGCGTTGCCCGAACATCGCTATTGTATGATTCACAAGAGTATCGCAATGAGCAGACTCGATATATGCATGATGTTCTAGGCCAGGATGGTAAGTCTACAACTTTTCATGTAAGGAGACCATGAAGGAAACCAGCACTAAAGATAGATATAGGCGAGGTTCCACTGAGATTCCGAACGACAGTCCGGAAACAAATCGACGATTTATACCCTGATTACTCTTTCTGGGCTACACGCAAGACCAAGGTTACTGGAATCGTCCCCCTCGAGAAGGGATTCCGGGTGTACGACGACGGCGGTAGACAGGTTACGGCTAAGAGGGTCATTTTGGCCACGGGGATCAAAGACGTACTCCCCGATAAACAGGGCTTTGCCGAGGCGTTTGGCAGAGGTATGTTTTGGTGCCCTTGGTGCGATGGCCACGACTACAAGAATCGCAAATTGGTCGTATACGGCAAGCTTGCTAGTGCCATTGGCTCGGCCTTGACGATGAGGAAGTTGACCACCGATATAACTATTGTTACGGGCGGTCCGCTGACCAAGGAGGACAAAGACGCGGCTGAAGCACGTTGGCCGAGCTGGGAGACGGTCGTTAAGAACACTTACAAGATTACAATTCGTGAGAATGATATTGTTAGGGTTGAACGTACTGCATCCGGTACGGAGCCGAAGGACGATGAGTATAGAGTCCATCTAAATGGTGGTGGCCCGTTGGTAGCGAATGGAATTTTCATCCATGCGCCTACTGTGCAGACATCAAGTCTTCATAAGCAGCTACGCTTGGAGATGGATGGAAGCTCTGTCAAAGTCAAGGATAACAAAGAGTCGAGTCTTGGTGGGCTCTATGTTGTGGGTGATGCCAATAATGATGGTAGCACCAATGCCTATCACGCCATGTGGAGTGCCAAGCGTGCTGCAGTTAGTTGTCATGGTAAGCCTTTATCTTTCAAGGATAATATTTGACCTAGTCATTACTAACAAAATCAGTCTCTATTTCTAGACAAGAATACCTGGAAAGTGTACCCTCAGCTACGGCAGCAACAGCCGGCGGAGACGAAGACTTCTACCAACGCCAAATTGAGGAGATAGAGTTTCAGATAAGTGATGATATGGAGCATTTGTATAAGACGCTCGGTGGTTAGTTAAGACCTCTAAATGAAGGAACACAAGGAATATTCATCCGTAAGACTATTATATATACTACTGTTATAAAAGAAAAAGCTATCTATTAAATCTAACTGCATAAAACAGTTTATATAAGACTGAATAGGATTTCTTACCGCACCGGACTATGTATACAGCATGAAAAGGATCGTTACCAAGATTCAATGGAAATATCACTGACATCAAACAAGAACGCACACTGACCCCAAACAGGAATGAACATTATGCGCAAATTGGTGCCAGCACGACCTGGTGTCAGTATGGTTGATCCATTTAGTGTCTCTACATTCCTGTTCAGGGTGGATGTTCCATCTAAGATCACTACAATTATTTCCGAGACATTGCCTTTGACTGGGCCGATAGTCTAATGAGGTTGAAGTTACAGGTCACGGGCATGGGAATGTGAAGCATTGGAATCGGAAGATGGAGAATGGGCAGTGGAAGTTTCCGGGCGTCAAACCGGAGATGTTTTGGATGGAGGGGACTTTTGACAATAATTATTTATAAGAGATGAAGGTAATCTACCCAGGAATAGCAGGCAAGACGTTCATGCTAGATCTGTCTCCTCGATACTATGATATCTAAGTGTCTGCTACCCCAATGACCATGTATATCTCGGGCCAAAGATAATCGCAATAACCCGACACTATATATGGATATAAATCTCCATCTAGGTAGTCTAAAACATCTGTCTAGTCCGCATTTCTATCGGTAAAAAGCACATGAAAAATGCCGCTAGCCAGATGCCTCCAGCGCCCAACCACAGCACGCCGGACGTTCCATTAGCTATGAAATTCTGACCTGCGATTGGAGCAACAATGCCAGCAATACGACCCAGACAAGACAGCATCCCGCTGGCGCTGGCACGGATGGTGGTGTTGAACATTTCTGGTGCGGATGCGTAGAGGACGGCATTGAAATACTGCGTCATTAGCATTGTCTGAACGATCTTTAGACGAGAAGATAGAGTACTCACGGTCTGCATAATGTACTCCAGCGCGTTGAGGCCAACGTAGCCTGCAGTGTTCTTGACCTGGGTATACAAAGCCATCGACAAGCCCTGCAGCAAGGCCGAAATGACGAGCGACCACTTCCTGCCGATAAGAGGAAGTTGAACGGAAAATAGCGCAAGAATGGCGCCAATGATACCCGGAAGATAAATGTAAATGTACTGGCGATACGTCTCTGTAACGTCGACTCCGCTACTGACGTTGTTGCGGAGCAGCACTATGGGGAGGAAAGATCCGGCCAGAGTGAAGGACCAGTAATCGCCCTTGAAAATAGTCAGTTTGAGATAAATGTAGGGATTTAAGAGTGTCTAGGTTACCATATATGCAAGGGCCAGAAGGATGAATATAAAGCATTGCATCTTGGACAAAAACAACTCGCGCAGAAAAGTGATACTATCCGCTAATCGAGCTTTGACTGTCTTGACACTGTCGTGATGTTGCTGTTCCTCATTTTCCATTTCCATATCCACAGCCTGGAAATCCTCCAAAGTCAGAGTTGGAATTGGGGCCTTGTTGAACTGCGCAATCTTGTGCAGCACTTCAATAGCCTCCTCATATCGGCCCTTGCTAACCAAGAACTTGGGCGACTCGTGGAACGTGAAGATGAAGTAGCGAACAAAAAAGACAAGAAATGTGATTACGCCGATGATGATGACTTCGTATCGCCAACCCATGTTACTGCTCACAGTGCAACAGGCCTCGCCGGGCTTGAGACCAGCGGCGTTGCAGGCCGGTAAATCTACATCACATCGATATTTGGCGGCGGTGCCGAAGGCGATGGCTGATGCAACGACCACTCCTATGGGTTGCCACATGCCCAATAGGGCGACAAGAAAACGTCGATTTTGCGGTAGGAACTCTAGGACGATGGCAGCGTCGATTGGGATATTGCCTCCTAGGCCGATGCAGGAAAGGAAGTAAACGGCGCAGATTGCTGCGTAATTGTATTTGACTGCAGCCTGAGTCGAGGATGACATGTCAGCTCAGTGCAGCATTGATTGACAAGAGACATACCAATAACATGCCAAAAAGCGATGTAATCAAACAGGTCAAATTGAATGCCCACCTGCGGCCAATAATGTCTGTGATGATTCCGAACACAAATGCGCCGACGCTGGTGATACAAGTTTAGAGGAAAAGCATATAAGAACGATCGAGCGATGATGACTTACGCCAGACCTGCGTTGGAGCAGGTGAAAATCAGTCCTTGTCTGTTTGGTGGTACATCCATTTCCTGGCTGAGCAACAACAGAAGTAAATCAGCCATCTTCGTCGTCATCAAGACTCAATTGATACCACATACAACACAGCCGAAGCAAGCAACCCAACTCCCTGTGCCCACGCCAGGTCAAGAAAATAACCGAATCCGCATAGCGTCCATATACACTTTTGGTACCTGCCGAATCCGAATTTGTCTAGTTCTCTGCAATATATCAGCCTTTCGATTCGGGTTTCTCCTCCAGTTGTCTGGGGCAGGTCCTGAGTACATACGCATTGACGAGTGCAGCTTTGCGCTCAAAGGGCGTTGCTCGCAAAGGCAACGCAGAGTCAACTGAGCCTCGGGCGACGCCTGGCAGATTCTCATCGCTGAAATGTTCTGTTAACCCAGTTGGTGGCTTTGACTTTCCCAAGAACGGTTCCATCTCGTCGGCTGAATGGTCAACTCGGTAGGGGTTTTCAGACATGGTCAAGGTTCAGGCCAGGTCTATATATGTACCTGCCTAGGCAATATAAGTATATACAGAATTACCAAGGTATAGTAAAGCCAACCTTGGTTGGAACCAGCTAAGCTATCTAGGAACAACCAAGATAATCAGACATAACTTAACAAACAATGGATTTTAGTATCACTCCGCTTTCAGAAAAGCGCCCGTCATTGGCTCAGGATCTTGGAGAAACTTGATTGTAATCCTTGAAATTCCTGTGCCTAGGGTACTGGACGTGCTTTGACATTGGCATTGGCACACGAATCGCCCCGTGCTGGTCCACGCGGGCCCAGGTTCTACAACGGTTTTGATGTACCCCTACGTAGGGTATGGCCAGTGGATAATAATACATACGTAGTAGTATACAGAACAGACATCTAGACAGTTGGGGCAGGAGGAACGTGAACCTGCACCTAAATCCACTTCCAAGCTTCCTCGCGTTCTGGCTGATTGGCGGTTGTAGCGGATGGCTCTACGGATCGATCTAAGCTCCCATTTCTTAAATCTGAGCGTGGTATTTGTACAGGTAAGGTAGAAGAGCACTGATTGGCTCCGTTTGACAAGGTATACTGTATACAAACCTGGCAGTGCCGCACGGGGGAGGGAGCAAAACGGTCAATGCGGCGATACATAGCGAAGTGCATGAGAATATTCACCTGCTTTTCTCAAACATTAAAGACAGCAAGCAATCTATCTTGACATATTGTACCGGATAATAGATCGACCCGCATAATAAAATGGAGAAACCAATAAACCAAATCTAGATCTCAGCTGTGTCCCCGATCCGGGAGGGGGGCGGCTCGATCGAGCAGCCAGAGAGACCCGCCGCAAACGTTGAATCTTGATAGATCATAAATGATAAGCGGAATTGTGTCCCGATGAGAAGATCGATCTTTTCTCTGCGTATATTCGAGAGAATTATTGCATGTATGCGCAGTCATAAAAAGTAATTTCCTACTTGGCTATAAACAACTAAAACAAGTAGAACTTGGCAAGATGGCCCTGATTACCCCTCTTGGGTAAGATTACTATTTCCCTCATCAATACCACTCAAAAATTGTCTGACGAAAGTCTCGTATCATGGATTCATCACTCATATCATGTTGATGGTTCGCAAACCATGCAAGTACGCATCAGGCATCCTTATACAATTATACATCCCGGTGCAACACCGCGTTACAACCTGGAAACCGACAAAAGCCCTAAGACGCAGGCGCCGGGAAAGGAAAAATGGTATGGAAAAAAATCACATTCTTCCACTCAATTATATACAACCCCATCCTCCATAAACAAAAGCAATCGATAATGAGGGGAATAATATACACCAAGACTAAAACCAGAACCAACCAATCCAAACATCCCAATCTTGTATATAGGTATCACAACTAAACGAGAGTAATCAACCAGAACCAAAACCAAATAAACAAAAGAATGTGTGTATAGAGAGAGAAAAATTTATGAGCGCGATAACGGACTTCCGAAACGCGGCTTAAATGCCAGACTCTTCCGTCTCGCTGCCTCCAGTTTTGCGCGCAGATTCGCGCCGGATGAGGATCCATCGGAGTCATCGAGACTCAACCCGCGGCTGGAGTCAGACAGCATGGAAGAAAAGAGGCCTTGGTTTGACTGTTTGGGAGGACAAGTTTGTTGTGTCAGTCGAAGGAAGCCTGGTGTAGCGGGGGACATTGCGGAGAAATCAAAGTTGAAGTTAAAATTGTACTCTGAATCTTCATCATCGTCGGCATTGTTCTTGTTGGAAGGGGTTTTGGCGCTGGTTGGTGTTTTGGGGCTATGCTCGTTGACGCTGTTGTTGGGACTCATGCGTCGAAAGTCTTCCATTGTATCTTCCAGGTTGGCTGGGTGTCCCGAACGACGGTTCGATGTGCTGCTGCCATGGCCGATTGACGATGACAACGACGAAGAAGATGAGGATGTGGATGATTGCAGAGAGCCGTTGACATTGGCTATGGCACGAGGCTGCATGCTCTTTCTCCGTTTGGCGCCGCCGCGGGGGATGATAGTGCTATCGACATAGTAGTGGGCTTCATCAACCCATTTGTTGGCTCGTTCGCAGCTGTCGCCTGTTAGAATACATTAATAGAAAAAGGAGGTGAAAAAAACATACTCAAGAACCCATCCAACACCAACACATTTCACCAAATCACCAGCCTGTCGTACCTTCTCCATTGTACGAACTCCTCCGTCTTTATACACGATATGCGTAATGCCGACTTTGCTGTTCATCGAATCCGTGCCATCCACACCGGGAGATTCACTAGATCGTGGATTCCATGGCCATGATTTGACGCACTTTGCGCCCATTTGTGTAAGCAACTCAACAAAGATTCCACTTGCGTCTTCGCCCTCAGTGGTATGCACATCAACAAAGACGACTGCGCCGCGAAGGCATTGTTGGTCGGCCTTTAGGTCCCGCCGAGGAGTCTTTGCTGGACTTGCTGTAGTGGAAGGGACTGTACGTTCAGATTCTGCCGTATCCTTAATCTCTGCCAATGGGCTCCGCTTCGTCGGTGTTGGGACAGGCGAGTCAGGTGTTGTCGACTTGCGACTCTTGGGAACCAGCTTAAATCGTCCTGGTGAGGCCCTGATTGGCAGCTGGATGTCAATCGACATTGACCTAGCACGCTTGCGAGGGTATTTGATAGGCGACTCGTCGGCCTCTGGCTTCAAAGGCACTTTTGATACTGTGTGCACGGTACGAATGGCATCACGGTTGACTCTGACTGGTGTGATCGACATTGGCAACTGGGGTACTTTGTCTTCGGGTTTCACTGTATGGGGCTCAGCTTGAGCCTGCTCCTCGCCTCCCGTTACCGCTTTAGAAGATTGCTTTTCCGGAGACTGTCTGGCAACAGTATCCGATTCATCACCATCCATAACGACGGAATTTGCCAACGAATGTCTCGCAGCTAGTGACTGGCGCATTGACTGGATCTGGTTATACTTGTTTCCCTGCATCGACCGGCTCGGAGCCGCCAAATTCTTGGGAACAACAGGAGAAAATATACTCCGTTGCGGTGACTTGCTTCGTTGTTTTGCAGGACTGCTGGCGTTCCATGAATCCAGTTTAGCGGCCAGCGAAGTAAAGGTGTCATCAGCAGCATCGCCGGAGTCTGGAAGAATACTGTTGCGGTTGGAAAAGACGGATTGGCGTCTGCTAGCTGGGCTCGCACCGTATTCGGACATGTCATCAGTGTGGTCTCTGTAGGACATCTTGAAGTGGCGCATGGGAGAAGCGATTGGTGGCGAGGGAGCGGCAGGAGGAATGAATCGAGGAGTTCCCTGAGTTGACAGGCTCACTACTTCATCCACTTCATCAGCGTGGACTACGTCTCGTGGATCCATAGATGAACGGGCTGATTGAAGGGTTGCGTTCGAACGCGGTGTGTCGATTTCAGGTAGTGTGTCGTCATGTTCGTCTTCAAGCTCAGCCTGAATCACCACTTCATTAGGGTCTGCGTTGTCGGATTCTGTGGTCTCTTCAATGTGGTCCTCGATGATATCTTGCTGTTCACTTGCCGGTAGCTGCTGAGCTGTTTCCTCAATCGTAGGCTGTACATTATCGACATTTTCCGATGCAGCTTCCAACGAGGCGTGTTCCTCCTCTGGAACATCCTCTTCCATCTCCGCATCACTTTCGGCATTGTCGTCCATTTCACTGGTCTGCACAATCTCATGATCCTCGACATCTTCCGGGTTGCGATTCTCATCATTCACGTCAGGCTCATCCTGAGACATTTCAACATCATCCGCTGCAAGTTCCTCTTGCTGATCCTGGATGTCCTCGTGCACATCAACAGGGTCAGCTTCTTGCACAAACTCGGCCTGATCTTGTACGATATCAACTGCCTCAACTTCTTCGTCAACATCCGATGTCTGCTCGTTCTCGTCTTCTGGCTCCTCTTGTTCCACAGGGTGATTCACCAACACATCATCGTCGTGGCCTTCATGAATTGTCTTCAACTCCATCGAAAGTTCATCATCGCTAAGATCATCAGCCTTGTCATCAACAAACACGTCATCATCGCGCATCTCAGTATCATCATCGTCATTCGTGCTTGACTCGGGCCGTAACAGCTTGCCCTCATGCAACTTTTGAAAAACAAACGGCGACTGAATGCGTTTCGCTGGACTCTTGAGCAACGACAATTTCGCATTAAATGGGGTAGATGACCCCTTCTCCGGCGAAGCAGACATAAACGACGCAAGATTACCTCCCTTCTTAGGCGATGCCTTTAACGGCGATAATTTTTCCATGAACGAGTTCGTCTCCGTGGCCGACAGCTTTGATGCAGATGGATGGCTGATAAACAGCGGACCGCGTCGAGGCGTATCCCTGATGGTTTCCTTGGATGTTGATGGCGGCGGACGCCGGGCGGGACTTCCCATAAACACCGAATCGCGCAGTGTTGATGATGGGTTGGGTAAGGACGGTACTGAGTTTTCGTCTTGTGGAATCGTTCCTCGCGATGGAGGTCGGGCTGGAGTGCTGACCTGACCAGGCAGCATGATCCTTTTGACGGGTGAGCTGAGGCCAGTATGTTGAGGTTCTTGGGTCTTCACAGGCGACTTTTGGACGACCAGGGAATAAACAGTCTTTTCTTGTGCAAGCTCATCTTCATCGCCAGAACTGGCCGATGAAGACGATCCCTTAGCCAATTGCGTAGCCTTCTTAGGTGAAAGCGGCTTCACGGCAGCAGCAGTCTGAGATTTAGGTGGTCGACCTCTCGTCGCAGTTCCAGCTTTGCGGACTGGTTTGGCCTTGAGTCCGCTCGACTTTGTACCTGCCGTTGCTTTTTTTGCTGTACTTTTAGCGGCAGGTTTCTGCTCTTCCACTTCCGATGCCTCATTATCCGAGTCCGTCAAGTCGGCAAAGGTGACTTTCTTCTTCTTCGCCGGGTCTCCTAAAGTGCGAGCTTTAGCTAGACTTGACATTGTAGAGGCTGTCGCCACGTAAATCGTTTTGTCGTTGTCCGTTGTTTGTTTCGCAGCTGGTCGTCGACCTCTTGTCTTCTTTTCTGTCGCCCCATCCTGCTCCTGCTGGTCAGTCGATTTGACCGTCTTGGGTCGTCCACGAGTCGGTTTGGTTGCTGTTACTGTTGCAGTTGGCGCAGGCTTTGCTTTCGCAGGTCTTCCAGGTTTCTTTTTGGTTACCTCGAAATCGGCGAGTTCATCATCGTCGTCGTCTTCCTCAGACGAAGCATTGTCTTCTACGACCGCCTTGGCAGGATCCTTTTTAGTCGAGCGAGCATTCTTTGTCGCTTTCTTCGCGGTCGTTGCGGTTGTTGTTTTGTTGCTAACATCAACACTCAAATCATCGTCCTCCTCATCTTCAAGATCTCTGTCCGCATCGACAACACTTTTCTTATTCTTCGCCGCCGCTGTTGTTGCAGCTGTGGCAGCCTTTCCAGGTTTCCGTCCTCGTTTCGCGGGTTCTGATTTCTTCCCTTCTTGCGCATCCGTAGCTATAGTTGTAGGCGTTCGACCTCGTCCACGCGTCGCTCGCTGTTGGGGCACGTCCGTCGCCGATACGCCGGGAATAACTGCCGCGCGCGCCATATTCGATCTGGTCGGTCGGGACGTGAGGGTATCACTTGTTTAATCAATCGGAGTTGGAATCATCTGTCTCTCTGCTTCGCGGTGGCGTATGAGTCGTATTCGAATTGGGGTCGGTAGTCGTAGCTAGTTAGCGAGATGCAGTAGATGCTCTCACTCACTCATGCGGGCGGAGTAGTCGGTTATTGGGAACACAGAATGTGAAACAGACGCGGCATGACTGTCGTTGACTATCTAGGTGAATATGCACGAATGCCAGCTCGCTAGGCCAAGAATAAATGAATGTGGAGGTTGTTTAGACAGGGTAGGTGCTCAGGCTAAGAGTTTGTTTTTGTTGCGGTTCGCAGATCGGGTGCTTAGTGTGCCGTTGCTGGGGGAACCGTGGGCTCTGCCACTTCACTTTACATAGTACTTTCATACATTCTATTTTCACTTATTTTTTGGCCATTATTTGTCCTAGTAAGATGAATGAAATGTCATTTCTCATAAATAATACTAGAGTTTCATGCATATGCAAATAGCCAAAATTGCTTTTATGCCGGAATATCCACATATAACAATATTTACCTCTACAGCGCCATGGCAGTCATGGCCACCGTCCCAAGAGCCAAGAGGACCGTTGGTATCTTCACAGATCCAGCTACACTCGTACTCGTCACATTCAAAGTGGCAAGGTACGACGACGGATTGTAAGTTGCCGGTGTAGTGCTGTTGGTGGTACCATCCCAGCAGTATCTGTCAAAGCAGGTATTGCAGATGTCCGGAACCGTGGTGTTGGTTCGCTCGAACGAGCGACTCAGAATCGCGCAGCCGACACAGGCAGGCCAGTCTGCGTCGCGGGTACCGTTGGCCATTGTGGCCATGTCGTATGCATTCTGGATAATGGCGTCGCGTTCGGTGTTATTGATGGACAGGCTCAAGGTGGAGATGTTGGAGTATGCCACGTAGGGGTAGTTGGGCAAGTAGACAATCAATGGAGTCGGACTGGATGTGTTGGAGCTGTTGCATCCGAAGAACGTCGGGTGGGTGTTGAGGCCCTTGTTGATGAATGTGTTCACATCAGGCACTGCAGGGAAAGAGGTGCCGTTTCCTACTCCAGTCGAGTTCAAGCTGCGCTCGTAGGTGTATACAAGACTTGTTCCATTGGGCCAGCTTTCGGTAGTATCGGCTGAGCTGTCCACGGCGAAAATAACGTCGACGTGACGCGTAGGTTGGATAAGAGGGTGCAATGGGATGTTCTGGTCATCCTCACCACCGTCAACGACATTGAGAGTCTCGGTCTGCGCAACCAGTCCAGTGTTTTTCGTGTAGTTGTAGAACGGGTTGACATAATCAGCGATATCCTCGTTGGCTTGGCCGAGTTTGTTGAGACCAGCCGTGATCAGGTTTTCGAGAACGCTAGGCAGACCAGTGCTATTCACGTATTGAATAAAATCATTGAACAAAGTCGACGAGGTACCAAACACGAATCCAGCATTGTCGTAGCCGCGCACGCAACTCTCGTTCTCGGGGAGACTGCCGCTGTTGAATTTCGACCCGAGGTACTCCAACGGCGCAAAGCCAAAGATAGTGGGATCCCAGGAACCGAACTCGAAAGGACTGAACTCCATGACAGTAGAGTTGGCACCGACAATCTTCTCGCCAGGAGAGCGCAGATCTGCGACAACCAATGGCATAGGGATGCTTCCGCTAGCGAAGTTATCTTCCAAAGCAATGGAAGACCAGGTGTAGTTTGGACCTCCATCGGTAGCATTAATGAATTGGAACGACAGCATTCGTGCCCTATGTATGTCAGCTAACGTCATCAAAGAAAAACATCAAAGCTATCAAAGAACGTACCAAATATCAGTAAGAGTAGTTTCAAATCCAGCATCCGACTTGGCTTGCACCTGGTCCGAAATAGTATTATAGTACTCCGCAGTGCTCAACAGCTGAAATCCACCAGTCGAAGGGCCCTCCAGAATAGACTGTCCAAGCTGCCATGCCTCGCCTTTTCCGTCGGCTTGCAAATCCCCAATCGTCGTAAAGTTATTCACATATAATGAAGCCAGCAGCCAACTGCCGCCACTCAATCCCGACACATACGTCGCAGTCTGTAACAAGCCACCGACTTGGCCGGCAGTCGTACTGTTGGGTGTCCGACTATCAAAGGCTTTGAGGGCACCACCACCCGACAACATGGCACGATAGCCACCACCGGAGACGGCAATGGCGACGTTTGGTAAATTGGTAGCATTGTCGTTTGCAACGCTGTTAATGTAGCTCACGGCGTCGAAGTTGGAAATGTTGACATGGCCGAAGAAGTCGCGCATGGCCTGGGTGGTGTGGTTGCGGCGGAGGGAAAGCCATGATGTCTCGTTGGACGAGAGAGTGGCTGCGCTGCGGATCGTTGGGCGTGCTGCTGGGCAGGAGACGTTGGCTGGAGCGTAGCCGTTGGGAGCATTGGGCAGGGCTCGGGGGATGACATTATCGGCGGTTGCTACATCTACATATCTACAGTCAGTATGTTCCCACATTCTGAGGAAGATACTTACCTGATAGTAAGCCCGCAACGAGGGCAATAGACTGAATCGTTCGCATGTCGACGATATCCAAAATGCTATCGTATGCAAAGACTCGCATACAAAAGCAAATGAAGACGAAAGAAGGGATAGATCTCAGGGACAAGCGGTTAGGAAAGGCACGTGTGATAATAACAAGAGGAATTAGTGCCGATCTTAAATACCACAGTCACTGTTCCTCAGCCCTGACTGTTAGTCTTGCACAATGATCTAATGCTACATGCTAGTCATCCACATCGGATGAACTGGTCGAACTAACTCCGTACAGTGGCTGAGGTGGCCTAGGGCGCGGCGGTTGCTTGGCTACCGAACCAGGGAATCATTTTGCGATGGAGCTCGTACTTGTGCATGTTGGATCTGACTCGCATAGAAATGGGGAATAAATGGAGGCCTGAAGAGACGCTGAGAGGGCGACAAAAGAAAAAGCAGGAGGCTCGGCAGCTGCGGATGTGATGTGATGTCATGTTTAATTCCTAGTTTTCTAGCGGCCGAGCTTCAGTCTACCATGTACGTCTCAATGTTATTGATCTGCTATGTACTTCTTAACTCGCGACTCAAGTCTCAATGATCAACACACAATGCATCAACTCACCGATGCACGAGTAACACTGCCAACAGCGACGTGTACAGCCGAATCCACTCGCGTGCCGTATCTCGTATTTCGTATTTCGCATTTCGTTCGCATCTCGCATCTGTTGTACATTCAGCTGTATCCGCTGCCAGCCACAAACCCAATCGGAATGCACGGATGTGATTCTCCACCTTTAGGAGTGGCTCAGTTGTATTATTTGTGTCTTATGAAGGTTCATAAGACGGTGAAGGTGCTGCTGGGCGTGGCTGTGCTGTGCCTGCTGCGAGACGGATTCGGCACTTGATGTTTCCCGGGCTGGCGCTGAATTAAAATGGAAAGGGCTGAATCTGTAACCCTACAACTAACCCTAATGCCGGTGCAATTTAATACGGGCATACATAGTATGAAGTAGATTGATCCATTAGATTAAGTGTCTTGTACTGATGGTAGAAACCTGACGCTTGCGAGCATGATGCTAAACATATCGTGAAAATAAATGAGATGAACGCCATCGCAAGTAAAGATTCCCATGACTGCAGAAACAGAAAAAAAAGTGAAACGCCCTCCAGCCATCTCATACCGCTGGATCATTCGTAGGATCCCGAGAAACAAACAATTGTATATGCAAGATATTAGAATAGTTGTGTGTTCTATTTTCGTCGTCGTCATCGTCGGCTCAGCTTCGCTTGGTTGTTTTGCAATTACCTTACCAAGCAGCATGGCCACCGTCCATCCGCAAATCGCTTCCCGTCATAAAGCTACTAGCATCGCTGACCAAGAACACCGCCGCGCCACGGTATTCTTCAGGGCGCGACAGACGACCCAGCATGTTCTGCTTGGGCCATTCCTCGCGGCGCTCGGGAAACTGCACGAACAGGTTCTCGACCATCTGGGTGACGATGTAGCCGGGGCTGATGGTGTTGACACGGATGTTGTACTGGCCCCATTCGGCGGCGAGGTTGCGGCCGAGTTGGATGACGGCTGCTTTGGAAGCATTGTAGGCTGGGCAGATGAGACCCTTTTCAGTGTTAGCATCATACTACCAGAGTCGACAGTTGGTGTGGGGAGCGTGGCAAAAGGATCATTTCCATTACCCCGCAATAAGGAGAGAAATACCTTGTTCGCAATAGTCCCGCTCATACTAGCAATCATGACAATGCTTCCCCCGTTTCCGAATCGGATCATCTGCTTGGCCACCGCCTGCGCAGTCATGAACACGCCAGTCACGTTGACCTCCATCATAGTGTTGGCGTCCTTGGCCGAGTACTCCAATGCGGGCGTTTCCTGCTGAATACCGGCCGCGGCCACGAGGCCATCCATGCGGCCCTCGACATTAGCGATTTCTTCGATGACGGCGTGGAGGAGCTCGGTGTCGCGCACGTCGATGCGGCGGTATTCGATTTTGGTGCCGAGGGTTGTCGCTTTGGCTTGGATGCGGGCGAAGTCTTCGCTCTATACATTCACATGTTAGCTTCGTATAAATTGTTTGGTAGATGAGAGAGACGGACTGGCTCAGGCAAACGGTCAAGAGCGTAAACAATGGCACCAGCTTCCAGCAAAGCTTCGGCCTGGACAAGGCCTAAACCACGACCAGCGCCCGATACGCAGACGACCTTGTCCGTGAGCACGAACTCGGGCATGCGGCTCTTGGTGCCCAGGTAGACGGCCGAAGCGTCGGCGGGCTCTGCAGGACCGCGAGCGGTCTTTTGGGGAGTGGCGACAGTCTCGATGTTGATAGACATTGCTATTATCTGAGAACGAAGGGAGTAGAATTAGGTAGAGGACAGATGAATTTAAAAAAAGTCGGAAGGAGATGGATGAGAGGATAATCAATTGTCTACATTGAGCTTCCTCAACCATGGACATTCTCCTCCTTATATACCATTCCATCTACAATGCCACTGGTGGAACCCAATCCAACGCCTAGAGCTAGACAGCATGCTACAATGCTCATGTGAACATGAAAATTGTTGCTAGTTACCTACGGAATCAAAGATGGATACCCCGGATAAGGAGTTCTCCCCGTAGAGCACGGTCAGACATCGTAAGTTACACGTTGTATACTGTACAGCAAAAGAATCAACATACTTACTGCCCAAGGAAAAAAAAAATTAGCGGGGCGGAATAATTGGTAGCACATGACCTGTTTCTAGACGCATCCAGCCCATTTATTGGTGATCGTTGACATAGCTTAGTATCTATTTTGCGGGGGTTATATAGTATCTGCTCTAGTAAACAGAAGTCTTTCCATTAGCTCGACTGACTACTTCCAATCATGGCTCGGTTAATGGCCGCGTCTACATCTTGTTTCAATTTAGCCAGCTGATAGGTTTGTTTTCAAGATGTTGTAGCGTGTGTAGTCAAGTTTTCAATCGGACAGACAAGTCACTTCGTAATACATCGACTCATTGTATCATCGTTACATATGTCCTGCTAGAGGCATGTCACTCATACAATGATAAGACAAATCAGGGATTGAACCAACAAATCCAGTCCCATTTGCTGCGAAAGAATGGGAAATATTTCCATATTCCTAAGGACGGTCGGGAGGACGGATTGGGAAAGCCGGTCGGTAGGATGTCCGTACGGCTAGCCAACGCCACCGTCCTTGTCTCTATAGATGTTTCTTAGTTCTTACGCTTGTAATAGCCAACACCAGTGAAAACTGAGAATAGTTCGGGATGGTCTAGAACGAGCCCGCCATTGCGGTTCTCCAGCGGGGTGCAGATCACGTGTAGTCTTGATCCTACAGGGTTGTTCATTAACAATTGATGTTCAGTCTAGACGATTCAACCACCCGTGGACGTGTACAGGATATTTCCAGCCCTCAACGTTCTACAGACTACAGGTACAAGTCGTTGGCATTCACGATGGTATCACGGCGTCTCGGGCCCATCTCCAAGAAAGATCAGGCCTAGTTCTAGATCTCTGCAGTGTCTGCACGTTTCTGTAGAGTCAACAAGTATTAGCGAGCATACATACTACGTAGTCATACTGTAATAGAAATCTGCACAATAGTTCATCGTAAAAACAAGCTACGTGTACTATACCCAGACAGATGTATACTGTACAGTGGCTGACGGAATTTCCTTCTTGACTCTAGCCTCTTACGTGGGCATCAGCCCACTCCCTGAGTCCCTCACTGTTCAACCGACAATATACTTGGACAAGAGATGGAACTGACGATGCACGGACCATAGTTTCTTTTTTACTCTGTGTCTTGAAAGTGAAAGACTGCAAGTGGCTGTAATTGACTTTCTGGAGCAGTCAGTGGATCCGGCATCGTGGGACGGGGAACGGAGTACCATTCAGAGCTTTCCGTGGTATGCTGTAACCATCACTTCAATGTTGGGTACATATAGGAGGTTCATCTTTCTGTTAATATTTACATGAGAGACTAGGTAAGATGAACTGTTTTTATCCGACTAGGTATCAGTACTCTAACCCATACCTATATTTAACTACTCTGTACACATATCGTGATATATATGACAGATCCATGCCTGTACTTGTGCACGGCTTGTAGATCTTATGATCGTTCTATGGTAATACGGAGTATACATCTGTGAACGCTGATTTACAAGCGATAAGTGACCAGTTAACTGAGTCAGATGAGACTAAATACAGCATAGTCTAGAATATTTCCTCTTTCGGAAAACCAATAATCTTCGGTTTCCGGGGAGATCTGTCAGGCTGGTCAATTCCGTCATGTGATACTTCGAATTTTGCTATGAATATTAGTAAACAAGTCTGAAATAACTTGAACAAAGCTACTCGAAAGTCTAGTTCTTGCTACATTCGATCTACCCGTCTAGGTACCGTAGATGGGAGTACTCACCACAGAATGGCAAACCCGCCAACTAGAGGTACTTGTGGCAGCAGTAGTATGTGGGTCAACATGCAGGTACTGCATGCTTCTTACTCTCTGAACAATGAAACTGATCTTCTTGTAGACTAAGTAGTGTTACGTGTCAACCCATAAAAAATGTGCCTGTCCTTGTGACCGTCCACCGCATATGCAAAATATCTACTAGTCTCGCGGACCGGAGAGGCGACCAGCACGTGTATTTCAGACAACTGTATGTGTGGATTATCAAGATGAGCAAGTCGACTACCTTACATTCAACTTTCAGCTGTATTTTACTGCGCAGAAACGCGATGGTGGATTCAAAGTAGAGGAGTGTATTCTCGAGCGAAACCCGATTAGGAATTGAATTAGGACTCAGCATCAGCCAGAATAGAGAGTGATGATTTACGTGTATATTCTCTTTGACCTTGATAGGAAGCAGCTATAGTCTCTATGAAATAATACTTACGTCTACTATACCTAGGTATACAACCGTTCATTTTCATGTTTTTGCTGCGTTGTCGCTGATGGACCTCGTAACGAGACAACCACACGGTCTGGATCCCAAGCTCGACTCTGCCGAAATGCTTATGTCGGCTATCGGTTTTACCGGAAATCATGAATTATGATCCATACAAGGGTGTTACTGCATAATGCTTGTCAGGCCGTTGGGGCATGGGGTGGGCCTGGAGGTCACCCGGGCATCTGAATATTCTAGTTTGCTGCACAAGTTCGTGTTTGATGTCCCCGTTTGGTTGTGATTGAAAGAATATTTTCGCGTATTGCGACTACAAGATATGCGATTATGCAGGTTTACTTGAGATGAGAAGCTAGGTATCGGTATCGGACGGATTGCTATATGCGTCGACTACTCTAGAATAGCAGATCTACATATCCATGTAGGGATTTATATACCGAATCTCGGCATCAAGACACACTCTACAAGCACACGGGATTACCGGACCGAGTCCTAGCTCAACTCCCTCCGATTATATCAAACGTCTATCAGGAACCAGGTCAACACATGATCATATAATATGGAGATCGTGCAGAAAGGGTGGAGCATGGCAGTCGATCATCCATTTACAAATCGATCCGTTCTATATTGCCGTTTCAGACAGCTGAGGAAAGAATGGATCTAGACCATTTCCTAATTTGGATATACCGAATTCTATCTCCAATATTCTTCCTCTGTATTTGCTCTTGATGGAGAAGTAGAAGAACAGGATTAATAATTCCATATCCGCATCTGCTCCGCAATCCACCATCTCACCATTCTCCTCGCCTCCTCCATCCACTCCGCGGCGTCGTCACCGTATTCGTCCCTAACGGTCTGCCGCAGTTCAGGGAATTTCCATCCTTGCAGTGGATGCTGCTCATCCGGATCGGCCTGTATATGCGTAAATCGATACTCGAATGACCTCTCGCCACCCATCTCGTTATCTGCTTGTTGGTCGCTATAATCTTGAGACAGGACGACAGGTACAACGAGTCGATATGGAAGGTCAGCCGACATAACCGCTAGTATACCCCCGCCTGCATTGATGGTGCCTATATTCCATACCCTCCGCCCATTCTGATCTCTGTCAATAATCGGTCGGAGGAGTGATTGTCCCTGATACTCGTGAACCAGGGTCTTTGCAATCGTCGCGTCGGCCTGGTTGAGGGAGTCGCTTTCGATGAGGAGATCCAAAATAGTCGGGAGCACACTCATGCCCGTTGTCAGATTCGCTTCGATATCGATGTGTGGCAGATGAGGATGGCGGAATATGAGCGGAACGCGGAAATTGCTGATGTGCGGATTGCCGAATGTGCCTTGTAATCCGTCGTCTTCGTCGAATGCTTGTCCGCTATCACACATCAGCACGTTGCCTAAGTAAGACGTGTAAGAAAAGCGGGACGAACTGATCACCGACAATCACGACAAGAGTCCTATCTGCAATACCCGCTTCCTCTAAGTATGTCAAAATCCTACCAATCCATGAATCCATATACCGAACCGTATTCAAGAATGCATTCAAATCTCGATGACTCCACCGATCGAAGTATTCCTCGCTCTTGAATGTCTTTGGGGGTTTCCATGGATGATGCGTTGTGAGCGTCATGTGTGATAGAAACAGGCGAGTCTGGTTCTTCGCGGCGTCGAAAATGAGGTCTTTCAAGTACGGCTCGATTTCTTCTTCGGAGTAGCTATGACTATCAGCGTTTGACATGAACAGGGATGTTAGGAGTATACCCAAAATAGTTGATTTCATCAGTCTTGGGCGGATAATGTGCTGCCAAAGGATCCTCGATCGTTTCTTTGACTATCTTCTCATCGAAGCCGAGTTGTTTGATGAGGCTACTCTGTCGATCGTAACCATCCGTTGATGATTGTACAAAGACTGATTTCCAGGGTCGCTCCTTAACGAGCTGAAGATCATCACCAGTCTTCTTTGAGTTGAAAAAACCTAGAATATGCGGTAGACAAGGCTGGTAAATTTCTAGCTGGGACTCCTCGAGCATGTCGACCGGCAACGGCATTACACTGCAGTGCAGTGCCAGCAGACTCTTCAATGTCAACGAGCTAGCCGTCAGGGCCCCTTTGACGTTGATMCCTCCCATATCGCGCGGTATCTTGTCAAGCCATTCGACGGCGTCGTTGTCAAATGTCATCTTCCCGCCCGTGCTATTCGTCGCGTACTCCCGAGTCAGCATCTGAGCAGTCGGAGTCATTCTGGACAATTTGTCAATCATCGCGTCTCGGCCTTCTTCTTCGTGATAATTGACTATCACATCATACAGAAAACTTCCCTCCCTCATCGGAAAGACGTCTTTCCGTGCACTTTCCAGCACCAGCAGTACTATATGCTCAATGTCCACGGACCCTTTATCGAAAGCATCTCTCAGCTCGGGATGGACTTGCCCATCTAGATTTGAAATTTTCGCCGGATCCGTCATAGCGTTGTATACCTCATGTCTCCTCATGCATTGGCGTCTCCCTCCCATATTGACACCCATGTCATATCTCTCCTGGCGCTGAGTGTCCGTTAGCCACCGCTCAAACCCCGGTGGAGGATCATCTGGCATCCATTTTGGCCTCGCCAATGGTTGCGATGAATTACCTCCGGGTATCCAGCCGTGGTAGTAGCCAGACGATGGCTGCCATTTGTTCGGCGAAATGAGTTCTGCGAATGGGTAATTCGGATAATTTCGTGGATGGCAGGGTTCTGATGCTTTGCTGAAGGCGGCCGATAGACTGAATGGAAGGGTTGAGGAGAGGTGTTTATATGGTACGTCAGGTCTTGCCAGTCCGACAAAGAGCAAGTACACTGCGAATATGACGACAGGTGACAGTACGCGACATCTTGAGCACTTTATAGGAGATGTAGTGTACGGTGGAAGCACACTCCGACTTTTGATGATGACTCGACTTGCTGATTGTAAAACATCCCTTGCAATCGTGTGAAGATATGGTGTACTCAGAACTGAAACGACGAGCAAGATCACCCCAACCATACAGAAAGTCTTTGTCCCACTGAGCAATATCTTCATAGCTGCTGGGTCGTGCAGAAAGCTGCTGCTAGCGCCCCATTCGACCTGCGAACCGGTCTCGCAGAAGAAGCCGATTTGGACAGCGGATGCTACATATGTCACGATGCTGTTTGGTCAATGTCACTCTTGATCCTGCATCAGAAAGGGTATGCTTACGATATCAAAAAGCCCACAACGGAGCATATCTGCGGCACGCAGCCATCGAATCCTCGAAGCAAAGCCCGGCCCAGGATTATGACCAGGACATCTTGGAAGAAGAAGGTAGGAAAATAGACAAGAAAGTGTACTAGAGAAATAGAACGCCAATGTAATGCAAGATGTAGAAACTTGGACGCTAGACATGATATAACAAGAAGAGAGTAGTAGAACTGGATCATGGTTGGTATGTAGGCGAAGGATGGCGATACCATGTCGCGGTTGACTATAATGATAGGTCAGGAGGGTGATTGTGAAGAGATGGCAGGAGAAATAGTATCATACTAGAAGCATTTGTATCTATCTGGTCGATGTTGTTCAAAAGGTCATTTCTTATGATCCATAATCTTAGTTGTAAATTCGACAAATCCTTTCCTTCTGCATTTCAAAATAGCCTGTGACATTCGGCATGTCACATCATGATCTTTTGTTTGTCATCTCGAATGAGATGAAACCCGTAAAAGAATTGGGTCATCGGTAAAAATAGATGTGTTTGAGTGTCTTGGTTCTTTGTTTTTTGCGATTCGTCTGGTCCGTTTGTATGACAGGAAGTCGATCATAATTATATCATCCGATGTCAACAGGGATTGGGTATAGTGCTTCTTCAGTCATTGTAATGTGCTGTAGGTCTATCTATCCAGGTAATGCAAGTATGTCATGCAGTGGATGGACATTATATCATAAACTATATACATAAACAAGTTAAAAATATCCCTGGATATATACTCACAGAAAAAGGGTGCAACACCCTAACTCCAGACCCTTTCCTATAATATACAATGCGAAACAATGTCGAGACACATTTAAAAAGCCTCGCTAACTATCCCCTTCTCCCCCAATCTCCCAACAACGCCCTTCTTCAACCTCAGCGTCCGCTCAATATCCGCGTCCTGAAGTTTCTGTCTATCACGCATGCTCAGCACCTGCCGTATGGTCATGGCATCCAGGTACTCGCGTCCGGGATGACTCGGTCGTCCAAAGGACTCGAGTTCCTGTTCGGCGGCTTTTGTGATTCGGCTTCGAGATGAGAGCACCAAGAGGGCGGGGTTGTTGTTTGCGTCTGGGAAGACGGATGGCGTTACTCCGCCGCTGCCGTCGGCGCTTTGCGGTATTGATTGAGGTTGGAATTGAGGGAATGTGCGGGTCTGGTTGAATGTGCTTGAATGGGAGAATGTAGGGTTTGGTGTTACGGGGCCGATGGAGCGTAGTGAGGCGGCAAAGTGAGGATCGCGAGCGTCGAGGTCGATTGCTTTTAATATGTCAGCTGATACGTCACAATTTTTAGAAGGAAAAGATAGGTATACCCTCTGAGCGTGTAGCTGAAGCTTGCTCTTTGGAATGATATGTTGGGCCTGCTTCTTGATGTGGCGGAGCTTGTTTGATCGGTGTCGGTGTCGCTTTCGTTGTCCCCGGTGAAGCTGTCTTTGGATATTGGCGACGGGAAGCTGCGCTGGCTGCTGAGCGAGCTGGCTTTGATGCCGTGGCGCCCATTATGTTTGTATTTGTTCGCAGTGTTCAATTATTGTGTTGAATGAAGTCGGGAAGCAAAAAGATGAAGCTAAGCGGACACTAACATCCCGGCTCTTGGCGTTGACGTCAAATGCTAAAGAACAAATTGCTTAAAAAGGGAATAACACATTTCACGATAATAGTACATTTTGATTTGAAGTTTTTAAATAATACTCGAGATCTGCTTATATATATAATGCGACACGCGAACCGTACTCATTAATCACACAATGGTATAGCCCTACTGCCGCCTCGTAGAACAGGCGGCAGTTTACCGCAAGCCAGCTAGTCGTCGCTCTTGTACCTCACTCAAGGCACGGCTTCCACTGAGAAAAGCAACAGCGCCGACGATGAGAGAAGGGGGAAGCATTTGGAACAGAGTCCAGCTTGTGTAATACATGAAAAAAATACCCTCCAGACCAATGACGGACGACACGAAAACGATGTGAGGGACTGGTGCAGCTTTCAAGGCAACGGAGAGGTGGTTGAGGTTGACGTCGAAGTACATCCACTATACAATCAATGTGTTAGCTCGAATCGTACTCGATTAAGGGTCGAGGTGTACGTACCATTCCTGCCAAAACCGGGATGGTAACTAATGTCGACAAGAGGAAGATCAAGGTAATGATTTGTGGAGGACTTTTGGGATCGGTCTTGAAGATGTGATTTATCCTAGGCTGCTTTCCGTATCTCTCCACGGCGTCAGATGCGGCCGGCGCACTGGCATCGCTGTTGATTGATAGCTGGAAAGCGAGGTTGCGATAGGCGTCGGAAGCTCCGAATGAGCCGATGACGATTTCGGCATCGACAGGCTCTGATGTGCCTAGGAATTGGGTGGGAATGTCTTTCTTGCTCTGTATTTCCAAAAACTGTCAGCTTTGAAGCATGGCTAGTAGAGTATAATAGCTGTACTGACCAATTCGACCTTGGACTTGCCGTCATTCTTGACGCTGAAAGGATATGAGACGTCTAGACCGGTAGCAGAGTCCTTGAGCAGTAGAAATGCCTGATGTGGCCGTTTTGCGCTGCGGTCTTCCTGCGTTGTGAGGAGAAGCTTGAGAGAGTCCGAGTCGCCGAGCGTAATGGGAGTCGACAGAGGTGCATTTTCTTTGAGACTGCAAAAATTGGTAATTAATAACTCAATAATAATCACTCAAAACAGGTTAAATGATTGATTCTCTTACCTCTCCTTCACTCTGCTTGTCGCGGACTTGGAACTTACTGACACGGTGGCATCAGTGAAACCCCAAGAGGCCGCGTAAACAGAGGGAGCGACGAGCGCGAGCAGGCCGAGGTGCGCAGGGAGGCGCATGTTGAATTGATCTTCAGGTAAGAAATAGAAAAGAAGAAAGAAATGAATAGATCAATTGGTACTGTTGGATTGCTCAAGGTGGTGAAAGTAATAGAAGTGGTGGTGGTGTTGTAGAGAGATGGGGCAAGCGGCGTCCAGTGACCGTTTCTGCCGTTCGGAGATTCAAGCCCTAATTCCCTGTTCTGTTCTGCTGCTGATCTCGCCGAAAAAACATCCTCGCTTTCTTTTCCTGCGACTATTGCAACACCCACGCCGCGAGGCCTGCACCCTGTTACTGCGCTGTAACACGCTCGATCGCATCTCCACGCTCCGTTGATTCTATTGCGATAAAAATTTCGTCTATCCCACCGTGCCACCGACCGTCCGACGCCCTTCGTGCTTCCGAGGCCTCCCGCAACCTGTCGTTTCTTTGACACCTACACACCGTCCACTACACCGCGAAGCCGTTAGAAACACTCGAGATTGTTTGGATATACACCGGCTACCTGGAAAATTCTATCCATAGAGTATGTGTTACCTAGCGATGGTGAAGCGGTTCGTTTGAAGGCCTGGTCGGATGAATGGAGGCCTTGCCCTACAAGAGGACTACAATTCGCCGCTGGAAATACAAATAGCCTTGATATACTGACTACAAGCTTACTATCCAGACGTCTTTCGATTAATTACCATCGTGTGGCCTGCTGTGCTGCTGCCCTCGAAGTCGTCCACCGCTAGCGTTTCGAAATTCTAGCCCTAGACCCTAACTCTGCCGTGCTGTCACCTGAGAGTGAAAAGCATCGGACACGCCCGTCCAGATAACAATAACAAAACAAATCTGCACATGGCTGTTCAGCCTGCACAATAACAAAATACATGGACTTTTTCCCTGGATTTAGAAGACCTGGATGTATGTTGCTTTTTCTGCTGATGTTGCCAGCCAAACCCCGCTGCCTTCTGATGGCAAAAACCAGTCACTGACACTCGGTTTCTCTCACAGTCAGACCACCAGCTGGCCGCCAGCATTCACTGTTTCCTCGACTTTCGATCTTTCCTAGTTTGTAAATGCTCTTCATTCCAATACCATGTTTTCCCTCTTTTCTAATCTCATTCGCAGGGGTTCGCCCATTATGGCAGCCCACGATGACGCCCCAAAGTCTTCGTCCATGCCATCAACTCCACAGTCTTTCTTGTACTATGAAACTGACAGTCCATTTCCCCCATCGGGCAATGAGGAGCTCTGGCACAGCTCAAAGCGTCGTCGCACTCAACAGAGACCATCGAGTGAGACGCAATTTATTCACATGAATGGCTACAAGAGCGACAGCCAGCTGGGCACACGCTTCAACAATACTTATGTTGATTCGTATTCGGACTCCAAGACTTTTGATAATACGCAGAACAAGTCTGGTGACGCAGCCTCGGTACCCGAGGATGCCGCAGGCACAGCTGCTGAAACTGCTTCAAAGGCGAGTGACGACCTGCTTGAGGTCTCTTCAGCAAAGTCAGTCCGTAGCGCCCGCAAACCAATGGAACGCTCAACAGAGACCTCTCAGCGAGTTTTGAAAGTAAAGTCTGGCGCTGGGTCATCGCAACCGACGAATATTCAGACCTTTATCTTCAAAACAAAACTGGATCCACGGAATATTGGCTACAGAGACCGTTCAGATGAGCCTGGTACACCCTCCTCAGTGAACGAGACTCCCGAAGTGCAGATGGAAAGTTCTCCTGCTGAGCCATCAACGCGACCAACTCGCAAGACCCGCAAGTCTGAAGTGTCCAACATGCTTAAATTCAAGAGCTATACACCTAATGCTACACCTGTCCTGCGTGGCAATAATGCATCGCGCAAACCATCTCGCCAAGAGCAGTCTGTAGATGCTGAATCGCCAGCGCCTACTACTGCCGACGACAGAACATACTTGGATCCTTTTGAGCAAGATAGACGCCTAAGCCTTGATAAAATGAGTCAGTTCGAGACGCCTAGGAAAGAAGACGGTTTAGGAGGTTCTAGTGATTCGGCACAACGACGAAGCACCAGAGTCCGCAAGCCCGCAAAGAATGTTTTACTAGAGGAGGCTCCCAAGGAAACTCCTAAGAAAGAGAAATCCACCAAAGAGCATGGATCGACGACACAATCATCCAAGTCACTCGGCAAGTCTGCCAATACCACTGCAATTGAACCAGATTCATATAAATCTCCCCCTGCTCGTCAATCTGACGCAGTTTATCCGTATGGTGATGCTTTTGATCGATACGGCACACCTTCACCTGATGGTTTATCTAATAAACGCTCCTCTGGACGTGTACGAAAACCTACAATCAAGGCAATCGAAGCTTTGCAGTCCAAGCCACACAGTCGAAAGAGGCTACGAAATTCTGACCATTTTGTCGCTTCGGGTGAGACTACTCAAAATCAAGGCAAAGGTACACCAGAACCTGCCGACACTGCGAACACTTCTACTGCCCCGACATCTCGCAGTGCTAGCGGAGATAGTAGCAATGCACCATCTGTCTCTATGGATGAATTCGATAATCTCGGTCTGCAACTCTACGATTTGGCAAGCACCGCAATTGGGGATGCGGCATCTGTGGAAGATGAGGAGGCGAAGATTGCCGCATGGCGTGAGGCTTTCAATAAGAAGAGGATTGAGCAAGTCCCGACGCCTGTTGAACAAGCGGCGGAAGCGACTGAACCCGAACCAGAACCAGAAGCCCCAGCAAAGGAAATTCCACCAGTCATTGAATACCTCAATCTTCCCGGTGAAATCAATGCTGATATCCCTCTGGATCACCCTCAGAGACCACGCCCTTTTACCGAGGAAGATGGCTGGATGCACACCGGTCGCGTCAACCAACACGGTGAGGAATATTGTCTTGCCCCCGCCGAGAAATATCAATGGGTCAAACATACATCAAATTACAAAACGCCTATTGGACCGATTCCTACCCCGCCCCCTGTCCTCAAGTCAGTTGACGAGATTCGACGTGATACTATCTACGGCTTCCCACCTAGTCCCGGCAAACGAAATCTATCTCAAAGGCATCCCGGCCAAGTATGGCGATTTGAGAACGTGGAAGGTCTGGTTAGCCAGACTCCTACTCATACCAAATCACTCCGCTCATCCGACCGATCCGTCGCCAAACAGGTTGATGCCATGAATGTTGATGATTCTGGCATGAAGACGAGGTATATCCACAAAAAGGGATTCCCGCGTTTCAAACGACCTCTTAAGATTGTCTTTGTCGATTCTTCGAAACTTGCTCTACCTGCTCCGTCTGAATCTACTGCATCTTTGCGCAGGCGGCGTCAGAGTGCACCGCTCTCTGCAGGAGCAAATTCTACTCCTAGCAAGACACGAAAGCGCTCGTTTGATATGACTGATGGAAGCCACGCTGAAAGCTCCGCGCAAGCTCAGCCGCAGCGCAAAAAGCGACAGTCAATTGTGAAAGCCGACGGAAAATCAGCCCCAGGGCGTCCGAAACGTCAGTCAGCTGTCGGCACCGTCAACAACAATAAGAGCAGCGGCACTAATCCTTCGACTCCAGCGACCGCACCGCCAAAATCAACCAGCAGCGGCGCAAAACCAACCGGCGGCTTGGAGAAGCTTTCACTCAAATTTCACTTTGGAAACCACAACAAATAGCGCCATGAATTATGTGTGCATAGTCAATTCAAAATGCCGGCTAACCAAAGATGTCGCCGAAATCACCCTATTCTTACCCTTTCTTCTCTGTTATTCTACCCATTTTTAATTTGCTCTGCTTTCCATATCCTGACCTCCTGAATTTTGCATATTCCGGATCTGTTAAACATGTGCCTGATGATTTATTCATTTTGAGAGTTTTAGTTTCAATGGGATGCATCACTCTGTTTCTTTCTTCATTATCGATCATCGATTTATATCATGTATTATCCCTTCCCAAAAGCCATGTGGTGATGATGATGATGATTCATACTGTATTATAAATATCAAGTTCATCACTGAGTGTTCTGAGCGATTGTATTGTTTATTTTTTTTTTGTTTTTACCGAGTTTGTTGAGATGGATGAAGAGATGCCTGGTAGTGTTGTGGCGCAGAGCCGGTGCATGTATAATTGCGCTGTGCTGGGCTGCTTTAATGATAGATGGTTTTCTTTCCCTCTAGATTTGTTTCATGTGTAGACTTGTATTTTCATCTTGTGTAGAATCGTTGGAATTGTCGTATACCTTGGTAACGATATAATCGACACCTCATTGTTCAGGCAAAAGTTGATAAATTTGGCCTAATTTGGCCTAGTACCGTTTTTGACCTTCATCCGTCAACGTTTCTTCAAGTTCTGAAGACAGTCGTTTTATATCGAGCCCGGCCGATTGTATGCATACGAACTCTTGAGAATAAGATCACGCTGCATATTCATTGCAGTAGCTCATTGATTTAGCCGAACAGAGTCTGAGGGAAACCCATACGCCACAGAGGAGGAAAAAAAAAAGATTTTACTAAATACGGATTCATCATCAACCGAGGCGAAGCAAGCAGAAAATTATCAACCGAGTCAATAAGTATCAGCACAGCAAAAAAGCATCACTAGGGGAAAGAATAGGGAAAGATTGATAGGATGGCTTCACCCACACAACAATCAAAACCACGAGTCATCTCACCCGAAGAAATCCGCCAACGAGACTTCAACAGCTCTTCATCATCATCATTTACACAACCAACACAGAAGAGAATCACACCCGGAAGAAGGACACCACTACCAGCAAATATCGATATTAGACAGACCAAAGAATATAAATCTGCTTCTAGGAAGTATGTCTCCACTTATGTCGCGTTACGGTTGATCATAGCATTTACTGATGTGTTTCAGATGGGTATCGACGATAGTCGCGCTTCCGATATTGTTTTATACGAGTTGGGAGTTGTATGAGCGGAGTAGGTTTTTTTTTCCTTATTTTGATTGAGGTTATGCTGATTGATGCCTACAGCGTATGGATCGAAGGTGCAGAAGAGTCTTGTTGATGTAAATAGGAAGGCTGTTGAGGAAGCTTCTTCGAAGAGTTCTAGTAACTGATATTCCTTGAATTTGGTCCCGACATGTGAGAAGTGTATAATAGAAGTGAATGTAATATATAAAGGGGAAGAATATTTCAGAATCTCGAAGAGTGCCACCATCAATCGTTCAGTCAGTCGGTCGGTCCAGTACAGTAATCCTCCCATCGCCCGCCATTCCTAGCAAAATCAAGCCCATCAATCCAATCCTTCAGTTTACACCTCCCCAAATCATCGACATCACACCCATGAAGCGGCACAACCCGATCATTCACTAGAACCCTCACAAGCTCCTCTCCCTCTTCTTCTTGATCGTCCTCGGACGCGCAACGCATGACCTCAAAATACGCCCTTGACGCAAAAGGCACGACCCACGACGCCGAAAACCCCTTCGTCCCGGCCGCGGACTGCACATGCTTCGCCGAAAGCGGGGGCGTAGAGTTATATAACCCGAACGCATCGAAAATTGACACCATCGCGTTATCATGGGTGAAATCAGCGTAGAGAGCAGTATCAAGCGGGAATGTATCCGGGTCAGAGTCGAGGGTGTGGTTGACACTCGTATGGTCGATTACAGGCAGGGATTTGGTCATGCGAGAGATCAATTCGTTGACGTAGCCGACTCCTCGGGTTGACCCCAAGGGATTCCCGGCGCCGAAAGCGTAGTATTTCTCTAATGTTTTGTAATAGTCGTATCCGTACCAGTCGGAGATACTGAAGAGGTTGCATAATGGTGAGAGTGTGCCGTTAGGATTATTGACGGTTTCGAAAGGGCAGAGGTCCATCAGGAGTGGGATGTCGATGAGTGCGAGGTTGACACCGGGCATGTGTTCCATCATACTCTGTAGGATTGAGATGGCGAAGATGTTGAGGAACTCTCGTTGGACTTCTTTGACTGGGCTGCCGTCGGAGAATGTCTCGCAGGTTCCCGTGTCTAGCGTGTTGTTCCATTCGCGACCTTCTGGGATTATCAGATCAACCGAAGTATTGTACTGTGACTTATCCGAGTATGGGTCATATATCTTCGCTTCATTGTACCCGTGACTAAATAAGTTCGCCGAAGCAATTACGCGATCTGAGCCAGATGCTCGCACAAAAGGAACATTGTGTCTGGCCAACTCTCTATATCGATTGTAGAAAGTAGTACCCGAATCAAACATCTCCACTTCACCGAACGTAGTCAAGTCATCGTCTCCAAGCGTGTATCGATAGTCTCTCAGCAGAGCGTAAATATCATTTCTGTATTCTTTGGCTGTCTGTTGAATCCTGTCTATAAGACTGACATACTCTATACTTTTGTGATAAGTGGGATATCGTGCGCCATGCCGAGAGAGGACTTGCACAAATGTTATGTTGCATTTCGGTGGTACTGCAGGGTTGATTTCTGACTGCCTGCGGAGTGAGAAGAAAGGCGAGTACTGACCCCAGTAATGCGATATGTCTGTGACATCGCTTTTATGATAAATATAAGCAGATGCAAATTTTTTTGTCAAGGAGCTAATGATCGTTGTTTTTAGCAAGATGAAAACACGATGTCGATCGTCTTTACATACAATGATATCCCAAAACTCAAGAGTAAAAACACCCCAATCGCGATCGCAAAAGACCTTCTTGGAGACTTGAAGCGTCGTGGTGGCGCAGATTGTGCGCTAACAAGCGGCCTGGCTTCTTTGTATTCATCGTCCGAGTCGCTGTCGACAGCGAAAACGTCGTCTTGAGGCCTCATTGTTGGAGCGCTTCCCACAAGGATGAACACTCTATTTCCGTGCGCGGAGTTGACTCAACTAACAAACCCTCACCACGCGAATACGTGATGTCTATTTAACCAATACCTATTGGACTGTTCCTCTTATTCAATATCAAAGTCGAAACCAATGAAAGAACGTGGTGTTTGCATGAAAGATCAGAGTTGAAGCCGAACACACCTGCCCTGGTTACACTATCCACTGATTGGTTGGATGCCTCACACGTGTGTGGCCCCTTTTCTCAGGCAGAAAAATGTGCCGCTCATCTTCACCATCCACCCAATTGTATATGTCCCGCAGGAGTTCTGTTCGGGTATTCTCGTGGCAGACTTGCGCATGTTGTCTATATTTCGAGTTGAATAAGGCATTCTGTGAGATATCTAGGCGAGATAGAAGGACTGTGTTCGGAATCCCGAACGAAGGCATGGTTCAGTGCTATAGATCGATCGGATCCACAACAAGTGAGATTTTGAAATAAAGTAACGTCCTGTGTGGCAGCCGCAATCGAATATTTTTTGCTAGAAATATATGCCAGGGCAAGTTCTCTCTTATAATTGACATCGATATGTGTGTGCGTGTGTGTGTGTTTCTGTTCATGACTCGCACGTTTTCACTATTCTCTATTGGGGCGAAGGCCGCCGAGGGTAAAACCTCGGGCTTCAATGTCTATATCAGATTTATATCCTCCGTACAGAGAAGAGACTTTTTGGCGCATTTCTATGGCTGCCGTGGTCTTTTAGGGCTTCTATGTGAGCTTTAGGTATTTGCTAGCTGCAATGGTCCACATACACTCCATGACCCGCTATTCTGATAATTGACATCGGTAGTTGAATTGTCTCAATTTCTCAGCCCTCTAGGACATGTGTGCCAAATCATCGCAGATTTGAGCAAATATACCAAATGCTGCGGTCGCTACGGCCAGCCATATCAGCCATTTGAGCAGTAGTCGAAGACTTGCTCAGGATCATGTCACGAATGAGCTCATGCTGAGATGCTGCCAGATTCGGGGCCATTTCGAACTTAACCAATGTTGGAGAAAGCGAGTTTGCCAATGAATTTTGGTGGGCACCGACGCTGTATGTAATCCCTTATTGTAAACAATCGAATGTTCTGGGATGAAACAGTAATGAGAGTTTAGGGAGGAAAGCGATATCAAATTTCACTGTATTGTATATAAAATTTATCCCAATGACTGATTCAATTTGACTACTTAATGGTTGAAAGTATATAAAGAACACCGAAACTCACTTATCCCAGTTTCCCCGTCGTGCGACGATCCACTCTTTAGACAAAACAAGAACGCCAAAGACTCAATGACAAATATGGGACGAGTGGTACTGTACAGTCTAGGAGGCAGATGGTATTCTCCAACAGATATTATATGTATTTGTAGGTTAATGAGAAACAGGGTATATGAAGCCTGACGCGAAAAAGACACTCCACTTCACCGATCTGATCATGAATAGTTGATCGCGAATGAGAGAATGAAACAGAACCAGGACGCCAGAAATGCGGTATAGGAGAGAACGACAAGTATGAAGGTCCGAAATGTAGTGAGTAGGATGAGAAGGTATACACAGAGATTAAATGGATTAGGAAGAGGAAAGGAGCCTCTCATGAGAGAGGATTTGAAAGAGGTCACCTCATATTTGGCATATACCGCACATCGTCCCGATAAGGATGATGTTGATAATTACCAGCAGGAGGATTCGCGCTCTGCCACGATTCGGGGTGGTGTGAACCTGCAGCAGACGATGCATACGACAAAGCGTCAGAACCAGACGCTGGAGTAGGGAGCATGCGTTGCGTGGTTGATGCCAGTGACGAGGAGGTCCCGGTGCTAATACTCTTGGACATCATCTCTCCCCCAATGCCAATGGCTTGTTGATGTGAATCCGCTGGCGACGGCTGATCACCAGGACTAGCTGTTGATTGAGTATAGCGACGTTGAGGCGCAGGAGAAGAGGGACGAGGCGGCATCTGCGCGATGCCAACGTGTTCACTCAATGTGTCCCTGAAAAAGTTTCTTTCGTTACGATAAAAGTCTCTTTCTTCAGTCAAAAATTGCATTTGTTCATTGAGCTGGTTGATCCTCTGCTCAAGGGCAGCTTCGTTCTTTTTTCGGTTGCGGAACCGTCTTGAAGCGTCACTGTTTGCTTTTCGTTTCTCGGCTTGGCTTCTTGATCCGGATTTCAAGTCAATGGTGACTGGGATCATGGGACTGCCGCTATACTGAACCTGATTTCCTGCTTGACTTAGCAAGTCGGTTGGGCCGGGATATGCAACGCCGGAATGAGCATCATCACCATATCTTGAGCCACTCATACGACTCGGCGTACGACTCAAAGGGTCCATGCCCATGAAAGGAGATTGTGAGGCAGAGTCCAATCCCACTGACGAAGGAGGTAGCGATGCAGACTGTCCCAGAGGTGGAAGTATGCCCGATGTAATAGAAGGTGATGGCACGAATGAACTAAACGTGGAATGCGGTGTACTGGGGCTGGATGCTTGTGAACTTGGATTGGTGGCCAGTCCACCACTGAGATGACGGCTGTGTTGATGGAAAGTCGGAGTCGAATGGCGAGAAATTTGCAGAGGCGGTGGGTTCCGGCCGGGGATCGAGACGGCCAGTTGTGGTGAGTACCTCGATGTTGACGAGTACTCAATGGATGTTGCAGTCGGACCTGATGATCCTCGTCCGTGTCCCGGAGTGCTGTAGACACCTGCAGACAACTCTTGCACAAATGGCGATTGAGATACCGTGACTTTTCCTGCACCAGTACCGCTGTTGCCTGTTGCACCAACAGATCCAGTACCGATGTTATGGTTTCCACTAACACTGGCGTGGCGTAGGGCGGGCGAGACGGGTGTGATGATACGACGAGGAGGGTGAGGTGGTGAAACTGACGATCCTCCGGCGTGCTGAAGGTATGGTTTGCTGATCGACTTTGAGATGGGAGCGAGGAGGGGTGAGGAAGAGCTACGTCGTTGAGGGGACGGAGGTAATGTAGGAGGTCGAAGCAACTCCATCGTGTTGTTCCTGTTGTTGCTGTCTTGGGTAAGTCGTTTGTCAACCTGCGAGTTGCCACCCTCGGTGGGATTCAGGATGGATTGAACTCCAATAATTGACCGAGCATGCGTCGACGATTCCAGTCGGGGCTGAAGGACGGCGGGCTCGGGCCAAGGATATGGTCTTTTCGTACCTGCTGTCTCGCATTGGTGTGATTCATTCGATGGGTCTTGTTGTAACAGGTTTTCGTTGCTGTTTGCCACTCTTTCTTGCTGCTCCTGTTCTTGCTGTTGTCGCTGCTTACGAACATGAAGACCATATTCTGGAGAATTTGAAGACATGGGCGACAATGGTCCCTCCTCCTGAGACCACGATCGCGGCTCAACACATGGCCGTTTCCTTCCCCTCTCAAGATGCCCGTTGCCCTCCAGTAGGCTTGTCTGAGAGGGGAAGGCGGACGAACTGTTTGGAGTATAGCCCCCCAAGTGACGATACTGGTCGAGACCGTCTAGTGATTTGGGGTGGTGGGTAACGGGGTAAACACTGATTCCCAATGCAGCCACTTTGACTATATGATCCTGATTCTTCTTCTTTGAAAAATACTTTTTTCTCCACGAGTTGGCGTGAAAGCCAATGGGCCGAGTCAGGATGGAATGACAGGTCCAAAAAGCTGAGTAGCGGTCACGAACCGAGGCGAAGTAGTCCGAAGGGGAAAAACAAATGTCCACAACCAAAAGTGTTTGAAAGTCGAATGTATCAGCGAGGATGCTGAATATCGGAGGAATGAGAACGGACAAAAACTCGATCAAAGATTAAACAGGAATAGAAGTGAGTGTGTGATAGATATGCAAGCAGAAGAGTAGTATGTATGCAATATGTAGACGAGTCTATGTAAAGGAGATGTATGAACAATGTGTGTTCCGGTTGTTGTATGCACGTAGATATAGATGTGTGTATGTATGCAGAGTATATGTCGAATTATTATGATATGTTAAAAACTGACCTTTGCGTTGAAGGTGAGATACCCATGTATATGTACATCTTGGGACGCGCCCCTCCACTCCCAAAAAGATCGGGGCAGCAGGGATTGCTCAAGCCCTACTCAGATAGGCTATGGGACAAAAAATTTAGCGTTTCAGCGGTGTGAAGCAAGTAAAATTAGAGTAGATACTAAGTAATGCACAGGCAAGCACATTTCGACTCGTTTGGGAAAAAGTAAATAAGTGACTAAAAAAGTAAATTAGGGCGGCTTAAGGTGATGCAAAAAGAAACAAAGGTGAATGCAGAGCATGGCTCCGGAAGGCGGAAGATACATGCCTACTTTGCTAAGATCGCCTTAACTGGAACAAGTGACAGGAGGTCCTTTTTTTCTTCTTAGTGAACTTAGTGGGAAACCCCCATTCGGGTGATTTCACCTACGGTCACTACGTAGCCCATTCCCAAAAAGGACCCTGCAATTGTTGCTTGGAGAGTTTGTTTGGAACAAAAATTTGGGGCCGGGGATCCGGGAAGGAGAAGATAGCTTTGCAGCTAAGAAGTTGACTGGAGTCGATGGAGATGTGGGTACGGAGGTATGGATACCAGGCGCCAATTCCATAGAAAGGGAGGAGGGGTGGAGGAGACACGTAGGTGGCAACGAGTGAGAGACTGAGAGTTGGTTATGGCAGGCCGTAAGTTAATTAGTGCGTAAGACATGAGAGAGCACTATGAACTAATTCGTTTAGCCGAAGGTTAGGCTCACATTTCCCATTTAGGCTCTAGGCTTATGGGGCTTTGTTGTGCATGAAGAAGGGCGCCCAAAGATGGTATCCCGGGGCATGTTTGGCATATTCCTTAGCTGCAGCATGCAGGATGCACAGTGCACACTGGAGCAAGAAACCTTGTTGCTTTTCGACGACTTTCTTCTATTTACTACATACAACTGGCAGGGTCTGAAAATGCAAATTGTTCGCTTGATTCTGCTTGGCTTCTGTAAGAGATGCTAAGCGCTGCAAGTCAAGGAACAGGGTATTTAGTGTGTACCTGGTAGACAAAGAATGCGTGTTATCCTGGACCAACGGACTAGGCAAGGTTTAGACGATCTAACACTATTTATGACACATGCACAGGAAAGATTAATCTTCGCGCTCTCTATGGTTCAGGGCTACGGGAGACGTAGTCGGTGCGGCCCGCTTCATCACAACCCACGTTAGTTAAGGGAGCATGGCTGGTGTTCTGAACGATGGTGAACTCAGAATCTCAGATACGTAGAATGGACTCAATGGGGCCCCTGGAAGAGCAAATTAGCGGCCCGACAGACCGCTGAGCGACCAGCGTAACCAACCGCAGCCTAATAATTAGAGGCCCGCTACCAGAGCTAACAGCGTCACAAGCGGTATTGGTTTCATTATGATTTGGCCAAGCGGAGTTCGGCCGGCCACTCCGGGTTCGGGTTGGTCAAGTCCATTCAATGTTGAGCTTCATTGTATTCAATTAATATTTGTTCCTTTGTCTGGCTTGTTGCTTCGCAATATCTTTCCTTGTATGACAGAGATCTCCGTCATACAAAGGGCTTGTTCTTGCTAGTGACAAACGCGCAGCTCCTTTGTCTGGTCTAATCATCGACTAGTAATGCTGAACTAGTATCAGTATGTCGTATGCCCGTACGGACCTTCGGAGAACGTGATTGTGTGTAGCATGTAGGCCCCCAAAAACGAGCCTGTCAGAAGTGGAACCGATGGGATTCGGTTTGTGAACGAGATTGACCCACCGGGTCATGAAGCTTTGCTCTTCCGGCCGCAATGATTTGGTCCCTGTTTCACATGATGCCCCATAAGACAGCATTTCAAATCCCTAAGTTTGGCTTGTTGTACGTGCTTCTGACTAACTACGTATGTAGTAGTTTGTCAACTGACAGCCGCTCATGGTTCGTCGATTGGCCTGTGATTTGTTCGAGTGTCCATATGACTGAACTTTGAGAACTCCGTACCTGAGCTTCTTGTTAGCTTGTTAAGACTTGATCAAGCGAGCAATGCTGCAGTGGGGCCAATCCCGAAGACCTACGAAAATCCTAAAATGGACGTGGGCTGAACGAGTTCAAAATCATTCTAGGCTTCCGAACGGCGAATGTTGTCTATAATACAATCAAACTAAAGTACATACTGCATGAGGATAAGTTATATGGAGACAAATTTGCGAAGTCACCGCAGACACATCCACTTGTGGATATCTTCCTACGTAGCGGGCTACCGTTGCTACGGAACTGGGACAGATGAATTGGGTCTTGGTTGTCGTCTATAATACTATTGACTAAGTCAGGAAATACAGTCGGATCGACAGCACATCACTGAAAAGTATGACGAAGCTGTGAGCAAATTTTAGCGATATTATTAACAGCGTTGTTAGTCTCGCTAGTGTTTTTGCTTGATAAAACAGTGAAGTGTATCATCGTTTTCATCATCACCAGTTGTTGATCAAAGTCTAATATATTGATCGTCAACGTCATGAAAAAGCCCAGCTACAATTTGCAGGGCGTTCCCCAATTTTTCAATTGACTCACATCGATAGGGAGACACCTATGAAAATCTCAAAGCCACCACTGGTCTTTTCTTCCTGAAGAAATTGCCGGAATAGGCACAATCTGGCCCTCGTCCAGCATCTCTCCGGCATTTGACATGCTTTAGTGGCCACTCTTCGAGGGTGGCAGATGCAGCACACCCGGGTCGGGCAGCGCCGCAGCAAGTGTTCTGAAGAATTGCGGACACGTTCGCAGGCGTCGCACGGTGGACAATAAGCTAACCCCCTAAAGCAACTAAGTCAGCGAGACTAGCAGGCTAGTCAAGTAGACATGCAGCCGGAAAAGTCACCCCGTCAGATCATTCCGACATTTATGATTTTGTGCTTCTCGAATATAACAAACTATATGTTATATTAATATATTGAAACATTTAAGACATTTCGAATCAAAAACTTGGCAGGAGTCAAATAGTGGTACTGCATATTAATCAATTTATATTGCTGCCCAGGGATTTTCATCCTTTTAATATCGTGCCGAAACGTCTAGAATTGTCAGTTCGTTGCAAGTCTCATGTTTTGCAGGAGAAAATAGATTAAACCCGCCATCTTGACGGCAATTATGCTTGAACTTTGCTGAATAAGGCTTTAGATCATTTAAGTGGCTATTACTGATCAAGATATCGATGCTTTGATGACTATGACAGTAACGTGATCTCTCTAGCCCTGATCAAGTGACTGTCCTGCCAACACACTTAATAGGGGATACTAAGTAAAATAGCAGTTTGCATCATTATGCAATGCGAAAGCAATTCTCTTTGCTTTTGTCTCGTCAGATAAGCCCAATAGGACGCTGTCATAATAGCTTCTTGTCATAGACTTCAAATGTCGATCATGATAAACGTTCCCCTAAGCTACGGACCGTACCTATGTAAGCGTGGTGGATCGCCTTACCTATGTCGACATGTATCATGCTGATCACCCCTGAATCTTGCGATGGCCGGCATCTCACCACAGTCACGACTTTCACTAGCCGTCTCTTGTCCATGGGATTGGGACCTCACCAATACATATTGGGTTACCTCTGCGTGCTAGTGAATGCATGCCTTACCCAAGTAGGCATGTAGTGATCACTTGTCCCGTCATCTCTTAAAAATAAGAAATTTGAAGAAAATTAGGTTCGGTCATTCAGTATTTTGTGTGCCAACTATAGTGCTGGACCACTAGAGTGGGCCATAAGCTTCAATGGCGGGAGAAACGGCCGACCAAGCACTAGCAACGAAGTCGTAGATACAATACAAACAACGCGTATGTCTCCTTCAGGGGACTTGGATTTCTGGACCTAAAAGATGGCAACAATATAAAGTAGAAAGAGATTCCGTCTCGAGGTGAAATTTCTAGTCGATTTAGTATTTTGTGTATACACCAGTAGCAATCGATCCTTTTTTCAGCAATGACTTGAATCCTCTAAGCGGCCCACGGCTTATTCTAAGGGAGACAGGCTTTTCTCTTTTGACTAAGAACGAGAGATAGACGAGTCTGGCTTGTCTCAGCTGCGTGTAACAATTTGTGACAGCTGATCTGCATGCTGCTAAACATTCTCCGGAGTAAAATAAGGTGATACACAATTAACGTCTTATGCGAGTTATCAGCAAACTTCAATGTTCTAGAATTATTCAAGTCAAAGTTGATGCTCCACGGTATTGACAATCAATTGGTAGCTCTATTTCCATGGCGGCGATTTTTCACTTTTATGACACTATGTTGGTCGGTAATGTCAACACAACATCCAACAGCCCCGAACCACATACTCGAAGTGGTATATACATTTGACTAGCATGCGGCAGTGGTCTCGCACCTCATATGCACTATTCTGTATATAGATAACTTCTGGCTTCTGGATACTACGTATACAGCCAAGTCACCTAGCTTCCTAAGTGTTGTCACACAGCCCACTAGTGGGCGGGCTGCACTTATGCACTCTGCATGACAAGCTCACATCCTGCACGCCGATGATCAAATCGGCGGGCTAGAGACTTGGAGAATTCAGATAAAAATTGTTTTCCCATCATGCGCTAAGCCTCTTAGGAGTAAGTGCGTGCTTGCGTAAAAACTAGGCGTGGGTACATGGACAAGTCCGCGCTTTGAAAGCCCTTGAGCATTCGTTCTTTCTGAAATTCAATTGGTTTCTACCTCCCTGTCACGTTGTTATTCCCAAATAGGACACGAATCAGATTTCACCGCTCCTTGTGAATTTTTCTTATTGGTTGCTCTTTTCTTCCCGTACTTGATTTCGATACGAGTCAGTTTCATTTTTTTGCCTTTATACTGGTTCCTTTTCATCACTGTGGCTTTCATTTTCACAACCTTGACCGACAACCGCGGGTTCTGGCGGCCGAAAACCGAGCCGTAACAATGCCTCGGGAAGCGTCGAGTTCTCGAGGAAGACTGTTTTCATTTAATCATGAAATATTCAAGACGAGATTACGCTACAATCTAACAGCTATGCTGCTTAGTGACCCTGGGTACAATAGTCGAAACCCAAATAATCTCCTACATAGGTTAGGACGTCGGCGATTGGAGCAGCTCCTCCCAACTAGATTTGCACGGGCAGGAGTTCTCTCTGACACGTACCTGGCGCCGCCACAACTGGTCTAAGCTTGTCACTAAGGAGTGAAAAATGGGCATCCGTTTACTCTTTCCAGTCTCTACTCGGTAGATGGATCATATGTGAGAATATATTCACGCGGCTCCAAAGTAGCATTGTCTGCTTTCTAGTGCTGTCCACTTATTTACGTATTTGATTCAGATCTAAGGAGTCTGCATGGACGAATGCTTCAAGATCGTCTCCGGAAGACATTTCGAGGCTTCCCCTGTATACCAACATCCACTTTATACACTTTTCCACCCCATCTAGCTGACTCAGGGTTCTTATATGGCTCTTGCTCCATAGCCGTCATGACGATCAGCTCCGACCCCACGAACTCCGGGCAAGTAACAAACCGTGTAGGGAGTAAGATCTCTCCGGTAATTTCACCCCTTGGATTGACTCGAATGATGCGACTTCCTCGCCACACAGCAACCCAGAGATTCCCCTCAACATCCATAGCAAAACCATCTGGTTCGCCATAGCTCTCTTCAAGCGTTAGAAAATCGCGCTTGTTAGAGATTGACCCTGTACGCGCGTCGAAATCATAGGCGTATATCTTCCTATGAGGCGAATCGGTGATATACATGATGTCGTCGGCGTTATTCCAACCCATTCCATTGGGTGTTGTCATTTGGTGCACCATCTCGTGCAAGCTCATGTCTGGGTCTAGGCGGTAGAGGGTGCCCGCATCTTTACCCTGTACATATTTGTGATCGGTAGTTGAGCCTGCCCAAAAACGACCTTGATTGTCGACTGCCCCGTCATTGAAGCGCAGTCTAAACTCGCGTTTTAGCTTACACAAAGCGACTTGGTGAGTACAAAGACCAGCTTACCTATAAGCGTGTTCCTCTGAGGTATGTGTGCGATGAATATAGGTTAAAGCACCTGATTGGTAGTCCATGGTAGCGAAACCGTGTTTCGCCGCCACCACGATTTGCGTGTTATTTCCCGAGTCATCGATCATATCAGCAGTCACACTAAAAGTGAAACAAGCAACCGGTGTCAGTATGCATAATTTTTCTTGTGATTCGGCTGGGGAGAATAGGTGCATACCCAATAGGCGATTCCGTGTGCAATACTCGCATTGAGCTTGGTCCCTTTGCGAGATCAACGAAGTAGACTTTCTCATAGTCGAGGTCGATGAAGCGCAGCTCATTACGTTCGGCTGTGTAGAATGGTCCTTCAAGCAGCCCCCCGCGTATATCGAGATATGGCTCAGTGACTGTCCATCGCTGGATATTGGCATTAGATGCTGCCGTCATCTCCGGCGATGTATGAATCGAAATTGATACGATTATAGCTTTTTCGGAAATGTTATTCGTTGTTGACTTCTATTTTAACGAAGAGTCTAGCAATCAGGGATTTAAAGACCAGGATAACATGAAAGTTGTACAGACTCTCCAGTATGGAGACTCCGGAGAAATCCCCGAGTGTGGGGGACCATGAAGATTTCTCCGAATTATTTGTCACGTTGCCGTGCGCAGAGAATTACAGATCAGCTACACTGTTGTATATTCATTGAGGTGAGAGTTTCTTCAAGCCATCAAAATTTGAGTACGTGAAGCAATGTTGGTTTGAATAGAGAAGCTTTGGGCAAGGTGATATTGCTTCTTCTGCCCCTCGAAAGATATCGGTGCTGGTCCGTCACACCCCACGGGCTCGCTAACAAGGCTTTCTTCATTTAGCACTGACGAAAGAGACTAGGCCAAGCAAAATGACTGGGTGTCATGTGATTCTTCGTAAAGTTTTGTAGTATGCGACAGTCCCTGCTCTACCCGATTGATGTTCCCTTTCTCCGTACTCATCTCCTATCCGAGAGTCTGGATGTCATGTAAAATATTAAATGATATGCATGTGACTACCCGGGCGCATGCGCTTTGTACATTGGGCCAGGAGGCTACTTGAGAGGACCAAATTGGTGATGAAATTTCGAAAATTTCAATCCGAACTCTAGATGCAGGTGATGTATAGCATTTAGATTAATGACATACTTGAATCGCATAACGTTGTACCTAACATCAAATATATGATCTATCAACACTTCGATCTCGGACATGCATATGCAATAGATAGATCAATAGTGTACATGACCTCCTTTGGACTCGACGGTCGTATCACAGTCTGATCTCGAAATTTCCCTGAACAGATTCATGTATAATGCTATGAATTATACCTGCCTAGATACATATCTGTGCATCAAAAGGCACACTAGCAACAAGGTTCTGGGTGACAGGTACCCATGCATGAGGGCCAAAGACGATCTCGCCCTGTGATCTATCGAATAATCGCACTTCGATCTTTAATTATTTGTTGTGTTGTATAATATACTTTCCACATTGGGGACATTAATTTTGACACGCAGCGGCACGAGCGCAAATACGAAAATCTGAAGTATCATTTTTCGAATGGACCTTACTTCACACACAATGCGACCCCCAATTTTGAACCCAACCAGGCGGACCGATGTTATGTATGTGCTGTCGCCCGTAAATGCAGTCAGCACTGTTCCATAAATTATAAGCAGTTCTGATTTGGGCGGTTCGCGCGGGTGTGCTGATATGTGTTTCCAGATGATACTATGGTCCAGTCAGAATGTGTTGTTCCGTCACACTCTCAACATAAACTTGTAGCGATAGCTGCGACACAGGATTCGATTTGTGCGCGTGATTCGACTTCGGTTCCATTTCGAATCCACAGATCGAATTTCGAACGCGCCAGGAGGATGACGCTATATGATTGCATTGGCCGGTAAGTAGCATTCAAGCCAGTTGAGATTGAAACAAAAAAAGCTGTACATCACATAAGCACGGGCATTGCTTTTTTCAAGATTTTAATCAGAATAAATTTCCAGTATCCAATTGGAATTTAAGAATAAAAGAGAGTTTGCACCATCACGCACTAACAAAATGCTTTATGCAATATGTATAATGGGAGCACATATCCGAAATCGGCTTGCACTTCCCCTCTAACGAGTCGGAGATTTTTGCTATGTCACTTCAAGGTTTCTTTGCTTTAGCTTCACGCAAGTGTTTGACGAGGAAATATTGGTTGATCAACTTTGATGGGCTGTTGGCTTTTGCTTTTTTTTTCCCCATTGCTCTCATCCAGGCAGCTTATTGATGAATATCAGATATCGATAATCTGACTAGGCACTGCCACCAACGTTCGCTAAATGCAGGTATTTATAATTGCTTTTTCTTGTCTTTCACTTCGGGTTGTCCGACTGCCAATCCTATCTCACCTACGTATTGCGTGAACCATTCAAAGTTATGTACGTACAAGACGTTTGCATAGCTTTAACTAGCCTTACTTCCTAAGGCCATGTGATGCAAATGCTATCTAAAACTAACTATAGCTACGCAGCGCGTAACCGTGAAAGCGTTGCCTCGAGCAGATCTTCCAGGCAAGCGAGAACGTGCATTGAATCCATGTACGTAACTGCATCAAGCCGTTTCAAACAAGAATCATATCATATGCATGCGAGTACCAGGAACTAGATATGTAACAACTGAATCTTTAGATGTCTAGAATAGGGGTAGATACGTAGTTGTGTGCTCCCGGGAACTTTTGAACGTCCCAGTCCATATGCGCAACAATGCAAGTAGTCGACAAACGGTCAGTATGAGCTATTTATTTCATTGTCTGTTGTAGTACAGGGTAAGATTACTTGCTCTCGTCAACTCGCCCAACAGCTTATTTCCGTTGTGGATTGGTTGCGGTATCGTTTAAAATAGCAGCGGATTTGTAGGTCCTAATGTCATTGTGTTTTGAAGCAGTCAGCTAGCTGATATTAATAAATCGCCCACTTAGCTAGTTGTTATTTGATTGATATGAAAGGAATTGGCATGTTTTCCCCGTCACTTCACTTCTCGCTAAGCGGTAGCACCGGCACGATTTCCTATTGTGTGACATAATTTTCGATCATCTGGTGGAGTATGTCCCTATTCCATATAATCGGATTTCATTGTCCTGCATTCAAGTCGCAGCATGCATTGATCATGTGATGGACCACATAATATCAACATGGAACATGGAACTCTTGAATCTGGACATATCGTAGTACCAGGACTCGAATGTTGGTTCTATTTTGAGCGAGTCTAGACTTCTCAACATTCAACAAAGACTGCTGTAGTTGGTGATACAGAAATACGAGATTATCGTCGTTTTGCGAGAGAAATCAATAGTGTCAAGTGCCGAATACCGAGACTTTGATGATGTAGTGATAGGGACATCGTGCAATCAGATAATTTTCGGAATTATTGGATTGGACACAAGCCTCCAAGGTTGCTCTCATAATCAAGGCATTGGAGCACCTTTGATCGAATTTGATATATGGCCTGGATTCTAAGGCCCTGACTTTGTATTTTCAAAGTAGTAGCCTTAGAGACGTACCATGAGAGTCGCACAAAGTAGCATCATATTCAAATTGCTTATCATTAGTATAGATAGTAGTAATAAGTCAAGAATTACAGATCGTCATCGATACAACTCTCATTTCGAACAAACTTTTCCTCTAAAGGTAGCTCATCAACGACAGCAGTCATTAATCTGTGCGGCAAAACCATCGTACTTAGTCTCGTTTCTTCCTTGAACGATTTAACATGTAGTGACAAAAAGACCAAGTCTATCACTATGGTTAGCGACGAAGGTACAGTAATATAGGAGAAACGATTGGTTGAAACTTACGGAGCTGGATTGAAATCCTCAAAAAAGTCCAAATTCGTACTTCCAGCATTCTTCAACTCAAAAGCAACCGTTTGACCAGCCGGGCATGCAAAAGTTGCAATAGTATACGTATTTCCCGGTGACACAGTCGTCACACCAAAATCAACCTTGATTTGCGGCGCGTTGGAGAAGGATGTGGAGGAGCTAGCCGGTGCTTGCAACTCCAAGAATCTGATGGCTCCATCACCACTGAAGGTGAATGCGGATGTCTCGAGTTTATCTTGTGTTGGGAACAGAAAGACCAGAGAGCATTGCTTGTTTGCCGAGTTGGGAAGGAAATCAAAATTGAATATTGAAGATATCGTCGACGTGATTGTGCCATTGAACGATGTTCCAGCGACTTTGTTGGGCGATGAGCTGTCGATGGGAATGATGAGATGAGGGAACTCGAAGCTTCCATTGATAAGATTCGTGCCACAGCCACCGCCTGAAGGTCCTCCGCCGCCTCCAGCTCCAGGAGCAAATCCACCAGGTCCGGAGGTTCCTGTTGGGAGTATTCCACCAGTAGGACAAAGTCCAGTTGCACAGGCACCTGTAGGCGTTGCGACGCTCGAGTTAGCAAAAGGAGGAGGTCCAGGTGCAGTAGGCACACCACCTGGTGCACTTGGTGTCCGGGGCCCTGAAGATTCTGCCGGAGTGTTAGGCGCACCTGACGTCGTTGGACCACCGGGTCCACCACCTGGCTGGCCCGGAGGAACACCTGGGCCTGCAGGAGGAACTTGAGATAGTGTTGTAATTGGGCGCGAGGTAGAGCCTTCAGGAGGTGGGGGAACTTGTGGAGGAACAATTGGGCTTACACTAGGACTAGGACCTGGGAGGCTGCTTGAAACTTTTGGCGGAGGTGATATTGGTGGAGATGGTGATATTGGTGGTGGGACAACAGGTGGTGGTGGTATGGGTGATGGAATCGATACAGGTGGAGGTGATATAGGTGGTGGAATTGATACAGGAGGTGATCCTGGAGGAGGACCCTGAGGAACACTTGGCGGTCCTGAGGGCGGCTGTGTTGGTGCTCCTTGACATCTGTCGGCATGTAGCAAGATGGGTTGACACCCGGTCACATCTGACGGAGGTGGGTTTGTATATATATTAAGCTGATCACTTTGACCTGACACGCAGGCCACAAAGTCTGTGGTGGCATTATGGTGTAACGTGCCGGAGGAATCTATGGAAAAGGAGGGTTGTGGACTTGCTCCAGTATCACACTGTAGCTGTGATGTGGGTGCTAGAAGCAATGGATTGATTAGCACCTTGTACAATCGTGGGACCTCCACGCTGAGACATACGTGTAAGAAAACATCCACGTCCATTCCCATCCTTAATTGCTCCAGAAGAGTCGATGCAGAACTGGCCAGGCTGCAAACCGCTGCCGAGACGTACTTGACCATCATCAATCTGGCCTACAGGTCCCGTATTACCTCCAGTGGCTGACAAGCCGAAGCAACATATGACAGTATCTCGAGTAACCAGGGCGTTTGCTGTGGCTATCACTGCAGCCACCGCCATTGGAGATTTCATGATTAGAGTGCTAGTATCAAATCCTGAGATCAATCAGCAACTTTTGCTATATCACAAAGGAAGTTCATCCAGACGCAAAGTGTATCCTCACGTTCTCAAATGGTATGATAGTGACCGGTCTGACCTTGAGGATGTGTATATCAGGCCAAAAGGCGTATTGCATATGTTTTTGCGTTTCCCGTATGGTACAAACCACTATCAGCCAGTTTCAAAACATTCGAACTAGGTGATAAAGGGAGAGAGCCACTAAATGTAGGTAGGGAGAAGTTCATTACCGTCAAAACTAAGGCGACAGAGGCAGATTATATTATCAACGACGATCTTCAAGAATGTCGGGCTTTAGGCTGAGATGATGACGACTATTTGAGCGTCATTTTGATTTCTTGCTGCTGTTCGCTGGCACGAAAACGATTAAGATAAAGCAATGAGGCGAAATGGGCTCACAGCAACCTGTTAGGTGGCTTCTTGCGGCCGTTATTTTGCCATCAAGCAGCTTGAATTGCACGGAACTAAAGGCGACTGAAAACATCGTGAGTGGCTATATCGGTCATTCAGACCGAATTACTCGAAACTGTTGCCCGAAGCCTTCTATGCAGTCTTATTTAATGGAGAGATTTATCCGAGGTGGCTCAAAGACGTTGGCCCATAAAGTTTGAACTCATGCGAACAGTAACCAAGGGCAGGCATACGACATCCAGAGTTTAAAGACTGGCTTKCCACGATGACTATGTCATCGCTATAGCTATCTATACCACAAATATATGTGGACCTGTTCAAGAGGAACTGCATATGTGAAAGAGGATCGTTGAGAACGAGTTACTTCTTAATGTGTCTAGTTTCTACATATGGAAGTCATTCGAAATAGTAGCGTACCGAAAGCCGGAATCAATTTCCATGGACAAGAGCACACTTGTGAGAGTAACATCTCAACTGCAAGAGAGGTATTACTAGACAAATGACGATAAGATTGTGAAAAGGTGAAAGTCGACAGGCATTTAGTCCCGACAAGTCAAGCAACGGAAGGGTTTTCCGACACCTTCCTAATACTGAATAAGGCTTTAACCGTAACTCAAGGTCAGTTCTAAGGGCAAATTCGGCTCGAATTCTCCCAGGTATCAAGATATAGCATATCTTTTACTGTTCATAGCTACTTATCTCATAGCTCTTTACTGGCAGCATCCTTCCGAAGCAGGAATTGGGTGGAAAAATTCAATAATAGTGACTGAGTATTGAATCAAGTCCCTAGCTTAAAAGCAACGAGAGGTAGTATGATGATATTTATCTAAACTCTTCATCAAAAGGCATGACATAGAACAAATCGACCAGGCATAGCTGCAGAACAGCTGTGATGAGTTCTCAAGAAAAAAATGATCGTCAACCAATTACCGCTATTTCCCTAGGCTTTTATCTTTGTTGCTGCTTTCCAGCAAGGCGTTTGTCTGGCACGATTCATGCATTCACGGCCTTGTATGTTCATGGAAACTTCCGTCAAAACGGTATACATAACGTGTTTTTTGAGGTCATGGTACAAAAAGAAGAAGCGAAATTAAGGTTTTTCTTGAACGGCATGAAGCATTAGACTACAGTCGAGATGCCATGCCAACAGAATCATTAAATAAGTAAGATGGTGATTTATTTCCACCTTTTGAGACTTTTCAACTGATATATAACAAAATAAAAAAGCTACTATGCCTAGCTACGCCAAACTTAAGGCCAAACGCAAGGCCACATGCGCGAACCGCAAAATGTGATATTTGTAAAGATGAGTCGAGTCGAACCCCGGGACATGTACAGAGCTAGCTGTTCAAAACGTTTTATGGGTATGAAGACTGACAAGAGGATTCTATAGATGATGAATCAAGAGACGAAAACATGTCAACAACAACTTCGACTGACGCCATCGACTACAATGAGGTCATTTATACGCCAACAAGAAGCAAGGACTTCACAAGCTTTTCCCGAATCTCATTAGTAGATATCAGACGCCGAGGACTTTCGTTCCTCTCCTTAATAAAATGGCCAAGCATCGTCACGGCTTATCTTTCAGTTAGTAGGATACCTGGCCACAAGCTGTATTGAACGTGAAGATGAGAGGAAACAGAAAGACGAGTATGATTCAGCTATTCTCAGAATCACCGCCGCCGCCTAGGGCTTTGAGCCCTGGGCTGGGACTTTCCACCACGAAAGAAAGAAACAAATAAGCACAAAAAAGACCTCTTTCTTGTGCACGATCATCCTGTGACCTCAAATTTTGGATCCCCTTCAGTGTATCAATATGTGTCCAGCTAGCTCTAGTTAAGTATAGAGTGTATGTCTAGTTCAGAAAGCGCTGCTACATACTCTAGGATTGAAAAATCATAAACAGAAATTGCCTAAAAAAAAATTCATAGCAGATAGTAATCAATGACTTCCACGACTAGGGCATTGCCCTGAGGGGCATTGGGCGTTCGTTTGTTGTTGTTTCTTTCTTGCTCGTCGCACTTTCCCTGCCAATTTTTGACTTTGAAAATCATCCTCCTATTTATTGTTATCTTACACTGCCCATCTGCCAGCTTCGTTTCACCCTCTGGACAGCAGCGATTCTACTCCTGCCTTTCATAGAAACTCTAAGTTTGAGCGCTATCACCAGACTCCTTTCAAGGGGAAACAACCTGACCTATTTGTTGACTCGACTAAGCGTCTCACTATGGACATAGACAACGATACCACCATTTCTACCGACGCATCTCCAGACAACAGCGGCCGCACCAATGGTTAGTGCTGACAGTAGCATTAACTTTGATATTTGTAAGAGATTGATGCTGACTTTGTCCTCTATCACAGTGAACGCGAATATCTTTGGCCAGCTGTTCGACACAGCGTTTTTTACAGCTGTGGAAAGGATTGTGGAGACGGCCGTCGAAAAGGCAGTCAAGAAAACAATCAGCCCAGCTGTGGATGATGCTGTGGATAAGGCTATGAAGCAGGCTGTCCCTGAAGTTGTACAAACCGTTCTTAGAAAAGCGTCCCAAGCAATATGTGAACGTTTCGCCTTTGACAGAAGTCTACCCCTCGTCACGAATTCGGAAGATTTCAACATCGTGGAGGACTTCTCGGAGTACGCCAGTGACTTCATCTTGCCAGATTGTACATACAACATCTACTGCGAGCTGCGGGGAATGTACCGTATAATCGGAATCGACGAGAAGCACGAACTCACTCTGATGTCCCCCAAAAAGGCAAAAGGCCGAAATGTCTCGATCTCTTCCTACGAATGGGAATGCGGAGAGAGAGGTGGCTTTTATTCTTTCTACAACCAACTGTTAAAAAAATACCTCTCTATCCATTATGAGAATATCAAAGGAGTTCTCTTAATGGCGTTTAGCGAAGATCACGACAACCGCTTTGGCGTCCAGCGAAACTCAAAAGATGCGTATAAGCTTCAGCATCTGTGCGATTATTATCTCCTACCAGTCATCCCTGGGTGGTCCGAAGAATTCTGGAACAGTGACGAGACGGAAGTAGATGCGATTATGGAAAACACCAGAGGGCCTGCGATACCCAATGATGACTTTGTGTGGAAGTTTAGAAAAGTTCGCGATTATGTCATTGAGTGAAACACTTATCGCTAAAATGAAAATTAATGAACTTAACTTTACTTGAGCTCGATCAAATACCCGGTACAAGTTCTCGGGAGAAAAGAAGGTCATAAACCCTACTGTACTTTCTCCTGTATTGATATTTAAGAAATAGCAACCTGATGCTTTCCACAAATTCAAATCACATGTTGTTTCCTTTGCAGTTCTTGTCAGATTCTAAACATGGATTCAGAACATTATAGGTTGAGTCGATGTACCTGAAACGGGCTGCTCAAACTTATCGATCGACAGCCAGTGATACTCACTCCTGTACATCTGTCATAACTACCTGCTTGTTAACTTTTATTCCTGCGTCGAGGTCAGATAGGGGATAAGCATGGCATTCAGGAAATGTCTGATAACGGTTCTAATCCAGATTGATTTACCGCTTTATCACCCTACACGAGGTCCATTAAGGTGTTATTGAAGTATCAAACCTCAGGGCTGAAGAGAAAAGTGTTATCAAAGACTTCAGCGTTTTCATCGCAATCCTTAGCTTAGGCACAAGTAGTCTAAGGAATACAAGGACTGTGGGGTCATCGGAGTCAATTTTCCATTATATTACACAAGATGTAAAACTATTTCGAAGTTCAACTGTGTTTCATTCTGTGAGAAGCGAGGACTCGTGGCACAAATAACTGTAAGACTTCAAGTAAAGAACGAACGTAGGGACACCCTCTTCTGTATGCTGAGTTAAAAATAAAAATTTGATACGCTTGATTAGGTCGAGTACATCCATGGATATGTAGAAGATTCCATCTTTACTCTGCTCCATTCTTTTTGACCTACTGCCAACGATCGTAATGATTACATACATGCCTCCTAACATTTTTCACGCGTCGTCTTTGCTGTGTTCTAGTTTCCTGTCGAATGATAAATTACTTCTATTTTATGTACTTGATATCCATGATTTCTTTTTCCTCTTCTGCTTCTTGGCATACAAAATCTCTCGCGGTCTGCCGGCGTAGGTTTGCCGCCCTGTTTTGCATCGGATAAAGGAATCAAGAAACATTGTATAAGCTCGTTAGAGAATCATTCTACCTGATTGCTGCTTACTGTTTTTGCATGTTCTGGAAGCAGGATCTTAATACAAGTATCTAGGAAGCCCTCCCAGATTTTACCTTTCGTTCAAGCAAGCAAGAAGCAGCAATCAGTTACAACTTGCAAGGCTCTTTCCCAACTACATTGCAACTGCCTACATTGATTTCTACGTCGAAAAAACTCGTCTTACTTTCTACAATCAAACGGTTCACGAATTGTCTCCTTCTATCCAAGTATCAGCTTGATTCGAGGGACCATTGTTCATGTGAGTTCAGCACTTTAGACTACTTTTCAAGCCAAGAATTTGAGCTGGCTCATGACAAACTTGATATTTCAGTATGGACGCAAACAGCAACGACACACAGGTTTCAAATGCCTCCCAAGGAGAAATCAGCGGCGCCAATGGTCAGTTTTGACATTTACATCAACCTTGGTATTATTTGAGAAACTTGATACTGACTTCGTCCCTTTTTCTAGCCCAACTTTTCGACGAGACCATGATGGCAGCTGTGGAAAACATCGTGGAAGCAGCCGTCGAAAAGGCAGTGAATAAGACAGTCAAGGAATTCATGGGCGATGTTATGATGGATACTGTCGACGAAATTGTGAACATCGCTGTCCAGAAAGCCATAGAGGAAATCTCTGGACGTTCTGGTGGGCTACAACCGTCAAGCTCCAGTGCACAAAACAACCACCGAGGACGATCCATCCATATCAAAAGGGACCCGGATGCCGATAACAGTCTCGCTGATGAACTCAATTCTCCCGTAGTGGATGAAGTCCGCCCAGGATGTAAATTTCGAATTTATGGTGAATCAGGTGGTTGGCATATACTGGGGGTCAATGAAATGTCTAATCTCACTCTGGAGAGCATTTACATGGCTAGCATGCCTTCGGTATTCTACGAATGGCAGTATGATCTAAAGGATGATTATGCTTGTTTTTACAATAACGCGATGGAAGTATATCTGCAAGCGGCAGATTGTGGCAGTGAAGAGGGTCTCATGACTGTTGGTAGCGGTGACCATCATAATCAGTTTTACACGACACAGGACATCGGAACTGGAAAGCGCACACTCAAATGTATGTATCCGGGAGTCGATGGTGTTACTGAACATCTGGATGCTGTCGAAATACGGGACGACGGGGAAGGAAGACTGGTGCCTGTGCATTACCGGAAGCCCGTAGCGAAGTTGATGTGGAAATTCAAACAGGTCAAAAAGGAGTGATCTATGTTGATGGTTTTCAGATTTGTCTTAGATCTCACGAGTCTCTTTTCAGATGAGCCTCGGAAATAAAAGAGAAAATGGGTTTCTATCATCTGTCATTCCCTGCGAATTTTGCTTACCTCGGTACTAGTAATGGCAAGTTGACATTCCTTAGTGTTCAATTTAATAACTCATATAACCTTCCGTCAATTTCCCATTTATAATAATGTCTTAAAAAGCCCACAAGTGCTTAGTTTACTCAATGTTGAATTCGATGGCTTATGTAGTTTTGAAAAGAGATTTCAGGCTCACTAGATGTTCAATCTGTGGCCTAAGTTTTGTCAAACGGTAAAGCCTTCTTTATCTTCTCTACCCACGGTTGGTCTTCTTTCGGTTCCTTTCTTGATAATGTCAGGTAATATTTGACTTTGGATTAAATAATAGAACGAGAGGAAGACCATAGCAGATGGTTGTATATGACATTTGAGAACAAACAGACTACTTAATATGCTATCTTTCCTTCTAGCAAACAGCTCTAATGCCACGCTATGAGTTAGCAACGGACAGACCTGACTTCCAGAACTCAATAAATTCTTCTGACCCAGATAAATTTTCAATCCAAAAAGAGGTACATCAAGGTGCCACTACAGTATTTCTGTTCCAACGAGCGAGACTTAAAGCAGCCATGTTGGCATTTCATAGGATCGTAGCAATTCTTGAGCAAAAGTTTTTTGATTTCTTCTCGTTGTCGATCTATCGGATTTAGCTCTCTTGAACTTTCGAGGTTTGCCATGTACCACACAACGCAAGCGTGTATACCACCATTTGCGACGTTACAGCCGGATCTCAGGAGATAGAGGACAATGCCCTCGAGGATTCGACACTGTTCTTTTCTCTCAAGTTCTCGACTCTCGTACATCGCTGCTACGATTCCACAGTCACTCTCATTCTCCATTCTAGCTCCGTGTTTCACTAATATTTGAACTGTCGTTACGTGGAGATGTAATGCAGTATGGGAAAGTATTCGTAGGTCCTCGATAGATAGATTGACGTCAACCCATCCTTGACGAAGGAGAACATCAACGGCGGCAGGTTTGCCCAATTCGCATGCCTCTAGGCAAGCTTCTTCACACTGAAGTTTGATGTTTTTGTCAAATTCTTCTTTCTTTTGTCCATGCAACTAGAGTTTGTCGCTTCGAATGCGGAGTTCGTTGAATATCATTTCGAACCCGGCTCTGTTATCACACTGAGCTGCTTCCACGATAGGTGACCTTGTAGTGATAAACCTAGAGTCTATATTTTCTACTGTCGCTCTTTGTTCCAATAACAGCTTTACTATATCCAAATGATTGCGGCGTATAGCGATTTGCAATGCATAGTTTGGCCCAATGAATATGATACCTTTGAAATTGGCATCCAAATTGCCTTCACTCATCAGTATCTTGATCACATTGATGTGACCGAAAAAGGAAGCAGCCAAAAATGGATGAAACCCGTGCTCCACAGCATCATCCAATACATCAGGGTGTACCGGGTTATCAATGACTAGGTACGGGGGATAGAACGAACATTTTTTAAATGCGCTCATGGAGACCCCTGCTTTCAAGAACTTGAAAACCGCGCTGCTGTTTCTGTGTACTACCGCAGAGATGAAGTGGGATTGGTAACAGCCCCTTCTCACGGCTTGCTGATATTGAAAAGTATCTAATAGGGCATTCAAAGAGCTGCATGTTTGAGAAAGCGCACTGAGGTCTGTGGCGTTCAGATTATCGCATACCAATAAGAATGTTTCGCGAGGAAGTGATGCCCAAAACATAGTTTCCTTGCTAGGTAGATGACTTGTCAAATTCCGAGCCGTTGAAATTGACACTTTTTCTCACAACTATTTCAAGAATGGAACTCTCATAAGTACTTGGGTAGGCAGCAGGACAAGTTTGACTTTAGGCAAATTCTGCCAAACAGTCAAGTGGTAATGAAACCTTGTTTCTTCCGTCTAAAAGACTGTAGATCAGGTAAATACTTAAACTTAACGAACCCACTCTGTCGAAATTATATTAGGGTAATTCCAAGCCATTCGATCACATACCTAAATGTACTCCTAATCCACTATTCAAAGTTGAATGCAATGTTGAATCTGCACCATCACTAACTCGGCCTCGAACAAGTACAAGTATACATTCTAGGAACACGACGCTAAAGAGGAAGCCTATTGGTATATTTATGCATGTCGTCAGAAACGTATGAATTCTGTGTATAAAGTCGCAAAATATTTACTGAGTTCCTATTTCGATTACGAAAGACATAGAGCATTAAGAGTCTGTTTCCCAAGACGAATCGTGCTGACAATGTCGCCGAAGCGTCGGTTAGGGCTAAATATGCCAAAGATTTTCAGTACCGTACCCCACTTGGGGCCCACTTATCTCAAAATTTCTTCCCGCTTTACATCAAGGACTTATAACTCAGTTGGTTAGAGTGTCGTACTAATATCAGCTTGCTTCGCAAGTTAGTTGTTAGTAATGCGAAAGTCCACAGTTCGAGCCTGTGTTGGTCCATTTCTTTTTTCCTCGTTGTTTTTGGTCGCTCATTTTTCAAGTACACTTACATCATGAATATAACAAAATGAGTAAGCAAAATTTTATTGGCTATCGTCTTTTTCTTCTTCTTTCTTTTCATGAGTATCTGCGGATCGGGAAAGGGAAGAATTGTTTCCCTACGTAATGCGTACATCCAACCCGAAGATATTAGATGCACATCCCAAAGCATAACATTTGAAGCATTCTTAGTATCTCCAAATCTCCACTGCCACTTGACATTTGTTATAGACATGGTGGCTTTCAGTAAATAGGTCGTGGGTAATCGATTATAAGATGATCATAAAAATGACAATAACCTGCTCCTAACCTTTCGCCAGGAGGAGGTGTTCGGAAGTATCGTCTGGGTCCTGAACACACCGACCGATCCAGCATCTGGATTTGCGTTGCTGACCAGCAGAGGTTGCGTGGCTACCTTCGAAGATGCAAATTACCAAGTTTCATTTCCAACAAGGACAAATAAATACCGAATATAAAGAAATACCCTTACCGGACCATCAAACCTACGGATAATGCCACATTCGGACACCATCGTCAAATAATGCCATTTAGCTCAATAAGGGAAATAATGAATCATCATAGCATTTTTGCGCCCTGAAAGACAAACAAGGAAATGGCTCACCGATTGCCCGATGGCATCATATGACTGACATAGCTGCCTAGCTGCCTGCCTTCCTCTGCCTGTTTAACCCCTTCTCCCTCCTGCTCCAATTTTTCTCTCTCGCTCAAGCTCTGACATCGTCCTCTCGACGCAAGTTCATCTCGCTATAAAAGCTTCATGCTCTCAAAGTGCTCTGTCGTTAGAGACCTCTCTCGATTATTATCACAAGCTTTGCTGACATCTTCTATTCTCCTTTTCCAGGTTCAGATTTATATACTCAGCCTTGGATTGTGGCTTTCTCGGAAGATTAAAAAAGTCAAATAGCAAGCAACCCAGACCTAAACACCAATGAATTTGTCTGTTATACGGATATCTACATATTTCGTGAAGGTTAGTGACATCTGTCCGCCATATCAAAGTCTCCGCTAAAGTCGCAAAGAAGATATTGATACTCGATCGCCACTAGGCTTCTTGCACCTTCATAGCTAGATCCGGTAGCTTAAGAAATGGCCTTTGCATACGACCGATTTCCGATGTTTAAAAAGTCTACGTCGTCTGCGGTGAAACACAACGGGATCTTTTAAGCACAAAAATCCGATTATAGTTATACCTATATCGACCATACAAATAACACGATGTAACTGAGCCTCAATTTTGGTGCAGTGGTCTATTCTTCGGGTTTCAAATTCAACACGTCAGACTTTGCAGTCTAAGCTGCCCAAATTTATCCACACTGCATGTTCAAGACTTCAAGCTACAATGGCTTTGATATTGATTCGTTCTGGGATCCGGAACATATTCAGTAATGAGAAAGAGCAATCTTGACGACCATCAAGTCCGGCACATAGCCAACCATACTTTGAGCCCAGAACAACACTTTGTTGCAACGAAGGAGGCCTCCAGTGCCGACTAGTCCAGCAAATTTCCCAGGAGATGAACGAAAGGTTTGATTCATTGAATATGAAGGCTCGTGTTGGAGAGCTACAGAATGGAAGATACCATTAGCAAGTGATTACGAGTATCGATCCTTGCGGAAGTATTTGAAAATGGAAGTGCTTGAGCATGAGATACTTGTCAGATTCTATCACGCTCTTAAGGATCAATATTTGAACATTTTCGAAGGTATATTTTTCTAAGCGGTGTGCTGGTATGCTGATGGGAACATGCCAACAAATATACAAGCTGCTATGAAGTTGATCAACAGATCCAATTCATATATAGCATCAATTCGCCCCTGTAGGGTTTGAACATAATTTGGCCTATGATCCAACAATGTCACTCATCTTATGCGTTCTAGGGAGCTTCCATGCGAGAATCTGGCATGTGGCTATATGACTTACCTCCCTTACGAAAGCCACATCCACGCGTTCCCGCAGCGAGAACGATATTACCGAGGGATTATATGCAGCTTATCTTCCTTTGGTCATCGAAACTGGCAGATGAGAGTCTTTGACAAGACTTCGTAGCGACATGAGCCTGTGGATTGTAGGGAGTAGTAGAGAGATCAGTGTTGTTATGATCTTAAAGTGGAGACGTGTAACAAACGCAAACCGGGTGAGAGGCGATTTAGAAGTCTACCGGTGAGACCGCAATGGCATACCTTCTCTATAACGGAGGATCTCTCATGAAAATCAACTTCCTACAGCACAGCGGAATGTCATACACAATGCCAAGGATGATGGGACACATCCGAAGGACAGGTGCGAGCATTACGGAGACACTGCTCCGGGAAGGTGCTATTTCCTTTATTCTACATCTCTGGTTACTCTTTGTGCAGCGGATCAAAAGTTCTACAAGGAAACGGAAGCCTTAACAACGATGACATCGAGCATCTCAATGAGGGTTCATCGAGTCCGCAATCTTGAGGAGTGGAATTATCTGCTGAAGGGCTCTGTGGACAGCCTTAAGAAGTTAAATGATGAAACAAGGAGCTTTGTTTAAGGCCTTTAGTATGAACCATTAGCGGGAGAGTGCGAATGGTCACGCCACTAAATGAGTTGACAAATTTCAACTATATTGTCACTTGTACCATTGCGATACACTCGAATTACGCCACATTGATTTGTGGAGCTATCCGGAAAAGGACTCCATGAAATCCGAATCTCGCCTTATTCGCAATGCGATGATGCATGGAGGAAATTCCTAGGTATACTACATATCTTTGGGATGAAACATTCTTACAACAGGTATCTATGGCTTTGGGCTTAACTAGAGTAGCTTTCGTTTCCTACTATTCTTCTGGTTTTTGACTTGACTATTTGTTCTATATCTTTATTAATTACGATTGGGTTATCTATAACTTTGTTTTTTTCTTGTGTCGTATGACTTTTATTAGTCTGTCTCTGTTGGTTTAACGTCTTCAAAGCACGAAGCAATGAAGAACGTTATCAAAAATCCACGAAGGGACGTCAAGAGAGGGCGAGGGAAATGATTTTGAAGAACATAGTACCATCACTACTTGCTGTTAATTATGATTCTCTTTGACTTGAATAACGCTTAGGGACGAGCACCATGTTGTGTACTTTTCGCGTTATGCACTTTTATACTATATCAATCTTCCATTTTGCTCAAACCTGGCAGATTGATAACTCGCGAACTTACAAACGACGAAGAACTCAATGAGTGCTAGCGTCTTTTTGATGTGGCATTCCCCGAGTGTATAACGACGCAGAATAAAGTCCAGCGATTCTATTTCGATGACATTCACAATCTACGCCGCATCAATTACGTGGCTGAGATTGTTGGGGACGATACTACCAAAAAATAATGTCTATGATTATAAAGTGACTCAGGGTCTTGTCTTGCCCATGCTGCGAGGAGTGTGGTCTTTTCCACCTGCAGTCACATCCTTTCGCATTGATATATCTGAGCTTAAATTGGAGTGAACTTCTCTGTCACCCGCCCATAATGAAATGAAAAAATACAGAAAGAGATTCCGAAACAATTATTTCAAGGCTTGTATTAATATTCTTCCTCCTTGCACATGTGCCATGCCGGACATGCTACTCCCTAAAAGATGTACGATGGAAATGATTCTGCATGTAATGACTACCAAGGCTTTTCGTCGTTTCTAATGAAGTGAAGGAGCAAGTTTTCCCCCCAGAATGAAATAGACGTAATCACACCCAAACACCAGGAGTATATATTAATATAGATTATCTCGATCAATGGGAAAGAAGATGACCGCAGGGTCCATTGGACACAGTAATGGCACCGTCAGTAGAACTGTGAACGTCGACATAACCATAAGTTTCCGATGAACATGAGGTCGTTGTCATCATATAACAAAATTGCAGGCCAGTAAACATGTATGAAAATGCACATTGAGCGTTTTGCTGGCAAGCAACACAACAATCGTATTGCGAGGTTTTGGAAACGGTCGATACGGTCGAGCCGGGGATGTTGGTTAATTCGATCGCAAAGATGGTCTTTCCGGCTAGGGAGCCAAAGTCCGAGGACAACGGGCTGGAAGCAATGTTGTTGGTGGCACAGGCCGCGTAGAAAGAAGTGGTGGTCACGCCCGAAATGACTGTTGTGCTTGATGTTACGGTACTCGTCACTGCCGGAGCGGTGGAAGTCTCCGTGACCGTTAAGAGCGTGGAGTAGCTGAGCGTAGTAGAAGCGTCGCTTGGAAGCACCGTTGAGCTGCTTGTAACTGTGCTAGTGGTTATCGTGGTGCTCGTCGGCTCAGCAGCAGTTAGCGTTGCTGGAGATTCAGTGAGAGTCGAGGTGGTTGTGGTCCTGACCACGACAGTCGCCACACACTCAACAGCTGTAGCATACTGGTAGTCGTCATCCCAATTGGGACAACTGTCCTCGGAATTCCCAGACAGCTCCCGCTTAGCGGCAGTTGGAGCTGCCAAGGTGTCTGCAATCGGGGTCACACCAGCTGCGGCACTAATAGTGGAGGTGGTAGTTGAGAGAACCGAGATGGTACTCGTAGAGGTAGATGTGACGGGTGGTAAGGTGAGCGTACTTGTTGCAGTGCTGTACTGCGTCGAGGTAGTGGAGAATGTGTCTGTAATTGTGTCAGCGGTGACTGTGACGGTGCTGGTTGCGTATTCTGTCAACGATCGCCATGATGCGCTGGGTGTCACCGTAACAGTATCCTGAAGGGTCGAGTAGACCACAACGGGATGCGTATCATAGGACGTGTGGGTGACTGTAGACGTCGGGATCACCGCCACCGACTCTGTTCCCAACTCTGTTCTACAGACAATTGAGGGCTGAGCAGCAACAGGTGTACTAGCAAGCGGCGTCCTCGCTAAAGGAGCATTCGCTGAGACTTGGCCGAGCAGGAAGCCCGCCGTGAGAACAATGCGAAACGCCATGATGAGTGCCGACTTAGATTCTTGTTTTATTTTAAATGTTGAATATTCAGTTGAATTGCAGACCCATTTGTTAAATAGCCATTAAAGATTCCGTCGTCCCCCCTTTCTGTATACTCGGCTCGGCTACTATTCCCTTCATCCACGAAGGCGCTTCATACTTACACTAGCTCAGGTACCAACGAAGAAGTGGAGCTATTCATAATCTTAGAAATACAAATTTTGACGTCGAGTTAACTTTGCCGACCAGCAAAAATAAGTTTCTTGAAGTTATGTATAACTCCTAAATCGCTTTCATCTGCCCGTCGCATCGCAAGTCACTCGTTTTCATAGCACTCTTTCATTTCACTCATTATTCTGTCTTTATATATTCAGTCATTCATTATGTTAAGCTATCTACAGATATGGGTTTTTGCGGTGTTCTTCGTTCAAAGCACCTTCGCTTTGACGATTAGTTCAACTCACTCTACTATTGCCGCTACTCCTACTTCCACTCCTTCACCTCGTCACGCTCACTGGACGTATACTCCCCGTCTTTCACACAAACATAAATCTTGCAGCGCTCGTCAATCCTCATCTGCAATAGTTGGACCATCCTCGTCTGCCATTCGTTCCACCGCAATCATTCCATCTTCGTCCGCCATTCGCTCCTCTGGGGTTGTTCCATCTTCGTCCGCCGTTCCTGTAACTACCTCCTCCATACAGTTGACAACATCCACCGTTTTTTCAACACAAACCGCTACTATCACAGCATGTCCATCAACTGTAACCAACTGTCCTGCGTCAGCGCGAACCACATATGTGACTACCGAAATCATCGCGGTGACCACAACTGTCTGCCCAGTCACAGCTACTCAAACTGGCTCCGCGGGTAGCAATCGCCCTACTGTTTACGAAACGGTCACCGCAACGATCATGGAGTGCCCGTCATACGTGACCGATTGCCCATTGTTGTCAAAGACGACTTATTTGAACGGTGGATCGACATCGTATGCCACTGCAGGGCCTTCAATTGCAACCACTGTCCGCAGTGACACACTCTCCCCAACATATACATCTATCTCACAAGGATCAGGTGCCGATGCCATTTCAGGGACTGGCTCGGGAGCTGGTTCAAACACTGGTTCAAACACTGGTTCAGGAAATGGCTCAGGAAATGGCTCAGGAAATGGCTCAGGAAATGGCTCAGGAACTGGCTCAGGAACTGGCTCAGGAACTGGCTCAGGAACTGGCTCAGGAAATGGCTCAGGAACTGGCTCAGGAACTGGCTCAGATAGTGGTGCATCTGACATTACAACGGTGTCACCTGCTGCCGATCAAGCTCATGGTAGCAGCTACACAGGGTCCGTAACGTCAGTGTCTCCGGTTGCCACAGTCTCTCCGACTTTCCAGTCCACCATAACTTCTACTGGCGGTATCGGTAATGGTACGGCCTTGTGGACTTCAACACTACCAACTACAACCACAGCGAGCTCCGTGACTCCGGCGTATACCGGCACTGCCTCGAAGATCACTCAAACCTTCAGTCTTGCGGGCATGATGGGAATTTTGGTTGCAATCTTTCTATAGTGTATCTGTACCTCAAAGACCTATTATTCCAAGGCTATTCTAATCAAACCCAATTATTCAGAATGACAACTATCGCATCCCGCGTAATAAATCCATTATTTGAAAGTTTGATTTTATGGTGCCCCTAAATGCTCCACCATAGGTTCCATCCGTCAAGCTTTTTTTAGCATTTTTAAGCGACCAGTGAAAAAGTGCTGCGGGAAGTTACGTACCTAGTACTCAACTGCCAGCTTTTTACGCTTTCGACTATGGACGCCTCCGGGCTTCCGGAGCGACGAGGCCATCGCCTATTTCAAGCATTCAATTGCCACAACTGATGAAAGAAGGTTTCTCGGCAATTTGTTTTCATGCGTTCGTCAAATAAATCCAGATCGCTTCGAGAAGCCACAGGTTTGCCACGAGTTCACAGCCCAGACCTGCCTGACAAGATTGAAAACATATCCAGACTGTGCAATTGTAGAGTCGGAGTGACCGAGGAATATTCGACGAAACGTAGAAGCTGTCATCGTGGAGATTATCAAGAGTGTGGACCTCCTTGACTATAATTGTATCAACATCTTTCAGTACATAATAAATCAGTTCGCAACAACATTCTTCGTTGTTACCACATTATCGCCTTCGGTTTAGGCCCAGAATAGCTGAATTAGGCGACGTAGAGTGAATTACCTGATGAGGAGCTTTTGAATCCTTAGCGTCGCGTTTATGTACTTCAATCACAGGTCCTTCACAATGAGTGCATTCATTGCATTTCAGATTGCGGGTCTTCGCCGTTACTGATTTAATGGAAGCTTCGTAAAATTCATTCTCCGCTAGAAAGAAAATATTGAAAGCCTGAAATTCAATCGTGAACATAATCCTGTACACCAAATTACTTTCCGAGATATCCTTCCGATTCCAAGCGCTCCCAGGCCTTGAATTCAATGTTGCTTTGACATACAACGATTTTACTCTATGCAAGTGCAGTAAGAGTGCCAGCAAATAATAATAATGTATAGACTGCAGGAATACAAAGAGAATATTCCGAAATTGTTTATTCAATGTCCTCGGAATGAAGTTCACATATTTACTGATAGGGTTCCAAGGTTTGTAGCCCTGGGTCGCCTTGATTCCTTTCTAAGTCGAGCTTTGCATCCAATGTAAACGGAACTTTGTAGACTTTTCAAACTCAAACATGATAAGAACGTGCCTTTTTCTAAAGATCTGAAAAGACATGATTATGGAATTTAAAAGGCTAGGGTGTACAGTACCATTGAGCGAGGTCTCGATTCCCCATAATGCCGACACTAAAGGCAAACTGCATGAGATACAACTCAGTCTTTGTCCTTTTTGATAATAACAATGCTGATCAGCACATGTGCGGACCGTGTAGAGTCAAATTTTAGGTATGCTCAAACCTAAGAGCGATATAACGGATTAAGATCAGTGAAGATTGAAGTATCAGAGTGCTTAAGTTGACTGTACTGATTGAATTGTCCTCAACGATCGCTAATTAAGGGAAAATATGGTCTTTGTAACCAGTATTGTGTAGTTATTTGAACAAACTGATATTCCTTCTGTCCTCCGGATCTATATTAAAGTGATTAGCAAGAGATAACTCAAATGTAACCTTTCTCGCTGCTCAGCCCTAAACGTTATTTAACCCAGGTAAATATCGCCAACTTGGTATTAGTGCCCATATTTCGCAACAAACTACTGAAGTATTTGTCATTAGATCAACGGATTTTCAGTAAACGGACTATATTGTTACACGCGATAGCTTTATTTACTCATTCAACAAAGGAACTTAGTCATACTGCTGCATGCGTGCACATTGAACAACACTCGGAGCTCACTCCGAGTCTTGAATTTCCGGATCCCGTATACCTACTATAAATTGAACTTTGTTCCTGCAGCGTTGGAAATCTTTACACGAGTGTTTTATTAATCGATCAATCATTGAATAGACCTTTTACGTTGAATCATCATTATGAAGACCTTTATTTTCAACGTGGGCGCTTTTGCAGGCTGTATAGCATTTGCTTCAGCAGCAAGTAGAGTATGCCAGGACTACAAGATTCCTTTGACGGTGACATCCCAGAACTACATCTATGATCTGCCTCATTTCGCCGACAACTACGATGTAGTAGACTGGATCTCGAATCATGGTAGTCGCACTGCTTCTGTTGACTTCCATCCACTCTCGAGCACACTCCAAAACCAGACAGGTTCATACACCATCTCTGCTACCTTTTGTGCCCCCAAGGATCCAAAAGCGGCATACAAGGATACGGTGCTTTTTGCTACTCATGGCCTAAACTTTGATAAACGGTATGTTTGAAGTTTTCTGTTTTTTGACTCATTACTTAACTTTTGTTTGTTTTGCTAACGATGATCTAGCTATTGGGCTTCTGAAGTCCAGCCCGAGAATTACAGCTTTGTCGACTACGCCATCAATAGAGGATACTCTGTTTTCTACTACGATAGACTAGGGGTTGGGGCATCCAGTAGGTCAGTTGTTATATTTACTATCCTAAATTAATATGGGATTGTAATCACTAATCATTACACAGCGTGTCCGGTTACACCAATCAACTTCCTATTCAAATCGAGATTGCTACACAGCTAATTAATTCAATCAAATCTGGAAAATACACAATGTCCGTCGGCAAACCAGCATCTCTTGTCGTTGTTGGGCATAGTTTTGGCAGCTCGATTTCGGCTGGGGCTGTTGTTGCAAATCCGGGAATCTGCGATGCGCTTATTCTGACCGGTGCGCACAAGAGATATCTTTCGCAATGATTCATGTTTCAAATGACTAATGCTTAGGAAGGCTTTAGTTACAATGGGTCAAACCCGTCCGGTTTTATCGAAGCAGCACAGCCACGTATTGCATCATCCGTAGACCGTCGTTGGAGAAGCTTGGATACTGTTCGCAATCTATTCCTTTGAACCGAGTAGGAAGATTTTACTGATATGAACAGGGATACTTGTTACCGGTTGATATCTATTCAGGTGTCAACACGTAAGCATTCTTCGACCCGATCCGTATTTATTTTTTGCTGATTATTGCACTTCCAGCTTCTTCAAAAAACCAGACTACAACCTCGACGTTGTTCGCTATGCAGACAGTATCAAGCAGCCTCTGGGTCTGGTGGAATTCTTGACGGTAGCCTCCGGTGATCTTTCACCTACTGAGTTCACGGGAAAGGCAATGGTGAGTTAGTCTGATTCCCCTCAATTACTACCAGCTTATCCATTTTTATTGTAGGTGATAACAGGCCAATACGACTTTATCTATTGCACCGGCCAGTAAGTCACTACAAAGATTGATTACTATCCAGTCAAATAATCTGATTCATTTCTTCGTCTATAGATGCGACGACGTCATTGAATATCCCGCCGCAGATGTGTTTGCCAAAGCCAAAGAATTCAAAGCCATCAGTTATCCTGGAGCTGGCCACGGTCTGAACTTTGCATTAAATGCAACCGGAGCATATGCAGAGATTTTCGACTTTTTGGAGCAGTAATAAGACTGAAGCTAGAATTGGAGTAAAATGGAGTGGGGGAGTTCGATGCATACAACAGGTTCAAGGCAAACTAGGAAAGAATTTCAGTACCTAAAATAATGGTATTCGAGATTGGATCATGCTAAAGTGACGATGCATGTCATGGACGTCAACATGCAGAAGTTAAGCTGTGTTGGAATACGGCAATTTTGAAGGATGAAAGACTCAGACTGATTGAAGGTAGTCTCCAATGCAATTTTTAGTTGAGTTATATTTAGAAATTTCGTTGGGGATTATTTCCCTGGCCTGCTTAGGTATGCATGGATGTCAAAAAAGTGATATTTTCCAAAAGAGCCTTGGAAGCATTGAGATAATTCCGGATGACTTCTATAGAACAATAAAACAGCTAACATATTGTAAATCCTCGTCAAAACAACCAAGGTTTGCCCCAAGGGTGAACAACAGCCTGCAGCACAGCGCTCCCATCTCTATAGTCATCCAATGCCGACTCGATCTTCACCAAATCTAATCCTTCAATAACACGATGTCTCCGCGTCACAAGTGTTCCCTCCTCAATCCACTGCGGGAGATTTTCCCAGAAAGGCTTCAACATCGGTCTCAAGAATTGGTTCTGCCCAAATAGGTGCCGCACTTGGCACTTTTCTAGTCCTTGCTCTTGGGTTATACCGAGATCAAACGGATGAAGAGTGAGTATTGTTGATTCCTTGGTCCTGGATACAATTAGAAGCGATAGCGAAGGATCCCAGGATACGCAATCGTAAACGTGCGTAATGTAATCACAAGGTACAATCCCGTGGATCTTCTTTGCAATTGAGTCTTGGGTGTCGTGACGGTCAACGACATGAGTTGCTCCGAGAGTGCGCAATTCCGCTTCATTTCGAATCGAAGCCACGGTGATTATACGTCCAATGCTAGCAAGCCTGGCAAACTGAATTCCTAGCCTACCGACACTAGATCCACCGCCGATTATAACGATTGTTTGCGCTTGCAGGTCGATATTCGCTTCGTGAGAAGAAGACTTTTGGTCTTTCGGTAAGGGAGCTGGGAATCCAAATCCATTTTCTGGATGAAATAAAGCTTCAAACGATGTAGTTGCATTGACCGGGAACGTCACCGCATCATCCATTGCGACTCCTTCAGGAACTCTTGCTACAGCATCGGCATCAAGAATGGCATATTCTTGTAGTCCGGCTGAGTCTGGCGTAGGGTACATAGGATCTCCCTGGCCAAAGATTTCATCCCCGATGGAGAATGAGGTCACACCATCGCCCAGTTTCTCAACCACACCTCCGATATTTGCACTCGGGACGTAAGGAAGGCGTTCTTCGATAAGGAGTCCCCAGTCGCGCCCGTATGTGTCATGAGGGAGAACTTCGGAAAGGGCATAGTGGTAAGCACTAGGCAGGGACCAGATTTCAATTTGAAGAATACTATATACTCACGCATAGCAGATAGAACTTTGACGAGTATGTAGCCCTTGGGTGGTTTCGGGATAGGACGCTCCCCAGAAACTAGGGGTTCTCCTACTTCCCTAACAAAAATTGCCTTCTGTGTTTGTGCGGCCATACTTGATGCAAGGTTTGAGATTGATATTGTAGCAAATAATTGCCTTCAGAGATTTCCGCTTCAACTTAGGCTATATAATAGGTCAGGATTAACCAAACCACCACAAAGCTGCGCACATAAAGTCTCCGTCATTACAGTAGCTTCACTCAGATCACTAACGCGTGTGCTTGTTTAGTGCTCACTTATATAAGTGACCATATTATAATAATAATGTAGTAAGATATAATCAACAGAGATAGCCTATGCCTTATTATCCAAGAATAACACCTACGTAGGGTATGTGGGCTTTTGATGTTCACTTATATGGTGGCTAAATTAGGTAATTTAGTACTGCAAGATAACTTTATAAGTCAAGTTATAATTCATCCGTAAGTGTAAGATTATTGGTTCAAAACATCGTGCAATTACCAACACATTCACTTGAAGAAGTAACTATCTGTGCTGATCTCCTCTATTGATATCTAGGAAACGTTCTCGGTCATCTAGGTCGGGTCGAGGGCGAGACTTTGCATCTCATGGCATTCCTTGTGAGGACTTGCCTGCCCAGGCAAGCAGTAAACATCGTTTTGGGTATTTTATGGGTTAGTAGAACAAGAACATGGAAGGCTAGATTTATTAATTTGGTATTATTCAATATCCCAGAATTAGAAACTGTAATTAGAAACTGTATGTGTATTGGAAAATGCAAACGCATTGTGGCGTCAAGTGTTACTTTGATAGTCCCTTTTTTCTATTGATCAATGTAGCTAATATACGTGCTTAGTTATTATTAGAACCTCTCAGAACGCCCTGAGATGAGCTCATAGGCTCGTTCGTCAACCTGTACGTAAGGGCTAGTTGATTGAAACGACGCATATGTAATCTTCTGCAGGTCAGCGACACAACTCGACAACAATTTTTCCAAAGGGAAAAATCCTAACTTATATAAGAACAGAAATACCAACCATGTTCTATGTACTAGATATGCAAAGTAGTGCTGATCTGGAATTAATGCCCTCAGTATGGTCTAATAGCGGACATTCTTTTCCTTATCTACAACTCTAATCGCCTTTTACTTTGTCCGAGTCTACTAAGGTATACCCCTATAAATTAACAAAACTTAGGTTCGGTGAATCAGTTTGCCAACAACTATTGTATGGACGACGGAGTATGTTCCTCCAGTTATGCTCTACCGGTTTACGCATAGAAGGATTCCATCTCGGTGGTGATGCGGCCCGCGATTCGTACAAATAGGCTCGGAAATTTTCAGGAAAATGACTAACAGCAACAGAAAGTGATAGTCAATGGACTTGATCGACTATAAGAAGTGTCAGTAATACAAATGTTTTGAAATTTAGAAAAGTGATTCCGAGTACTCAAGACCTAGCTAAAGCGACATGTTAAACATATGGTCTTCCTGTGTTGACATTTTGGAGTATAATATATTTGTCATAATCAGAAGCGACACTTGCAAGTCTGAATTAATAAAATTCTGGATATACTTGATGGAATATCGAGGGGCCTATTCATTTGTTACAGCCAGGTTCTGTCAAGGTAATTGCAGCCTAGATCATGAAATACGTTTCAACATCTTTAACATTTTCCTAGTGTACTAAACGGACAATAAGTTCACATCCGCTACGCTTCAATTGAAGACCCTAATAACTCGACACTTCCAGATTCAGGTCTACTTTCGGGGTCGTCAGGGTCAATGAATCGTATACGTATGGCATTTTCCACACCGGGCAAGATATAAAGCCGACACGAGCAGACTCACTGCGTACCTTGAAACTCATTTAGAGACTTGAAAGATAGATGACGAGAATTAAAGAAATTAGCATAGATTCCGGCAAGCCCTTTTGTGCAGCATGGTAGTGGGGGCGAAGACGGGGTTTGTTTTCCTTTTCTCTGTATCCATGTTGGAAAAGCTCCAAGCCATTGGCTATTTGAATGAATAACACCTAGACGTTCTCTAGGAATTGTCACACTACTTTATAGTTTTGTGATTGTATACACAAATTATTATGCATAGATAGATCTAGTATGAGACACGGTTCGTGGAATCGTACGCATGAGCCTCGACTCATCGTTTCGACCCCGAAGTTGCTGCGGCATAGCAATTGATCTCAAGCAAAATGCAACCACGAAACCTTAAACAATGGAGATCTGCGTGAATATCAATCTTGTCTACTCCGTTCCGACGGAGTCGGGGTCGATCCGAGTCACATATCTGGGGATTCTGGGGGATGCGGGGGATACACAACTAGTACGTAGGTACGGAGTAGATATACTGGAGGTTCGCGCCGTGTTGATCAGGTTCATAAACTTGCTTCGTATTGCTTAGAAAATTCTATACTTGGTGAGACAGGACATAGCTACACGGACGAGAATAGCGAAAAAGTCCCAAGTTGATTGCACCTAATCCTAAATCGCAATGTCAATCACAATCCAGACTACGCAGATCCCCCATCTCGGGGGTATAACAGCAAATTACGCCTTTGCGAATGGTTCTCATGACCCCAGCAAGCCAACATGCGTTCTGATCACAGCAATGAGCATGAATATACAGCTTTTCAAAGACCAATTCAACGACGCGAAACTCACAAATGCCATAAATCTGCTCGCAATCGAGCCTCTGGGCCACGGCGGCACATCCTCTGCCTCTGAGCATTTTACATACTGGGATTCAGCGCAGACCGCATTGCAGGTTATCGACAAGCTTGGGATTCAAAAAGTATTTGCGCTTGGGGTCAGTCAAGGTGGATGGATTGTCACACGGATGGCACTCCTGGCTCCGGAGAAGGTATATATTCTTTGCTTTCCCCATCATTGACCGTCTTCTTAGAATTGAATGAACGCTTACTGGGACTTTAACACCAGATCCTCGGACTCGTGCTCCTTGGAACATCACTCGACTCTGAATCACCCGAATCTCGTGAACTAGGCTCCTGGAATCCAGCCCAGTTGCTGACGCCATTCTATGAGGGTTTGTCAGCTCTAAAAGATACACCCGATTTCGTAATTGACGATGCCTGGTGTGGCGCCTTCGCTGGTGTCGGTGGTTTTGGACCAAACATAACCCCCGAAACAGTTGAATTCTGGACCAAGATCTTCAAAGACACATACAAGGGAGATGAAGGCCGAAAAAAGGTTCGAATGGCACTCATCTGCCTCCTAGAGAGGGATGGGCTTCTTCTCCGTATCAAGGACGTTACTTGCCCGGTTCACTGGTTGCAGGTAGGTCTGATGTAAACGAATAGGATGAGCTACACTTACTGACAGATCAACAGGGCACCGATGATTACATCTTCGGGACCAAGCTTCCGGCAGATCATATCACACGCTTTACTTCTGCAAAGGAGTCGGAACTGACGATTGTACCGGGTGGTGCACATTACCTAAACACATCAAGTCCAGCGGAGGTCAATGCGGCGTTGTTGGCTTTTGTGACTAAACACTATACATCATGAACATAAATAGAAGGTTAGTGTAGGAATTGGATTTGTTGATGTGGAAAGCTTTGCTGTACGGTCAGCCTGCGTTGCGCTTGTTCTATGACGGGATGTGAAGGAAAACCCCCTTTAATACGCATCAAAAAATCAGATTATTGAGTTGTGACTTTTGAATGTTAGGTTTACTCAAATGGCTTCTCAAAATACCTAGGAAACAGAGCAGATTTGCGCGCGATGGGCTGATACATTATTTTGGCAACGTTGAATTTATATGCCCTATTTTAATCCTAGTCAAGGTTTTCAAAGTATTCGGTCATGTCAGCATGATAAATTTGATGCGCTTTGTCATCATGATGTATTCGCTGGCTGATTGTACCAGGGCGAACGTCAAGGGTAGAAGCGGTAGACAGTATCGGAAGCGTTGTATGGACAGTCAGGATATCATCCAGTCATAGAGGCTTTTCGTGGTTTTGCCGGGTCCGGAGCGCCCCCGACGATCTCATAACCGCAGCAGGTCTCCAAGGTGAACAGCCTCTAGTTGATAGAACAATGTTGATAAGGGAAGTTGGCAAAATGGATCTGGAACTTCGGGATAAGGATTGGCTCTAAGGGTCGGGCACATTGGGCCTTGGGGGGAGCCCCTAGAAAGTAGTATTAACATAATCTAATTTCTGCCTAGTGCTTTAAATATTAAAGTGAAGAAATTTAATTAAGCGTGGGTAAATTATAGGAATAACTATAACTCTCTTAAGGTAGCCAAATGCCTCGTTATCTAATTAGTGACGTGTATCCGTAATACTATGACTGCGTAATGATAAGTAATAAATAAATATTAGTCTCTCTTATTGATTAGATTACTGCTCTATATAGATTAACTAGATAATTCTATTTATTAAAAATAATATATATATAATATAGTAGTTATGCTCAATCCTGAACAAGTGATTGAGGATGTAACCGAAATTTATTAAGATAGCTAACCATGCATTTATAACGGAGCTTACATAAATTATAGGTTGTCATACCTTGTACCTATATGGTGGACACTTCTACTTTGGAAATCTTGATAAATATTTAAGCTCCTTTTGATTGTCTAACCTATTGATAATAGATCAATCACAATCTAGGCCGGATAGTCTGAGTACCCTCCCAAGCATCACCTCCCTCCAGAACAGCCCAGCTCTTCACAGCACCCGGCTCAACACAGACCATGCCTTTATACTCCTCATCGCCAAAGTCGCTCATCTTCTTGGCGTTCTCTACCCATGGATTCCAGACCGTCACGGTGTTGAGCTCCTTGCGAGTGATTGTGAATAAAGGCTGTCCGTTTTCGAGGACGGCGACGGGAGCTGTCGGGTCGACGTCCAGGTAGACACGATCAGTTTCGCCGGTGATGGTGATTCCATTGGTCGTTTCGGTCTTTTCTTTTTTATTGTCGACTTTGTCGATGTATACTTTGCCTTGGAGGTTTGTGACGGTAATTTTGGAGACGTCCTAGGTTATCCCGGGTCAGTGCGAGTACACTATGAGAGGGAGGGCTGTAACTTACTGGGACCTTGAAGTAATTATGCAACAACACATGGAAATCAAAGGACTCTGATCCCTTATTCTGCACCTGCAAAGAAGTCTCCAAGCTATCCGGACTAAGTGTGACACTATAGACAAGTCCAAAGTCGTATGGCCAAGCCTTGCGGAATTCCTCGGTGATCATGCTTGAGGACAATCCGAAGTCCAGCTTGACTGTGGTATCCGCTTTATTGCCCAAAGATTCCGAAGTTGATTTACCCAAAAACTCCCAGTTGGAGGAGCGCGCGAAACCGTGTTGAGGGAGGCTGGAGGTGGCATGATTTGGAGGCGGGGGACCGAATACCTACCAATACTCTCATCAGTAAACATGCCCTTAATCGAGACCTGGGAGAAGATACTCACAGGGAAAACAACCGGGATTCCACCGCGGATAGCCTTTGATCCATCCAGAATCGCTTTGGAGCTCACAAACAATTGCTCCGCGCCAGTCGCAAGCTTCCACGAAATCACGGTTGCGCCGAACAAGTGGACAGTCACGGACTCGCCGGAGGGCAGCTTTGCGTCGACGGTGCCATTGTCGTTGATGTTGACTGTGGGTTGAGGAATGGAGCCTCCGATTCCGATTGAGGTGGGCTTTTTGCCGCGGTCCATATTGATCACTATCACAGTTTGTGGTTGTTGATCGAGTGATTGTATTGTTGAGGAGAGGAAGTGACGATGTGGACGGGGCAGAATGACGGAAGACCCCGCGATTGCTTTGGTGTTATCTTATCGGGAGCTGCCTGACAGCAACAACGACAACTATCACCTGAAAGGAGAACACAAAATGAGATGAGAGCAAATCTTCCTCACAAAGAGATCAGGGGAGAAATACTGCTGACAAGTTGGGATGGAATGATTGAAATTCGAGGGGCGACAAGCTTACTTATCTCGACATGACTAATCGGACTGAAATTCCTCATGAGTGACAGAAACCCTACTATATATTTTTGGCTATACACAATACTCTTCGATCTCACGGAACTTTTGGAAATTCGCTTCATGAATATGTCTCACTTGTTCGATTTTGGCTGTGACATGTGATACTGTACTGAAAAGTCAGCAATTGTACGAGGTCTGAGACCGAATTGATGCTATATACGATACACTTCTCGTTCCACAGTGCGGAACAAACTCAATATTCTGACAGTCTCTGAACAGCGCCGTGTGAGGTATATATTTAGCATTGAACTAATTGCTGAAAAATACCTAGGTAAATCGACATTATCATAACTTTCCAGCCGAGCTTTACTTAGCCGCAAACCGAGTCAGTCCTACTGCCGAAGAACGTAGTATAATATGATTACTGAGCACCACGATTACTGAACAAAATTTAATCCCAATCACGAATGCGCTCACATAAGCCGCGCGACAAGTTGAGTAAATCTGAAAAGTACTTGCACGCCACCTCGATTAATGAACTTGAGTTATAAATAAGAGGGAATATGCTCGTCACATCGCGCCCATCCAGGATGAGTAAAACAAAGTAAAGAAAAATCTATACAAACAATGCCATCAGCCACAGAGTACCCCCTAGTCCTCGTCACCGCCGTTAACGGCTTCATCGCATCCTGGACCGCCAAAGCATTCCTAGATGCCGGCTACAATGTCCGCGGAACAACCAGGTCTGCCAAATCGAGTCACTCGATGCTTGAAGCCGAACCTTTCAAGTCCTATGCTTCTGATGGCCGGTTCAGCATTGTGCAAGTCCCCGATATTACGCTTCCGGGCGCATTCGATGATGCCGTCCGTGGATGTCATGCCATAGCACATACTGCATCGCCCATGTCGCTGAATTTCTCAGATCCGGAACCCGTTATCAACACAGCTGTACAAGGTGCAAGATCTGTACTTGATTCCGCTCATTCGAGTTCCGGCACTGGGTCGTCGACGGTGAAGTCATTCGTCCTACTTTCATCTATTGCGGCTGTGGTTGGGAAAAAGCCAGATGATAATGCGGCCTATAGATTCACGGAAGCCGACTGGGATGATGTATCCGAGAAAGAGGTCGCACGCCTAGGCAAGCAGACACCATCTATGATGATATACAAGGCAAGTAAGACGGCCGCGGAACGAGCCATGTGGGATTTCCAAAGGGATAAGAAGCCGAGTTTTACCATGACTGCAATCAATCCTGTCTATGTTTGGGGACCACCGTTGTTATTTCCAGAAGACCCCGAGGACCTGAACATGACAGCCAAGATTGTTTGGACGGTTCTGTCCGGTCAAGATATTCCACCTCCTTTCGGTGGCTCCAATGGCTCGGTCGATGTTCGGGACGTGGGTCGTTTAATCTTGTTTGCAGTCCAAGAAAGCGAAAAAGCAAATAATCAGAGATTCATTGCGGCGTCTGGAGTTAGAAGCCATCAGGCAGTTGCAGATATTTTGCGCGAGATATATCCTGAGAGAAGGAATATTATCAAAGAGGGCAATCCTGGAGAGGGCTATTTGCCTGACTATAGCTTTCCGGAAGACACCCCAGCGGCCAAAGTTGATAATAGCAAGGCTGTCAGAGTAACTGGAAAGGAATGGATTGGTCCTAGACAGAGCGTTGTTGATGCAGCAAAGGCGCTTGAGCGTTATTTATAGTTGACAAAATTGTTATGCTGTTTCTAGGATACTAGATTCCTTATGACACAATTTTAGATCACTTCTGAGTACTTCTAGATCACTTACTAAGTTTATAAAATTTACTTCTAAGTAATATTAGGTACTTGGCCGTTGTAAATGCATGGTTAGCTATCTTGATAAATCTCGGTTGCATCCTCATCCCGGTGCATGGTCCAAGGGTATGATTACGGCAGCCTATAGATACAACCTTGCCAAAATTCGTAATGTATTGAAATATGATAATGCCACACAAAGCAAAGGGATGCTTATATAACTCGCTGATGACGGCAGCTAATACGTATTTGGCTTAGTCTCATATGGGAGTGGGTCAATATATTCTAATTTCATTTCTGTATATACTTCTCACTCAAGTTCGAAATTCATCAACATTTACCAATATTCTTGTGATTGTTGGCGCGTCAAGATGTGTGCGTTTGTGGGCTTAGCCCGTATGAAAAATGCCTTTCTGGCGTTCTCAATCTTTCCTCCTCCATCCTCTTTACAACCCACCAGGAATCAGCCACCATCGAGCAAAGTAAGCTACACAACATAATCCATCTTATTTTATTCAGTTTTTTTTCACATTATTGACTCAAATTTAGTTTTTGATTCGATCGATCGATTTAAAACGCCATAAATTGCTAGTTGTCGTGCGGTAAGTGAGGCAAAAGATGGGTTTCGCACGGTCGGGCTCTGTCCGATTAGTGAGGTTATTCTGAGGTAACCCTTCCTTCAAAGCTGATATCAGTACGCGAGCAGAACCCTTTTACCATTCACCCATCCAACCCAGGTTCGGCCGTGGCTTTGGCCCTAACGAAAGGGTTCCGAGGTCCAGGTTAGGTATGGAACCCTTTGAAAATGACCCCATTCGGAAAGAATATGCTAAAAAATCAGCAGGGATACAGCAAATATGGAGGACACTGGTACAGAAGGCCAGAACCCTAATTCTGATGCCCCTGGGTTGCCAACAAAGGATAAAGGAAATGTCGAAATTGCCGGAAAAGACGCCCTCGTGGAGCGAGAAAGTGGCGAGGAAAGTGGCGAGGAAAGTGGCGAGGAAAGTGACGAGGAAAGTGACAAGGAGAGTGACAAGGAAGGTGACAAGGCAATTGCTCGAAAGACAGCAAAACATGCGCCAACAACCCCATGTAAGTTGATATCATATACCGGTTCCACCCGCTGCTAACCATTTCAATAGTGACCTCGGCACTAAAGAATGTGAACAAAAACATTACAAGCCTTCGCCGGCATCTTCGACTAACTTCAGATGATGAATGGATAGAATGGTTGAGAAGCCCAAATTTTCTTCCCTACTGGGAAGAATTATGGTCATCTTGGCTATCCAAACGTTCCAAAAAGAACCAACGTGGACCTGGCATTGAGCAAGTGCTCTCCGTCATGCGATCAGAAGCTGAAGAATTTGACGAAAAACATGTTGACAAAGATGATTGGACTGATGTTCAACACTATGCAAATTTCATGCATCAGATCTTACGTCGAAACATTAACCACACTGATGGTCTCTTTAAGCATCGTTCTATGGGTCCTAACGAAGCCGAGGTGTACCTTTGGGGTGCTATGAAATGCATCCAGCATAAATTCTCGCCGTCTCAAATAGACAGGCCATCAGGGGGCAGGGCGTTATTGTATAGTGAAACACGAAAGAGAAAAGCTCAGCCCACGGATTCTACGCCCCGCAAGTCGAAGAGGCAATCGAAAAAGGATTCCGCTCAGAACCCTTTTCCAGACACACCTGCCCAACATGATGATGTCAATGCTAGCCCCAGCACTCGCCATATCACCAAAACCGACACTCATCTGGATAACGACGATGCTGCTGATCAAAACGGCATTGACGAGTTTTTACAAGACGTCACGGCGACTACAGATCTGATTAATACCACCTTGACCGATTCTTGGAAGAAGATGATACGTTCTTACTCGAGGGAGAAGTATCCTACGAAAAAAAGTGAACAATTCGACCTTAGCGACCCGTACTGGCGCTTGATGTTCGCCCGAACATCTCTACTTCGCGCTGAACAGGACTGCACAAATGAAACCCAAATTCCGCCACCTCCTGCAGAAGATGCTGGCGGTGCAGAATCATCTCTAAGTGTTTCTGCTGAGGAAGAATCTGGCGGACTGGACCCCAGTGAGGCTGTATGGCGGGGCACAGTGACAGACGCTGAGATCTTTGAACTAGAAGCATTGGATGCAGAGAATAATAGTGGCGAATATGTTGCTGCTAGTAATTCTCTGGAGTACTTGGAGTTTGAAGAGATAGCTGCAGAGCAGGGCTATGGCGAAGAGGAAGATATATCTCCTCCCCATCTTCTGAATGTTTCTGAAGAAACACTTGCAAACTACCAGAAAGAGCTTATATGGCTCGACAATCCTGCTTTCCAGCCTTCTAATTTTGATGCCGCCCATAAATCTCTATACTTCACACCTGCGGAGCATGATGATGATCGTCTCATTCGGACTCGTCATCACTATATGCGTTCAAATACTGATCTGGAGGTTTGGCAGGTGTTAGGTGTGGCTCSTGCTGTGGAGATAATGGAGCAAACTCGTCCTGATGGATCCCCCATGTTTCGAGGAGCGTTCCTCAGTGATGTAATGGGTCTTGGAAAGACCTTTCAAGCGACCGTTTTCATGTTGGAGGTATGCCTTGTGTGGGTTGAAAAAGGGTTCTAGAACCCTTTTTCAAACCCCTCCCCGCCCCCCCAATGCACTGCTTTTACAGTCTTTAGAACCCTTTTTTAGATGACCCTCTCTGACTTCTCTACAGATTTATCGTCGAGCCAAACTTCAACAAACCGCTTGGGAGAGCGTCAACACAGGTAACGCCATCGACTGTGCACCTGAACCCAAATATCGACCCTTCCTTCTGATTGTGCCATCTGCCATTCTCGCCCAATGGGTCGCTGAGATATACAAGATCACCAAACATCTGAAGGTCTTTGTCTTATATGGAAATCACAAATCCATCAAAGCCGGGACTTTCAAAAATGCTCAGGTTCTCAAGGATGCATTAAACCCTTTTCACTGGATCTTCGACGGGTCATTCGCTCGAGCGAATCATGTTATTGTCACCAGCTATGACACTTTCCGCAGTCGTCATGGTCCTCCGGCCCAGAGAAAATGGCACAACAAAGAGGCCCAGCGTCGTAGAAAAGAAGGTGATGCATATGTTGAACGGCCCTGGCCTGGCAATCTCGAGGGACTTATTCGACACGTAATCCTTGATGAAGCACACACTCTACGCAATGCTGATAGCGGATTGTCTACAGCTGTGCAGTGGGTTAAAGCTGATTTCCACTTTCTTTTGTCTGCTACCATTTTCTATAATGGCATTTTGGATTTTCGCGGATATTTGTCTCTCATTATTCCAGAGAATGCCGATGCAATTTGGAATGATGAGCTAGGTCTAGCAAGCCTCAATGTCACCAAATCCACCAACCCTTTCTTATTATCTGAGGATCATCCGGCCAGTTTCCTGAGATTCACAACCCACGCTCTCAACAAATACATTTTTACGGACAACGTCACGGTCCAAGTCGCAAGCGTCTATCTGAAAGGTATTCTGAAACACATGAATATCAGACGTACCCTTTCCTCATCCGTCCAAGTTGGGTCCAATCATTTGATTATCGGCTCGCGTATCCCTCCCTCTCAGACGCGGATTATTCATGTTGCATTCTCGCGAAATGAGAAGGCAATGTATGATCAGGCTGTTATTCCTCACTACAAGAATTTGATAATGAAAAAGGATGGGAAAGTTGTGGTGAACATGGCCAAATATCGAATGCTAACCCTTCTGACTTCATGGCTTGGAATGGAGTTTGTTGAGAGTGTGCTCACTGTTAAAACATTCAAGGAAGTCTTATCGGCATTTCGTCTAAAGACAGTGTGCCAGAGCCTTGCCCGGACAGTCTACTCCAGGAGACCTCCATCATCGCCCCAAAAATGGTTCCGCAATCTTAAACGCCGAGGGAAAATCACTCAACCATCTGTCAATGCTCTCAGAACCCTTTTGCGAGGCTCCCCGAAGATGAGGGCTATGCTGCCTATTGTCATGCATAATGCCCTTATTCGCAATGAGAAGCAGATTATTTGGTGTTCATTTCCAGCTACACAGGTGTACGTTGCAGCGGTATTAAAGGAATGCGGTATTGACGCGAGATTGTTTCATTCTAAGCTCAATCAGCTACAGCGCCAAAGTTTGATTGAGGACTTTACTACTACAGACAAATGCTCTGTTCTAGTTATGTCCTTAGCTGTCAATGCCTTGGGTTTGAACCTCCATCCTCGATGCAGCATAATGCACTTCTTCGATCTGCCTCCCACTAAATCGGTTATGGATCAGGCTATTGGGCGCTTACGGCGATTTGGTCAACAACTCGTTGTTGTCGCCTATGTCTACTCGGTAAACAATAGTTGGAATGTTATTCAGCAGACTAAAGCGGATGAGAAGGCTGTTACAAGTATGCTCTGTGACTTGAATCCAGCGATGTTCAAACTCGCTGTTGAGAACACTGATGAAATTTCCATCAGTAATCTCGTTGTTCGAGATGGGTTTCTTCACCAACTTGAACCTGGGGAAGTTCCACTGGCTTCTGATAATATCAATGATGAGGATATTATCACTGCTATCCAAAAGTCATTCGTCGAGGAGGTGGGCTTGTTAGAAACTGCCGAAACTTGAATCGCTCTTAGATGTTTCCTATGTTCCCTATGCATTTTTCAGTTTAATCAGAATGGACCGTATCTTTTAGTTTTCTCAATAAAAAGTTAATTATTTCTTTTTCTTACAATATCTCTCCTTATAATAGTGTTACAATATTCCATATATGTAGTGTAGCTTCCGGTGCGGATGACACTCTACGACTACCTAGTAAACGTCAGTCACAACACTAGCCATTGTAGTAGGTGTTACTCATCCATCGATTTTCGGCGAGCTTCCCATGAATCCAGAATCACTTTCTTCTCTTGCTCCTTTCGTTCTTTCGCATCATGGATCGCGGACGAAGAATTAAAGTTGTCAAATGGGTTGTCCAGCTGCTCTGTTCCTATCACAGGTGCCTTCACTAGCATAGAAAAGTCAATCAGCTTACCCTCATTAACTTATGATTAATTGACCGCGTCTTTTTGTCTATACGACTCATCGAATGCTAAGATATTATAAATTAGTAATACTAGTATTATCGGCTTAAAGATAGACTAAAAAAAAAAAAAAAAACTATAATTAACTAGAACATCTATATATTAGCAAACCATACCAAAAACCACTTTACTTATTATCTAAGGATTTACACAACTACACATCTTTCATCTATTACCACTCATTAACTAGAGAACATCTAAACCTCTAAATTCTAGACTCTAACTACAAGACTTCTTATCTCTTATTAGACCTCTTCCTTCAATAGCAAATTGCTTCATTACAATAATATCGGTCATAGCATTTTCTTTATCCATGCCCCTCTGCACATGGGCTATTGAGCGACGAGAGTGCGGACGTACACTCCCCGCCTAGTCGCGCGAGCCGCCATTGTTACTGACGGCGAAAATTAATCAGATTGAGCCTCAAGATAATGGCATATTCTGTTTGCTGAGCATGCTCTGCTGAGTCGTACGAATAAAATAATTGCAAAATGGTGGTTGTATTAACAGTCGAACTTGAATGTATAGAAAAATGGTCTTCATATCCTAACCTTAGTCTTAGAACCCTTTCGTAGGAAGCCCTAATTAAGGTGTATTCTTATATTTAGGCATCCACACTCTATTCTATATATCTCACAGTTTGGTATTTTGTCGATCTGATATAGCAGAATAATATGTATCAGGCAGCATACGTCTAGTAACGTTATACTGTGGTCGTGACCCGGGTCCCGGCTGAATGTGCCGTGATTGATTATAATTTGCATGCAATTATTGGAGTTATAAACTGCAATGGTCAAGGGGTTACGATACGGTCCTCCCATCCATTGTCGTGGATTGAGACCGTGACCTGGGTTCGAGTCCCAGTTGCAGTAGAGAAAAAAAATCGCAATGATTTTACACGTAACATTTTTTCTTTTTCCCCGGCTCTGATATTAAGGATTTGGCTAAGAGCACTTTTTTCTATTTCCTTGCCTTACTACTCTTAAATATGAGTGCCTTATGTACGGCATCGTCGCTAGATCAATACACCGAGTTTGGTGTGACAGTGGTCAAAACCTGATATTTAGACTATCTCTCTACTTAGAAGCACTGGGTCGTCAGGTAGTATCAAGCATAAAAAGAGAAAAAGAAAAAAATATTTATTTGATAAAGAATATACATATTCTCTTTTTTATATTGTTATTTTTTCTAATAAGATACTACTTATAGAGCAGCTTTACCAACAAAAAGACCCTGTAGAAATCCTTTACCACCTAGCAGTAACCTCATCGCCTCATTGATCGCTTCATTGAACGTACATGTACGGCTGTCACATTTGGTCATTATATTGGAGGTAGATAGAGTATATGAAAAAAGATTCCTGGGTTCCTTAGAATAATTAAAGAAGGCTTATGATGCGTCTAGAAAAGGGTTCTCCTGAGAGCTCTTTCTAGGCTTTCCTTCACTACAATATAACCTTTCAGCAGTCACAATCATTATCACTTTCATTACAGCAAGTACAGCCAGATCTTTAATGTGGGAAATTGCTCGAGAAACCCATTGAATGTACGTAGATGCAGAGTTACTACTCGTGTAGTATGTACATGTTTCGTACGGTAGGTGCGGCTCTCGACATGCAGGTGCTCCTTCCGTATTGGGAAGGAGCGACTCTCCGGTCATTGCAGGGAGAAACATCAAAATATGGAGTGTATTGAGGGATTTACTATAGCGTTAAACAGCTAGAATAACAAGACAACAACATTCGGAAGACTTGTTCATACCTTTAATCATGGGAAGACCAAAAAAGAATCAACGTGCGCAGAAACGCCCTCTAGAAACAGCGCAATGGGAGACCTGGGGGTTCAAGAAGGCAGCAAAACTGGAACATACCGCGCCGATAGCAGAAGAAGCATCACAATATATTGGATGTGGGCTTGTGAACGAAACTTCGCCATCGATAGCGGAGTCTGGTGATATTATCAATACAGCAGTCGCAACCACGGAGCCTGCTGTGAGCCCATCATATGAGTCCCAACCTCATAGCCGTTATGAGAGCCTCCTCCGCAGTATTTTAAATGGAATGGCAGCATATGCCCGATCTCCATCATACTCTTCAGCTGCGATGAGCCCCGGCTTTGCTGAAATCCTACGAGAAGAAAGCCCTGAGGAGATACTTCAAAAGCTTCTACGTGGCATCACGTCGGAGACGAAAGCTTTGCTCCAGAAAGAACGATGGACCTACGATGATATTCTCCAGCTACCTACGGGTCAAAAACAACATAACATACAAGGAGTATATGGCATCTTTGCCCTTGGCCACAAGCCCAAAGCAGCTAGCTATGTCGGCAGTACCGGCAATATATGGAGGAGATGGGGCCAGCATAGGAATTACATCAAGCATACAGAAGGCATATGGCCAGCAGCAAATGATTACAAGTATCATTACTTCCGCAAGTATTTCGAGATCAAGGATCTGCAGTACAAGATACTTGCTATGTTTGACGAACCTATCGAGGACCAATATTTGAAAATGCTCGAAGGTATCTTTGCCATTCTCTTTTCAGCAATGTACTGCTACCCAGATGGAAATGTGCCAACAAATCGACAAGCAGCTGTGAATCTAATAAATAATCTTCAGTTCACATACAACATCCATTCTCCCTTCTGGGGACTGAACATGAGATGGCCCATCAGCCAACAATGCCCTCATCCAATGCGATCTATGGTACTTCCATGTCAGAATCCGGCATGTGGCCGGATGACATATCCCCCCATGGGGAAATCACATCCGCGTGTGCTTTTTGATGAAAATGATATTAAAAAGGGCTTCTTGTGTGGTTATTGTCAAGATTGGAAGGTTTCACATAATAACCAACTTCCTAGTGATCAACGGGTTGCTATTCACAAAGCGAAGAATGATGGTGCGCACCCAAAAGATAGTTGTGAGCATTGCGGAGATAAAGCTCCAAAAAGGAGCTATTCCTTACACTCAGAGCTCCTAGTGACATTATGTGCTGCTTGTCGGAAGTTCTATAAGGAGAACAAGCATCTCCCCAGCAAAGAGATAATCAAGGAAAGAGAAAGAAGACGTGCGTTGAGAAATGCCAAGTAGAAAATATGGTCTTAATACATGTATAGCCCATATTTCCATATGTATTTATAATCTTATCTTAGCTAGTATCTAGACGGTAGCCTCCATACAATATATTCGAACAATAGCTTCACATGGAGTTTCAATTGCATTTGCTATTTGATATATGGTCAATCTACCTAGAAGTAAATTTAGACCTCTGCAAGTTCCATGGGACTTACATGGGACTCCCATGGCTACTAACTTTCTGCCTGAATTTGCATCAACCTGTAGGGGCATTGCCTGACTCAGACGCATAAAATGCTGACTAGCTCCCGCCACTAACTTAATTGTTAACTAAATTATTTACACACGTATTATATCTCTTAAATTTCTATTGCATTGTTGTGTCTATTCTAACCATCCTATCTAATTTGAGCAATTAGGGAGCCAGTCGCGAAGAGGAATCGAACGAGACTGCCACATGAAAGAAGGGAGGGATGTGACCCTGTAGAAAGTATTCTCAAGGTTGATCGTCCGCAAAAATGGATAGTGTTCCTTAGTAACAAGAAAAGGTAGCAATAAGTGAGACCCTGTGGAAGGTATCCACGAGGTCGCTCGCCCTAAGTAGCGGGTACTACGTGGGACTTGCGGGGATAGATTAGGTATTGTAATGGGATTGTCATGAGATCTAGATTGGCTCCATCATACCTAATTGCTACATATTATTGCTTCAACTCATGACGCTTTAGGGTTTAAAGGAGGGTTTGAATAAGGGTTTGAACGAGAATTCGAAGGAGGGTTAGGGTTTAAATCAGGGTTCTGTTCAAACAAGGGTTGAAATAGGGGTTGAAATAAGGGTTCTGTTCAAATAAAGGTTTGAATAAGGGTTGAAATAAGGGTTCTGTTCAAATAAAGGTTTGAATAAGGGTTGAAATAAGGGTTCTGTTCAAATAAAGGTTTGATTAAGGGTTTAAATAAGGGTTCTGTTCAAATAAAGGTTTGAATAAGGGTTTCAGTTCGAATGAGGATTTGGAAACTCTGGAATATGCGCGCTAAGATAGTAATAAATCGGAATAACTATTTAACCGAAGACTTTCAAATATTCTACTACCGCTTGAGAGCTTAGCGCACATGATGATTTTTTTGTTTTACGATCTTGTATATTTATTTTTGTGGTTTCTTCAATTACCATGCGATGAGCAACAGAGCTGTTTGTGGTGTTGAGTGTTGATGTTGAGTGTTGATGTTGAGGATTGTTTGTGTGGACAGGACGCGCAATGCAGGCTAATTGACGGTGTGCTAAAGTGAGGACGATTACGTGCTAGACGGCCACTATGACTACTGCTTCTACCCGCAAGCTCTTTTTTATTTTTGTTCTTATTTCTAATCAATCACTCGCCGATTATAAATACCCTCGCCGAGACAGAAACCTGTCTGGTTGCATGTGAATGACTTCGAACACGGGCCAGGATACTGAGCGCTCAGAACCGCAATATGTAATTGAAGAGGAAGGTTTGCCGACTCCGCCATTGTTGGAAGTCGAGAACGAGAGGTACAATCAGGTGGTACCTGATAACCTGGACAATGCGCCGAGACAGGTCGGCAATGGTATAACACAAAACGGCGAGAATGGCAACAATAATGGCACTGGCCCGGAACCAGAAGAAAAGGAGAAACCCATATCATGGAGCCAACTTCCCAAAAAGACTCAACTACTCATCCTCGTCCTGGCCCGACTATCAGAACCTCTTACCCAGACCTCACTCCAAGCATATCTCTTCTACCAATTGAAGTCCTTTGMCCCCTCGCTTCCGGACTCTACGATCTCGCGACAAGCCGGTATCTTCCAAGGAAGTTTCACAGCTGCGCAGTTCCTGACTTCTGTATGGTGGGGGCGAGCAGCTGATTCGCACTGGGTTGGAAGGAAGCGAGTTTTGTTAGTTGGTATGCTCGGCACTCTCATATCGTGTGTCGGATTTGGATTCTCGAGGTCTTTCACGGCGGCGATTATATTTCGGATTCTGGGCGGGTTGATGAATAGCAACGTTGGGGTCATGAGGACGATGGTTTCGGAGATTATTGTTGAGAAGAAGTATACCACCCTATGTGTTCTGAGTATTTGCAGTCGGCTGATCATGGTAGATATCAATCACGCGCGTTCCTGTTGTTGCCAATGTGTTTCAATGTTGGTGTGATTATAGGACCTAGTTTAGGCGGATTTCTGGCAGAGCCCGTCACCAGTTTCCCGGGTCTGTTTGGACCGGGTTCTTTTCTTGGTGGTAAAGATGGAGTGTGGTGGATGCAACATTGGCCTTACGCATTGCCGAACCTCGTCAGTGCGGTCTTCATTCTCTCGGCGTGGGCTGGAATTTTCTTTGGTTTAGAGGAGGTTGGTCAATTACGGTCCTTTTGTCGAATATGAGATGACTAACTGGAATAGACTCATGAAACACTCAGGCATCAACCTGACTGGGGCCGAAAACTTGGTAGCGCAATAGCTAGACGATTCAGACGCAATCAAGGATATAGTTATCGTCGACTAGACGACGATGAAAGATCCGTCTTTCTTGAAGACGATGACGACCTGGTGCCGGACAGCGAAACAATCAGACCAACCGAACCTCTACCCATGGCACGCAAAAAGTCGACTTGGAAGCAACTCCTCACCAGAAATGTCGTCCTCACCTTACTAACCCACTCACTCCTCGCAATGCACACTAGCGCCTTCAACGCCATGACTTTTGTCTTCCTACCGACCCCTCGTGCCCCCGAAGATAGTCGCAAAGACTTCTTCCACTTCAACGGTGGCCTCGGCCTAACAACCCAACAAGTCGGTATCGCAACATCAGTTATCGGACTCATCGGCCTACCTTTGCAGCTTTTCGTTTACCCACGCGTCCAATTCCGGCTCGGCACTTTGAAGTCTTTGCGCAGTTTCTTGCCTTTATCTCCATTGGCGTATATGCTCATGCCATTCTTAGTCCTCATCCCGCGAGGCGCTCAGTATTTGATCTGGCCTTCGTTCAGTTTCGTAGTAGCGCTGCAAGTTTTGTCAAGAACGTTTGTGCTTCCCGCCGCGATTATCCTGGTTAATAACTCCGTCTCTGATCCTTCTGTTCTCGGGACGATTCATGGAGTGGCACAGAGTATTTCCAGTGGTGCTCGGACATTGGGCCCGTTTCTTGGTGGTTTGGGATTGAGCCTCGGTTTAACGCATAATATCATTGGCGCTGTCTGGTGGGCGCTTGCGGTGGAAGCGTTGTTTGGTTGGCTTGTGAGTTGGTCGATATACGAGGGTGAGGGGATTCAGAGGAAGAAGGTTGTTCAAGAGGAGGAGGCTTTACTGAACTCGGAATCTGAGGAAGAAAGAAGATAGACTATTTACACTTTTACGATTGGACGTATGTCACAATTTTGCTTGTACATATCCTACATATTGTCGCCTTAAGCAAGCACGCAGGATTTCCTGTGAATATATTTGTTCAATATTCTTTTGTTTATATTCAATCATGATATATACTATGTTATCCTCCGTTTGATTCGAGGTTTCATTATCATCGTTACTTTCGTCATTAATTCGTCCATTGTTTTCAATGGCTTCAGCCGTCGCGGTGCCACCGAATACGCCGGCTGATATTCATCATATGGAGCCTCTCTATGTTGTCCAGGTTTCATCGCCATAAGCTATTTGTGTCATTGTCTCTATCCGATAGGCCCTGAATCGTGTATCCTATCCTTTGCCAAGGCTCAAACGACGATCGATGGTGTAATAAAAGCTCGAATAGCCTCTTTGGCATCTCCGTCATGCGACCTCAGTAATTCGGTGGCCTTATTCTTCGTCAGATCGAGTTCTTCAACCTATATCGAACACGACTTGTTAGCATCTGTCACAACAAGGAAGAGTATCACAGCTTACGAGTAACGTAACATCCTCCGCCACGATCTTAACCGCTTTCTTCTTCACAGCCGTCTCTGCCGCACCCGCAGCTGCCTTGTTAGCACCCCCGGCCTTCCCAACTGCGCCGCCGGACGCAATCTCCAGCCGACTCATAGCCTTCCCTAAGGCTTCTTGTGCGGCTGCAGACGAGAGCTTGTCGCTGCCATCTTGTGATATTTCATTGTCGTTCAGCGAGTTGAGGGCGGCGGCGGCTTTGCGGTCTTCGGCGTTGGCGGGTAGGCGGTTTTCTTCGCCTTCGGCGGCGGAGGGGATATTGTCTGCCATTCTTCGTCTTAGGGCAGCTTTATCCTGTGATAAAGATGATCAGGTTGTTAGTTTTGTTGTTGTTGGCGATGAAGGTAAAGCGGAGGTGATTGTCGGCGGGGATATGCTAGGCCGGATTCAGAGCTAAGCTTCTTAGTGCTGCCCCGCACCAGTTGACGCGGATATCATCGGCTATTTATTTCTACATCTGATTTCTCTGCATCATCTTTTCAACAAACTCTCCTTCAACAGATACCTTTTGCATCTTGACAAAATAAAACCCATCTTACCTTCGCTTTTGGGAGACTCAGTTTTATATTAGTCCAGCGCCATCCCGATTCCACCAAATCTACATCTGTAACCATACGCAGATACTATCTCACTCTTGCGGTGACTCACCGAAATCCCCAGCATTTTCTTCAAGAAAACAGCCACAAGAGCTCAATTAAAATTACACCGGAGTCTCAGATCAGATATCTGACACACAAAGACCTCATAGTCATGGCGGAATGGAGTCCCACGTGTACGTCGCCGCTAAACGGCCTCCGATATTGATTTGATCGTGACACTAACAATTCTTGCTATCCACCAGCCTGGACCTCGAAACCGATCAAACAAGATGTCACATACGAAGACGCTGACGCTGTAAAAGCGGCATTGACCAAACTTCAAAAACTGCCGCCATTGGTGACCCCGCACGAGGTATGATCATAACGAAATATGACAGCGATGGGAGACATTGTACTCACAGTCCGTGCCATACAGATTGTGCATTTGAAGAATAGTCTACGGAATGCGGCTCTTGGGAAGGCTTTTGTGCTTCAAGGTGGTACGTTGAGACGAACGACGTCGTGATTACGGCCGGATACTGATGGTCTGCTGCAGGCGATTGTGCGGAACTATTCGATTACTGCAATCAAGACACAATTGAGGCGAAGGTCAAGCTGCTTCTGCAGATGAGTTTGGTTTTAGTCTGGGGTATGAATACAAAAGCTGGGTTAAAGCAAACGTGTCGCTGACTACTAAAAGGAGCCAACAAACCCGTCGTCCGTATTGCACGCATAGCTGGTCAATTTGCCAAGTGAGCTCTATGATTCCCGAATAGACGTGTAAAACTAACAGATATAGACCCCGCTCAAGTCCAAACGAAACAATCAATGGTGTCACAATGCCCTCCTTCCGCGGCGACAATATCAACGGCTTCGACGCAAACCCCGAGTCACGAAAACCAGATCCAGCTCGCCTGGTATCAGCATACTTTCACTCCGCAGCAACCCTCAATTATCTCCGTGCCTCACTAGCCTCTGGCATTGCCGATCTGCATTCGCCTCTAGACTGGGGCTTGGGACACGTCATTGCACCATCCATCAAACAAAAATACGAGAGAATCATAAACTCAGTGACGGATGCACTACGATTCATGCACACAGTTGGCGTCGACCAGGATCGCCGTGTTGCAACAGCCGACATATACACAAGTCACGAAGGACTATCTCTCGAGTATGAGCAAAGCTTCACTCGTCTCCTGCGCCATCCACCAGAAGCATTCCCCTCGCCTACCGAATACAAAGAAAAACAACTCCGCCGCGGCTCATCTGCCGCAATCTCAAAGGGCTATTACGACACATCCGCTCATTTCCTCTGGATAGGAGACCGTACACGACAAGTCACAGGCGCCCACGTTGAATTCTTCCGCGGTCTCAGTAACCCCATCGGCATCAAAATTGGGCCCAGTATGACGACCGAAGAACTCGTGGAGTTACTCAATACTGTAAACCCGACGAAGGAGATCGGCAAAGTGACACTCATATCACGATATGGCGCGGATAAGATCGCACAATACTTACCTGCGCATATTGCTGCCGTGCAGGCTTCGGGCCATTTACCGGTTTGGCAATGTGACCCGATGCATGGAAATACGCAATCTACACCTTCGGGCGTGAAAACGAGACATTTTACTAATATCTTATCCGAACTCAGACAGGCGTTGGAAATTCATAGAGCTGCGGGTAGTTATCTGGGCGGGATGCATCTCGAGTTGACAGGCGAGGCGGTTACGGAGTGTGTTGGAGGTGCAGGTGGTTTGACTGAAGAAGGCCTTTCAGAGCGTTATGAGACTTTCTGTGATCCGAGGCTCAATGAGAAGCAGGCTCTTGAGTTGGCATTTTTGGTTGCGGGATTCTATAGGGAGGATATGGAGAGAGGGGAGGAGATTCTTTGATTCTATGGATAGCTGTAGCATTGCTTTACAGGAAAGAAAAGTTTTTGCCATGTGTTTTTTGGATTCCACATTGACAGAACTATACCAAAATTTATGTTTCACTTAAGGGGGGACACCTACCAGCATACGCCCGTCATTCGAGGAATCCTTGCTTTACCATCTGTCTTCGAAACGCCCAATCCAAACCTCTCTCAGTCACTAGTATCGGTGTTGCAAGCACCACTACCTGATCTCAATCTGGGAATCTACCCTACCAGATCATCAGCGCTACAACAGAAAGATTCCTAGGGCCACTCATTTACTGGATAATCTTTGAGGGAGAGGTGAACAGCCCTATACAACCGTCAAAAGCCTTAGCAAGAAGCCCCTTAAACCGTTCTCAATTCCAAATCAACAACCTGAGGCAGACAAATCTGAAATACAACCGCGTCCTATCTTCAAATGACTCAACCAAGCCCTCTCAGAGTAGAAGGCTTATTTTCTTCCAACAAATCCGTCAAAACCTCTAAAACTTCACGCATCTTATGCACAAGCTCATTTAACTCCTTTTCCTTCTTTAATATCGCTTCGTGCTCCTCATCAGTTTGCACGAGGTGATCTGTACGCGCACGAAGCCAGTAGTACTCCTTGGACTTCCTCTTCAGATATTTGTTCATTGTCCGAGCGGCGTGTCCAACATTTGCGCAGAGATCTTCGTAGTTTAAAAGGGGTGATTTCTCGACGCATTGTCTTTTGGGCGTATTGGAAGCGGTGGTAGTAATGTCGTTGTTATCGTCGACTTCTGGTGATCTTTGACGCTTCTCGCGATGAGAAGGTTGTTGTCTTTTTGGGAGAGATAGGTACGACCCCATTTCTTCAAGAAGTTTGTCTGCGATGCAGGTCAGCAAGACGTGCGCAGAAACAGATGTGATATGAAGTATTTGGGTAGTTCTGCAATGGTTTTGGAGGCACTAGAACATACTTTGGATGGAATATGCGAAGTGATGGAGGATTGAGAGTGTGGTTTTCTTTTGGGATGCGAGGCGGCTAAGGAATATGCATTTTTATGTATCGAGAGAGGTGAATGAAGGACTTGTTCTATATTGGCTTGACAGTTCAACTTTCCTAAAGGTTCGATATTTCCATGCTGTGAGAAGAAGGAAGGTGCCAACTAAGGCGATGCCTATGAACAAAGCCTTGTAGCGTGCCTACGACAAAGGTTAAGAAGATTTATACAGAAACAAATTTATGATACATTGCTGTAATAGCAATAAGTTTACAATCAACTGTGGTCTTCCATCCACAAATCTTCAGCACGTCTCAATGTCTCTACGCTTTTAGATATCGGAGAAAATCGTCTCGACTATGCACTAATTTCTCATCTATTCATTCGTTAATAGAAGCTGTATAAATTCTAAGATCTAACCAGAAAAGTAATTAGGCAAGTGTCTTCAGCATACCATTCATAGTTTTGTTAACCCTGATAGGATCAAGAGAGCATCGCTTGCGAAAGAAGCAATGGGTGCAGTGCACAAACACAAACTGAATGGAAATCATTCGAATATAGAGGTATTGACACAAATTCTGCTACCCCTATTCTACAAGCAGTTCCTTGAGCCCATGGGGGCCTTTCAACATTGTAAAGATTGTAATCAATGACGTTCAAATTCGATCTCTCTGGGGCCCTTTTTAAAAACAAAGGCTACCCTGTCTACTAATTAAGTTATCACGGCAAGTATTGGCGCTCGCGAACAAGAGACAGACTATCTTTTAGGGCATCGGAATTGCACAAGAACGCCCGATATATACCCCTACTGAAATGACAGCATACAAATTGCAGGCATTTATTGCGAGGTTACACAAAAGATTTTAAGGCACCATTATGCATGCAAAATCGTGCTTCATCAGGATTGATTTGCAGTAAACTCAGAATGCCTGGATCACTCCTATTGGAGACGAGAAGATATGCACGCGCTAGCAAATGTTCCTACTCTAAAATAAAGCCAATATCAAGCCGAATCGTGATTGGATCGAGCTTCGATGGAAAGCATCCAGCAACCAAGCTAAGTATCCGAGCAGCTGTCGTGATTGAGAAACACTATCTTCTTAGCGGCGTGGAGGTGGGGGCTATATGCAGCCGATCCATTTTTCCCTCGTGTTCAATTGAGATAGACACTGAGAACCAGTGGATAACTCCTGGGTATCAATTGATCTCGAGCAACAGGGTCGTTCGAGACGCTGGCGTATGGATATTAATCGTCGGCCGGGACAGCCAAGAACGGTTTATACAGGAAGACACCCAATATAGCCAGCAGGGAATCTGGTCAGTGTTCATCTTGTTCGCTCGGGTTGAGACGTTAACATCAGTAGTTCGCCGACTCAGGGATGCCACAAACTCAGAAAACCAAGCCGATACGTTTCGTCAATACCCATCCCGTGTCCAAGAGCAGGAAGAAATATTCTCGTCTGATCGTAGGGCAGCAGATCAAGGAACGTCCAGACTCAGAGACGAGGCAACGAGTTAGCACGCAGAGCTTTTCTGTACCACAGAACGAAGTCGATAACGATGAAGAAAATAATGCTGCATTCGTTGATGACGAGGATTTTTTTGGCCAAGAACCGACAGTCTCAAGGTCGCCGTTTCGTCCAACTAGCAGTCAATCGACTTCAATCGTCAACTTAGGGGCGGGCAATATTGATCCCTTTAGAACGTATCCATCAAAAGTGCCGTCGGCTACAGTTAATAAGTGCTTATCATATTGTAAGTAGGTCGATAGGATTCCTGCACATGTGGTGCTGATTCATATCTCACAGCACTATCATTAATCCTGCCTAATATAACACCGCGAGATGCGCAGGGAAAGAGTCTAGCTGCATCACATTGGTATTCGTTATCATTTCAGGACCCCGTTTGCTTGTCGGCATTTCTTTTTGGCTCTTCACTGCACAAGCGAGTACGATATCTGAGCAGCGGAAAAACCATTGATCTGCCTAACAATTATGAAGAGCGAGAAATGAGGGCTTTGGAGCTTCAGTTGATACAAGGTGTCAACAAAGCTATCACGGATTCTTCGCGAGCAACGTCGGATGCAGTGATCATGGCTATTATGACCCTTGCGCATGGCTCCTCTGATGACCCGCGGTGGTATGTTGAGCAAACGTCTCCATTTCAGGCACCTCTCAAAAGTCTGCAATGGCTGGACGCATATGCGTTCTTTGAAATGAATCTGATCCACAATGCGGGTCTGCTGCGAATTATTTCTCTGAGAGGCGGATTGACAAATATCAAATATCCAGGACTGGCTCCGGTGCTATCTCTGTACGCTCCTTTTTATTTCAACTCCCCAAATCACCAAATTGATTCAAACTAACTTCATCCTCTGCGCAGATCGGGCATTATATATGCCAGTAAGACATTAACCCGCCCAGTGATGCCTTTCATAAGAATGCATGACGGCTTCTACGCAGAACAAGAGGACCAAGATCTCGAGACGATAGAGAATCGTTTCAATGATTTGTTGGGGATAAGCCTGCCCCTAGATTTGTGTAAGGTGTTTCAACGCATGCAGAATTATCTTCACCTTCTGGAGCAGTACACCGAGGGAACACTGCCTCAAGTAGATTTGTGTTTGATTGCCGATAAGCGCAACTTCACTCAACATAGTCTGCTATCTCTTCCAGCTGCAGGTGAGTTTACTGAGCCGTACCAGATGGCTTATCCATGGTATGAGACAATCCGGCTTGGATGCCTTATAATCGGTATTGGTGTTATCTTTCCACTACCTCCGCGAGCAGCACCGTTACATCTTCTTGCTCGAAAGCTTAAAGCGGAATTGGAAGTTATCCTCCAGCGAGCCGCTCATCAATTTGTCTCCAAGACACTTCTTTGGGGAGTTGTTCTCGGTGGTGTGGCAGCAAGTGGCATAGATGAAAGAGCGTGGTTTGTCTCTACGCTGCGAGATATTGCACCGCTGATGGGTCTCTCGAGCTGGCATCAAGTCAAGACCACTCTGGATCAGATCCTGTGGCTCGGAAGTGCTTGCGATTCCGCGGGACGAGCACTCTGGGATGATACAGAACTCTTCAGTGACATCTAGGTTGCTGGAAATGACGAGTACTGTTTGTCTGATAGGCACTGGTATCATCCCATTCGAATAAAAGGTATTCAAGATCTGGTTTTTCTGGATGGTCGGGAGAAGACATGCAGATAAGAGATTCTTCTCTTCAAAAGAATGAACAAGGAGGTATGAATATTTTAAGAGACGACTGCCCTGACAAGCATGTCGCCAATATAGCCTAGTAGACCGTGGTCCTCCACAATGGTCTCATAGCTCAACTCGGTTAGATCTTGAAGGTCAGCGTGTCCATTTTCCGGATCTGATAGACGTCATCAAGCACCAGACAGCCATACTTCACTTTAGACAGCGGTCCCGATTGGAGCATGGTTCCGAGAGGTCCCAAGGGTCTTCAGGAATAGGAACACCATTCTTGAGCACTATACAATCCATGCGAGGTTTCTTCAATGTTTTGATGTCTGTCACCCCATCTTCCAACCATTTCGAAGTTTAAGGCCATGCACTTTCCTTCTCAGCCTAGAACGCGTGTCACTGTGGAATGAATAAATTTCGTATGCTTACCTGGCTCAACACATGGCTAGATTCGCAGTATACACACCAGACCGTGACTGCCAAGAAGGCATCTGGCAGGAGTACAACACTCAGACCTGCTAGCCCACAAAGCTTTGAAAGTTTATCAGGAGGTGTTTCAGTTCGGATTCAAAGAGACTCAGATCAAACACAGAACATCCAGGATCTTGAAGATCTAGATCACTACATCACCTTATGTACTACACTCGTTCTCCTCAACTTCGGGAGATAACAACGCAAACTCGCTTGGTCAAAAGCACCTAATAATACTATAGAAATAATGTCTAAGAACATCATTTAATCAGGGTATCATATCGTGCAATGGTTTCAAATATGTTGTCGTTTTTTTGTATTCACAGCCTGTTTCTCCAATGTTCTCAAAAATGAAAATTTAAGTAAATGTACTACTATAGAGGGAGGTTTCTCTATAAGCCTCTTTTGAAGCATGTAGCGTAGCAAATTCTATTCACGATACTGTATTCTCAAGACCGCGATCAAAATCCTTATATCCATATCCAAGGTACTAGGTCTGAAAATATTATTTGAATTTCTTTTAGTTCGTTAGTAGCTTACTCGCTCCTCAGATTTGTCCTCTTTGAACTTTCACCTTTCTCCCCTTTCAACACTCCCACAACCTGACTTTCTTCACTCAACTCCCTCTATCTGTTCGCAATGTCATCAAAGATGCCCCTTTTGAGCACTTAATTGTACCTTGAGAAGATGTATATTATTCAAACCATCTACAGCGGCTCTTTCACCCGTGTTCTTGCTTGGTTGGCCGGTGACCGATATTCCGAGTTAAATTCGAGGTCAATTCGAGGCCAATTTGAGGCCACATTTGAATGCTATCATTGACATGGTATGCGCTAGAGGAACTTGATTTTCTGTTTTTGATTTAGTTCTTTTCCACATTTATTTTTCTTTTCCAAGATATTTCTCAAGATTACGCCAATATGCTAGATATATGTACTAGTTTACAACAACATTATTCCTACAAAAAACCATTGAAGGTTAGTGGCCTCCCTGATTTCATAATCCAATTCAGTGGGCTCGAAAGGCCAAAATAAACGCAATCGTTACAAGCATTGTAGACCCAGCCAAGCCAGCATACATATACAACAACTTAGGATCTTTATACGTCGGGCTCAACGCAAGACTAATACCATACCCGAATGCAGCACTAAGCACATAAATCCCTTGCACAATGCTTTTCAAGTTTTGATGCGAATTATTGAATGCATAATCATAAACGGCCGGCAACGCAAATGATTCACCTATGCCCTCAAAGACGTAAGCCGGAAGCTGGAACGCGACGTTTACGTCGTTGGGGAGTGCGCCGTTGTGGGATGCAGCACATGCCCTGGGTCTAGAGTAACACGGTGGTGAGGTATAGATCAACGCTTGCACGCCAGTCGCCCAGGCCATTGCGCAACTTTCGAATGCGAGGCCGACAGCAATGCGTGTGATTGAGGAACATGAGTATCCGAGCTTGCGAAGCCAGGGATAGAGCATATGGTTGAGCATTGGTAACACGATAATGACCGTGAAGGCATCGATGACCGATAACAGATCATTCGGGATACCGTGTGTCTGCATATTCGCTGCTTGGGAGACGGTGTTGGTACCCATTTGAGCCTGGCAGAGCCAGTAAACAACGAAGGGGAGAAATGCGTGGCACACTTTCAGCCCTGATTTCAGTTGTTGGATGTACTCGTCTGACCCAGGCACAGACCTGTCATCTTCATTCTTCGAGATTGGGATGTGCAGTCGCTTGAAAACAGCGATTCTGAGCGCCCTCGCTGCCCAAATGATTGCACTCACTTGTCGATCAACCTCAATAAGTCGCCCTCTACTAACTAGCAGGGTGATAACACCAAGACACAGAGAACTCAACCCAACGAGAAAAGCAGCCCAGAACCCAACATTTTTTTCCAGGTATGTACTCGCAATTCGAGACAACACACCCATATTACTGCTCCAATAGTACAGATTAAAGGTATATTCAATCGTCGCCGGCCGCGAGACAAACACCCTCTCACCACTCGGCAGAATGACAATCTCCTCATTGACATTGGAGCATTGCTCTGCTAGATATGGCGGTATAGTTGCCTTGATAGCACCCAGACCACAACTTACAAAAACCATCGCAACGATTAGACCAGGAAGACCCGCGCCGCGACTCAATAGCGCTGGCAAGGAGGTCATGAACAGCACAAAGACGCCCAAAATATACATGCCGTAGGACAACAAAACGGTCCTGAACCGGCCGAGATAGACATCTGCTAAAACGCCGGCGAGCAGAGGGGTGGTAAAGCTAATCATGAAGAAGATGCTGATTATTGTTGAGGCGATTTCTTCGCCTAGGCCCAGGGCTCCGGGGCGTAACGGGTCGTCTTCAGCATTCTGGATGTAGTTTTCTTTAATTATGGGTTAGTCATTTTGCATTTCGGACGACAAATGCGCATTTTTTTTAACTCACGTAATGGACTAGTGACCGCATTAAAAGCGATTCGCTCAAAAAAAGAGAGACAAACTACGATCAATGCTGTGACAGGAATCTCGCCCCGTACCAGACGGAGATCCGCCGAGTCAGCATTTGACGAAAACCCAGGCTGTTTCTCGGTTGTAGGTGATGCTTCTTGACTCTGATCAGGTTCCATTTCTAGGGATGCTTTTTGTGCTGAAAAAGACAGTTATTCAGATGTTATGGAGGGGTTGCAAGAGACAACCTAATACATAGACAAGTGCGATCTTTCACATTTCGTTGTGCAACATTCCTCCTACACCAAAGATAGATCTTGCATATTTCGGAATATACCCCTTAATTGGGTCATCGTGCTCGCAAGCGGATCGGGTCTTGCGGTTTGCGAGGAGTGAATATGCCTAGCTAGGTTAACATAGACTTATATGTAAAATAACTCGAGTCCTTCGAAAGAACGAAGATATCGGTATCAAAATACGGAAAATGAAAATAGAATGTTTAAAATATGACATGGACTCGAAGCAAGTATGTATATACTACCTATGTACGCCGCCGCTATGCACACCTTCCTAACCAGGTAGCCAAGGAAGAACTAGAAAGAATACAATAAATAACAGAAACAATTGGGAATCTAGGTTTCAGCCTGACTTCTTCGCGCTGCCTCGTGCGCTTCCATTCGGAGATCAAACATCACATCATCAATCTCCCGGAGAACATTCCTTCCAAATGTGACGTTCTTGATGCCAGTCAAGACTTTTCGCAGAGAATCGAGAATACTGCTGCCGGTTTGAGTGGGCTCAGTTATAGGTTCGACAACCATGACATCGTCCGTTTGGACTCCTTGAGAAACGTAACGCCGATGTTCGTCGATGTCGACCGCTGGTGATTGGGCGACGATGCTATTTTCAACAGTTATCCCTTCCATCTCAACATCCGCTTCAGCAACCTGATATTCGATAAACTCTTCGATCGGCTCTTGAATTTGCTGTTCAGTCTGCATTTCAGCCGAGGCTGGAACCTCTTCAATCACTGCGCTCTCGGCCACTATATCGTTCTGTACGTCGTCGGCCTCTGGAGCTGAGGATATCTCCTTCGTCAGATCGCCTTCAGGGGCAGAGTTTGCAGGCTCATCATCCAGCAGGCTAATGTCTTGCATTTGGCTGTCCTCAAAACCGGTCTCAGAAAATTCCGCCTGGTCTGTACTGGGATCGTTGGGCTTGGTCTGTTTCCGCCTTTGAGCTTTGGATGCTTTATCCGATACTGGCGGGGAAAGAGCTGGAACTCCACTAAGTCGCAAAGACCTGCGCTTTCGTTGTCTAGATCTTTTGGACTTTATAGGAGAAGATGCAATCTCTCTATCAGCAGCTGCATTGAGGCGTCCACTCCTTCTCATCGAACCTGAATCGGTAGCCTTATCAGACAAGTCATCTACACTGATTTGGTTCTTGAGCGGGGACGATTGTGGAGTGGAAAGGTTCCGTCTCGCTACCGATGCTTGCGGTGTAGATGGTTTCAAGTTGACATTTTCCATCTCAGATGAATTTTCTCGTGCATTTTCCAGGCGAGCAGTTTTGTCTTTCTCAGACACACGCCGCTTTACGCGGTCTGAATTTGAGGCCTCTCCGGTCTCAGCGTTACGCTTTCGTTTCCGAGTGATGGGCCCACGTGGTAGGTTCATATCTGAAGATTGAGTCGATTCAAGATCGTCTTGGTCTTTCGAATCCACAGCCAACTCCAGGTCTTGTTCCAGCTGTGAGGCAAGTTGTTGTTCAAACTCATCGGCATACGTGTCAGGTATCACATCCACCACCCCACTGGCTGTTGTAGGCTCATTGGGTACTTCGGTATCATTCGCTTGCGGTATGGTTGTTTCTACTACGCTTGAAACAGTCTCAGTAGACGATTCTTCAATTGCGCTGTGGTCCGATATCCTAGAGCTGCGGCGTCTTCGGTTGTTCTTCTTTGGGCTGCGCTTAGTTTTGGACTTCTGTGAAGTAGTACTTTGTTGGGAGGAATCCTGTCGAGTTGATACTTTGTTCCTAGGCGAACCGGTTGACATCTCAGGGGGAGAAGAAGGTGGATCTGATTGAATATTTCCGAACTTTTCGAGAGTTAAAGCGGGGGTGCCTTGTGCTGCAAGATGTCCCTGATCCCGTGTTGCGGGTGTCGGAGACGACCCAGGAAAGTCGTCGTCATTATCCTGCAAATGAGCAGCCAGTGTAGGAGTTGATGGAGCTTCCACCTCGCGAACAGTGTCTCGTATTTTTGGCAACTTCACAGTGGATAAAACATTTTCATCTTCAGTTGGACCGGGTGCGGCTGGCGATGATGAACCCAGACCGTCGAGGAACATGGATGTGGTACCACGCTGTCTTTCTTTCACTTCTTGTTGGCGTTCGGTAAGAAGCTGGCTTTTCATGTTCGAAGAGCGAGGCGAAGGATCCACTGTGACAAACTGTATTTGAGAATTGTCATGGCGCAGCCGTCTCCGAGGTGTACTGTCCACCTTTTGCGGGGGTGACACAAGAGACTGGCCCCAATCCGTTGATTGAATAATGGGTGAAGAGCTGAATGTAGTCGGTCGCGCATTCTGAATATTCATTTCTCTTAGGACTCTGCCAAATTGATTTGTTAATGGTGCGCCACTTGAGGTATCTTGCGATTCGACGAAGTCTGGCACCCGAATCTCCTAAAAAAATTATGTAAGTATGTGATTTTGAACTTTGGAATGCAGATACGGCATACCTGTGACTCGGGATGGCGAGGTAGGGGGCAAGGTAGTTGCAGCTTGACTAGAGGCTCAAGGGTCTGGAGAGCAGTTTGAACACCAGGAGGATAATTTGACAAATCCTGAAGACCAAAGGTGGCGTTCCACATTTCAATGAAACGGTTCGTGGTTGATTTATGTACGGATTCCAGGCCAGCAGAAACGATTGCTTCAAAAGCATGCAGCGATGCTGTATTATGCGGAACAGCAATTTGCAAGGCATTTGCAATCGCCAGCGACAGCGTTCGATACTATAAGCACGATTAGCACCGTAATTCAGTAGAAGTGAGGATGGCTTACTGCGGTAAGTAGTCTGTTGTCTGCGCCATTCTCTGAGGTGAGATAGCGAGCAGCGTCTCGTAACCATAGCGATAATGGGCTCTGGAGATATTCCAAAAGCATGTAGCGAAATTGCAATGTCCCACTTCCTAGAAGGGACGTCAAAGACTCGATAACCTCCGCTAATATCACGCTGTCGGCAGAACTGAAATGGTTGTAAGAATCGGCAAGGACTTTTCGGATAAGGTCCAAAAGTTTCTCGGGAAAGAAAAATGAAGACGTTTGGCTAGAACTCGGGGTCGCGGGATATTTGCCTTGTTGATAATATGCAAGAGATAGTGCTTGGTTGATCAGAGCCTTCATGGGAAGGTAGGGTCGAACACGATCGAATTGTATGAGTTGTTGCGCAATGGGCTCAATGACGAGAGATGATATTCCACGCTCGCCTTTCTCAGTTCGAACAATGCGTATGTAAGACTCAAGAAGCGCATTCCATGTTGTGGGCGAGCTCGTAAAGTGTAGACCGCGTAGGAGAATATTCGATATATTGATGTAATCTCGAGAGATTGTACCGTCACGTTCTCGCAATGTTTCCATTGGCAACGAACCCAAGCAGTCGACTGTAAACTTCGCTGTTGCGTCCCAGATATACGAGTCCAGCTTCGACGCCTTTTCATCTGGTCCATCCTCATCTAAGCTTGGTTCTGTGCATCTTTCCAAGAAATCAAGGCGAGATCCTCTCGACTGCCGGCCTTTCGACGCGATCTCAAGAAGGTTATCAATCAGGCTTAGAAGTGATTTGGATGGCTGGGATGAATCTCCATACGAGCTTATCATACGTAATATGTGCATGAAGGGTGTGTCGGAATTGCGATCTGTTCGAGAGCGTCGATGTGTTGGTGTATTTGCAGTCTGGAATGTTTCTTGAGAAGTCTTCAATAATAAGGTCTCGGTGAAAGGAGAAGGTCCGATTGTCGAAACGAGCGTTGCTGCGAGATATGTGAAGCGCTCTATAAAAATATCGCCCGTATCGGCATTGAGTGCGGAAGGAGATGCATGTCCGAGTCGTTGAAAAAGTCCGAGTATTATGGATATTGCGTGCATCAGTTCGGATGATGGTTTGATTTCTTTGCTGGAGGCGTCCGAAAGTGCCTTGCAGATATGGGTCCAAACAATCTGAATATTTTTCCAATCTGCTGCACCCAATAGAATTTCGAGGGCTGCGACTACCGACACTATGCGCGATCTGATCCATCTGCAATCGATTGGGAGTATGAAGTCGACTTCCATTTTAGGCACCTCGTGAATCTTATTTTCGGTCCAAATCTTTGATTGTGAAGTCCAGATAAGAGATGCCAGTGCTTTGCAGGCCGCATCATTGAGCTGTGGGCTGCTAGCGAAAACGTTGGCAAAGGGCTGAGCAATGTACTCTTCCCAAATGAAATCAATGTGATCAAATGTGTTGTTTGGTCTGAAAGAATAGTAGAGGAGATTGTAGTAGCTCGAGAGGAATAAAGAGTTAGCGCTTGCACCAGACTTGTCACTGCGCTTGCGCTCGGAATTGGAGAGAATGGGCCTCGTAAGCATTTTCAACATGCTCCTGCTAGTCGAGTCGTTACAAGTCACCATATAGACAAACTTGTTCCAGCCGATGGTAGCTTGTGACTTGATCGCAGGCTCGCTGCAATTGAAGCATCTTTGTAGAACTAGAACCCATTCCTTGAAATATTCCCAATGTTCAATATTGAACCGTTTGCTTCTCAGGAGCAAGACTATAATACTCCAAATTTGAGGCACATGCACTCCACTTTCCGAGGGAGACATCATACGGCTCATTCGATCACATACTTCTGAAACCAGCTTCCTATCTTGAGAGATTTCCTTGTTGAAGATATCCAGTATGGTCTTTGAAATGACCAGGTTGGGCCCTATTAAAAGGGCTGTCTGGCTACCGAGAACTAAGGCTTTCGATCGGGTATCCTTCACGGGATGAAGCAGGCCTGAAATGAGGTGCTCTATCCATAGCGATGCCTGCGAGGCCATGACGGTCTTTGACTGGCCAAGCAACCTGGTATAAACCCCCAACCTTTGTGAAATAATACCATTTCCATTCACGCGATCAGTGATATCGTTCAACACAGCTAAGACTCGTGTAATTCGTGAATTTGTCATGGTCTTTGGGGAGAAGTTTTGTGTATAAAGAATATGAACGTAGTGGTTGAGAATGGCCTTGGAAAGTTTGCCTTCTTGGAGTACGCTCAATGCGTGGTCGATTATGAATATCTTGAATTCGTCGGGAATCTGCGCTGCCAATTGCTGGCTCCAAATGATATAAATTCCCAGCTTCAATGCATTGGTGACCAGGTTGTTTTCCACAATATCGCCTTTTCCCAAGTCGCGGCTAATATCACGCTGTACAAATTGCAACAGAAGCCCGACTTTCGATGACATGTCATCCTGCTCGGAAATGTTGTCATATGCCTTCAAAGCACCTAACAGCTGCATATACGCGTCCACTCGTGAGCTCAGAGATTCTCCAGCTAATTGCTGTGTCGTTGAATCTAACAGCACGCCGAAAGACTGCGGCTGGCTCACTTCCATTGGGAGCATATCCACAGCCGTTGTTTTGAGGATCGACTTTGCCGGCTTACACTCGTTTGAGGGAGGAATGGGTCGTACTTCGTTACTCGACATCGACGCGCGGCTGGAAAATGTCGGGGGTTTGATGTAACTCGTGATCGGAGAGAAGTTGACTTTCTTGTTGGATCTAAGTACCATTGACTCGGCTGTCGACGATGGCGAATCGCCCGGTGTATTGAGGATGGTCTGTTGACCTGGCGCGAATCCTGCATTTCGTAGGAACAAAGTCTGCGATGCCTTGGGAGGAGTTGGCGGGCGAGCCGGGTAGGCGCCTAGGACCTCCACCATCGTGATACCGAGGATGAGGGAAAAGACCGCAAACAAAGCAAAAGGAGAGCATCAACCATAGCTCAATGGGATCGCAAAGGGAAATCAAAATAAGAAGGTCTCCATGGTCTTGGCAGATGAGTGTTGAAAAGGGATTGATGAAGGGGCACGTAACCCTGGATCTAGGATGGGTCGTGGTTGGCCGTCCGTGTTGTCTCGAAAAATGAGAGTTGACCTGTCAATCGATCCATAACCTCACTGGATGACGCGAAATCGCGGGAGGAAATCGCGACGGGCAGAGCGCGTTAAGTGGCCGCGCTAGCCGTTTTGGGCGCGTCCCGTTGCAGCCTTACGAGTCAGGCCGCAATAGCACATCCATCTAGTCTATTCAATGCAATTCATTTCGTTCAAGTAAGGCTGTCCGAACTTCTCGATCCTTTTGTGTGTAACCCAACTACTCGCTTTGATCTCTTCTTGATACAGAAGCAGCCGTCCAATATATTTTGTACTCGACAATGTGACGACGCATTATATTGATTGGTACGGCTGATAACTGCAAGGGGAAACGAGATATATTATATTGATCTAACAGTCTAAGTTCTCTATAGGTTCAGTATTTCCATGTTCCATGAGCTGCAGCTAGGACGTTTCGAGATACCAAGAGAAATACAAAACCCAGAAACATGCTCACAATGGCGAAGACTTGCATTCCCATGTAGGTTGAATCGTGCTCCCTTCCCAAGATGGCTCCCATGATCGGTAGGCCAGTCAGAGTGCTGTTAGAATCAGTATATTTCAAATAAACAAAGGACGGGGGAAGGGAAGACCTACGAAATAGCTATAACACCCTGATAGGTACCAATCTGTCTACCCAGGGTCTCCAGGCTGCCAGACTTTGCGCAACATGGCATCATGATGCTAACAAAAGCACCGCTGAAAAAGCCGTAAGCCACGGCAAATACAATAAGACCGGCATTTGAAGAATGATAGTCAAAAGGCAGCCACAAACAGAGGATCGCAATGCAACTGAAAAAGGCGGAAGCGACAATGACGTTAAAGTATCCCACCTTGTCACCAATGTGTCCGGGGATGATTCGTCCGAAAAGTGAAGCACCGCTATCCTAGGTTAGCCCTACCAGTGACAACAAATATTGGAAAAACTGACTTCACAATAGCGATCAGATAGAGGGCGAGCGAATCTGACATCCCCGATAATTGGGCCATGCTAGGCAGAAAATCGAACGGMGCCCATAATCCCCACATGACAAAATATGAACCCAAAGCATAGAAAGCAAAGCCTCGGTTCTTGAAAAGCTTAAGGTCAAACCATGTCATGTCTGAGTTCCATTTCTTGGGAGGCAGGCGCGCAGTGAGAAGAAAGAAGGCGCCGATTAAGGCGATACCTATGAATAAAGCCGTGTAGCGTACCATGCCAGGAAATCCCACGTCTTCCATAACTAGTTGCAGGAAGAATGGGAATATCACACCCCCTATTCGTTTAAATCAGCAGATGCGCAACATTGATAGGACAGTTTGCTAACCAATACTACTACCCGCAACAGTGACCCCTATGGCAAGACCTCGCTGCTTGACAAACCACTGGCCCACGCAAACCAAACTGGTGGTGAAAATACCCCCAGCCCCGAGCCCATAACCAATTCCTTGCGCCAGAATGATCTGATAGTATTTGGTGCTGAGACTCGTCATGCAAAGTGAAAAGACGCAAAGAAAGGCACAGGGGAGTATGACCGGACGCGGTCCGTAGGTATCTACAATGCGGCCGAACAGGGAACCGGGAGCCCATATGAGAGCGAGCTGGATTGTGAAAATCCATGAAATATCGGATGAGGTATAGTCTTTCAAGAGGGTCTCTTGATAGGTTGTTTGGAAGATACCAATGCTATTCTAATGTCAGAAAACTGGCCGCTCAAAGATTTTTCTTCGCAGAAGGAAGGACTCAACGCGTTCAAGAAACCCAATGTAGCAAACAGACCCAAGGATGCGCCGGCACAACAGAGCCAACCTCGAAGGCCGCCTTCTGGCGGGAGAGTTGAGTCTAGAGCTGGGCTTTCGGATACAGGGTCCTGCATGGCCTTTTCTTCATCTTGCGAGATACCGTTGGGCGACGATATGCTAGAGTTGGACATCTTAGTGACTATGCTTCAGTTCTACAATTAAGTTGACAAAAAATCCCAGAGGTTCAGCTTGCCGACTAGTATATAAACGAATATTACTAGCACCATACTTAGGGCAGCAATGATTGGTTACCGTAGCGGTCCGCGCGGTTCGCACGTTCCGAACAACATCTACTAATATAATTTTAGAATGATCACCAATCAATATCTCAGTCTTATCAATTCAGTGAGTCATAGTAAACTCCAATGTTAGCTACTGATGCTTTCTACTTATGCGTGTCTCGGGTCGAGACGATCATTGCTTGCTATGTGTTTGTTGAGTGTGTTGTTGCAGTCTTCAAATTCAGGCCGCAATAAACCATCATAGCCCTAACTCTCCGAATTGCTTCATCTCGTATGACTTTTTCATCTCTCTTCAATTAATCTTCAAGAATGAAAAGTCTGACAGAAATCTTGATTATTTAGTCAATGTGTAACTCAAGCCTACGTAACATCAGTTTCTTCGTCATACAGACGCAGCCGTCCAATATATCGATGTGTTTTTGCTGAGTGTGTTGTTGCAGCCTTCAAATTCAGGTTGCAACAAAACATCTTTCAGAAGACTTTACATGTTAGACGACATCTCGTTAAAATGGTGACTCTATCGGTCGGGAGCTATACCCAAGAAAGAAATCTATGGAGCTGGAGAACCCCAGTAGTTCTTGGTTGGGAAATTCTGAAGCGTTCATACACATACTCCTAAGGAAGGTAAGTTACTCTCGCTCAGATTTTCTCTCCTTCTACTCTCATATCTCTCCTCTTTCCCATATTACTTTTCTTCTTTCCTTCACCTCTCCAAAAACCTCACTCTTCCACTTCCTCTCCTCTCCTCTCCAAAAGCCTCACTTTTCTGACTTGTTACAACATCCTCTATGCCAAACTCACCCAAGATACTTATTATTAGCAGGCGACTACAGCTAGAACAGAGGCCAATCGATTCAACCTATCTACAGTGGCTGTCTAGTCACAGTTCAGGCTTATTTGGTCAGTATTTGAATCTTTGAATCGCATTTGAAGCCGAATCTTAGTCCAAATTTGAAGCTATATCCAAGGTTTTCAACGTGCTAATATCGGAATAGCTCTCTCAGGTTCATTCAGGATACCACGCTCATGACGCCAAAACGACCAAAGAAAAGCGGCCCAAAGGGTGGGCCGGCGACTAAGAAAGGGAAAAAGGGGCAAGTCAAGCAATCAAGTATCGAGAATAGTTCTTCCAAGGCTCCCGTTGTTGAACAAAATCAGTTCATCGAAAATCAGGAGGACGATTCTCAGGATGAAGGTTTGTTTCAAAAGTTGCTAGATCAACGATTACTGGATATGGACTATCCGGAAGACAGCGACACAGAGGATGAAAAGTCGGTATCAGACCGAGATAAAAGGCTACTATCTCAGCTAAAGAAGGGTATGTCAATTGCGCAACGCCGTGAGATTCTTAGCAAGCTTTCTCCTCCAGCAATTTATCGGTCCATAAAAACATTGACAGACTGTGCTGCGGCAACGCCTGCTATCGCATCAGTACAAGAAATGAAGAAATGGTGTGAGAACTCTATATTCCGTCCAACGGTGATGTACTTCCTGGAAGGCTATTTATGGCCCCAGCAAGCGAGCAATAAGTCTTGGGGTCGAGGTGATGATTTTTCAACGATACTTGAAATCATTACGGCCGAAGCTAAGAATCGCACACGAAATTTAACCAAGGACTTCAGTGTAGACCGGTCAAAGTGGACAGCCACTGATTGGAGTGCATCAGCTTTACAGCGTATCTTCGAGGAAAATGAGGCTACACCAAACGGACTATGGGATGGGCACAATGCGTCTAATGATAGGAAATACGCTGTTCTCTATGCCATCTTCACGACTTTCATCAGAGAATGCTCACCTTCTCGGTTGATCGACACATGGCCATCGCTCAGCATATCTCCTGAAAAGGAGAAAGAGCTCCGTACAAAGTTTCCTCGTCTGAAAGACATCCTTGACCAGGTATTTACATGAGAAAGCTATTCTCTGGAATAGCTCTTACAACCTCATCATAATGGTGATCTCTGCTAACATTATATGCTTATAGAGATCAGGTCGTTGGGATGCTAAAATGAAAGAAAGGTCCAAAGATGGGCAATTTGAGGAAGAGGATGAAGACAAGGAGGACGAGAACGAAACTTTTGAGGAGACGAATGAACAATCTAAGACTAAAGATAAGTAGGAGGAAGATCAAGAAGGCAGGGGATTGAAAGTAGACGAGGACGAGGATAGGGAGCTGGTTGCTTTCTGGTGTTTTTTTCACCTAACATTGAAGTGAGTATAGCCTTGAACGAGGGCTTGGCCAATTCGAATTAGTTTGCTCAGCATGGATTTAGAGGGGGATACATCTCAGATTGATATACGGGGTTTAAACTGGTGTTAATATCTTATGAATCAGGATGCTTCTAACAATCAAAGACATCCTATTTTCCTTGAAAAAAAGTAACATCGCCTGTTCATTAACCATAGCTATCCGACATCTCAATAAGAAGCAATAAAATAGAATTATAAGAACTTCCCTAAACAAACGTCATTAGCAACTATTAATGGATTAATCAATCAGCTACAAGCTGGCGTGCATGGCTAGGCTATTCGTACTACAACCTTGTCTCTAAACCCGTCAGAGGCACACAGCTGTTTTACTTAGCAGTGGTATTTAGAAAATCAGCGAAGAAAGGCTGTGGATTCTTAGATGAATGAATGAATAGAGGAGTGATTCAATGTATTCATGAATAACGAGTAATGACAACTAGAGTATGTCTAACTAGGTATCGTCCTTCGAGTTCCTCATTGAAGACGTCTTTCCCGAGTGAAAAGGCCAACCTTTATCCTACGAAGCTCGAGCATAAAGAGTCCACCTGCAATATAACTGAGACCTATATTATACATTAAATCAATGAGATTTTCAAAGCAACGAGGGACATCGATCAGTAACATACCAGCATAGAGCTGAGCGTCAAGATAGGGACGACCGCTGTCCGGTCGACGAAGTTGAAGGGCGATTGCCTCGGAGACTGTAATAACTTTGTCAGTACAACTGACCCACACGACGAGAGACAAGTCACCATACAGAAACATGGCGGGCCCGTAGCGATCCAGACTATTGCTAGTAAAGAAGGCAGTTCTTCAAGACCGGCAATTTCCGCTGAAAGTGGCGCAAGTGCCTATGGCGAAACATACAATTAGACCTGTTCGATGAAGATGCACAAATCGACTGAGCTTACTGGCCATATAGTACTATATACGTTCCCCACGATGAACGAAAATACCAACGTCGGCGCAAGCGATTGGGACGGAATCCAAAACACTAGACACAAAATACCACTGGCCATACTTGAAATAAGCGCAATGGTAAACCTCCCATACCGATCTGACGCAAACCCAGCACCAACTCGTCCCGTGATAGTAGCCAGGTTGATCAAAATAGCTGGGAGACTAGCTTCAGTCGCCGACAGACCCAAGGAACGCGTGAAATTCGGAAGCGAAGATATCAGAGTCATGTAACCGAGAAGATACAAAAATGCCCAAATAAGGAGTAGCCAGACATCCCAGCGGCGGAAGAAGCGAACATCAAAGGGATGCTGTTTGGGGCGCAGTTGGTGGTTTCGGTCACGTACGATTGTTGATGCAAGAAACAATGTTACGAAGCAGATGATTCCCTGAATTCGGAGAGCCCATGCTAAAGAGATGTTCTGGATCATAGGCGATATTGAAGCAGAGAAGATCAGACCTCCAAATCCGGAACCGCCAGCTGTAATTCCCTGGGCGAAGCTGCGTTTTTTCCAGAACCATTGACTAACTATGGGTACTGTAGAGACGTACAAAAAACCTACGCCGGCTCCGACCATGATGCCTTGGGTGATCATGAGTTGCCAGAATTCGCGAGCAAACGATGCAGCTATTAAGCCTCCTGAGATGAGGCCGGAGCCCAACAGCATGCAAGCTTTTGTGCCGGCATTTCTGGCTAGTATGTTCACGAATGGAGCTACCCAGAGAGCTGCTAGAAAGTTTGTTCCACCGACAAATGAGTAATCAAGTGAGCTGGTTCCCGGAAAATAGTCGTTGTCAAGGTAGAACTCAAGATAGACACTGAACGACTTTTGCTGTTGTGTTAATGATCATTTTTCTCTTAAGTAGCTGGGTAGACTTACCGAACCAACGCCCCAGGCGAACGCATTTATAATAGCGATTCCGCAAACAACGACCCATCCATAGCCTCCGTCAGGTATATCGTAGGCTGGTGAAATTGGCAGCGCCGTGTCTGCTTCAACGAGAGGCATGGGTGCGAAGGCTTCGCTTTCTTTTGATTTGAACTCCATCATTGCTGTCGAGTTGTTGAGTGTAAGACTATGCGAAAGATTTTGGAAATCATTTTTCGGCCGGAGTACCAGCACACTATTAACAACTTAAGCGAGCATGGGCTCAGGACCCATATCCGATATTTGAGCAACCCGATCGATATAGTTCATGTAAGGATTGTCGATCCCAGCAAGCCCCAATCTCGGAATGATCTATCTGTCACTGGATCTACGCTTGAAGAATCCTAGATCTACTTCAGCCGGTGCCCATGTGAATTCATTCTAAGAACGAAGTGACAGCGGCTTAACCGCTATCTAAAGTAGTCGTATATTAGACCCTTTACTCCTGTAGCCAGTAAAAAATATACTACTTAGGTAAAAAAAGTCGGCACGAAATCCGATGCTCTAGGTAGTGGATACACCCCACTGCATATTTAATTTTTTTCCAGACGGCCTCGGGGAGGAATATAAGAGGTCGCAACGATGTGAGAACTGCAGTCTGCATTATATGACTCAACAGTGAGAGATTCTTCATGGCAGTGATGGCACTTTGCTAAAAGCATGCCTTGCATCAAGAATGGAGGTTGATTTGGCGGCTCACGGACAAGGCATGGTAACCCTAGGGTTAAGAGTGGTCGGCATCGATGCGACACTAAGCCTAAAACGACAGGTGTGGGACCTCAGGGCTAAGGCATCCAAGGGACCCTGGCAAGTGCGGGGATGCGGCGTTCGAAATCTCCGTTGCAACTCTCTTCTTGTGGTCGTCTTGACTTTCGGTCTGAACAGCTCGACTGAATGCTTGTTATTGTTTTATTCTTTCTATACCCTAGTCTTTACTTTCATTGTATTGAGCTCATCAGTGACAATTCGTATCCGCCTGTTTTGACCTTTTGTTGATCGTTCTTGTTTGGTCCAAGCTCTTTTTGGTCCTGGGGCTTCCTCCCCTTTCCCTTAGCTTCTAATCAGCTTCACAGCTTGCGACAGCTTAATTCACCGTCAATTCGCTTGCCGTTGTTGTGATGCAACGTGAATAATCATTATTGAGAGCTGTTTGAATGATTTGAAATATCGTGGCATGATGCAGGCCCGTGTACTGCAAAATGAGGGTAGGTGATGTGACACTGCTTGCGCAGGTCGTTGGTAATGCACTGAAGCACCAGCTAACTCTCGGTATAGAGAAGCAGAGAGAGGTCCGCCGTCTAGTCGATTGGCTTGATAGAGACCTGTCCGAAAAGAAGCTCTCGTCGTCAGGTAAGCTTGAAGAATCGCATAGTTTGGGCAGTTTGATGTTTGGCTAACTAGTATGATTAGAGAAGGTAAAAATGATCCTGACCCTCCGTCAACATGGAACAACTCCAGATAATGCAGACGCCATATACTGCAAAGACGTACTTCTCCCATTCCTCGTCGCATTCCGAACCTATCTGACGTCTCTAGGGCATCGCGCTTCTGATAAAATACGGACTGGACGGGGAGACAGCTGATATTCGACGCGCCGCGCTGCGAACCATTGCAAACGCGCTCTTGCTGAAAAGTGACATGAGGCAGGTCTTTGTTGATACCGGATGTGTCGGAAAGCTGGCCGAGAAGCTGAGGGTAAACATGCAGTCGGATCTCTGATTTATCCAATCTAGCTGACGGTGTAACCCATTGTTCACGTGCAGACCGAGAACTCCGACGATGAGATGATAGTTGCCCGCATTCTCTTCCTCACAACATACGATACAGATTTGAGCTTCAAATCATTGATAACCGAGCACTATCTCGGTGAAAATGTTCATTATGTAGGTGATGCATATATTGAAGACATTCAGGATGAAGGATTAATTTTCCACCAGCAAATAAGGCGCCATTCAAAGCAAATTCCCAAAAGTGGAAAGAAGACACTCACAGCCATCGACGAATCGGCTCTTACTGACGTCCTGAAACTGGTTTTCAATGTCTGCAAACTTAATCCCGATCTAGCTGAAACATTCACCCAGTCGATTCCATATATGTTTAAGATCATCAGCCGAATTGATGCCCCCCCACAGCCACTTGATGGACTAATTGGATATCTTGTCAATGCTCTATCAACATTGGATCTCACAGATAAGCCGGGCAAATTCGAAAGCAGCCCGTTCTTTCCGAAATTCAACCCGAACTGCAATGTTGACAAGCTGATTAATGTTTTGGATGCGGCTGTGCGACATTACGAGACCAATGAGCTGGAGACTCGGATAGTGCCTCTGATTCAACTGCTCATTACCATATATGAACAGGCCCCAGAGGGGCCGAGGAAGTACATGGAATGGCTTCTTCTTCCTGAAGATCAAGATCGCAGCGTCCCTATTGGAAGGAGCGACACATTGTCGTCCAAATTGCTGATGCTTTCTACAACCCCATCAGTGCATCTTAAGACCGCAATATCAGAGCTCTACTTTGTCCTTTCAGGAAAGAACCCCGAGAACCTGACGAAGAACATTGGATACGGATTTGCCGCTGGATTCCTCGCTTCTCGTGGCATAGAGATCCCGCGAGACGCGAATGAAGCTTTCGCTACAAACCGGAGCAATATCAACCCTGCCTTTAATCCAATTACTGGTCAGCGCTGGGATGCCGAGCCACAAGATACCGGCCCTGCGATGACCCAGGAAGAACGCGAGCGCGAAGCCGAACGACTATTTGTGCTTTTCGAGCGGTATGCTGTTTTCTGCCGTTTTCACAATCAATGTACTAACAATCTGACAGAGCCCGTGCCAATGGATTCATCGCCGAGAACCCCGTCGCACAAGCAGTGCGAGAGGGAAGATTTGAGGAGCTCCCAGACGACGCCGACAGTGACCTCGACTAAGACAGCTTTCGACCAGGAACCTAAAACCCTTGCAATAGTCCGCTTGTTGGCTTATTTCCATCTCTCACTTGAGGCGTTCGTATCAATTTGATTGAAATTGGACATCATTTATGGCGTGTATATCATCTATGCCTGCTGCTGAAAGTCTTGAGCGGCTGAAAGTGTTTATTCTATATTATCTAATACCCCGAAATACGTACATAATCTATTTATTTTCAATATATAAGTTTTCCTCCGAGAGATGTTATGGAATTAAATGTATGACGCACGGCGGGGCAGCGGCTAGTCAGCGTCGGTCGCCGCTTAGAAATGCCTGGAAGGAACGAGGGGCTGGCCGAATAATTTTTATCTTTGCCTACTATCAGTTAAAAACACCACACCCTCCGCGCTTAATACGTCCTTGCTTCACAATTTCTCAACATTTGGACAAATACATTTACTGCTGATCTGATCACTACGAAAAAAGTGCCCACCATGTCGAAGCCATTTGATCCAGAGACGGCGGAGAACTTGGAGGATGTAAGTCTGTAGCTTCTCTGGCGCGAACTCAGTCACTAACAATATTTGTTCTACAGATGGAGAAGCAGTTCGCTGTCAAAGGTTCGCCTACTACCGAAGACCTTCGACGCGAGAAAAAAAGATACTAACATTTTCTAGCCGTCGAACACCTCATGACATACTGGTCCATCCTCGAAAAAGTCCCCGGCTCCAAACTCCGCCTCACGAAGATGGATGACGAGATTCTAGAACACTTCAAGCGCGAGTTCCCAGACTTTGATCCCGCCGAAACCATAAATGAAGATGAGATGAAGAGCAAAGCAGGCAAGGAGAAGTGGAGGAATTTTATGAAGGAGTATGAGAAGACGATTAGTGATTATAATTTTGGGACGATGTTGAGGGCGAATCCAAAGACGGAGTATGATCAGGAGACAACGATATTTGCTATGCGCATGCAGTTCTATGCCGTAGAGATTGCTAGGTGAGTTCACCCACACAATATTCTACGAGATCGATCGGTTGTTGACAAAACTAGGAACCGCGCTGGATTGAACGATTGGGTATACGAGCAGGCTCAAGGCAAAAAGGCATAGAGAAGTTGCGACAATCTAGACCAGATCTGACGACAATCACCCATCAGACGAGCTACGGTGTCTCCATTACGGCCGAGTCAGCCTTAGCTTGTCAGATCGCTCTCGAAATCGACGAAGCGCGGGGACATGGCAAATCGAAGACGACAGTACCATGTCAACCCGCCATCGCACGATGCAAGTCGATCATGCAGTTGATTTCATATGTATGCTAGCTCATGATACCATGTATAATGACCATCACCGCATTTGAGTGATCTTTACTACCGTGAATGCATAAAAAAGCATAAAAGCTGCGATGCCGTCACGTGACTCTTCCACAACCTTGCGAACAAAGAGAACAATACTTAGGATTATATGGGCCGAATCATATTGTTCTTTCCTAAAATATCATATCCAGGCTGGTGCTACCGTATATTGGCCTTTCCATTTGTATCGTCAACCATGTTTACTCTCTCCAAGTCTAGGTCTTCTGCAGGCCATATCCTGCCCTTGCACCTCTATTTTATGTCTTCTAGAAATTCGACGGTTACTTTTACCTGTATGACGTTGTTGGAGGCACAAATGCTCTCACGTATTGAAGATGGCTGACACTCTCGAAAAAAGTATTCCTCGAGGAACGCCATCTTCACTCGAGTCGCCAACAGAATCTAACCATGATGACGAAAAGATCTTTCTCAAAACAAATTGGAAGTCCATCTTCCACTTTACGACAGTCTATCACGTCCCACTTCTACTAGCAGCTCTCCTAATCACATTCACCGCTGCAGTGGCCAGAGTTGTATTTGCGCTTTACCTAGGCAAATTGTTTCAAACACTCTCGCAATTCGGCATTGGAGCAATCACGGGCCCGCAACTTATCGAACAGGCGAGAGACAACACTTTTATTCTTTTGATACTTGGGGGAGCGACATGGTTGCTAGGATCAGGTTTCTTTTTCGTTTGGATTGTCTTTGCAGAATTGCAGGTCCGTGGAGCTGGTAGGATTCTGTTTGGGAAGCTGTTGACTAGGGATCTCATGTGGTTTGATATGAGAAAAAATGGAGTTGGTTCGTTCTTGTCGCATTCACAAAAGTAGGATTCCTCCATCAACTTTCATCAGGTTGAAACTAACAGTGTGTCCTGTCATAAGGCAATTACGCGAATTGCAGATCGCAACTGCCCAGCCCCTTGGAGCTTTCATACTACACATTATCAGGATCCTGGCCGGTATTGTACTCGCATTCGTCATTTCCTGGAGAGTCACTTTAGTGACAATGGCCGGTATACCGGTTTCCTTCATCGTGATATCATTCACTTCCTCGCGAATGTCCCCAATCCTCAAAGTACAACAATCTGAACTCTCCGAAGCTTCCAAAATCGCATACGACGCCTTCAAATCCATTGACGTGGTCAAATGTCTCAACGGACAGTCATCAACTTATGCTCAAATGATGGCGCGAATCAAGACGGCTGCTCGGTTGTATATGAAATTAGCTGTTCTCGTTTCAGTTCAAACGGCGTTTCCACGATTCATGTCGTTCGTCATGTTTGTGCAGGGCTTTTGGTACGGAAATGTATTGGTACAATCAGGAAAGACGACGCCAGGCGATGTCTTGACGACGTTTTGGGCTTGTTTGATTGTTACGCAGTCGCTAGCACAGCTGGTGCAGCATTCAGCTTCGTTGGAAAGAGGAAAAATTGCTGGTGAAACGTTGTATCAGTACATATTTGCTGATGCTATGAATGAATCGCAATTTAGGATACAGAGGAATCGGTATCCGAATCTCCATACCGAGGATATCGTCTTGAAAGATGTTAGTCCAGCGATCGTCGGAAAGTGGTAAATGCTAATTTGTTACTTAGGTCGTCTTTGCTTATCCATCCACACCCGAAAGACCGGTACTCAATGCTCTTAATATCAGATTTTCGGCAGGCAGGACAACCTTCATTGTCGGACGCAGCGGAGCCGGAAAGAGCACCCTAATGAACCTGCTGTTGCAATTTTATTCACCAACCTCTGGGGGGATTCTAGTCGGAGATACCCCATTTCAAGCGACTGACACAGCCTGGGTGCGCCAAAATGTGACTTTTGTCCAACAGAATAGCTACCTGTTCAACGAGACCCTTTGGGATAACATTGCTTTTGGGGCACGTAGCCCACGAAGCGTCTCCAATGAACAGATGGAGAGGAGTATTGAGATGGCAAATCTACAAGACACAATTCGCAACTTACCGAATGAGCTCAACACCGTTGTTGGAATGGGTGGAGACTTGCTCAGCGGCGGACAGAAACAGAGAGTCGCTATTGCGCGAGCGAGGATGAAGAACAGTGCAGTCCTCATTCTTGACGAATTCACAAGTGCATTAGACCCTGATAATCGCTCGACGGTTATGGAATCCGTGCGAAAATGGAGATATGGGATGACGACGATTATTGTTACCCATGACACGGCTAATATACTTGATGATGATCTGGTGTATGTGTTAGAAGCTGGAAGAGTGGCTGCTTCGGGGCTCAAGAAGGATTTGATAAAGGGTGATCAACGTGCAATTTTTGCGGAGGCAATTACTGATCCGATAATGGCCCGGCATTCACTTGGCCAAAATACGATCGAGTCGAAGTGTTTATCAGAGCAGTCCTGGTTTGACGATTCTCCAACCAACACGTGGTTTCCATCCTGTGAGAGTGATGGTACCACCGCCTTGATTGATAGCAAAGCGCCAGGCAGTCCGTATGAGAAAGATATCAAATTTTCACCAATACCACAAATCTCTCTTCGAGAGGTATTACCTATTCCCCGTCGCAAATCGCGGTCTGGGCGTGATCGATCGCCCAACGCAGATGACGAGAAGCCTCTCACATCTCCAGACACGCTCCGAACCTTTCTAGCAAGAGGTCATCGTTATAAGAAGCTAGAGTCGGAAGGAACCGAAACAATCACCACGACCCTACCGTTGCACAAGACATTGATGACCATTCCCAAAATTCTCAATCTGAAACAAAGAATCCTTTTAGGTACCGCAATAGCACTCGCATGTATCCATGCAGCCGCGACACCTATCTTCTCATACCTCCTCTCTCAGCTTTTTGACTCCTTCTACATTGCAGACCGACACAAAGCCAGCTCGATAGCAAAAAAATATTCCATATCAATCGTTTCGCTATCTATAGTGGACATCTTCATAACTTTTGGTATGTACTACATCCTGGAATACTGCAGCCAAACATGGATGGACAAGCTACGCGCTCGGTCGATGCAACTCGTTCTTGCTCAGCCATGTTCATGGTTTGAGCAGGAAGATCACAGTCCCCTTCAACTCACTATCTGTCTCGATCAACATGCCGAGGAAATTCGTAATTTGGCGGGCAAATTCGGAAGTTTTGTGATTATTTCCATCATGACGGCTTTTATTGCTATTGTCTGGAGTTTGAACTTGAAATGGCAGTTGACGTTTGTGAGTCTGTCATGTGCCCCGGTGTGGTATGGAGTGAGTAAAGGGCTAGAAGCGGTGAACACAAAGTGGGAAAGATTATCGAACGATTTGAATGAGGATATGGCGAATGTGTTTTCAGAAGCATTTATGGATATTGCGACTGTGAGGGCGTATACGTTGGAAAATCATTTTAGAGTTAAACTTGCGGATGTTTCACGTCGGAGGTTAGGCGTTGGGTTCAAACGGGGGATCTATACAGGGTTGCTTTTTGGACTTGCGGAGTCCGTTATCATTTTTGCGAGTGGTGAGATCTATTCACTATTGTGCTGAGTATATTCTTTACTGACATTAGTCCAGCAATGCTCATTTATTATGCGGCGGATTTGGCTGCCCTTGACGCAAAAGGAATCTCTAATATTGTGTCAGTACTCACAATGATCTTATTCAGTCTTGGATATGCAGTTTCCATGATGTCGTGGAGTAAGTCAATGTTCTAAAAGAACATCTAATCAGTCTTTCTGACGGTTCAACTTTAGTTCCACAGGTGAACTCGGCCAACGACACGGCAACGCGGCTCATCAAACTGTCCCGACTACCACATGGATCCTCGCACGAAACTTCAGGCAAACTTCGAGTCTTTGAGCCCGTCCCCATCGAATTTCATAATCTTAGCTTCCGATATCCATCACGTCCCGAAGCGCCCATTCTCACCAACTTCTCGTTGAAAATCCCCGAAAGCAGCTGCTCAGCGATAGTAGGAAGCTCCGGCTCAGGCAAATCAACCATCATATCCCTTCTTCTGGGCCTCTATGCCTGCCCCGACCCATCACCAGGACAAGGCATCACCGCACCACTTACTCTCGGGGGCGTCGATATCCGACAACTCCATATGCCTACTCTTCGATCAATGATAGGTTACGTTCCGCAACAACCAAAACTCTTCGCCGACACGGTCCGCGCAAACATCACATATGGACTTGACCCTTATTCCAGGTTCAATTCCCTCAAGAACGTCGAAGCCGCCGCCACCGCGGCTGGAATAGCAGATTTCATCCATTCTCTGCCGGAGGGATATTCAACGCTAGTCGGAGAAGGTGGACTCACATTATCGGGCGGCCAGGCTCAGCGTCTGGTAATTGCGCGCGCGTTAGTACGGCATCCACGGATTCTGATATTGGATGAAGCTACTTCGAACCTGGATACGGAGAGCGCGGAAATCATTCGCAGATCTGTGAGGAGGCTATTGAGTGCGCCGAGACAAGGACTGACGGTCATTCTGATTACGCATTCGATGGATATGATGGAGATGGCGGATAATGTGATTGTTGTCAACAAAGGGGGCGTGGTGGAGCAGGGGTCGTTTACGGGGCTATTGAAGAAGAGGGATGGGAGGTTGAGGGAGATGTTGGACGTTGGATGTTGATTGATGCTATTCTTTCAAATTTGTAAAAAAAAAAATATCAATTGATAGTAGCTCTGAGACATGCCCATATGCAGATTTATGTTCATGGACCATTGAACGTGCGGGCACATGTGACCCTGCAACCCTACCTACCTAATCAGTCGCTTTTATCAATCAGTAGACTACTTCGAAACGATACACATTACCTAGGTAGACTTTGCATTAATCATATATCTATCCATCATGTCTTTTATCCACAATCCACAATCTCAAATTATATTATATATGACAGCTCCCATGAAAGTCCAAGCATTACATGGGGCGCCACATGGGGCGCAGCGTTCAGCCCTGGAGTCTAAGCAATCGTCTCATCCAATCGTCGTCCCGCTGTATGATTTCACCAGAAAAGGGAAATGATTCGACGTTATTGCCGCAGCGACTGTCATGTCTGATCGACCAGCGAATAGACTGGGCGAGACTTGGCTTCCTTGAGGTGGACCGTAGATTATGCTTTTGACGCGGCGCTTTTGAGTATTAATAGATGAAACATACAACTCATTCGATTTGCATGGTCTGCCTGGCTGGCACTCAATGGTGTCATGCGAATAGTATAAACAAGAGTATCTGTCATCATTTCACTGCAGATAAAGCGGTCGACAAGCGCGCGTCATCCAGCTTACGTTTCGCGCGCAACGCACGAGCTGAAACTTAAGGCTGACTGGCTGGCCCGGAGACGGCGGGTACAACAACATTTCTATTGTCTCACTTGCCTTTGTCGATTTTCATTTTTACAACACTCGTTTATTCTTCTGAGTTCTATCTCTCGAGAAGTTGAGATGCAAATATTTCCTCGCGAATAAGTACTATGCCATCGTGATTGGCCCATCCGAGGCTCAAGAATGTACATTCCCAGCATTCCCGCCCGGCAGCTGCTGGCTGCTCGAAGCGCCAGCATGTCTGGCACCACCACCGCGGGCATCGGGGTGAGTTCTCTTGTTTGTTCTTGTACATATCTACTCAATCTTACCTATTGTGCTGGTGTAGGTCGCTTTCGCTGTCGGCGGTTCGATTTTGGCTTTCGTATTCATCTTCGTCATGGTTCGGCGGCTGCGCATTCGAGAAGCTGAGCCCAGGCTGCTGCCGGGGAGGTACATGAAGAACCTGTGGTGGAAATGGACACCACGGTCGCGAGGTTAGATTCTATGACTGGTGCAAAATGGAGCAAAGCTAATGGATCGAGTAGGAGGATTCAACCGCAGCAGGCAAATGACAACAACCCTCACCGCAGACCTCTCCTCAAGCGCAGGCCCTGTCTCGAACAATGACACCACAACCTCCAATCCACCCCAGCGTGGCCAATCAATCCGCTCCATAATCACATTGCCGTCTTATAGCCGCCTACCCAAAGAAGAAGAACAAGTCATCGCCCGCGAAGGCGAGCGCGAAGGAATGGACATGGTGGTTGAATTCCCGGAAACAAACGATGAAGAAGAAAACCGTCGTGAAGAAGAGATGGAATCTCTGTATCAAATCCGCTTGCGACGCCGCGAGGAACTCGCTGATCGAGACGAGAGGCGTCGATTGAGGCGAGAAGCGCGTGCGGCGGGTGATACGGAGCGTTTACAGCAGTTGAGTAGGGATAGTCTTGCAGTCAGAGCGGCGAATGCGGACAGGCCCAGTGCGAGTGCGATGTTGGCGGAGCATCAGAACCGAGGTCGACATCGGAGGATTTCGTCGGTTACTTATGCGGAGATTGGGCATGTAAGGCACGACGGGTCACGGATTCGTGCCAATTCGAATGATTCGGATCAGCGGCCGTTGCTTGATACGGCACGTCAGTCGACACAGTCGATTTTTACCATGCAAAGTCAGGCCCGGTCCTCTGTGTCGGGGATTAGTACATTGACTGCCAGTATACATTCCGGAGACGACGACACTCCACCAAGTGAGGTGGCGATCGAGGACGGAGATCTAAGTAACGCACATATTCCACCGCCAAGCTACGACTATGATGACTGGGGCGATGCTCCGGCGTATGAGAGTCCTATTGCAAGGACTCGGGGAGAAGCAGAGCATTCCTTGCTGTCGCAGACGCTCCCTCAGATTCGCATTGACACTGCCAGTCCTGCGAATAGCACGCTTGTTTCCCCGGCCGTTGTAGCTCCTGCCGCTCACCAACATGTTTGAGAGGCTCATGCAGCCAACGAGACGGCTTGACCGAGCTATTAGGTGACAAAGCATCAGAGGAAAAAAACATGACGAATTACGACAACTTATCTATGACCTTCCAAGGGTTCAGATATGTAAATCTTTTGAATCTATGCATGGCGTTTTTGGGTACATATGGATTGGATGGATACGGTGATACTGTGTTTGGCGATACAACATACTTTTTTTATACTCTACTTGTAATGATCAAACCCACTGCGTGTTTATACTGTTTTCTTTTTACTTCATGGTTTCGTGATATCAGCAGTGGCTATGTTCTTGGAAAGCGTGCTTTGATTATTTATGACTGCAAGATTGAATGAGATTAGAGTAGGTAAATATATGAAAAAAATTATCGCTATTTACTATTCAACAGAACTTGCCCAGAATAAGTAGCTGGTCCATAGGAACTGGATAAGCCAGTGAAATCTCAAAGATCAACCTATGTTTCAGAGTTTCAAGAGTGTAGAGAACGTAGCTGCAAGAAAAGGACAGCATCTTATCTAGCCACACACACACACACACACACACACTACGGAGTATATACCAATCATCTGGATCAACTTTGGGGAGTTGCTCTACGCCACCTGCCCTACTAGAAACCCAAGCCCCTGTCGATGAGCTAGATATGTACGTCGAAGGTGAAGGGAGTATACAGTATAGACACAGACATAATATAGCCTGAAGCAGGCCCTGGTTATTGTTGTTGTAGAACCTCTAGGCAGAAATCTAGAGGTGGCGTAGACTTTGCACTGCAATTTTAGTACCTTAGAGGAGATGAGCTACTAGGCAACTTGGTCCAAACAGTTTCTAGCGCACTGCAATCTTAGCTGCCTAGAGGAGACGGGCTACTACAGTAGACTTCAGACGGTATAGTAAAGCGCCGTCCTGAACTCATGACTTCTTGATATCACAAGAATTGTATGTGGTAATATTCAATGACAGAGATTCTCCAACTAATTGTAAAGTTTAATGCGTTTTGTTGAGGTACCATGTGTGAAGTGATATTGCTATTTTCTGTCCATCTTCATTTGCGATTTCTTTTATTGGATTTCTCGATGATGATCTGATATATAAGCTCGTAACCCGGAGCAAAAAAGTTGGACATGGCTACTTGTATCAATCTAATGACCCGTCACCGATGAGCTATGCGCAAATGGATTGTCCTCGACTTAGATCACTTCAGATGGCTGTTTCATGATTGCTGCTGTTGTTGATACAGCTCAGAATGTGCACAGGTCGTGGCCATCGTTGCATAATCGTGGTCCGAGATGATATGATCCATGAATTGTGTATCAAACGTGGCCGAAGACATTGCCTGTTCCTGCCCCAATGTCGCAGAGACCTCTCCAGTGTTGTGGTAGTATTCACTGATGTCCCTTGAAGGTCCTGGCAAGTATTGCCGATAAAGCTGCTGAATATGTGATTGATTTCCAGTTCGTGCATGACCATCATTGTAGGCCTGTGTCATGGAACTTTCATCGGGAATAAGACTCAGATTCGTGCATGTGTCATAAGTGCCAGACACAAAATCGGCCTGATACGCAAGAGACGAGTCATGCTCTGTCACATCTGAAAAGATTATTTCCGGCGGCATAAGCTGCGACGATACGGTCTCCGCGTCTCTTTCAAAGGTCGGGTGAGAAAATGCAGCAGATGGTATAGACGAAGTAATTGAAGGGGCCGAAGCTTGGAAACCCTCTCTTTCCAAGCATTTCTGTGACTTGTCGATAGATTGAGGACTTTCGCGTTTAGAATTGGAACGTGCAGGACTGTAATTGCAAGAATATTGCAGCCGTTTGCATCTTCCGCAGACAGGTTTATTCTTGTCGCATCGTACTTTGGAGATGGAGCACATGTCACAAGTATATTTTAACTTCTGCATATCTGTGATGGCTGTAAATTGATTGTTTGCTCAATTATCATTGTACTGATTTTCGGGAACGAAATTAATGGGACTTGCTAGCATGGCCATCCATTTTATACACATAGAGCAGACAAACATAAACTGACATCAATACTAACACAAACACACACTCATGTCTCAAACATATGTACATAGGTAGTGAATTATGCATTATTTCAGCCCTAGAATTAGCCCGCCTTGTATGGATCCGTGGAGGTCGCTAAAGCTTAGAGGCAGTAAGCTTCTATTCTTCACAATTAGTACAGATGATGACGACAAGCTATGTGCGAATCATTTATGGCCGTTGTGTTAAGTAAGACCGGGGATCATGTAGTACATGCCATCCTTAAAGCATGATTGGAGACCGTTGATCAGTCGGCGACTAAACCACTGCAGGGAAAGGCTTATCAATTAAGAAAGCCGTGTCATCAAGCTTTATTTGGGGCCAATGCCGCAGGCTTGATCACAGAATAAGGGACTAGCAAAGCATGTAAGGTTTAAGCTGCACCATTGGGCAATTCGTACAGTCGTTCGGCAGGGTGACAGGCCAGAAAATGTCTAGATTAGCCATCAAGATAATCACCCTTATAACGTGAATCCGTTCTTAGGCAAACTGCATACTTGATAGTTCTTATGGACATACTTACCCATTTCCTGTTTGGACAAAAATTGTTCAGCCCTATAGTGCTAGTCACATACTTCACTAGCTCAATATACTACTTCAGTCAAACTGCTTGCCCTAATATTATGCAAGAAGCTGAGTAGGTCAATCCAGAAAGTGGACGACGGATCGGATAGGATGAGGTTGCTCCGTATACCTAGCTAATTAAGGTAATCAAATGACTACGTCTCAAATCCCGAAGCACAGGAATCGGTGTAGACTCCTATAGCTGAATAGACGCAGATATCGCCGTGCAGAACTGATCCATCTTAATCGTTATTAATGTGCAATTTGATTGCAAATCGCGGCAACTAGGAAACATTCGCAGTAAAGTTTATAGCCTCTAATATCTAGACTGTACGAGTGCAGTCCGAACCTTAGCCTCGATTAGGTACTCCCATTCTGAACTACACTGCAATTTTAGCTTCCCAGAGGATATGGCTAGTCCTAAGACGAGGTAGTAAACCCAGTACAAGATTAAATGATATCATTGGTTCAGATAGGTACATGGAAATATCAATGTTACTTCCCATCTACAATATAAAAGTATGAAAAGGAAAAACATAAGTACTAGATATAATCTTGGAGGCTTGTTCAATGGCCTCGTAAACGGTCATACATGACCGTGCAGCCATGACGCGGTATCATTCTATCTAACACTAGCCGATGGCATTGTCAGCCATATAGTTTTCATATCCATAGAATTTGCGAGAGAGATGCATAGCGCACATGAATAATGGCCGCGTACCGAGGTTATCGAAAGTATACGCTTGCTCAGTTCAAAGTTCAAATCTCAACCTTGTATGTCGTTGGGTGGGCCAGGTACTATGACAGCGGAAGATTGGGTTCATCCCGACGGCGATATCGTCGTCGTAGACCCCGTAGTGGGTCCTACGCTATGTGTCACTCACTACATATGTACGTGTAGTTACGCCGAACATGAAGCTCGGCGTAAAGTATGGGTATCATGAAATGTATTGTGACGATGATACCATGATTTACATACCATTTATCTCTCCTGACATATGCTTCAGCTTGTCTCTAAGTACTAGCAATTAACATCTCCGGGACACGTCATATCAACTAATCTCATTTCTCAACAATTCTAGTGAGCACCTCTTCGATGTCTTCTTTAGGTAAAGACAAGAGCTCATTATCAGTAGGGTGGTACAGTGCATAGTTACCACCATTTCCATTTACGGAATTGATGTACCGAATCAACAACATTGCACCACTAAAATCACCCTTAGAGACCTTTTCTATTCCGATTACCTTTTGCGCTTCAGCATCAACGTAGTCGACATCAAACTTTTTATTGGTTATTTTTTCCAGCACCTTGAGAACATCGTTCTGTTTCACTGTAAACGAGGCAGTATAGATATATCTGTTGGCAGTTTTCTCTGGTTCAAGCAATGAGTTTTTTACTGCCAGGCCAATTGAAGGCATGGTTGTGGTCGACCAGGAACCTTCTCCGTCATTGTAGATGATTGCTTTGCGATTGGGAATATCAAATCCCATGAAGCCGGCCATTGCCCTTTTACAGTCAGCCATCAAGCCAGCTTTGCAGAATTCGAAACTGTAACATGACTAGGACTCCCCCCTCCAATCATTCGGTATGGAGAGGGTATGATGATAAGACATACAATTCAAAGAAGGGACCCGTCACGAACGAGGACCATGTCAGGCCATCCTTTTCTTTTTCTATGAGATAGTCGACCGAAGCATTCTTGCCACCAAAGTACTGAGGTAAGATGGCCATCGCATTGGGGTGGCGAGTGTCGCTCCCAAACTCAGAAGGAATAAATCGCTTGACTCCAGCTTTGATGGCAAGGTCAATTAGACGAGTTTGCTGTCCGGCACTTGCTGTAGCTATAGTAGAGACGACAGCATCCTGGCCCTTGAAGGCTGAAAGAACTTCATCGTCGGGATAGTCATCGCCTACCCTGTGCACCTTGACATCCTCGGGAAAAGTGGACGTGGAAGATTGGCGGCTCAGCACAGAGACATTGAATCGAGGATCGTTACGAAAGGCAGACAAGATCGACGGACCAAGGTGGCCACCTGCACCAATGATAATCACATTTTTAAGCGCCATACTTGTAGAAAAATGTCAAGTAGCTCTAAGGTGAACTTTCTGGTTGAGTAGGTAAGATTTTGACAAGAGATTTGTGTAACTCTTGGTGCTTTAAGAGATCGGTTGGGATCTTATGGCTTATACATGTCGACATTACTGTACCTAGATTTGTGAACACAATATAGAATGCTCGGCCTTCGGCCTTTCAAATTAATAATATAGAGCTTGATTACATTGATTAGAAATCAGTATCGCGAGCGCGAACCAAGCGAATGCTAGGGATACTTGAAAGAAAAGCCCATTCTCAATAACAAATGGCAACATTACCATCGTTGTCCAAGATGGATACATGTATACTTCGACCGAGCCTTACACTGAAGTGGCTAGTTCAATACCGTATCCCCGCGTATCTGTATTAAATACGTATTGCTTACAGGGTATATGTGGTTTTGTCACGTAAGTAAAAAATATGAAAACGAGACCTTTCAGTATATACCTTGTTTCCTTAAATGGCTGCTTTTTCTGGACGGCCCATGGGTCGAAATATAGTCGTAGAAGAAAGTCAAATCTTATCTCATCTCGAACTCGTGACATTGAATTGTCAACTCCCGCCTTCTTGCGAGATTACTGAAAACGATACAAACTTATACATACTCAACTGACAGGTCTGTCCCAACGAGAGCGATTGTGCTTGTAGTTAGCGGTGGCCCTGGAGGATTTTCCACTATGAACCCGTCCTATGGCGCATCAGCTCTTGCATGCGAGCAGGGTGACAGGGTTCTCTCGTGTCGACGAATTATGCTTTTTACGCAAGGGTAATCTTCACTGGACTGCTGTCAAACTCTAATGCTTGTACCACATGTTAATTAACACAATACGTCGAGCTGTTGAGCAGGGGCCAGCCTAGGAGTCAAATCTCAAGATCGAGAAGTCGGGGAATTTAGGGGTATCCGCCTACATTGCGCGGAACATTACCGGCAGTAATAAACGTACTTTTTGAAAGCCTAGTGTGAGTGCGTGCAGGTGTGAAATTATTGCTTGACCGTCTGCTAACTAACGAGTAGTTTCTCAGTTCTGAAATGTCACTCAGTCCTGCAAGGAAATAGATCCCCCCGTCCCCGATTCTCTAGAAGTATTTTATGTTTTAATCATTCCATTGGAAATATGGACTTTAGCTGAATAGTATTTATACAGAAACATATACAGATTAAACGATATTTCTATATTCTGGATATCCCCGATCCTTTATTCGCAACCAAGACTACCTCAAAGCTTTGGCCCCAAGTTAGGCTGAGGATACGGATACGATGCGTAACTAGTAGAAACCGGACGCCTTTATGAATGAGAAGTGAAGCCTGGACATTTACTACTAGCTTCAGCGCCACTGACTATGGGGGCCATGCGAGAGGACTGTGTATATGCACGTGAAAATTTGACGCTGAGAGATAACCAAAGAAAACCATCGAGCTTGATCTGGATTATCAAGACAATGGCTGCCCTCACAGGCATGCATAATACTGTCGCAACCCAGTCCCAGAGGTTGACGGACACCTGTGATACGACACGTGCTCCACTTCTAAATTGCGGAAAATGCGATGTGACAAGATCAAAACCGTCTGTGGGAGATGCAGAGGCTAGAATATTCTTATAATACAGCCCTGCACGCCGAATACCCAGGACACCAAGTCATCAATCAACAAATCTCCCAGCTGTTGGACAATTCCCACGTTTTACGGGTGAAAGACTCAATCTAATTTCTTCATAATCAGCCACACTCTCTCCTTCTCATGCTATAAGTCAAGTAAATGACGAGTATCAATTTCAGAAAAGGACCAAAAAGAATCAACCCAAGAGGTCATAGGAAGATTCAGCAGACCGTCGGCCAAATCATGATAGTACTGCTATGATGCAGGTAAAATTAGGCCCTGGGCGGCTGGTATCATGGCTCAATTTGGGAGAAGAATACTAGACAATAAAAACGTCCATTGATCCAGTAATATGGCACTGATTGAATAAATAGCAATGGAAATGGAGGATAGACTGCGATGGATGATTGACGAAGCCACTGGCTGAGTTGCCCAATTCTGAGATTTACGTTTTTCAATGTGCTCGTGCTTATGAGAAATGAAATTTTATGGAAATTTTGAGAAAGATATATCATATAGGCACCTATCATTATAAAGAAATAGAGATCTAATGTGATGAGCTCAAATTGACTGGTTCTTCAGCGTAGATTAGGGCTTAGTCCGTCAGATGCACCGAAGGGTCTGGGTTGTTGATCTGTTTTTGGTCTTCGGGAAGGACCCACCCGACCTCTGGATAAACAAAAGCCTCGCGCGGGTCTTCTTCCGACAACCTCACCTGCTTTGCTTCATTGTTTACATTTCCAACTAGTCAACAACAATTGCAGTTGACTACTTTCAAACCCTTTTGTTCTGCAGCTGTTATTTATTCCTCACGCACTAATACCCTCATCCAATCTAAGAAGCAGGCGCGCAAGCATTCCCTGCTCCCAAATTCCACAGTAACGGCCGAACCAAACGCGTCTTTGACCCGACAAAGAGCCCACAACCCCAACCACAATTATTACAAAACACTAAGTCCATAGGATATACTTGTACTTATGGACTAGTGGACTAGCTCTTCGAAAAATCAATCATCTGTGCGACTTGTCTCAAGTAAGACGCGTCCGTACGCAATGCGACACAGCGAAAATACACAAGCTTCTGTTGGCGAATCCACCATGTCTGACTTCGACCCGGAGAACGAAGCACTTGTTTCAACGCGACAACTCGATCGTAGCCAGGAGCTACCAAATCTTCCAGCATCCTTCCGACGACCAAGCACGGCAGGAAAAAGCCCTTCTCCACGTCTTGATCCCGAGTATACAATCGACACATCTGCTATCAACCGTGCCTTTCCTGAATTCTCCGATGTCGAATCGTCTCCTGACGACGAGACCGAAGATGACTTTTCAATCGAAATTGGGCGAGGTGTGAAGAGCTCTGGTCGCATTAGACGCGACGATTCGCGCAACTCGATGATGAGCATTGAAAATAGCGTTCGCTCGTCTTCGCCGGCTATCAGGCTTGATTMCCCTGCCACAAGCACCCCACCCAAATCAGCAATGCGGAGCTCTTCAAAGCGAGCAGTCGCTGGAGATACCCTACGCAAGGATGCTCAGATACGACGCGCGAGCCAGATGCAAAAGGAAAACATCGATCCCCAGCCGCAAGCCAGTCGTTCCAAGAACATGACTCGCTCTACTGAACCTCGTCATACATTAGCTGAAATGCACGTTAGAGCACGAGAAACATATGATGGATCATATATTAGCGACGAGAGACCTCAAAACGCTCCCGTCAACGCACGAACCACTCGGTTCGGAAATGTCTCGGCTCAAGTTGCAGCCGCTATGGAATCAGCGTCGCGTAACACGCAGGCTAGCAACCCCCGCCGTGGCAAGCGTGATCCTGCGCCGAACCCTACATTTACTCTAGATACCGTCACCAATGGGTCAATTTTGCTTCCAGACTTGCCGAACATTTCGGAGCTAGTATCCGGCGTCTATGAAGATGGGACTCCAGTTTTCACTCGTCAGACTAGGCCCCGTACAACACGATTTGTCTCTCCTCCCGCTGAAGACATGGATCTATCTCAGCCTCGTGGCCATCTTCCATTGAAAAATGTGCCTATCCCCGAGGATGAAAAGGCTATCTTCGTTTCCCTGAAGCTCTTGCAGGACAAGGTCGCGGACTTGGAATTAGCAAGATCTGAGGCAGAAAAGGAACTTGAAGACGCCCGCGAGGAGAACCATCTTCTAAAAGCCGAAAAGTCGCGTCGGCAAAAGGAACAATACGATCGTCTCAAGTTATTTGGAGGTGAGGATGGCGAGCAACCTAGAGGCAGCACTAAACTACTGCAAGACAAGAACAGTGAGCAGTTATACATGGATCTTTGACTATTGAGCAGAGTCGCTAACACACTTCTTAGGACTTGAAGCGATGAATTTGGCTTTGCAAAACAGGCTTGATATCGCTGATAGAAAGGTTCAAGTCCATGAATCAGCATTGAAGTCCCTGGCCCAAGAGCGGGATTCTGCTGTGACACAGTTGGGGGTGGCTTATTTGAATACACAAGAAACAAAGCGAGAGAATGAAGCTTTGAGGAAGGAAAACACGGAACTCAGGGCCCAGGTCAAAAAGTTGACTACGCTGACTCGGGAACTGATCGGAAACGAGACCAACACACACCAATCGCTTCCCAAGGATCAACTAGAAACAGACCATATCACCATGAGTACTGATCCCAACGAAGGCAATACGCAGAAGACATCTGGGTCAATGCGTGCTCGGCGCCAAACCAAGGAACAAGCCGTGCGCATGATCAATGCTCCAAAAGACGATCCTGAAAGCAGGGTGCTCGAGAGGGTGGAGAAGGAGATATCGAGACTAGAGAAACAACGTCAAGATGATGAACTATTTTCTCTCAACCTGTCAAGGCCTACGACAGCAAATTTGGAGTCCGCCACAAAATCGACGATGCCTTACAAATCAGGAGAGGCCGAAAATAGCAGGAAGGTACCCAACACCGGAAAGCAACGCATCAAGCGCGTCATTCTCGAGGAGGCCGACACCACAGAAAACTTCACCGAAGACCTTCGAGAAGAAACCAAGAATCATACCGGCGCTGCACAGGACTTTACATTGCTGAGTTTCATTGATGATCGAGAGATTGCTAAACTACGCAGGCGGCTTGAAATTGAAAGAGCTACACGCAAACAAAATAAATCGTTACCCGCAAGAGAGCAACCCTCAATTACTTCTACAGCCAAGCGTGTAGCTTCAGAACCCCCGCGCAAGTCATCGTTGAAAGAGCCTAAGGAGCCTGTTGTTCGCCCATCCTCCGCGCTTGGTGAGGCTGTCGCAACTTCTAGACCCGATCAAGATGATCTCGGCGAGGGTCCATCTGGACGTCGCCGACGCCACTCTGACCACTCTTTTCAGAGTCAGAATCGGCGAAAGAAATTGATCCCCGATCTGACTTCGGCTTTCATTCTCCCAGACATCACTCTCCGCTACGCTGAAACTGCCAGAGAGCCGATTCGTCTCTCAGAGTCTGCCCAGAAAGTTCTTGATAGCGTTGCTGGTCACGATGGCAGAAATTGTACAGTTTGCAAGCGTCTTTTGCTGGAAGGAGTGACCCACAATCATGATGATGTTCACGTTACTGTACCAAAGCCAATCCCAGTCTCTGAGCGTATGCCCGAGCCAACTATCTACAATGATGAACCAACTCTTCGTCCGTCTCGACCACCAGCAGAAGCGCTAGCTACTGTTCTCAAGAGTCTTGAGGACGAACTTTCCCATCTTAAAATGCAGTTGGCCGTAGCACAGCAGGCCTTTTCGAAGCACGACGCGTCTCTCGGCAAGCGACAGAGGAAGTCACTAAGCACCAAGATCGAAAAGCTACTAAAAGATATTGATACCAAAGCAGATCAGATATATGCATTGTATGACGTTCTCGAAGGACAAAAGCAAGACGGCCACGAAATGACTGAAAAAGAAATGGAGGTTACTCTACAGTCTATTGGAATTGATGTTCAGGGCGTAGCCAGGCTCGCCGATTTGACGGGCGCCAGTGACCAGTCGCTCCGTCGCAAAACAGTACACAACGTCAAGGACTTTGACGATGAAGACGACGAGGAATTGCCATGGGAGGGATTCGAGAGCACTGCCGAGATGACGGGCCGTCATACTTCACGCTCAAACTTTTAATCAACTCTTCCGGTGTATCATTGCTTTCACGACGTTGAGTCATGCGGAGTTTTTGATCGATATTACGTTCAGGTTTCAGACTGACCTTAGAGGTGCATGTCCCTGTTCTTGTTGCCTATCAAACCCTCCATTCAGACTTGAAAGACAATATTGTCGCTCATTCTCCATCAAACATTTCAACTGAATTTCCCATTTTCTTGTTGACTGACTTCGGTGTATGTCCACGTAAATGGAAAAGAGTTTCCTTGCCAGTTCGGAAATGCATTAGCTATGAATGCACGCATGGTTACCTTCAGCTTGCGAATTATGATTGGCTTGATTGGACTTGTATGGCGATGTTATGGGAAATGGTCTTTGCATTGCTCGCTAAATCAATTTCATGTTGACTGACTTCGGTGTATGTCCGTGAAGGAGATTTCCTGCCTCAACTAGCGAATGATGAGAAAGATGTCTCTTAATTAGCCCCCATTCTTGATTTTTCCACTCAGCGTTCTTTGCCTTCTGGGGAGCTCCTTAGCCATATCTTTGCAGTGGTGTTCGAGCACTTTTACTACATGGTGCTGGAGGTTATAGGTTTTCTTTTTTTTTTCTTTTGCTTGCATGTTTTGTTTTGAGTCTTTCAGTCCTTATTTTTTTTCTATTGCAGTTCGTTTTACTTCATTGCGTCGAGGAGTTGTGTATCAATAGGTTGTTGAAATGAGGATCGCTTTTAGTCTGAACAGCGGATAAGAATGCGTATTATAAATTATAAGTAAATTCATTGGTCAATTTCCAACAGATTAGCTACCTAAGTAAAGTCATATGTCTATAATTGGCATAAAACATGGATGTCTTATCAAGTTGATATATAGCCTGAGATTGGGTCGCAAATACCAGGAGATAAAACGAACTTCCAAAACGGAAGGACGTAGAGAAGATGAAAAAAGAACGCCGTCGCTATGCATCCCGTCCCATGTAACATATTTGTGGCTAGTTCGCCGTACTAAAAAGGTTCAAAAAACATCATTAGAAGCTCCAACTGTAGCAGCTTGTTGCGCAGCACTATTTGTGGCAACAGCAGCTTTCGAGGTTACGCCAACTTCTTCGTCAACAAAAACACCCAGGCCAGCGAATGCTTCGAAGAGTGTTCGCGAATAATACTCTTTAACATCGAACCCMCCTGCCGCAAATGTGGCATTGTTGCGAGCCTGTTCGAGCCACTGAGACGGATAGTGGTCCTGCAAAACATAATAATCCCGTTTGTCTGCTTGGATACCACCAAAGGGGTCGTAAGGCTTCTCCGGCTCTGGTAGAATGACCTTCTTGAGGCCCTTGATAAGACTTGGTTCCGCGTCTGAGTCTGTGGTTGCAGAAAAGACTCGAGCTCCTTTGCCCTTTTCGCCGCGGAGAGCGGCTTGTTTCTGACGTAACCTTTCCTCCTCACTTCGGCGAGCGGATGATTTCTTGAGCAAAATCTTTTGGCCTTCTCGCGCAATGCTAGCTGCGTCGCCGGGACGGCCTGATGCGAGTCGAGAGAGTACCTCCTCACGGCCTGCGGCGAGTTCACGCTGTTCTCTTTCGTATTCTTCGCGTGCTGCCATACGGCGTAGACGGGCTTGTTCTTGTTCGAAGGATTGTTGTTCTAGGAACGAGGAGGCTTCCTGCGATGCGAGGGCCTTGTTGGCTCTGATGGAATCGAGGTTTGATGCTTCGTATTTGCGTAGGTCGGCTTCTGTTTTTGCGACGTCGATACCTAATACTAGGTTCATGATCATGGTTTCACGTTGTTCGAGGAAGTTGTCCCAGTCTAATTTGCTGTCAAATTCGTCTTCGCGGCGGTTCAAACTATTCCACGTAAGTGTCTGCCAACAAGAAGTACGAAGCGTCCAGAGTGTGCAACTCACATGGCCATGACTCTCTTCCGTATATCGACCTCCCTTTCCACGCCAATATCTTCAAAGGTCTGTGTTCGAAACCGATTCCTTCGCAGTGTCTTCTTGCAACCGACCACGGGACACGAGTTAGGGCCGGCACTATAGAGCCTGTCAACACATGATTCACACATTCTGTGATAGCATTCCGGGTTTATAAGGAAGCGCATGTCTGGGTTGAGGTATCTGGAGGATTTGCAGATGGGGCACACTTCTATCACGTATAAGTCAGCTTCATTACTAAAACAAATAGATGGGTATGGATACTCACCATCCTCATCCCGGCGAGAGACACTGTTGGTTATCAAGTCAGCCATATTGACTGGCCAAAGCGAAGTTATTCTGATATGAAAAGGTAGTCGTAGAGTTGGACATGACGTTGAGTTGGCGGGAGCTTCTTAAGGGAAGCCGCGGAGCTTGAATGGGAACGGCCAATCAGAGGCCGCCAGTCAATTTTTTTGCTTTTGCCTCTTTCGCAAACCGTCCATCTCCCCGCCCTCTTCCCTTTCCACATCACTTCATAACCTCATCGCATCCCTTCAAGTGAAAGGCAAGATGGCTGTCCGACACGCAACACTAGATGAACTAGAGCGTCGAAGACTAGAGCTCGAGGGAAACATTCAAACCCTTCGCAGATCACTCTACGACTGGCGACTCCGTGAAGCTGAATACGATGGATTGAAGGACGAAATAAAGAACTTACAGCACGATTGCACGAGTGCCGAAATACTTCGAATTGGTCTCGAATATGAGGGGACTGTCGTTGATGAGAAGGAAGTCAGGGATATCATTGGCGAGAAACAAAACATTACGCGATCCAGGGATCAGGTCGTTTCGCAAATTACTCGGCGACTAGACTATATCAAGCAAAACGTTGCTTCTCTAGAGAAACGTCTATCGACTGTAGAGGTAGAACTGGATCGGTTACTATTTGTCGAACGCCCTGGGCCCAACGCCGCGACGGAAGAATATGCCGTGACCGAGATCTTCGAGGAGCTGGATGAAAATGGAAACGTTATTTCTAGCAAGGTTTCGAATCCAGCCGATCGGGCCCCTGATATTATGGATATGCTCAAGAAAGCTGGTGTAGAGGTTCCGCAAGGTCAGGAGCCTGAAAAGAAAGCAGATGACAAAACGGGTGAAATGTCAGATGGCAAAGCACAGAGAAGTGAATCGGTTACGGATACTGAAGTCAAGAAGGAACAATTAAAGCCTAGCTCCACTACACTCACCACTCCCACAGTTGAGGACACTCTCACGGATGAATTCGATGACTCAGACTCCGAACCACCAGTCATGGAAGTAGACGAGCCCGCCGAAGATGCAAAGCTCCGCCGTGAAATGCTCGAATACGGCTTTCACGAAGTGGGTAAGGTTGTAGCTGAACTGGAAATGGACGAAGAAGGCAGCGACATATCCGTCGACGAGGATTATGAATATGACGATGATGATGATTACGAAGAAGATGAAGACGAATACGGACGTACAAGGACAAGAGTCTTGACGGATGAATACCACCAACAGATGAAGGAGTTGGAAAAGAAGCTTAAGGCTGGCGGGTTCATCAACTTAGGCCCTGCTCAGAATATGGACGCGGAAGCCAAGGAAACAGCAGAAGCTGCAACACACGGTGGTGTTTTGAAAGTCACGGCTATTGAAAGGGATGCCAATAATGATGTTATTTCTGAAGAGAAAAAGAAGCCAAAAAAGAAAGTTGCTTTTGCCGAAGAATTGGATATTGCACAAGAGTCGACACAGCCAGCTGTTTCAACAAACACTGGACGAAAGATTGACGTTGTCAAACCTGATGTAACTCCTCTATCAGAGTCCATCGTTGAGCGTTCCGCCTCAAAAGCGAGCACCATCAGTAGTAAGGATACTACGGATACATCCTCTATAAAGAAGAAAACCTCGAGATTCAAATCAGCCAGGAAAGATGGTACCCCAACACCAGGCGATTCAACCACAGCTGGCCTCAGTCCCGGACCTCAATTATCAATTCTCAAAAAATCAGATCAACCACCCGCCCCATCATCTCTTTCTTTATTCCCTGCTAAACCCGAGGGACCTAAACCATTTTCTCAACCCATCATTGCCGGTGATGTATTCGCCGCTGCTTCAGCAGCCAAACCATCGATCGACCGCGAAGCTCAACCCCCCGAAGGAAAAATTACGGCCGAAAAGCTCGTCGAACGACCCGTAACGGACACAACAAGCGTCCTCCCCCCGGATCCAGATGAAATTGACGAAGAAATCCACCGCAAAGAAGTAGCGACTGAGTTCTATCGTCGGAGAAACCTCAAAATTCAGCAAAGCGGTGGCTTTGTGAGGGACAAGGATGATGAGGATGAAGCTGATCAGCTGTATGAGTTAGATGAGAACAATCAGCCGAAGAGGAAAGTTAGTAAGTTCAAGGCTGCACGGTTGCGATCTTAACCTTCAAGATATCGAACTGAATAAATAATCATCATCGTTCCTTGTTGTCTTCTTTTCCACTTTCGCCTGTAGGCTACTTGTTGAAGGAACATTGAAAATGAGAGACACCCGTCTCTCATTAAACTACTGTGACATGACTCGCCTTACATCATTGTTTATCTACAGGGTAGGCATCAATGATGGAAGGCCCTCCAAGCCATGCTCTCTGATACAAGTTCCGATATTGATTTGTTCTACAAACAAACGAAGGCTCTCTGACCGCATCAAAACAATTACTCCTGGCTTTGGCTTTACCTACGTATATGAAAAGGTCGGGAGGATTCCGTGGAGATGTGGTTTCGTTTCCCCTTCTACATTATATTTCAGTAGGTACTTTTAGAAAATGAATACATCAATCGATGCTACCGGATTCCTCATTGCATCGAGAGTTCATCAACATCGTCAAGTTCGTAACAATACTATATAAAACATTCATCCTCGCCATCCGCCGGAATCGCAGTGCAGAGTGTAAGTTTGATAGGTAGATCACGGGTAGAACGCTCTGGAACTACCCCATACACAGATACTATCCATCCTCGCACACAGCACCATCAATCCAAGATGAACAGCTAACGAAATCACTTGCGTCCTTAGACTTTGTATTGGCAAAGACAGTACAGCAAGTATGAATAGAGGGTAATAGACCCATGGATTCACGGCTAGAGGCATGCATGTTTGCGAGATTAGGATTTGCTTGATGATGAAGAGCGTCACACGTGCGTTTGGGATAGGGATATGAATGTCCGTGGAAGGTATAGGAATAAGATATAGATATGCGTTACCGCTCCAAAAAGTTTCGGGCGGTGGAGGGAGTAATCTGTGTGGCGGGAGKGATAATTGCATTGGTGGAGTTGATGGAGGATCATGGTTGGGATGGTATATCATAGGATGGGTATATCGTCGTTGGCCTTCTGCCTGCTGTTCATCACCGTCATCTATAGGCTGTGGAGGTGTGGATGGTGTGCTTCTGAATCGAGGACGAAGTATGACGTCATGGTCCTGACTACTCGGTGATCGGTGATGGTGACTGTCCTGGTCTGTCTCAAACGACGCGTTATTCATGTTTGACGTAACGCTTCGTGTTTCGTATCGGACTGGTGATCGAACAGCTAGTGGTCCAGTTGATCGTGACGAATTTTTGACTGGGGAGCGAGATGGTCGAGGACTGTTAGGCGCGGGAGATTCGATAGGCTGTATGCGTTGACTAAAATCAGTCCCAGTGGAGCTTGCACGACCAAACCGGCGGCTCTCGTTGCCTGTGACACCTGCTTGAATACTGACCAGAACTTCATCTGCAGTAGGCCTGTAAGCAGGGTCGATAGATAACAGTCGCTGTAGGATGGTGTAAAGCTTGTCTGGCAAGTCCGGTCGAAGCCGCTTAAGTGAATCATCGAACCCTTTCCAGCCACTGATTTCAGCTCGAAGCTCGTCAATATCCTCTTTCTCCTCCATGAGATCCGCACTGCGATATGGGAGTTGCGCAAAACATAGGAAGTGTAGGATCATTCCGAGGGCAAAGACGTCTGACTTGAAAGTAAAATTCACGAACGGGCCATTGGGAGATACCCTTTGTAATACTTCAGGGGCGCAGTATGAAATAGTTCCTGTTGTACCTGTTGATTTGCGTACTGTATTCTCATATTGCACTTCTCCAAAGTCACTGACAAGTACCCTCAATTCCTGGCCCGAATCATGCAGTAGACAGTTACTCGGTTTGAGGTCGCGATGAATGAACCCATTGGCATGTAGAAAACGTATCCCAGATGTTATATCCTTAAAGAAAGAGTATATTTCTTCAAACTGAAGTTTTCTCAGGCTTGAAAGATCTGGCGTCTCAGGCTGGCCTTTAGACCTGCGACGAAGTCGCTCCTTCAATTGCTGCGCAGTGGTCAAAGTCGGAGCATTTCCCACCACATATTTGTGGAGATCTCCAGCATTGCAATACTGTTGCAAAATGAATGCGCAGGGCACACTTGGACCAAACGTGCTGATCTTGTAATCCTCCAACCAAACGTGTCGATACGAGACTAAATTCTGGTGTGACAGATGCTGCAACAGTTGCACCTCTATCAAAACCTTTTCCAGCCATTCATGATCGTCGCCCACGGGCACGCGTTTGCAAGCAAATTGACCCAGCGAAACGCCATCGAGCATGTGCTTTACCAATAGTACGACMCCCTTCCCGCCACGACCCAACTCTGCTTCCTCGACAAAGAACTTCTTGAAATATCCCTGACTGAACGCCGTCGACGATATACCCTGCGGAGATTGAGGGGCTGGTTCTACGTATGGTGAAGAGGAACCGATCGTACCATCTGTCAACGCTGGCTGCGCAAGGCGTAGACGCGGTGATAGAGGTGGTGGTGGCGTCGATGCCTTGGAGTTGGGTATACTATCATGAAGGAGACGGAAGTATTCTGGCGTCACGAAATCGTGATGCTCGGGGCCACCGCTGCGTCCTCGGTGTACTTCAGGTTCATTGTCCCGACCGCGCATGGGACGATGGCAGTAGGGGCAGTCTGGTAGGTCGAAATCGAGGTCTCCATTGTTGCTGGTGTTCGCATTGCGGAGAACTAGTTGTTGAGAGTCACGGTCGAGCACAACCACCGAATCATTATGGCGTCTGAAAATTAAGTAATTAGTGACTTTGCGATTTGATTTCAGTGGTAATACAATAAATAGTTAGACTTCGTAGACGCTTACAGAACGACGTGTCGATTCGAAGAATATGGGACGATGGACATAGACCGCGGTGCGTCATCAGCCATGTTCACCCGACGTGCGAAATTGCGCTGTTATATACTTGCTTCTCAGAGAAGAAAAGAAAGCTTTGAAGTTAAAATGAACATTATTAAAGAGTTGAAACCCCATTGACCTTGCTTGACACAAGCTCAAATAGAGCCTAGCCGATTCTTCTTGAAGGAGCGGTGTTGGAAATCGAACAATGAAGGAGTTGTTCCACGGCCCGTCGCCTTCGAATGCTTGACTTGCCGCAGCCCCACGTGAGGTACCACAGAATCTACAATTAGGACGAATACGAACTTGTGCTACTTAGCTGGACTACTATGATCTGGAAAAAATATCTCAGCAAGGAAGTGTGCATCGAGTGATGCAATGATATTGATTGTCTGATGTGCTATCGACGGTATCATAGGTAATGTGAAAAAACGAGGCGACATCCTAGCTAGCTTTTGTAGCAAGCCGCAAGCTTGCCGTTTACAGCCAACACATACATATAACTACAGCTTCAGGGGTAGCTGTTCAGCTTGCGCAGTACGCACTCAGTTGTACATACGTGTTTCGACGGTGGAGATATTGGTGGCGGTAAATGCAGCCAAGCGAAGCTGGTTTGTTGTAACAGCGAAGCAGGTAACTCAACGCAATATTGCGTGTCAAGCTGGCTGCACTGAACGAGATGGAGATTTTCAACATCTGCAAGATTGTTTGAAACAGTAAGCTAGACAGTTGTTTCAATCTTTTGCAGTAGCATCATCCTCGTCCTCTGCTTCAATTTCCTCGGAGTCCTCATCATCCGAGACGACGATCCCCCCGTCGGATTCATCGTCATCGTCGTCAAAACCTTCGAAATCATTCAAGTCTTCGTCCTCATCTGCAGACTTCTCGTCATCCTTCTCCTCAGAATTCGCCGCAGGAGTGTCTCTCTTACGTTTTAGAGACATTTCTCCAAGGCGACCCTCGCGGCCTTCGATCTTTACATCGTCATTTCCTTCATTGTACGGGGGCGGTGTGAACCAAGGAATCTTTCCTCGGAGGAAATCATTGATCACCATCTTAGCAACACCATCCAAATCAGGCTCACCGCCTCGTAACAATCTACCACCCTTCCGAGCAAGGATACTGAGAAACTCTACGGCGTCACCGTCAAAGTCCTTGATTGCGTAGGTCCGCTCGATATGGCGCGGTTGCACTTTCTTCAGAACGGCAGGAATATATTGTTCGGGATTGTGAACATTCTCAACCCGAACAACTCCTCGGAGCAGAATGTCCTCCTCGCTATCATTCTGATTCGGAGGCACAACACCAGGACAATCGATGAGATAAATCCTCTTCATCAATGTGATATATTGCCAGACTTTGGTCTCCCCGGGAATGGGTGCAACAGTGCAGACCTTCTTGTTTCGAAGAGTGTTGATAATAGAAGACTTCCCAGTGTTGGGATATCCGATAAAGCCAACAGAAATCTGCTTGCGATCAGAGTGGAGAGCTGAAAATTGACGCAGCAGCTGGATAAGAGATCCTTTGCCGAAAGAGTTATTGATAGATGCATGGAACGCGAGCGTAGGGTAGTCTTTGGACAGATGGCGCACCCAGGCGGCCTGGCACGAAGTTAGTTCGTGTCCTGAACATTCAAATATGGCAAATATAGATAGAAGAAAAGGCAATGTGTGAAATGTTACTAAGAGCTCTGATACAGGAAGTACCATCGAATAACGGTATTCAGAGCTCAACTCAAAAACAAAGCACTACTCATCCTTTACGATAAGCCTTCAAAACGAAAGCCGATCAACTCTAAACTCAGAAAGAGATAAAGCGGCGGATGGGCATCAATCTACCAGAGCTGTAACAGACAAAACTCCCATTGAGCGGCAAAAATAATGCACAGGAAGAAGCCTTGACTTAGCAATGGCACCGGCGGAGCCGGATAGAGCGAGGAAGAGAAAATACAAGTGTGTAACAGGGAGGAAAAGTCGGGAACTTACAGCAACCTTTGTTGGAACCAAGTCACACTTGTTCAAAACAAAGATGAGATGTTTGTGTGGTGCCTCGTCACGAATGTATTTTTCAATACTTCTGCACCTCGTTCCATTAGGGTCACGAGCATCGAGTACATGGATAACGACGTCTGAAGAGTCAATGACTTTGTAAAGTTCGTTCCAGATACGTTTGCTTTGACCCTTGGAGAAGACATGTTCACGAGCGACACCCATGACACCAATATCTTCGGCGTCGTCTTCACCCGATCGTCCACTTAGCAACTTGGCTTGATCCAATTTGTCCAAGTACGAGTCGTGCATTTTTTCAGACTCTCCGGCGAGATCTTCCAGCGAGCCGACATCAAGCTTGACACGTTTCCGCTGTGCTTTGGGCCCGAAGGTATCGCCAAAAGGTGAGGTCTCAATAGTCATCTTTGCACGATGTTGCTTAAGACCGTTGAGTTCCTGACCGTCTCTGATCAAACTCATAGGCAGCTTGTTTGTCTTCAAAAGAACCTGGTACGGATCTGCGGCACGTTCGGCAACGGCTTCTCGGAAAGAAGTCAATGCTTCTTGAGAAATGACTCTGGTATTACCGAACCACTTGCGATTTGGCTCTATCCGGGCATTGGGCAATTCTGTGGACTGGTAGGAAGCAGCCTTGACAATATTTCCCTGGGCATCGTGCTTGGCCTTGCCATCCTTGAGCATGTTCAAATGACGGACTTTCTTCGCATCGCTATAGGCGATAGTCAGTCAGATAGTGTTCGCAACAAGTGCAGGTGCTTGCGTACTCACCGATAGAAGTTTTCGCCTTTTGTCCTAACATTGGCCATCCCATCTCCAGTCTTGCCCTGGCGCTCTCTGCGAGAGGCCTCTTTCTTTCCTGTACCCATGATGTGAGAGAACTTCTCTTCGTGAAAATAGAAGAAGAAGGTAAAAAATGGCACAGAGTGTCTGGCGAGGAAACAGCAGAGAGTTTTTGTCCGAGAAGGCGGGTAAGAAAAAAAAAAAGCAGGAGCGACCGGGGCTAGTGGTGCACGGGCCAATCACTGAAAATTGTCGGCCAGCGGACAAACACCAACACTCAACAAGACACTATCAACTGCTGCGTTAAGCAGTCATCCTCGACTCTCTGTCGCTTATCTTATATCAATTCATCTCAATTTTTCAGATTAATAACTTTTCCGGGCTTGTTATAATGTCGCTCCCCAGGAGTTACCGGACTGCGACGAGGCAGATTCGCAGCTTCTCCGTCTCTACCAAACTGCGTGTCGGCCCCGAATCTCCCAACTACATCGAGGTTCCTCAAACATTGCAACCCGATCTTCCCGCAAAGCCTCGAGTCAAGGGTACTCTACCTATTCCGCGTGAAATATTCCCTGCCCGTCGCCCCGACAAACCTACGCCGGCCTACATCTCTGCCGTGACTCCGGAGCCGAGCAAGGTGAAGACAATCAAGAAGAACGATCCCAATGCAGAAACTATTGCTTGGAAGCAAAGGATGGCAGAGAACCGACGACAAAACTTGAGGGAAGGTTTGCTCGAGTTATATGAAAGAAAACAGACTACGGTTGCATCGATAACGCGGCGCAGTGCGGCCAAGCAGGCCCGACGAGAGCGCGTATTGAGACAGCCGGAAAGAGACGATGAGCGCTTGACAAGGCAATCTGTCGTTCAGGGTCTGAAGGAGCAACCCTCTATCTTACCTGATCCCGACCGAGAGATTCGCATTGCCCAGTCACGCGAGCGAGTTTTGGAGAGGCAGCTTCAGAAATCTGCTGAACGCAACCACCACCTTCACACCTTGTACGTGAATGCTCGAGACTTCATCGTTACAGAGGAGCAGCTCATGAAGGAGATTGAGGACAAATTCCGTGAAGATGGCGGCGATGAATGGCGTTCGGACAGCGGAACTGGAACCAATGTGTGGAACAAGGGAGCACCGCCTACGATTCAAAGCATCGTCAACACTCAGACGAAGGATGATAATGGAAGATGGCGAATTGAGCAGGAGAGAATGAAGCAGGTGGTTGAGGAGATGACAGGAGGAAAGATGTAGATGGCTTGCTAGCATTTATTGCATATTGTATTATACTCGTATAACACCATGTCTAGTTTTGTATATTAAATCATTTCTTTCTATACTGAGCCATTTAACCAAATTCAAACATGAATCGACTCCTAGATATTCATGACTCGGGCAGTACTACCATCGGCATGTGTGAAACAGAGCAAAGGAGAGAAGACTAGAAAGGAAGGTATTGGCCGCCGCTCAAGCCGCCGCTCAAGCCTCACTGCCTCAAAGTCTGTGCACTTGCTTCATCATCCGGCGTCTCAGACAACTTTGACCAAGCATTCTTTGTTGGTCATCGATCCACTCTCTCAGGCATCTTTATTTTCTAGGTTTACCGTTGTTTCTTTGTCATAATTATTGAAAACTTATTTATTATGCTTCTGACCAGAAACCTGCTGAAAAACTGTTGTGAATCTTGAGATATTACCAGCCGAGTCAGTTCGCAGATCGGTTTAGTGCAGATCCGCCGTTTCAATCTTCAGAGTCATCACGCGACATGGCTCAATTGCCTTCAAAATTGCCATTTTCAAAGAAAAGGCTGAGGGCTCGGGTTATTATCTCGTATGCGATTATCCTATATTTTCTGGAGAAGACAGTGTATGCTAACCTCGTGGATTCGGACTTAGATATATTTCTGACTATGTATTCATCATGTAAGCTATCTCCACGATCTTCCAGATGTCATGTTCGACATCATACCAGACCTAGGTACTGATCTTTAATCAGTGGATTTGCAATCGGATTTTATATGCTAGATCGCATCGAACCATATCACCAGCATTTCAGCCTCGAAAACAAGAGCCTCCAATATCCTTTTGCCGTCAAAGAACGGATCACCATACAAGAAGCTCTCCTCATCTCAATAGCATCACCTCTCGTGGTCATAATCCTCTACACTTTAGTGATTGACGGCCTCTTCTCCCACCACAAATCATCTTCACCCGATGGATCCGGACGCAGGAAATTGACCGGCCCATATAGACTGAAAGATCGTCTGTGGGAACTCAACTGCGGAATTCTAGGTCTGTTGTTGTCACAAGGGCTGGCTTTTGTGACTACACAGATCCTCAAAAATGCATGCGGAAAACCGCGCCCGGATCTGATTGATCGTTGTCAGCCGGCAGCAGGTAGTCAGGATTTGCCGGTCTTTGGGCTTTCGAACTCGACGATTTGTCAGGGTGATCCGGCGCTGATCAAGGATGGGTTCCGATCCTGGCCTTCGGGGCATAGTAGCTGTGCGACCTTTCTTTCCCCTTGCACTGCGATGATTATAGACTAATTTTTTGGGCCGATAGCCTCCTTCGCTGGCTTATTCTATCTCTCCCTGTATCTCAGCGGCAAAATGCACATCATGGACAAGCGCGGCGAAGTCTGGAAAGCGATTATTGTCATGGTCCCTGTTCTTGCCGCTACGCTGATTGCCGTGAGTCGAATCATGGATGCTCGACACCACCCCTTTGATGTCATCACGGGCTCCTTGTTGGGAGTCTTTACTGCTTGGATATCCTATCGACAGTATTTTCCATCTCTCTCGGAACCTTGGAAAAAGGGCAGGGCATATCCAATTCGGACCTGGGGCACTGAACCCAGAATACCTCCTGGGATGAGCGATAACGACGACACAGTCCCTCTCCGCAACGCGAGTGGAGAGCAGATGTATGCTCAGGGACGACAGACAGAGCTCAGCCAGGAATTTTCTTTGCATCCTGAACCGCAACGAAATGTCCCCGGGGGAGCACCCGTATACCGTGCCAAACGCCGGAATCTTGATGGATATTCTTCATCATCGAGTGAGGATATCAGTGAAGGCTTCGAGATGACCGCTTCTCGTAACAGGGACCGGCTTAATACGGCCACGTCGACCGCATCGCACCAGCCGTACGATACTACTTATTATTCGCCGGGCCGATCAGCGAGTCCGGGGAATGTTGAGACCGGAGTGGCATCACGACATCTTGCGGGAGAAGTCTAAAATTGCATTTTGACTAAGTTGGGTAGATTGTAGCATTTAATAGCATTGCGATTTGGATAAACTCCGGTTGACCCCGGTGATTTCTATAGTATGTTTTTATCCTGACGTAAATACAAACAATGTAATACTTTGTATAGTACTTTACTGGGTGACCGCCTACTTTGATAAGTAAAGTCTCTACTATGTATACTATGTAGCATATTAATGGCCATTTATTGGCTTTAAAAAGTACGGCACTATATCATGATCTCTGTATGACAGTAAAATAAAAATCGTACTATGGAGTTCACCGGGGTCAAACATAGTAGAGTGGTATTCGAAACATTCCTTCTGATCCTTAATGAAGATAAATAAAGCATGCAAAATAAACAAAGTCGATTGGCTGCATCCAGCGGGAGTAGATAAACCGGCGGACAGTTGCGATTGGCTGGCTGGTTGGTGACTGACAGGGTCTAGATGTCTCGTCACTGGCAAGGCTGGCTCTCTGACATCTTCAATCAAAAGCAAAAAAATAAATTAAAAAAGCATCACTAAACAAGCGTCATTAGTAACTAACCATCAAACTAATCAATCAGCTACAGGCTGACGTGCATGGCTGGGCTATTTGTACTACAAGTAAAATGAATCCCCCGCCATCGAATTATTCGTATAGCTTTCCTCCCCAGCCTCCCTCCAAACAATGAAAAACTTCCGACCGTTCTTTCTGTTAAATACGAATGCACGGTCTCGTCATTTCTTGCATTCTTTTCTTTTTGGAAAATATTTCCTACATGAGCTGCTGATCTGATCTTGCGAATCTGACATTCTCAGTTGATTCTCGAATAATCTAAAATTGTTGTTGACAGGCGGGGCCTCGAGTCTTATCGGGCCGTTGTCACTGGTTACTCTGCCGTTACTCTTTTGGGCGACCATACATTTTGATCGCATCGCATCGCATCACAACCAAGATCAAGTGGTCAGTTGGTAGGGAAAAGAAGTCAAGATGATCGCAGAAGTACTATTCATCTTCTGGCGCCTGACGGAAATCGTCTTTTTGATTCCGATCATTGGCATGCTAGTAAGTTGACTCTCTGATCGCAAACCATATTCCAAGGTTAATAACAATTCAGGCATACTTTGTCAATGGCTTCATCAACGCAAACCAACTCACCCCAGCCTACATTCTCGTCCTCTTCATCGTCAGCACAATCGCCGTCTTCTGGTGCATCGACACTATCCTCCGCTTCGGTAGCACGCGTCGCTCAGCCATCTTCGTTGCATTCCTCGATCTGTGCTTCTTCGGCGCCCTGATCGCTGGCGTCTATCAACTGCGCTTCATCGCTGGCGCTTCCTGCACAAACTGGAGCAACAGTACGTCCTCCGTGTCGCTCGGTCCGTTCGGATCGATTGTGTATACGGGCGAAACACCAAACTTCAACAAGACCTGTTCCATGCTCAAGGCTTCCTTTGCCATGGGTATTATGGAGGTAGTCTTTTTCTTCATCACGGCGTTCTTTGCGCTGTTGATTCATAATCATCATCGTGATACGGTGGTGAAGGAGACGGTGGTACGGCGTCGCAGTCATAGTAGTCGTCGCGGTCATCATCGCAGTCGCAGTGGCTCATCCAGTCGACGACATTATGTTGTATGATCTCATGATTTGAAAATCAATGAAAAACGAAAATACAGAAATTGGAAAAAAATGTGAAAAATGAAATAATGAGGGAAAGGGAGGAAAATGGTCGCTGCTGGACTTGCTTCTGTCTGTCTGTCTGTATTGTATTGTATTTCTTGATGATGCCTGATGATTCTCTGTGAATATTGAATGTCCTGTATTTAGACGATCCAACGAATGATTGATGACAATTCAATTGACTCTTCATGCGTAGAACGTGTAACAAGCTGTCTGTAGACGAACGGCGACATCCGCCATCAAGCTTGGACGCCGGGCATTTGGGCGATCAGAGCGGCGACTTGCGATAAGGATTGCCAAATGCCGACAGACAAATTGGCCAGCTCACAATACTTCGAACCATTGCTACTCCATTGGATTCGGCATAATTTTACACAGTTGAGAATAATCGCGACAGCGGACAGTCATAATGTGGATATTCTAGAAGGACAGCTCGTGCCTGTTACTAATTCATCGGCCACCTCCGCTGTTCACGTAAGACGAACCAGACTTTGATTATTCAGATTGCTTCACATCTATTTCTTGAATACATCCTACTCGAAAATGGACACTTGACTATTCTAACATTGCAATACTCTTCATGATTCCTAGCACACGACACTTGTTGTTGTATTCGTCCATCAATGACGCTTATCACATCCAAGCCTTGGTCTCGCAGGAACTGCAATTCCATATCGCCACTCATCCTTAAATGAATACCAACTTCACCATGGCGGATCAAGCCCTCGAGATACCCCAGGAATTCTATCCTGAATCTATAGACGAAATACGGGACTGTGAATATCCCACTTTACGAGGTTGGACTCTTCTACTCAGCTCTAGCTCCATGATACTGATCCGATAATCTAGAGATCACATATCTCGACCATGCTGGTACAACTTTATACGCCAAATCTCTAATCGAGAAATACTCCCATGATCTGACGAGTAATCTCTTTGGAAACCCGCATTCAGCATCCGCATCTTCGCAACTCACGTCTAATCGTGTCGAAGATATCAGACTAAAAGCTCTGCGCTTCTTCAACGCAGATCCAGATGTATATGATCTGGTATTTGTACCTAATGCGACGGCGGGGATCAAGCTAGTGGCAGAGGCTCTGCGAGATTTCCGTCCTTCGCCTGATGGTCTGCGCGGATTTGAGTATGCGTATCATGTTGAGTCGCATACCAGTTTGGTTGGAGTGCGGGCATTGGCCGAATTGGGCAGTCGCTGCTTTTCGACCGAAGATGAGGTTCGGCAATGGGTTAGTGGCCTCGATGATGAGGATGATAATGCAAGACTATTTGCGTATCCTGCACAATCGAATATGAATGGTCGACGCTTTCCTTTGAATTGGTGCAACCAAATTCGACAAGCCGGACGACGAAATAATTTTACTCTGCTAGATACCGCAGGTCTAGTCTCCACATCACCGTTAGATCTAAGTGATCCTGAACTCTGTCCCGACTTTGTCGTTCTCAGCTTTTACAAAGTCTTTGGCTTCCCGGATCTAGGTGCTTTGATTGTCCGAAAAGAGTCTGGGCATGTCTTCAACCATCGAAAGTATTTTGGAGGTGGCACCGTGGAAATGGTGACAGTTGGAAATCAATGGTATGCCAGGAAACAGTCGTCTATACATGATCAGCTCGAGGATGGTACTCTTCCATTTCATAATATCATTGCACTTCAGTCGGCGTTTCAGGTACACGAACGCTTGTACGGATCAATGGCCAATATCTCAAACCACACTGCTTCCCTAGCAAAGCAACTGTTTGATCGACTCTCTTCAGTCAAACATGCAAACGGCAAACCCGTCTGCCATTTCTACGTATCTCCAGACTGTTCATACGACGACCGAAACACCCAAGGTCCGATCATTGCATTAAATCTACTCGATAGTAACGGTGACTGGATTGGCAAGTCTGAAATCGAGAAATTGGCTTCCGTCAAGTCTATACACATACGATCCGGCACGCTCTGCAATCCCGGCGGCACAGCGAGCTTGCTAGGGCTGAGCAACGATGAAATGGAAGCAAATTACAAGGCCGGTCAGAGATGCGGAGACGAGAATGATGTCATGCAGGGCAAGCCAACCGGTGCATTACGATTGAGTGTCGGCCCGATGACAAGTTCGAGGGATATTGATCGATTCGTCTCGTTTATCACGGAGTTCTATGCGGAACAAACACTTTTACCCACATTTTCGGATGTGCAACTTCTAGCTGGAACAGAAGCAGATAGGTACTACGTTGAAAGTCTATGTGTATATCCCATCAAGAGTTGCTCTGGATTTACAGTACCGCCAGGAGTGGCGTGGAAAGTGCGTCCGGAAGGGCTCGCATGGGATCGTGAATGGTGTATCGTACATCAAGGCACGGGTGCTGCTTTGAGTCAGAAGAGGTATCCCCGTATGGCCTTGATCAAACCTATATTGGATTTTGCAAAGGGCCTTCTTTGCATCACTGGTGATTTTTTGACTGGTGGACGCCAACTTGATATTCCACTGAACAGAGACGATCCACGTCTTATCACTACCGAGATGACGAGAAGCTGTCAGAATTCTGCTTCTGTCCGAAAACCGTCTTTAGTCTGTGGCGATCGAGTCGTCATTCAGGTCTATACATCTACAGAAATCTCAGCTTTCTTCTCTGAGTTACTCGGCGTTCCATGCACTTTGGCTCGATTCCCTCCTAGGAGCTATGCGCGCCACTCCAAGAACCCTTATCGTTACCAACACAGTCTATCCAAGAGACGAAATGAGATGCCGGGCGCATTCCCGCTCGACACTAGCCATATGAACGGTAGTAACAACATTCCAGGAAGAAAAGCGAGCGGCACATCAAATCCGATCCTCCTTTCGAATGAAAGTCCTGTCCTACTGATCTCACGATCATCCGTGAACAGGTTGAACGAACAAATTAAAGAAAATTCGGGCATCTCCGAAACTATTCTTCATCTCGGCAGTAATGCCACCAACACAAAGACAGTAGCAGCGAATGTCTTTCGTGCAAACATAATTATCGCCGAAAACCTTCCTGCTCATCTTCGTCCTCAACACTCATCACTCCCTACGTCATCAACATCATCGCCCTTTGAACAACCATACATCGAAGATACATGGTCTTCGATTACCATTGGGCAGAAAAATCTACAGTTTGATGTCCTCGGCGCTTGTTCACGCTGTCAGATGGTATGCGTTGATCAACTGACGGCCGAAAAACGTGAGGAACCGTTGTCGACTTTAGCGAAGACTCGACGAGTAGGTGGGAAGGTGATTTTTGGGAGACACTTAGGGCTATCCGCATCCAACGATGATCTTGACCATGGTGAACATGATCAGGATGATGATAATACCGAAGACTCGCAAAGAATGATTATGGTTGGGGATACGGTCGTGCCATCTTACTATGAACAAGGATAGCGGTTGATTTTCCAGTTATACAGAATATAATACAATGTGAAGAAGAATCTAGTCAAAACACATAGTTCCGTTGTCTTCCTCTTGAGAGAATTCGCCAAATATGATGCAAATAAATGAGTAAGCAAAGAGCCATCAAATAACTCACGCCGATCGTCTGGGCCACTTCTTCCATCCTCGTCCGTGACCTCTCTGTTAATAAAAGTATTAGCATCTTCAAAAAGTACTTCCGTAAACGAGAATGGAACGCAAAAACTGACCTGCTTCCATTGCCGAATCAACTCCGGCATCTCCATCATAGCCTTCTTCCTCTCCTCCAATCTCGTCTCCATCGTCCTCTCCCACTTATGACCCTTAACCTTCTGCCCAATMCCCGTMCCCTTAATCGCCAAACCGCGTTCCGCGAGCCTCGTCTCCTTGAAAACAGTGGATTTCCGGGATGTCGGCAGTAGTTGCTCAACACCGTATTTCTTAGCCATTTTGATGAGATCGGCTTGTTGCCTCAGCCCGTATTTGGGGGRACGCCATTTTTTGCCGTTGGGGGATGGTTGGGGGAGGAAGGGATTTGGGTGTTCGGGGTCGTTGTAGAGAATAGCTTTGGAGGCGGACCAAGCGGTTGGGTTGCGTTTGTTGCCTTTTGCGTCGCGGTTGGGGGTATATGGTGTGGGCAGATCTTCGGGTGATAAAGAGGAGAGATCGAATTCTTCTGATGTGTTTGAGGCGGTTGGGTTCTGGCTATTTGAGACTGCGTCGGCAGGGGCCACGAGACGGGATGCGGGTGCCACGGCGGCAGAGTAGTGCTGTGGAGGATATTTGGCGAAGAAGTTGCGTAGGCGTAGAGGGAGGAAGGAGAGGCTAGGGTCTGCTGGTGCGGTGGTGGCGGCTCTTTCAGCGACGACTTGGGTGAGGTTCTCTGTCGGGGTAGCCATTGTGGTCATGGTCCTCCTGGTCATGTTTCGGACCAGGCGTGAGGCCATTGTCGTGGCCATTGTGCCGTATACTCTCTGTTCAGGAACCAAATAGTTGACTCGGGTGGTGGCGACTGAGAAGAACAGCAATTGGGCGTAGCACCAGTGTCGAACGTCGCGATAATCGCAGTTGCGGAGAACCAAAAATAATTGCTCGATGAATTTGTTGTTCCGACACAGTCTTGGCGCATGCCTCAGGCCACGAATTAACACTTGCACTAAGCCACCTCTAGTTTAGGTCGATGTGGCTGGCAGACTCGGAAGGAACGACTCTTCGGTCTCTTTCACGTCCCGCATTCGCCGAACTCTTCCATCTCCAGCAAGTTACAACTACCACTGTCACGCTTACAGCTTACATCCTTTATCGCCAGCAACTTCTCACAGCTACTGAACCAATAACTCATTTGTTGACAGCTTTCCTGCTTTGAGGAGTCCTACAATGGCCGACTACTCTTTCGGTGGCTCAGAGGAAGAGAACGCCGAGCTCAGGAAACTCGAGGCTGAGCTGGTGAGCACCTCTTCTCTGACTTGGGTCCACCAATGTAGCATATTCTGACTCTCATCTTTTTAACAGGTCGAAGACCCAGATAACTTCGAAACATGGGAAAAACTAGTGCGCGGCGCAGAATCTCTGGAAGGCGGTATTAATCGAAACTCCAATCCGCAAGCAATTACCACCGTTCGAAATGGGTACGACCGGTTCCTCGCCAAGTTTCCTCTGCTGTTCGGATACTGGAAGAAATATGCCGATCTTGAATTTTCAATTGCTGGGACAGAAGCTGCAGAGATGGTGAGTTTGTTCGTCTTATCGTCTTGCGTCCAAACTAATGATCCTATAGGTCTACGAACGTGGTGTCGCAAGCATTCCTACCTCGGTCGACCTATGGACAAACTACTGCGCATTCAAAGTTGAAACGAACCATGACTCTGATGTCATTCGAGAGTAAGTATAGATAGATTGGAATTGTTTCCCCTTCCCTTGACACATTACAATGCAGTACGGTTTTTCCCGTCGAAGACTCGGGCTCTTCCATTTCACCTGCGATTACATTTGAAGAAGAAGAAACTTGGAATGGTTCTTGATGAGAAACATGGGTGAGATCGTTCGCCTGCAACCAGGTCCTGAAGTATTCTTCTCACCCATAAATTCTTTCAGGCAACTCTCTTTTTTCCCATAAGGAGGATCTCATTCAAAACAGAGCGTCCAACCACAGTTATTCTACCATATCACCTACTTGCCCTTTATGCTCTCGAGGCTCGTTCAGTACTTGAACGATGGAGATATGAAAATGTTCTTTTGCTCCGCGCATCATCGCATTTGCAACATAACAAACTCTTCATGTTTGACATCCTCATTCTCCCTTGCATCTCCTCTTGATTCCTCACTGCTTCTGAGTTTCAAGGCTAACAAATGTGATAACAGATTGTTTGAAAGAGGCGCAAACTGCGTAGGCTTGGACTTCCTTGCCCATCCCTTCTGGGACAAATATATCGAATTCGAGGAACGGCTTGAGGCTTTTGATAAGATTTTTGCCATTTTGGGACGTGTAATTCACATTCCTATGCATCAGTATGCTCGTTACTTTGAGCGGTATCGACAACTCGCCCAGGGTCGGCCCTTGAACGAACTGGCACCTCCAGAAATCTTGACACAGTATCGCTCAGAAATTGAGGCTGCAGGTGACCAGCCTGCTCCCGGTGCCAAGTCTGACGCTGAGATTGAGCGAGACCTTCGTTTGCGCCTAGATACCTACCATCTAGAAGTCTTCTCCAAGACTCAGACTGAAACCACAAAGCGCTGGACTTATGAATCCGAGATTAAACGCCCCTACTTCCATGTGACCGAGTTAGATGAAGGCCAGTTAGCCAACTGGAAGCGCTACCTAGATTTTGAGGAAGCAGAGGGTTCTTATGCTCGTACTGTCTTCTTATACGAACGATGCCTAGTCACATGTGCTCACTACGATGAGTTCTGGCTACGTTATGCCAGGTGGATGTCAGCTCAAGCGGAAAAGGAAGAGGAAGTGCGAAATATCTACCAGAGAGCAAGCACCGTATTCGTGCCAATTGCCTACCCCACAGTGCGCTTGCACTATGCTTACTTTGAGGAAATGAGCGAGCATGTTGATATCGCCAGAGATATCCATGACGCAATCCTCTTCACACTCCCAAATCATGTCGAGACCATTGTTTCCCTGGCAAATTTATCTCGCCGTCACGGCAAGCTTGAGGACGCTATTGATGTGTATAAGAGCCGAATTGAGACCCCTGGTTTCGATGCGGCTACCAAGGCTGCTCTCGTAGCCGAGTGGGCCATATTAGTCTGGAGAGTTAAAGGCTCGTCTGACGAAGCTCGACAAGTATTCCAGAACTATCAACAGATCTGCTTGGATAGCCGTGCATTCTGGACGCGGTACCTGCTGTTCGAACTAGAACAACCGACCTCTTCAGACACCGAGACTGTCCAGCATGAACGTATAAAGAAGGTGGTCGACGACCTTCGACACAAGAGTMCCCTCCCCGCCGAGGCAGTCAAGGAGCTTGTGCAACACTATATGGTATTTCTACTTGAACGTGGAACCAAGGCCGCCGCCAAAGAGTATATCACATTGGATCGTGAAGTTCACGGGCCCGCTTCAGTCTCACCTACAAACAAGAGACAGGAAGCCGCTAAAGTTGTGCCACCTGCTCCTCAGCCTGTTCCCACACCGGACCCTGCCGCTTACGCCTATTACCAGCAGCAGCAAGGACAAATACCAGTGCCTAATGGAGGTGTTAGTCTACTTCCTCTTGACAATCTTGAACCCACAAACTGACTCAGTTATAGGTCCCAGTTCAACCATCTCAGTACTAATGCCGCTTTAAAACCTTGACATCATTTGATCAGATTGTCTCATCAGATGCCTCTTTTCTTCGTATGTAGAACATTGCACTATGATTGATACCATGGATTACTCGCTATGATCACTAAGAGGCCACGGGAAGTATCAATTTTTCACTTTTATAATCTAATGGCGTATTAATTGGTTGAAGGGCATGATTCGTCTTACAGGGATGGATTACGAAGCTTGTATGCATGAATTAAATTCTTTGAATGACTTTTGCAGAAGTAAATTAAGGACTTTGTGTAGATCACAATTTATTTTATTTATATTGCTACAAACCTTTCAGCTGGCCAGGCACCTGGTGGATCAATCTGTCAGTGCATCTACCTAGTATCTCTAGCATGTCTCAACATTTGAAACCTACATGTATCGACCTTGCCAATTGACAACTGAACCAAATATCTGGGTCCACGATTCAATATGATAGTCTACTAATTGACATGATAACAAGAGAGACTTCTCAAAAAAAAAAAATTCATTGAGACTGTCAAAATGCTTCTTAATCATCTCAACGCCAAATGCCAAAATCCTCAAGACATCCAACTGATTTAACTGGAACATTCACTAGGGCATCAGTCACTACCCAACAGACCTCCCTCAGGAAGGTTAGGCATAATCTCCGCATTTCCTTGAATGTACTGCAACTTAAGATGCCATCCATTCAACCTCCACTTTCCATCGTCGTTCAAGATCGCCCGGAAATCATGAATAGCACCAGACATGAAATACTTTCCCACAGGATCCAGACCCGTAGTAGGAGGAGCATGAGGCACCAAGGACATGGCAGTAATCTGAGCCGACTTTCCGTCTTCGGCAAAGTTCACGCGGATACCGGTGACCAAATGGAATGTGTCCATAGGCGCGATGAGATCGTAGCATTTCTCCTTAAGTTCTTTGTAGCCTTTCATGGGGATACCGGCGATACTGGCCTCGATTTCATCACGGCCAACGTTGGTCCAGCAGGAGTCATAGAGGTCGCGGTCGAAAATATCGAAGGACAGACCCAGACGGGTGGGCAGATCAGCACAGGCCTCGCGCGGGGTGAGGCCGGTGAGGTATGGGTTTTGCTTGATTTCAGGAGGTGTGTACGGCATTTTGAGCTTTGTGAGTTGATATGTTCTGGGGTAAGAGGAAGTTGATATGAGGCCGTATAAATCGTGATTCGTGAAGTTGGTAAATCGCGGCCACCAAACACCAGAAATTCCAGGGTATATCTACATTTTGAAAAATTTATTCTTCGCTTTAATACTACCCAAACAGAAAATAAGCAATGCATTAAGCTCTTCTATCTTGGTGTATTCAGCTCCGTCCTCCGCAGGTGCGGTCCGACGAAGCCCGGCGCTAAAGACATGGGCAGCAAGTGATAAATTATACGAGGGTCATTCAGACTCAGTAACTAATGTATCTTGGTATTTGCGGTTTGCAGCGGTGATGTTAGCGTCAAATTAGAGGTGTCAGAGTGTCGGACCGTATGCATCTAAAATACGACTGGGGTTGTCCTGGGCAGTTCGGCACCCGTGCTGGGTTCAGGGCCATGTCGGGAAACCCTAATTAATGACTCTGTACATGGGGTAGCTTTCAGATTCACGAGGCGTTCAGAGATTTGATGTAAGGATTGCTGTCAGCAAGTCTCTAAACAAGCATGAAGACTTGATACCCCTCTTTTCGGTCTTTCCTGTCATATATGAGATTCGCACCTGTGGTAGGCCGATATAAGCAGGTCGTTCGGTAGTATGAACTTTCACTGGATCGTGTTCTCTATACTTCAAAATCATTCTAGAAATAGATCAAAATTGATACCAACCGCTATGATCCTTGCAATAAACGACCCAAGTATTATTTTCCACCCAGAAAATTGGCTCAGCCGTTATAGCGTCCTCCGTTTTTACGATCGTAGCCACGTGCATACACTGCATAGTACACAGTGAAATCTATACTAATCCCTACAATATGCATATATCAGAAATGCTAGTTTCGCTAGATAAGGGCGTAGGGTCTATTCTTGACTACATGATAGGCTCGTTCGAGTGTTTTACCCTGCTGTACTTCATACATATGCACTATCAAACGGCCTTTGGGAGATGGTACGTATCTACGTGCATGATTAGTACGTACCAACGCGAGGGAGGATACTATCGTGCTGCTTAAGTACATGCTTGTTGTTCCATTGCTCCAGCAAAGCACAAGACTAGTGCTAAGGTTCTGCTTGGAACGCGAATTGGTATTCGTTCCAAGCCGAGTATACAGCAAGGGAAGGAGTAATGTCTTGTTCCATTATGATATGAGTCATTTCTGTGACTTTAAAACTTGGCCAAGTACTAAGTTCGGGTCACAGGTGAACGGAGGAATCTGTACGCATGATACGAGGAATAGTTTGTCGGTTCCTACTATGAAGAATAGATTGCTAGACTTGCGGGTAGCTTCAATGTTAGCGGCCCCTTTGCATATCCTTACGACTTCTATAGTAGTTACATATGGAGGTTTATGCAATTGAGCATTTGGTCGATTGTTATAAGTTTATACTCAACATTAAAGTGCTCATTACCTACAGCCACCACATTCTAGCGCAAATCTCGTAGGAAACAATGATCTGTTCAGTACCTAGGTAAATTTAAGGCTAAGAAAATGCTAGATTGACGCCGAAGAAACTCTCCCTCTATGCAATATCCAAATTTTGCAAAATTATGGTGATTTATGAGACCTAAGGTTTACATCTCCAGTTGGGGTTCCACAATGTATACGGTAATGGCGGCACCGGGGTCACTGGTTTCTGGTAGGTCTTGCCCGAACATATGATTATMCCTGCCACTGGAAGGCATAGAAATCCGGCATTACGCATTAACAGCTCAGGAACCATCCGAAAAATTGCTCCTGTAAAGCATATGTTACCTTAGAGTCCAGTAGAACTTGCCTCCAAATGTTGAGTCGAGCAGTGAGGATTTAGGGCTTTGGCGGAACCGTCAGGAGTAGACGTACTATGAGTAGATGTGAAGGCGGTGGCCAGTCGGGAAGCTTAACCATAAACAGAATAGCGTACATGCTGCATGCTTGCCATTGCTTGGTGACGGAGATACAAATTTCTAGATTGGCAACGACAGCTTCGAACTGTTTCTCTTTCAATTTATTTCCACGACAAACACTCTCTCTAAGCAGGCGTCACGCATATAGGAAAATATGACCGACACGGTCATGAACGGCACTCATGATCCCTTGGAGCGCCCTCCAACGCCTCCTCCCGGTCCGCCAGCAGATATAGCTCCTCCGCCACCACCGTTGGAGATGATGGAGGATGCTCCTCCTCCGCCCGCCGACATAAAACCTCCACCACCACCACCAGAAGAGGGTTTACCGCCGCCTCCTCCTCCAGTGGACAGTCTCGCGCCGCCTGCGCCACCTGTGGTCAAGAAAAAGAAAACTGGTTGGGGTGCTTCTGCTGCCGCCAAACCGCTCAGTGTTGAAGAGCTTTTGCGAAAGAAGAGGGAGGCAGATGCGGCAGCGTCGAAGGTTAGTCTTCTCACAGTGCTTCACTTCCCATGTTTCGAGTCGCTAACAATTCCATGACTTTTTGCAGCCAAAGTTTCTTTCAAAAGCTGAACGTGAACGACTCGCATTAGAAAAACGCGCCAAAGAAGTCGAAGCCGAGCGACGAGCAAAGATCGAACAAGGTCGAGCTGCAAATGGCGCAGGACAGAATGGTACAACACCAGAGGACAGAAATGGTGATAGAACAAATGGCGATTCGAGATCAGCTCCTGTGCCTACCGGCCCACGCTCATCACGCAACGATGGAGAAATMCCCCGAGGMCCTGCCGCTATGCGCAATCAACAACCAAACAAGGACTACGACTTGACGCCACCAGCTCCCCCGAAGCGTATTGCATTCGGCAAAGGCGATTCGAAAGGAGGCGACAAGCGTGTTTCGGAGGCGGAAGCTGAAGCGGAGCTGGTTCGACAGCGATATATGGGTGCGAACCAGACGTCTAATTTCTCCGCGAAGAAGAAAAGGAAGCGCACTACGGAGAGGAAATTTAACTTTGAATGGAACGCCGAAGAAGACACAAGCAAGGACTACAACCCGTTATACCAGAATAAAGCTCATGCGAATTTCTTCGGACGAGGTCGACTTGCTGGATTCGGCGAAGATATGGCAGATGATGCTACGAAGAAGTACGTTCAAGCTTTGGAAGACCGTGATCGTGAAGCGGGCTCTTCCCGGGCCAGGGAAATCCTAGAAATGGAAAGGAGACGAAAGGAAGAAAGCAGTAGGACTGCAATTGAGAAACACTGGAGCGAGAAGAGATTGGATCAAATGCGCGAGCGAGACTGGCGTATTTTCAAAGAAGATTTTAATATCAGCACCAAGGGTGGCAGTGTCCCGAATCCGATGCGCTCGTGGGAGGAATCTGGATTACCACATCGACTACTTGACCTTATTAAACAAGTTGGATATGCCGACCCGACGCCGATTCAGAGAGCGGCTATTCCTATTGCTTTACAATCTCGAGATCTTATCGGTGTGGCCGTGACGGGTTCCGGTAAAACAGCGTCATTTTTGCTTCCTTTGTTGGTCTATATTTCCGAGTTGCCTCGACTCGATGAGTTCGAATGGCGAAAGAACGATGGTCCATATGCTATTATTCTCGCACCCACTCGAGAGTTGGCGCAGCAGATCGAAATCGAAGCCAAGAAGTTTTCAAGGCCTCTCAATTTCAACGTTGTCAGTATCGTCGGTGGTCACTCTTTGGAGGAACAGGCATATAGTTTACGAGACGGTGCGGAGATTGTTATTGCCACTCCTGGACGTCTCGTTGACTGCTTGGAACGACGAATGCTAGTTTTGTCACAGTGTTGTTATGTGATTATGGACGAAGCAGACCGAATGATCGACCTTGGTTTTGAAGAACCAGTCAACAAGATCCTTGATGCACTACCTGTAACGAATGAGAAACCAGATACCGAGGAAGCAGAAAACGCACAGGCAATGAGCCAACACGTCGGCGGACGAGACAGGCGGTACCGACAGACCATGATGTATACAGCTACTATGCCGTCAGCTGTTGAGCGAATAGCCCGGAAATATCTACGACGACCGGCCATCGTCACGATCGGTAATATCGGTCAAGCCGTCGACACCGTTGAGCAGCGCGTCGAGTTCGTTGCAGGCGAAGACAAGAGGAAGAAGCGTCTTGCCGACATCCTCATGTCAGGGCAATTCAAACCTCCCATTATCGTTTTCGTCAATATCAAGCGAAATTGTGACGCTGTTGCGAAGGATATTAAACAAATGGGCTTTTCATCTGTTACGTTGCACGGTAGCAAAACGCAGGAACAGCGTGAGGCGGCGCTGGCCTCGGTGCGGAACGGTAGTACTGACGTCCTGGTTGCTACGGATTTGGCTGGTCGTGGTATCGATGTGCCTGATGTCAGCTTAGTGGTGAACTTTAACATGGCGACCAATATTGAGAGCTACACGCATCGTATTGGTCGTACGGGTCGTGCTGGAAAGAGTGGTGTTGCCATAACGTTCTTGGGCAACGAAGACACCGACGTGATGTACGTTCTTCCCTTCTATTTCATCTTCATAAAGACTCTACTGACTTTATATCTGCAGGTACGACCTCAAACAAATGTTAATGAAATCATCTATATCTCGAGTCCCCGAGGAACTCCGCAAGCACGAAGCGGCACAATCCAAACCTACCCGTGGCGGAGGATTCACGAAACAGAAAGCAGACGAAGGCGGTTTTGGCGGAAAGGGTGGTGGATGGTAGATGACCTGTATATTTACATATCACTTCGTAGTACGGTCTGCATGGAATAGTACTACGTACTTGAATAATCGCGCTTCCTGACTCTCAGTAACGCTTATTATCGGGACTACTACGCAGTATATGTCTGCGCGGAATATTGACGGAAACATTCCGATTTCCGATAAGGCGTCAAGGCATCAAGGCACCAAGGCATCGAGGCACCATCGGGATCTTGGCGCGGCTAACTGAGTTGCGCCATGGATCACGATGAAGCGTAATTTGTAAGCTCTTTTGGCCCAGACAACCGATTACCATACATCAAATTGTGCCATTGAATAATCAATCACACACCAAAAAAATGCCGTTTTCTGGTAATCAGTCATTGGAAAATATTTCTAGACGTCGCCCCCAAGATATAAATGTTCCTCGGTGGTGCTACTTAATCACTGGCTGCTGATTGGTTGCGGAACACTCCGAGGTGGGCGGGGCTGTGATTGGCTGGCTGTTCCATCTCTCATACTGTGCTGTCAGTGTGCTCTGCATATACTGTAGGGAGATGTGAGTAGGGGAACGTGATGTAAGGGCAATTGGAAAGAACTTTGAGAGTCTTGATGTCTATGTAACTATGTACGTCAAACTATATACGTAGTAGTGTGTATATACTATGTAGAGAGTCCGATAAGACCCGGTGGGGAAGAGCTGACAGAGACGCCGCGGTCCAGAAGCTCCCAATCACAGCGCTCCAATTGGTCATTCCTCCCCGACTGCCTCAGGTTCGATTCGGTTCTGCCCTCCGTGTCCGATGGTACTTTCCCGTCGGGGCATTATTATTATTGTCTTCTTCTTTCTCTTTCCTTGCCGCTTCTTTCTCTATTCATTTCTTATCTTCACTCATTTATCCTTAGTCTGTTCGCGTCAGTACACGAAGTGCGATACTCACAATGGCCTCCGCTGCTAGGACCTTCACCCGGGCCATCGCCCGCTCCAACCTTCGCCCCGTCGCTCGCAGCTCTCGCTTCGCCGTCCCTGCTCAGACCCTCCGCTCTGCCGGTCGCCGTGGCTACTCTTCCGAAGCCAATGCTAGCAAGTCCAACAGCGGTCTGTTCTGGGGTATCGGTGGTCTCGTTGCCGGTGGTGCTGCATACTACTTTTACAGCAGCGGCGACGTGAAGGCCAAGGTTACCGGTCCTTTCGTTCCTACCCAGGAAGATTACCAGAAGGTTTATAACGAGATTGCTCGTCTTTTGGTTGAGAAGGATGACTACGATGATGGCAGCTACGGCCCTGTAAGTCCCCACCCTACCTTGCATAGGTGTTATGTGGACTGAGCCCGTACTAACTGCTGCTTTTCAGGTCCTCGTTCGATTGGCCTGGCACGCTAGCGGTACCTACGACAAGGAGACTGGCACTGGTGGCAGCAACGGAGCTACCATGCGATTCGCCCCTGAGTCTGACCACGGTGCCAATGCTGGTTTGAAGATCGCCCGTGACTTCCTCGAGCCCGTTCACGGTGAGTTTGTTGCTCATGCGCGATTGTAATGAAAGTCAATGCTGACGATGTGACAGAGAAATTCCCTTGGATCAGCTACGGTGATCTATGGACCCTTGCTGGTGTCTGCGCCATTCAGGAAATGCAGGGACCTGTCATCCCCTGGAGACCCGGCCGCCAGGACCGGGACGTTGCCGCCTGCACTCCTGATGGACGTCTCCCCGATGCCTCCAAGGGCCAGGACCACATCCGCGCTATCTTCGGCCGCATGGGCTTCGATGACCGCGAAATGGTCGCTCTTTCCGGCGCTCACTCTCTCGGCCGTGCTCACACCGACCGCTCCGGTTACGACGGTCCTTGGGACTTCAGCCCTACCGTTTTCACCAACGAGTTCTTCCGTCTCTTGGTTGATGAGAAGTGGGCTTGGAAGAAGTGGAACGGCCCCGCTCAGTATACTGACAGCAAGACCAAGACCTTGATGATGTTGCCCACCGACTTGGCTCTTATTAAGGACAAGGAATTCAAGAAGCACGTTGACCGCTATGCCAAGGACAGCGAGGTCTTCTTCAACGAATTCTCGGAGGCCTTTGTCAAGCTTTTGGAGCTCGGTGTCCCCTTCAAGTCTGAGGACCGCTATGTCTTCAAGACCAGCGAGTAAGGGATTGACGCCCGTTACTTGATTTTATATTTTCCATCATCTTCTCCCGAATTGATTTGTCTAGATATCCCATGTAACTTTTTTACAGTTCGGCCGAGAGCGTTTTTTACTGATACACATACACATACACATACAAAGACAATTAGATTAGAGATTGCTAGAGTGTGGCTACTTGCTGATAGTTTTGGACTATTGGCAAGCTTTTGGATTTATGTGAGACAATGTCTGAATAAAATACTTTTATAGAAAAGATTGCTTCCAACTTTCAAGAAAAATAAGCTGTTAGTAAATTGCATTTGCATCTGATAAGATAGACCGCACTCGGTGGATCCGCAACTCTTTCCCCGCGGACAAAAATTATTCTCGAGATACAACCACTACAAAGTATTGGCAGTTCAACACCCGGACACATACCATGGTATTACTCAGAAAAACACATTTATAGCTACTGCGCGTAGTTATCTGTCTCTATCACACCTGTTAACAGGGGTTGCTATCAGCCAAACAACCATGCCATCCTCAGATCCTCCAACTGCAGCTACTGACAAAGACTACTACGAAATCCTCAACATCCCTTCATCCTCAGCCGGGAATCTGCCAATAATCAGCAAACAGCAACTCAAAAACGCATACCACAAAGCCCTCTTGAAACATCACCCGGACAAATCTTCTCCTTCTCCAACCCCCGCTCCGGGAGCACGAGACAGTAATGCATACACAATCGACGATATCACGAATGCCTACAAGGTCCTCTCCGACCCCGAGCTAAGAGCTGAATATGATCGTGACCTAACTTTACAGCGCAAATCTTTCAACAAAGCGGCGGGGAAGTCTGATGATGTCTCGTTTCATACGGGTCTTGAGGTTGTGGATCTGGAGGATATGACAGAGCAAGACGATGAGGCGACTGGCTCGTCAAGTTGGTATCGCGGCTGCCGATGTGGAGATGAAAAGGGTTTTATTGTGACGGAAGACGAGCTGGAAGCTGAGGCGCATCATGGAGAGATTTTGGTTGGGTGTCGGGGATGTAGTTTGTGGATTAAGGTTTTGTTTGCTGTTGAGGAGGATCGGCGGGAAGAAGATAATCTTTCTTCGTGAGACGATTATGCATGCAAGATACATGCTCTAGCGCAAGAAGCGGCATTTTTGATGGAATCTCGGTGCTCTCAGGTGTGAGTTCATATGCGGCTCATACTTTGAGACAAACGCTGGGCTGCACAATTTGGAGAGTTGCAATCTCCGAATGAGCAGTACACTTCAAAATGACTTTTTTCTTGGAGGGAAATGGGTCAACAAATGGGACGAGCTTGGTTCTTTTCTGAATACTGTCTTACTCAGAACGGAAAGAAGCATGTGTCTACAAACCGGGAAGGTACCCAGCGACCATGGTGTCCGGGTTCAACATGGTGCATGACCCTTGTACGACCTGGACTGCAGAATATGTACTTTTCCCAGAGGTCAGTTGACAATGTCATGATCATTACACAAAAAGCCACTTCATACCAACGAAGCATGCTTTGTTATCGACAGATCAGGAGTTTTCGACCTATCGTACTCAAGAATTCTTCACGATATTTTCCTACCACCAAATCGTGTAGAGTGACAGGACCATTCCATTGGCACAGAACGGATGACTGGACCAGACTATATTGCAATCCGCTCAAATACTGAGTCTCATACAATGATCTTTTCACTGTTGCTGGCTGGTCTCCATATTATAGGCCTTGTGTCCGGGGATGATTCTACCAGCTCTGCAGGTAATAATGATGCCACGATCACCTCAATGACTACGGCTGATCCGACATACACCGTACTCGCCCCGACGGATTCTCCCACTCTCGATCTTTTCGGCTCTGTCACAATCATCTGGTCCGCAGAAGGATATAATGTGGGAGGATACTTTTGTCGTCCATCTACTGCAAGCAGTGGCATCTATTTATACACTTCATGGATATCGCCTCAAGCCGGTAAAGTCGCCTCAGAATTCAATTGCAAGCGATTTAAAGATATTCTAGGCTAATTTTGGGGACGTATAGCCGTAACAATCAGCGGTTTAACGACGTACGAGGCGGAATTAGTTGGATCCATCATGTTTGCGTCCAACTACGCAGGATTTCCAGCTACGTGCTATTTTGGTATGGCAACCGATACCAAAGAAGGGCCAGACTCCACGGGAGGGGGAGATCTTTTCGTTGAGTTAACGTCTTTTCCTGGCGGCGAGACAGTGTCCATGCCAACGACGACCATGGATACTCAACAGACCAGTATGATTTCTCCAGTACAAAAGACAGCTTTCATTACGGCAACAAGCACAGTACCTCCCATTTATACAGTACAGCCACTTCCTAGTGAAACAATTCTGCAGCCGATCCCAGAGGCCGGAAAGAATCACGATATTTCAGGGGGTGCAATAGCAGGTATCGTCGTTGGCTCTGTAAGCGGCACCCTCATCCTCGTAGGTTTGGTAATATGGCGGACAACCGTACGGCGGAGGACTTTGACTCTAGATGCAGTGCTCCTAGGGCTCAAGAAAGCAATTGCGCCCATTAAAGCGAGCTTTCGAAAGAAACCGTCTGCTAGTGAACCAAGTAGTTCAAGCATTGAGAGAGGCGATGCGGTACATGAGATGAGCGTGCCTGATCAAACTGTATTCGAGCTGGAGTCTCCTTCGCAGCGATACACTGATGGTCTTCATGAGCTACCTGAAAAATAATTGTTCAAGCGACTTGACTTGTTTGTGTGAACAAATCATCATTGTACCTGATAGTCCTATTTTGTAATGGATAGCATAGTTTCGACCAGTGATACTACGGTTATCATGATGATAGAAGGTCAAAAGTCACTCAAGATAGGCGAAATACCTGTATCTCTGGTACAACTTAACTGCAGATGGTGCAACCTTTATTCCTACCCCGTTTGTTGAGCTTGTCGTACATAACAGCGAAGAACCAATAATGATCAACCAGTGTCACTAAAACCCACTGCAAGCCTGTCACAAATACTTCATGCGTTCTGAGTGTCTTCATCTCTACAGCTGAGCCGTCGAGTGCCCCCTCTTTTCAACACGGCACATATAGTATACTTTACCAGAATAAGCAGCCCTCAATTGACCCTTTCAATTCGAAACTATGAGGCTTTTTGGTGTATTAGCTGGCTTCTGTATGATCCGTCTTGTCCACGGTGATGATAGCAGCACGTCTCCAGACAGCAGCGTAACAACAAGCGCCAATTCCACGGAATACACCGTGTTTGCCCCTTTGCCCCGAAAAACACGCCAACCTTCAACCTAGACGTACAAGTAACATTCAAATGGCATGAAAACGGCGGCAACGGCTGGGGAGGAGTCTACTACGAAGCCCCTGGTTTCAACGACAATGTTTATTTTCCAAACTCATCTGGTGAGTCAATCTGCAGCGCCTAGATATTGACCGCAAGGCTAATACTTGATGGTACCAAGCGAAAACGACGACCGGCACAACGACTTGGTCAATCTCAGGAAGTGGGTTGCCGATCAACAACAATAAAAATTGGCCGCTTACATGCTCTTTTGTCATGTGGTGGGATACTGGTAAATCAGCACGGCCGTTGGGATATTCCTCATCTACGGGAGGAGGAACTTTTGTTTTGGAGGATTTGGTTACCATTACGACCGCCGAGCAGACCACACCGACAAGCTGGGTTATCCAAACCACGACGGTGTTTCCTTCGAAGACTCCGGAGCCTACTCCTTCTTCTAGATCTACATTTCCAGAGCCAGCAGCACCTTCAGTCTCAAGCCATGGTCTCTCAGCAGGGGACAAGGCAGGTATCGCTGTTGGTGCTGTGGCAGGCTCAGCTCTTTTAGCCGGCCTGGTTTACTGGATTACACGCATGCAACGGAAACTCGCTGTTCAGAATGAGCGTTTGTCCTGGATTGAAGATGCGAGTAGTGTTGTCCCTGGTAAACCAGCATTTTCAGTTGGTAGTCCAACACAAGAGACGACTACATCAGTCATAGAGGAGCAGAGCCAAGCACGTCATGAAATGAATACTGCGGATACGATGGTGGAAGTCGGGGAGATGGGCTCTCAGCAGCGAGATGATGGTCCTCATGAAATGCCTGAAAAGTAATCGATGAAGGAATTGTTTGACGGGCTGCGAACTATACTTTCACATCTGTGTCCTACGGATGAGCATGGTGGCACCGTCAATTTCCAATATTTGTATAATCATATATGAATCAGACAAGTATCAAAATGGAAAAAGGTGTGAAGTTGGAGTATTTGTTTGTATGTCTCACTAAACCCGATTAGTCGAGCTTATGTCGTCACTTGATAGGCTAGCGAGCTCTCCCTCCAACAGCTTCTTAGAAATCATCCATTTCTTCATCTTCAACCCCAATAACAAAGCTTTGATGATAACAGTCTCATCATCAAAATGTCACTCGTCCATATATCCTCCAAAGAGCAGTTCAGCTCGCTCTTGACGAGTTCCACCATCGTCGTGACTGACTGTAAGTTTGTTTGTCTTCACCGTCAACACTTACCCCTCCAACCTCCCGTCTATCGTTACTCTTCGCGTCACCTTCTCTTCTAGCGTTTATTGGAAAGTTCTAACATAGTATCGATCCTCTAGTTTACGCAGATTGGTGTGGACCATGTAAAGCCATCGCGCCCATGTACGAGCAGTTGGCCAACCAGCTGTCTCGGAAGAATCAGATTACATTTACCAAAGTCAATGTCGATCAACAACAGGAAGTTGCCCAGGCATACGGAGTTACTGCGTATGACCCCCATCCCCCATCTCTTTCTGATTTACCCATTTCTAACAACTTTTGTAGTATGCCCACCTTCATAATGTTCAAACGCGGCCGTGTCGTAACAACCATCCGAGGCGCCGATCCCAACAAACTCTCAGAAGCAATCCGCAAACTCGCCGCAGAAGCCAACAACATGGAATCATCAGGAGCTGGTGAAGCCAGCGACGCCGCAGCCGGAAGCTCAGGCTCATGGGCCGGTGCCTCTCTACCCCGAAACTACGCCGACGTGACCGAGACCGTGACCATCAAGGACCTGGATATGGCCAACCGTGACAGCGAAAAGGGTGCCGCCAAGGTTGTCTTTGACAAGTCGAAACCATCTGCATTGGATAATAACAAGGGGAAAGGAAAGGAGCCGGATTGGGTTGAGAGTGATACAGATGAGCAGCTCATGCTGTACATTCCATTCAACTCGACGCTGAAAGTACACTCGTTACACATTACATCTCTGCCGCCCAAGGAAAGTGAGGACGGTGATGACGATGAACTGCCAATGCGTCCCAAAACACTTCGATTGTACACCAACAGAGCTACAATTCTTGGCTTCGAGGAGGCAGAAGACATCGACCCCGTTCAGACTGTGAGCATCGCGCCGGAGGACTGGGATAGCAAGACGGGTACCGCCAAGGTGGAGTTGCGATTTGTCAAGTTCCAGAAGGTGAATTCATTGGTTGTTTTCTTTGTGGATGGCGATGGCGATGGAGAAAAGATTCGCATCGATCGGATACGAATCATTGGAGAAGCCGGCCAGGCGAGAGAGATGGGTAAATTGGAGAAGATTGGCGATGAGGCGGGKGAATAGAGAGCAGCTTTTTACGACTACGAGACTAAAATCAAGACAGACACGAACTAAAGACAATAAAAAAAAAATCATATTCAAAACTATCTAACCGAATCATCCGTATAACACATCTGCCAGCAGAAACTGTACAGATGTGTAGTAAAGAAATGTCCGATTCCAAACCAAATGGTCACAGAGCGCAATTAGAAAAAAGATAGACTCATAACCAATAAAGTAAGAATCAGTAAGCAATTATTTTTTTATCTGTGACGCAACTGACACCTTGTAACACAACGGAGGAGATTTTGTCAAGGCAACACGGGTATGTTAATTTGAGAGTTGCGTCGCCGCACGAAGAAAGAAAAGAGAAAAGAGGAGGAAAGAAATTTTTGCTGCGAGGACTTTTATATGCTTGGGTGGAGACTCTAGATAGGCTAGGATGGATATGGATTAGTCCAACCGCCATTCATCTTAGGGTGGGCTTGATAGTATATCCTGACACAATTAGCTTCATAGAAAGTATCTCCACGTGTATATTCCAGAGATGTGGGAGATATTCTCTAACTCTTCCCAGCGGAAAATTGAAACAGGACCATCTTCCTTTCGAATAGTACCACGATGATTGGGTGTCTTATAATTAGTCACCTGAGAGTACAGCAAGTTTTCGGCAAACTTCAGGGTAATGCCGTCGAATCAACGCGGTATGGTGTCGATGGGAAGTATCTCATCTACAACCATCGTATAGCTGCTGGCGTAGATGAGGTTACTGTCAATTAAGATATTGGACTAGAAACTGCACTTTCGGAGAGGAAGTAATTATAGAGATCCCTTAATGACTGTTTACAGTTTGACATGCCACGAAAAGAAAACTAAGTAACTCATGTTAGATATAGATTTACAAGCTCTTGTTGTAGAAACGTCCCTCGTGACGTTTGAAGCCATATAAGTCTCTCCCAAACAGCGCTTCATTTTTGGTAGGGTAAATATCAGCTTTTCATTTACCCTCATATGCCTTCATCAACTATCTGTTGGGAAAGAGGAGCTGTAGTGAAAAGCACAGCAGCCGAAAAGAACCGATGTGAGGCCGAACCAATACAGTATGGGGTAACTCAATGGACGTATCTAGTCACTTGTCCTGGGTAGTCTCCGGAAAGTAATTTATACTCCATGGGACTCTACCGATTCGATTCTGATACGGACAAATAGGCCCGTCTTGAGCGAAGTAATGTTGTATTATCTTGTATTACTCGAGAATTTGATCCTCACGTTGTCTTGGTGTATCGTATATCGTTCAGATTAAAGCAGATGAGAACGAAACTAACTTAAGAGCCCTGTACCTACTTGCAGTCCCTTTGCGGAGACGATTTCTGAGACAATTCAAGTGTATGCATATAATCTAGATTAAGCCTCGAAATAAAAACTCTGAAGTCAACGTTCCATGTCAACTAGGGAGCCTTAATACCAAGCAAGTTCTCGGCATTCTTGTACGCAATAAAATCCAGCTCTTCACTCGTTACCAGACCACTCTTTTCAAGTTCCTCAAACCATTTGAGCCCGGCTTCATTGGTCGTAAACGGGTAATCAACACTATACAAGATGCGCTCAATCTTCGTATTGCTCAGAATGCATCTCATTGGATCCAAACTCCATGCACCGGAGGTGGTAATCCAGATATTTTCATCCCAAACTTCCCGAAAGGGCCGTTCCCGCTGGCCCATAATCACTTCCTGGTCTATGATACGCTGTAACATGAATGGAATCATTTCCCCAAAATGGCCAATAATAATCTTCAGCTTAGGAAATCTGTCGAAGACTCCTGCTGCATGTAGACGACAGATGTGTATTCCAACTTCGCTATGCCATCCCCACATTGCGCCGCCTATGACTGATGTCGCGCGATCAGAATAGTTGCCTGCGTATGCTTGTCGGAAAATCTCGTCCTCTGGTCTTGATGGATGTAGATATATCGGAACATCAAGCTCCTGCGCCTTTCTCCAGAGATCGTCATACTCGATCCCGTCGCAGTACCCCTTTCTACTCTTGTGGTCTACCAATGCTCCCAAAAACCCGTGCTCTTTCACTGTCCGTTCGAGTTCTGCGGCGGCCGCGGCTGGATGCGCCATGGGGAGGACGGCAAATGCAGCAAACCGCTTGGAGGCCTCTTCTGTCTTGCGGACTTCGTTGGCCAACTGGTCGTTGCCGGCCCGGCAGACTTCTGGTGATGGATTGTCCGCTGCGCAATGGGAAATGACTTGCAAAGTTACTTTGCCTTTATCCATTTCTCTCAAGCGGAGCTCACCGGCATCAAGAAGTCTCTCGAGTGCTCCAGGCCATTGCTTGATGCCTTCTTTCATCGAATTGTCGAATGAGTCTAAGACCGCCGTGGAGTACCAGTGCTCCTCGAGCGTAATGAGTGGCGGAGTCATTTTGTGAGGTTGTTACCGATTCTAACAGCTGAATCTTGTTCAGGTGATTTTGACAGTAATCAAGAATTTTTCATGGATCTCTAAAGCTTTATTTGATGCAGCCCTAGTAGGCTAATCGAGTCACCGGCTCTCAGTCTACAGCAGTGTGATGAATGGAGGACGCCCAAGTTTCGGGCACTATACATGATGAATGCCGGCGGTAGTTCAATCAGCATACCATTGTCCGCGCACGTAAGTAGCAAATGATTCAACTTTGCCCGGATACAACGAAATTCCAAAGCGTTCTTTGTTTGCAATGATTAGCGACCTAGGGTTACGGAAGAGCATTTCCTTTTTGGGTCGGCATTTCCAGATTTGTTCGGCTTTCAACTCACAAAACTGGGATACTATCAGCTTCATTATTAGTCGGAAGAGACCGAGCCGAATATTACGAAGGAATTTGGAGGAAGTAACTAGTGGCAGGATCCGATCTTCCGCTACCGCCGACCCCATGGGGTATGAAGTGACTAGTGTTCGTATGAGTGTTGAGGTCAAAGTTTGTGGAATTGGTCACGCATTGAAAAGCTATACCTTAGACATTTGGTAAAATGTCATCTGCCCCATTCTTGTGACAAGATTTTGGCTCTACTCATTCGCACTATGGCGGCTCCTGTAGCAATCATTACTGGCGGCTCTTCAGGCATCGGCTTGGCCTTGGTCCAGCACCTCGTCTCTCTGGGATGGAGAGTGGTCATCAGCGATATCAATCCGCCCACAGTTTCGATTGAACGAACGGTATTCTTTCCAACCGACGTTGCCTCTTGGGATCAACAGGCAAAGATGTTTGAAGCCGCTTACGCCTGGGGCAAACGACTTGACTTTTGTGCCCTCAATGCAGGGATAGACGATAGAGATGACATTTTCGATTCTCTATCCCTGGACATCGACAAGCCTCCACGGAAACCAAACATAAAAACCTTTGAAGTCAATCTTACTGGAACGTAGGTAACCGAACAGCTCAGATATCGATTTGTCGGCTGACGAGAATACAGATATTACGGCATCAAGCTCGCCGCACATTACATGACAATACCTAGTGAGAGCGGCGGCAAAGCCAAACCAGGAGGCAAAATAGTCCTCACATCTTCCGGGGGAGGCATTATCCCCATACCAGCACTGCCTCAATACTCGGCTACTAAGCACGCTCTTATTGGCCTTGTCCGTGCATTGGCGGCGGCGGGGTCGGCTTCCAAAGCCAATATTTGCATCAATGCGGTGTGTCCAGCCATCGTTGACACGCGTGGTCTACCTGCTGGATTAGTGGAGAAAATACCTTCAGCGCAGATCACGCCTATGAGTACGATCATGCGGTGCTTCGATGCTGTAGCTAATTTGGCTGACTTCAATGATAAGAACTGGGTGGAGCAGGGAAGGACCGGTGAGACGGTGGAAGGAAATGTGCAGGAACTGATATGGCACCATGTACCTCAACGACCAAAAGTAGAAGGGGATCAGTTGGATAGGCAAAAGGGATTTCTGGTTGTAGCAGAGGCGTTTGCTCAAAGGAAACGCCAGATTATAGCTGCGGCAAGGAATGAAGATTAAGCTCATTAGAGAATAAATATCTGTTCATATTTTACGCTTCATTATTGTCATATGAAAGAGGCTTTACATTATATGAGTTGCCAATATACAGCTTGGGCTTTAATGAATTAACAATGTATCGCTCATGCATGTAACATGAACCTAGTTAATAATCAAATTTTCAAGTACCTAACTTCAAATTTCATTCATCACTTTATCAATGACATGTAATTTCTTACACACTGCCTTTAGCTTCGCTCTTCTTGTTTGCTAAAGCAGTATCTGAAGTCACAACGGCGGTATGGTTGGTCAGATAAGGCGAAGGGTCCAAAACAAACAGACAAGCAACGCATGCTATGACACAGAATGGTATAGATGCATACCAAACGTAGGCTAACGCATCACTGTATCCCCAACGAACCGCCAATTTTCCAGCAGCAACAACATTTTCAGGGTATGCGGCCAGGCTGGCGGCATTACCAGACGTTAGGGCAGCTATAAGGCCACCTACACGCGGTAAAGGGAAGTCGAGAGGTTCCACTGCCGCCAAAACTCTCATTGGGATGCTTTTGGCAGCCCTAGCGCGGAGAATAGTATTGAAGAGTGTAGAACCTATTGCTCCACCGAGATAACGAGAGGCGCCGAGTAGGCCAAGCGCCAGACCTATATCTCGTTGAGGAACATGAAGCCCCGCGGTAGTGTAGCTAAGAACAAGAGTCCATGCAAAAGGAGCATTGGCAATTCCCTGAATGACTAGTCCGGCGGGAATTCGATCGGGAGTGGCAATTGCCAAAAGACCGCAACCGAGAGCCTGGATCGCGTTGGCAATAAGAAGCTGTTGAGGAAAGTGTTTGAGCTTCCGGGCCAGACTGCCGAGCACGAATCCGCCAATAAAGGTCCCGAGGCCAGCTGGAGTGTTGAACCATCCGGCAAGAGTGGGATCCGATGTAAAAACAAGTTGGATTTGCTGGGGTACGAAATTGGCCAGAGCGATGTGTGCAAGGCCAGAGGCAAAATTTATAATAAGTAGGGACGTGAATTCCCTGAATCTACCCATCAGTCGATAGGGGAAAAGTGGTCTTCCAACACGACCCCGAAAGTCCCAGACAAAAGTGCACAAAAATAAGATGCCACCAAGTGTTATAGGGACAATCACAGCGGCGCTCTTCCAAGGATAGGTAATACCGGGCCAACCTAGGCCGAGCAGAAACAAGGTCACGCCTGCTGCATAGAGGAATATGCCGAGATAGTCCAGCTCAGACAGAACCTGAAGCTTGGTGCGATCCTGAAAGGTGCGCCTAGGCGGCTTGTAGAAGATCAATGTACCGGCTGTAGCAATAAGACCAATGATCTCCCCTATGATGAAGATCCATCGCCATGTAACATCCTGGGTGAGCTTTCTTGCCATTACCGGGCCGAACGAACCCACTACACATAGGAGGAACTCGGGCGATGCAATTCCGAATGGCCTCCATTTGTTGGGGAGTATCTCTGATATACTCGCATAGATTCTAGCCCCCATATGTGTTAGCAGGGCCATTGTGACATGATAATTGGGGCGAGGTTACACAAAAACAGTTCCAGTGCCAGCTCCAATGATCACCATCGCGGCAATTATCTGGTTTAACCCCTGAGCAGTGGCCCCAACGAGGTGGCCAATGAGCAAGAACACTTGTCCAGTCACCACAACCTGTTTCCGTCCCATATAGTCGCTTAGTTGACCGGCAATGGCAAAGGCGACACTTCCGCTCACAGACCATCCGCCAGCAAGCCAATTGACATTATTTGTATTGCCTTGTAACTTTAGGACGACTGTGGTTGCAACCGGGACAAAAGTACTCAGTGAGAAAGTAATCGATGGAAGGAATGTCATGCCCAGGAAAAACACCGCTGCCCAAGTCGATGCAGAGACTCTGCCATCGGCGTTGATGTCCAGCGCCGCCTGATGAGGGTTCCCATGGTCCTCATAAATATGAGAGTCAAGGATCTCCGCTCCAATTTTGCCCTGTGTCTTCAAGGGCGACATAGCCATAGAGGGAGCATTCTCAATAAACTCTATTTCAATTTCTTCAGTACCCATGCTTAGAGTTTCGAACCTGGGGATAGTCAATTCCGATTTGAAAAATACAATAAATGAGAAAGATGAAGAGTAAAACACTTGCAGGGTTTAAGGAGTTATATTAATATGGACCTTAGAACCCGGGGTCGCGGTACTTGGGTAGGCAAATCCGGGGTGCTCATCTATGGGTGCCGGACTAAACAAGTGAAATCTGGGGTACATGGAACCCCAGGCAACCCGTATCCAACTCAATTGCGTCGTGCTAGTATCTCCTCATGATTTGTGGAGGGAATTGCCATTGAGTCAGTTCATCCAACGGTGGCGTTGATGGCTGGATATTTCTACCGGTTACCGAACCAAATAGGATACCTAACCCTAATATCGCCAATAATCACGCAACTGGCTAGCCCGAGCTTTTCCATGCCATCTTTTTCCAGCCAATATATAGATTCTCCCACTTTTCCTGGGGTACTGTTATTTGCTCGTTTGTTCCTCAAAGTCTGTGGTTAGCATCTGTCCAGTTCGTGTCCGCGGCAAAACCGAGTGATCGACCACCCAAGAAGACATTGCTTCGTTCATACCATGGCGTCTCTTACGCACTGGAACCGCTTGGTGAGATACGTGTCAGCCAAAAATGGCCAGGTACGATATGGCGAGCCAATTATTGATAGTACGACGGATATCGACCAGCAGATTGCAGCCGGAGCAGCAGTAAAGGTCCGAGTGCTCAAAGGTTCAAGTGCTCTAACAGCCGTGCCGACTGATGAGGAAGACACAATCCAGCAGCTGCTTGGGCCTCTCAGTCCGGCTGAAGTGCCCATTGTGCGGTGCACGGGACTGAATTACAAAAGTCATAGTAAGTCCTCCAAATGAATCTGCATCGTAGGATCTGTGACTCTGACATCGACTGCTACTTGTAGTCGCAGAGTCAGGCTTTGACTTCCCTGAGTACCCGACATTGTTTCTGAAGCCTAATCAGGCCATCGCCGATACACGAGAGGCAATCCCAATACCAAAGCTTGCCCAAAGCCACTGCGACTACGAAGGCGAGCTGACCATTGTGATTGGAAAAGATGCAAAAAATGTCTCAGAGGCCGATGCATTGGACTATGTTGCGGGCTACGTCGTTGGTAATGACATTTCCTGTCGAGACTGGCAGCTAGACAAGGCAAAGGCCGGCATGATACAGCAATGGTGTTTCTCCAAATCTTTTGACAAGTACGCTCCATTGGGTCCCGCGATTGTCAGTACCAAAGTGCTCGGGGATGCTTCCGGGTTACGTCTGAAGACCTATGTCAACGATGAGCTTAGGCAAGACTCTAACACTTCTGACCTCTTATTCGGCGTACGGAAACTTGTCAGTTTCTTGAGCACGGGGCAAACTCTTGAAAAAGGTAGTCTGATCATGTCTGGCACACCTGGTGGAGTCGGTGCAGCAATGAAACCGACACCCCAATTCCTGACGAATGGCGATGAGGTTGTGGTAGAGATTGAGGGCATTGGAACACTGAGGAATGTTATACGGTTTGAGTAGGCGAGTTCGGACTTTCCTGCTTAGAGGGTTGCTCATGTCCGAGTATGATGTCTAAGATCTTTTCGGATAAATATAATGCTTTGCATAAGTTCATTTACCTGGAATTTCTTCCTTATACTCTTAGCTGGGTTGATTGGTTATGAAAGCTATTTCAATGCTTTAGATTGGATGAGAATCCTATGCATTAGCAGAATTTCCATAATGATTCTTTCCATCAATATAAGGAGCTTTACACGTGGGCAATAAAGACAAATACGTTTCAGGTAGTACAAATACAACTTCTGATGAAAACTTCCGAATGATGTCCCTGAAATTTCGTCGGAGCTCTTTTTAACATCTCATACCCTGTATTATTGCATATTTCAAGAAGTATCATAGAACAGAGTCGATTGAGTCCACAAAGGGGAGCAGAGTGCCCCAGGATTCAACATTGTCATCTGGAAGCCATCTGAAGAGCTCGTCTTCCTGTAGAATTGAGGTTAGATGACTGTACACTAAAGCACTCCTTTATAAAAAGTACAAGAAGGATGGATACAAACAATATGAGAGAGAAATACACCAAGAGATATCTTTGGAAGAGAAAAAGAAAAAAACGTACATGTAGAGAGAAATTATCCAGCGTCTCCGAAGCCAGCATATCGATCATATTATCCCGAGACAGAGGGGTCGATTGCGAAGGATCCATATCATATATGGTTTCTTTCGCCTTTTGCATTTCCTCCACTGCCAGACGTGCGAATTGGCACATTTCTCTTACGAATCGGAAGGGCATCTCGAGGTTGGTGACAAACTCGATGTTGGAAAAGTATCCGAGTGCCATATCTACTTTTCAATTAGTGTCTTCCCCAGAATAACAAAGTTTCTGAGAAATATTCCAGAGCATACCTAACAGGACTAAATCTGACTGTGCCGTAGAGGGATCACGCAGAATATGAAGGAAAAGGTTACTGAAGCAGTATGTTGGAGTATACGTGGCGACTCTAGATTGGAATTCAGATCAATGTAGCTTTTTTGAGGAGAAAAGGCGGGGGCAATAGCTTACAGTGCTGTGCAGCTTACATCAACGCGAATCTGCCTGGTTGCAAGAATACCTGCTCGCGAAACGTTTGCCACGGCGTTACATGATGCTTCAATCTGAGCAAGAGCTGTCATATCCTGCTCAACAGATTCACGCACGCCTGACCACGGATAGGCCAAAGGAGTATTAATATCTAGAACGAGAGAGAAGTAGTATGCTTGAAGCAACTGGGCTTGACGGACCGTCGTCCCTTGTGGCAACTGGGAAAGCTCTATTGGAGCGTCCAGTACAATAATATGTTGTAGAGATTTTTTCAAAGCATCCAATTCCTGGCTCAAACTGCGAACTGTTTCGATCAATTGAGCAGGAGTTTGTCGCAAAGCCTTTGCGCTAGAAAGGCGCTTTTTAGTAGTGGAAGAGAGTCGCATTAGTTCAATGGATACATGGCAGTATATCGTATCATTTAGCTGTCCGCTTAATGCCCTCTCGGGTATTATGGCACTAATCTCATCATCATCTATGCTCTAGCAAAATGGTCAGTCTTGACTTACAAACAGCGACTAACATATTGCGCATAGGAACCTACCGACGGACGGCCTGATCGTGAGCAGATCTGTTTCTCTAGGCAATAGATGGACCAAAACATCCAATTCCTGTGTGAGACTTCATGCGGTGAGATATTCCAGGAACGAGCAGGTTGTCTATGTAGTCCTTTGGCGCAGGCAAGCCGCATGGCATCAGAACAGAGCATATATTGCAACGATGTCTTGCCTATGCTGTCACTATAATATGCCTAAAGTAGATCATCAGTGTTACGGCACCAACAATTGAATCACAGTTTATAGAAATGATCCTTACCATCAAGATAAGAACCTGAACCACGGTCATAAAAGAACCCAGGAAAATGACTTCGGTGTGAACGGCAAGGGCGTTTTCGAACCAAGCCCAGGCAGTTCTCCAAGTTTCATTAAAGCTGTTTGCTGTTTTAGAGTGCACAATCCGACTCCCAGTCGCCCAGATGATATTTCGCAATGCATAGTAGGAAGGGTCATCAGGCATGCTATTATTGAGATGGGCACGAAGTCGGGACTCAAACCAAACGCGATCCACGATGCCGAACAATTGAACTGGTGCCTCCTCAAAGAATGCTAGAGAAAACTGTCAGATACACTGTCGATAAATGTGGACCACACTCGAGGGTCATTACCTTTTGCATACTGCCATGCGATTTCTGGAGGAGGCTCCGGTGCCCGCGAAGATGGCAATTTGTTGTTGTCATTGATTTTCAACGTGCGACTCACATCGGTAACAAACCGCAGGGCTACAATACTAAACCCAGGGGCTTTCACTTTTGACATGACCCATGCTACCGCTGGTTTGGAGAAAATGGATAGAATAGATCGCGGACCTATCAAATAATCAGCCTCTTCAAGTTTTCAATTGATAGGTTGCAGATATATCCACCGTAGTACTCTAAATTTGGCTGCGCGCTTAAGTTAGTATTATCACCTTACAATAGTAAGATAGTTGTATGAACATACCGCTTCGGCCGTATACACACTACTACCCTCGTCTTCAATATTCTGCTCATCATGAACGGCTGGAGAAGGATGAACATCAGCAAGTGGCTGAACCACCTGGCCATCTGGATGGTGATAGATGAAAGTTGGCGATTTGGTGATGGTGGGATGATTTGCTGAAGGATTAGGGCTAGGGTTGGGGCCAGGAGTAATTTGATTAACAGCAGGGGTCGTGTTCCCCTCCGCTGGAGCTTGCAACAAGTCCTCAATCTTGTGAGTGCTTCTAGACAAATCTGCTGGCTCGTTATTTTGTCTAGCTACCGGGCGCGGGCGTCGTCGAGCCGTGACAACGCATTCCACAGCTCGATCTAAACAATTTGCACACGGAAATGAACCATTGCCTGTAAGACTCGTGCGATATGATTAGACGACAGGAAATTTCCAACGCAAACTTCCGAGACATACATCGAATCTTTTTTACCCGGCATTGATTGCATGCTTGTGACCGCCGGCTTTTGGCCGGCGTCTGGACGGTTCTGATTCGGCCTTCCATGTCCGGAGACGGCAGGTTCTACTTATCACAACGACTGCACTGTACTTGTTCCGGGTTGAGAGCGATGAAGTCGTACAGCTCAACTCCGGCATAAGTGCCTTAAATAAAATAGATTGCTGGGGGTCGTCACAACCGGAACGTATGAACCGAACAAACCCTAAGCCCCGCTCACTATGCCTAGTCCGTTCGGCATTTGTGAAATGGATCCACCCCCGGATATCAAGTGGATCTTTAGAGTCGAAGTATTAGCTATGGTAAATGCGACACATGGTGATCTTCCACGCAAATCAGGCATTCGGGATGCCATGTTGGTAAGGAAGCACGTAAGGTTGACTGGAAAATATAATTCAGTTGAAATGTGTCCTACAAAGCATACCCGTGGGCGAATTGTATATTCAAGTGATACAGTGAGCTAGCTATTTCCTGCATTTTTCCCAACATGACAACGAAGCTTGACAATATTATTGTAGTTGGTGCTGGACCAAGCGGCCTGTTACTGGCTTTGATGCTGGGGCAACATGGTATCAAGGTCGATGTTGTAGAGGCTCTGGATGGCCTCGACAAAAGACCTCGTGGTGTGGCCTATGGGCCAGCCGCAGCTGTGTACGTTTTTTAATCTCTTGAGCGGCTCTAATTTGAGCTGATAATTGAACAGAGTGTTACATCGTGCCAAGATCCTGGGCAAAATACGAGAAGTCGGGCTAACCCCTGAGTCTCTTACATGGCGCAAGCTTGATGGAACAATCATCAATAGCCTAGCAGGCCTCCAGAGCGGAGGAGAGGAAAGCGCTACCGTGATTCATCCAGCTGAAGACCTTGCAGGAGTTTTTCTAGAGGAAGTCTACAAGCAGCCCAGCGTCACGGTGCACTGGGGCCATAAAGTGGTTTCTGCTGGCCAAAGTGAAGCGAGAGCCTGGGTTGATATTGAAGGTGGTAAAAAGCTTGAAGGCGACTTTGTTGTGGGCTGCGACGGAGCGTCCAGTGTTGTTCGAAAGTCGCTGTTTGGCAACAAATTTGATGGGAAAACGTGGGACAAGATCATCATGGGCACTAATGTAATTCCAAGCCCCCATTCCATCGCCAGAAATCTAACATTTGCTGTAGCTACGATATGACTTTAAAAGGTATGGCTGGGAAGATACATTGTGGGKAATCCATCCGGATCATTTTGCTGTTATCTGCCAAATCACGCAAGACGGAGTATGGCGCGTGTCCTACGGGGAAAACCCAGGTCTTTCCCGGGAAGAACTCCAAGCCAACATGCCTGAGAAATTGCGGCAGATCCTTCCTGGAAACCCTTCGCCTGATGAATACCAAATTCTCGCATTCAACCCATACGTGATGCATCAGAGATGCGCAGAGCGTATGAGAGTTGGTCGTATTCTGCTGGCCGCTGATGCTGCACATCTCAATAATCCAATGTTCGTGCAAAACTTTCATGAATCTTTCCAGACGAGTATTTCTAACATGACTGAAGGGGTGGTCTTGGCTTGACGACTGGAATCGCCGATATTGGGAGTCTCGTCGACTGCTTTTACGGAATCTATGATGGAAAAGCAAGCTTAGACATTCTCGATAAATACGATGAAGCCCGACGAAATGTGTTTCATACAGTCACGGATGTGATCTCCACTGCGAACTTGAATCGAGTTCGAAGTGATGCGGATTCACTACTCAATGGTGGTGATCCTTTCTTTGCCCTTCTTGACGCAGCAAAGAAGGATCCAAGTTTGTTCCAAAAGTTTGCCGAAGTCAGCTCTCCCAGCTCGTATGCAATTCACTAAGTAAATACTGACCACGTTTTCTAGGAGCAAATGAAGCTTAGTAGTGATCTCACTGTTTACTACAATTGAAATTAGTTCTCAGGGCTTTTGTAGCCATACGACCATTCCTGAAAATCGCTCAAATCCCACTTCGTTATGGATATCTTGATTATTTGCTGTTCTAAGAACCTACTTTTCCGCCCTGGGGTTGTCAGTAGGCCTACCCCTACCTATCTGAACTGTAGCATCTACTCAAATTTATATACATTTGAATGTGAGAATCATGTGCTTAACTGTTATGTCCTAATGATACGCCTCCAAGTCAAGTCCGATTCCAGCTTATATAACCCTCTCGAGAAAGAATCTGAGATACCTGGCATCCAAGCCTGACAATGAAAAGACCGAAAATGTACGAATACAAAATCACAATCCTGCGAACTGGAATAATATCTATTCAGACTTGAGCACACCCTCCAACCCACTTTCTTTCATCCCATCAGCAACCGCAGGAAACGAAACAGCTGCTATCCTAGCCCACTTCGTACTACTAGGATTCCTCCAAGCATGATTTACCGACCTCTGCACCAACACATCCCCAGGTTTCATCAGCCTCATCTCTCCTGAGTCTAGCATAATCTCAACTTCCCCATCAATAACAAAATTGTAGTTGACACTAACAGTCCGATGCATTGCCGATGTGAAATCGGGCGGAAAGTCGACAATACGTGCTGCCGAGCCACCAGGGATGATGATTCCTGGTGGGTTATCGATGAAGTGTTGGTATCGCTCTATGTCTTTCTCGTGCTTGATGTCGACGGGGAAGTTTTGGGTGGCGTAGCAGAAAAAGAGATTTGCAGGCGTCGGGTTTGTGACGGCTGGCGGGTTGTCGTCTACCGATGAGAAAACTGACTCGCCGGCTTCATTGTTGGTGGTGATGTATCGCTTGATGTCTCGTAATTGACTCTCAATCGGCATTTTAAATGTCGTTTGTTGGGTGGCAGACAAGAACAGATGCGTGTTGAGTATATTCAATGGATTAACTGAATGCGAACCCTTCACTCAAACCAGGCTTTTCTTGAAACGTTTGGCTGAGGACAAGAGAACAAACATATCAGATATAAACAGTCTCCCTCGAGTAGTTCGTGAAATGCAATGTATTCGTTAGGCTTGATCTCATCATACTGGTCTACTGAGTTCATGTCTTGTGTGCTACCTTCCTAAATCGTTCGGCATTCAGGGCTCAATCCGGCAACGTGCTGAGAAAATGGCGTTACGACTTTATTCCAACGCCATGATTTCTCCGTCCCGGAGAATTCGTTCCCAATTACCGTATGCAGTCAAAGTAGTTTAGTGTTCGTAAAGGATTGACTGATTCAACGACTAACACCGTTATCTGGGATCATATGGGGATGTCTTGTAAAACAATCAAAAACAAAAATGAAGACGTAGACTTTTTGAACTTCCCTCTAGATTCCACAGACATTGTTAAGGTCATTTAGATACCAAAGATCCATATCCATATCCATACCGTCAAACCTATACCATCATGTCTGCACCAGTTCAAGAAAATATTGCCTCTGCAGCTGATGGCATCTCCCCCTCGGCCCTATGCCATATCGTCCTCCGCACGCCGACAGAAAACTACTCGAAAATGGTCGACTTCTACCTCACCTTCCTCGGCGCACACGCAACCCACACACATCCGCGCGTCACATTCCTCACCTACGACTACGAGCACCACCGCATCGCCATTGTAAACTACCCAGACCTCAAACCCCTCGACACCCAGGCCGCCGGTCTAGCTCACATTGCATTCGGCTTCGACACCCTCACCGAACTGGCCACAAGCTTCGAACAGAAAAAGGCAAGGGGCATACTGCCGTTCTGGTGCGTCAATCATGGGATGAGTACGAGCATGTATTATAGGGATCCGGATGGGAATGAGCTTGAGTTGCAAGTCGACAATTTTGAGACTGTAACTGAGGCGATTGAGTTTATGAATGGGGCGAAGTTTGAGGAGAATCCGATTGGGGTTGATTATGATCCGGAGGAGTTTGTGAGGAGGGTCAGGAGCGGGGAGGATGAGAAAAGGATCAAGATGCGTTCTGATCTGGTTGAGTCATAGCTTTATTGACGAGAATATTTGGAATGGGGGAGTAAGTTTTTGTGCTATAAGCAGATACTTTTTGAAGTATCTTCAGTCAGTACTTAGGTATGATTCGTCTATTAATGCAGAAGTTGAATATCAGCGCTGAAGATCAATTTACGACACGTTCACTCTGTCCTAAAAGTCTAGCCTGCCCTCGGACGAGCAGGCCAACGATGTGGTCACAAGCTGGCTTATAACCAAGAAAGACGCATATATCTGGCCTAGATGTGAGCGATGTGGATTCGAGCAAGCCCGCGCATACGTACGACTTCGACTCGCTTGAGGCTATGAATTCGAAAAACTGGTTCATGCGTGAGATGAAAGCCGAGATGCAAGAATTCTCACTATTGGGACACACTCCGATTAAAGAGGTGGGCAACAGAGGCTGTGGTAAGATCGACATATCGTCAGTAGATAAAGCCAACGTCCAAGTGATGTGTAATTTTTTCTGTTGGGTATTTCAGAGGATGTGCGCTGGAAGAACAAAGTATATCAATCAATATATGCAGCATTGACGGGGAAGAATGGTGATGGCGGCGCATAAATCCGCTCCATTCAGTCGGTCTCGTTAATATCCAGCTTTATTCGACCTAGCATATACCTAGGTAGTCGCGAGTTGCCAAACTGCACCTGTTAAAAAATCCAGCGGAGTCCTGGAGTTCCTATATTTTCAAGTTCATAAAACACTGCAAGGAGAAGAAAGATGTATGCTAGGTAGATACTCATGACAACTTTGTCTTGTATTTGGCAGGACAACAGGCAACAGGCACCTTCTTTGGAAAGACCAGTTAGCTTTTGTGCAAAGGAAGGAGCCAGGTCATCTTGAAGGAATGAGCATGCCGAGGCACTGTCTCAAAGAACCTCCACTATAGACACATTCCTACATCTACAAAAACAGATAAAAACATGATAATAGATACAACGCAGAATACCTAGGTATCTCAAAGCGGCCTAAAGCAGACATCCACTATGCCTGAGGCAGCATATACAAAATGCAGGAACAATCTCAACGCGTCACATGTTACCTGATAAACCATGGTGTACCTGCATAACACCGAGCTGCCTATCTGGTCGATCAGAGAGCTAGCTGGACGCCGTTTATTCGCTGCACCACTTCCACCGCGAACGGCGTTTTGCTAGTACAAGCAGCTTGTCGATCATGATAATCACCGACTAGCATAGCAGCACCAAACACCAAATTTCAAGTCGCGCCATACTCACTTCTCGCCACTAGTCGGGAAGCTGCTCGGTGGCAATGCGACTTTTCGTCTGGTAGGATTTGACGGAATGGAGCCAAAGTTCGGCATAGACTACACAGTGCTCATTGCGCAAAGCACATGCCTGCCAGGCTCTGTGCGGACTCAAAAATTTCTGGTTGACAGCTTGACCCTGACCCCGACCCTGAACTTTGTCGCAGCCCAATGTTTAGTCCACGGCAAAGTGCTCAATCGCGACAACTTTCTGTTTTGGTTTCGGTGGATATTCTCACTCATTTATAGAATTATAGTATTGATAGGAAAAAAAAGTATATTCTTATGTAATACGTACACTGTCAAATTGCCTTTCCACCACGTGCTGCAACCCTGCAAAGTGTAAACAGGACACAGTGCACACACAATCAAATCCCGTGTCGGCGCCATTGGACACGTTGCAACGGACAATACAGATACCCTAACACATACTCCGGAGTTTACCGGTTCGTTGGAGTGGGATCGTTTAAGTTGATCCCACATCCAAGTGCCCGGAAAGTTTAGAGGAGTAGACGTAGAATACTGCTTATCAGTGAAGAATACGAGCTGGTTGGTTGGTACTCCGCTAATCAGTCCATAGTTCGTGGTTTTATGGAGTCGGTTTACTGCTAACGCCTAATGTTCCTAGAAATAAGTGCGCGTATGGTGGTAGACTCGTGGAGAACTGGAGCTACGGCGAGTACTGCACAAAAGCAGACATGCACGTACCTGCGGTACCTGCAGTGGCTCTCTCTGCCGAGAAGCTTAACGCTTAGCATCGCTAGTACAGACTCCGTAGTGTCCCGGAAATTGGACTAGTCGGTACTAGCGTGTGCTTCCGTAGTCCCGTCGGTGGATGCAAACCCTTGAACGATAAACACTGTACAGATACTACGAGTATATACGGAGTATGTCCGGAGTATGTGACTATGCAGATGCAGGTACGGCAGAGTCAGACGCGAACTACGACGAAAAGAAAATGTGATTTGCTGTGATCGGCCTGCGGTGTGGAACTCGTCTCTGACTGGCCGGCGGCTCGACGGAGGACAGGCTAGTGTCCAGGTCGATACTGAGGGCGGTTTAGCTCGTCTCAATTTTGGATGGCCGGTTTCTTAAGAAGTTGGATTAAGTTGCAGAGTGCGGGGAGATGCACTCAATGAGTTAGACTGGGCTTCCTCGGCAAGAAGTGGATTGATGAGACCAAGAGGATACTTACTACATATTACTGAGAGAGGAAGGAATTGGAAGCGATTGTGGGACTTGGCTGGAACCCTGACAGCACGTGCTTGGCCAGCCGATTATGTGTTTACAGCCTACCGGTATGCAAAGGTTAAAGGACATAGCTCGCAATGAAAAATCAATATTTTATTAATATGAGAAAGAGAATAAGCAACATAGGCAACATCAGCAACAATGGTTCGTGATAGTCTACCTGCTCCGTATGATCTGTCAAGACGCAAAAAGAAGAAAAGAAAAGAAGAAAAGAAGAACAGGGTCCTCAGCACGAGGAGCGATCGAGAGATGCCAAAAGCTCCGGCTAAACCCCTCTGAGCACTTACCCTTCCCAATCGGGCAGCCAAACCAGGTGGATCCGCTTGGCGTGTTTCACATTCTTCCTCTTGTTTCCTATACTGTAGAAGGGTAAAATGAAATGGATTCTACCTAAAATCTTACTCTCTTGGTTCCTGGTTCAGCGGACTCTGGACAGTAGACTGTGGACGGTGGATAGACCGAACCCTGGATCAGCTGTGGGAGTGCGTCATTTGATATCAATGTAACACCATCCATTCAGCACTCTACTCCATACTATGTAGGCTACTCTGGAGTCAGTCCATATCGACGAGCAACTCACGTGGCGAATTGCTGAAAACCGAAATCAACCTGAAGCACTCGACAAAGCCTGTGGCGCACGATAAATTCGCTAGTCAGTCCCGACAAGCTCACTAGTACGGACATGACTAGAACTTTCTCTTGGTCCCTCTGTCGACTGTTGGTAGATAAATAATAGCGCTACTACGTACGGAGCAGACGCAAAGATACAAGCCAAACTTTCTCGAAGCCATCGCGGCCTGGTCCGCTTGGTGCCCTAACTCCATCTTGTACGTACATGCGATCGTACCGTAATCATCGTATACGAGGATTTGGAGTGTGTGTACACTACCAGTTCGGGAGACCCGATTATTTTTTTCTAGAATCTAGACCAATGATATGTTTGGGGGGAGAGATTCTTCAGATCCGAGACGATGGATGCCACTCGTAAATGTCGAAACTCGATAGAGTACGTAAGTACGGTCAGACTAACGGTGTCGAATCAGCGGATTCATCGGTCCGGAGCTCCGAATGGGTCGATCTGTTGATTATTCGATGCGTACATAATAATGCCTATTTGTTTTTTATTTTTTTAGTTTTGCGATCACTGACTGTCCAGATGTAAATGGCAAGTCTGCCAGAAATGATTTGCTTGACCGACGCCACTCACACGAAAAGTCGAAGACAGTGTGACTGCATCAGTACTCGACGTTGACGACAAATAACAACCATTAATCTATCTTTAGACATCTCACTGGCCAGTCTCCCGAATCTGACTCGTCCCATCGTTCATGCCACCCCACGCTTGTCCAATAACTTACTTACTATCATCGTACGCCTGCATCTGTCACGCTGATAGGAGCCCTTGACCGACCTATCACTTCTTATCACACCAACAGTCCGTTATCATTCGTAATCGATAAGAAAATTTTCATTTTTCTTGTTTCATTTTCTGCTTAGATATGTAGTAGTACGCTTGTCTTTTGTTCCTACGTTGTAAGACATGGTGGTGGGTAGACTCGATGTGATATCGAATCATAAACGACATCACAGTTCATGCCCTTGCATTGGCTTTTGCCTATCATACGTCGGTCTGCAGATGAGTTCAGTCGGACATGCATGCATGCATTTTGCCACTGCGGTTCCTCGGATTACATCCTACGCAAACATGTGAATGCATTCGCAATCCGACCAATGACGATGACTTGTTCCTGCATCGAGCCGTACATCATCGATCATCAATCATCAATCATCAATGCAGGTGAGCAAACAATCGCCTTGTTTGTTTCATCGTCGCATTGATTACGCAAGGTGTTTTTGTCGAAATGTCTCAATATATTTTTTTTTATGGCAGACTAATTTCGTCGTAAATATGGAGACGCAAGAACCGCCTTCTAGAACATCATGCCACAGTCCAAAACGGCAATGGCATGGAACTTTTCTGAGACCCTTGGGGCGGACGATGTAATATATTCTCAATAGCACTGCAATTAATAGAAACGGCGTGGTACCCACGACCGACATGGGTTGTTCCACCGGCCTGTCAGACTGAGACTGTAACGGGATTCATATATTCTACCCAATTTACGACGTATTGTACGCACGTCCGAGGCCGGGATTAGAATGACAGGACCAGACCGGTGATCCATACATCTTAATTGTTGGATATTATTCCATGACTTGTCTGACCGCCCTGTTGGTCGGCGTCTGTCATGTCGGATTGTCTGACTGACTCACCTCCAATCAGGGCGACGGAAGTGTCCGATCGGGTTCCACGAATCTGATACATGCCACTACCTAATACGGACAGAAATTCAGAATGTACATATTAATGAGTGTATATCAGTTTGCCACTTGCAGACAGTAAAAAGTAAAAAAGTAAAAAGTGAAGTGGAAAGTGTATTCGACAAATGCTCATCTCCAAATTCTCTGATTGGCAATGCAATTCTCGCAAAATGGCACGGCTAGCTGGTTGAAGCATAAAGAAACACGGCTTATCTGTCCAACCACACGGCCAGATAGCGACATGCTAGTCCTACTAACTCGAGTGGTGTATCTAAAATACGACGTGCCGGACAAAGCTAGCCGGTTCAGGCTAAGTGTCAATATGTATGGAGCCGGAACGGGTGATCACGCAGTCTTTTGTCTGGTTTGCAAGGGACCCCCCAGAGCTCATTGGCCACTTCCAGACTCTTTGTCTGGTTGAGATGATACAGAGTGATACTGTCAAATACGGCAGACCATGCAAGGTCAGTTCGAGTGGTGGCAGCGTGCATACACTTCGGCGTCCATCCGTCGGCACTTTTGTATCACAATACGTCACTTTGCTAGGAAATTTAATGGGATTTGCGGGGGATTTTTATCATTGGATCGAAATTTGGTAATTTACATAGTACTACGTAGCAATCATGTCTCAGATGTCTTCTTTGACCACGGTAACACTGCAACTGACTGACTGACTGACTATTCTGAAAGTCTGAAACGACAAAGAGAGGCAAATAGAAAAAGCAAAGAGGTCGACTAATTGACAACGTCTAATCGACTAATTCTCGAGACTCGCAGTGTCACACCACACAAAGTGTCGAAATCCCAAAATCGAAAAATAATCCATCCACACTGAGAAATAAAAGTGGGCATCGCTCAGGCACAGCCATCCCCCACTAAGCGCGCTAGTACCGACTGTCCTCGTCTGACTACTCCGTACAGAGAGTGAATGAAAAGTCCCGGAAGGTGGTCAGAGTCAGGCAGTGCCACTACGGACAAAGCCGCTGGTCTTGTCTCATCGTGATAATATTGATAATATTGATGATAATCATGATAGTGATGATGATAATGATAATGATAGATATATTTCCAATAAGACTGACTCGGCGGACTGGACTGCAGAGACAACCGATAGATGGACGGTGGGCACAGTAAGTGGACACACAATGGACACAAAAGTAATATACCACTAGTACGCAGTGGTAACACTAGTKCCACGCTACTGTAGCTAAGGGTTTCGCGGTCTGGGTCCAAATGTGGGCACAAGCCGTCTCTATCACTCCACTGTCCAGAGTCAGTCTGTCCTCCAGTCAGACAACGCTTCACTCTCTCTGTAAGAGTCTAAGAGTCGAAGAGACGAAGAGAGAGTGAGTGTGAGCGATCGCCAAACTGCGCTTTCCCAATCCATGCATAGTCGCACCCACTTCGTCCCAGTCTACCTGTTAAACCGCTTAGTGCCCTCGCTCGCTCACTTCCCGCTCTTTCTGTCCCTCGACTTTCCTCTGCCACTTTCCCCATCCATATCTTTCTCTAACTTCCATTTCTGCATATCCTTTCTTTTCCTAACCTTCTAATGCCTCATTTTTCATAATTCTTCTTCTCTTCTCTTCCTCTTTTTCAAAGCTAACCTCCGGCTCCCAAGTTAATCAAAGCACGTCCCATCTTGTGGCTTKCGCTTGACCTTGGGTCCTGTCATTCGTTTGAAAGTCTCCGTCTCTTATACTTTACTCTTTCTATCTCCGTCCTTGCTGCTTGCGTTTGACTTTTTTTTTATCAATTCAATTGTTATATCCTATTTGACCACCATTGACTTCCTCGACAAGTCATATCAACAAAGCAATCAACGAAAGGAAAGAACATTTTAGCACCAACCACACACTCTTCCTATTCACTCCTTTGAGGAAAGTGTGCTGTGACGGTCAACACCTATACTACATCTCGACATACCCGTTCGACTCTAATAATTAATATCTCGTCTCGAGACAAACGATCTTTCTCTACTAACCGACTCAGCATAGGTGGGTGACATGATCGATATCTTGACTTGCAAAGATACTAACAGGAACAGAACAATGGACGGCACATATTCAATGTCTGCTCCCCTCACGGGACAGCAGTACTACTTCTACAACCCAGACACAGAGCCCAGACAATACGTCGTCTCCCATCAAGACATGTCAACGTATCACGCTCCGATGCCCATGTACCCTCAGCAACAGCCCATCTTCGCTGCTCACCCACAACTGGCTCCCAAGCTTCCCATGCACTCTCAGATGAGCTTGACACCAATTGCTTCACCACAGCCAACCCACATGAAGCCTTCGATCATGATCCAACAACAAAATGGCTCCCCCGCCTTGATGGCTTTGGACACTCGATTCGACTTTTACAGCTTTCCTTCGACTCCTCCATTGTCCTCTGCCGCCAGCAGCATCAGCAGCCCGCCTTCCACATGCGGCATGATCCACACTCCTGTCAACGGTTCTTTCACTTGTGAGAGCATGGAAGGCGTCAAAGAAGGCTGTGAATCAGAAGTCCACGCTGAGATTCTCGCCAAGCCCGAATGGGGTCGATCCAACTCTCCTCCTCTTACTCCAGGTATGTTTTATCCATTATTTACGATTATTGAAACGGTTGAGACATGGAATATACTCCGATGTTGAACGTTTGAATACTTTCATTGTTTTGAATGTTCTATTTCGGGTAACTAACCAATCACGGGAGCAGTATTTATCCACCCGCCCTCGCTCACCACCAACTCCGATCTTCTCTCCGCCAACATTTCCTGCCCATCCCTGTCTCCCTCGCCTTCCCCAGTTCCCACGGGTTTACTCACTCCTTCGTTTGAGTCTGCATGCTCCGACTTTTGCGACCCTCGCCAATTGACTGTCGATTCCGCTGTTGCCGCTGCACCCTCAGCCCCTGCGGAACTCCCTCCTCTGCCCACCTTGAGCTCCGGAGACGAGGACGAGCAAAAGTTGTTGCTCAGTGGTGCCAACTTGACTCTTCCATCCCATGAAGCCGTCCAGGTGACCTTTTCCAGCTGCGTCGAAGCCACCTTGCCTACTCTGCCACGATTTGATTCCTTCTCGGACTTGGATTCAGACGAGGAGTTTGTGACCGGAATCGTTGACTTTGCTCCTTCGACCGCCAACTCGTTTTTCCTTGGTGACAAGAGACAACGTGTCGGACCGTACGCGTTGGACGACGACGAGTTCCTCAGCGAGCACAGCTTTGACGACCTGGATGACGAGGAGCTGTTTATGCGGTCGGGTTTGCCCACTGTGATTATTGAAGAAGCCGAGGACAGCAGTGATTCATCTGTGGACATGAAGACCAAGAAGCGCAGCAGTGCGTCGCGGAAGGCTATCCAGAAGAAGCCGTCGCTTTCCGACGCTTCGTCGATTGGCCACCAGGTGCCTGCTGAAAACAACGACAACCAGACACAAGACCAGAGCGGCTCTACACAGAGCAACGGGTCCGGCAACAATTCCAAGGCAGAATCTGCTGCTGCCACTCCTGTCTCAGGTAAATCCGAATCCTCATCGGCGCAGGCGCCAGTGAGCCGTCGTGGCCGGAAGCAGTCCTTGACCGATGACCCATCCAAAACTTTCGTGTGCACATTGTGCTCTCGCCGATTCCGTCGTCAGGAACACTTGAAGCGTCACTACCGCTCTCTACACACCCAGGATAAGCCATTCGAGTGCCACGAGTGCGGGAAGAAATTCTCACGCAGTGACAACTTGGCTCAACATGCTAGAACACACGGTAATGGTGCTGTCGTCATGGGTATCCTTGACCCTAGCGAAGTGTCTCCTTCTGCCCAAATGTACGAAGAAGATGCCGGTGTTTTGGGCACTGTTCTTTACGAGGCTGCCAGTGCCGCTGCCACACAGTCGACCAGCGAGTCAGGATCTAGCGTTGAGTCTGATTCTCCCACCTCTGGAGATCGTCGACTCAGTCTCAAAAAGCGCAAGCGAGAAGAGACTGTTGCATAAGCCTGCTATGCCAGGCTCCCTCACCCGAGGGTTTACGATGAAACGAGACCAGGAGATACATCTTCACCTTAGCCTTCTCGACTTCGAGAGGCACATTGTAATACATCTTTTGAGAACATAATTCGCTTCGACTTTTTTATATTATCATTTTCTTTGTTGGCGCCTGGGTTCTCGAGTCATCAGATCGATTCAAACCGTGAAGCTTAGAGAAGCTGATGCAATTGAATGTCACGGTCGGTGATATGATTTCGTGGATGTTCATTTTGAACATCGCATCTCAAGGGCATCAGCGTCGGCGAAAGGTCGTGGAAAGGAGGACCAATGGATCATCTGCTTGCTTGTTTTGGATTTGGCTTGGTTTGGGTTTCAGATTGGATAGAGCTTACGAGTCATCACAGCACATACTAGTGGTGATACACAAAAAAATTGGTGCGGTTATTGGTTATATATTGTTGTGCTCCGTCGCTTTGCGTTGCCTGCTTGCATTTGAACTGCCTCTTCTCACCTCGTTTGTTTTATTATCTTCATGTATCTATCTATTCCCTTCGCTTTTCTTTTCTTTTCTTTTCTTTTCTTTCTTCGCGAAACTACCCTACTCGGTTTGTAATTATCCTGTTTGTTTTTGTGCTGGCCACATATCTTGAACATTTTTGTAATATTCTACTTACCCTGTATGTTTTCTCTTTTCCCATACCCCTTGACTATCGAGCACCATTCTTTATATATATATTTGTTGTTATTATGTGTTTATTAGAACAGCAATCACCTGCATAGCATTTATCTTCCAAGTAAACATGAAGTGCCGTAGCATGTATGGCTACTAGCGGAATCACCCCACATTGACGTTCCAAATTTTTTGATCGTCAACTCCCTCCGCTGTCACTTCTATAAGCAATCTTCTGGCTGCAGCCATACATAGAGTTGTCTCTAAAGAATAGGCAACAACTGCGCACTGATGGCCTGACTTTGACCAGACGGGAGTTTATACATGTACATCATCGTCAATCATCCAAGCAGACATGTCTACCGAACCCCTCAATGTCATCGCCCTAATCTCAGGCGGCAAGGACTCTCTCTACTCGATTCTGCACTGCATCCGCAATGGTCACCGCGTAGTCGCCCTGGCGAATCTTCGTCCTCCCTCTAATGACGAGGGCAGTAGTGCACAAGACGAAGAAGATATGGATAGCTTCATGTACCAAACAATCGGGCACAACGTTATACCACTCTACGAATCTGCGCTGGGTATACCCTTGTACCGCGGTGATATCACCGGCGCCGCAGTTGATACGGCGCGGATATACCGTGACGACCTCCCTCCTCCTCAAACTGTGGAGGGCTTACAAGAAGATGAAACAGAATCCCTAATCCCGCTACTAAGCCATATAAAACGAGACTTGCCGCATGCAAACGCCGTTTCTGCAGGCGCGATATTGTCGACGTATCAAAGGACGAGGATTGAGAATGTCGCGGGACGGTTGGGGCTTGTGCCGTTGGCGTTTTTGTGGATGTTTCCTTTTCTGCCTCCTTCTACTTCTACCGTCTCGGTGGGAAAAGGGGGGTTGTTGGATGATATGGCTGCTGTGGGATGTGATGCGCGAATCATCAAGGTTGCGTCGGGGGGKTTGGATGATGATATGTTATGGGAGAATGTTGCAGCTCCCAAGACGCAGAGACGGCTTGAGAAGGTTATGAGGCCGTATGTTGATGATGCGCAGACGTTGAAAGGGGCGATTCTGGGTGAAGGGGGAGAGTACGAGACTCTTGCTCTTGATGGACCGGGTTTTCTGTGGAAGAAGAGGATTGTTGTGGAAGAGAATGACAAACAGGTTTGTAGGGTTGATAGTGGTGTGAGCCATGTTAGGATTTTGAAGGCGAGATGTGTTGAGAAGGATGAGTCGACAGCAGTGACGCCGGAGGATGTTAGGAGGCCGGCGCAGTTTGACGAGAGGTTTTGGCAAGCCCTTAAGGGATTGCAAGAAGGAGATTTCGTTTCTGTCAGCGAAGATCTTGGTCTGGTATCAAGTCCAAGGACAGGTTCGACAATCAACACATCGTCAATATCCCTCGGAAACCTCCACACCATCTCAAATATCACAGCCCCCGAAGCCGGCCCAACGGCCGATGCACAAATGCGCGCAATTACAGAAAAGCTGCAATCACTCTTACAAAACACCACCACCCAATCTACCATATCAACAAACGACATCGTCTTCACCACAGTCCTGCTCCGATCAATGGCAGACTTCACCCCAATGAACGCAATATACGTCTCACTCTTCACAAAACCCAACCCCCCCGCAAGAGTCACAGTGGCTTGTGGCGATCGTCTACCTGATGGCGTCCAGGTAATGATTTCAGCCGTCATTGATCTTGGCCCACGCCAGAAGAGGGAAGGCCTTCACGTCCAGTCACGCTCTTATTGGGCGCCGGCAAATATCGGGCCTTATTCGCAGGCTATTACGGTGCCATACAACCCCAAAGAAGAAGGAACAGGCAGTCTGAAAGGAGGTCTGGTGTATATCGCTGGGCAGATCCCATTAGATCCACCATCGATGGAGATACCCGGTGGAATTGACCAGACGGACGAAAAATGGTTCCAGAATTTCAGCCTTCATGCGACGCTGTCGTTGCAGCATCTGTGGAGAATTGGGCTTGCGACAAAGGTTGATTGGTGGGTTGGTGCGGTTGTGTTTCTGTCCAGAGACCACCGTCAGCGAGGGCGTCAAAAGGCGCGTATAGCGAGTCGGTTATGGCAAGCTATACATTCACGGGATACGGCTGAAGCAGAAGAGGAAGCAGATTTAGATATTTGGGATATAAAGCATGGGCTCACGGAAGATCCGAGAATGGCGCAGGGAAGACCGTCATTGCCGAATTGGGAAGTGTTGGTTGACGGCGATGAAAGTGCTGGTCATCCGCCGTGCTTCACGGTTGAGGTCGAGCAACTCCCGCGAAATAGTGATATTGAGTGGCAGGCACTCGGTACTACGGGTATACCGATTAAACCTCCAGTCAAGGTTCCCTGCACCACCGACCTTGAATCGAGGATATGGTGCACAAAGCTCGAAGAACGGAATGGGTCGTTTTATACCATTGAGATTGCAGAGGCCCAGAACACAAATCTGTGGGACAGGATAGATGCAATTTTGTCCGAGATCGGTGTACCAGCTGAGCATTCCACCCACTGCACCCTTTATACATCCTATGGACAGTCGGTGAGCCATTGGAAAGGACAAGTTGTACCTTGTTATAACGTTTACGGAGGTGATGGTTCTAGTATTGCTGCTGCTATCACTGTGCAACTGAAAGCTTAGAACATATGCCTATAGAAATTACATCAAGCTATTTCCGATCTTCATCCTTGCTCTCCCACCGTTTTTTAGTCATTACAAGTTCTTTAGCACTTATCTGATTGCACCCGGTGAAATCACTGATCTTGATAATGAGACTTCCAAAACCATGCAGAATCTGTTGTTGGACTCTGTCAAGGATCCTTGGTCGTTGCCGATTGCATGTTGGCCAGCTTATTACTCTAATGCCAGTAACGGTGGTACTGCCGTCCGGTTTGGAGCTGATGACATGGCCGTGTAATATGAGTCTGGTGTTGAGGTTGAAGGTCCATGTATCTACTCCAACATGACTTTGAACATGAGTCTGTAAAACTCGTGGGCTGAAGGCGGAATAATCGAAGTAATCTTTTGAATAATGATTTACGAACATGGATGGTCACGCAAGCATGTCTTGCACAGTATGGATAAGTTTCTCAGAGAGCAGCCCTCTTATCTCACAGATTTGCTCGCATTTGGCCTATATACAGCCCAAACAAGTCGGACGCCCCGTAAATATGCTTCCAGGCATGGAAGTTCCCGCTATCCTTGGCTGTCAACCTTATGATTTTCATATCAGACCAGCCTAAGAGTTACTGGGCTGCTAGTAATAGCAAGGAGGATGACAAGTTGGTGATGTTTCATACATCTCTCCTCTTGCAACAGCGTCTCTTGGCTTATCAGGCTTTTCTCGCCCTTGGACAAACCTCTTGTAGCTTTTCCCGCTTACTCATGTGTTGTAACAAGGATTGAAGAAGTTGGTAGATACCTTCAGTTGCCGAACGCGCCGTAGGAGTGTCTAGTATCATTGAACTGTTCTCAGTGATATGCAAGAGGCTTGTCATTGAAGAGGCTTGTCATTGAAGAGGCTTGTCATTGAAGAGGCTTGTCATTGAAGAGGCTCATCGTAGGATATCAGCGCCTTCCGTCTGAGCGCTACTAGATGGATCCTTCGGGTAGAAAGATTAGACTGATATCACGATAACACAATGTATCTAGGAGTTGCTAGCTAAAGTTTCCAGAGAGCCATTCAATAAGGTCGAGCCCCCTCTCGTATGCCAAGGAAGGGCTTATGGGGTAGAGCTTGCCCCGTCAGAACCATCCAGTGAACAGATTTGAGCAACCAGTGTTGAGTCACAGCAAGTTTACTGTATGGTGTCCACGCTCGTTAGACACAACATAGAATCGATCTGAGAGTCAGTACCAAAAGCACCGATAAAAGGGTATCGTGTCCCTGGTCAGGTCTGAGGTAAACCAGCCATTGTGCCTGTCGAATCTGGGGAGGCAGTTATCGTCCAGAGCACGGATGGAGCACGTCCATTTTTTTTTTTTGCGGGTTCTGCAGTTGCTCTGACCACTCCTCGCACTGTCGCAAAGTCAGTCTCCGGAATCCATTGAATACAGTAATCTGCCACGAGAACACGTCGCTTAATTTGTCGCGAGAGACGGTGGCCAGACGGACTAGGGAAGATAGTGCACGCCGCGAACCGGCTGACGTTGGCGGTTGCGGCCAATGGCTGCCTGTGGTTGTACAGACTAGGCTGGAAGGAGCGCTCGGACGGCGAATGGCGACGACGGGAAGCGCCATTCCGAACATGTGATTAGACATCGTGTTTCTCCTATCAGCTCAACGAGTATCTCCCAACTGCCCTTCTACTATCTCCATCGATTGTGGTGTTGTAATACTTGCATCTTGGGAATGGATTGTGTGTGATACCGACTATTGTTTTTCTTATTGTTGTTCGATCAAATTCCCTCCGAGCTGGCCTGACACCTGTCATCATCACCGCCGCATCCACAAACACCGAACCGCAGGAGATGGCAGAATAAGCGCATGCATGCACTCATCAAGGGGAAGAAGTTTCATTGGAGCTCTCAGCACATGCGATGCTATGGCATCTACGCAGCAGAGACGAAGGGGTGGGGATTTCCAGCACGCGTACTTACAGCCGTCGCCGGAGTTTGTCTTTCCTAATAATGGCCGAAACGACAACGACAATGACTATGATAACCACGCGACAACAATCATTGACAATGACATTATAGACTCCACAACGGCCGATTTGAATTACTCGCCACGACTATCGCGCTCGCCGCATCCATATTATCGCATCGGCGCGAAGATATCAAATCGAGAAAAGGATGATTCCCCGGCGAGAAGCGATTATCACCTAGCCAGCGACTCGGGTAGTATAAACGATCATTCAAATTTCGTTCAGAGAAAGAAACAACGGAACACCAACCGGAATGGCAATGGATGGTCGAGGACTTCTCCTCGGGCATCGAGCGAAAGCGGCACAGAAGCAGATGACGAAAGCACCGGCCTTTTGAAAGGTTTACCAGCGCCCCCGGTAAGGTCATCGCGCAAAGGTCTACGAAGCACAGCCGGCCGCGATGATCCTTTGCTCTGGCTACAGGACGAGACGCCCCAATCGTGGTCTTTGTTTGTACGATCGCCGATAAGACAACCGAAACGGAGTTCGAGCGAGGAATCGATGCGCAGTAATGCTACATATGCTACAGTACGAGGGGTTGTTGCGCGCCGGAAGAGAAACGAAGTTATGCGCAGAGTGACAGAGACTGCTTTGTTGCTTTCCGTCGGTGTCGTGGTGTTGCTTCGAGAGGATGCGCGCTCATATGCATCATCGTGGCATAAAGGTGTGTGCTTTTCTTTTAGTCTTCAATATCACATAGCTAATTTGATCCAGAAATTCGATCCTTCCTATCTCTCATCACTGCCCTCTACGCTCTATATCCACTTCGTTTATCGGCCGGGCGCGGCAAGCCACGTCTGACGTTCACTTTTACGATACCCAGCAGCTTCGATCCGGCGCCCCTGTTATACCCTGTTCTCGTACCTGTTTTTGTGGCCTTATCGACCATGCATCATCGTCCAGCGTTGATTTTGCCAAACATTGTCCTTAGTCTTTCTTCGATACCCCCTCAAGTCGTTCCACTACACATTTTGCAGCATGGCCACGCCAGTGTTACGCATTGGGCTATTTCCGTCATTCCGATAATTCTTTCCGAGCACGATATCTCATATATCAGCACTATGTCCGAACCTTTATCGACAAAAGGACTCGACTCCGAGGTGCTTGTTCTCTTATACCCCTTGCACCAAGCATTGATTGCTACTCTTGACTTTCTCCTCGCCACGAGCCTACTTCCCGCGGAGCTTCATCTACTGGGATCAGGTTTGACAAATCTCCTTCTGTTCGCCAAATCGCCTCAAGCTCAGATACTAAAGACGCTACTATGGTTGGGCGGGCTGAGTGTTTGGGTTCTCTGCCGCACCGTTCTTCGATGGGAGATTACATTGGCTAGAATCCCGACCTGGAAGTTTCGCAAACCCCCAAGTAGTTCGTTCTCTCCGAAAAAGTTTATCAATTTTATAGACCACAAGATTTGTGAAAAGATTAGTGCCATAGGCACAAACAGCGAAAAAGAGTTGGACTCTGATAGTGAAGATGATGCCGACAGCCCTCAAAGACCCCAGGCACGTCAGAGCAGTCTGCCTCGCCAGAATGGATTCTGGTCACAGCGCGACCTGAAAGAAGGAATTCGGCTAGACGACCTCTGGCCCTCGTCTTGGGCAGCCACCAAAAGTCTTCTGCAATCACACAAAAGACGACATACTATTTCTACTGTCGATGACCTCGAAACTGTCAGAACAGGGCGAGCACCTCCTCGAACCACACCGGGCGGAAGACGCAAGCGGTCTATGGCACCTGATCTGGCTTCCTTCCTTACTCTAACCGCCGCTCAAGCGCGCATTCGACGGTGGCTGTTCGCAGGATACATATTCACAGCGATGATTGCGATCATACTCCTTCCGATCCGACTCTATATTACGAACGAAGCCTTACACGGAAAAGATCCTTTCGGTTGGGCTTTAGGATATTTATTTGGAAATATCTCTTCTTTCCGACTTTGGACATTGAAGTGGAATCTCGAGTATTGGATCCAGCTACCGAAACGTCATGAGGAAAATCAGTTTTGCCATCGAGGCTGGGTCGAACATCTACGTCGTGATACATTCGGTGAAGCAAATACTCGTCTTTTGATTAGCGGACACTGTCTTTTGGTCTTGATTGTTGGATTGGCCACAGTCCTTCAACTCAGCAAAATTGCCGAGGTGGATACTAGGCGGAAGATCTTTCACGGAATGATGGTGCTGATGTTTTTGCCTGTGACGTATATCGACCCTGCCTACTCAGCACTAGCATTGACGCTTGTCCTGGCTCTTTTCCTACTGCTCGATCTTCTCCGCGCATCTCAAGTGCCACCCGTCGCCAAACCGTTGACATATTTCCTGGCACCGTACACTGACGGTCGTGACCATCGGGGTCCGGTCATTGTCTCCCATATATTCTTGCTCATTGGCTGTGCTATTCCTCTCTGGTTGTCTCTCGCCGATTTGCCGCGTGTCACTATTGACGACGATCTTGAGAGCCCCTGGTCAGGCTGGGAAGTTCCATCTCGAGATGTCAGTATGGTCAGCGGGATCGTCTGCGTGGGCATGGGAGACGCCGCAGCATCCCTTGTTGGACGACGATATGGTCGTCTCAAGTGGTTCTGGGGTGGCGGCAAGTCACTAGAGGGTAGTTTGGCATTCACGATTGCTGTCTTTGCGGGCTTGATGGTTGCTCGTATGTGGCTGGCAGTTGGTGGATGGGCGGCTGTATCATCGGCGGCTTTCATCAGCATGTCGTCTTGGGGCGTTGTTGCTGTGAAATGCCTTCTTGCTGCTGGCGGTGCTAGTTTGACCGAGGCTGTTCTGACGGGAGGCAACGACAATGTCATTGTTCCTGTAGTACTCTGGCTACTCGTTCGTGGATTGGCCATATAACCAACAATTTTCTATATATATATTTCAGTCTGTCTAAGCTTGAGGCTACATGACAGATTCGAAACCTTCAGGCATGCATAATGCCTATTACTGTACAAAAATAATATGGGGAGGATGGTTGGCGCGGCGTTTGCATTGAGGTATAGATACTTGATATCCTTTTGTCACGACATGGTATACATACATAATGAGACGAGATTTATGTTGGACATGGGAGGTTATTGTAAAGTTTTCGCCTACATTTAGGTAGCTATGTTATAATGATTCCCAATTTTATATTTCTGGTTAACCATTTACCTTTCTTAGGATGGATATTATCAAAGGGCTACCTAGTTAATCGAAAGTATTTCTACTAGCCTCAACCCTTCTAAGGTTACCTAAGTAAAAGGACGATTATAAACTCAAGTATATACATTATCGTGCTATCAAGATTAACAAATTTACAGCAAGAGAACACATGCACCCTGAATTGTCTTAGGGTCATCACAAGTCAAACCCAATGTAAATCCCGCCTACCCTAGTCTTTCAGAACTCCAAACTAACGCAGTTATAGACAATCACACCATTTGGAAGAGCTCCCCAATGGAACTCCTGGTCAACGCTTCATCCCATACTCGGCTTGAAGCCATGAGCTAAATCCCGGTGCGATGACATGCTTTCCATGAGTTCATTAGAAAAGGCAGGTGGAAGTATCGATTGATGTCCGTTCATATAGGTTGCAAGTCTGGTCGCTAGTAAACGGAACATCAACCTTTTCTGCAAAGACCAATCAATATAAACAATAACAAAGCGACTGCCCCTTAGGTACGGCCTGCCCGTCAAACCATCATATATATACTCAAGTATATGTGAAACTCGTCAAATATGCGCGTTGTATTGTCTTCACTATTAGTCTTCTAGAGGTTCCCGCTGAGGTAAAGCCGTGATATGGTTGGTCTGAGTTTCCTTGATAACATTTGCGGTGGCTTGCTCCTGAGACCTGCGCACGACTTCCATTCTATGAGCAGTCGTCAGTGTATCTTCATGACCAGGTCCTAATGTATCATTAAAGACCTTAAAAGCAATAGTGTAATATTCCAGTGCCTTATTGAATTGGTATTGCTTTTCATATACAATACCAATATTATAAACAGTCCATAGAGTATCTTCGTGATTCGGCCCAAGAGTATAATTTTGTCCCTTATAGGCAATGAAAAACCACTCCAGGGCTTTATCAAATTGGGATTGAAATTCATATGTAAGACCAATATCATAAGCAGACTGCAGGGTATTTTCATGATCAGGTCCTAAAGTATGATTTCTTCCTGTATAAGCAATAGAATACCACTCCAGGGCTTTGTCAAATTGGGCCTGCTTATAATATGTGTTACCAATATTATGAGCGGAATATAGAGTATCTTCATGATCAGGTCCTAAAGTATGATTTCTTCCCTCAAAAGCAAGAGAGTACCATTCTAGAGCTTCGTCAAACTGGGATTGGAATTCATATGTAAGACCAATATTATGAGCCAACTGCAGGGTATCTTCATGATCAGGTCCTAAAGTATGATTTCTTCCCTCAAAAGCAAGTGAATACCATTGATCTGCTTCATCGTATTTTTGCAGGTGCAAATAATGGTCTGCAACCCACTTAGCGGCATTCTGTGTCAACATATTCCCCCTGCCCAACGTAGCCAGTCGCCCTTCATACGCAGTAAGTTTCAACTCAAGAGCCTTGTCGAAATTTCTTTCTACTTCATAGAGAGCGGCTAACCCCATAAAAGCAACCATTGTAGCGTAATTTCCACGGCCCAAAACACGCTGCCGAGCTGTCAAGAGCCATTTGTACCATCTCCGCGATTCTTCGAAGCGTTGCAGTCTATACAACACCCAAGCTAGATCTCCTGCAATAGTCAGAGACCTGGGGTGCATTGGATGAAGCCGTATATATGCCTCCGACAGTTCCCATCGAAAGAACTTTTCCGCGACCGGGAGATTATAATTTCTCACAGCAATGGTCAGTTTGTAAGCGAGGAACCACGGATCACCTTCCAATTGTTCATCTTCGCGATGCAGAGATTTAAATGACAAACATGCCTCCTGTAATTGACCCATAAGCCAGAGGTACCACCACTGTGGTGTTTCATAGATTAGGGATATGACTCGAGGCAATGACTGATGTTCTGGTGGATTCTGGGGGTTCGCTGATGCCGACGGCGTGGCTTTGGAAAGGTATGTCCGGGCATTCTCGAGAGCTGCATGGACGTGTGGTACGAGCCGGTATTCATAATCATCATGCAAACGACCCTCTCGTTTTCGCAATCGTAGTGTACGAGCAAGAAGTCGGAGGGCCCTGTCTGAAAGTTCCTGCTTTCTCTGTAGAGGCAGCCGCTGCCGAATCCAATAGTGGATCAATGGATGAATAGTAATAGCATCCATTGAGGATGAAAAGCGAACCAAAGAGAAGGATGAGAGTAAGAGAAGTAAGTGATGAATAGATTCCTCTGTTAAAACGACATATCAGCTACGTATGATTCTCATCGTCGCCAGGGTGAAGGCGTACTGTGCGTTTGAAACCGTGTATCATCTGACAACATCTCTTCGAATATGTCATTATTCGACAAGAAACCGGAAAGAAAAAGAAGATCAGCGGCTTCTGGCTTTTCCTCCTCGACCCTCTGAAGAGACACCTCCCATGTAGTGAGTATTGTGTCGTTACGATAGTCCCACATAGATTGAGGTCGCCTATGGGCGAGGAGCCTTTCTGCATTGACGTGATATTGCTCGATGTATTTTTGGATGGCTCGCGTAAATTGCTCTGGTTGTTCTGGAAGAAACTTTTGCTGAGCAGATATATAGGCGCTAGCCTGCTCTATGGCAAGAGGAAAATACCCCAATAATTCAAGCAATTCGTGGATAACACGATCTGGCACTTGTGTCAATGAGAAGAACTATCGAAATGCCGTATTTCTGGGCTTACCGTCGATTTTTCCATTGAAGCCACAATTTGTGGCAAAAAGAGACCTGCCCTCGTCTTCACTCATTTCTTCAACCTCAGTGCTTCTCCAGTAGCCGGAAATATCTTTTCGCCTACTTGTGATGAGGATGCTACCAAAGGAAACCCGGGGGAAATAATTGCGAACGTCAAATGAATCCAAATCATCGACATTGTCAAATATTAGCAACCATTCATCATTCTGCTGCTTCGCCAGCCAATTCATGATCCCGCCGACAGCAGTTGAGAATTTCGCGACGCTAGAACTCACATCACCCACCAATTGTGCCTCAAAACTTTTGTATTCTGTATCATTTGTATGGGTATTTCGGAAGTGCTGCAAGACCTGTTCTGCCGCATGGGTAAGACTCCGGCGGATAGCTGATTCACTGGCCCCATCAATCCAGAACACTGCCGAGTAGTTATTCTTATAGCTATATGCATATTCGATAGCGATTTGCGTCTTGCCTATTCCCCCCGGCCCGTGCAGAGCAAAGATGCATTGCTGGGAATCGGGGCATTCATCCTTGAAGTAGCGATGGACCTGCTGCAGAAGATGTGTTCGACCGCTGAATCGATTGTTGCGTAGCACCGGCAACTGAAGCGTAATTTGAAACTCATCCTTTGTGCCCTGACTACGTCGAGTTTGTCGAGGTTCGGAAGATATGGCGTTTGACAGAATGGATAAAACCATCTGATAGTTGCTATTGCGAGAGGAAAATTTGTTTAAACCGCGATGATCCACGGGAAGGCCAATGTTCCGTACCCTACCTCCTCCAAACTTGGCAGATTGTTCACGAACACACTATGGCCGGAGTCAGACAAGAGAAACTATCCAAGTAAAATAGTTGCATCCTTACAAACTCTCTCCATCGAAAGAACCATAAACTGAATAATAGAGTTGGTCGCTGCTCGAAGACGTTGACGATCTGAATTTTTTCGTCTATACTGGCCTCGAAGCTTGTATGTAAATCCAGAAGCATGGTAGAGTCGTACTCTATCTCCCCAAGGATAGAAGGGTTTGATCCGATCAATCGAAGTAGACGAGCCATTCGACGACCCCAAGTGCTGAACGTAGATCCACGATGAGGAGTCCCCAGAAAGACGATTGCCTTTGTATGCTGGGAGACATACTCAAAATTTGGATTTCCACGAGCAAGGGTGAGAGCCTCCTTGATGACCAAACCTCCGTAGCTATACCCAACGAATATGAAATTGCGATTGAGATCCTAGTTTCAAGTCAGACGAGTCACGCCTTATTTGCACTACGGGATCCCCATACTTCTTGTGATCGACGTATACTATTTGCCATGTGCTCCAGAAAATCATTTCCGATGGTTGCGAGCCTGACTTGCACCGCGTCTCGTTTCCAAAATGACTCGAAGTTGAAGAAGTAAAGACGGATATCGCCATCCTCTAGGTGACGCAGGTCATCCGGCAGAAGATCACTGACCCAAGTCACATCTTCTTCGCCTGAGTCGGTCACTCTTCGCGCCTGCCATGTCGTAGCCGGGTTGGAGCCAAGCCCGTGCACAAAGATAATGCTGTGAATCAATTAGCAGGCCTCTGTGGAAGTTTATCCCATGTCGAGGAGATGATTACTCAATCCCATTACTGCCTTGTGGTTGAGTATAGTTACTGGCTGGCACAACCCCCAGTAGTGCTTTGTGTGCCTGAGCTGGATTGACGGGCGAGGGAATGCCGCGGATCAAGAAATCGTATATTATGACTGCGACAAGGGGAACAATTACTCCGACCGTGTAGGTAACTCTCCACATTGTAATACACTGTACTTGTGACAGGCTTTACATAGCCTTGAGAGGCAGTCGCCTAGCGAAATGATTGTTCCCAGGTACTGATTCAAAGATTTTTCTGTAGTTCAATACAAAGGGGAAAAAGATGATTGGGGATGAAGGATGCGAAGTTCTTCAGAGTCTGGCTGAAACTGCCCAGGAGTGATAAATTTGGCGGCAATAAATCTCAATAAGAATTAAAGAGCCGGTGCTCAGGCTGTTTGCTATCTTACTGCAAGGCTGGCCACTCAAAACCCAGGTCAGCGAACTCGGATTTTTGGTCTTGTGCATGCTACCGCGGTGCATACTGATAGGCAGTGGGCTTTTTAAGCGCTCCTCATCCACTGCTTATATTTCTACTGCGAAGTCATGGAATAATCTGCAGAAAATGTTTTCTCAACCCCCATTTACACAGTTCGAAGCATTGAACAAAGAGTGGTTAAGTTCGCAGCTTGATTCCAATGGTTCAAGCACGCAAGAAAACACACCCACCACTATCAGTCACGTACCAGGATTTCCATCAGTCGCACTCCGACAGCAAGACGTCAATCACTTTCTCACCGACGAATTGGTGACTCCGGTCTTAGACGAACTACATGATCATCTCTGGCTGGTTGCCCGAAAATCCGGTCAGAACATCGATGCCCTTCATGTACAGAGACTGAGAGGTCGGACCGTTCTCCTAAGCGAGGACCCAAATCTTCATCTTCTTTGGGGACGTAACCAAATCTATATCAAGCCAATTCCTATTTGCCTCCTGAATCACCATTTTTGGGCTCAGTATCTCTGTCAAAGGCACACGGACTCCGGCCCTTTGGCTTCTACATTCGACCCATCTGTAGCGACTGGCTTCTTAAGATCGTACGCCTCGTTGATACAGCACCAGTCAGATTTCCTCGTCGCTCAAGAATTGCACTTGATACCCACGGAAATAAGCTGGGAGGACTGGACACGATTTGCCTGCCAATTCCGATCACTAGGTGAGGGGCAGGTATCGAAGAGATACCATTATGGCCAGATGCGGCTTTCGCGGCTAGATTGGGCGGTGCGTATTTTTCGTCCACGTCAGGCTCGCACTGCCTGGTTCTATGATATTCCCTATAGGTCAATCACCAATTATCTCTCGTCTTCCACAATTCCGCTGTTGTTTATCTTTGCCAGTGTCTCGGTTGTGCTTTCAGCCATGCAGGTTCTCCTGACCGTGTCGCCGGAGACCGGGTTTCTGAAGCAGCTACAATTCGCTGGATTACCGCAGATGGAACTCGTGTTTTGGGTCTTTTCCATAGGTATTCTTCTGGCGTCGGCGGCTGTTTGGTTGTTGCTCTTGGAAATCCCGATTGCTATTTTGAGCTGGCAGTTAACCTGGGGATATCGAAATCGAGGCATAGCTCAAAAACCATGGAGATAAACAATTAGCGAATTGATTCTCTTTGAAGACATCTATAGATGACTTTTTGAGTTGTTAGTATTTCACTCAAAAAGAATAAGCGACGTGCGGGAGCTGCTGGCGCTTATAGCTTCTGGTTAAGACCTCGCCTATGGTGATATAATACTTTTTTTCTACACTTTTGGTTTTAGTCTTGATCTACTATAGACTAAGATTACATATTGACAGGACACAAGATCAGACCCTAAGACTAAACCCAATTACCTCAGCGCACATTGAAACATGATAAACTAACCAAAACTGATTACGAATCTGACTGCTTAGGCACGCGAATGAGCATGTTCTGGTCAACACCACATGTTGCCATACCGCAACTTGGGACACCCACCCTAGTCTTTCTCGAATCCTGTTCAGTCAGCGAACGACCGATTTGAAACACGACTGCTGCAGAGGTACCCGATATGCACGCTGTCTATAATTAAAGATAAAAAACGGCTGCCATTTGACGTGTATTAAGATGTGTCAATAATTGACAAGATACATCATTCAGGATGATTGATTTTGTACAAGCCAGAGGTCTTGACTAGGGTTATTATTTTAGGGTTGATTCCTGAATGCGATCAAGATAAAGTGCGGGGGTGAGGACGGCCAATCAGGCTGCGCGATCGGAACGGGCTCATTCTTAATCGAGGCATGGGCGCGTATGGCGTCACGATCTTTTCATGTTCATCTCAGTCGATCTGACTGAAACCATCAGCCCGCTCAAAGCGTATAGATGATTAACTTTGGTTAGTCCTGCGGCACTGCATGATGATCATAATGAAACGGGCATGTCAGGTACCACAGTCATCATTGCACCAACGGCATGATCAATGATGAAAGATCGCATTTCATGGGTGTCAGGGTTATCAACTTCTTACATAGTACATAGTACGTGTTTCAGAGGCGGAGGTCACGCCTGTTGGTCGACTGGACCGTGTGGATCAGCCACCAACCCTAAATGTCCAAGTCACGGCAGTCGGACGATGGATGGTGTAATTTTGAGTGATTCCTTTGGTCTTCTTACTGAGTAAAGAGTGCCAAAAATGGATTACTAACAGTCCACTTGGTAAGATCATACTAAGATGGCGATCACGAACTCGCCCTTATCTCTGGTCTGCCTCTAACAGGCTCTCTGCCTCGACTTATCGTATCGTAGATACGAAATTAAGTACCTCTATCAGATAACGCCAACTGGCTGCCCGCTAGTATGCAAGCGGCTCTAGAGTACTTCTTGAGAAATAAAAGCCAATCAGCACTCAGTATTACGCTCCACTACCACCTCGTGACTTGCTTTCCGCGTCGCTGATTGGCCTGTCCTGACTAATCAGCCAGGTCTGCCTCAGGACGCTCCTTCGCTGTGCTGGTCACGCCTCACAGCTAAGCCCAATCACCGCGCAATGCTCTTGAGTCACGACTTCGACCTCAATCATTATTTGTCTTGCTACTTACTACGAACCTGAACTCATCCTTTTTTAGCATCTATTCCCATCACTTTGTCCCATCACACGTTCACTGAGTGAACCATCCTCACGCCATATACCTTTCATCCGTGTTCTAACTCCTCTTATCTACGATTCTGCCATTCGCCTTCCGTCATTCGAGACTTTATCGGAACCTTGGGAGCTCTCACCCCCTCGAATGGTCTGACCGTTTCCACGCATATACTCATTTGTCTATTACTGCTTGCTTGCTTTCTCGTCGCTTTGCATTAGATTCCAACGCATAGTTCTGGTGCTTTTTTTCGAATACGAGCTCTCCCTCCGAACAAGACTGCTGCCTTCGCCGGTCGTCCCCATCCCACCGCAAAGTAAACAACTACGAGCTCAACCTTATATATAATATTCCCTTCTCGCATCACTGAGCCGGCTGTGTGGATTTCCAGGATCTTCCGGTTCTCGACTGCATAATTTGCATAATCTGCATTCGTCCGTTCTGTTATCGAATACCTATCCCATACTTGTACTCACTATCGGACGACTCCTCTCCATGGGCAACGCTTGTTCCTCATCAGCCAGTACTTTGCTGTCGAGGTAGTTGTGACGGACGGAGAGTGCAGAAGAGATCGGTGACTTGCGGATAGCAGCAAGAGTGGGCTTAATCACTCAACTCGTCATCTCAGAATGGCGTCTGCACAGCCAGTTCCGTCCTCGACGAGGCGGAATCGCGATGCTTCTCATACTGAGGTTCCGATAGGGCGTTACATACGGATGGATCAGATCGGCCGAGGTAGCTTCGCAACCGTCTATCAAGGAGTGCATGCGGTATGTCTATTCAGTTTGATTGTTTTATGTATCACATGCTGATTACGTTTTGTATAGAAACATAAGTCCTACGTCGCTATCAAATCGGTCAATTTATCGAAACTCAATAAGAAACTAAAGGAGAATCTATGGTCGGAAATCGATATTTTAAAGGGTCTTCATCACCCGCATATCGTCGCTTTGATCGACTGCCATGAGTCCACATCTCACATCCACTTGGTGATGGAGTATTGTGCATTAGGAGACCTTTCTCTTTTCATCAAGAGGCGCGACACACTTCGGGACCACCGATACACTCGAGACATGATCGCCAAGTACCCAAACCCGCGGGTTGGGGCCCTCAATGAAGTCGTAGTCCGCCATTTCCTAAAACAACTTTCCAGCGCACTGAAATTCCTCCGCGACCGCAACTTGATACATCGGGACATCAAGCCCCAAAACCTTTTACTCTGTCCTTCGCCTTCATCATATCGCAATGCCGCCGCCGCTCAGGTAGTACCCTTCAAAGGAAGCGACGACTCTTTTACTCCACTAGCTGGTTTGGAAACCCTTCCAATGCTCAAGATAGCCGATTTCGGGTTCGCCAGATCCTTGCCATCGACCTCTCTGGCCGAAACCCTTTGTGGCTCTCCACTCTACATGGCCCCAGAAATTCTGAGATATGAGAAATACGATGCCAAAGCTGATTTGTGGTCTGTCGGCACGGTCCTGTATGAGATGGTCGTTGGTAAACCTCCGTTCATGGCATCTAATCATGTTGAGCTGCTCCGCCGAATAGAACGACACAAGGACAAGATTCGATTTCCCGACGAGCTGGAGATATCGGCCGATATCAAAGCACTCATTCGGGGACTGCTCAAGATGAATCCAGTGGAGCGGATGAACTTTCCCGAATTCTTCGATCACGTTGTCATTCAAGAAACTATCCCTGGTCTTGTAGGAAACGACCTTGTTCCGGCCCAACGAACTTTCAATACGCAACAACTGGAGCCGGCTCTATCCAGCGAAAATAGATCTTCCGATATACACGACCCTCAATTGCAGCTAGAAGATATTAGGGAACCTCAAATCCCGATGCCGACCTCTCGACCAACGGGTAGTCCGAGGATCGATCTAGGCACCTCGCCACGATCAGAACCAATGCAGCGAACGGCTAGCGGAGAAAAATTGCCACGGATTAGCGATGCACAACGTGCCGCAGGTATCGGTAGGAGGCCAGGTCCAATCTCGCACGTAACCGCACCAGGTCGACAAGAATTGGTGGATAAATATCCAGGAGCGCTCGAGCGACGGCCTAGTCGCAACTCACCTTATCAATCTCCCGTAATAAAACAAGAAGAGGACCCGACGATAAAGGACGAGCGCGAGCGGGCTGCTCAGGACATAGCTTTTGAGCGTGACTATGTTTTGGTGGAAAAGCGTGCAGTGGAAGTCAATGCCTTCGCTGATGAGTTGGCTAATAGCCCACGAATAGCGCAGCCGGGTTCTCGTCTTTCTGGGGGTATTGTGCGACGAGCAACCGTGCAAAACGTTCATTCTTCAAATAATCCCCCAGCCTCTCCGAAAGCTATACAATTTACTGGGCGGGCCCGAGCGGACTCACACACGCGGCAAGGCTCGTACGAACGGCGATATGGCCAGAGCCCGTCATCTGCCACATCAGCGATATCTAAGGCACTAAACATGGCCAGTGGGCGTCTCTTTGGAGTCAGCTTCTCGCCGCCTATTGGGTTGAGCAAGGGAGGACGTTCTCCGCCACTAACTTACAATCCGTATCCGACATATCCGGCGGCACAGTACAGTCTTTTGATGGGTGCCGAAGGAGTGAAGACGAACACCGCATTGGACGAAGATACGAAAACGGTTCAATATATCGAGGACTGCGCTACCCGCAGTGATGTTGTTTACGGGTTTGCTGAGGTCAAGTATAAGCAGCTTATTCCCCTTGCTCCCTCTGTGCAGACAGATTTGGACAAGGGCGGTGAGCAAGTCTTTTCGGACTCTGATGATGGCGAGTTGACGCCTGATGCCATTGTCACATTATCTGAAGAAGCTTTGGTTCTGTACGTGAAGGCTTTGGCACTTCTCGCCAAGTCCATGGATATCGCAGGAGGTTGGTGGGCTCGCAAAAACCGCGGCGAAGTCTTTGGCGAGTCGGCTCAAGGTGCTACTACGACTAGTGCTCTTGTTGGAACACGAATCAATAACGTCGTTCAATGGGTACGCAACCGGTTCAACGAGGTGTTGGAAAAGGCGGAATTCGTTCGGTTAAAACTCATTGAGGGCCAGAAGCGCCTGCCATCGGATCATCCGAGCCATCCAAGCAATCACTCTCTGGAGTCGAATTCCGCAGGTACCCTAGGCACCTCTACCGATCACGTTGTGGTTAGTTCGGGCGTCACTGCGGAGAAGCTGATGTACGACCGTGCTCTTGAGATGAGTCGAGCGGCGGCCATCAATGAACTCACCGGAGAAGACTTGCCAGGATGTGAAATCGCATACATCACGGCTATCCGCATGCTTGAGGCCGTCCTTGAGAGCGATGAGTTATCACAGTCTAATAAGGGCGTTGATCCAGACAAAATATCCCTCGACGGAGTCCAGGTCGAGGACCGCAAAGTAGTCAGCAAGCGTGAGTATCTTCCAAGAATTTCCAAAACTAAGACTAATTTATTGTCTTTGCAGTCGTGTCAAGCATTCGTTCTCGCCTGGCCTCTCTTCGCAAAAAGATTGCTGTCGTGGCCAAGCACTCGTCGACGCCTATGGGCACGTCGCCTGGCAAAGTTGCAGCGGCAAAGGTGCGACCGGCTTCTCCTGCGATTGCAGGAATAAGTCCACCTCGGTGATATCCATGATATATTTGCCTTTCTCATCTGCGAACCATCTATCGCATTACGACAGTCCCGGTCGAAGCACCGCTGTACTTCATCGGTCAAATCGCATTGTATTTTGCATCTTTTCTTCATGTTATTATTTTGTTCATATGACGCATTTCAGGAGCAGGCATCCTTGAGCTATATTCATACGCTTTCTCTCCTCCTTTCAATACACCTTGGGAAGATGCAAATTTATATTTTCGTTCACCTGCTAATATTCCAGGCGTCATGACGGGAGAAGTCTTTGATTATTGGAGTTTGGGATGGTTTTCTCTTCTTGTTTTTACTTTTTGGTTCTTGTCATATATCCGGGTTTTACTTTCACAGGTCAGAACCAGACTGACTTAAACATATCATATCAGTTAGTTGACCTTTTTCATTCTCCCTTGGGATACGGGAGGAGAAGACGAAAGGCGTTGATTTTGATTTTTGTTTTGGGGGGATTTCTTTGGGGGGTGTTTGGTTGGCATGGGAATAAATTTAACACGAGACTGGTATTGGGTATTACGAGAGCGGATATTTGCAATTGATATGCAATACGATTGTTTTGTACTTGCAACTTGTTTGTTCTAAACTGTTGTACAGCGTCTCGTTTATTGAGGTTTCCGTAAGACGCGCGTTTATTTGTATTGCATAAGGTCAATATTGAGTTATATGATAATTCCACTCTTCATCTGACTAAGAAGGTAAAACAATCTCGAAAGATTGCAGAATGTCCCAGTCATCTATGGTAGTCCATCCACCTAATTCGCTTGCGAACACACAAGAAAAAAAGAATAGACACCTCAAACGTGCTGAAAATCGGTCTGGCAGCTTATGTATAATAAGTCATTCAGGAACAAACAGAAAGACTTGGGTTGGTACATAAACGCTGCGTGTATGATTATTATATGTATGGAGAAGAAAAAAGGAAGGAATGGAGAAGAGGAAGGAAAATTGAGGATATTATCGGAGCACGCTAGGCTGGAATAGGGAGGTGATTGTTAACAGGTCACGAGTGGTCTCTGCCTGCCTGTTTGACGATAGCTCGCTCGAATCGCTTCAGAGGACACATGGCATATTCAGAGGTTGATTGCATTACTTCTCTGATGATTATTTTTTTTTTTACCAGACCTTAGAGGCGTGTTGCTAGTAGTCAGCTTGTAGGCAAGAGGAGACAGGGCTGTCTGGAGAACAGACTAACCCGAACACGGCTAGCAAGATCTGGCAGTCCTTGTCAGATGTAAATTCCAGATCTACATAGTATAATTTTCCAGAGACCAGGAGATTTTCATTTGGCAATAGTTTCATTGGGGGCTGAATTGGGGGCTGGCAGTATATTATCATCAATTGCAGTTAGTGGGGAATACGAACCCCTCATTGAGCTCGCCTTCTCTATGCCTCCCGTCAGCCTGTCGTCGTCGGTCTTGCCACGAGTCTGCTGGCACTCGGCAATCCCCAAAGCTTCTCTGCTCAAGGCACCCAGCTCTACTTTTCGTTTCCTCTCTACTTCTTCTGCTTCTTCTTCTTCTTCTTCTTTTCTTCATTCAACAACCCCTCGCTCACCCCTCTCCACACCTCGCTCTTCTACAATCAACGCATTCACACGCTCCGGATTCCCCTCCATCGTCGCCCGATCCGCAACGCCCCTAGCTCAAATCTCCAAACGATATTGCTCTTATCGCAGAATGTGTCACGCCAGACATGCCGACGAGAGCTTTGGCTCGACTAATGTCGCCGGTCGCGAGGTGTTGCCCACCAATGTCAAGCCGGTGCACTACGACCTGACTCTTGAGCCAGACTTCGAGAAGTTCACCTACGAGGGAACTGTTATTATCGAGTAAGTCCACTCACACTGGTAGAGGATATCAAGCTAAATGGTATAGTCTCAACGTCAACGAAGACACCACCTCCATTTCCCTCAACACCAACGAACTCGAAATCCACTCCAGCCACATCCTCGTCGATGGCAGCGTCATCGCCTCCTCTCCCACCCTCTCCTACGACAAGGACAAACAAGTCACCACCGTCAGCTTCAGCGAGACCATCCCCGTCGGCTCCAAGGCCCAGCTGAAGCAGACCTTTACTGGTATTCTGAACGATAACATGGCCGGTTTCTATCGCTCATCTTACAAGACTGCCAACGGCGGAACTGGGTACATCGCCTCGTCGCAGATGGAGCCTACGGATGCGCGGAGGGCGTTCCCTTGTTTCGATGAGCCGGCCCTCAAGGCCGAGTTCTCGGTAACGCTGGTTGCGGATAAACAGATGACTTGCCTTTCCAACATGGATGTTGCGTCCGAGTCGGAAGTGGACTCGAAAATTACCGGTGGCAAGAGGAAGGCTGTCAAGTTCAACAGGTCGCCTGTCATGTCTACTTATCTGTTGGCTTTCATTGTCGGCGAATTGAAGTGCATTGAAACGAACAACTTCCGTGTCCCCGTGCGAGTTTTCGCTACCTTGGACCAGGACATTGAACATGGACGATTCTCTTTGGAATTGGCCGCCAAAACTCTTGCGTTCTACGAAAAGGCTTTCGACAATGAGTACCCTCTCCCCAAAATGGATATGGTCGCCATTCCGGATTTCAGTGCTGGTGCCATGGAGAACTGGGGTCTGGTCACTTACCGTGTTGTCGATTTGCTTCTCGACGAGAAGACCAGCAGTGCCTCAGTCAAGGAGCGTGTTGCCGAAGTCGTGCAGCACGAATTGGCTCATCAATGGTTCGGTAATTTGGTCACTATGGACTTCTGGGATGGTCTGTGGTTGAATGAAGGTTTCGCTACTTGGATGTCGTGGTACTCTTGCAACGCTTTCTACCCCGAGTGGAAGGTCTGGCAGACCTATGTGATTGATAACCTCCAAAGTGCTCTTTCGCTTGATTCGCTGCGAAGCAGTCACCCGATTGAAGTGCCTGTCAAGCGTGCGGATGAGATCAATCAAATCTTTGACGCGATTTCGTACTCCAAGGGCTCGTCTGTGCTGCGTATGATCTCCAAGTATTTGGGTGAGGATGTGTTCCTCCAGGGAGTTCGTGATTATATCAAGAAACACGCTTATGGAAACACACAGACTGGCGACCTCTGGGCTGCATTGGCCAAGGCTAGCGGTAAGCCGGTCGAAGAAGTCATGGATGTTTGGACCAAGCATGTTGGTTTCCCCGTTGTGCAGGTCACTGAGAATGCAGACAAGGGTACTTTGAACATCAAGCAGAACCGTTTCTTGCGAACGGGCGATGTCAAGCCTGAAGAAGACGAGACTGTCTACCCTGTATTCTTGGCTTTGAGGACTAAGGATGGTGTTGCTGAGGATCTTGTCTTGGACAAGCGTGAGTCCGAGTTCAAGGTTCCCGACCTTGACTTTTTCAAGGTCAATGCCGACCACTCGGGTATTTACCGAACCTCGTACACTCCGGAACGATTGGCGAAGTTGGGCGAGGCGGCCAAGGCAGGGTTGTTGACTGTCGAAGACCGTGCCGGTATGGTTGCCGATTCGGGTGCTTTGGCTTCTGCCGGATACCAAAAGACTTCTGGCTTGCTTTCTCTTCTGAAGGGCTTCAACACCGAGTCTGAGTTTATTGTCTGGAACGAGATGCTTACACGCGTGGGAAGCTTGCGAGCGGCTTGGCTGTTCGAGGACGAGAAGACTCGTGACGCACTCAAGGCATTCCAGCGTGCTATCACCAGCGAGAAGGCTCATCAACTTGGATGGAAATTCTCGGACTCCGATGACCACGTCCTACAACAATTCAAGGCTCTTTTGTTCGGAAGCGCCGGATCAGCCGGCGACGCAACCATTGTCGCCGCTGCCCAGGACATGTTCAAGCGTTACATTGACGGCGACCGTAGCGCCATTCACCCCAACATCCGTGGAAGCGTGTACAACATCGTCCTCAAGAACGGCGGTGAGAAGGAATACAACGCCATCCTCGACATTTACCGCACCGCCACCACCTCCGACGAGAAGAACACCGCTCTCCGCAGCCTCGGTGCCGCAGAGGACGTCAACCTCGTCCGCCGAACGCTCGACCTCGCCACCAACGGCGAAGTCAGGAACCAAGATGTATACATGCCTCTGTCTGGGCTTCGGAACCACACCACCGGTGTCGAAGAGCGATGGAAGTGGCTGCAGGAGAACTGGGATACCATACTCACTCGTTTCCCGCCCTCATTGGGCATGTTGGGTACGATCATCCAGTTGTCGTCTGTGGCCTTCAACACGGAAGAACAGCTCAAGGAAGTTGAAGCTTTCTTTGCTCCCAAGGAAACTAAGGTACCTTTCTCCCTGTCTTGATCAAATAACATACGAACTAATTTTGGTGATAGGGCTTCGACCGAGCTGTTAGTCAGAGTCTGGACGCCATCAAGGCCAAGGCTCATTGGCTGAAACGGGACCGTGAGGATGTCGAGCAGTGGCTTAAGACGAATGGCTATTTTAATGTTGAGCAGAAGCTGTAATTTGCGTATCTACCATACGTGAGAAGTAGCTATCGTATAGTCTAGCGATCATCAAAAGCAAGATACGAATGTATAATATCTCATCTCATTTGCTACCATGTAGTACTTTTACATGATTCGCAGGCTGTCTCAGCAGCTGTATTGAAAATTATGATTGGCCAGTCACCATCTACACCTCTATACCTGGGGAAACGCTTCCCCAAAAGCGCATGGATCTCATGGCGTTTGGTCGTGAGATCTAGTCCCATTCTGGAAATCTAACAATCATCAATTCTGCAAATTCTGCATATTATTCCAGTGATGACGCAGAAATACCCAATTGCTTGGACATGTGAGGCGACGCAAAGCATCATGGCTGTATTCACGATGAGTGATTCATCGACTTCATGAGTACCCAAAAGATAGTGATGTAAGTCGGTCGTGCCCGAAAGTTAGTCCTCTGTCGGTAGTTATTAGATTGATATATCCCCGGGCCCTCAGTCTGCCTCGTGTGTCCAACTGATCATCTCTTCTTTCCGTGTCTTTCTGAGGGCTAGTAGTGACAAGGCTGAGATGGGACGCTCGTTCTTGCCTGTTTCGTGTTTCGGTCAAGTCGCTCCTTCCTGTCTGTGAACCTGCCGAGATGTGAGGTCACTGGGGAAGGCCTGAAGGACAGTCGTCTACACAAACTTGAGACAACAAGAAAATGTCAAAATACTCCCCATTTGCTAATTGCGCGATTGAACATGATTTATCTGGATTTCGCCTCGTTTTCAACTCCTTGAGTCTGGATTCTGTGAACCCTGGCCTGGGCGTACCCCCGCATGACTAGTCGCGCGATAAGACTCCGTGTCTCTGCGTGACTGTGTCGACGCAGCGAAGGAAGGTTGACCCTCGGCATTTTCTCATTGTGTAATGGAATCGCAGCAGACCGAGTTGTCGTGAACGTCTGCGAGGCATCTTTTCGAAACGAATGATTATAGCCAATACGAAACGTCATGTTCTCAATTGCCAAAACGGTTCCCCAACACTCAATGTTCAGCGTTCGTTGCTTTCAAAACCCTGATCCTGGCCTGTTCGTCTACACTATAGTCTCCCTTGTCTCTATTCGCAGATCGTGTTCGTCTGGCCTATAGTGGCTGTGTTAATTGTGTTTCGACCGCAGCACTACCACTTCTTTCTACACTACCATTCCTGACACTTCCCCAAGGTGGACTTCATCATGGCCCAGCCAATTCCATTCACAAAGTACGCCCGGGCAAGGAGGCTTATCCAGTCAGCCCCCTTCTTGAGGGGTTTTCCAGTGGGAATGACCCAAAGAGAAAGCCCGCTCATCAAACCCAAGACAACCTACGCAACCGCAAACAAGCGAGCTGCGACCAATATGAATCGTGCTGAGTGAAAATTTTTTCGTTCTACTGCCTGCCTCACTCTGATGACCATGAAAAAGTTTTCTCCTCAATCAAACAATTTGTCTCGTTACGTGTACACTCAGTTGACACACATGCCCGCGTCCAGCGCTATTCCACATTTGCTTCCGACCAGCACTCGCCGGCCTGAAGAAGAGATTCGGCAGTCCGGTACAGGAATAATTCGGGCAGCAATTCACCTGACGGAATTTATTCATAATCTTATCTCCATGCCCGCTGTCCCGTCTTGGATCTCGCCACCGTCCCAAATGAAGTGAGATAAACGAATCGGATGATTCCCACCAATACGGCCAGTCGATCAAAGCGATTCCGACGAGAAAGAAGAATTCAAAATTCGAGCGGTCCTGGAAGTATTGCTTGCAAAACAGGGTTGGGAAAGTATACGAGATTAGAGAGTAACAGGGCAGTGTTGGCGGTTGATTACCCGGTGGAGTCGCTCCGTATTGCACGCAACCACTGAGAGAATGAAGTGAGGCGATACTAGGTCCCTGGCTTTCGTGCCTTTACCTAGATTTAACCCGTCCCGATTGGGAGGTCTACGTATGGTTGGGTATTGGGGTAGACTGACTAATCCTAATCACTGTCCGACGTGATGTCGTCAACAGCGTGATTATAAGCACGACTTGAAAACCGTCTCGTCAGTTCATTACTACAAACTATCTATCTTGAAAACATCTCTTGACTCTTTCGACTACGATACCAGTGCCTCGCTTGTCACTGCTCGCCTACAAAATCGACTTGGAGACCGTCCGCACCACACCACACCAGACGGCTAACGAATCTGTATCAGTGCCCACCGTCGGATCTGACATTCTGCACTATGTCTGCATAAAGGACGACTTGTTGACACCCCGCCAACTGTTGCTACGTAAAGGTAGTCAGCTCCGTACAGCGTTGCTCGTCCCTCGTATCAGTGCCTCCCGCCGGATCTGACATTGTCCGCTACCCCCCTATAAAATCGACTTGAGTGCCATTCCACCATTCGCCACTATACACCACTATTTAATTCTCTATTTGATCCCTTCATATTTGAATCAGTTTGCGTTTTCCTCATCGACATAGACCTCACACTTTGAGGACGCCATGGCGTACCACGACGTGAATCGGTATGGGCTTGGGCGCGGTGGTCGTCCATCATCTCATCGGTACGCTTCGCCTCCGATGAGCTCATCTAGGCAAGCCACTAGTGGTTCGAGTTACCTACACAACTCCCCGAGCGGCTATCGACGGACGAATAGCAACATGAACGCCATTCAGTCGCCGGAGAACGGTATCTATGAGGAGTATGGGACCACCCCCATGGCGATATCTCCTTACCCGGAAGCAGGTACTATATATCATTCTTTCCCTGGTGATGGGTTAACCGTGGCTAATCCTGATCATAGATGTTATGAATATGCACCCAGCTCCATACACAGAACACCCGAGAATGAATAATATATTGGGCAACCCTCCGCAAGTCCATGTATCGTCTCACGCTTTTCCACACAATATGGGGTACTCACCTCCATGGAATGTGTTGCATACCGAGGTAGACTACAGAGCCATAGCAGCGGAAACGTCAGATGAATTGTTCCACTCGATGATAGATCAAAATATGCTCCTGAACGTGCCTCACAACCCTCGTAGTCATGGCACTGGTGAAACAAGGGGGTCGTTCTCTACCGTGGGCACACCGCACACGGCTTCTTCGGATTGCCGTAGTGAAGTGAGCCTCGAACATACAGAGATAAGGAGAGGCGGACGACAGCAGGGCTCGAGGCTACCAGAAGACGGCGTGCTGAATGTTCGCCAGGTGCGGGATGTAGGGGCATGTATCAGGTGCTTCGTGTTACGAGAAAGGGTATGTTCATCTGTTCTATCCGTTAATGTACAACTTCAGTCTCTAATCGTTAAGGTAGTGTTCGCCCGGTACACCCTGTTTAAAGTGCTCCATTACCAAGGGTCGTAAATGGGTCGGCTGTATACGCTCCTTCGAGGAACTGACTAAATTACTCAATCCTGGTAAGCTTCTGGAATTTCTTATATCTCGTGGTTTAATCTGAACTCCTTCGCTTAGACACACTTGCTGGACGGTTGCGACCCCAGGCTCTGACGCAATGGATGTCTACGAATATTCGGAGTACTCTTTGGCAGAGACAGTTTGACCTGCCATTGAGCTTCGGGTTCGGCGAAAATTTCATCGGATTTCGGGGTGTCGAATATATTCCCAACACAGACGAAGCACGCTGGAGGGGTACTGTCGGCCACAGTGATATACATCCTGAATCACCCCAATTTCATCAGAGCCTTTACGTATATCCAGTCAATAGTTCCTCTCTTGACGTTCAGAGAATGGTATGGGAGTGGTTGAAACAAACTCTCGGGGACAGACATAGTATGGAAGATTGGTTACGTACATGTTTTCGCGGAGATGAACTCAAATGGATACGGGATTTACTTCGAGTGACTCGGCGCTACACCTTTGAAAGCTGGAATGAAAGGCCGCAGGAGGAAGTCGACTCCCAGCTTGACGATAACCTATTAGATGCATGGATGGCGTGCTTGATTGTGACAATACTATCGTTACCCATCAATATCCCTACGGATGTGGTCGATAGTATTGTTCCGAATCTGCAATTCGGCTCCTACCAAAGTCCATACCCGAATGCCTCTCGTGCCTTGTCGAAATGCGTTAAAAGCTTGTTGTTTGATATGTACCAGCAATTCGTCAAAAGAATCACGTTGGCTCTCGAAAACTTTGATAAGCTCAAGATTGAACAGATATCTGAACGTCGTCTGGCTCATGTGAACTGTATCTCGGTTTTGCTGATGGTTCTGACATCGCGAATTCAGACGTCGTTGATGGACGACAGTCGGCTAACCTTCGAACGAGAGAACGATCCGACAATATGGGATCAAACTCTGGTTCAATTAGAGAACGTTGAAGGGGTGTTCAAGAACATCATTCTGTTTGTTCGTTACATGAGCAAAGAATGGTTTAAACAGAACCGTGGATCAAGATTACGAGATCTTCCTCGGGAGATCCGCGAAATAGGGCAAAACTATCACAATGGTACGTTTATAAGGCTATTCTTCATGGTATGAGAGTGAAACGATGCTAACGTATGCCTAATATGATAGCCATTGAGCCACACATCAATGTCAAGCTGGAGGCATTTAGAGGCCCCGACGTTTTGTTTCATAAACCAAATATGCAGCGGGTCTTTGCGTTTTTCTTCAATCTTGAGTGTCAATTTCGTAAAACTCGATAGTAACAAGGCCATCCGTCATAATTAGACGACAGCTGTCACGACATACAGATCGAGGACTCACAGCACTACCTTTGCTTGTCAATGTGCTACCAACGAATTGATGTATTTAATGCTCAATAAAAGTTTTTGATTTCTTCTATCTGATAGAAATATATAGAAATGTCCGTCATCTTATAGTCCCGTATGCTCGATGGAAAAGTCACGTAGCAACAGGGTGGAAGTAGACGCAGCTCTGCTAAAAACTGTTATGGGTTTGATATGCCACCTGAACGAAATATAAAGAATAGAACGACTATAGCATGGGATGCTGTAGACGCGGTTATGGTGGGTTTTCTGTGAGAAGTTGACTTGTCGAGTGTCTTTACGGAAAACAGACAATCGATAGATATTCGAGGCAGTCAAACCCCGATAGAATGCTCAAAGTACTTGCATCATTAACAAGTCTCAAACATGTCTTCATGGATCGTGTACCTGTACATCGAGTTTACGTCGACTCTGTCGGGTGTTGTGTAAGAAGAGAAACAAAAACAAAAACGAAAAGAATTTCTTCTCCGCACCAAGGATCCACCAGCACGTGACCTCGACTAATTAGTTTATATTTTCTTCAACTTTTGCTTCCCTCTTTCTTCTTCTCTTCTTTTTCATACACTTTTTACCTACGAACGCATAATCAACCTCCAATTCTTGTTATATTCTATACGTATATACGCTTTCCATAAGATGGCAGGTCATATTGGCGAACCAGAGTGAATTGAAATCCTACTAGCCGTAAAAAAGCGAGTAGGGTTTTTCAGGGGCAACTGTTTCTCTCGTTCGAGGCCGATGGAGAGTATTTCTCTTCTGATAGATGGTTGGATGAGTCCTCCAATTGCTCCGACATTTTTGTTTTTTTGATAGTAGTTTTGAATAAATTGGATTGAATCTTGTGGTGTCAGTATGGGACAGCTCGGTAGCATTGACCCTGAGTTGCAACTTGGTGAGGAGTTTGTAGTAGATTGTGGCGTTGTGGTCGACGCGTGGAGTCGATAGTAGCACTAGTAATTACTTGGTAGTACTAGTAGTTGCTAGTTAAGAGAGCATGGCAGTCAGCATGTTCTCAGAACGGTTCTCTCAAGAAGACTAGACCGTTGCAGAGTGGAGTTGCCGTCTTCAGTCTCCCCTACAACTTAACAGTCTCCCTCCTATCATTCCTCCACTTCTCTGAGTCTTGTGTGTTCTGCGCGCAATTGACGACATGTCCTGCTTCTGATTTTGATTTTGTATCTGATGAGTTATTGTCGTTGTTCTATCGTTTAATTTGTTCCTTGTTTCTTTCGCTATTTCTCGACGTTCTCTCTCTTTTGGCTGTTGCCGTTCACCTCCCGCATTCGGACACTCGTGCCACAACTCTTCACTCAATCCAATTCAAGATTGCGTTTTATCGATGAGCTGATCGCGTCATGGCTTCTATAATCAACAAGCGTCAGCAGGCGCGCAACGAGCGAGCGTTGCATGAACTCATTCGCACAGTCCCTGGGAACGATCGATGTGCGGATTGCCAGGCTGGAAATCCAGGTGAGTTCTCAATCGAACAGTCGCGTTGTTAGTGGTCAAGTACTAATAGTCATGTGTCAACAGGATGGGCAAGCTGGAGTGTAAGTCGCTTTCTTCGGTTTCCAAAAGTTCAATTCGATCGAATATTCTAACGCAGTCTACAGTTGGGTGTGTTCCTCTGCATGCGATGCGGGTCGCTTCACCGGAAGATGGGAACGCATATCTCCAAGGTCAAGTCATTGACCATGGACAGCTGGACAACAGAACAAGTGGAGGTAAGACAGCCTCGTCAACAAGTACAAAACTGGACGCACGCTTAATTGGCCGTAATAGAATATGAAGAAAAGGGGAAACACAATCGTCAACAAAGAGTACAACCCGCGCAACATCAAACCCGACATCCCCGTCGACGTTGACGAAGCAGACTCCGCCATGGAGCGATTCATCCGCCAAAAATACGAACATCGCATTCTGGAAGACGGCAAACCGAAACCTCCGAGTAGGGACGACTCCGGATATCATACCCAAAAGTCACTGGATGAGAGCCCTCCCCCACCTCCAATCCCGCCAAAGAGTGGTAGGAAGTTCGGATTTGGCCTACGGTCTGTCTCGTCGACGAGTCGTTTACCTCGGTCGTCCGATAAGTTGTCGATATCGTCTACGTCGTCGCCTAGATCTGCTACGCTTGGTGGTCCGTTGTCGCCGTCGTTCTCGCTTAATAAACAATCCCGGGTGTTCGGTGCGAATCTCGGAGAGGCTGATAGTTCGTTTGAAGCGAAGTTGGATCAGCTTAGAAGCATGGGCTTTCCGAATGATAAGAGAAATGCTTCTGTTTTGAAAGGTGTAGGAGGTGACATGACTCGCGCGGTAGAGTCGCTGATCAGGCTTGGAGAAGGGTCAGGTCCTCCATCTGCGGCTCCTGCAGCTCCTCCAAAGCCTTCAACTTCCAGGAGTCAGCCAACCTCTTCGCCATCCAAGGCTGAGGCCGACGATCCATGGAGTATGCCAAACGTGAGCAGCGCTGCTGGTGCTCGGGCTGCCAAATCATACAATCCGTTCGACGTACCTACTGCGCAGGCCCCTGCTATTGGTCTCGAAAATGCTTTTCAGAACTTGCAGGTTGCGCAGCCCATGTCTCCGCACACAACTGGAGGATATACTAGCCACCAGATGAACAACAACATGGCTCTCACACCTCTACAGACATCACATTCATACACAAACTCACCACAACCGTTGAATTACAATCCATTCTTTCAAACAGCCTCACCGGCGTCTCAGACTGGGGCCAATCCTTATTATAGCCACACGGCACAGTCAACGCCTATTCAGCCAAGTCGCAGCTTCTCACCGGGAAATCCGTTCGCAAACTCGCTGTCGGCGCAGAATACTGGTAATCAGCAGAATCTAGCTTTTTCGCAGTCCCGGCTGGCTATGCCTCGTCATGCCAACACTATGCCTGTCTTTTCTTCCAACACTGCCGCTTCCCCATCTACGGCTTCTTCCATGTTTTTCTCGCAACAACCACAACTCAGTCCTTACCAAGTATCGAACTCCAATCCGTTTGATGCCGTCAACCCAAATAACAACTATCAGAATTATTCAGCTGAATACCAACAATCTCAGTATCAGCAGTTTCCACAGCAGAATCCTTATGCTCAGTTTCAACAAACCGCGCCACAACAGCCTGCTAGAGCGGATAAGAATAGTATCTTGGCTCTATATAATCTTGCACCAGCAGCTGCGCCGCCAATGTCAACCATCCCGGAACAATCACAGGTTCCTCAAATGCAGCAAGCAGTGGACCAACATCAGAACACCGCGCAGGTCTCGAATAGTACGTCTGCAGGTTATCCGACACAGAGCATGTTTCCAACAATGCTGCAAAGCAATTCGACGGGATCAAGTCAGGGTATGCAGAATAACAATCCATTTATGAACGCAACGCAGCAACCACAATTTCAACCACAGCAGTTGCAGCAGACGCATCAGCCGCAGATGCAACAGCAGTTACAACAACAGCAGACGAACCCATTCGCAATGATGGGCAATTCAGCGCCAGGAGTTCCATCAAATGGTCTTGGAATCGGCATGGGTGCAGCATCTCATAATCCGTATCAACAGATGACCTCTCAACCGCAACCACCACCAGTAAACAACTTCATGCCCCGAGCACCGATACACATGAGCAAAGCGAGCGTCGACATCAATAATCTTCAAAACGGTCGACATAGTCCTGACGCATTCGCAAGTTTGAGCGCAAGATATGCCTAATCACTCTTTACTATCAATATTTCTTTCTCTTCGAATATATACATTTCCGTCTTTGGTTATTGAATCAAAAGGATGGACATCTTTCATGTCTATATGACGTACTATAATACATACGCACGATGTTCTGGGGAGCGAGAGTCCGAACTTTTGAACATATCTCTACCTACCTGTACATTCTTTCCCTCTTTTCGTTTTCTTTCGTTTTGTGTCCGCGTGTATTATCCTTGGGACAGTGACTTTTATGCATACGAGGCGTACATTGCAATATATGACTGATCTTGTATTATCTTGTCTGTTGTCTAAACAGTGAACAATGAACTTATCCTACGTCTCTCATCCTAATACTACGACTGACTCCTTCGAGCTCGTATAACCATCGAATACCCAAGAAGTCCCGCAAACAATATCTGCAGCTCGATTAGTATCCCTTACCCCAAAGAAAAGAGATGTATACGTACCGAAGACCCCAAAAAACAATACCCATCCGACGCATGCCCCGGCCTCCGCCCAATCTCCATCAATCGCGCAGTCACAGGACCACCCACAAACTCAGCGATGGTATCGCAGACCGCTAGAGTTGTGAAGAGGCGAACGGTCTTGTCCGAGTCCACGAGGTAGGTTATCAAGCCTTGGAGGGCGGGTTCGAGGCCTTCGCCTAGGCCGCAGCCTGCCATTGCTGTTCATCGCGTTCAAGTTAGTTATGAGTAAAAATAGGCAGTGGAGGGGAGGGGTACCGATGACGAGAAACACAGCCGACGGCGCTTTCCAAGCCGCGAAGAACGAAAGTGTGAGGATTGTAAGCGCTGATCGGATTATGGTCAGATCGATTGCGTGTGCTGGAAATCTTCCACAAGCTTTCTTTCTTGCACCACCATCACTGGCACTAGTACCAGTCTTTGAGAACACAGACATGATCAAAGGACACAGCACGAGCGTCGCCAGAATTGCGCCCGATGCTTGTCCAACGCGTAGCCAGGTTGTTTGATGCAGTGGCCAGAGGAACTTTTCGGATGCATATTGGAACATGAATCCTTCGCTGGCGAAGGCGATGCGTTTTAGGATGTAGGTTGTGAAGCAGAAGCGGGATGCAGGGTGTTTGAGGAGGCTGATGGCGGTGTTAAGGATCGTGGATAGTTTTTGGTCTTCTTCCTTATTGTTGTTGGAGGCGTTGTTATGGTTGTCTACTGGGGAGGATGGGGAGGATGGTGATGGCGAGGAGCCGAGAAGTGGCGTGTTGACGTTTGATGAGTCGTCGCTCACGGATTCTGCATCTGTGGATCCTAAGTCTTCTTCTCTGTCAATTGAAGCCGACTTTTTCTTGCTCTGATATGACCATGAGAGTAGCATGAGTAGGCAGATGCCGTCGATCGTAATGGCGACCCAGAAAGGCACGTAGATGCTATAGCCCATGAGGAATGTCGATATGCGAGGAGTAATCAATCTATTGATATGAGGACCGGCAGCAAGCAGATACAGAAACTTGGTCCTACTCAACTATTAACTTTACTCCATGCTTTGAGGTAGAGATACAACAAACCGCTGCGAATGCCCCAAGCTATCCGAGATTATAGAAAATATGACCGAGTTGAAGACTCGGACGCCTCCGCCGATGAAGAGGAAGATTGATGAGATCCAGATCAAGCGAGGAGTAAAGATTATGTTATATTTACCTAGAAATTTTAGTTCCTTGATTGACCAGAAGGATCAGGTGACTTACAGATAAAAACGATCCATGTCAAGCCCATTAGACTTCCGGTCAATGATAAAAGTAAAACAAGTCGTTGACCATATCGATCAGCTACTGATCCATACCATAATGCAGTCAAAAGACCTGAAACTTCAAGTCAGATTACTCCCATGTATACACTTCTTCATAATCAAGGGACACACCCGGCACAGCATCAAAAGAAATCTTCCACCCAGCAATCTCCGCAAGCTCATTCTGCACAGCCGTAATCTTACACGAAGACTCGTCTATGTCTTTGAGCAATAAGCCAGCAAGTGCTCCGTCATTAGTCGTCCGATAGTACCGATCGCATATCGCGATCTCGAATAGCCGTACCGTAGGTACTTCGAGGAGTTGGATGGCGAAGGTGACGAGGAAGTAGAGGATGAATGTTGACGCGATGATGGCTTTCATATTTACTAATTCAATACGCATATTATTTCAAGCATGAGAATCTTTGCAGAAATGGGAAGGCATGGAATATAAATTTAAATAGGCTGCTAGGTTAGAGTCAGCCTCGTGTTAGTGTTGACGGATTTCCGCAAGCGCAATTCGTTTCCCCGCCTGACCCCGGACTATCTCTGTATTGTATGTATTTCTGATTAATGTTCCGAGCCTGATATTGTCATTTTTGGGCCTGTGATTTGTTTTTACTCGTATCACTCTGATATAGTCTTTCTTTTTTGTGCCTGGTTGGGTTGTCACACCAAATTAGGTGTCGAAGGATCGATCCAATCGAATGCTAAATGTCTAAATATCGAGGCTAATTCCTCCAGAACTGCATTCAATACTAAAATTTGACGCTTTCCAGCCTGAAGATTCAGGTCTGGCAAAATCTTGAGCTCTCGAGCACTGAATACCATGTCGACAGGTCAAAATCAAAAATACAAACCAATTCCCTTCGTTGAAAACCTAGAAGATTACAAACCTGGCGGTTTCCATCCAGTCCATATTGGCGACCGACTCAAAGAAAATAGATACTGCATCATCAATAAACTCGGCCATGGCTGCTTCTCGACTGTCTGGCTTGCCGAAGATGCTTTGAAGAAGACATGCGTCGCCGTTTCTATTTCACAAGCCCAGCTCTCACAAATTCCATCGGGGAATGAATCATCTCACGAAGACACCCGGAAAACAATCCGTATGCTCCAGCATTTGGCAGAAGGCAAAGAGACTGACTACCGTGGATCAAATGTACTACTTCCGTTGGACATCTTCGAACTGAGCGGGCCTAATGGAGCTCATTTTTGCATCGTTACACACTTGCAAGGCCAGAGTCTAGCAATGGTCACGAAACGGGATCTTGGAAAATTGAGTGAAACGTTGCCATTACCAAAAGCGAAACGAGCTATTATGAGCCTCTTGACAGGTTTTGCTTACATACATAGTAGAGGAATTTGTCATGGAGGTTTGTCTTATCCATACCCTTTCCAAAAGTTCATATTTGACTTGCAAAAGATCTACATCCTGGCAATCTTCTTCTTGACCTGCCTGAAGAAGTTACCCAGTCTCTAGAAAGAATCAACGCTATCTGTGGATCACCACGAACTGTACCAATTGAACGACTTGATAACAACCCTTTGGAGTCTAATGTCCCCAAGTATGGCGTCGAAGCAGCTCTCGGCAAACTATCCGACCTCACTCTATACTCCGGGGACTTGAAAGTCGCAGACTTTGGCTGTGGCTATTTTGCAAATGACCCTCCCAAGGAAATCGACTTTTTGGGTCCCTATATTGTGCCGGAGCAGTACTGCACAGGTCAGATTGGAACTGCTAGCGATGTCTGGACGGTGGGCTGTGCTATTTGGCTGCTTCTCTCGGGACGGGACATGTTTGGCACAGTTGATGATCCTACTGCGAAGGTCTTTTTGGTCATGACAGAGACACTCGGCATGCCTCCGGAATTCATTTTGCAAAGTTGGAGGGAGAAATTGCCGGGTATGGAATTACAGGCTTATCTCAGTCCTTCGGTTTCGTTAGCCCAGAGAATCCAAGAGCTTCGATTCGGTAATGAAAAGCGATGGATGAAAAGTCGAATAGACGAGTTTTCCGATGAAGATATCACCCTTCTAACTGGCTTGCTGACTTTGATTTTCAAATATGATCCTACTGAGCGGCCAACAATGGAAGTTATCCTACGACACCCCGCTACGGCTCTTTTTAGCAGTGCTGACTGATCGTCGTGGGCACAATTTCTTCGCTTGCTCTTGGTTTTTAAAATGTAGCTTATTCGTGATCCTCTTTTGGAAGTCTCGTTATAACTATTGCTCGCACTTCAATACTTCGTCGAGGAGGCAGATTAGGGTCGGCGTTGTAATCGAGAAATGACGCATGGACACAGACTTTCAGATGCAAATAAATCCTATATTCAAAGTAATCCGACAAATATTGGACTTACATTCAGCGCCCCCTTCCACCGGATGCGAATCCCAGCTCACAAACAAACTTGCTTCATCAGGTACCTGATCCCGTACCCAATACCATTTTTGCTTCGGATTATACCTAAGATTGTATATCTCTCGAGCAACGATGCCATTCCATGGTCGGTCTGTTGGCACGAGATCTTTTTCGTCGATTGTAGCATAGTCGCAAAAAGCCAAGGGGGCATCGCCAACTTGGCCGGAGACTGGCCGCCAGATGCTATACACAGCTCGTTGTTTCTTTAAGAGTTGCTCATCGAATTTCTGAGAAAAGGACATGCTTACTTGATGACCCGTACTCGCCAGTCTTGATCATGCAAATACTTCACTATCTGTTCGGTGGAAAGGTGTCGTTGAACATGCAGATAGCCTCCACTTTTTGTATGGTCTTGTCCATTAATAAATGGACATTAGTTACATTTTATGATGTAGCATACCGACATGAACCTGCCATGCAGGCGAATCTGGCGTCTTATAGCTCCCAGCATCGCTAGCAGTAAGTTCTTGCCGGACTTTGGAGGACAGGTTCTCGCGATACTTTAAGCAATATTGTGAGCTCCGACGAATCAAGATTTCCTCTACATGCATTGCCCAAAATACAGGAAGAATGAGAAAGATTCACTCACTCGAAGATCACAACAAGTCACAAATTCTGCACCGGTCATCATCCTTATCATTTGCTCGGTCTCCTCCAAATACATCTGATTGACCTTATCTACATCTCTTTCAAGCCCAATACAGGAACTCGGGTATTTGATAACCTGGAATCCATGTACATCAAGCGACAGCCACGCAATATTAGGTCTCAAATCATAGATCGGAACTTCGTCAATCACGCAATACGATACGTTGGTTCGTTCCGATTCATCATCTAACGGACCCTTACGCCAGAAAGCCCGGCTGGATCCGTCAGTCGTCTCTTTGAAGAAGGTTAGACTTGCTATGCACGGAAACTTGGAGGCCAAGCTCAGTTTATCTAGAGGATAGATAGACATTCTATTCGATTGTTTGCTTTCGTTTTCTTGGTTCTTTGTGATGAAGGTCCCACCGTATGAGCCTCTCCAATTAATCAGCTAACTATATTTTATGCTTTGTAGACCTGCCTAATACGCGGATACCAGTTTCTTATGATGGCTTGAGTCGTTGGAAGATAGATAACCGAGCAAACGAGTCATTAAATCGGAGTCCCCGTAATGATCGGCTCAACTAAAACCATTAATTACTTGATGTCATCATTTATTTACGCCCGTCAGCATGCTTCATGCTCTACTTGGTGACGTGGCACTTGTTTCATGTATTGATTGGCAGTCGATTGTGCGTTAGGACCTGTGTTATAGGCTCGGACTGCTGCAGCTGCAGGCGAGCATGCACAGCCTCGTGCGAGAGCGATGTATTGTATCGTATTGATACACTTGAAAACGAAATACAAGGCTATACGATATAGCTAGGGTATCGGGTAAGGCTTGCTTGAAGCTCTTGGACGATTGAATCAAGGCGAACACGATTACTTGATTAAAAACTTTCCCCTTGGCTGAGAGCATAAATGCAAGGCAAACATATTGGATATTAAAGCTATTATACAGCTATTAAACAAGTATATATGTCCACATCAGATTAAATCAATCAAATAAGAGTACATTGGAGTTTCGATTGACAATCACGTCGCCCATGAAAGCCTCACCTTGCTCAATATCTCCGCTCCATATTCTAGCGCCTTTGACATGTCCCAATGATAGAAGGCAATCGACAACAGCATCACCGGTATTGTAACAACAAACCAAACCCAGACCCCCAAATAAGGACCGGTTTCAAACTGATCAAAATTCATACCGAAGAAAGATGCCGTGAACGATAACGGAACGTAGAAGAACGCCAACATGGTTAATTTCCCGACACGTTTGGCTTGTTCGATTGCTCGTTTGGATTCGGCAATGTTAGCGTTATTCATGATCACCGTCATGCTGCGCTCGCATCGCTGGGCGAGGTTGTGTGCCTTAGATTGTAGGAATTTGTAGTCTCGGAGAAGGACATCGGCTGCCTCTTTGGCCTTTTTGCCTGACTCCGTGTTCTCGGGTGCGTGTGGCCATTGAGCGCTCCCTCGGCATTTAATTTTCTCAATGGTCTCAGCTAGTCGACGTGAATGAGCTTGTAATATCTCAAGTATGTAGAGCAAGTTGGATAAAGACACAGTTTCTGTAGCAAGTAGGGCTTCGTAGTTCGTTTCAGAAGCGAGCTTATCCTCCACGAGATTCAAAAATTGCAATTCTGATGCAGCGGAATATTCAAATAGCTCATGCAGTGCGTAGAAAGGGTCTAATTTCATCGTCGGCCAGTCTAATAATTTTCCATAGTCCCGTCTGATAAGCGATGCAACCTGTGGCACTTCTCCGCCCTTTCCTTGCTCTTCAAGAGGTAGCGTGTATTTCTTCGACTTGAGCGCGAGTTTGGCTCGATGACGGATGGTAGGTAGAAAGCTCGTTTTACATCTTGTACCTGGAGGGTCGACATGATCATCTTCGTCGAGCCAGGGCCCTCTGATGCTTTCCAAAAGGTCATTCCCGGAATCATACAGTACCAACGCTATGTGCATATTAGACAAACCGTTGTAACCGCTGAAGTATTAGAGGTCACTTACCAACCCATTGCTTGCCTGTAAAGTTCAACGAAACTGAAATATCCTGCTCGATCGAAAAGTGTTCATCATCAAGCACGGAGTACCTCCTCACAATTGAATCTCCAGGCTTGACCTCCCGATTGAGTTTCAAGTAATGTTGGTATTGCTCCATTTCACTAGCTCCATGTTTCCGCAACCGATCGATATGTTCCTGAGTATTGCCTTTGGAGTATCGACGCCCAAGGGTAATGAAGCGAAGAAAGATGATGTTCTGCTCCGTAGAAGGTAGGGATGGCGATGTATAGTAGGATTGTCGATATAGGAATGAAAGATGTCGCTCATAGTGCTGTGGATCAACTTGAATCAAAGATCCAATTGTGGTCAGCCATTCGGATGTTGGATACCCAGCCATAAATAGTACATGTGATTTGTACTGAGTGTTGTCGTTGTTATTGCTGCTGTTATTGATCTTGCTATTAGTGCTGTGTCTCCGAAGTATGGCACCATTCGTATTTGGAATTGCTGGTATAGATTGAAAATATTGGGGTAGTTGCGAGGCAGTATCAAGGTGTTCAACTTTTCTATACACATTTGCACCATTGGCAGTTCCGACCTCTAAGGAGTGCTGTAAAGTGTACAGCGTGGCCAGTGATGGTGATGCCAGGGTGTTCAAACTTGGTGATCTACTTGCGTTGCTGTTCCGATTTCCATTCATACGAAAGCTTGGACGCGTTGGCATATACTGCGGAATGAAGTTGCGTTCCAGAAAATCATCCAAACCTTCAAAGTTCTGCCCAGGATAAGCAGATTGACGAGTCGTCTGTTTTGCGTGAAAGGAAATAGCTTCTCGGTATTCTTGCGGTGTAACTAACAGAACTTTAGCCTTTTTCACTTTTTGATTGTATACAAACCGTAAGAACGTACGCTCAGGAATAATGCCCGACTGGCTGGCCGCCGTCTGGCCTGACACCGATGACGCCGCCGGGGGCCTGACATTGTTGTTCGTATCGTCTGAGAGTGGACTCGACATGATTCTGTTGTTCATATCCACTCTGTACATCTCCATAATTGCACGGCATCAAAGACTGCATGGACTGCACGTTTTATAAGAGCATTCACAAGGCTGCTCAGGAACAGCGCAGCTAACTGATTGGGTAATATGACACTTTTTTGCCCTGCATAGCCATCTAATTCTGCTATTTTCGTATCCGCCAGATCGGAGCGGCCAATCAGTGCAATTATACAACACAATGCGACTTGCATGAACGCGTCAAGGCCTCGTGGGGGCTTTCTTGTGACCGGTAAGGCTCGGCCATCTAGGATGTTAATGCGCTTAACCCGGGGAAGTTAGGGCTAGAGAGTCGTCACGCCGTATTGACGCTACTGGTATTACTGTTACCATACACTGTTATACATACGGATGACGACTACTAACATTAGTTGTGTTACACTGACTCGAAAGACGAGTTGCAGCGGTGCTTTGGACTCCTACTAATGCGTCAGTGCAGTAGTAAAATCTGGGCATTTTCATAAAGGTTGTCCAATAGCTGTTCATCTTTAGAGCCGCGTCACTTTGAACGTGGAGACAACCAGAGACCCCCTCATTCCTTGAGAAAAAGATGTTGGATACAGAGTGTAATTTTCTATCATGAATTGAAACCTGGCTAAAACTAATATTTGGGTTTTGATCTAGTTAATCCATGCGATTTTGACCTATACCTGAAAACAATGCTTCCCGATCAGATTGTGGAACAATCAACTTGAAGCATACACCGTGACGTTGCAAGTTCAGCCACGAATGGTCTAAGTAGCGCCTGGCTTTTTGTGGACTTCGATTCCCAATATGTCCTCCACACAACCATCGGCCGGGCTAGCAAGCAAGTTACGCGAGATATATCGTGGATTGATCGTTCGGACTATGTGCGTTCAATGTTGTTTCCCACCAATTTGATTTTCTTGAACTTGCCATTTACCATACTGAAACCTGAAATAGCTTTATTACTGTTCCTGGAATTGGGACTCCTCCTTTGGAGAAATGGAGCAACGGTGATGGCGGCATATGGCTCACATCAATCCCTCCAACTTCGGCGCCTGACATTGCCGTGTACAGCTTTGAACATGGACTTAGACCGGATGAGGACTTTTCATGGCAGTCGTTGTTTGACCAGGGAGCGGAATTACTGGATGTTCTGATCAAATTGGGAGATGTCGTTGAGGTAAGTGTCTACTGTACTGATAACGAAAGGGTCTGGATAAGCCCTAACAACTCAATAATAGACGTCGAATTGCCCCATTATTTTGATTTCACATAGTCTGGGAGGAATTATTGTAAAAGAGGTACTTTCATAACCAGTCATTAAATTTTGTTGCCTTTGAACTGATGGGGAAGGCAATGAACCTCCTTCATCAACAAGCAACAGACTTCCGCCCTCTATGGCGCTCTATAGCCGGCGCAATCTTTCTAGGCACACCACACACTCAATCAAATGACCCTATCAATTGGCAAAATGCTGGTGCAATTCTACGACTACATTCAAAATCTAAAAATACCCGAATACCTCCTACAGCAGAGATTGCAAAAAGATTGGCAAAAATCTCGTTATCGTTTGAGCAGGCTTTCGACCTCATTCCGGTTCTCTCTGCGTACGAAACAAAGCAGACAAGAATTGGAGGATTCTTGTCTAACAAGTCTGTCGTAAGTGGGGATACTTATCGTCAACAGGCAACGTTCGTTCTTGATGTTGATCCTTACTAGCTTGTTGGGCCTGAACTAGCGACAACCAACGTTCGATTTGAAACCCAAGTAGCCGTGGATGCTGATCACGACAAGATCAGCTGTCTGAAAGTCGGAAGTCCTGAACTTAATTCAATCTGTAGATTTCTTGATGAGACTATTCGTCAAGCTCTTGTCCGTATTCGGATACCTTCTGATGATTGTAAGCTCGAAATACTCCTGTCTTATGCTAAATGCTGATGACTTATTGCTTGCAGATGTTATACCAGCGGCACTGGACCAACAGACCGTTGTAGATGATGAAAATGAATTTGAAGGTCGATCGTTCTTATCCACCTATGCAGCTCTCGATTATTCTAGTACTGACCGGTTTGTGTCTATCAGATATCAGCAAAGACGCCACCGGTGGTTCAACATCCCTTGGATTCGATATTATTCCACTGGTCTCAGACTTCTCGGTTGAAAAAAACGACCCGATCTTGCCTTGCTACATCATGCCTCCTCATCCGCGTAACCGCGCATTCTTCGGACGCACTGAAGTTCTTCGCGAGATTCGTGAGCGACTCCTGCCAAAAGGTGGCGACAAGACAAATGATATCGAAGTTGACGACGACGGGTACGAAATTGAACCAACACCGTCCATGTTTGCTCTCTGTGGACCGGGAGGAATCGGCAAGACTCAGGTTGCGACAGAGTTTACATACACATCTAAGGACACCTTTGATGCAATTTTCTGGGTCCAAGCAGACGAGTACTCAAAGCTGTCACAGGGCTATACCAATATTGCCACAAAACTAGGCCTTGTCCTTGAGGATTCGGTAGATGCCCGGGACCCTGTTGTTGTGCAAGATCTAGTCAAAGGTTGGCTTGTGAATCCGGTCAAGACATACAAACAACAGGAAGATCAGTCATCTGCTGATGAGTCGGTGCTTGCAAAGTGGCTTCTTGTCTTTGATAATGTTGACGACCCAGACATTTTGGATGACTTCTGGCCGCTTGATTACACAGGTACCGGCGCTGTCTTGATTACAAGTAGAGATCCCCTCGCTAAAAGATATATTTATTCCGAGGACGAGCCAGGAATTACTCTCCCTCCTTTCACGACTAAGGAAGCGACTGAGTTTCTACTCAAGCTTACCCATCGAGAATCAGAGAGCAAAAGTGAGTCAATTGCCGGCAACGCTGTCGCGGAGAGATTGGGTGGGTTGCCGCTTGCCCTTACGCAAATGGCAGGTGTTATAGAGCGCCGGGACCTGTCCTTTGCGGAGTTCCTGCGCATCTTCAATGAAGAAGAAGACGTACGGTCAAGGTTCTTCAAGATGCAAGTCAATAATAGAAGTATGCGAAGCAGTCGATATCAGCATACTTTAGACACCGTCTGGGCACTAGAAAAGTTGAACAAGGATAGCTCCATCTTATTAGATGTCTTGTCTGTGCTCGACCCGGATGGTATTCCAGAGCAGATTCTCACCGGCTCATTGTCTCAATTAGATGAGGCAAACATTATAGCCGACTATCCACGAACCTTAGAGGGATACCAAGATGCTCGCACCGAACTGCTACGATCATCACTCATTGCGCGTGACCGCGGTGCAAACAGGATTACAATCCATCGACTTGTTCAAGATGGAGCTCGCGCCAAGATGACTGATACAAGGTTTGAAGAAGTTTTTGCGTTGACGTCAAAGCTTCTATATGCTGCATGGCCCTTCGAAGACTTCAGTTTCGGACACAATATAAATCGATGGACGAAATGTGCAGAACTTTTCCCTCATGTTGTGCAACTACATGGATTGTCTGCAAGATGGAAGAACATGTTTGCTGCTAAAAAGCCTGTGTCGGAAACGGACGTGCAATTTCCCAAGCTCTTAGTTGATATTGGACGGTGAGCGACCTCACAACATTCATATTATTCTGTTAACTTGACTGACACGGGTCCTAGGTTCAATCACCAACGAGGAAATTCCAACGAATCTACCAGATATTTGGAGACAGCCATGGAGGTCTATGAGTCTCTAAGAATCCGGAGCAAAGATGGCCCTCAGAACGAGTATATCAACGAGACGATCAAAAAGATGGTTGCAGAAATCCATCACGATCTAGGCTGCATTGCTACCGAAACAAACCAACCTCTTGCTGCCCTCGATCATTTCACAGCCTTCAACAAAGCCATGATTGAATTCGCCGATGGTAAACCTCAGACAAAAGACATGAGTCTAGCGGTATCATGGAACGAACTAGGCAATGCATACATGATGAACGAAGAATGGAACAATGCGGCAGATTGTTTCCTAAGATCAATGGAGATACTGCACCAGCTTGAAAGTTTCAAGAAAGTGGATTTATCGTTTCCACAGATCAATTTGGGGTTCTCGTATTGGCTACAAGGGAGATTGGATGAGGCAGACCAAATACTGTCTGATATTTTGGCCGCGAGAGAGGAAGCATACGGCATCAATGACCGGGAGTCTTTCATGTCAGTCCTCTCTCCTGCCGATAGCATTGCTAAAGCTGACTTTATCTAGGACCGGTAAACTCCTGCATGCTTATGGTAACGTAAAGGCATCTCAGGGCAAGCTCAGCGAAAGTTTTGAGTATCATCTGCGCGGGTTGCAGCAGTATAAGTCCACCATTGGAGGCAATCATCACCGTACCGGTGATCTGTGTGTCAAAGTGTCAGACCACTATGGTCGACTAGGGCAACATGACACTGCAATGTACGTTTCGCTCATCGTTCTGTTTGCAAGAGACTCTAATGTCATGAATAATAGGGCACTTCTCGATCAAGCCTTGAAAATCTACGGGGATCGTGAGTATTATGGCCCCGAGAAGGCTCGAGCCTTACATAAAAAGGGGAAACTACTGGACACTTTGGGTAAAAGTGATGAAAGTAATACTTATATTTTAAAGGCACAAAGTTTGTACCGCAAGTTGGAGGACAAGGAGGATACACATATTGCTACGGATGCAGACTTTGATGATCTCATTGTTTTCTGGTCAAAATGAGTAGAGTAATAGCAATATGAATTTCGGGAACTCGTTTGAAATAAGTTTGGAGGTTTCAACAACCGCCGTTATGAAGTTGTAGTCTCAGGAAACAGTTTGTTTCCAGCAAGTACATTCGTAGGTCTGCCAGCTTTGACGAGACAATCACGAGCTATATTCATGAGCTGAAGATCACGGTCTTCTCATTTGTTTTAGCGAGATGCCAGAGTTTATGGATTACTGGAAGCACTTACTGGGAGCACCGAGGAGTGAAATTGCAACTGGTAGCTGTTCGATATTGCCGGTGACTTTTGATTCAAAGGGGACCTCCCCGACTTGAGCAATAAGCGTCAGCATCAGGCTCATAAATATAGATTGAAATGTGTCATACTCGGTACAGTGAACTCGGGTGCTTGCAGTATCGGAGACAAGAAAAGCATCGGAATGCCAACTGGATTAAAATATCGGCTAAAAATGCCACGATTAGTTAGCTTTTCTTTTCATTTTCGGCACAAGACTTCGATTTACCCCAAAGGCTCGTCACGATATCGAGGAGAAAGATTCTCAATCGGAATGAGGATGATCGTGTTCTGTGTTTCTGGGCAAAGAATTTTATCCGTAAACCACTTTCGGTAAACTTCCAAGCGATGCATGGCAGTTTCGTGTGCTTCTTTTGTGATGTGCGATGAAAGTTCCCTTTGAAGATTCATATTAGGTCCGATCTTTACTCATTTAATCATGCAAGGTGGACTTACCATTGCCATCTTACAGGTGGGCTAATATATGGCTGCTTTCCGAATTTGTCTTGATAATCTTTCCGGAATTGATCGAAATGGTGGTAGTCACTATAGAAGAAGGAGTCTCGACCTGCCTAGAGTCATGGTCAACATACTTTGTCACTTGCCAAAAAATAAACGGAAACGCACATCTTTCATATACTCCAACAGGCTGTCTCCCTTGGCATCTTCGGGTGGATCAGCGTCCCAGAATTCGTCAAAAGACATTTTGATATGTTTCACTCCAAGAGAATTTTCGAGATCAATGACGAAGTTGTCTATCAGCTTCTTTTGGTGTTCGTTTGTGATGAGGGAGATATAATTTGTAGGATAGATGATTTTTGGGGGCAGCTGGTATCACATTAAAACAGGAACCGATACAAACTGAGTTTAAACTGACAGATGGATTGGTTGTGGCCAACAAATCGCCATACCAGTGGGTAGCAAACTCCTGGCAAATATCAACACTTCTTCCGAAGAAAGTTGGAACATCAAATGATCTATGGGAAAATTAGCAAATGGGCTTAATAGGCTGTTGTGAATGTACACGAACTCGAAGCTTGGAATGTACCCATCAGTTGGAAGAACTCCATGAGTTGGACGGTGTGCGTAACATCCGTTCCAGTGGCCTGGTCGTCGACCGCTTCCACTGGCTACAAGAAACCTTTGATTAGTTCTTCATTTCTTGTTACTGACGACAATGAAAACTTACTGTCAGATCCAATAGCCACATCAACCCAGTCATATGAAGCAACGGCCACACCGCTGCCACTACTGCTTCCAGCCGGAGACTGGTAACCATCGGCTCTTGGATTCCATGGCGCTTGATAATCGACACATTCAATAGGCTCCTCTGTGGCGGCAAATGCGGCTAATTTTGTAGTTCCGAGAATATGAGCACCTTTCTGCTGGAGTATTTCAACACAGGCTGCTGTCTTGGGTGCTGGTGGATACAAGTCGTGATACGCGCGGTTGCAGACGGAAGTTTTGATGCCTTTTACTTGAAAGATGTCTTTCACGGCTATTCTCCACCCGAAAAGAGGATTTTCCTTTCCTGGACGTAGACTCTTGAGACGGGACGGCACGGCAATGCTTGTAGTTTCGAGATCTTCCCCGGCAATTTCCATCCTTGATAATTTACTGCTGACATGTGTCAGTAAAGAGGGCGTCGTTTCCAAGCAAACCATTGTCGAAAGACTCACCTATCGGCTTCGGGCACAAGACTACTTAGGAAGGCGCCTTGGGTATCATCACAGAGTTTCCAGATACTAAATGCTTGGTCACAATGGAGATAGTAAGGACCCTGCTCTGGCCTCGCAGCTGATTCTGGCGATACAACCGTCTCGATCAATGTTGTGCCGAATTCTGATCGCAGGACCTCTCCTACCGTAGTGGATAGAGAAAATGGATTGGATGCTGTAAATATCACGCCACTAAGAAACTCAGGGCGGAAGACATCATCTTCTCGCTTGAACTTGGAAATTTTTTCTCGTAACCAGTCTTCTTCAACAGAATCGCGACCTTCATCAATTAGGAAAACAGTGACAAACTTAGGAGTATCTGATCCATTGAAGGGCAAAGCCTAAATTTTGCATGTTAGACACATGTACAATGAGTGAGTGAGAGACTTCCGACCTGTTTGGATTGTATAGCAATAAAACGACTATCACCAAGGCTGAATGCTTGATGAATCATCGTACGATCTTTGTAGATCATGATCTTATTCGTGGCCTTCGCGGGTTTAATGATTGTCATTGCTCTTGTATGTTTTGTAAAACGGCTCGGTTGAGGAAGACGATCTTTTATTTGCACTAATTGAGGTTCCTTACTGACTACTTAGTCTTGAGTCATGAGCATCAGTGGGAGTATTTCTTTGTAGGCGATGCGGGAGGAGTTGAGAATAGATCAACTCCGTGTCACACCGCTAGAACGTCTTGTTGACTACTTCTTTGGAATCTGTAGTTCGGGCTGAGCTGCATATAACGAGGCAGTGTCGGTCATTATTGATGTAATTGTTATGAAAATGATTAAATTTGAACTGACGAAAACGTGAGATTCCCGAGACTCTTTACATAGATCTACTTCGAAAAATCATTCGCTAGGCTACGGGTATTAATGGATTGCTTCTCATATAGACTATAAACATGCGATTAAATGAAGCGCTAGATCATGTTTTTCAAGTGCGATTGTGAAACATAAACTATTCTACTTTCCTTTTCGCTCTCTAGCAATTGTATTTCTGAAGTATCTGAAACTCTTCAAAGGTGCCCAGATGATATTTGCAAGGCTGCTATTTCACATTGTGAACTAGAAACCATAAAAATGTATGATACTAGAGTAAGATTGCAGAAATTCTAATTTCCATCGCCTGTTTCTCACATTAGCACTCCTTGCGTCTAGGGCTTCCTGCATACCTACAGCAAGGCAGACTGAGCTAACTGTCGACCTAGGAAGCCATTGCAGCCACGTCAGAGTCAGTCAATTCGAATACTAGCTTGTCAAACCTGGATATCTGTAGCAAGGATTATCCAACAGGTTTCAAGCAATATAGAGCGGGGTAGGGTAAGAAATAAGAGGGGTTATCATACGACCATTCAATACGAGAATTACCGGAGAGATTTGCTCTACATCGAATTGTCTTTAATTGTTGCAATCAGGGTATAGATTGATAATTTAATTGGTCTCAAAGTAGATTGAGTGACTTTTAATGGTAACATTGGTGTCAAATTTCATTCATAGATCCACCTCGAGCCTATTAACTATCTCCTATCCCCTCTCAAATCACCTTTCCCTCTCAGATCAACGAACCGATCTATATAGATCTGCTTTTCACTCAATTTCCGTAGATGGCCACGGTTTCACCCTCGGCGAATCCATATGACTTCTCATTTGCGACATTCTTTTGAGGCGGCCAGTGGGCTTTCCATGGCTGAGACCGCTTTTCCTCCCTTGCCGGAGCAGTTGCAATAACCGCAGGGGCTGGTTATTGAGCGTTAGGTCGAATCAAGATTAAGAACTCCCCTGAACTTTCAAACGGTCAAGACTCTAGAGGACTTACTTTTGAGGACTTCTTGGGCAGGCATTCTATAGTCGGATGGTTTCTATACTTTAAGTCAGTAGATGGTTCTTCATTTTAGTATAGGAAGTCGTACCAAATTTTAGTAGGTACGGTTGATATTAAACTGGTGGAGGGCAGGTATACTGAGAAATAGATTTGGTTGAGGAAGAGTCTTTTATCACGACGAGGATCACTCTATTTTATACTCATCAATGGGTTCTTAAAAGGAGAATTTTAGACTAGATTAGCTGCTTGCCGCAGTCATGACCGGTTTCATGCTTTCAGTCCGTCATTTCCCTATTCAACTAGCTGCAGAATTATGATCCTAGTCTCTTGGGTTCTTGTGTAGTATGCATTGATAGACTACTCACAAGGTGAACTCGAAGTCAACCTTGGACAATTTCTAAATCGTGACATCTGGACAGTTGCGCCTTGCCTGTTGATCTAATAATTCAATGTTACTTTAGGATATATCGACAGCTCGCACATCTTTTTCTACAGGTAGCACATTCGCCGAAGCTTTCAAGAAATTGTGTTGATGAGGGATTGAAGTTCTTTCGATAGAACGAATTCATCGGCTCAGGCAACGACGATGCCGTCCAAAAATATCGATGACTCCTATGTGTCGACTTCCATGTACTTTCTCACTCACAATGACTTGTTCATGGCCGAAAAGCCATATGCCTTTCGGTTTGCTCTTAAGGATCATGATATATCAGCGAATATTCCTCAGACAAACATGAAAATGGAACGGAAAGAGGATATTATTATTAAAGATATCCGTGGACACGAGAAGCAGTATAGTCTCGAAAAGACCGGCTTTGAGGTACTCTCACATACCAGCGAAATTGCTTACGAAGACTTCTACAACCCAGACAAAGTAAAGATATACCTACATGAGTTGGAGGACTTGCTCAAGGGTAGACTGAAAGCAAGCCATGTTCTAGTCTTTCGTCATGGCGTAAGTGTGCATACTCTTGGAACATATAGAATTGTGTTAAATCCCTGGCTAAGTGATTGAAGCTTCGCAAAAGGGATTCCAAATTTCCAGTTTCCACAGGTGAAGTGTATGAATATGATCAGCCGACATCAGTAGCCCATGTTGGTAAGCAATCGCGATGCTCGATATCAAAATAGTGGCTGACCAGGTGCAGATACTACACCGGAAGAGTTAGCTGAAGAAATAAGACGGCAGTATGGAGAAAAAGCTGATATATGGCTGGCAAAACCTTGTCAGTGGATCAAGTCAGTTCCAAGTCTCTTCTTTTTAACACTATTTCACGGGGCCTGACGAAAATAGCATTTGGAAGCCACTCAAAGGGCCTTTGAATGACTGGCCACTGGCAGTATGCAATGCATCCGTGGTAGACAAAACCAACGACCTCGAGGCAGCAGACCTACTATACACGGATCTTGCAACTGAAAATTATCAAGTGTACCACAACCCGAAGCATGAATGGTACTATCTTAGTGGTCAAGGTGTATCGGAGCTTATCGTCTTCAAACAAGCTGATCATCTGATGCAGTCTTCTTTTCCTGGTAACTATTCAATAGATCTTCCTCATTTATGTCCATAGCTAATACTAAATACAGGTGTTCCTCATTGCTCGTTCCCAAACCCTTTTACTCCCAAGGGTGAGTCACCAAGGGAAAGTATTGAGGCAAGGGCATTGGTGTTCTACGATGATTAAGAACAGAATACTAAATTTACATTGGACTCATATATTCTAGATAAACGCTCCAGTGATACTTGTATTTCACTTCGTAAAACTCATTCATCCCTTTTCAAATGTTTCTAACATCATCCACACCACTCCTTGAACCCCAAACAGTCTACATGTGTGTACAGTTAGCAGCCACGTTTCACGGTTGCTTCAAGGCATTCAACATACTTTATGTAAAGTGCACCAAGCATAGCCGACGATAAAAGCATGAATGTACATGTATCCAATCGTACTCGGTAAAAATTTCAGGCGACTCCATTTTATGAAGAACGGCGCATGTTCAAAAATCGTGAATGCACTTGATATTACAATGTGTTGAGCCCACAGCTGCCCTAGACTGTTTTCCAAAAGATAATTTTGTCAATATATCAAATATCATATCGAAAAAGCGCATAGGTTCCTTACCTGATCGTTTCAAGCTGTGAGTTGTCGATAATGCCCAACCATCCAAAAACAGAAACGATTATGAGTAACCCTAATTCCGACAGAACCAGGAAATCCGTGGTATAGTTGCATACCCAGTTCAACCCACTCCGAAAACACAAATCATAGTTGCTGTTTGTGAAAGCAGCTATTAAATCTCTCAGATAATGTCTTGCCGTATCCCTCGACCACCGCATTACCTGGTTCAAGTACGTTATATCATCATTGACAGTAGTCACAATAACTGCATCTCCTTGATTCATAAAAGCAGTATTCCACCCTCGATTGACGATCCAAGAGGTGATGAAGCTGTCGTCTCCTGTTCGCAGTAGAAATTTGCCCTTCCAGTAATCATTTACAAATGCGTTCTTAAATGCATCATCTTGCAGAATATGAGTTCTGTAGGCAACAGTCCTTCCGGATAAGTTCAGGACTTGGCCGTTATGAATAAAGGCTACCGCTGAGTGCAAGATGTTTCTTCTGATAAGATTCAACGCGCCACAACTCTCCCAGACGTTAAGCTTTTGGTTTAGCCTCGGCCGGACGTATTGCATAGTATTCACCCCACCGACAGAAGGATCGTTGAAAGCCGAAGCGACACTTTTCAGTGTCTGTGCAGACCATCGGGAATCATCATCAGCTAGAATGACAAGTTTGGTAGATGCCTCTGAAATTCCTTTAAGTAATTGATGGCGGATATCAGCATGATCAACTGTGTATAGTTTGACACGATCATCTCTGATTGTCGTCTCTAGAAGCGCCCCAATCCGGGGTTCTGCTTTCTTTAGCGTGACTATATTGATTGCCTTTGGATCGCATCTCAGCCATGACCTTAGGGTTGTTGCGTAGCCTTCTTCGTCGCCTAGGGTTGCTGATATGACTGTGATGTCTTTTTGCGGGATGTACTCTTGCTGTTCTTGTTTCTGGAAGACGGAAGGCTTCAGACTGAAATAACCAATGTATTGAATGATATCAAGAAGCAAATGCGCGTATCGAGAATATCTGTATAGACAATCTTAGCCTCGAATACCTTCAAAGCTTTGTAAAAAGGTATGAGACCCTTTCGCTTACATTATCAATTGGTACATGAAGATGAGAACGCTGTCCATACTGAATATTTTCGTGATATGTCTCTTGAACACGAATTTTGTGTTTCAGAAACGGCTATGTATTCTGACGGTCTTCTCCCTTCCGAAACTGTCGATGTCACCACTGCTTTCCCTTTGATCTGAACGAATCATATTCCAAATTGGTTTACCTGTGCGAACAATCCGTGGAAAGGAAGGCGCAATCTAGCTACGTACTACGTAGTAATAGTGTACGAAAATATTAATATATTATTCTTACTAGTGTAATACTACATAGGTTGGTTGCATACATAGTGAGTATAGCTGAGCGTTAGTTTCTAGGCATTGCGTCGACACGGCTCATCTTTGAGGGAATTCCTGTCTTCGAGGCTTGGAGCCCATGGCAAGGCTCTACGTGTCTCTATAAGTTACATATTAAGACAGAGCCTAATATTTAGTAGCTGTATTAATACATTCGTCACCAACATTTATAAGTCGTGTAATCCATGCTGAATAAACCCGACCACAAGCATGATATGTAGAGCCGCACAGTGTTGATCAATGAAAACAAGTCCTTTAAAAGGTCCAATCAGCTCTGGTGTATACGACAAGGCAGACTTCTAATCCCATGGGGTACATGAACCTTGTATATCTGGGCCATCCGCGGAAAACGCGGCTTGTTTTAAACCCTGAAGTTAATGGTGAATGAGTACCTAGCTAAACTCTACATTTCTATTACTGATATGCCACCAGAGATACTGACTGGCATTCTTATACCGGAATAGCAGTCTTTCGAGAACTAAGTCATGAGGATTCGTTAATGCTGAAAATTTTTCGGCCACAATATCAATCTCTAGTCTCCGATACTGATAGATGCTTGCCATTCGGTTTTAATGATATCACAGACACTAAATTTTGTCGTGTATTGTGAGGCATGTCTCTTCTCTCCTTCTTTATGTCGCTTTATCTAATCGACTAACTATGCGGTCAGCTTGAATAATTAATTCAGTTGTAAGTCTGCCTTATAGTAACAAGCACTGCTGAATCATTTACCAACCTTGGAACTAACCTATGCAGAGATCTGGAAGTGCAATAAAMCCTCCGACAGCCGCCATAAGCATAAAGTACGGGACTGAAGCATTCTGAAGATCCCCAGGATGTATGACAAGCCAGCATATGAAAAAGACAAGACCAATTCCAGAGCATATCGCTAATATGCAGTGAAGTTTCATTATTGACAGTCCATGAACTCCACGAATGCCATAACCGACCGACCTCGCTTTCTTGTCCATACAACAATTGGTTTTCTTGGGTAGACCAGAGATTATATCGTCGATATTGTTGTCTGTAATGTATTTGTGGTGGTGTAAGATGTAGTGTGCAAGTGTAGTCTCAACCCACGCTAGATGAAGGTCTTCGTCTGGGATACTGCCTGTGCTGATATCATACTCTAGCGTTCGACGAATTTCGTCAAGGCTAACTTTCTCAAGACCACACTTCACGAGATCCTCTTCGTCCAGAAGGCGAATGAACTACCAAATAGTCAAGACTTGGACTTGAGTACTCCTGGGGACCGCCCACCTACCTTGACAACTTTCACTGCAGCACAGTCCGTGAGAGAGAACCACCAACGAATGCCCCGAAGTCTGCGATAGCTATTTATCAACTCGTTTATGAACTCACGGCCGCGCTTCGCTCCGGTTTGTGCCTCTACACATATCTCGTGTAACCGGGTCTTATTTGCATCTACGCACCAGTGTACCCACTTCCCAGGAGAGTCAACAACTTCTATCTCAGGTTTTGATAAGACATCGATAGAGCTGGAAGGATATGTCCTCTGGGTACGCTGAGGTCTTCGCGATTGAGAAGGCGAATCAATCGCGGGACTAGATGTTGAGTTTTTCAAAGAGCTGCTGGGTGGATTGCGAGTAGAACTTTCACTGTCTCTTTCATCCCTTGCCGGTGTAGTCACAAATGCGCTTTGATTAGATTTTGGAATGAATGGCGTCGGATTGAGCCACTTAAGCGCCACTTCAGCAGCATCTTCTTTAGCATTGTGCATATAGTGACCGTCATACCAATACCGAGCAGCGAATGAGTGCCCAGCTACACTCATAGTGCAGCTCCATGCTGTACGGCCACCTCTTCTATCGCTGACAATTTTGTAGACCGGGGATGCGGAATATTGAGCCATGCAATACTTGTCCAGCATCTGCTGCCAGGTACCGGGAGGTTCATTGAGTGCGTCAAAATCAACTGCATCAGAACCAACAAGCGTACTGCACTGGGACATGCTCTCGTCTCTCTCTTCATCATCAAATGTCTCATCTCTTCCGGGAAGTAGCAAATCATCATCAAAATGTAGATCTTCAAGTAAGAAAGCTCCCTCTGTCATCCGTTTATGATGCGATTGCTCACCCAAAGCCTCGGTGATGTTTGCTGCCAGATCAACTGAGAGATGCATAGGACATGAAGCCTATTCGCATAGTTAGCGCTCTGATATTGATTGAATGAAGACTTTCTTACACATTGCCAAGTCATTCGCGTCTTGCCTTGCTTGAGAGGTCTCCGTGGATTCGAGAATGGCCACCAAATAATGGGTAATGAAGTAAAGGCTTGGATATAATTTTTCACACGGTCGGATATCGAAAGTGGCTCSGACTGTAATTTAAACGAGAACCCATCGACACTGGAGAGCGCATCATGAGCTCGAAGGTCCGTCGAAGTGGCTGCAACCTCTGAGCCAATATCATCTCCTTGAGGATCAGTTTGCAACACGGTGAACTGGTTTGACCCGCGGTGATTCCACCTGAATGTCGGGAATTGGGCAGATGTGTCTGTTTCGTATGACTCCATTATACTCTAATAACGAGAATTTCACTATTAGACGGAAATTTTTGGAGCACTCATAAGGCAAAGATGGATAGAATTGGAGTACCCGATGGTAAGGCTGAACGGTATGGACCTAAGATACGCCTTACACAGCCACGGCCTGGAAGGGCTAAACTGCAGACACATCTCACAATGCACTGAGACCAAGAGCTGCTCATTTGAATAGTTATTTCTGCTACATGACACGACCTTGAATGATAGATGGCCACCTTCCATTGGCTGCCCTTCCTCTGATTCGCGAAACAGCGTCAAAGGAAACCTGGTACATAGGTAAACATAGCAGCGTATATTTGAACGACAAAAGCAACAGTAATTATCCACACCGTTTCAGTAGTTAGAGACCCAGGAATTAATTGGGCGAGCGTGGTTATTGATTATGATCGACTCATTGATAACATCCAGTGATAGCCCTAACCGATTAATCCACTTTAAACATGGTTTTACCAGTCAATACCTTGGTAGGTCGACCGACTTGCTTCAAAAACTTCTGCACGAAGTCAATAAGGTGAAGATCAGATCCTGTGAATGAGTCTATGTCAGCCTCACTTCACACATTTCGATTTTCAGTGCAGATCAAGATATCGTACTAGGTAAACCCATGACAGAACAACACACAGGAAGATATTCAACGTTTCCACTGATTCGTGACGAGTACGGAATTTGGCCAACTTAAAAGCAAATTAGCAATTGTATCCTTGATCCTATAGTTAGCTGCAAATGTATTAGACGTACTAGGTACAACTATCTCTGGAGCACTAAGAATTGGAGAGAGAAGAAGAGGCTCCCATAGATGCTGACCTGCTTTGACATCGGCAGTAAATCTGGTATTAGTCTGACGTTCCCTCTAAAAGTATCAAATAAACAGGGCACAACTTATCTCGGCCATTCGTCGTTGTAATTAGGTTTGACTTCTCTAAGGGGCATGATGGCTATGACTCGCTGGTTTTCAACGGGAAATAATTTCTCGCGTAGCCAGTCTCTATACACTTGTACGCGATATATGGCATCTGCGTGTTGTTCTGGAGTGACACCTTTTGCAGGTTTCCTTTAAAGTATACACCCTTTAGCTAGGAATAATAATGGGTATGATAAATTGAAGTGATCTCACCATAGGTCTATGCCATGTGGAGGTGGCATAAATGGCTCCTTCCCGAATTTATTCTTGTAATCATTGTAGAAGCTCTCTATTTTCTTCCAGAAGAAGAATATGTATGATCGAGTTGCTACCTATATATCCTCTGTCAGTGAACTTGAGGTTGAATAAAAAAGGATTAAGCAGTACGTCTTTGTGTAGCCACTCTTCAAGTGTATTTCCAGCAGCTTCGACCGGAGGCTTTTGATTCCAGAGCTCTTTGATAGAAATATTTTGCACGTTTGTAGACAGGAAAGACTCCATGTCTTGCGCAAATTTGTCAAAGAGATCCATTTGCGCTCGGTTTTGTGGGATGGAGTCCGTGAGATGGATCAAAGAGTAATCTTGCTGCTTCTACAGCCTTTAGTCCGGTAATGAATGACATATCCACTTTCTGATATGAATTTTCATGCTAAAGACTTACAGTTTCATTCGTCTGTCTCAATTTTTCTCCATACCAGGCGGGTACGATCCGTCCAAAATCGAAAATATCCCTGCTAAAAATACATGGAGTGTCGAATTGTCTAGGCCAAAAAGTTAAATTCCAAATATAGATAAAAAAGTAAGACAGAGGATGTAAGAAAGAAATTTCACTCACGGTGCCCCTGACCACATTCCTTCAGTCGATATCATTCCACAACTAGGCCGCATGGAAAAGCATCCATTGACCTGGGCAGGCATACGTCCACTGATAGTAGCTGCAAGTCTATCAGTACCTCCAACAAAGTCTTTCATATCAGATTCGGAAAATACAATCGGTCCCAATCGCACAATCCAACCACTCATAAGCCGCCACCGCAGATGGTTGACCACTACTCCCTCCTGAAGGAGACTGATACCCATCACCACGGGGGTTGAAGGGTGCTTGAAAATCAATACATTGTGTGGGCTCTGTGGTGCCAACCATAGAACACAATTGCGAAAGCCCTATTAGTACCGCGCCTTTGTCGATTAGTTTCTGGATGGCTGGTGCCGTGCGAGTAGCGGGTAGGTAAAGCTCTCGGTATGCCCTGCTTCCGAGCGAGGTTTGAAATCCTTCAATGTCGAACATATCTTTGACTGTGATGCGTACGCCGGATAGTGGTGCGTCTTTTTTTGTTTTACTAGTCGCGAGTAGGCGAGATGGGACGGCAATGCTTTTATAGTAGTTTTGGTGACCTTGGACAGAGAGCCGGGTTGGCTTGTCAGCTGGAGTGGGTAAGAAGCGAGGCTTGAAGGCCACAAGGAAGGCATTTATATCATCCTCATAGAGCCGATATACATCCCAGAGTCTGTCATGGCGAAGAAGATAAGGGCCAGGCAAGATTTCTGGTTCGCTATCACTGGCTGCTTCCTTTCCTATAAAGCAAGTCCATGATGTATTCCAAGCTGCCGGAAAGTTATGAGCTGCTAGTCCCTCATTGACTAAGGATCCCTGCTCTGGGAGATTTCCGTAAAAGATAATTCCTTTCAGAAAGTTTAACTTGAAGACATCGTCCCTTCTCAGAGCATTATCAACATAGTCCAGGACAGCATTAACCGCGCGAGACGGATCAGCTTCTAGATGTATGACCGTTACCAGACCACTCTTTTCTGGTACTTGAGGTATGAAGCCCTACAGTAATCAGCACATATTCGTTCATCAATCAACATTACCATATAAGACTTTGATACTTACGTGACTCCCTGGATAAGCTGCGTAGTGGGCGTCACCAATACTGAATTGGCAAGACTCGATGAGATCCAAACCCTCGGCTTCCATTTTGTACGATTATTCACTTAAAGATCTTTGGATCTATATAATCCAGCATAAATCAGGAAGAACTTACTTCCTGGCATAAAATATATGACGGTCATCAATCACCTACATTGATGCATGATGGAGGTATCACACTGTAATGAAATACAGGTAAGGTAATCCAAGTCATACGATGGTATTTACTAGTAAAGCCAGCGTATTACTAGTGAGAAACGAATTGTTACATAACAGGGACAATCACGATGCGGGACTGCTCTGCAGGCTCTACTCGCTCTACTCCGCGTTCCAAATAGTCTCGGGTACATATTCGTTGAAAACTGAAGTATGTCGGCCAGATATTTATTCACAATGAAGAATTACTATATACCTTGTAATAAAGACAAAACAATACATATAACCGGCTGTCACGCCATATGACTCCAGAAACCTCTTATTTACTCCCATAATCCGCGCTCATGATTAGGATTAAAAGCATAGCTCCTCCGTTTCCGACCCTTATCATTCCACGGCCACCACGATGACCATGACGATGATGAGGACGAAAACCATGATCTTGGATCATATCGACTCCTTTTTGCTGGGAGACGGTTGTGTATAAAGTCAGGTATATACTGAGATCGACGTTGATTCGTGAGTGGGTTCTTGAACCATGGTGGAAGGAGTGACGATCTCTGGGTTGAGAATGGAAATCGGGATGGTGTTGTAGATGTGAATGGCCATGGTAGAGAAGAGAACCATGAKCCAGGAGTATTAGTAGTCGTTGTGGCCGTAGTTGTTTGTCGCCGGAAGAAGTTCAAAGGATTATATTTGGTCATCTTTGACTGCTTCTGCTTCTCGAATTGCGAAATGACACGGTCGAGTTGTTTTTCACGATGATCAGACTGCTGCTTGTGCTGGACTTTGCGCCATTCCTGTTGTTCATTAGGATCTAGGCACCAGACCACTATATCGCCTTTTCGCCGCGAGTCGTCATGCCACGCTGTATTCCATGTTCGCCAGCATTCGCCATAGGAGCTGCTACGCAGTGAAGTACGAATTGTTGGTTCAAGTTGCGCAAAGAAGACTAGATAGTCCGGCCATTCATGAAAGGTAGCCTCCTTCGGCGACTGCGCTTGTTGATGAGAGTAGTAAGCCGTAGGTGGTGATCGAGATGGCAACGTTGACATGTATGAGGGTCGACGAGGGATGTGCCAAAGACCGCCAATCATGTGATTCTGCAGGAATCCGGTCGGATTCGCGTAGAATTGGTCTGCTTCATCCAAGTATGCTTTCTTTTGTGCTTCATTCAGCCCCACAGGAGGTTCGCAGGACAGTGCCCATGCCTCTATAGAGGGAAAGACCAAGTGTGACCTCCAAGGTGTACTATGACAGGGCATCAGAAAGCCAACAGTCATGTTCCTTGACGGAGCTTGCACCGGTTTGTCTGATTCTCCAAACAATGGACGCGGAGCGAGCAAGTGGCCGTAGTCCTCTTGGTGGGCATTGTGTCGTGCTCGCAAATAGGAGAGAACATCCGTCGGTCCGGGTGCATGTACTAAAGTGGTATAATATGCGATGAAAATGTTCACTAGTACCAGGAATAGCAACGTCAATCTTCGGGGCAATTGAGCATTGGTTGAAGATGAAATAGCTGGAAGGAAGAACGAAACAAGCGGCTCGGCCGTTATAATATGTAGAGCCGGCAACAAGGGATAAATGAATCTGACTTCCTTGTGCGCAATGATGGAGAGCACGGCCGGCATGACAAGTGATACTGTAGCTAGTTGATATTTGATTGAGCCTCGGCGGCTCACCGTCGTTGCGACACCGGGACGCAAGGACTTGTAGAGTCCAACGAGACCAAAAGGAAGAGCCGTGGTTAGAAGGAGTGGGTACCCTTGTGAAAGATAATAATGCCAGTCATTGTGGCCGTAGAAGATGGCAATGGACTGAGCAACGTTGACGTAGAGGAATTGGAAGATGGGAAATGCCCAGACGCCGTAAAAGAGGCGATCGATCAGAACCGAGAAAGCGAGGACAGCGGATCTATTGACAAGTGAGTAAATAACCCAAATCAGGCCTCGTTTGAAAGACTTACCCGCAAAAGACCGATTCCCTCACAAGTATAAAGACGGTCGATCGTGGGCATTGATATGCGGCAAACCCGGCCATGCATGCCCATATGATGATGTTCGTGGGGCGCAGAACGCAAGCCAGCGCTGCGAATAAGAGACATTTTCGGAGGCTGGATAGCGCTACCGTTAGAAACATGATGGTAAATATGTCTCCATCGAGCCCAGGCCATCTGTACCTTGACTGTCGACTCGCGCTTTCAAGAGTCTCATCCGGTTCATCCTGTTCTTCCCTTTCTTCCTCCTCTTCTGCGTCCACCTCCTGGTTATCGAGAAACCACTCCCACGGCCATAAGTATAGGGCGACTATGGTCAATGTCGTTTCTGCGGAATTCGAAAACGTTCGTGTTGAGCAAAACCATTGCCAAGGGCTCAGGACACTCAATGCCAGCTATAGACAAGTCCGCTTATTAGCCATGCTCTCATAAACAGTCGTTGCACGAATTCATACCGTAGCCCATGCGCCATAGCTCTCAGTTCCATAAATCTTGTTGGATAATTTCCATGTGTAGTAGTCTCCGGTCGCGGCAATAATAGCTTGGGCAATCTTGGGTGCTACGATGAGCAATTCGGCTGCATTTAGGGGGGACAGTCGTGCAACCCATGCGAAGGAGCCGGCAACGTAATATACGGCGGCAAAAAACAGGGGATGAATTGAGGATCGTAGCTCATGTCTCCATTCCTACGCATCGCTTGCGATTAGTCCCTTTCCAACGTCTGCCAGGCCAGGAACTTACCCATGTGATCCAGGCACCGCTATCACTCCCGAACACAACTTGCCAGGCCGGCTCTAAAGACTGAAAGAATTCGTCGGGTTGAAAAAAAGTGCGCACAGTAAGCGCATTCAGTATGCGAAACGCGACCAGAAACAACAAGATGTTATGAGGCGTCGCTTGAGCTTTGGCGCGTCGTCTGAGCCGATGGATGGAGTCAGCCAAGGAGGTATCCGTGCCGCTCGACGCAAGAGACTGCTCTGAGGCTTCCAGGGACATGATGCCGGGTCAGCTGCATGCCGGAGCCGTGCGCAGTCAGATGAGGTCGGCAACGAGACCGTTGATATCAAAGGACAATTATTATGGAGCCGTGGGTTGTCAGTCGGCGTGTCGATCTCGATAGTCGCGACGGTTGGCTGGGGAAACAAGGGTAGAGGCGGCTGCGGCAATCCACGGGGCCCCACTATGCGTAACTTGCGTCGCTCGCAATGCAAGTCACAGTGCGCGCAGGATAATGTATATACAAGTCACTGTATGATGGCTGTACACGGCTATATTACTCGTAAAACAGAGGTTTATTGAGGTAGCAATTACTAATCTTACGAAGGAGTGAGACGACGCGATTGACCGTTGACGTAATGCGAACCGCTGGCAGTTACGTACTTGACCCAATACGGTTAGCTTCATTTCTGTCACATGACTACACGCGCTAGGGCTTCACCAGCCAATCAGCAGCGAGGGAAAAGGAATGACATTCCGGCAGGAGCGACCTGGCCAATCACGTGCGGTACACCGGGCCGGGTCTCCGTCGGCCGGGATTGGAAGTCGCGACGAGCGGCTACACTTGCACTTAGAGGTCTAGTTCCATCGTCATGCCCGTGGACGGTGCGAGAATGGATCGTGTCCCTCGTTTTTTTGCCTTCCACCGGTTTTACTCATATACGAAGGTTGGCCTTTTCTTTTTCTTCTTTCTTTCCTGTTCTGTTGAGTTGTTCGAGGGCTTTTTCCACATCCTGTCCTTGCCGTCATCCCACAGTCTCTTTTTCAGAGCGTACCCCGCCATATCTTGAAGATCTTCACGATTGACTCACATCAAAGCCATTGACTCTTCTTATATGTTAGGCAGACATTGTCAGTACCTGATCTAGGTTCCCCGCATCATGTCTCCCATCGCAATTGAAACCCAGGACGCGAACGTCGCTTTCAAAGACGACTCCGTTTACCATGCAACTTCTACCAACGCTGCTATCGCAGCCGAGCACGACTATGCCGCTCACAATTACCACCCTCTGCCCATCGTTTTTGCTCGCGCGTCAGGCACTTCGGTATGGGATCCCGAGGGTCGCCATTACCTAGACTTCTTGTCCGCATATTCTGCTGTCAACCAAGGTCACTGTCACCCTGAACTCGTCAAGGCTTTGGTCGACCAGGCATCCAGGTTGACCCTGAGCTCACGCGCTTTCTACAATGATGTCTTTCCCAAGTTTGCCGAGTTTGTGACCAAGTTCTTTGGTTTCGACATGGTTCTTCCCATGTGTACAGGTGCCGAAGCAGTTGAGACGGGTATCAAGATTGCCAGAAAATGGGGTTACAAAGTCAAGGGAATTCCTGAAAATCAAGCAATCGTGCTTAGTGTTGAGAACAACTTCCACGGTAGAACTGTAAGTCGGTCGTCGTAGGTCGCTTTATCCACACCCAACCGATATTGATTGTTGATTGTGTAGTTCGCCGCTATTTCCATGTCTTCCGACCCCGAGTCCCGCGACAACTATGGCCCGTACCTGCCCAACATCGGACACTGTATCCCTGGAACCAACAAGCCAATTGCCTACAACGACAAGGCCGCTCTCAAAGAGGCCTTCGAAGCGGCTGGCTCTAACCTAGCCGCTTTCTTGGTCGAGCCGATCCAAGGAGAAGCTGGTATTGTTGTCCCAGACGATGATTACTTGCAGGAGGCTCGCGCTCTTTGCGACAAGCACAATGTGCTCCTCATTTGCGACGAGATTCAGACAGGTATTGCTCGTACCGGAAAGCTTTTGTGTCACGAGTGGAGCGGCATCAAGCCCGATCTCGTATTGCTTGGAAAAGCCATTTCCGGAGGAATGTACCCTGTCTCGTGCGTGCTCGGTCGCAAGGATGTGATGCTCACAATCGAGCCTGGTACTCACGGATCGACTTACGGAGGTAACCCCTTGGGTTCTGCCATTGCCATCCGCGCTTTGGAGATCATTCGCGACGAGAACATGGTTAAACATGCCGAGAAGCTTGGTCATGTCTTCCGTGACGGCTTGACCGCGCTCAACAGTCCTCTGATCCAGACTGTGCGTGGTAAGGGTTTGTTGAATGCCATCGTCATTGACGAGAGCAAGACAGGCGGTCACTCCGCTTGGGATCTGTGCATGTTGATGAAGTCCAAGGGACTGCTGGTATGTTTCCTACTTTGATGAGTGGTTAACGCAAGGTACTAATTTGAGATGAATAGGCCAAGCCGACCCACGAAAACATCATTCGTCTCGCACCTCCCTTGGTCATTACAGAAGCCGAAATCAAGAGTGCTCTTGACATTATCAAGCAGTCTCTTGAGGAGCTCCCCACCCTCTCTGGCAAGAAGGAAGATGAAGTCATTCCTCCTGCTGAAAAGAAGGTCAAGATCGGAGTCGATAATTAGACGACATCTATTACCGTGCTCAAATAACATGCCTGGCTTGTAGCTCGAGTCCGAGCCGGCATGTTTGAGCCGTGCCTACTTTCCACAAGGATCATTTTCCTTTGAGTGGACTGTAAGGCACTTAGACGGAGCAACATATCAGGAAGAACTTGAATCATCTCTAGTATGATATATTAAGCTCACGCTTTTAGCTGAGTGGACTTATATTACCAGGAGCTCGACCGACCGGCACGCGCCGTGTTGTCAGGTTTATGTACTTCTGTCAGAGGGGGCTGTGTGCGAGGGGTTCAAGGGGGCACAAAAATGCCTCACCTTGGTAGGTGGTGGGTTCAAGAGCTGTCGGTATTGATTAAATAGCGCATAGTAATTGCTTGCCAAGCGGCATTGCATGTCTTAGCAAAAGTTGTCAATGAATTATTATTATACTCGGTATTATCAAAACTGTACTTCTTCGTTCTATTAGTTGAGTGTGTAGGAGAAGTTGCCAGTAACCACCTGTGGAGTAACCCCCCCTTCGATGTATACAGATCTAGACCACTCAGCACATCCCTGCAAATCGCTCATCGACCTTGGAAGCCGCATGACAACCCAACATAAACAAGATACTGGTCCTCAATTCTCGTCAAGAAGCAGATCCCACACGTCAGGTATAAGCAGACCGCTCAATACTACACACGTTCAAACTACCGGTATCCGATAATCCGCCAATTCAGCCCGGGAGCCCAATATACACCTTTGACCAATCAACGGGAAAATAAATAATTGCTCTCGAGCTTCCGCACAAACAGCATTATCCACGGATAAGCACTACATCATACATAAAGTAATTTCCCCGGATCGAAGATACAGATACATGTACTGGACGGTTAACCGGCACACGCGACAGGGCTTAGAGTTCAAGGGCTTGACGCTTTGAACATATGTACGTTCCCTACAACAGCGACCAAAATGATGGGGAGAATTTTCCCCGCGGTGGAAGTCTGGAATGCTCGCTATACATCTGTAGTTGTAATCTCGGAGCTGCAGCCCTGATTCGAGCAACATGGCTCGGAGATTTGTGACTTGTCATTTACTCATGGATTTCAATTGACGGAGAAGCAGGAAGCCCCACGAAAATAGATAAAAGCAAGTGGAAAGGTGGAAAGGTGGAAAGGTGGACGGTTCAGTGGAGAAGCTGCCTCGGTGCGGAGTTAAGATGAAAGCTTATCGCTCACGGAGTAAGTGGGAGGGGGGGAGGGGGGGAGGCCCGAGAAGATGGTGTGCGTGGCAGTTTAGTTTCGGAGTTCGTGTGCTTTGTCAGTCTTGCCGCTTTAAGGAGCGCTTTTCTTGTTTCGAACGGAACAAAACAAAACTTCATCCGGCACTTCTACAAAGACCGATGGAACAAACACGAGACGTCCATAATCCCAACCCTAATCAACCCCAAAATTCAATTTTCGTAGGTCTCTCTGTCCCGATCTCACAGGCCATTCCGAATTCGAGTCCTATGTTCACTGGCTCACCGGCATGCTCCTCTCATATACATCCCATATTCTCGACTTAAACGAAGAAGGAAACGAAGTAACGAAATGGTAGCCTATCTGGACAGCCACCGACGGGGAAATGGGTGTGGTGGGATAGAGTTGCTATTTTTGCATTTAATGATGGAAAGATTAAAGATTGAAGATCTGTGGGATTTGGGGGATGACCATGGTTTGATGGGGGCGGCTGAAGGAGGCTGGGTCTGAGTTGAAATTTGTTGCAAATGGAAAGGCGAGGGGCTGATGAGCTTGTCTGGTGATATGGCTTAAGACCAATGTATATAGCTTTCATCAAATGATCATTATATTCCATCATAAATTCAAGTTGAAGGCTTATTTGTGGTTCGATTTTCGCCCCGTCCCGTCCGTGCGGCCCGTTGTATACGAACCCCTGCCCAAGAAGGCAAAGCCAAGCCCTAATCACCGCGTGTGTAGCGCTATCACAACTCAGCCTCAGGCGGGGTCTTGAGGGGGGAGATTCTTCAAGTTGAACTTAAGGTTTTAAGCTTCTGTCGCACAATGACAAGATTTCTCTTTTTGATCTAATTGATCGCATCTCGGGTGGGAGTACATATGTACATTTCCGCAGGCTGCAGGAACTTCGATGCTTGGCTCTCCTTGCGAATGCGACTTTGATGAAGACATCTTTCTGAATTGGCTGGTTGCTTCCCTCCGCGGGAGGTAACGGCGACAACGATCATACGAAATGGCGACAGCAATGATGAAGTCCACCGCTTTCTACAACATTGCAGCGACGAAAATAATGATGGCGCGAAGGCGAAGCTCTCTCAGGTTCGTTCCACCGTCCTTTATTATATGCGGCGCATCACTAATACTGTAATTTTCTGATACAGACAAAAGAAAAGCCTATGGGACGAAGCCGCCAATCTCCTATCCAAAGAAGATCGCAAATACCTCAACTTTGACGACCAGGACCAAACAATCAAAGCATCTAAAGGACAAACTCCGCAACGAATCTTGGAGGATATCGAATCACAGATCGAAGCAGGCAAAAGTAAACAATGGCGATTTCGGAAGAGTAATGGTGACGAAGTCACTGTCAGAGAATTGCTGGAGAAAGTTGCGAAATGGGTAAATAAGTTCAAGGAGATTGGGGATGTGGTGGTTCAGTATGATCCGGTGCATGCGGCTTTGCCGTGGGCTGCGTTACGCTTTTTCTTGGTAGTAGGTATGACCACAACTTCCTTGCTATTAGTGCTAATTGGCTAGATCACAATCAACGACGTCGAAAGATATGGTGCAATGATGGAAGGCATTGAAGTCGTCGCTGGCATAATCGCACGTTTTTCCGAAGTCGAAAAGAACGATCTCACCGGCCGATCAAACCTCAAGACACAGCTCGAAAATGGTCTCATCAAGCTCTATGCAGCAGTATTAAAATACCTAGCCGAGGCGCGCCATTACTACAATTCGTCGACTGGCAAGAAACTAGCAAAATCGCTGATTCCGGTGGCCAAGTCTACGGCAGAAGAGCGGTTAGATCGCATATACAAAGAAGAAAACGACGTATATCGACTGGTGAATCTGGTCCAGGCCGAGAACCAGGCCAATCGGTTGATTTCGATTCAGGCGTCACTAATCAACTTGGAGGAAAACCTTCTACAAGCAAAATCAGCCCTCTCAGCGGCTCGGCGACGTCTGTTGGAGAGACTCGGTGCTACGTATACAAACGACAATTATGACGGCGCACTTTCTCTCAGACGGGACGGAACAGCGAATTGGATTTTTGATCGCGATGTTTTCAAGGCATGGATGAACAGGGGTTCTTCAAAGTCGAATCTCTTGTGGATCTACGGCGGACCAGGGTTCGGGAAAACAGTGCTGGCCGCAGGAATGGTTAAATATCTTCGAGAAAAACGACCCAAATCCGTGGCGTATTTTTTCTGTGTGTCAGAAAACGAAGCGAAACGCGATCCGTACGCGATTCTCACGTCATGGGTTGCCCAAATGATTGAGCAGAATGATGCCGCGGTCAGAATAGCAAGCCACTTGATTGATGTAGAAGAGCTGCGCGCCATCACGAGGTCTGAGAAATGGAACTTGTTTCGAAACATTTGTCGGGGTGTTAAGGATTGCACGTTTGTTATTGATGGCTTCGACGAGTGCTCTGGCCTCAACAAGACTTCTCGGTTTGATACAGATGATGCACGGGCTCAGTTCTTGCAGGAATTAATCGTGGAGTTATGTGCTGCAAAGGCGAGTGTGCTTGTGGTAAGCAGGGATACCGCTGAGATCCGCGAGGAGATATTCAGAGAAAAGGACAATGAGGAAGTCACTATTTCCTCATATCAGATCACTGCAAAAGATACTCGCCCAGACATTGAAGACGTTTCAAAATACGTCGTTGACTTCAAATTGTCCAAAAAGCCAGCACAGCTTCGTGAAGAAATTGCCACAAAAGCAGCAGAAAAGTCAGAGGGCATGTTCCTCTGGGTTCATCTGCTTTCTCAGAAACTCAAGCCAGGCATCAATGCAAGCCAACTTCAGAAAGTGGTTTCCCGGATGCCGGCTGGACTCGAGCAGGCATATGAGCGTGATCTCACTCATATTGACAGCTTGGACGAAGATGAGCGACACCGGGCGACCGACATACTGCGATGGGTGTTGTTTGCCGTTCGACCGCTAACCGTTCGTGAGTTGGTAGAAGCCCTTATCTTGAATGGAAATATCGATGACGATAACCCATATCCTGAAGATGAACTACCGGACTCTTGGAAGGTCAATTACGTTGACGAAGACTACGTGAACGATGTTCTTCGACAACCTTTAGGCTCGCTGATCGAACTGAGAAGCCGCGGAGAGAATGAGCCGCTCTCCGCGTATACGGTACACTTTGTACACTATTCTGTCAAAGAGTACCTTCTTCGACCGAATGATGCCGGTATATCGAGAGCGCAGACTTTGTGTTTTCCGGATAACAAGTCCGAAAACGATCGGCTCGCAAAGCTCTGCCTGCAATATCTGTGCTATGATGTTTTTGGTAGTCACCGCAAACAAGTTTCGACAAGGAAACAATTACAGGTATATCCTTTCTTGATATATGCCGCAAGAACGTGGTTTCAGCACGCTGTTGCAGGGAATGCAATTTCGCCGGATATCATTGAAAGCGCAAGAAGACTGTTAAATCCCGCTACTTCAAATTGGGTCATGTGGTCAAAAGTTTTCGATGGAGCCGATGATGACTCTGATACAAGTGACTCGGAGCCTGATTCCAAGGATGACACAGGGTCGGGAGAATCCGGTACCGATGACACGGAAAACGATGAAGACGATGCTTCAGATGATGGCGGGAATGAAGAAGAAGATTGGGAAGATGTTGATGATGATGATGATGATGACGAAGACGATGAAAACGAATTCGGGGGACCCCTATACTACGCGTCTCTTCTTGGTCTGCTCGATATTGTCAAACAACTCCATTCAGACGGTTTGGACGTCAATGCTAAAGGCGGAAAATATGGCACTGCGCTACAAGCCGCTGTCGTCATGGGCCATTTTGATACCGTCAAATTTCTCATCGATAACGGGGCTGACGTCTCTGTATATGCCGGTCTATACTCCTATGCTATTTGTGCAGCTGGGTCGGGCGGACATCTGGACATCATCAAATTACTAGTCGAATCAGGGGCCGACCTTGAGAGTGAAGACGACCCAGATAAATATCGGCTCATTCATTATGGCTCATATAATCCACAAATAATGAGAATGTGCCTGGACCATTGCGCAAACACCGAGGCAAGAGATAGCAGAGGACGTACTGCCTTATATTGGACAGGAATTAGTGGCTATCTAGAGTGTGCGCAGATGCTAATCGACGCCGGAGCGGATATTAATGCCGAAGTTGAAGATTGGGGATCCCCGTTATATGCTGCTGTTAAGAACAATCATTTTGACATCGTCAAGCTCTTGCTCGATCGGGGAGCTCGGGTTGACATGAAATGTAAAAATGCCATGACGTGTCTACATCAAGCTGTGTTAAACAGCAGAGAAGATATTGTCAAGATCTTGCTGGACCATGGTGCGGAGGTCGATGCACCTTATTACCTGGGGTCCACCCCATTGAGATTGGCAAGTGGGTTTCCTGGCCATTTACCATCAGCAGAGCTTTTGCTCCAGCATGGTGCAGACATCAATCTTGCGGATAATAGCGGTTGGACGCCGTTACACGTTTCCACTGCAGCTGGCCACGAGGCGCTTGTCAACTTATATCTCGAGCATGGCGCTGATATTGAGGCGGAAACTTCCTCATCAATTACCCCATTGATGCTTGCCGCCTATGGTGATTCGGTTAAAATTTTGGAGATACTTCTCGCACAGGGCGCTGATCCCAAAAAGTACGATATTAGCGGAGATACTAGTTTAGATCATGCGATCCATAGGCACCGCGACGAAATGATCTTGTTGCTGCTCGGTCAGAATGTTCTGACTACTTCACCGGTCCCTCCAGAAGATGAGGCGGCTTTCAAAAAGCAGAACATGAGTCTCCAGAAGGCGGTCTTCCAAAAAGATCGCGATCAAGTAGAAGCTGAACTAGCTAATACCCCGCCATCAAACACGGGAGTCCTTCTAGATAATGCACTGATAACTGCGGCGATTGCAGGGTCAATCGGACTGACAGAGACCTTCCTGGCTATGGGAGCAAATGTGAAGTCCGCAACATCGAATCGAAGGACCGCTTTGCATTACGCCGCGTTCTATGGGCATTTCGATGTAGTAAAGCTTTTGCTTGATCACGATGCAGACCCTTATTCTCGCGATATGAACAAATCGTTTCCCCTGGAGTTGGCTATCCAAGGGGGTGGCAGAAACGCACCGTCGGTAAAATATTTGATTGAGAAGCATGGCTTTGGTCCGGATTTCTCCTCGCCAAGTGCCTCCTTGCTTGAAGCTTGTAAGTTACCCGCCCGCGGTTCAAGATACTTGAACGCGTCATTTCAGTCCCCTTCTGACCACCTACCGAAAATAGGGACGAACATTGCCGGCACGCTTAAGGGATACTATTCGTACAGCAGTTGGAGCAAAGGCAGGAAAGATGATATGTCATTTGATGTTATAGCTTGGAATGACGAAAAGAGCTCCGGTCCTCTCGGACAACCCCCGAGGTTCCTTGGCCATGGCTCAGATGTTATTGGCGAATTCGAGATCTTGGGCTTCCTTCATGGAGATAAGCAGGTGACGTGGGCCAAGCTATATCTGGGTGAGAAGGGACAGGGGTGGTTATACTCGGGGGAATTTGACGAAGGAAAGTTGTCAATCAAAGGCTCATGGGGAAGGAACATGCAGTTATGGCACGGTAACTTTGTGCTAGAAAAGGGGAAAGTCAATTGAATTCTCGATATTATATCGTCTGTTTGATCTGGTGCATAGATATCATCTCATAGTATAGTTGTACATTAATTCGTTAGAGGCAAGGACGATAAACATCATGGGTGTGGTAATTACGAGGAGGACGGGAATATGTCCCTGGTCCGACCGTTCAACGTCCTTTCCAATCCGTCTTACCATTCTGAATGGAATGTTTATAATAGGATGTGGCTCGTGAAATTGAATGCTACACTCAACATCTAGATTTCTCAGCAAAAACTACCAAACGAACCCATAAACCTTCTCCACGGCAAACGAGGTGCTAGCTATTGCGTCAAAAGATTTCATTCCACGGTATCTATCCAGGTTGCGAACTATGAGAGGGCTGGAAAAACAATGTAGAGAAGAATGTGTAGGTGCACTGGTCCACTAAGAACACTGGCTGAACGTCGTTGATATGCGTGTGGACCTCTCGTTTCACAACGTGTTCGAAGTTTGCAGGCTCTCCTCGAGACTTGAATTTTGCTTTAGGCTGTACCTGAGTCGCCGGTTCGGTGGTCTTTTGTGTTTGATAGACCTGCTCAAGCTGAATATCTGCAGGCGACTTTTCCAAAACTGTTGGCATGAGAGCTTGCTTTTCCAGCTCTACCCACTCGGGAGTCCTTTGCATCGACCCAGATATCTTCAAAAGTATGTCTGTCATACACAGCATTCTCTCGGGTCGCTCCACTTGCTACAGTTATAAATACATCCAGCGTTCGCCAGAACTTACCCAGATATCTCTCCTCTGCTCCTATCAATCAGACGTGCTCTTGATTACGTCGCTTGTTGACTATGTAGTGAAATTGGCTCCTGAGGCTGTCGAACCCATAGTGATCGCAGTAGTGGAGATGCCGGAGTTGCCATTCGGAAATCAGAGATTGGATCATTCATAAACTGTTTCAGAGCAAACTACAGGCATACGAATGCATCAACAATTCGGTGGGCGAACCTTTCTCCGGTAATATTTAATGTTGATCTTTTGCAAGAAATTGGCGTAATTTCATCAAAAGGGAGTAAATAGTGCTCCAAAGTTCAATATACCCATGGGATTCGCGAACAACACAGCCCAAGGCGCGGTTCCAGAACATTGGGTGAACGCATGGGTCAATTTAGAATGGATTTACCACCTATGTCCAAAAGGATCTCCTGGAGATGTTGTAATCATTAACGAACGTCTCAAAGTACCCAGGGTCTTCTCGTAAGGACAATAGATGATCTTCAGCAGCTGTGCGTTTAACATCAATGATGGCTATGAGTGCATCTGATCGAGCTTTGCAGAAAGTCGATCAGACGCATCAGCCGCAACAGCAGCTAAAGAATGCCAATCTCCTGGTTCCTTGATTGTAGGTTCTGATAACACAGTAAGATTCCAAACCATTTACTCTTCAGATATGTCGTCGAGGATCTGACGAACACATTTTAGTAGAAAGTCACCGATCTGCTGCTGTTTTTCCGACACCAAAAGTCCGTATCCTGGATGGAGCCATATTCTATCAAGTAGCCAGCCAAAGGCATCATGATCATCTTCCCAGGGTATGGAGAAATCACCCATACACTCCAGCAATCCTGCTGGCTTGCTCGAATCGATATTATCGAGGTCGAGGTTATCGCCATCCAAATACTCATCAGCCCAACCATTCAGGAGACTGTCCCAAAGCGCACGGTAGCGGTCGATACTAATTAATCCGCTAGAAACTTATATATGGTTGCAAGTTTGAAGTTATTTTGACGAAGAAGTTATTATGGAGTGTAATATACACGTTAATCCTCTTTGGAGCTAGTACAATATGAGAGAAACAAAGCGGCAAGAAGGTGGCTTATCGACACGCGTGCGAACTTGGTATTGCCACACCACCGTTAGCCCTGATTGGGAGCTGCATTTCACCGATCTTTTCGGAGCTCGGATTTAAGACTCTCGGACTACTTTATAACGCCCTCTTTGTCTATCCATTATCACAAAAAGAAGGCAAAAAAGTTGTGAAATGGCATTCCAGGATCGCTCAGTTCTACTCTGAATCAGACACAATGAACCCCGAGCATAATGGTAGCAGCCTACGGAGTAGTTAGAATTGCCTAGGCAGGAGATATAGATCGGGACGGCGTCCGCAACCGGGACTGGCCCTCCTCCCGCAAAAAAAAGTTGAGGTCCCACTTGGCTGCTCATAGTGAATTCAATCACCACGCCCAACACAAGGCAAGCTGCTGCTATCTTGCGGACTACATTAATCAGAAGATGAATTCCGTGCCGCTTGAACCGGTTTCTCTCTTATTTCTTTCCCTTGCCCTTTCTTTCTCCTCTTTCCCTACTCACCTCCATGTTATCATGCACCCGACATGACTCTAAGCTTGCTGTGTCGATTCTCGTCTTATCTGTAGAGCAACTTACGTGCAGATGCTCTATCTGACCGGGGGGGGCTTCTAAATTTGATTCGGAGTACCATTGATACGATTTCTCGCCCACTGTGAGAGGAATGTCTGTTCCCCAACCGACCTCGGCGTTGACGGCCGCTGAACAACATCGAGAACAACAAGAGCAAGAAGCCGTAGCAGCAGCAGCGGCAGCCGGTGATGAAAAAATAGCCCTCTCAAAAATCGACGCTACTTCTAGTCGCACATCAAGTATCTCTACTCCTGAAAATAGTGCCGAGCAAGGTGTTTCGGGAAAGGGGGCTGGTGCTGAGAAACGCAAATGGTATCAAAAATTGAACCCGCTTCGGCTGCGCAAAATTCCTCCCGTACCGGAGGAACGGTCTGTATCTCCTGAATATGGTGCCGGTATCCTCAGCGTTATTTTGTTCCAATGGATGTCTCCGTTGATGAACGTGAGTGGTCTGCTAAAACCGTCCTCCGAAAGCACCTCGACTGACTGCGACTTTTACAGACTGGATACCTACGGCCTCTGCAGCTACAAGATATCTGGAAAATAAACCCCGACCGATCTGTCCATCGCCTCAAAACTAAACTTATCGAGTCATTCGGACGGCGTCACGAACGAGGTGATAAATATCCGTTGCTGTTCGCTATATACGACGCATTTTTCTTCGAATTTTGGCTCGGCGGAATCTGCAACCTATTCAGTTCTATTTTCATGGTTCTCTCGCCTTATATGACTCGCTACTTGATTGCTTATGCCACGGAGGCGTATATTGCAAAAGCGAACCATCAGCCGGAACCTGCCGTTGCAAATGGTATCGGATTTGCTGTTGGAATTACCGTTATGCAAATATGTCAAAGTTTATGCACCAACCAGTTCATCTACAGAGGGTTTTTAGTTGGTGCACAGCTGAGGGCCGTGCTGATCAATGTGATATTTGATAAAACCATGAAAATTTCAAATCGTGCCAGAGCTGGTGGCAGTCTGGCCGAGGATGCTGATCAGGATGGTCTGAAGGTTTTCGAAGGTAGCTTAAGCGGGCAAGGTTGGAGTAATGGGCGTATCATTACTCTGATGAGCGTTGACGCAGACCGTATCAACACCGCAATGGGCATGTTCCATCTAATGTGGTCATCGCCGATTGTCATTATCCTCGCAATCATCCTCCTGTGTATCAACATCGGGTACAGTGCTCTTTCCGGATTCGCATTGTTGCTTCTCGGTATTCCGTCCCTTACTATGGCCATTAAAAGTCTCTTAAAAAGAAGAAAATCCATCAACTACCTAACTGATCAGCGAGTCTCTTTGACTCAAGAAATCCTGCAATCTGTCCGCTTTGTCAAATTCTTTGGATGGGAAAGCAGTTTCATGGAGAGATTGAGAAGTATTCGCCGGTCAGAAATCCGTGCGGTGCAAGTTCTCTTAGCTATTCGAAATGCCATCTTGTGCGTCTCGCTGTCGATGCCGACCTTTGCATCAATGGTGTCTTTCGTCACGTATTCCTTGTCGCAGCATGTGCTTACCCCCGCACCCATTTTCTCGTCGTTAGCCCTTTTCAATTCTTTACGTATGCCATTGATGCTCTTCCCCCAGGTCTTGGGTCAAGTTACGGATGCATGGACTGGTCTCAAGCGTATTCAGGAATACCTGCTTGAAGAGGAAGTCACAGACGACATCGAGTGGGATCACAGCATGGACGAAGCTATCATGTTGGAAGGCGCTTCCTTTACTTGGGAGCGAACTCCGCCTGATGAACTAGGCCAGAATGGAGGAAAGTCCAAGAAGGACAACGGGAAAAAGGAAGCACTTGTTGAACCCGAGGTTCCTGAAGATGTCATTCCATTCAAGATATCGGACTTGAATCTTTCTGTCAAGCGCAACGAGCTCATCGCAGTCATTGGAACAGTTGGCTCTGGAAAAACATCGCTACTTGCCGCTCTGGCAGGCGACATGCGACTAACTAAAGGATCAGTTCGTCTAGGTGCATCCAGAGCATACTGCCCTCAGTACGCCTGGATTCAGAATGCTACTGTTCGAGGAAATATCAGTTTTGGTAAAGAGTTCGATGAAACATGGTACAACACAGTTGTTGACGCATGCGCTCTACGCCCCGATTTTGACGTTTTCCCTAATGGAGACAGCACAGAGATTGGAGAGCGTGGTATTACCGTTTCTGGTGGTCAGAAGCAGCGTCTCAACATTGCCCGTGCCATCTACTTTGATTCAGATATCATCTTGATGGATGATCCTCTATCCGCAGTAGACGCGCATGTCGGCCGCCACATCATGGATCAGGCAATCTGTGGCTTGCTGAAAGATAAATGCCGTATTCTCGCAACTCATCAGCTTCACGTACTTAGTCGCTGTGATCGGATCGTGGTCATGGATGATGGTCACATCAACGCTGTGGACACCTTTGACAATTTGATGCGTGACAACCTGCTATTTCAGAGACTAATGTCTACCACCACCCAAGACCAAGAGAATGACAACGAAGAAGATGAAGAGGAAGTGGGAGACGAAATAGAAAAGGTCGAAAAGGAAGAAGCGGCGCCAGCCAAGAAGATCAAACCTGGAAAACAGACAGCGTTGATGCAGCAAGAAGATCGAGCCACTACTGCCGTAGGATGGGAAGTGTGGAAAGCTTATATGCTTGCTTCTGGTCACGTCCTTTATCCGATTTTCGTCGTGTTGGCCATTGTTCTTACCAACGCTTCTAACATCATGACAAGTTTCTGGCTAACTTACTGGACTTCCGGGAAATACAACTTGACCACCGGTCAATACATCGCCGGTTACGCCTCGCTTGCTGCACTGCAAGCTATTATCATGTTCGTATACTCGACCTTACTCAGCGTTGCAGGAACGAATGCTAGTAAGAACATGTTACAGAAAGCCATGACGCGGGTTTTGAGAGCGCCCATGTCATTCTTTGACACCACGCCTTTGGGCCGAATCACGAATCGATTTTCAAAAGATGTTCATGTTATGGACAACGAGCTGGGCGATGCGATGCGTATCTATGGTCTCAACATTACCATGATCATTGCTATTATCATCTTGATCATCGTGTATTTCCACTACGTGAGTCTTTCAGAGCTTAGGTTGTTGGGACTGATATGCTAACTAATAATATGCAGTTTGCCATCGCATTTGGGCCTTTGTTGATCCTGTTCCTCGTCGCAGCCAACTATTACCGAGCATCAGCACGAGACATGAAACGGTTTGAATCCGTTCTGCGGTCTCATGTCTTTTCTCGCTTTAGCGAATCCATTTCCGGGGTCGCCAGTATCCGTGCGTACGGCTTACAAGATCATTTCAGTCGCGGTATCAGTGAGGCAATTGACGAAATGGACAGCGCATACTTTCTCACATTCTCTAACCAGCGATGGCTCAGTGTCCGCCTTGATGCTGTTGGTTACATCATGGTGTTTGTCACCGGTATTCTAGTCGTGACGTCCCGATTCAATGTCTCTCCCAGCATTTCGGGTCTTGTGCTATCTTACATTCTCGCAATTGTGCAGATGTTGCAATTCACTATTCGGCAACTCGCTGAAGTCGAGAATAGTATGAACGCCACAGAACGACTGCACTATTACGGAACTCAACTCGAAGAAGAGGCACCTGTCCACCTTGGCGAAGTTGAACCCGAGTGGCCCACAGAGGGCAGAATCACATTCTCAAATGCTCAAATGCGTTACCGCGCTGGTCTCCCTCTCGTTCTTAGAGGACTGAACATGGACATTCGCGGCGGCGAGCGAATCGGTATTGTTGGACGTACAGGAGCTGGAAAGTCCAGTATCATGTCTGCACTCTTCCGTATCACCGAGCTATCCGGAGGAAGTATCACAATTGATGGCAAAGACATCGGCAAAGTCGGTCTTCAAGATCTTCGTTCACGTCTCGCTATCATCCCTCAAGACCCAACACTCTTCCGAGGAACGGTGCGATCAAATCTCGATCCATTCAACGAGCACAACGATTTAGAGCTATGGGACGCATTGCGAAAGTCCCATCTAATCGGCGAACAACCCGAGGGATCCGAGCTAGAAGATTCCGATGAAGAAAAGTCCCAACAAGCCCAGACCCAAAGCTCAAACCGCATCCAACTCGACAGCACCGTCGACGAGGAAGGTCTCAACTTCTCCCTGGGTCAGCGGMAACTGATGGCCCTCGCGCGCGCCCTGGTTCGCAACTCTCGCATCATCATCTGCGATGAAGCTACTTCATCTGTCGATTTTGAGACAGATCGCAAAATCCAACGCACCATGGCGACCGGGTTCAAGGGCAAGACACTGTTGTGTATAGCGCATCGGTTGCGCACGATTATCACTTATGATCGGATCTGCGTTATGGATCAGGGACGGATAGCGGAGTTGGACGCGCCGTTGACGTTGTGGGAGAAGCAGGATGGGATTTTCAGGAGTATGTGTGATCGGAGTGGGATTGTGAGGGAGGATTTCTTTGCGGGTGACGATGCATAAACATCTCTGTGGATGTGTTCGGCTCATCTAGTCCCAGCTGCATACGCATAGAGATAGTGATGTTTGTATATAAAAAGCTTTAGGTCAAAAAAACTATCCCAAGACTCTTTCGGAAACCGTCATTGGCTTCTCGGTATACACAAAAGGCTCGTAACCACTAATATACCCATCCTCAGACGCAACCTCATACCCCAAAGATGTCTTCTCGAGTAGTCCACTCTCAAAGCGAAGCGTAACATCTGTCTCCAAAAACAAGGCTACTAGATCTTGCTGTGCTTTATTGAACATCAATTCAGTCGCTCCCGTGAGTGGTAAACCTAGCATACCTCCCGGAAAGAGGATATGCGCATAAACAGATATGGTCCTGAGGGATGTAAGCTCTGTACCCGTCAAGACTAGCGCTGATAGGTACGACAACAGGCCGAATATGGATGTTTGGCAGTTCTGTATAATGAGGTATTCAAGTGAATTTGGGAACCCGGCTGGTGGAAGACCCAAGAAGCGTTCGTCTAATTGCAAGAATTTCATGTTCGTGTATTCCTTGAATGAGCCGTAAGTGCTGCCGTCCCAATCAAAGACCTGGTATATAGATTCTGTCTCTAAGGACACTCGTAGGTCTTGTAGGTTCGATTTCTGGCAGTCAAGCGCCGAATGCAGCTCGACGGGGCTGAATTGTCGGTCCTGTTGATGTGGTTCGCGGCGGTCAGTAAATGAAAAGACTTTTAAATTTTGGCAAGCACCGATCAGAACCTGAATGTTTGAAGCAGTTAGACAACTTTTCGCAAACGATAGATGCGTAGTGGGGAGTGTTTGGGGGAGCAGCATTTGGCTCGGTCGATTCGACCGTAAACCGTTTGATTTGATCTTGGGAGCGCCCAAGCAACCAGTGATCCAGACGATGTCCAGTTTAGGTAATAATAGAAGCAGCGCCGTGACGCGGTCAAATCTAATCTCATCGTTTGGCGCGGCGGAACTTTTGAGACACAAGCTCTCGACCTTGGATAGACACGAGTATCCGGTGGCTGGCTGTTGGCCGAGCGCCGATAGTAGCACCAGGCTGTTTCGATCCACATGGATCGTGAGATTTTTTAGGTTAGTAGTGCAAGAGACAAGTAATGCGGCCAGAACATTTGGCTTCGACTTTGATGCGGTCAAGAACTCAGAGACGTCACAAATCCCTTCGAGTCTGTGGACTGCAATACTGAAATTCTTAACCTCATCTGCGTATGGGCTGTATTCTCCCTCGAAGTTCCATCTTGGTATTTGTCCGTATAAATCGAGGAAAACGTTATCGTTTCCACAGGTCGTCACAGCATCAATCCTCAGAGACTGAATCCATCCCGCTATCTGCGGAGAATTGGTGATCGTTCGCGTTAGAAGGAACAGCGATAAGGCGCCCTCCACACTATCACAATCTTCCAGATCTATCTCGTGGTAAAGAAGTGGCCGAGCTATAGCAGATATGATCTTTGACACCGTGCACCACGCTCTTAGGTCCGAAGCGTCTTCAGTGGACTGTATAATGCAAATGACCAATTCCAGAGGGAGAGTTGGAAAACCTTCCATCACAGTAATATCGACAACAACTGTGTCGCATTTTTTCGGTATGTGGCAAAATGGCTATCGTCCGATTCAACGAAGGACACAAAATAAATCGCACGCTGATCGAGATCAGATGTCAGATGACGTGGGAGACTTCGGGGTGCATAGTGGGGGATCGGATCCTAATTAAGCGAAACGGTCAGTGGTCCAGCGAATACCTGTCGCGTGTGTACAGTGCTTTTTGGGTCACGCATTGTCAGTAGTACTTTGCTCTCTTGGACCATATTTGTATTTGTGACTTGGTCATAGAGCAGGAATACTGAGGTGTAAATTATTTGGTTGATGAAAGGCCGACTAAGCTGATGCCTGCTACGTGCCTTCAGTGGACGTCATATCACGTGCACGATGCGGTTAGTCATCAGGGACCAGGGGCTAGAGTCTAACTCGCTGTTTGGCTCGCTCCACTCTGATTGAAATTGATTGTACTACGATGTACATAGTACTACATAGTACATAGTACGTACCATGGAGTCTGAGAGTCTACACCAAATGGGGCTTAGTCTCGATTAATTGGGAATAGTAGATTCATGCTTCTCCTCTTCCCCGTATCACCTTCTCGCAGCATTTACCTCCCAGCTCTCGCTCGATACACAGCTCAATCGCGATAGAATGCCTGCCAGCATCCATCGATAAGCTCGGTCATGCGAAAGATCGAAACGGCACTTACAGGTCACGCCAATTGAGCATTTGGCCCTGGAATGCACGCTGGAATGTAGCAGCTGGGTTCAGCACCGACCCTCTCCCCAAGTGGATATCACCACGCCACAGCATTTGGGGTACGTATACATCGTACACTGTTCCAAGGTCAACGGTCGAGGTTCACCGGTCTACCAGAGACGGGAGTCCAGAGTCTAGATACCTAAGCTGCAGATAGGACGAAACTCGAGCCCAAGGCAGATAAGAGATAGAGGTACCAAGGAAAGTGGTGAATGTAGCAAGTGGTTGCACAGTTTGCATGCCCCTATCCCTGGCGGGAGGAAAGAATCAACCCCTTGCTTCCATGGTAGATTTGGGGTTTCAGGGACTCGGATCGCCCGTTGATCGAGTCCGCACGCTATTACTCTACTAAACTCGAAAGAAGTCAGACGAGCAACACATCAACGAGTTGTCCACGGAGTACGTACTCTGTGTCTAAAGAGGTAGATGAATCGCCTGATGGCGTTGACATCTATCTGTGATGGGCCATGCTTGCATTAATCATGCACCTAGTTACTGACTAACTACTACTAGCAGACTTTAAAAGCTTACTAGCTTTTGATTTTAATGAAGAAAAAAGTATGAGGACCGATAACCAAGGATTGCGACATGAGCGAAAGAAAGGTTCGCTTTCTAGCCTAAACGAGAACCGTCTTCAATGTAACCCCCAATCCATGTTTCCGATGGAAAACGAACATAGTTTATGATTAGACTGGGTGTTTTCAAGGGATAGCGACAGTAACGCAGTATGGTCGGTCTCCCGACAGCTTCTTTTGCTGTACCAAAGCGGCAACAGACATACTGCATGCATCAACACACTCCCGTTGTTCGACGGTAATTTTATTTTTACACATAGCTGCTAGATTGATTGCCTCTGACAATCTGCATGCGATTTGCCATGCTTTCGGGTTGATTCCTGATTTATTCATTCGGGGCTTGACAGTCATAACTGGTCTGATATACCTGGAGTCACCCGTGGACTCCCCCTTTCACCTTCCTTTCTGTCATCTACCTTCCACAACTACAACCACCGCCCCTGGAATGCGACATATTGGGTTGCTCAGCACCACGAGTTTACTACACTGTCGCTCAAGCGAGGAATGCCCAAGACCATAAAGAAGCTTTCGCTCCTATTCCTAAAAGTGTAACTCAACAAACTTTCGGCTATTTCCCCCTCCGCATGGTTGTTGGACAAACAACTTGGAACTAGCCGCCATCTGAGGATTAAATCCACTTACGGGGCAAAGCAGGTCGTCTGTCTACAGTGGCTAGCCCAGCGTTATCAACTCACTCCCTCCCCAGCTTGATCTTCTCTGCATCTCGTTCAAACGAACCTCTCATTCAGGCGCTACTCACAATTTCATTCCTTTGACAACTTGAAATAAGACGAAACTTGACTCGAATTGCTCGCACGTGCCCCTTTCTCTCTCGTTCTCACGGCTCGCTCTCCTTCCTTATATCCATCTGTACACACAATGTCTCAATCGACCGAATTACCAACACAGCCCGTCGTCGGTGCTACGATTATACATGAACCCAGCGAAACACCAAGACAAAACAATCACTTGCGGGCCGAGTCACAGAATGCATTGACAACCTCACCAACAATCACATCCCTCGCACAAGGGCCAGGAGAATTCGACCCTCACGTGGGCGCTAAGCCGTGCTCCCCCTTTTATTCACATGATATCAACAACAATTCCCTCGAATTTCTCAAAAACGAAAGCACGATAACGGCACAACGATATGGCTCGAACGATTTGGAAAGTGGCACACCATCTACACCGCAGAAGCGATCGTTGGAAGTACATGGGAGGTGTCAACAATCGAAGCTGTGGATTCAGAAGAAAAGGAGATGCGACTGCATGTCATCGCTGACCAAGAGGCAGCGATTGTACGTCAAGCTTGTGCTGGCACTGTTTATTGTTGGCGCTATGATCGGAATCGCGATGGGCATCACAGTGGCAGTGGGAGGAGGAGTCTGGAAGTCAGCCAATGTTCGTGGGTCGTTTGGGGGGTAGCCGACCCCGGCAAAGGGACGCTGCTTTTTTGATTCTGTGCGATTAGCCAAAGTGCTCCTTTTGATATATACCCTGTTAATGTCTCAGTATTTTTTTCTCTGTTCGTTTGGGTTGCTGCTGATGGAAATTCATTCGCTCCGACAAGATTCGAGCTGCATGGTGTTGCAACGGCGTTTGCGTGTTAATATGCATTACAAATATAAATCATGGCTGGTCCACAAGTACAAATCAACCGGGTCGTACAACATTATATTAACATAAGCAGACAGCTGGGAAATGATGTTTCTCAATTGATCGCATAATCTTTACTCCGGGCCCGGACGGATATCACGTGATCCCCACCTATATCTCTCCCGCACAATTTCCGCTACAGGCTTTTTTCTCTTTTCTCTTTTTTCTCACATCAAAAAAGCTAACAGAATCAGCCACGACCATCGTTCCGTCTTTTCTCCCACAGCGATGTGTTGCCATGACTCTTCTAGAGTCAGTGATTCTGGAGAGAAATACTCCTCGATAGGAAGTTTCCTTTCCGTTGAGTCCTCTTCAGTGAGGGCGATGGATGGGGAATGCTGATGACGGGATACATGCATTCATTTGCATCACCAAGTTTTGTATTGAAGTCAAACAAGTATGGGGTAGCTTTTGGGTGGCTTAAATAGTTCATTCGTCTCCTAGTAAGCTCCTATTGTAGTATGATATTGGCTGGCTCATTGCTATTCGTAGTTGCGATTCCTTCGAAAGGCGTCCAGCCGGGGCCATCGCAGCGCGTCCCTGAATGCCAATGTCAAAACATCCCAGTTCTGTGCAATGGGCAATGTCAGAAAATTCTGTCCCGATCGGCCAATCATGGCTTGGGCTTGAATGAACAATTTGAATTAAAATTGTTGTGTGTACTACGGCGCATTGAGCCAGGACTTCAACCGGAATGTTATGTCCATTCCGACTTCCTCAAAGGACGACCCCTGGCGTTCAATTGCCAAGTTATTACCCTCGTTCCATTCAGAAACGTGGGTTCTGTCGACTTGCATTAACTGTAAAGCAGATGTCGGCCATTCTTCATTGCATTCTCTATGATCTTAAGCGCACCATCCAGATTCATTCTTGTTGTGATGCTCCGCGCCGGGATACATTCCTCACTTCAGATGGAAAATCCACGATGACTTTGCAAGTAGATAAAGCTACCAGTACTCGCAATAGAACGACGTTTCTCTTTGAATTGTTTGGTCAGCGACAGCGTTGACGACAATCGGTAAGTTGTCATTCGTAGATTTTGTTTTTGTTCCATTTGTCCTTCATTTGAATCAGTCACTCATTATTTTGTTACCGTGCCTCTTGATCCCCCTGCGATACAACCAAAGCGATGAAGACCGTCTACACTGCCATTCCCTTGGCCCTGTTGGCTGCCGTCGCTCAGGCTGAGTCCCAAGCTCTCGGCGCCAAACAGTCTCGTGATGTTACCAGTCACGAGGATCATGGTCATGACAACGGTGGTCATGATTTCCTAGGCGACAACAGTGAGAAGGGTGATTTCCTCGGCGATACTTATGACCACGACTTCCTCGGTAGTGGCTTCAACGAGCCTCACAAGCATGTTCAAGGCGGACATGGTGAGCCATCTGCTGGAGGCGAAGGTGACGATGACCTGGCTCCTGGATTCGTTTCTTCGTCGACCGACTCTCCATTCGGCGGACCACATAACTTCAATGAACAGTCTGGCCCAGATGTCTTTACTGGAGACAACGAAATTGACGACGGCATCAACAACGACAACATCGTCATCACCCCGGTCACCAGCTTCCAACAAGCCCAGGCTCAGGAGCAGGACGTTAATGTCGTGCCCCCTCCCGGTCCTCCACATGGTGGTCCTGGACCTGTTGAGCACCAGCCCGAGCAGCTCCCTCCCCAACAGCACTCGGAGCCTAAGCAAGCCCCTCCCGAGGAACAGCATGACGCACCCGCTCCTCCTGCTTACAAGCCTGAGCCTCAGCCTAAAGTAGTGACCCCTGAGCCGACTCCAACTTCTTATACACCTGCTCATGCTCCTGCTTCCGATCCTACTCCTGCTCCAGTCTACGAGCCAACCCCCGAGAGATCTGAGGGAGAACCCCCGTGCCCTGAAGGCGAGGATGGTAGCGAGCCTGTGCCTCGGCCACATGGTGCTGACGCCTATGCACCGCCTGTTGCTGCTAAGGGAGACGCCAAGCCCTACCCTGAGGGGAACCACCCTGAAGCCTACCGCGAGGGTCATCCCGAAAGCTACCATCCAGCTCCGGGAAACCCTTTCCAGCCGCCGCAGCCACCTCAACCTCCACATGTTCAGCCTCCCTTCCCTTTCCCACGCCCCGGCCACTCTGATGATGATGACGATGATGACTACTCTTTGCCAATTCCTCACCTTGGTCCTCACCCAGGCCCTGGTGGTGAAGAAGGACCTGGCAGCTACTCTGCTCCTGGACCTCATACCAGTCCTGCTGGTCCTTCTGCTGATCACGGCAGCTACCCTGCTCCCGAGCCCGAGAAAGGTCATGACAGCTATCCTGCACCTGTCTCCTACCCTGGTACTCAATCCGGGCCAGGTTCCAATAGCTACCCAGCTCCTCAACCCGGGCCAGGACAAGACAGCTATCCTGCTCCTCAACCTGGCTCAGGTCACGACAGCCACACTGCTCCTGCAACTGGGCCAGGTCACGACAGCTACCCKGCTCCTCAACCTGGGTCAGGTCACGACAGCTACACTGCTCCTCCAACTGGGCCAGGTCACGACAGCTACACTGCTCCTCAACCTGGGTCAGGTCACGATAGTTATCCTGCTCCTCAACCTGGGCCAGGTTCCAATAGCTACCCTGCTCCTCCAACTGGTTCAGGTCATGACAGCTACCCTGCTCCTCCAACTGGATCAGGTCATGACAGCTACCCTGCTCCTCCAACTGGATCAGGTCATGACAGCTACCCTGCTCCTCCAACTGGTCCAGGTCACGACAGCTACCCTGCTCCTCCAACTGGTTCAGGTCATGACAGCTACCCTGCTCCTCCAATTGGGTCAGGATCCAATAGCTATTCTGCTCCTCAATCCGGGTCAGGTTCTGATAGCTACCCTGCTCCTCCTACTGGGCCAGGATCCAATAGCTACCCTGCTCCTCAAACTGGATCAGGTCATGACAGCTACCCTGCGCCTGTTTCCTACCCTGCGCCGGGTGACAAAGATGAGCATGGTACCTACCCACAGCCGCCCTCACCTGGGTCTTACCCTCAACCAGATCACGATGGCTCTGGTAGCTACGACGCACCACACCCTGCTCCTGGTGGCTACACTCCCCCTGCTCCTCAGACCTACCGCGAACCTACCCCTGGTCAGCCCGAGACCAAGCCAGTGCCTGGGTCTGATACAAGCAAGCCTTACTCTCCGGGCCATGAATACAGCAAGCCTCCCACCCAGCCATATGTGCCTCAGGTAACTCCTTACCATTCCTCCTCGGCCAAAGTTCAGCCATCTCATGCTCCATCTTCGAGTCGTCATGCGTCTTATGGGTACTCTTCTCACTCTCACGCTGCATCTCACACCACAACATCTTGCACTTGGACCAGCACCACTCACAAGACTGATGCTCCCAGCCCCACTGCCCCCAAACCCGCCTCTCCGTCCACTTATACCGGTGGTGCTGGTATCGTTGGTGTTCCCGGAGGCTTCGGTATGGCCGTCATTGGTGCTCTGGCCTTCCTTTTGTGAGCACGCCTTCATCAAGTATGGGACTAAAGGGTCTTCTCTCGTTCAACTACAGTTTTGATTGTTGTCCCGGGGCCGGATCCGGCACGCAGATGACTCCGTCATCTATCCGCTCGTTAATGCCAAAATTTACGACCTACAGAGCTTCCTACCTCAGTCTTTCATTCATTTTGTTGACGTACCGGCAACCCTTTTTTTCTCAATTCCCGGAAACATTACTGATCAGCTAGTTGTTCATGTCTTGTGCACCTGCTCAGTCCCCATAATGTCTACTACCTGAGCGTGATTATACTCATGTGCCATACACTATTTGTCTTCTTTATTATTTTTTGCTATATAATACACGTTTCATTGTCTTTCGTACGAGTTCCATATTGTAGAACGATTCAATAGACTTTCTAGATGGACTATGCATGTCATTTGCCTGCTAAGTTGACTAGTTTCTATCGCCACTCTATCTCATAGCTTTCGTACGTGTACTAAGATCTTGTATGGCACAGGCTTGACCATCATTGAACGTACATCTCACCAGCCAAGTGGCTTACCTCGAGGTCAACTAAACGCTCTCGGCAGAGTTCACTCACACGTCTAAAACAGAATAACCTTGTTGGAACCTTAGAAGCATAACCGCCGGGGCCCTTTCTCATGCCTTAACTATGACTTTCTAGTCAATCATCTGGATAGCAAAGGTAGGGTAGATCAAAACAACAACCAAAACTATTGGTAGCGATTGTACAGAGGAAAGCATGCAAACTCGTACGCGCCGTTCCATAAACATGGTATCCTAAAATAGAGTCATAAGGTGAGCGAATATATTGATACTCGACACTATACAGGAATATCAGCCATCAGTACAAGATACCGAAAGGTATGCAGTGAAAGTGAAAGTAATCAGGTACTGTAACAGACGATACCAGTAAAACTAACCTGTCTAATGCATACAAGTATTTACATAACACATATCAAGTCAAGACGACGATGTGAGATGACGCTGTGTTGGGATGGCACCAAGGTATGAACAAGGTCAACATGCAGGAGGAATGGCTGGGCTGTTTCTGAAAATAGTATCAATGGATCAATCAGTATGGATAGTATCGAATGACAATTGAGAAACGAAGTTTGAGAGGGAAGGAATAGAGTCATTAGACTCGTTGGTAGTAGACTAAAGGTGAGAAAGAGGTAATACTAACCGTTGTCAAGGGTTGTCATTCAATTGCCTAGTGTCATGCATGGCAAGTAAGCTTGGAGATCTTCTATATATATCTCATGGACAAACAATGTTGACGAATAGGAACCAGTGAAAGAGGATCAGAACAAGAGATGAAGAGGAAGAAGTAGGAAGCACATGTGAAGTAGAAGGACAATGCGAAGGGAAGGAGAGAAACCAGGTAGATGATTGAGCGAATGTTGAATGAAGGAGCTTGTAGGCATGCATCTATTCCATGCAGGTACCAGAGTGGAGATCCTAAGGTACGATATTAGCTCAAGCCATGAACAAAAATAGAAAACATTAAGTAGACATCAGAGCATGAGAGTAGATTATTGGATGAGGAACAAGAGATAGAAATGGGAAGATGGCCTTGATTACCATAGAGGATGGCTTCATGACTTCAAGTCATGATGTAGCCGCTTGCGACGTAAGATAAGTGGAGTCAGAGGCATGGGATGAACAGAGAAACAATGAGGTTGGATGAATGTAATTGAGGGCGTAGAAAATAGAAGTGCATGAAGGAAATTGTTAATTTTAGAACAGTCAATGTAAAAAGCAATCTATCACAAGTAAAGCGTGGAATAGTTAAGAGGATTTGAAAGCTGTTTCTCGGGAGGGGATCTATTCTTAGAAATGGCCGGTCGGGTCTCCACACTCTTACGCTTCGGATACCCAGGATGCCGAGTTAGGGCTTCTTGACTCTTATTGATTCAGCCAATCTGGGTGCAAGATTCAAGCAATGAACACTTAAGCGCTTGCTGACCGGTTTGAAGCATATTTAGCACATACATATTCTCTCAGGCTCATCAAAAACGATGGAATGGCTTTACTTACACGATCATGGTCTCCATTTCTGTTTCGATTGTTTACTTTCTGTAATCACATTTAGGTAATCTATTGTAGGCTTTGTAAGTACCTGTAATTCGTATAAACTCGTTCTACTAATGGAATTTTTCACGGTCTTGGAAGCCCCGCGTCTCGCAATCGATTTTGGAGGTGGCCTGTCTGTAGGTCGGTGTCAAGGATACAGCACATGCATACATACACGGGATGTTACAATGCAGGCTGCTTCCAATATTAGCATCTTCAGGAAAAATTGGTCGATCGATTTTTTCGCACAGTGGGTCTCCATGCAAGACTACCTACCTACGTGAGAAATTACCAGCGACCCCATGTCCATAATCATGGTGTGACTGACCAATAGAATGAGGTAGGCCTGCAGTGGTTGATCACATCCTTTAATTTTTGATGCTTGACTTATCTTAATGGATATTCCGTTTTGGTAGGTGATATCTGTCCCTCTGAGTTCCCAAATTTCTTATCTTGCACTGCAGGCTAGTATTACGTATTTATCTACGTACTTGTAACGGAACCCTGCGTACACGCTGCACAGACTACAACGACTCGCAATGTCAGAACGATGAGTCTTAACGTCGCTTACAAGTCATGTAAATCTGCTCCATCATTATTTTCTACGACTCAGCATCACTACCGTCACCTGATTCCCTAATGGTGGGAAGACCAGAGTCAAGGTTCATTGGTGTCATTCACGGCGCTTGCATCCATCCTACTCTTTGTTTCCATATTAGGGCAAGGATACAAATCCGCTATTGGTCATGCTCCAAAAATAGTCCGTCGAAACGATCCCGTATTCAGCCTAGTGATCAAATTAGTTAGGACAAATTGAAATGTCGGACATGGTTTCTAATAGTGTGTGTATCCTATATAGCGGCCAGGCCTTCCGAAACCGGCTAGAAGCCGACGAGAGTCGTGAAATGTGCACTAGCCACATAACCCCCGCATAGGGTTGTTGATGGATAGCCTATCAGGTGGTGATTGACTCAAGGTTTGTTGACGAGGTCGTGAGACGCATGACACTAGTTCAATCTAGGGAAAGCGCCAGCGCTTAAGCTACGATCAAGACTGGGCTGACATTTTAGTGCAGGTGGGGCTAAAATGGAGCCATAATTTGCGGACCGCTACCCCTCTCCCGGTACCCTTTCCATTTTTCTTCCTCTTCGTCCCGTGTGTTACGGGCCAATCACAGGCCCATAACACAAAACATCTCAAATCGCAATCATAGTTCGATCAGTACAGCTGGCCAGGTTACGTTGGCCAAAACCCGGTAAGCAGTAGCATTTTTTGTAGTCCTTTACGAGGTATGTACGTGGAAATCCGTGAAGAATCTTCTTGAGCATCTAACTTGGATAGGGTAGGGTATCGGTACGTCTCCCCCCGTTATTGAGCATGCATATGCAAAGCAGGGGAGACTACCTTCCTGTCTGACAGTTTCATCAATTTTAGGCTGCATACTCTTAAAAAATGACAGGGATGTCTGGATTCTGCAGAAATTTTCTCCCCAAAAACTGATGCTACTGATCGACTTAGCTTGGTTTATGGGCTCCGAATGATGAAGAAGTATACGTAGAGTAGCACGTGTCGTTTCGTACGTCATTTAAGCTTTGAAATTACTGTCTTTCAGTTCGAGTACAGAGGCAACATCTTTACGCACGAAGGTTTCTTCCTATTATTATTTTATCATCGATTATGAGGGGATATACCCATATGACGGATACGACACTACAAGTATCGTATAAATTACCACCCAATACAACGATGTATCAATGTCAGCCCGTGGGTCTCAACGACGTCGCCATAACCATGAACTCGGTCTGAAATTGTTAGTATACACAGCCTCCTTCACAAGCGGACTCATATTTGGCTCCCAAAACTTTGTATCCCTTTCTCTCATTGCTTCCTCAGTTAGTTCAGTTAGTACGTACCCAGCATGATGGTTGGGCTAGCTGAAGTTAAACTGTCATGATCGCGCTCATACGTTGGTTAGATGTTTAGGGTAGAATTGGTCGAACTTTGAAATCCATACTTACTATGTGGCGTTCTCGCGCGGGAATGGAGCGAGTCCTACTTGATTCCAGTGCTTTGAACGTCAATGGGACGAAAGTTACTAAGGTCAGTGTTGTCAAATGACGGGGTCTGTTCTCCGCTAGAGAGGGTATCCGAATTTGTATTCCGCCCCGTTGTCTTTCATATTTGTTGTTGGATCATGAGTCGTACAATGCACTCTGACATAGGAGCGGGAGAACGTGACAGTAAAAAGTAATTGATATGAGTTTTTGCGCATCTAGATTGAGTCATTGTCATTGAGGCGTAAGGCGTCTTGGGCGCTTCTGTAGAGGTCCGGTACTTGTTGGAATAGAGGGTATCAGACTTGTCCCTTGTACCGAAAGGGTCAAGCTCGATTTTTACACGTGTCGACATAACAGAACGACCTAGTCTCATTCCTCTAATTGGCTATTTCCTAACGTTGTACGAATCATGGACATGGAGGCTGATCTCGCTTGGATCATATTGATTGGTTTCTCTACCGTTGGGACTAATAGAAAGAGACGGCAGGTCTCATCGCCTACTCGCTAGGCGAGATGCTAAAAGTCTGGATCCACGGCTTGCCGTATAATTGCAATGTATCAGTAACATGGAAAGAGTCATGAATAAGTAATAAACCAGTTTTTAGTTCAACAGATGATTATAGGCATGCTAAACCAGATTGCGCCCCCACACCGTCCTCTCGACCCAAAAGTGAACATAGGAAAGAAAAAAAAAAACACCCAGCGAAACCGAGCCCAACACTGCTGACTGTCCGAATGAATCCCCAATATTGCTTTCAGATGAGTACCATGATTGATGAATTTCCCTGCACAACTCCGCGCCTCAAAGACAGAAGGTAAACCAAGTAAAATAATATTTATCGTAAGGTCATAAGCCCGCAAAAAGATTCAGAAGAAGAATAGCGCACAGTCAAAACTTATTGCGTGCATTGAGATCTTGAAATTCCGTAGTGAAAGGTATCAAGATTGTGACGATGTGCTGGTTCTTCTTCGCTTGCCTTTCGGTGGGGGATCCAATGGCGTCCTTTTATATGTGACTGTACGAGTTACCACCTGCCGTACACTAACGGGCTTGACCGTGGCGCTTCGAGACCCCTCCAAGTAGCGAAGCTTCCAATCCGAAGGTGAAAAAGGAGAGTATGCAGTTGAAGCGCTCAGCGGTGAATCAGTTGTCGGCGACAGTGCTTTCCCACATGCTTTGGCAGTCGATATCCGCAACCGTTTCCTCCCGCTGCTGAAAGATCTGGCAGAGACAGGTGGTGCATATGGAGAATCGGGTGAGATCGTTGCTGACTTTACAAAGTCACCGCCATTGGGAAATGAGACACTTGTTGCCGTTGACGGTTGTGAAATCGATGTGGTCAATTTTTCAAATGGAAATTTTGAAAAGCTCACAGCTGGACTGATAGGACTGTTAAAGACGGGCGTGAGCGCTTTGAGAAACTCGGTGTAGGCAAGTGGAGGAGTGATGGGCGTGGTCAAAGAATTCTCGGTTTTTATATCCGATCGCGAATAGAGGGATTCATTGTGTAATTCGGAGGGGAAGGTGGCAGTTTTTGGAGTTTTGAGAGGATGCAAGACTGGCTTCGAAGGCGCCATAACTTCGTACACGTATCGATGAATATTCCGAAAGGTAAAGTCGATGATGCAATCAATGAGGACTAGTGACCCGATGTTGTGAAGTTCGATAAGGAAGGTCGAGGTGCGATTGAAAGTTTGTTGAAGGACTGGTAGGGACAAGAAGAGAAAAAAGAAGTAATGGGCCACAATAAAAGAAGAATACAAGCGCAGATGAGGTCAAGGCAAGTGAGGATGAAGAACAGAAATATAGAAGGCGGAGCCGTATCCAAATAAGTCACAAGGGGGCTTGTCCAACCAGAGTGGGCTGACTTGGATGATCGTTCCGCCCGAAGGTTTGGGAGATCGTTGTATGTAATGACCGAAACCGTAATGAAAACCGTATCGCGTTGGTAAGATACAAGGCGGTAATGATACAGAGCTGTTTTGTAAAAAGAGTTAGTGAGCGGGTCCCAAAGCGGACTAGTGCGGAAATCAATGTCTTCCGCCCGTCTGAACAAACCACATACAAAAAACCAGGATGTCAGGACGGACTGATTGCTACCAGAGCTAAAATAGCAGTCGCCCCGGCGATTGAGTCGGTGTTAGCAGTGAAAATTAACTCTGACTGCAAATTGACTCTGCTTGTCGTGAGCCAGCAATTCGATGGGTGAATAGAATCCGACCAGCGGAGGTAGGGAAATAAATGAAAGCGAACCCGACGTCTTGAATCACTCACACACAACTGACTGAAGAACAGAACAGACCTCTCGCCGTGGGAACCCCGAGTCTCGTATATATATGGCAAGGTCTGCTCCCATAACCGCCCACAGAAACATTCATCAATCTGTTGCGCGCAATCTGAAGCAAGCCCCAAACACTCCTCAGTGTGTGAGTCGCCAGTTCTGCCTGGTTTGGTGTTTCAGGTGGGTGGAGCCTCCTGAAAGGAGGTGTTATCCGCTTGCTCTGGTTGGTCCGCGCGGCTCTAAACAGGTTCAGCGATCCGCCGCGCTCTCTGTTACAAAGCAGTTATAAGCAGAATGATTGGCTTTTTTAGATCAAATGTGTCTTCAAGAATAGTGGTTGTTTACTCCTGATCCATAGGGAGAATCAGAGTTAATGCGATTACATTGATCGCTGTTAAAACCTTATTGCTGTTGATCTTGACAAGCGTTCCCGAGCAGACTCGTGATCTCCACATTCGGAAGTTTCTCAATTGGGAAATTTTGACACCAGTCACTGAGTATAAAGTCGAAGCATATTGATGCTGTTTCGAGGTCATATGTGCTTTCTAGAGTAGATGCACTGAAAAGATCTTTGCTCCGTCATCTAGTTACTGTCTTGCAATTTACATGGCTGACAGCGACTTCTCCTGGAAGCCGCCGAGTATGGCTCAGCGCTTATGTCAGAAGACGAATACTTGATCAGAGGAACTATATTCTCCATCGAACCAATCAGAAATGATTATTTCACAATTATAGACACTCTTCTTGGCCCCACGTAGTTCATCGTAGCGCGGGAATATTTCATCTCCCCAGATATTAAAGGGTACATGAATGGCATCTACTGCGTGGCATCCAATCGTCGTCTTCATCAAAATAAAGATGTGACGTAGCCGCTGGCACTCTCGTCTTCGATCCTAACCAATAAGGTTCACGCACAAGCTTTATGTTTGAATACCTGAGAATTGCACAACAAATCTTATAGAGACCTATATGATCAACTCTGAATCCTGAATGGCCTTCATGTTGAAGAATCCTGAAGATAGATCCCACCTTTACGTCTACCACAAGTCCGGATTGTACCTAAATGTGGATACAGGGGTTGGCTAGAGCAGGTCAGATATTTCTTGTGGTAGCCCAGAGCCAATGGTCCAACAGAAGAGGTAAAACATGAGGAATGGTTCTATAGCAGCTTGTACAAACAACGTCAAATGTCTGTAAAGGTTATGAATGGATATGACACATTTGGTTGACGCTGTTGCCCAGGTAGAGGTGTCTCGGCTCTGATATTTAGTCGCAGCAAATGGGATCAACGACGAGCATAGTTGATGAATGAGTTCCGTGTTTTCATCCCTAACCGCCCAGCTTGTAACGGAAAGGGGACGTCTGGAAAGCAGAAAGATTACAATCAGACCAATGAGGTAGTGGACGAAGGCATTGCGAGGCTTCGGCTGCCTCAATAGATGTGATGGTTTCGGTTCTTATTATGATTTTAGCTATAAACATCCAATCGCGTATCAAGTCCATGATCGCGCCGTGACATCCATGGATGGACAAGTTGAGACGTTCGGAAGTTATCTTGTGCCGTTTCTCGAATCCTGTCCACATCTTTGAAAGCACGCTACACAGATTATCCGTATGCCCTCCTCAAGTTCGAGATTGAAGCAAGCCATGATGGAGCATAGATAAGTAGGAAGGCTTGAGCTATTAGACGACTAGACAAAGTCACGACAAAAGGATTCTACCACAACTGGTAGGATTAGAGAGGCGAATATTAGTATATATCTGGTATACCAAGCTATCAACGGTGTTATTCCATTATTCTGGCCTGAGGTCGTGTTTGCTAGATGATTGTCGCAACAACCAATGAGAAGCGCGAATCGATTACCTAGGGTGTGATTGACTTGCATTCGAGTGTTGCTAAATTTAGACGTGCTGATCGGCCGCAGCGACCACGCGGTCTGATTCGATCATCCGCGTCGACCACAATTCGACCAGCTGTCAATCACTGGCTCTCTACCTCATAAGGTAATGTTCGCGGCGCAGTCATCACTACTACTAGTAGCCTAGCAGCATTTCTTTGAGGGGTTCGTTCGAAGTCCCGTGATCTCCCCTCCCCTACAATGAAGTCTGAGAGAGCTTCCCCAACGCTACCTGTGTCCGTGCAGTGTGTGCAAGCTGTCGATAACGAGCCTCCACCCCGCTGAGTACCCAGCTGAAACCTAGGCTAAGAATAACATCGCCATGCTCGGAACTTCGACTCAGTCCTTTTCGAACGAAAGTAGCTTCTCGGCTTGGGCCACCACCCCTCCCCTCTCCGCTACTAATAGCCTCTCTATCACAGCCTTTGCTCGCTTTGAATTTGAGGCTGGCAAAGGCAATGACGGGACAAAGATATTGATGGTAGAATGGGAGGATGATGATTTTAGCCCATCGCCACAAGGTTCATGGCATGTCTCATGGGAAGGCAAAATATCTGTTCTMCCTGCCGATGAACAGACGAACGAGAGAACGCGACGCTTCTACTTTTTATTGCCACCGGGTGTTACTGTCCCTCCTGTCGTGAATCTTAGTTACGTGCCACAACCGAATTCAGCGTCGACAGTTAAACAACCGGATTCAGTCAATATAAATCCGTTACCCGCGATATTCCCACCTGAGTTAGGCGCTACCGCACGCACAGCAGGAAAGAAGGGTGTCTTACATACGAAATGGGCAAAGAAAAGATTGCAAGCACTCGATAAGGAGATCAGAGAGGAATCCCTGATCAATGTTGAGGGAGTCGCGTTGCAGATGGCAATACAAGAGAAGGAATGGATAGAGGCAAACTTTGGTGTGTTAGGGCCGCTATCTGCGATTGATGTCTCTTCAACAGCCTCACCTGGCCCGTCTTCCGCATCTCTACCACCATTGACGCCACTTACTCCAACCGCGGGTAGTAGACTCGGTGAGAAACTTAGAGGATTGAAATTGGACACTAGCGACAAGGAAGCTGGAAAGAGAACAGAAGGTGAGCAAGCTACTTCGGATACTCCAACAGGACATAGGTAAACTTACGTTTTTAGACGATGAAGCTCCTCAACGAGATGGACAGGCCCATCCCTTGTCTCCCCAATCCCCTGATATAGCCGTGTCTTCATTCAGTTCTTTTCACGGCGCTGCCTTGGACAACGCCACAGATGCCAGACGTATAGTGGCTTACCATCCTCCGTCATATATTCAGCAGGCACAAAACAACAGCAGCGAGATTAGCGATATCGGCCTCATGGATCCCTTAACTCGCTCTGCAACTTCAGACTCGGCCGACGACTTATTCGCAAAAGCTTTGAGTCCGCGTACACCGGATCTGCCACGTAGTCCTTTTTCCTTCTCACCAACTGAGGTTACTGCTGGCGAATAAACTCTTACTCTACTTTCATATTGTAGAAAGCAAATTCTTTCTGTTGGTTCTTACATGCAGCTCGCATTTTGTGCAATTTAGCCTGTCATATACCATCGTCACGTCTAATGGCCACCGTTCCTTTTTTCTTTCATGGATACATACCGTTGCTATCATTCCTTCACTTTTTATCACGGCGTTTGTCAAAGCACGATCCACCTTGGAAGCTATCATCATCGCTATTAGGTACTTTTTTTAGTCTGGATTACAGGCATAGTCTGGAGAGGTACAATGTCATAAAAGCCACGTTTGAAAATTCTGCAATTGATCTAAACAAACAGTGATTTATCAATACTGAGATTCAGCCATATCATGGTAATCCTCGTAATCAACACCATAGCACTGCTTCTTGATCGCCTCCACTAGTCCGCGATCTTCCCCGGCAAGCTTATAGAGGTATTGCTCCATAATGCTGATATTATCTTCCCATGTTTCTGTTTCCCGCGTCCATTTAGTGATCTCGTCGGCTCTTTTCTTGATCTTGGAAATACCGTTGTCTTCGAAAACAGTCTTTTGTGCTTGCAATTGCTCGGTTCCGGTAGATAGCTCAGCCTTCCGCTCCATGAGAGTCCGTCTCTCTATCTCAATGTCCATAGGATCACGAGCCCCTTCCTCTTCCTTGGCAGCAGCCTGCTTCTTTTGTAGCTCATCTTCAAGTTGCTCGACGGATCTGGTAAGGCGATTCAATTCTCGCATCAATCCCTCCTGTGCATTTTCACGCTCGCGCTTTTCGTCACTAGAAAAACTCCAGTACCAGTTGTTGCTACCAATCTTCTCCATGCGTATCTTATTATCATTCGATAGTCCAGTGATAAAATCCTTGACCTGAATGCCGTTGATACTAGCAACAGAAGGCAACATCTTCTCCAAGTCTTTGAGTGTATGGCAAGTACAAGTCGAGCGTATGTGATCGAGTATCATTTTCTGCTTCACCTCAGGCGAAACTGCCTTAATTCGAGGAGGCTGTATCCATTTGTCAGTAAGCCTTCAATCTTGACGAGTAAAATATAGACTTACCATTTCCTTCGAGAAGCGACGCAGAGTAGATAGACTGTAGACCCGGCAGGAAGGATTCTTTGTTTGCAGAATGCAGTCGTAGTATGGCACAAGTAGTGACTGATAAAGGTTGAAAGATGGATGATTGTTTCTAATGAGGTCGTTTCGCGGCAGGAGACAAACTGGGAAGGAGCGACCCACGAGCCATAGAGGGCAAGTGACTCAACACATGACAATTTTGGTCACAAAAACCCTCCAAGTCTCCATTCTCCTTACTCTGTCAACAATCTCGTGGTCTTCAGTCATCGCTGATCACCACTACATCCGCACTGTGCTCTGTTTGGACGGCCGTCGACCGCGCAGCTGATTTATCAAGACGACGTTTTTTGTTCTTCGCTCTCTTTCGAGAAGAACTAGATTCCTCTTCAGTCCCCGACATATTTTTGGATGTGCCTCTGCTCATTATTGAAGCCGACCGCTTTCTGCTTGTCTTTCCGGTGTGAGCGCTACTACTGATACTAACGTCGCTAGCATAGTGACCAGAATCATAGTCATCACTATCCTCGCGTTCCACCAAGACCATGTCGCCAGTCTCTCCTAGCAATTCGCTTCCCAGCTCTTCCAACAGGACCCCCATTGCAATTAGAGCAGATCCATTCATACTAGAGAAATGCTCCGTTCGACGACTGTCAGTTGTGTTCGCATAGAAATGACCCGCATAGGACTGAATAGCTTCGATGATCTCGGATTCAGGAAGAGGGACATCATCCAGGGTTTCCTCGTTACACCAATCTCCCAAATTGTCATCACCTTGCAAGCGGGACAGTATGTCATTTGATGGTCGAACAGCACGGGTAGAGGAGACATTACGCCTCCATCGAGACGTATACGAGTGGAAGGTGGATCCTTGACGATTTAATCTGCCTGATATCATTAGCGAGTTATTTCAGCCTCATCTTCGACGTGACAATTTACCAGCAACAGCATCATACACAGTCAGACGCTTTTTGCGCCGTGAGCTTGCCAATTCTTCATCGATGCTATCCTCGATTGATTCACTTCCTGAAAGATCTCTGGTTTCGCTTGGTTTCATCTGACTAGAGGAGGGTGGCATGGTGACATGGCAGCAAGTCAGTATTACAGCCTTTGAGAAGTTTCCCCCGACGCATCTCACAAATATGAACCGGTTCTTATCGATAAAGCGCGATTGCGATAAGAATGCGCAATAACGGCGATCCGGATTTACTTTTACCCGATACCGTGTTCGCTTACAACTCGGATGATATCATCACTAAGATACATTAACAGATGTCAAGTCTAGTATACATACATCTGATGTATGAATTCCTTTCTGCTGAACAGGGCCCACGGGTCCATAGAAACTCGGCAGTTCTACATAGCACAGACTTCTCGTCTGATACAGTCCCTTGAGCCATCACCAGGAATCCAGTTTAGAAGCATCAAAGGTGCTCACGAAAACGAGCATTCTACATCGCAAACACACGATGAGATTTTGGCCCACAAAGCGGGTGTAAATGTCCTTGCAATTGACAGGCATTATGGACGATAGTAGGCGATAACTTCCAGATGTCATCGAGTATTATATGTACCTGACTGACTGACTTATTTCATGTTAGTCTGGTGTCAGGTGGCGCTGATCCTTCCATTCGTTTGTGGGATCTTGACGACAGGGGCTCAGAGCTTCAGTATATTTACGATACCAAGGCTTCACTGAATAGGTAGGACCATTTTTGGCTATTCTTCGAATCTGCTAACTCTCCGAAGAACCCGACATGCGCTTGCTCACACCCATTCGCTGACATCAATATCCATTTACCCATTTGATCCGACGCCATCCACTATTCTCACAACATCTCGCGATAACACATTGAAGTTATCAGCCATCGGAAATGCTGAAATTACTCCCGCGCACACCTTCGATCTTCATGCAACACCGTATTGCCATTCGCTTTCGTCGCATTCAGCTTCAACACTTTTAATTGCAGCCGGAACGTCCGAAAGGACCATCCGTCTTCTCGACTTGCGGAGCGGATTGGCAACGCATACACTTCTCGGTCATGACTCGGCTGTATTGTCTTTGGACTGGGCTCCTCACCGGCCGTATATTCTTGCATCGGCGTCAACAGATAACCGAGCTATTATATTCGATATTCGCAAAGCAGGTACAAGCTCCGCCATTGGGTCCTTAGATATGGATAATACAGCGGGAGTGTCTGCACATAGCGAGACTTCGGGCTCTGTCGCAAAACATCACGCTTTCACTCGTCATGGGCGTGCCCATAATGGCGCCTTGACCGGAATCAGATGGACCTCAAACGGTAATCATTTGATTACTGCTGGCCAAGATTCACGTCTTCGGGTGTGGGATGCAACAACGGGTGCTAATACACTTGTACATTTCGGTCCTCGACTTCGAAATAGCGCGTCCACACATCTTGCTGAAAGAGTCCCGCTCATATTGCCGAGTAGTCTCATTGAGGCCGGACATGAGATTCTACTATGGCCGAACTTCAACGATCAAGAGGACCGTGGTGAAATCTTAATGTTTGAGATACGAGACGGGACATTCATTAAGACACTGAAAGTTCCGGGACTCATGTCAGCTACTCGCCAACAACGTATAGGCAAATCAAGTGCGTTGAGCGCTGGAAGGATCAATGACTTAGCTTGGCGAGGCAATGGAGGATCTGGAGAAGGTTTGGAATTGTTTTCGGCTCATGGCGATGGTACTATCAGAACGTGGGTGTCTCGTGTACCCGAGGACGAACCAGACATTGCAGGCAACGCCGAATTAGACACGAGGAAACGCAAACGAGATATTCTCGAGGAAATTTACGAAGGCCTCACCGGCCCTTCTGTGACTTTTACGTGAAAATGATATTACATATCATGGCTTAGCAGTCGAGACTGTCATTTGGCATTTCAAGCAATAAAATAATATATATACACCTCAGAAACTTTCTATAATAATACACGCCATTCGAAATACCCTAGCTCCGTGCAGCAAATATCTAAGCCCTCTGCTCGGGCTCGGCAACAGCTTGAGCTCCTTCAGGATCGTCGCCAACCAACTTATCGAACGCGCCGCGGTTCTTCACGGCATGCTTGAATGTACGGTCATGACCCTTGGCGCCAGGATCATTGGCTTGGTAGTGTAAATTTTTGGTCTCAATTTCTGCCGGTAGAGAATCACCAGTCCCGGTCATAACTTCACCAGTCTGGCCTACATCGCGAGCGCTTCGTGGCATATCAGTGGCGTTGTCGGCGGCAGAAGCCATATTGGGCTGGGCAAGTCCATCGTAGCTGAAGCGATGGTCCTCTCCTTGCTGATCTAGGCGTGCCTTTGATGGGATGGTATTTTGAAGACCGGCATCATTAGGCATCGTGGTTCCAGTAGGAGCCATCTCTGAAAGGATGCCACCGCGGTGAGAGTCGTTGCCAGACATTTTTGTTGAGGACTGATGGATAACGCGGATAGGAGAAGTGGTGCTTGACTATGTTGAATTGTGTAATGGATTAAGTTTTGTGGGCTTTGGAAAGATTGAAGATGCTTGACTCCCACTGCGCCGCTGGTTCTTATATCATGGGGCGTGTCAACCCTGACATCAGACATGATGGTAATATGACATCACATGACCTATTCTTAAAGAAAATGATCATTAACGATTTCTGATCAAATAAGTCGAGACATTGAGATAAACCGTAAATGTGTTGGTGATTTCTATGATCATTGGTCCCGATGATATTTACGGGGCCGGGTGCGGTTGTAGAGGCGGCCTAGGTAGTTGATCACGAGCAACTTTTAAAGCCACCTAGGGACCAGATAGTACTCGGGGAAGAAAAGAAAGATATATTCGATATTATCACATGAAATCGAATCTGTATCTGTGTAAACATGACACAAACAAAAAATGGATGTGACTCCTGTTCTGATGCAATAAAACACAATGCCAATGCCCATGTCTATAGAAAAGGGCTAATTTTGATCGCCTTTTAAAATGTTCAACGCCAACAACCTAAATATCGAGCCAAATGTCAACAGCAGTGGTATCGTCGCAATACAAAAAATGTGTTCATCCGCGAAAAGCAAATAGCAGAGATCGATTTCGTTATATGCAGTAGACACTGACTTAACGCTGATAAGAAGGAAGAGACTCATCGGTCTCTGGATGTAAATTGCTAAGCTCATCCTCTTCTTCTAATATCGGCGCTGTAGGTGTCATATGGGGTCCTGAAGTCATGACGCGGTCGACATGTTGAGTGGACGATGGAGCGCTGGCTTCCTCCATCAATCGGCGCCTTTCAAGCTCATGTTTATCGTCCGTATGCTCATAGTTCGGGATATCAGGTAAATGGCTGTGACTTGGACCAGGTACGACAGTATCAACGGAAATCGTAGATGATGGGACTATATTCACATGACCGCTGTCGGAAAAAGTGTGATGACCAAACGTATGGTCGTCCTCAGAAATATCAGGCGCCGTGGGTGTAGAACCTGCGTTATGGGGCCCACTACTTGATTCCCCAGGTGGCCGACTAGGTAGTAACATCGCTTCAGCTCGCTGCAGTCGCGATTTTTCATCCTCTGGTTCTTGCGTGCCGAGCCCATTTCTGAGTTCTTCGGGCGGACCGCAGTGTTGATCCTGCGAAGGGGGATGATCAGGCCAATATGATCCTTCTTCTTCATAGTCATAATATCCGTCTTCTGCATAATAGTCGCCTTCATCGTAGTGCTCTTCCCCATTCACATCCCCGTCAGTATATTCAATATCGTGATCGACGTCCTGGGCAGCCGGTTGTAGTGTATTAGTAGCATCGGCGGTGACTGATAAGGATTCATCTATATTTTGCTGCAGCTTCCGACTGGAATCCCTCGTTCCAACAACAACCTCAAACATCATAGCTACGACGCCCTTTTCACGGCGAATAGGGTCGGTATCTAAGATATTAGTGGACCAGTTTGATGTTGCTGGGCCACCGATCTGTTGACCGGAAGTAGTGATGACATGGCCACCAGGGGAGAAATTAGCACCAGAAGTCCCCATGTTCAACCAAGGTAGAAATCGGTCTTGAGCAGTCAACTTTCCACGAAGATCGATGACTGCCTCAACATAATATCTAAAGCTAATCATTGCTCCTGGTACGCGAGTGATAGTGGGGAATGCATCCTCTGGAATACGGATTGAAGTTTTGACCGTCGCGGTCATTGTGATAGGGTCGATGATAACGGGGGCAAATGTCTGAAAAAGGTCCTTGCGGAATACGCTGTTGCTCCTGCTCGTTCCAAGAGAAAGACCACTTAGTCCCGTTCTTGACTTTGGTATGAAGTCCTCATATACTTTTTTGCCTTCGGCGTCAGAAGGCCCAAGGGGTATGGCGGGGKGTATGTCAATGCGACCTTGTCGATATAGAGTAATGATAATACCATGAGGACTTCGAATTTGACGATTGTGATTAATCATAATTCGTACTGGAATAGTGTCGCCGGGTAACGCTCCCGACCTTTGTAGCTCGGCAGTAGCGGTAATAGTTTTCTCTGCTAAAGATGTCGATATACTTCGCGCTTCGCTGCTTCGTATGCTGGCTGTTCTTTGAGGATCGTGAACGATCCGAAAACTTTGACTACTTGTGCTTCGACGACTGGAGCCACTTATTTCACTAGGCGCAGGGCTTAAAGGAGGCAAGATCTCCTGCACTCCAAGCGTCGAGGAAGCCAGGTCCTGCGTCTGCTCGCCAACCGAGCCCTTTTGCTTTATTCGAACCTTGGACTTTTTTGAAACTGGCTCTAACGATACAACTCGGGGCTTCGGCGCAGGGAATTGTGCAATGTCAATGTCTTCCAGAACGGTGATTCGACGATGACAGGAAATGGTAGGACTGATGGTGATTGGGCGGGTCAATGTCGCTGTAATAGTGTATGAAATGGTCCCACGTTCAAACTAAACACCAAGACTGTCAGATGGAAAGATCAGCTGCTTGCAATGGGATAGGCTTTCATACATTGAGGCTGCTTGGGAGCTTGTATGGAGGAAGCTGCAATTCAAATTTGAACTTATAAATGCCTTCCTTGAGGCGTCCGTCTCCGCAAAGAACCAACTCATCTTCGAACAAGGTTGCGAGACCATTTCCCATATACTCTCCAGTCCTTCTTCCACGGCCAGGACCCACAAACCCGATATCTGGACCTATCTCCCCAGGAGCAACAGTCGCCTTGAAAACTTTCACATAGCCGTGTAGACAAACGACAAGGTGGGTTATCCGGACCGGCTTGACGACCGTAAGGACTACAGTGCCCTTAATAACATCACCGGGGAAATATGCCCTCCAAGGGTCGTCTGGCTGAACATAGAATTCGGAAATATTTCTTTTCCGATTATGGAAGCGCGTCGCCAATTTAGTCACCCACCCGTTCCGTGGTGATGGAGGGTCTGCACCGGACAAGGGTTCGGCGGTCATGACCCTCGGCAGTAATCCATACAATGAATGTATTTATATCGTTCGCACGTCGTGTTACTATATCACTCGCGCCGGAGTGATCGTTTCTTCAGGAAGGCATCCAGCGGTGGACGCGGTCGCAAGACTTATAAACTTTTGAGTTGGAGTATCGTTCAACGAATTTTAGGCTTCATCCAGTGTTCGCGAATGTATCTTGTGAGGAGACAAAAGACACGATGAGAGGGGCGGCATGCAGCGGAGCGGAGTCGGGCGACGACGCGAAACGGAGGATGAGAGATTTCAGCGTTGTCTTCAGGGATTCATGATCTTGACGCGGCGACGATTGGGTGTGAGAAACGGCTGGTAGGAAGCTGATTCGCGCGCGATGTATCAGACTGTTTATTTGCGAATGAGGGTTGTGTCTGAAGGACGTAGGACTGGGACGAAGTGGCCTCGTGAATAGCCAAGACCCAAGCTGTGAATGGGGCGGGGAATGCTGAGGGACACGCGGCAAGGTCCTGTTGAGTTAGACCACCGTAGTCAACGAAGGAATGGTGACAATAGTAGATGGGACTATATAGTGCTATGCTGCTCAAGAAGGGAAAAGCCTCTTGCGAAGGTTATGAAGAGGGGAAGTCGAAGAGAGAACGAGCGTGTGCCAGAAGGGAAAGAGTGATGGAGCAGAGATGGATCAGGCAGGTGAACAAAGCGGCAAGCACCGACCGCCCGGGAGAGTGGCAGATCAAGCTTTTTGGCGGGCCTTGGACTCCCCAATGATCTCTCGCTGCCTCCTGAGATGTCCGTCTTGGCCACCGCAAACTGTGTTGGCTACTCTAATTACGGGTCTACTAGCTGGCGATTAGTTACTCCGATCAGGCGCGTGAGCAAGTCTTTTGCGGTTTCGATGTGTTGACAGAGTCGATATGGTCAGATTGATCACTTCGATTCGGGATACCTTGTTACGACCGATCAGGATCTGACGGTCTGCAACTTATTTAAATCCTCCGAGAAAGGATAATAGATTAGATATTCTCTGATAACGGACAGCCTTTCTGACAGAGAATCATTCGATATCTTTGCCCCCCACTGGTTCTCAATGAGACCCGAGGTAAATGACTCAGGTGTTTTGAGTTAGACACTTCAAGCCACATCCACCATGAATAACCCGTGTTGGCAATCTGTCGCGTTTTGTGGCATCATATTCGCAGACGGCAGACGTACGTGAGATACGTACACAGTAGGAATTAGGCAGGTGTCGACGTCTCTCAATACGTTTCAACCTCTTTGACGGGCAACAAGGCGTGATTAGCGCGATGCCGCGTCATCTACTCCACCAATGTGTTAGAAGGGCTTCTAATTCTCAGAAATGATACAACCGTTGGCAACCGATATAGCATTGACCAAATCCGTTTTCGGATGACCTCTTTGTGTGTGTCCGCTTCCTGGTCGTTTCTTTAGCGTCCCGAGATGTCGCTCCAAATCTGTCAAATGCACAATTGTTGGACGCTGCAATTTCCGGGCTCGATGACATCTGCATGGATATCGTTGAAATACGAGACATAAGGCTGATACCGAAACCGCAATCTTGAAACTCGAAGAATAGCCGAGCCATCGAAAAAATCATGAAGAATGGTCACACATTAGCCATATAAGCTAGTTAGAAGCTCAATTTGCTTGCAGGTATCTGCTTGAGATACTTGCAATCCGTGTACGAAGCTCACAACACCACAAGATGTGAACGGCAAACACTTCATCACAATCTGATCGCTGATGTCTGCCTGCATTGCAGCGAATAGCTACAAATTCTTGATGAACTGTGTACAAGTGCCTCCCAGCGAATATCCGTAGCACGCGATAACTGTATCTCAGGGGAAAGGACACTCATCGTTTGCAAGTTGACTAAGCGAATACTACCACTCTATCTCGTGGCCTCAGGCATCCGCAGCGAATGCGGCTTAGCGCCGGCTTGTCATATATAAATGATAATATGTGATTGGCCGGTGATATCTCTGGCGCCTTATCTGACTCTTGGCTCTTCCAGCTCGCTACAGCTCCACAGTAGAACAACCCCCGTCAATATCTCTGAAACCCATTGCGCCATTACTTCCCTTATTTTCTTCTGACATCAAGGACTTCTATCATTCGGAAAACTCTTCCGACCATCTTCAGCGATCTACATCGTCATCTGTTGAAGTCTCCTTCGTCGCCTCATCATGGCTTTCAAGAGTGGGTCGTTCGCGACCTTCCTCATCGTTGGCCGTAAGTGTTCTATCGTCCAACGCTTCCTTATTTTCAGGATCATCGGCTAACTCTATCTGACACTCTACAGCGGTATGCTTCTTCCTGGGAATTGTCTTCTCTCTGTTCCCTTATGATTACCCATTGCTATGGGCCGGTGAACCTACTCCTCCGTCGCACTACGACTATCTTGAAGCGCACCTCCGCTTTCTCCATGCATCTCCACCACTGATTCCGCGCATTCTGCATATCGTCATCTTCGTCGGACTTGCTGGAATGCTTGCCAAATTGTACAAGCCCTCCGAGTCCAACATGCTTTTCGATGGAGCTAGCTTGGTTTTATACGTTTGCGGTGTCACCGTCTACATTGCCAACATTGTCAAGGGTCTCCGACTCGTCAGCGGCGGTATCTATGGTGCTGAATTGGCCGGAAACGAAGAGGATGCTGAGCAGGTACTTGGTCGTGAGGACAGCCTCAAAGTATTGGCTGCCAGCAATACTATCCTTGCGCTCATCTTGGTTGGTGTTTTGATTCTCCAAGCTGGTCAGTGGTATGCGGAGAAGAAGGACCAGCAAGAGTTTGAAAAGCTCAACGAAAAGAGCTCAGAGAGTTCTTCCAAGAAGGAACGTCCTGAATCTCCTGTCGCCACCCGAGGAACAAGCCGTCAAGGTAGCAAAAAGAGACAGTAAGACACGATGGCTTATTCTTAAGTCTAAGTCGACTTTCTTCTTGTTGTCATTGATATGTTTGACATGGCCTCGAATGGTCGTTTTTGTTTTTTTCTCCAACATGGGATGTTCCTAGGAGTACTGTTCTCACTACCACAATAGCAAAATTATGCCAATTTGGTTATTTGGGATTTATTCAATGTGTATAGATAGATAATTTGCGACCCTTTACAAGCATTTAGGATATGTTGTATACAAATTTCTCATTCTAGTCTTATTTGATTCATACGACTCACATCGAACAGACCTAAGACCTACGCAACGGCGCAACTAAATTAACCTCATTTCCAGCGCATCGCTTCCATGACAATTCCGGTTATAGAGGGCGAATCGCCATGTTACTACATCACCGCGCGTACCAAAGCCTAGATACAATGCCAGGACACCGGCAGAACATAAGTCAGGCCAGGTCCACCACAGCCCTCACTCTCCTGTCTCGCAGGATCAACCGCCATAACTATCACAACATGGCGCCTATACCAAAGCCAAACCACTGCAACTGGTAGACTCCACCATATTGCACTTTTTAGATTTCAGGTATGACTCGTCGCTAGGAGGCAAATTGATGTGTTCAAGTGCATCGGCGCAAGTAGAGCCGCTGGAAAACTCAACCGTATCAAAATGGAACACCATCCAAGCGTAGTGCTAGAGCATCCAATAGAAGCAATGCCAAAACCTTGAAACAAACCAAATATAGCTCAATCAAGCGGCGCAAAACTCTGTTTTGGCGCCTCAGCCTTGCCATATCCGACGACTGGAGGAGGTGGCCTACCATCAATATAGACCTGCATTGAACGTGAGAAGGGGGAGAACGAGCCAAGAGGCACAAGCGCTACTCAGTATCGCTAACCGACCACATGCCGGCTAAGCATGCACACTATACTCAATAGATAAGCATGGGTTGGACCCTGCGGTGGACAGATCCATGGCATCGGTTCTCTTTGTACCGGAATGGATCCAATCGTGTTCTTGGTATAAGAAGCGCCAGAACAGCCAACATACCTGCAAGTGGGCGGTTATTGAGCTTTTAAATTCAAAAGAGGTTTAGCTCGGATCATTCATTGGTCTGCAGATGTTCTTAAAGTCTTCAAATCAGACTAGTGAATCTTGTATATGGATTATATTACAACCATCAGATACCCTGGATATGGACATTAACCAATTCATTTGATGTCATAAAACTGCTAAACCAACATAAACAAAGAACTAAAAGTCTTGCCGCCAGCCGTCAGGTATCATTCCAAAACTCCAATACGTAACCAAGACAGAGCCAAGTAGAAACGCCAAATAAACTCCATGCCTGTCGAACTCCTAGAAAACCTCCTGTTTGTGCGAATCAAACTCTTCCAACAAGCGCGTGAAACTAAATCAAATGAGTAGATATTTCCACCCTTTCTTTTGCATGATATCGCGCCAATGCACGTTTCGCTTTTTGATCTCCCTCATAGGTGGCGATCGGAGAGGGGAAGTATATGTATCTGGTTTAAAATCCGAATCTGCAGGGAAGTCTCCCGATACTGGTGTGATTGGATCGTCTGCCACTCGCCAGACTTCCTGGAGAAGCCTGTAAGCACGTCCAAAGCTTCCGAAATCTGCATTATCGCCCATTTCGATCACACGCTGGTGCAAAACTTGGCGAAATGAACTCGTTGGAACGGAAAATGCGCCAGCAATGAGCAGCGGCCATACGAGAGGTCGGTCGTAGCCCTCTGGTCCTCCAGGAATAACCTGAAGAGCTTGAGTGACGGCATCTACTAGGTTCATGGTGCTCGTTTGGTTGCGGTCAAACCCAGGAACAAGGCTGCAGAGATAGATGCGAGCTGCGATTCGGAATACCGCGGTTATATTCTTTGTCAATTGCTCAGGGCGAATTGCGCCGTTGATAGGGTGGTAGGGCGTCTCAAGTTTTTTGTCCGCAGGCTCGGTAAATTCAAGCTGTTGCCCTAATGCTTGGACGTGAGAACAAACAGCCATGTCGTCAACAACTCCCTCTGCTCTCAGGGCATCGAGACAAGCAATTTCAGAAATGAGATACATCACTCGGTCGTCACAGCCCATCAATTCACGAAGACCGGAGGGGGTACCGCTTAGGTGTTTAGATCTATACGTATGAGCAAATTGCGGCGTCTTGCCAATCATAGTAGAGCCCAGAATATCAATCCAAGATGCTAGCGTCATGTTGAAAGGTGGGCGTGTGTAAGCGCCATTCGACTGCATAAGAGCGTTTGGAAGATCGAGTTTATTGATCAAACTGGTTGCGGCATGAAAGTGGTCGTTCCATGCGATATCCGGGAGGTGGTCATCAGGACCACCTACAGAGCAGTGAAAGAAGATCATAGCAAGCGTAGCTTCCAGGATCTTCTCGTGCTCAGTATCTTCATTCAATGATTGGCATAGCTGGGATATTGCCTCAAATCGGTGCCTTAAAATGTCATGGTCAATAACCTCCCCTTCAATCCCAATCGTGCTCTTCAGGTGAATAGCCGCGACACTGAGACAACAATGCAAGTACGACTTGTTATTTTCCAACGAATGTAGGACAGCTCTAGCACGTTCAAGGCCTCCCTGATGAGCCTCAGCAATCGGGAAAATAAGCCTGAGCACATTATCGACAAAGTGGTTGAGTAAAGGACGATCGCAGTCATCAACTGGAATATTCATTTGCATCACCAAATGGGACTGTGTCCTGGCCGGTCCAAAGGCCGGGCCTGCGTCATGGTTGAAAGGTACTGGTGGGATTGTTGGCATTGTCGCAAATTGTGGCATCCACTCATTCTCTGGGAAGTTGGGAAGGGTTGTGTGAAGCTGAGGGGGTGCAAATGTATTGAAGGTAGAAAATGAGGTATCGACCCGGGTTTGAATGTCATTGACGAACAGCTGGCGCTCTGTTCTGACATCGACTTCATAAGGAGGAAATTGTCCAAACGGGGTAGGCGGAAAGGCAGGTGTGGGTAAGTTGGATGCGAATGGATCATATGCTTCTGCATAAAAGGGGCGATTGAAATTGAACTCAGGGGCGCATGGTGTACCTAGAGGTGTTGGGCGACCTCGGCGACCTAGACATACCTAAGTTAGCAGTAGACATAGAGGAGACAATGATATGTTCCATACCGAGAAGCGCATTCTGATTCTTTTCGTTCAACTTTGTCTGCTTAATCTTATTCTTGATTCTTTCTTTGTGCACCTTGCGCTGTTCCGAGCTCGACCACCAGTCCGGGCGTTCATATTCACATTTCACACAAAGATTATTGCAAGTTCGGCAGGAGGGGTGAGACTCGTCGCATTTCTTTCTTCGTAAACGGCATGTGTAACATCCTATTGAGAAGTCTTTATCAGAGGAATAGCTACTGGGATGTATGAGTTTTGCGCAACAAACCTGAGCGTGATCTCTTATGATGTCGGCCGGAAGCGATGTCATTGGCAATTGCCCTTCTCTTCTGCGGCGCTTTGCCTTTGGTCACTGAAGTATCCGAAAGGTCCGACATGGTGTTATAATTTTATTGCGGAGCGATAACCCAAGCTTAGAAGAGCTGTAAAAGAATTTTGGTCTGTGCAGTACAGACAACGCAGCGCCAGGCCGATAAGACAATGGGAATCGCGAAGCCAGCTGCTTGAGAGCAGTGTAGAGTGAAGCCGAACTATCGAGCACTGCTCGTTGCCTGAGCAAGATAAGGATGAATGGCGACTTGAGATGTTCTTGAACTTAAGCCTGACTCATGGGATTGAATTGAAGGAAATGAAGACATCTTAATATGTCGAGCTTGAAGTGCATTTTGAGCTAGACCAAAGTGTTCGGTCCAAAATAGAAACATCGTACTAAGGTGAGGGAGAGATGTGCGGTTGGTCTGTGGGGTCCACAGGGGAGTTCGCTGCAAGCACACACGCAAGAAGAAGCAGAGCGAATGGAAACGCGACGAGTGCTGGCTGGGATAATTCAAGGTCGAGCATGCAATGCAGGTGGGATGCCCTTCTGAAGGACGTTAGCGTGAGGATTAGCCCTGACGGGAAAGAGCATGGCACTACTGCACGCTAGGCAGAAGATTGCACCTGCTCATATGGCTGATGCTTTTCTTAGCGCTTCACTAGCGGTCCGAGTGGCTGGCCTATCAGCGCTGCAAATCGACGTAGCCGCGAACATTGCGCGATCAACGCTGCCGTTTGATACGTTGGGCAGGATGGGCTCCGGCCTGACTAGGGCGGTCGAAGTGCCAAACGCTATCTATGCCCTGCTTCTATGCTGGCTGCTCCGGACGAATCGAGCACCCAACACTGACGCCGGAGACCTTTACATCATCGACAAAGATCTTTCTTCTGCTAAGCGCTCAGGGATACCGAAACCACGTTTCGTGCTTTATTTGGAAACAGTTGACGCGACATGTGCGACTATCAAAATTCAATGTAGGAAGTCATAGATACTACTGCTACTCCTACAAAGTATGTACGAAGTACGGATATATTGGCCATCACCCAATTATTGGCCTTTTGCAAGGATACTACCTAGCATTGGCAGAGGCCTGGAGCCAATGGCTTCTGTTCATTTCCTCGGCTCGTCCAATGAGATAAGTAGTGGTCAGCAAGAAGAAAAGAGCAATATTGCACGAGATCCAATCATTTGGGTGAATAAGCTAGAGTTCCTGCCAAGCTTTCATTGTCCGGCTTTTATTCGCTGATCTGTAAGAAGCCACCTAATTAAACCGCCAATGGCAACACAGTCTGTAACTGAAGTTTCCTGGTTACGCCGTAGCACCAGGCGGAAGACCCACCATGATTGCAGGGATCCGCTCAACAGATCACAAGGCCCGGCCCATCCTTGTGGGGGAGGGGAACCCGTGCCGATGTGATAAGACGATGGAAGCTGCATACACGCCAGACTAGTCAGCCAGATTGCCTTAATTAGTAGCAGTTTTGTCACATACATCAGGTCTATTTTGAGTCGATCTGGCAATTAACAGTGATTTTTCCCCCTGCAACACGAGGTTGCATCTGCATTCTGCATAGTTCTGCACACTTATTTGAGGTAAATAATGTAAAGTAGGCGGCTAATTAGTCTCAATTTCAGCAGTATCTGAACTATTAATAACTTTGCATCTCATCCAACCATCGGTCTTCTGTCCATATATTGCTTTTGAACTTAATGTCAGTAAGTCTCTAGCTCTTCGAATACAGTGTAAATTTAGTAGCATCGCGGTCGACTAATTAGTACTATTCACATCTTGCATAGTCCATAATTAGAAATTAATGTCCTCCATCCAGAATAAGAAATTAGCCGCCAAAACGATGCACCGGCCCTAGCCTCGATCTAGACAATTAGCATTGAAGTCTGCACCACATAAGTTGGGTCATATTCCAAAATAGTTAAAATTAGTAGCATTTCTAAAACTCTTGTAAATTTGTCCCGATTGGTACTGTACTCACCAGAGACCACACAACACATTATACGACGTTGTATCTCCAGCGACCGACATATTGTTATACGTAATCATGTTAGCGGTCTCATCGGTATTCGGGAATAATAATGATTACTCTGCTCCGTACTCTATGCTTAATTCTCTTCTAGATTAGCTAGAGATTAGCAGAAGTCGACACAATTCACAAAAAGGTACTTTTTAAAAATGGAGGATTGGACTATCACACTGTGATTGCACTATGTATTTAACGATCTTATAACGCTTTATTAAGTTTGATGACTCGCACACTACGCATCTCATGCTGATTGGGAAGTGGGGTTGCCTCGCTAAACCCTACTCTCATACCTATTTAAGACCACAGCTTCACATCTCATTTGGATTTGAAGTGAAATATGTGTCTTTTACTGGGTATTACTGTCGATAGCTCAAGCCTTTCTCGAATGAGCGTACAATCATCGAAGAACCTTCTTTAAGCTGCCCTGGAATGCACGGTAAATGGATGCAAGACAACCTTCGGTTCCATGATGTATCTCTCATACCAGTCCTAGGTAGCAATCCAGATCAGTAATTAACCCTGGAACATTGAAATGTCGGCAAGTATGTCTACTTAAACTCATATGCAAATAGTGCAGACAGTGGTATTTATTATTTCAAGTCTTCATTCAGGAGCCCGAGCCTTTTTGGATCATCTAATTTTATAACTCGATAAGCACACTTAGTTACATGAGCAAACAGAATATGTCGGTGTAGAAAGTCACGAGGCAATTTACGAGAATGGATTTCGCACGGTGCTTTTCAGATCATAAGCTTCTTACCCGAATGCCACACAATTTCTGAGCAGCTCTGTATATGTTTGCTAGGGTTCCCACGTTCAATGTTGTGGTTTCAAATGTTGATAAGTCGGAAAAATCATCAGACCTATCTTCGGCATGATCCGAAAACCCTACCTAGGTAAACATGACTTGCAAAGTTGGTACCACCAAGGAGTCAGGTGACATTAGGGACTGCGATCTGACACAAGATTAGAAAATGTTTCACCGCTAGTAGAATTGTTTCGAAAAGTGCTTGACGGGCATAATGCATACTGCGTAAACACCGAGACGAAGGTACGATGTGCGTGTCACGAATGTATGGGGAAAGAAGGGCAAAAGAAAATAGATTAAGGCATCAGGTCATTTTTTTTTTTCTTTATTTAGATACAATGCAATGTTTTATTGAACATTGACTGAGTGGCTGACTCGTGGATGAATACGCAGCGCGGGGAACAATCTCATCACAAATTCTTTTGTCCAAGTATGCATACGTAGCCTAATTTAGTAAATTAACCTCACTTCTTAACGAGTCAATCCAGACTTTTACACTAAGGTCAACAGCTAATCGAAGGGACACGAACCTATTTTGGGAATTAATTTTGATCTCGACCAAGGATAAAAATAGACAGAATCATACTTAATTGCCTATGAAAAGCTATATTTATCAGCATGTGAGCAAAATATAGTACCTTTTATGCAAAGATAATTTTTCCATCACGGGTTAGCTCCATTAGGCTCCGCATTAGCGTTGCTGGTCTCCCGTGGGGAACATCCTATCAGCTTGTTTAAACCGAAGAAAATATCTGCCGCTAATGCCTCAATTTACACTAGTGGGCGCGTATAGTAAGCTGTCAATCAATCCTAGCCTGTCAATGCGTGCCGAACTCGATGTGCCCGCAGTAGCGTGGTGATTTGCCCACCTCTCAACCAGAGCTCTTGCAGAAACTTGCGTTTTTTCTCTGTGATAAGCAAACTTTGATGGATCTAAGCATCCAACCAGGAAGTCGCAACCATGCTAGCGATCCGCTTTTGGACAAGCGAGGATCTAAAAATTGCATGTTTCTACGGTGAAGGGCCATGAGGACCAATGCAGGCCCAATGCATGCTCTCAAGCACATCCTACCGTGTGAATCCGGCCGAGCATTGTGCTGCTCGGACTAGGTCACGTCTTAAACGAGGGACCGAGCACTCTGGGGAACAGTGGTGACCAGAATCATATAAACATCCAGTTCATCCCTTCGAGCTGTGTTCTAACGCTTCTGATACTCCACACTATCGAAACATCAGTTTGAACACTCCACATATCTTCGGAGTATTATACTTTAATGTTTCGCCTGTGACTTCAAGTCTGCTGTTCACCCATTGACACCAACAAGAACATACTCGCTGGCCGAGTTTGACATTGCTGTCGTTGGAGTGTAGCAAAAATGGTACTACCTCTCCATTACTTTCTCATTTGACCACATCTAACATTGAAACAAAGGCGACAGCAGATAATTCTGGCTATGTCACCTTGGAAATGCTGCAGGCTATGTCCAAGCAATCCATATTTCGGAGGACCACAATAGCCCGTCCACGTTCATTCGCCTCGAATCACTCGGATGCCACAGAGATTCTCGACACTGATTTTGAGTCCGACTGTGATAGATCATACGACGATGACTCTTCAAGGAGGAGTGCTGGTTCTGTAAGTCTGCAAAATTTCTGTGTTCGTATACGGCAACTAACATATGATATAGTTGGTGGCAGATAGTGTGACAACCGCCGACACACCGAGAGATGTGCCCACTCCAGATTCCGGAGCGCTGTCCGCGTTCGATTTCCATTTTGATGAGAAACCAATCATGGGCCCCAATGGACCACACCTTTTTCGAACATCCATGAGCTCGGATGAGATGAATACTAGCTATGAGGTCGACTTTATGCTGGCCAAAACCCCTACCGTGGCTATATTCAGTCCATCAGTGACCGAGGAGAGGAGAGACACACCTTTGCCTGGACACGAGAATTATTTTGAACCCACAGCACAAGCACAAGAACTCAAGTCCATCAATGCTGCAGTATCTGCGTTGGACGAGAGTGAAGTCCGATCTTGGTCTCCCCCAGATGTCGTGCGATGGATGCAAGAATCCGGATTCGATGACTCGGTCATTGAAAAGTTTTTCATTAACGACATCTCAGGAGCCATTCTCCTAGACCTCAGATCTGAAGACTTGAAAGAGCTTGATATTCAATCATTCGGTAAACGTCGCCATGTGATGAACTCTATCCAGCACCTGCGTGATAGCTTCATGCTTCCTAATAACGAGACACAACCTCATACAATCACTACCTCTAGCTCCCCAGAGTGTACCTCCTCAAGCGACTCAGCTTCTACACCCACCAAAGACAGCACTAAGAAGAAACATAGACGGCGACGTAATCACCGGTCTCATAAGAAATATACGGTCGCAAATGACCTCAATCCAGATGACTCGGCATCGTTAGTGGCTATTGAACAATTTCTACCCAAACCCCATCGCTGCTCCAAGGGTGAGGATTGCCGTAAATGGCAAAAACAACAACGAAAGATTGCACGACTGGCTAAAGACTTGCCAATTGACATTGATGCCGCCAGGCTAATGTCGGAGGACTATGAAGATCAACCCCCACCAACATCGAAGAGCCTACCCAACATGGACCCAATGCCCACACCTTCCATTGTTGCATCTTCGGATGTTCTTGGGCCAGAGCAAACACCTGTCTTCCAGATCTCCGAAGAAACTCTGAATGAAATCGGCCCGCGTGACCCCCAAGAGAATGTCCGGCAATACCTGAACTTCCAACACCTCAGCAAACTACAGCCAGTCACCCAAATAGTTTCGAAATCTGACCTCTGTTCATCACCAGACGTTGATTCTCCGGATTCCACAAAGACAACCACATCCCTAGCAGACAATCTCCGCAGTTTGCCCAAACTGACAATCCCGGTCAACCATCATATTGTGGTTCCTGGCACATTCTCTGCTAGTCTCTCTGCTCAACGAACAGTTACCCCATCCATTTTGCGCAGACAACCGAACTTCGTGACCAACAGTATTGATAGTACCCTGCATAGCGCACGTCCACAACCAACGACATATGGATCAAGTGTTTCTCCCGCAGATTATGTTGGTTCTCCATCAGACTTCTACCGCTCTCATGATTTCTATCAACAGGCTTCTCCGCTATCTGAAGTCGATGTACCAGTGACTGCTATCCTGTCGGCTGGCCCTATCCAGCGACATGTATCCCAGTCTGTACCTCCAAATATGAGATTTGGACATCATCTCCGGGTTATACCCGATCCCTTTGTCCGGCCCAGATCTACGAAACCTGAAACTCACCGTGCCGGCCCCAGCATTCAGATTTTGGACTCTGTCGATGAGGTGAAACCAACTCACGATACTATCGACGTTCCAGTGACAGCCATTCCACTCGGCCCGATTGAGCGGACGGAAAGCCAATCTGTCCCACCTGACATGCGTTTTGGGCATGACTTCTATGTTACTGTCGATCCCATTCGCCGCCCTATGTCAACCAAAGCCAGCAATTATAGATACCCCTCCATGCTCAATTCCGCGTTGGACCGAGTTGATGAACTTGGCCCAATTGATACGGAAGAGGACTTTGCTACCACCCCAAGGACGAACCCTAGGTCTGCAAATGATGTCACTCACAGTGGCTGGATGAGGAAACGCAAAACAACAAGAATGCTGAGGCATGAATGGGAAGACCATCATTTCACATTGAAGGGTACCCGACTCGCCATGTACGAAGACGAACGAGCCTCTCGTCGTGACTCCAAAGCGATTGAGTATATTGACGTAGACGACTACGCCGTCGCCTGTTCTTCAATTCCCTCTAGCTCAAAACTTACTGCTGCTTTCAAAAAGACCGTCTTGAAACGAAAGAGCTCCGCCCAAGATGAGGCTGCTTTCGCATTCTCACTCATCCCTGCCCCGAATGGCAAAACTACTGGAGCCGAGCGACGAAACTTCTTCGTTAGCAACGGAAAGTCTCACCATTTCGCAGTCAAGACTCGCGACGAACGCATCGACTGGATGCGCGAGTTGATGTTGGCCAAAGCTTTGAAGAAGGGCAAGGACAGTGGCGACTCTGTCCATGTCAATGGCCACGTCTTTTAAAATTCTTATAAACTAATACGACCGCAAGGTCAAGAGCTTCTTATTACCCTTATTATATTTACATCAACGACAGAGACGACAGTTGCACTTTTCTTTCCATTCAACCTTTTTCTTCTACTCGACAACAGATCAGATCTTCTTACCGGCGGCTTTCTAGGGTTCAGTTAGCGATTGACTAAAGGAGTACAGAGACTTCTTGCATTCTTTACTTGTTCAAGATTCATTCATCACTATGCATCACTCTTGTCAGCTCAGCCTTTGGTGGTGTTTATTTTCTTTATTTTTCTTGGTTTCTGTCTTCTTGCCCGAGGCTATCTGGTCATATCCTCTGTGCACAGTGCATGATGCAGCCTTCGGGGGTGTATTGGATGATAGAGTCGAAGCGAATACCCATCTCGTTAACCAATTATCTAGTCAATAAAGAATACATTTCTTTGTGGTCCATTCTAAACTACGTGCTGGGTACAGGCCGTTCAGCCTGGTTGATAGATGATATGCGGATTCAAGCGCGGCGACACCGCCAAAGCGGCTTGTAAATCAGTAGATAATGACTCGTAAGTTGTAAGCATTGGCTCGCAATGCTCGTCTATATGAGGAGTCGACAAAACATCAGCATTGACCAGAATGTTACGTAGGATATATGAATAATGTAGCTTGGAGTACGTAGAACGAAAGCAATAGTAAATAGAGACGATCGGTGATTCGGCGGAGATGCGTGTGAGGGCCCCCCCCGGGCTAGGGCGAGTCATAGCGGGCGGCAAGAGCGGCCCTGCCATTGGCGCCTTCCCGGCTGGCGTGCCTGTGTGACGCTTTGTGACTGCGCCGCACTTAGACCTTTCGACAACTAGGTGCTTTACAGACCGACCACTCTGCTCTCTCAATGGATGCTTCGTGTTTCCTCGTTACTCCCCAGCCCAATCCCTGGCCACTCACAGCTAACGGCATGGCTAGGGTTTTATGGGTCCGCTGTTGGCTCTGCCTTTGTTAGATTGTTTCCTGTGACGGCCGAGACGACCGAGAAGGCGCGTGTAGGACAGAGATACTAGCGCCAACCCCGCCTGCCATCATGACATTGAAGCTTAAGGAACACTGTCCCTGAAGTGGCTTGGGCTAATCTTCTCACTTTTTACTCCGCGGTTTGTCCGTCTCGCTTTCTTACGTTCCTACAGTACTCTCCACAGCGGCAAGCGATCGTCTCTATTCTTCATTTTCACATGGCCTGCATGCCGACAAGATGGCAGACGTCGTGGAAGTCAAGGAGCTGCTGCGCCAGGTCTGTAGGTATGTTCGGGTAGTCAGACGATGTCTCGGGGGTGTGCGCGACCACGCAGAGTCAGCAGAGAAAGCGGTATCGCTGCTCTGTGATCTTTTGGAGCTTCTACATTCGGTCAAAGATCAGCTTAGCGGATCGAACGAAAAATGTCCTTTCGATTCATCCCGACTTGCCGTGATACAAGAGCTTTTAATCCTTTTTGAAGCTACGCTACAGCTTATGGAGACCAATTTTCATCCCGGAGGGGTGGGTGTGCGAGAGTTTCGTACTTATCTGCTGGAGCGTACGATGGTTCCGAGACTAGAACAATATAAAGTGGCTTTTCTTCTTGCAACCCAGTCAGATTCACCGTATGTCACTTACTTAAAAAAAACCTACATTGGTCAATCTGGAGGCTGACAATTACAGTTCGTCTAAGGAACGCTCGGTAACTGAAATGGATATATACCAACGGCTTCGCCAATTCTATGATATGGAGACAAGTAGGTTGATTGTGCTTGTCAGAGTATCCTGCGTCTTGTGAAACATGGCTAATTAATCCATCAAATTATAGAACCCAGCCGTTTCAAATATGAAGATGACGTTATGCGTACAGCCGACCGATTGTCTGCCGAAAACTTCATCACACTCGCCGACCTATGCAATAGACGGCAACATGGATCATGTCAGTGGATTTTGAACAATCAGCAATATCGCCAATGGTCACAAGGTTCTTTTCGGTCCCTTTACTGTCTTGGGCCTGGTACGTCATATACATGTTACAATTCTCTGACAACCGATCATTTGGCTGACTGAAAATTTCTTATAGCTGGAATTGGCAAGACGTTTCTCTCGTGAGTTCGACCGAGGCCTACAATCGCTCGCAAAATGCTAACTATAATTAGGTCTGTTGTGATCGATCATATTCAGCGAACCTTTACGTCTCCCGATGTCGCAATCGTCTTTCTCTTCTGCCATAAAGAGAAGGATGGAGAAAATGGCTGCCCGGCGCTCTTGCAAAGTGTACTGGCACAACTGATTTACCGCCGACGTGCATTGTCGCAGTCTACAGAAGCCCTTTACAACTTCGAAGCAGCATCAGGTGCAAAGGCATCTTCAAAAGCATATCAAAATGCCATCAGAGCTGAAGTCAATCATTTTTCGAAAGTGTTTCTGGTGATTGATGGCCTTGATACCATATCTGATAGGGACCGTTTTTTGAATCGCATGCAGAAACTTCCCGAACATACTCAGCTACTTATCACGTTACGAGAATCTTCCGACACAGAGAAAATCAACTACATAGATGTCTCCAGTCCGAAGAAGGATATTAGAGACTACGTTGTCTCTCGTCTTGATAAAGACGCTAAGCTTTCGCGTCTTGGCATACGAGAGGAAGGTAATAAAGAAGTGCAAAACGATGTAATCAGATACGTGGTAGAGAAATCTCATGGATCGTGAGTTGCATCCCATCCACACAAATCAAGTCGAAACCTAGCTAATGATTGAGTATTTCTAGCTTCCTATTAGCACAACTGCACTTGGATTTGCTAGCGAGCTATGAAGAAAAGGCTCTAGCTCACAGTGCTCTTTCTCATTTACCCGAAAATCTCGTTGAGACATATGCAGAGATCATGAAGCGAATTCTAAGCAAACATCCACGCTCAAGGAATTTTATATATTGGACGCTTTTCTGTCGGAAGCCGTTGACGGTAGCAGAGCTCAAATATGCCACTATGGAAGACAAGACATCCGACGAGTCAGAGAGTGACCAGAGCAATTCTGATCTCACTTCTTTTGAAACCAAGCTGCTAACTGAGACTTGCGGACTTTTGACTATCGACGCTGTCACTGGGACCGTCGGTCTGGTACACAAGACAGCGAAGGACGCCCTTGAACGCATGGCCGCAGCCAGCATTGTTTTCGCTACTGCCCACAAGGAAATCGCCGAGAGATGTCTGACTCTGATCTCAAACGATGATATCGTCGATGACTGCTATGTCAAGAAAGAGGACTCGTCGAGAAGCTGTCGCGATACGCTGTTATTGGATTATGCTGCTTCGAATTGGGGCTACCATGCATGTGATGCGGCCGAGGAGGAGCAGACAATACAGGTCCTGATAACGACGTTCCTTAATAAAATATCTTGGAGACGTCCATCTAATAATGACGGTTCGATCTCTGATTATGCATTCCCCGAAGAGGTTGGAATTGGCCAATATCCAACCGATTGGACGCCTCTACATTATCTCGCATACTTTGATATTGTTTGTCGCGGTAAACGTCTACTTGAGCAAAAAACGGATGTAAACATCAACGACAACGCACTTGGAGTCACACCTTTGCACTGCGCAGCTTTTAGAGGCAACGAGGCTATGCTAGAACTCCTACTCGATAATGGAGCTGATATTGATGCACAAACCAAGGATGGCGACACTGCGTTGCACCTTGCCACAGTCAGAGGCAAGAGGAAAATAATGAAGACGCTTATTGCGCGAGGTATCGATACAACTAAGACGAACAACGCAGGTCATACAGCGTTACACGCAGCGGTCGGAACGCCGGATGATGAGGCAACAGTTCCCCTACTAGTAAAATCTAAGCTTGACGTCAATGCTCAAAATTCTGTCACAGGCGACACTCCGCTACATCTCGCCGTTCAATTCAAGCGGCCTCGAATCCTTCTCTACCTTCTGAACAAAAAGGCTATAGTGGATACTTTCAACAAGAAAGGAATGGCACCTCTCCACATTTCAGCACATTCGAATAATCTCGAAGCGGTCACACTTTTGCTAGAACGTGGCGCAATTGTGGAAAGTCGAGCAAATGACGGAATAACGGCTATGCACGTTGCGGCTCAAGCTGAAAATTGGATCGCATTTGACTTTCTAGTTGCGGCTGGCGCCGATATCAATGCATGGGACCTCAATGGGGACACACTTCTTCACACGAGAGCTAATAAGCAGCGTGACACTGCAATCATCACCAAATTACTTGAATTTGGTGCCAATTTTGAAGCACGCAACTCCAAGGGCTACACGCCGCTACAGGCTGCAGCTTTGAACGGAAACAGGGATATGTTCTTTCTCCTTTTAGAGGCGGGKGCAAACATAGCAGTGGAGACACCTAAAGGTGAAAACCTGCTGCATATAACGCCACCAGTCAATGAAGCTTACTTGGAGATTCTTCGAGCTTTGCTTACAAGGGGCCTTAGCGTGGATGCGCTGTCAAGTCAGGGATGGAAGCCTATTCACCAAACTGCCTTCAAAGGCACCGGCTCTCCTGATATCACTCTAGACAAAAGCCGTGAGCATTTGGAGATGCTGATTGCATATGGGGCCGACGTCAATGCTGTAACCGAGTCAGCCGAAAAAGAAACGGCACTCCACCTTGCAACTAGAGCGTCCATACCTCGACCCTTGTTTATAATGCTTCTCCTCGACCATGGAGCAGACGTCAATGCAAAAAATGGGGAAGGCAAAACAGCACTTCACCTTGCCGCTGCTCGTGGTCGAGAGACACTGTTTAGAATCTTACTAGAACATGGGGCAGATATCTCAATCAAAGCACCAGAGCCCCAGAAAGATGCCCCGAAAGAAAGCCAAGAAACAGAAAAACCCACGCAGGAGAGTCCACAAAAAGAAGCCAAGACTAGCAACGAAAAGCCACCTGCAGCAAAGGAGACGGGTGTAACTGCATTTGACCTGGCGAAAAAGAACCCCCTTGGGGCTCTTTGGTTTGATGAGAAAGGGGAATTACGCCCTGTGACCCCACAGAGTCGCCGTGGTAGTACTGCGACGCTTATAGATGAAAGTGATATTGAAGATGACGATGACTCCGAAACTGCCACTGGTGGAACGACTGTGACTGAGAATTCTAGTGTACTTACCGAAAGGTGATTTTCTTCCTATTCATCTTTTCCCGGAGCGGTTCGTTGCAAATTGTGTCTTTTTCATATTTTTCTTCTCTTTCCATAGGATTTTCTTTTTCTTTCATATGTAGGAATTTGGGTCTGAGTCGGATTCGGTTTTGCTGTCGGGCCCCTTGAGCCGGAAAGCCTTACTTCAATTCAATATCATGAGCGTGGGCGCGAGGAAATGGAATTACCACTGTGATGGATTAGCGTTGGACTGTTTTTTATTGTTATATCTACATAACAGTTATATACCACTTTTTTACAAATGTAACAATTCAGGAGTACTGACATATAATTTTCCTCTTTATTGAAGTGAACAAGTAGACAGTCAGTCAACATGTTCATTATATCCCAAGTGGTAGCTGACGTCCAAGTAATGGTAAAGAAAACATCTGTATGATCATCTGAAAATTCTAATTCTACCCAACCATGCTTATAACAATAGAAACCCATCCATCTCCATACGCAGCGCTACGCGCAACTTCCTCCAAAAGCGCGGACATGGGCAGTACTACACCGTGCAAGATTGGCTTTGCCAAAACCGGTATTCGTCGACTGGGGAAAAGGTTTGGTAATAGAGAATGTAGAGCTGACCCAACCGTCTGGGGTTGCGTCCKCCCTGCTGATGAGCCTGTGCTGGTTGATGATTGGATTAAAGGAGAGATAGGTGATTGGACAACTTTGAGGGCTGGTCGATCCGTATCAGGTGGTAAGGGGAGGAAGATTCGCAGAGGGATTTGACGGAATGGCTGGGGCAGTGATGGGAGAAGAAGGTTGATGATTCTTCGATAGGAAGTAAGGTCATCTGGGAACGTTCAAGCATTAGAGCACTGAGGCAAACTTCTATAGAAGAGATAATAGGCGTCTGGACGTACGATTCTGAATAGCTGCCCAAAACCCAGCTGTGTCCTCTTTAGACAAGGTCATGATTCCCTTTGCTTCCCGGATACGAAGCGAATCTGCTTCTTTCACGCTGTTGATAAAAGCATCATGCATGACGAGTCCGTCTGCATCAAGTCGTACGAGATCCTCATCGGGCCAGTTCTCGAAGTGTAACGTGAGTCTCCACGGTAATCGGTTCGAATTAGAAGGGTCACTTTCCATTTCACTATGGGACGGAGTATTTTTGACGCCAGCGAGGATCACTGACTGTGTTAGGTTATTGTAGTCGCTCGTCGAGGATTGTGAAATAGGTTCAGCCCCGGCGTAGAGATCGTAGAGCAAGCCCAAAGGATAGTGCCATTTCAGAGGGACACCTTCGAATGAGAACCATCCAGAATGAGGCTCGCTCTCTGGGTGGATCAGGGATGCTCGGAAAAAAGCATGAAGTTTCGGTAATAAGAAAGGCAGATATGACACTCGAGGATACAGTATCTTAATAGAATTAGCACACATGTTTTGAGCACTCGAGTCACGATTTTGTATGAATCATACTAGGTAAGGCTCGGACTGGTCATAGGTCCGGCATTCTGAAGGAGCTAGGACAATCTCCAAGGGAAGTTTGCCTTCCCAGACCTTCTCTTGAATAGAGTTGATATGCGATTGATTGGTGCCTGACATGGCTCTGCAAGCACGTCTCTAGTGCGACTCTGGTGACCTAAGCCTCAAGTTAGTGCTGCATTCATATCTAGCGCTGCATAAGAATTTTGAAGACTCGCTGATTGATGCTAATCTTAGAGAAGTAGAACTCACAAGGCTACGAGCTGTATTACGGTCGGCGGAATTTCAAGAAAGAACGAGCTGGTAAAGAAGCGGTGAAAAGCTCGGTCGAGACCATCGCGACCCTGTTGATACCCAGCTTTCGGTAGCTATCTAGCCGGAGTCACAGACATCTAACTTTGAAGTCATTCAAGAGGGAGGTTGAATATGAAATTGAGACAATCAACGTCAAACAAGGAAACTTCGACGGGCTCAATCGGCACGTGGGGCGCGCGCGCGGGATGGTGGGGACTGCTGCCTTATTGTTCAGGCCGGCATTTGATAATTTCTATCCCACCGTAACTATCCCACCGTAGCCTTGCAGGTTTTACATGATAGGACTGTGCGATTGGCTGCAAGAAGTAGTACAATTGAGCCAGGTATTGGTGTTCATGCATCTTTTCATTTTGTTCGAGATAGGTTTCATCCGCGGTGGTCGGTCGTACAGAGGCACTCGAAACAAATATTCTTGTTCTCTCATGGTTTGAGAGAAATTGAGCACAGGAAGAATCATATCTGCCGTGCGGAGCTCCTAGCCTGTCACCTCCAATGTCGGTCTGGTATGGCATGATGGATATGTCCGCCTCGATGGGCCTCGCTCCCTTCGGTCTTTGCAAGTGTCACCCAGGTATACGTCTTATGGATAGGACAACACATCCTTGCCAATATGACCTAGAGCTAATCAAAGTTAGTGTTTAGGCTCTTTAGTTGTTTCCGAAGCTAATAGCCTGATAAATTTCTCGAGCTATTGCTTTTAATTCATTTCACCGGTTATACCCATGCTAGGATCTCTATAAATCCCGGATCCTAGATTTAGTCTTCATTCAGCTTGGTGGCAAGACTCATGAACATTGTATGTATGTACGCCGTACGCTTAGTGCTACAGTTAGTGTAAGCCTGTTCTGTATACATCAGATTCCGTATCTACCTCTTCTTGTTCAGTTTACGCTAAAATCTGTCAGGCACTTACCGGTAGCGATGCGAATAGATTTTTGTCCGAGGCGAAGACCCAAACAGACGCCACAAAAACGAGGACGAGTAGATCAACGAGTAGGCTAGTCTAGCCGATGGACGTGCGTAAGCTAGACCTTGAACCCAACAATATTTGTGTCGATGTAGTACAAACGACATGAGGGGGGTTGTACTTAGCCTTGCGCAATCAGCGTTCTTTTGTCAGCAACTTTTCATCTCAGAAATCTTTATTGAAAAATGTAGTATTGGGGATAAACTCGGTATTGCACTTGTTAGATTTGAAGATTGAAAGAAAAGCGGCTCAGGTCTAGATCAATAAGCCCCATTGGAGGCTTTAAGCTTACTTCTATGACGGTCTAGACTTCGAGCTTTGCTTCATCGACTGCCGCCTTCAATCGAGCCTTGACGTACTCAATTAATTTGTTATTTTGTCTAAAAGTGGATTTCGAGGTCAACTAATAACTATAAAAGACGTATAGAAAGTCATTTGTTATTTAGTCGTATAGCTCTAAGGGTGATTTCGCCCTTAGCTCTTCAATAATACAGATCGAGGATTCACTTGTGGCACAGCATTCACACCTTGCAAAAGATTTTTACCCCCGCGGTGATAATCTGCTGCAAGGCAACCCAGGCATCCAAGTCAATGCCGCAACGCAACTCTACTAATTACGATCTCTGATAGGCTTTCAAATTACAGGTTTACTTTCGAAGGTCTAGACTCTTTGCTTTGAACGTTCCGCCATATCCGACAGCTAGAAAAAGGGCGAAAGCTTGAAGTATAAACACGATCTGTACCTACCCACCAGCAAAAACGTCCCTTATCTGGGGTCAGGCTGTGCAAAATTAGGCTTTTGCTTTTGCTTTTTCTCCAACTTTTTCGTCCTTTATTGTGAGAAAATGGCACAGCATCAGCCAACAGACGAGTACATTGCATTCGTGCGGGCTAGACTGGTCTGTTCATCGGAGTAGTGTTCGTCACTTCGTTGCTCTGTAGTGTCTGGCGGCACAGGCGTAAATATGTCCGGATTTTGCCTTGGCCTTCAATGTTAGTGGATAGACCAGATTCGGCCAATACGTACCCGTTCATAAAGTCTCTGTTTTTACTCGAGCTAAGACGGGAGCACCAATTTGTGGTCGTGTTACACAAATTGAATCGGGATCCAAAGCGAAATCACAATTGCATAGCTAGACCTTCCTACCTAGTTTAGTCACCTAGTGGGGCGTGTGTTTCCGGTTGCGAAAGACATGCCACGAAACACTATCTACAATTTCTGATTGTCAACTCTGAACTCACTGATGATTTAGTAATCTTTCGGTAGACTGACTACTGTGCAGCATAAATATTGTGGGTCGCCAATGCGATGGATTCGGTACGGCCCGTTGTGACTTTGAATTACACTGCGGGGCGAACTACATAGTAATCGACGATTTGTAGAACATGACGGMAACTTCTAAGTGGTTGGAGGGAGCTTGCAAAATTGCAACAGTCAGACGACTTCCAGTAGACACGATGTGGAAATTGCGCTAATAATCGGAACAAAGAGAGGGGGAAAAAAATAATGAAGAATCAAGCCACCACGCATCACTGACAGATCTAAGCTCCGCAAAGTGGTTGCTGCCTACGAGATAGCGCAAACCACAGACCACTGACACGTCGATCAGTATGCCTTATGTGTTGCGAAAATTCACTCGGGACTTATTCCCACGATGCAGTATTGTGTTTGACTACTAATCGAATGCATTCTCCATTGCTTATCGACATGACGAAGTGCTGAGATACGCCACTTAAGCTGCGCCTCGGCATAAAGACGAAAGGGGCGTACCTGACATGTAGGCCCGCCTAGACTCCTCGACCTGACGTCCAGACCAACTCCTGTGATCATCACGATCGTCTTAATTGCAAATGAACAACGAGTCCGGTGGTAAATATAGCAAGGCCATCCTTGTAGCGTAACACAAGGGCCGCAGGAACTAAGAGCAATCGCTGGACCCAAAATTGAATACAGTGTGAACAGTGCTTCTACCACACGGCCTGGAGCATTTCCGATCCGGACTTTGGACGCCTTAAATCAGCCTGGACATTTGGTTTTGTTTGGAATGATCTCGTTCAATGCACTGGTCGTTCTGCCCTGGCCCATCGTTCCTTAGTCGAGGCCTGCGTCTGCCAATGGTCTGGCCTCCCAAGATCCTTTGCTGCGCAGAGATTGCCCCCTCTACATAAGCACTTAGAAAATAGGCCACTCAGTCGAGGAGATACCGCCGTATCTTGTAAGGTCTTAACACGTGACTTTCGTCTATAAATCTCGTCTGGTCCCCCGCTTCATCCTCTCGCAAAAACGAATAAACAACAGCCAAAACACATATCTCAAGTACCAAGTGAAATTGTTGAATCCGTTTCGCTTGACTTGGCCATTCTCAGCTCCATTTCATTGCCTTTGTCAACCAACCAAACTTCAATAATGTCTCGAACCAACGGCCAGCCCGTGAATGGCTCCCGGTATGCCCTCTTCACGGATGTTCGATGTGTACCGAGCACTAACATAAAGAAGATCTTCGAACGGAAGACCCCTGAACGCAAAAAACCTAGCCGAAGTACCGCCAGTTAACGAAAACGAGATCGGTCTGCGCAAATACATCCTCACTCCTCCTCATGAAGAGCCATATTATCTTCCGGTACGGATCTCGGATCGCGAGACTCACGAAAGGCGACTAGACGAACAAACCGCGAATCTTGAGGAGTTGATAACACAAGGAAGTTGAAGATGAATGATGGGGTCTGCAGCAGACGAGTGTTGCTGGTTCGGAGAAATCTTTGTCATGAAGACTTGTGTATAGGCCATGGTTCACAAAACATTTGTATCATTGTTATTTATCGAAAGCGTATATAATGTCGGGTCATTCCAAATATCCAAACAATCTATATGGTTGTCTATTTCCAAAACTCGATGAGCTGGTCAGCCAACTCTTCGTATTTAACACTGGGAAATTCATGTCCAATGCTGAAGTATGTAATCTGCGCATTGCCTTCCAGCGCATGCGTCACATCCTCAACGGTATCATCTTTGAAAATGACGTTGTCGGTTTCTCCTAACACGACCAGAACCTTATCGTGGGCGAGACCGGTGCCGCTKCCTTCTCGTTTGCGTTGAGAAAGGAATCTTCCCAGTCTCTTCCAATTCTCTAGCTGCGACTTTTGCAAGATCGGACCATGTCTCATACTGGAGATGAATGATGGGATGAAGCCATCGTGATTCTCTACCTGCCAAGTCACAGCTTCCGCAGTCTTCAAAGATGGGTATGTTCGTGAGAGCACTTGTTGAGAAGAAGCAGTGAGCTCTTGAGTAAGAGCGTCTTCAACACCGACGGTCGCGTTGTGCGAACTATTGCCCTTTTTGGGTTTGACTAGCGGACCAGCTCTCAGTCGGCCTTTGACAAGGCTTGCAATGACGCTCTCCGGAAGCAAGCCCTTTGCATTCAAAAGGCGAGTTTGCCAGCCGACGTGAGAGTCACGTAGCAATCCTGACGGTGCAAGGAGAATCAAAGACGAAAGCAGGCCGTGGAAATGTGACGCAAAAGCGGCAGTAATACCGCCGCCTAGTGAATAGCCGATAAGAGAAAATTTGCCCGATGATGAACCAGTCCAGGATAGCGGTGATGAAGCAAGAACGAGGAAAATCTGTGTAGCAAAGAGTCGATCATCTTGAGGGATATCGCCTGGAGTGTCGGAGAATCCTCTCCCGAATCTAAGCCGTTGTCAGCATGATTAGTCGTTCATATTTGATCCGAATGTGGGCGCATACAAATCATAAATCATAACGCGACATCCTCTATCTACCAAGGAATGGGCCAGACCTCCTAGCGAAACGCATGGAGTGGAGATGCCATGAACGAGCAGGACCTTGTGTCCATCTTCCGGTCCCCATTCGTACACTCGAATTGAACCATAAGGTGTCGAGACATCGCGCGCACCAGGAAGAACATCTAGAGGAAGCACAGGCAATTCTCCATCCTTGGTTATTGTAGCAGACTGAACAGCCTTTAGAGGCGACGGGATGATTTTAGGTGGTGATCTCTCAGATGCCCATATTGCGCCGAGAGCCAGTCCTACCGTAAGTGAGGCCCCTGCAACAGCTAAAACAGGTCGTTGACTTTGAGAATTTGTAAATGAATTGGTCACAAAGTCACCCGCTTGCTGGAAGAAAGCCAGCGCCATTTCAGCACACCTCAGCCTGATATTGAACGGTCAATTGAGGCGGGAGAAAAGACGGAGCACTCAGGGAGAACGGCATTGACAGCAAGGCAGTCGCGCTAACGACAAATTCGGCTAAGCAAGCCATTCGGATACCTCGGGAGTCGGCTCTGATGATTCCTTATCAGCCAATCAAATCCTGTTATATGCTTTTCGAGCTCAAATTCAGTTTCTATTGGTCATTTTCGTCATTCGTCGTACATGTCAGACACAAGCAGTATTGTACGGAGTATATTGCGCCTAAAAACGATCAGACCTGCAAATATACTATGTAGCGTATTCGTCGTATCAGACATAAGCAGGACTGTACGGAGATAGGAGTTACAAAATGTTAATAATGCTAAGGTCGGCTAATTAGTACTAGAAATATACTTTTGACTCCTACCTCCGTATATTACATGGAAATATGATCAGGCCTGCAAATATACTATATAATATATTTATTATATTAGATATAAGTAGAACTATACAGAGGTGGATGTCAAAAGTGTTAGTAATACTAAGATAGATCAATTAACACTAGAAATGTTCTTTTGACTCCCACCTCCGTATATGACACGGAAATACGATCAGACCTGCCAGTATACTATGTAGCATATTCGTCGTATCAGACACAAGCAGGACTGTACACAGCAGGGAGTCAAAAGTGTTGGCAGTGCCAAGATAGGCTAATTGGCACTAGAAATGTACTTTTGACTCCCACCTCCGTATATTACACGGATATACGATCAGACCTGCAAATATATCGTTTCAGATCGTAACGCAGTTACCAAGTCTAGATCGCTAGATCAAAAACGTCAAGAATCAAACCGTCTTTTGAGGCACAACTATAGACTCAAACTTCCATTAAGCTTTTACGATCCGTGTGGCCATGCATATCTGTCGTATTTCCGCTCAACCACGGCACCATGCTTTTGAAATTCCTCCGATCAGCGTTGTACTTAAGCATGATGCTGGCAGCTGAACGGTGGTCAATGTACCGCAAGCATCTCCATTATAAGTACCTCGTGAAAGTCTCCGGATTTAACAATGGGTTTCATTTGCGATTGCTTCTATAAAAGGAGACGGTGAGAGGAGTCCTCCTTAACGGATTTCGATCATCAACATCGGCATCTAAGTCTTACAACGGCGCACATTGGCAGAGATGGAATCAAGGGTCTGGTTAATTACGGGTTGCTCTTCGGGGTTTGGGTAGGAAGCTCTAGCGAAGATAAAACAGAACAATGTGGTTCTGACTATTCGCAGAGAGCAATTTGTTCGGCAGAATATTGCACGCGGTGACAAGGTGATTGCAACCGGCCGAAATGCGGCAACGAAACTGGAACACCTGAAAGAAACAGGCGCCGCAATTCTGGACTTAGATGTGACCATTCCCGAGGATGAAATATTTGCGAAAATCAAAGAAGCCCATCAAATATATGGGAGGATCGATGTGCTTGTCAACAACGCCGGGTATATCGAAAGTGGTGCCGTGGAAGATATATCGTGCGTACCTCTTTGCCGGACTTATTCGGACTTTGGGCACTGATGACCTCGTGCTATCATAGGCTCGATAGGGTGTATCGATCCCTAGAAACTAATTTTTTCGGGTCATTAAAAGTCACCAGAGCCGTCATTGGTATCATGCGGGAACAGAAGTCAGGTGTAGTGGGATTCATTGGATCTGTGGTGAGCAGCTCCTCCTTAAAGCATGTCATTCAATATACTTATAACCAATAGGGCGGATGGAAAGGGTACCCTGCATCTCTTGCCTATAGCCTCAGCAAATTCGCTTTAGAATGTGAGTAATGCAATATTAATTCTTGCAATCACTAGTTTTAACAATTTCCAGGTGTTGCAGAGAATCTACAGGTCGAATTCGCTGCATTATTTGAGAACTGTGTACGTTTCATTGTCTTTGAGCCAGGTTATTTTCGCACTCAAGTCTTTGCGCCCACAAACGTCGTACTGCAACCGGCCAATATACCAGCATACGAACCGTTTAACAAGGCATTGGCCGAAGGTTTAAGTCAAGTACACGGAAACGAACCCGGAGATTCGGTCAAAGGGGTTGCCCGTATGATCGACGTTCTGACTGGCACTGGTATGGCCGCAGGAAAGGAATTACCGCCACGTCTACCATTGGGCACTGACAGTCTACAAGCCATACGCGCCAAGTGTGAAGCCACATTGAAACTATGTGACGAGTGGGAGGATCTTATAAAAAGCACGGATGTGGCGGCGGAATCGAAGGAATAAGGAGGAGATTTATGCGAGATGATGACTCATCCGACCTGCATATGATATCTAGTTACTACTGCTTAGGGCTAGAGCTTATGACAGGGAATGAACCCATCGACAGATTCTAATTGCTTTTTTGCTTTCTCTCACAGAGAAACATTAGTGTCTGAATGGGTAGCTTTTGAAGTGTACCCTTCATCTATCCCTGCCTCAGACTCAGACTCGTGCTCAGTGGCCGTTGAGAGTGCCTTTCCAAATCTTCTAAACCTGCTGAGCAAGAAACCAGGGATCTCGGATTACATTCACGTAGGTGATTGTCTCTTGAAGATGGTGTTCAAGGCTATCTTCGAACACTATTGGAGGTTGACGAAATAGGTCATGTTACGCCTCAAGCAATTGCAGCCAAACGAGTAAAGTAATATGTACCTGAAAAATTGATTAACTTATCTATTTAATATAACTAGTAGCTTTCAATTCTCGCTACCTGACATCAATATGCAGACTAGCCCGGTTAGGCATCGGATCAGAAGGCCGTCTAGTTTTGTATAATCTTATCCCTATCGATGTCCCGGGGCATCTGAATCCGTGGGGCTATGTGATCGATCCATCTTTTAGTCGGGCACAGCCTCCCGCTAAGCCTAAGCCGATTTTTGTCATTTGAATCATTCGACTAATCGGCATCAATGCGACTGAGTCAACTAGTGAGGTTTCCTTGTCCTATGATGTCATAGCTGTAGACAGCAGGCCTTGCATAAGAAACTCAACTGAATTATGTGCATGATTATCGCCTATTCAAGCAATCATGGAAGTAACTAAATATTGTATCGTCACGAAATACTGTGGTCTTGTTATTACTAGTTTGCTATGTTGGGTATAAAAAGCCCTAACCTACCCCGGATCTGCTTGCTTATTTATTTGTTCTTGGCGGTACATTACCCGTGTCTAGATGATATATCGAAGTAATCTAAAAGATCTTCTATCGTCCATCTATTACCCACAGAATCTATACTGCCATTCAATATTACATCAAAATGACTAGGGACGCTATTGTGCTGAATCGTGATACCCCCCGTGCCGCTGGCCTACGAGACCCGGCCGTCTCGGTATGCCATTTTACCTTTGCATATGAGATAAATCGTGTGACTAACTACTACCCTGCTTGTGACGCTAGCCGGACACTAGCAGACAGCAAGAAGAGCATGAACACGAGCTCGGCTCCAAAGGGAAAGCCTGGCTAAAATGGGGAGCCAATTTGATGGGCGATACCGTTTTAGCTGCGTGGAGTAGCAAGACTTTTAGAACGCCTAAGGGAGGAGTCGATTATCGTGCGAAGGATTGAATTACGAGTGCCGATGGGAATGATATTGATTAACGACACTGGAGTGACCCAAAGTGAGCGATTAGCACGTCTCCAAGTCTATAGCATACTTTCTGCGGAGAGAAATAGATGCGCATTTGTATAGTACTATTTCCAATATCATACCGATACTATCTGCAGCTATCTTAAGACCTTAGAAAATCCCGATATTCTTTCTACGCCTCTTCCTGATGAGCACTTGCACCATTTTTTTCACTGGCAAAAGTCTTCGCAACCATCGACGACGGGTCTCCAACCTCTGCATCATCTCCATCAAAGACAATTGCAACTTGCTCAAGGCTGTAGCCTTTTGTTTCCGGATAGAAGAAGTATGCCGTAAATGCGAAAACGATCAGCACGGCAAGGAAGACAAAATAGTATTTCCATCCGATAGCGGCCAAAGCAATTGGGTTAACGAAAGTGTTAAAGAAGATTGCGAGAATTGTTGCAAGCCATGTAACAGTCAAACCACGAGACCGGAGGCGGAAAGTCCAGATTTCGCAGGGATAGGCGGTCAAAAAGGGCGTGCTGGAAAGAAAATTGTTGATTAGCTTTTGATCATATCGAGCCATTGTTAAGGCAAGAAAGAAAGGATGACTTACAGAGCAATATCATAACCAGCAAAGAAAATGAAGAGGAAGGGGATGACGGCAGCCCCGACACCTGAATTCCCCGAAGAATCGAAGGCACCTGAAAGACCGGTGACCAATACATAACTGATAAACATGATCGCAGCCGACAGCATGAAGAGGGGACGACGGCCGACTCTATCGGCCAAGAACCCAGCGACGATAGAGAAGATTAGATTCCACATCTGAAGGCAGGCAGAGATAAGGGTCTGATCTTTCACGCTCTTGACGCCGACACTATCAAGAATGAGAGCAAGATAGTAGGAGATGACGCCGTTTCCGGACCATTGAGCAAAGATACCTAGGGTAATTGAGCAAAATAGTCTGCGTCGGTTTCCGGGGGTCTTGATCATTTCCAAATAGCTAGAGCTGTCGTGGGCTTCTTGCTCGGCCTCGATTGCAGAGCTGATTTCAATCATTTCGTAATTTACTAGAGGAGACGAAATATCTCCGCCAGCATGGTAATTTGCAAGAATGTTGCGGGCTTCTTCCTTACGACCGACGGAAATCAGCCAACGGGGACTTTCTTCGGAGAACAGAAATCCGGGCAAGGCAAGCAATGGCACCAAAGCCTGCAAAAGCGATGGGAGTCTCCATGCCCAGGACGAAGAGTAGGTTCTTGTAGCAAACGTGACCCAGCCGGCCACAGAGCCACCGACGTACCATCCTGACATGAAAAGAGCATTCCATGTTCCGCGTTGTGTCGGATAGGCGATTTCGTTCAGCAGTAGAGGTGTCGTCGAGCCGAAGAAGGCGGAAGCACCACCGAGGAAAAGTCGAGCCATCATGAAAGCAATGTCGTTAGGAGCGGCGGTTTGTAGTGCAACACCGAGGATCAACAACGCGTAGCCGATGTACACTGCAGGCTTGCGGCCCCATTTATTTCCAATGAACGCACCACAAGGGTATCCAATGAAACATCCAACCCAGTAAATACCATTGAGCCATCCTAGCCAAGCTCCGGATGGATTGTTCATGAAGGTATTCCACTGAGATAGGGCCTGGAGACCGTTCATCAGGGAGCCGTCGAAGCCATTAGAGGACGAGAATAGGACAAGGGAAGACGCAATCAGGTTGAGGCGGACAAGATGACCTTTTTTGTACCATGCTTTGTGGTCAGCTGGGAGGAATTGCTCAAGTTCACCAGTCACATTTTCGTTTGTTGGGTTGTCTGGTTCGGTTGAGCCCATGTTTGCTGGTGGATTCTCTTCTTGCTAGGCTCTTGATGTATACAAAAATAAAGGCCAAAGAAGGCTGATGTCCTACAAATATATCAATAGATCAGACAGACACAGCGAGGGAACAGGGTTATTTATGTGGAGAGGAATGGGGAAAGAGATGGCTTCAAGTCGGCAAATGTCTGCATGTCACACTTTTCAATTCTGGTATGTAGACTCCATTGGGAACAAGAATCTTCGGAGTCAAATTGCTCCTCGGGTGATATTGCGTGAATTATTGCATTGCACTTCTCCCGATTTTCAGCATTAGAAGGCGTTCCGGATTTTCGGGCAGAAGACCGCAACGCACTCCACAGCATGTTGCTACTACTCCATATGGAGAGACACCACGGGGAAAGCTTGTGTAGTGAGTGGTAAGCAGCAATTGCACTAGTTTTCCTCATTAGAATGTAAGATCTAGCAAGGACAGGCGAATAAAGGACGGAGACTGGGAAGGAGAAACGGAGAAACGCAGAAAAGGGAAAAGGGAGAAAAGGAGAAAAGGCGCCACGAAGGTCCACCACAAAACGAGAAACGGAGAATGTGGGCGGAATCGAAAGATCCATACAAGAAGTATGGCAGTTTGTAGTAGCACTTTCCTTTCTCAAGTCCCTCAGATGTTTAATCATACAGTGTGTGGCCGTTCAATTGACCCTAGTCCCTTCTTCCACTGGTCTGGTCTAGCCCAGCGCGCAGATTTCATGACATCGAGTATCGGAGAAGCGGAGAAAATGTCCAAGTGGGCTAGCTATGTGGATGGAGACAATTTAGGCGAATCATACAAGCTGTGATCTATGATCATACGGATATACGTATACAAACTTGTTTGAAATGTCTCCTTTCCACATGAACCAAGAGCGGTGACATCCGAATGGCCTCTTATCGGCACTAAGAATTCATAGCTTGATTGGTTTTTCTCCATTTCTCCATCTTCTTTCAAGAGATCTTGCTGATGGAGTCTTGATGGACAGCTGGGAACGGAGAAATGCGTGGTTCATTCGGTCTTTACTCTGGAAAGTCATGACTGGCGCCGGTGAGAAGTTATCGATGATTAAGCAAGTGTACGATTAGACAAGAACCATATTATCTCCAAGAGTCCTTTGCAATTTTCACTTTTTCCTCCGTTCAACCTTTTCTCCTACCTCCAACATAGTATTGCATACTGCAGGCCAAGATGTCGGAGTCTGAGTCCCAGATCAGAATATGCGAGGATTTTTCTCAAATCGCACGTGCAAATATTGAATCTCTGTTGAAACAATTGAACATAGACGAGAAGATTGCCCTCCTATCTGGTAATTTATGATACACACTGCTCTTGGATTTCATGTGAAAGTGCTAATCCAACTTTTCTATTTCAAATAGGCAATGACTTTTGGCATACGGTGCCTATCAAACGACTAGGTATCCCATCCGTACGACTATCAGATGGACCAAACGGAGTCCGAGGCACACGCTTCTTCGGCAGCATACCCTCAGCTTGCCTTCCCTGCGGGACCGGAATCGGAGCAACATTCGACAAAGATTTGAGTCGTCAGATTGGACATCTCCTTGGCGATGAAGCGAAAGCAAAGGGAGCCCATGTTGTGTTGGGCCCGACAATCAACATCCCACGAGGCCCGTTAGGTGGTCGAGGCTTTGAGTCGTTTTCAGAGGACCCTTTACTTTCGGGAGTTATTGCTGGACATTATTGCCAGGGACTGAAAGATAAGAATATTATAGCGACGCCGAAACATTTCGTGTGCAATGACCAGGAGCACGAGAGAATGGCAGTCAACTCAATTGTCACTGACAGAGCAATGAGAGAGATCTATCTTTTGCCCTTTATGATTGCGATTAGGCTCGGAAAGCCAGAAGCTATTATGACTGCGTATAATAAGGTGAATGGCACACACGCGTCGGAAAGTCTGAGATTGATAGGAGATATATTACGAGGAGAGTGGGCTTGGGATGGTTTGGTCATGAGTGATTGGTAAGGTTTCGAATCGGCAACCAACGAAAATGTTTCCCATACTGATTGCGTGGCCTGTCCAGGTTCGGAACGTACAGCACTTCAGAAGCCATCGTGGCTGGTCTCGATCTCGAAATGCCCGGATCAACGAGATGGCGCGGCAGTGCACTGAACCATGCTGTAGCATCGAACAAAATATCCAAAAATGTATTGGACAGCCGCGTCCGCGAGGTTTTGAAACTGGTCCAAAGGGCTAGTAAATCAGGCATTGCCGAGAATGCCCCCGAGATAGAGCTCAACCGAGACGAAGATAAAAAGCTGTTGAGGAAAGTAGCCTCCGATGCAATTGTGCTTCTTAAAAATGCCGATGATGTCCTACCGTTGAATACGAACAAAAGAGTAGCCGTTATTGGACCTAATTCCAAAATCGCCGCCTATAGCGGAGGTGGCAGCGCAACTCTCAAACCATACGAAGCAGTCACTCCCTTCGATGGGATTGCGGGCTCGGCTTCCGCGGGAGTTGACTTTGCGCAGGGAGTCTATGCCCATCAACTTTTACCAGTAATAGGGAAGCAACTTCACAAGCAAGACGGTAGGATTGGGTTTACACTCAAATTTTTTAACGATGCACCTGGAAAACCCAATCGAGAGCTGCTTGAAGAACGCGATGAGACTGACTTCAGCCCGTTTTTCCTCGACTACAATCATCCTAACCTTCGTCCTATTTGGTACGCTGATGCAGAGGGTAACTTTACCCCTGATGAGTCTGGTATATATGACTTCGGTTTGTGTGTTCGAGGAACAGGGAAGCTTTATGTCGATGGAAAATTGCTTATAAACAATGCCGACGAGCAGCAGCCAGGATCAAGTTTCCTTGGAACTGGAACCGTAGAAGAGAAAGGAACCCTTAAACTGGAGGCAAGACAAACATACCGAATTCTTGTCGAGTGGGGTAGCGAAAAGACGAGCAAGATCAAAGTGCCTGGTGTAGTCTACTTCGGACATGGAGGCTTCAGATTGGGAGTTGCTCGACGGATCTCACCCGAGGAAGGAATTGAGGCGGCCGTGAAGCTAGCTTCAGAGACTGACCAGGTCGTACTTTTTGCTGGCTTGAGTTCTGAATGGGAATCAGAAGGTGAGGATCGACTAAGCATGAAATTACCACCTCATAGCGATGAGTTGATATCTCGTGTCCTTGATGCAAATTCCAACACAGTGGTTGTTATTCAGAGCGGCACACCGGTTGAAATGCCATGGATCGCAAAAGCCAAGTCTGTTGTTCAGGCATGGTATGGAGGAAACGAATGTGGACGTGCCATTGCTGATATAATATTCGGCGATACGAATCCGGTATGCTAAATGCCCCTTTAAATGTAAAACTTCGTCGAGCTAACCACAATTTCGGAAATAGTCTGGAAAGCTGCCGCTCACGTTTCCTCGAACGGTCAAACAAAATCCCACTTATCTGAACTACCGCTCTGAGGGAGGCCGTGTGCTGTATGGAGAGGATGTATACGTCGGTTATCGATATTATGACGAGCTAGAACTCGAGCCATTGTTCCCCTTCGGTCACGGTCTCTCATATACTACCTTTGAGCTGTCTTCGCTGGACTTGAAGAGAAGTTCCGAAACGGAGCTTGAGATAAACGTGTTTGTAAAGAACACGGGACCACGGGCTGGAGCAGAAGTAGTCCAGATTTATGTGGCTCCCGTATCGCCACCCATCAAGCGACCAGTAAAGGAACTCAAAGAGTTTGCTAAGGTATTCATTGAGGCAGGCAGTCAGAAACTCATCAAATTGAACCTGGAGTTGGTACGGGCAACCAGCTTCTGGGACGAAAAAGCTTCAAGCTGGCGCAGTGAGGCCGATACTTACAAAATACTGGTTGGGACTAGCAGCCGTGGAAAATTCTTGGAAGGCGACGTTGTGCTCAAAGAGACGACATATTGGTCGGGCCTATAAGTTGATATATATAGAGACCATAGACTTTTTTCCTTCTCTTTTTGCAGTCATGCCATTAGGCATTGTACATAGAGGAGTCTTCGACAGAAATGCTAGACGCTATTCACAGTCGTCGATATTCGGTCTGTATCAGCCCAAGTCTGCAAGTGTATAGAGTTGACACTCTCGCTCCTATCCAATCGGGAGAGAATAGAAGTAAATTGTTGTATGTATTCGGCAGCACGTCTTGCTTCCGGTTCGTCCTCTCGAAACGGACAAGCCAGAAAGCTGGCTGCAATGTCGCGCACTTTGTATGTTAGGTGCAAACCATTTGCCTCCATACTTAGTGGCGAGCTGCTGTTCAAAAGAAAGAAAAGCTGACGGGCAATGTCCTCTCTTTTAGACCATACCCATCGCCTCTTTGATATTAATGTTTCATTCTCTGTTGTTGAAGCCAGTTCGATTGAGACCTGCTGTAGTTGCGCAGTTTCTAATTGATCTAGGAGCAAACTTTGTAGCCAGAGATGGGTAGCATGTATGTTGACTCTCATGGAAGCATTTTGTGAGGACATTTTATGCCCAGAGGCCTCATCGTCAGCTGTATGTGCCCATGGCCGGAATACCATGGGAATATTCTCCAGGGAGAACTCCAGGCTGTGTAAGCGATGCTTCAGGTGAGAGATCTGAAGATTAACATCACGTGTACGGTCACATCGACACGGTAGACTTGGATTTGGACATTCATCTCGCACGGCGAGCCAAAACACTCGTGAGAGTAGATTGAAGCCCATCATCACACACGGCATTGCTGTATTCGACATAGCCACCTCATCTTCACTCACCATCTCATCGTCTACCTCACACGGTAAAAGATTGGTCAGGTTGATTGTATCCAACGTCTGAGAATCCAAGAAAGCAAGGCGGTTTCCGAATGAGTCTTGCAATTGACTATGTCTATAGATATGATTAGTGTCTGGGGGTTGTCTCCATGTTTATGTAGCGATATGATACACTTGTCGATCACTAGAGATAGCAATTACTTACACATAAGCGTAAAATACCAACCAGAACCCTCTCTTTCTAAGCTGTCGCTCAATACAGTTCAGACCATGGTAATCAGATGTCGTAGTGAATTTGAGAAGCCGAGCGATTTGCATCATTTCAACCTCCGCCATCCGTCCTTGGTTATGCTCGCCTATCTGACGCAATGAGGCATATGTCAAATACGAGACTGAAAACTTCTGAAAGTTGATTTCGTCAAACCAGTCACGAGTTCGTAGTCTTGCAAGCGTTTCAAAGCAGTGATATACCATGTCCTCACGAGACTTGAAAGGCAACGGCTCGCTATAAGCTCTGTAGTATTCGAATCGGCTTGGCATAGTTGCTACTACCAAGGATGCTAGGGCGATCAGTAAAGCTAAAAAGCCGGAATCCGTGAAATCCCGGTCTTGTTTGAGACTTTTCCGAAGTGACGGTATATGTACAATTGGTACGACTGGATACACAAGCTCCAGAAAGTCCTCGATTATAATCATGAAAAGCTCCCTGTTGCATATTATGTCGGTTGGGTACTGGTACCCTTCACTGATTCTGTAAATTGTAGAATCGAATGGCCACGCTCGAGATTCATTCAATCCATGCAAATTGACTTGTGAGGGCGATATACTCCCATGGCTTCTATTCGAAGGTACTTCCATTATCCGAACATGTCTAGTTGAGTGTCAGTATTTATGCTAGTACGTACTGATTTATTTTTTTTCTTACGGGCATACCTTTTCTTCGGCCCTCGCACCCTCGACGGAAGGCGAAAGGTACATTGAAGATCCAGTCTTCGACACCTACCACACCGTTCATGTGGTCTCTCTGCGTCCATACTGCACTTGACCTTCCTTCTACGGCATATGTCACATGCTTGCGTGGTCAAATTCCCCCGAAGGGCTGGCCGAGCATTGCTATATGACATGTTCGCGGCTCAAAGCAGTTACCTCTCAAAAAAAGGGTTCCACTGTGTAAACTTTCAAAAACCAAAGATGAATAGATATATGAGGGGAAATAAACTTCGTACATGGCGAAAATGGAAGGGACTGGATGGATGTTTGACTTGTTTGCATCGCATATCATTTATGCCTCAGGCGTACAAACTGGCAATGCGAATACTGAATAGTCTTGCAAGCCAGTCAAGCTGAGCACGTAAGAGTCTCAGCTACTGTTCATGCATTTGTACATTGCCAACTTTCATATAGTTTCGGCCTCGTGCACTGATGAGTATCAACTCAATTTAGGGGTTTTTATTACGTAGAAGGTCTAAATTTTGCCCTAACCCTCATTACCTTTTCGAGTTAGCGTATGGGGGTAGGTAAACTAAGGTGGCTGGTTGAAAGTCGAGAACTGTCCATATTCGCAAAGCAACCGGCTATGCTCAAAGCATTTCTTCAATCCGTTTCGTATTCAAACTCATCGCTTTCCAACATATCTTCACAAAAAGTACTTCATGTCTTTTGGCCGGTGTGCCATCTTCCAACGGTGAATCCTTTGCGGAGCGGAGAAGCTTAGCTCGGGTTTAGCTCCACCCTTGAGAAAAAATATCCCAATCTCTCAACTGCGATACAGGAGTGATAGAACAGCAGAATCTGAAATGAATTGAACAAAATGTATTACCACACTTACGAAACCGTGTGCACCCTGCCGCTCAAGGCAGATTTATTTGCCCAGGCTGTTCATCCTTCTCAGTCAATCCTGTCAGTAGGATTGACTTCGGGACATGTCGAAACGTTCCGTCTACCAGCGGCCGAGCATAGCGAAGACGAAGACGAAGATGGTGACGACGACGAGGATATCGAAGGAACTTCGCATTTGTCAGCAACGAACGGCAATGGCACGGGCCATATAGACACGATCTGGTCGACGCGCAGACACAAGGGGAGCTGTCGGTGTTTGACGTTCAGCATTGATGGCGAGACGCTCTATTCTGCTGGGACGGATGGGATCGTCAAGGCTGCAAAGGTTGAGACGGGAGTTGTCGAGAATAAGATTCTCATACCTCAGGCCAAGTCGAAGTAAGTGCAACCTCGTACGGTGGTGCACGAAAAAAGTCTAACATTTGATTTAGGAAGAAAGTAGTAAATGACGAAATCGACTCTCCTTCTTTGATCCACGCGCTCTCCCCCCAGAACCTACTATTGGCAACTGACTCGGGCGCTCTTCACGTCTACGATTTGCGTATTCCTTACTCTCGGGTCACCGCACTCCCTGAACAGACATACCGCCCTCACGACGACTACATTTCCTCCCTCACGGCGCTCCCGCCGTCCGACACAAGTACTTCTGGCTACAGTAAACAATGGGTTACGACTGGAGGCACTACTTTGGCCGCTACAGATCTGCGCAAAGGTATTCTCCGCAAGAGTGAAGATCAAGAGGAAGAATTGATCTCATCCGCTTACATCGGCGGTCTACCTACAACTGGCTCCAATGTTGGCGAGAAAGTCCTTGTTGGTAGCGGTACCGGTGTCTTGACATTGTGGGAGAAGGGAGTCTGGGATGACCAGGACGAGCGTATCTATGTTGCGCGTCAAAGCGGGGAAGGTGAAGCCTTGGAATCGCTAGCCGTTGTCCCATCGGACGCCGGGTATGGCAAGATGGTTGCTGTTGGTCAGTCCGATGGAGCGATATCTTTGGTGTCGATTGGCCGAAACAAGGTATTGTCCAAAGTGCAGCATGACGAGGTCGAAGGTGTCACCGCTCTCGGATTCGACGTCGAAGGACGCATGGTCAGTGGCGGTGGTCAGATTATCAAGGTCTGGAGCCCGAGTATCTACAATGAGGGATATTCCTTTGCCGGTAGCGTGAGAAAATTTGAAGGGCCGAGTGATGATCTTGACAGCGACGAGAGCTACGGTAGTGATGATAGCGATACCCTCAGGGAGAGAGCCCGACGCAAGAAGAGAAAGCGCGACAAGGGAAAGAAGCGCGACCGAGAAGTCATGGGTTTCGCGGACATGGATTGATCTTTCTCGAAGTGAAGATGATTATGCACAGCATGGCGTGGTGTTTGGGAGTCTTTAGAAATATGCAATCAACCATTGTATACTACCTGCAGGCAAATACTTTCATTTACTGGCACTGTTCTTAGTAGTTGACAGAATCATCATGGTCATATATGGACATATCAAGACTGATCGAATCGTGTCCGGCAATTATCATAACTAGGAAAAAAATAAGAACATTGAACCACCCGGAAAGCACATCGGAAAAGGTACCGGGAAGCATTTACTCTGGTTAAAACCTTAGCCGACGCTTGGAGATGGATTGGCGAATTCAAAACATGACAAAGGATTACAAAACCTCCCCGACGGGGTTGTGGGGGAAAAAGCGACATGTGGGGTGTAGCTTCATGAAATACTGGTCTTCTATCCATGATGGAAAATTCTCAATTCTTTCTCCCTAATTAAACCTGATCAATGCGTCCAGGCATATCCAGTCGACTCTTCCAAGGCATCAGAGACTACCATACTAGATCTAGCATCATGGACTCCTTCGTATACAACGCCAACCCTGGACGGGTCGTCTTCGGTTCAGGGACCTTGAAACAACTCCCAGAGGAAGTCTCACGACTTAATCTCGCTGCTCCTCTCCTCCTATCCACCCCTCAACAAGTCAACCAAGCCGAGCAGCTTAAGCAAATCCTCAATGGCAAGATCGCAGGCATTTTCACCGAAGCTACGATGCATACCCCCACCGACGTCACGGAAAAAGCTTTACAATACGCCAAAGAAATAAAAGCAGATGCAGTCGTCTCAATTGGTGGTGGAAGTACCATTGGCTTGGGTAAAGCGATTAGTATCCGCACTGGACTGCCGCATATTTGCATTCCTACGACGTATGCGGGCAGTGAGATGACGCCTATTCTGGGCGAGACGGCGGATGGAGTGAAGAAGACAAGATCCGATCCGAAGATTCTCCCCGGGACGGTGATTTACGATGTCGATTTGACCATGACCCTCCCCGCAGCTATGAGTGCGACCAGTGGAGTTAACGCTATTGCTCATGCTGGTGCGTATAATTACCTATTTCAAGCATGAATACATACTGACGATTCCTACAGTGGAAGCACTTTATGCACGCAATACTAACCCTATTATCAACCTCCTCGCCCTAGAAGGCACCAAAGCCCTAGCATCATCCCTCCCGGAAATAGTGGAGAATCCCTCTTCGCCCTCAGCACGCTCGCAAGCTCTCTATGGCGCCTGGCTATGCGGTACCTGCCTAGGCAGCGTCGGGATGTCCATTCATCATAAACTCTGCCACACGCTAGGAGGAAGTTTCAATCTCCCACACGCCGAAACGCATACCGCCGTGCTACCGCACGCCATTTCATACAACGCGCCCCGTATTCCCGAGGCAATGACTAAACTGGCTGAGGCTTTGCCTGAAAGTAATGGAGACGCTATCCACGGTCTGAATGTGCTTCTGTCAAAGCTCAAGGTCAAGAGGGGACTAAAGGACTTTGGCATGAAGGAGGAGGATATTGATAAAGCGGCCGACATTGCAGTTAGCAACCCTTACTGGAACCCGCGGGAGATTGAGAGAGCGCCTATCCGCGAGTTGATTCGTAGGGTGTGGGCTGGAGAGCCGGCAAGGGCCGATTTGTAGATCAATGTTATCGATTCAATGAAATATGCGATAATGTATGAAATACAGCGAAGAGATATTACATGACTTGAGGCGTTAGAATTGTATGCAAATTCGAGGTGGGGCTAGACCCGCAGTGCATTTTGCCCATCAAAAAATTTCTAGACGAACTCTACCCCGCCATCACAACTTAGCAACAGTTTGCACATAAAATAGGGACACTGCAGATATATTGTGTATCTTACCTTCGATATGGCGTCAGCTCCGATTCTGTCTACGCCAGATACACATCTGCTGGAAGCCACAGAGCCTGTGGCTAGACCGAGCGAGTCGGGAATTGTCCGTTCCGACGACGAACTCTCCATCATCTATGATATTGAACGAACACTTGCTGAAATTCGCCAATCTCGATGGAAACGCATCGCACTCCAGTTTCCGGATGATATGCTCCCGGATGCTCCACGAGTATTCCAGCTTTTGACGCGGGGGCTGCAGACGAAGAATGCGAACACAGTCACGCAAACTTCGAATACGATTTCAGAGACGACACTCGCCGAAAAGACCTCCCAATTAGAGTTGGAAGACGACAACTCGCTCGACGAACTGCAACGGAGATTCTATATCCTGGCGGACACTTCTTATGGCACATGCTGTGTTGACGAGGTTGCTGCAGAGCATGTCGATGCTGATGCTGTTGTACACTACGGACGGGCCTGTCTATCCCCGACTTCGCGATTACCTGTGATATACGTGTTTACACACCGACAATTACCGATCGAGCCGCTCGTCAAAGCGTTCAAGAGTACCTATAACGACCCTACCGCAAAGATCATCATTACCGCCGACGTGACCTATACGGATCATGTGCAAGATGTCCACGATCGACTTGTACAGGAAGGATATACAAACCTTTTCGCCGCACATGTATTGCACAACCCTGCATCTGCCATTCCTAATCGCACCGTCCCGAAATCCGTCGAAGAGAATCCGGATACATTGAGCGAGTGGGAATTGTTTCATATTTCTGATCCGCCTACCGCGCTTCTACTTACCCTTTCATCGAAAGTTGCGGCCATACATATATATCCGACGGAGAATATCGAGTCTGAAGAGAACGTCCAACCACTGCAAGCTTCTACCACAGCCGCATTGCGTCGTCGATATGGTGTTTTAGTTTCGCTGAGCACTGCGCCTATATTTGGCATTCTTGTTAATACACTGAGCGTCAAGAATTACCTTCATATTGTTGATCATGTGAGGAAACAGATTGCAGCTTCCGGTAAAAAAAGTTATATGTTTGTCGTTGGTAAGCTCAATGCTGCTAAGGTAGCTAACTTCAGCGAGATCGAAGGATGGGTTGTGATTGGGTGCTGGGAGAGTTCTTTAGTGGATAGTAAGGACTTTTGGAAACCTGTCATCACGCCCTATGAGCTTGAGCTCGCCCTACAAAGCGATGATACCCGTGTGTGGACGGGTGCGTGGAGAAGCGACTATCAGGCAGTGCTGGATGCTTCCACAGTCGCACCAAATGCGATCGCAGAGACAAGCGAAAAAGATGACGGCGATGACGGCTCGGAACCCGAATCCGCTCCTCCAGAATTCGACTTCAGAACCGGTCAATTTGTCACCACCTCCCGCCCCATGCAGTACATGAGCAACGGCAGCAATGGACGCGCAGGGGGAAACAGTACAGCTTTGGCGAAACGAGCGAAGGGTGACCTAGCTATGATTGGTAACACAATATCTCCCGGAGCGGAATTCTTGCGCTCGCAAAGGACGTGGAAGGGCCTTGGAAGTGACTTTGAGATCAAGTATGAGGAAGACGACGAGGTCGGCGGTTCCGCTGTTGTCGAAGGGCGCAGGGGCATCGCAAGGGGGTATGTGGTCGGCGACGCTTCCGATCGGCATTAATCGATGGCGTTGCAGTAGATATTGGCACATGGTGTAGATATCAATGCATGTTGAATGTATATACGTGGTGCAATGCAATCAAGATACACAGTTATGTCGTGTATGTTGAAGGTAACCTTGTATGCAAGATCAGATGGTCGTTGGTGCAAACAAACATGAAACGTCACATGACTTCATACCGAATCAGGATCCAATGGACCAATAATTCCCCACAGGCCCGCAAATCATCCCAAGTCTCCTCTTAGTCTCCTGCTCTTAGACCGCAGAGCAGGTCGTGGACAGCCTATGACCACTGCTCCTCCTCCTCGACCATCACCCCTCGTATAATTGTCGACAATAATTCCTCCCTGCCAGATGGCTGTCTTTGTTTCGCTGCTCTCCTTCCAAAATCCGTTTTGAAACCGCGGTCATCTCCTTCCGTTTCCCCCGATAATGCTGGCCGACGCACCCATCTCACTCTCCGAGCATCGATCACCTCCTTTAGCTCAGCAGTATGACTCTTGAAGTCGGGAGCAACGATTTCAAGCATTCACAATTTGAGAGCGTGATAATGGAGAAATCTCTCCCAATGGACTCGCATATCGAAGTAGATGACGATGCTACTTCCATCTCAGCCTCGTCCGACATACAACTATCGACGTTTGAACGAGTACTCTCGACACACGCTCCCATATTTGAGTCGCTCTTACTACAGATTCCTACAGAAACCATCTTTCAACTATACCATACCTCCTCCTACCTCCGCAATTTCCTACAAAACTACCCAACAGCATGGAAATTCTTATCCTTTCGCTTACTCTTCCCATCTGGCTCTCAGAATCGGCCACTGTTGATGGGAAGTCCCGATCCTGCTGCGTCTCGCCAGTCACGACCCTACGCTTTGGACCAGCTCTTGATGCTGGTTGTCATTCCGATTAGTCCTTGTTTGAAAAGCCTGGAGCTCGACAATACCGCTGTGTCGGGACAAATACTCATATCTACAGTACTTCACTCCCGACGAGAGACATTAGAACATCTATCTGTGCGGGGTTGCAAAAATGTGTCTCTCAAGTACCACATTATCCCATATTTGACGATGTATGGGTTGCAATTTGATGTTGACATGGGAAATACCACCAGCAGTTCCGTGACCAAACAGAAACTCGCCTTGAAAAGCCTCTACACTTATCGTTGTCGGCATCACCGACGTCGTCCGTATCTCGGGTCCTCACTAGCACGTCGTGACTCAGACGCAGAGCCTACACACGAACTCGTCAATCTGTGTCACAAACTGGGAATATGGACTGATACCGCCTGGTGTACTAGCCCTGCAGGCCGATGTTTTAGACGACGTGGGTATGTATCTATGAGAGTTCCACATGGCGCTCCTGAAGTCTGGGTTGTATTCGACCGTCTATGGAGGTCAAAGAACTGGCTTGGCCCGATGAATTCAAGAGCTGAACAAGATAAGAGAAAGGATGGGAGACTTTGGGAACAAGAAGAAACAGGATACCATGGCGAAGCCCTAGGCACGGAAGACCGGTCTGCTTTTGGGGATGGGAAATTCGTTCCGGCTCATCTACGACACAGCCACAGGTTGTTTGTTGAGGATACCAAGTGCGATAATTGCTTGGAGCCAATAGGCGAGCGATGTGAGCAATGCAGCGTCATCATGCATTGTGTTGGCTGTCGGAAAACACTGTGTGCAAGCTGTGCCTACAGCTATCCTTATGTCCAAAATCAGGTTACGTGGGCACAATCGCCATTGACACACATGACCAATCCCCTCTGGTGGGCGCCGAATGCTACGATTTCACCTTGTAACATGCATGATCCAGCACCAGATGCAAATGTCGATAATTTGCCGAACCCTGCGACTACCGTTCAGTACCCGAATCTGAAGTTTCACTGGTGCTGCACAGAACCGATCTTTTCGGGTGGTGGAGGTATTAGCATTGGAACGACTACACGAGATGTGGATGTGGTTCGAGCGGCACCTTTACCGAAAGGTCGTGGATGGGAAGATTCGGAATTTGTGGGCTGTGCATCTAACAATCAGAGCACAGAAAACTTACTAGAAACAAGCACTTCGGAAGGACTACACCAACTTATTGGGCCACCAGGCCGCCAGATATCATCCTGCCCTCGCAATCTATGCAATGACTGCTATGATTCACCTCAGTGGAAGGTACACTGCAAGAGCTGTTCAAAGCCGCTTTGCAAAGAACACGACCTTCGAGGATTACGTCTACGGATCTGTGGGTATAAAGAACTTGCTGTTGAGAAGGCCGCCTTGCAGTCGCAACCGCCTTCTACTGTCCGAATGAACAATACCAATCCGCCAAGTCAACCTGGACCGTCACTATTCAGGCCTCGTATTAATACAGCTGCTGCGTTCATATCGCAGTTACAATCACAAGGACCGACCCCGAATATGGACCGAGATTCTCCTTCGGCTTCGAGCAGTGTGGCTGGAGATAATGTCGGACAAGGAGTTGGCGAAATGCATCCAGCAGTTCTCCAAGATTTCATCCGTGCCCGCGGACATGTGGGAGAAGGTATGGCAGCAGGACGGCGCGCAGGTCGCAGCCGATCTCCAACCTATTCAAGCCTATCTCGATCATCTTCCCGCTCTTCAGTCTATTATGACGCTGCTGCTGAAATCACCAAGTGGCAAGGATGTCGGTCGTACTTTTGCCCGCAATATAGGCCCTTAGGAGACCAACGCCAGCGCTGCCCTAGTGTACTACGCGAGTGCACAAACTGCTCGATTAACGTGTGTCAAGACTGCGTGAACACCAATCCGCCCTGCTCGTGCTCTTATTGTGAGGTCAACTACCTCTGTCCAAACTGCCTAAAAATCAGAGAGGAAGACGGTACATGCCGACGTGTAGAGGAAGAAAAAGCGAGAAAGGAAGAGAAATGGAAACGAGACATGGAGATGTTGGAGGACATCCTGGAAAGGAAAATTGCCAACGAGGTCGCCGAGTTTGCTGGTGAATTTCTAGATCTTATCTCCGATGGCATGCGTACAAATCTGCTGAGTGACTTCCAGCGTTCGTTGGAGCAAATGTCTGCCCTGACTCAGGGGAATCTACAGTCGCCGCATCCTCTTTTGCGGCTACCACAGCAAGTACCGCAGGCAGGCTTACTGCAGACACATGATGGAGGTGAAGTTGAGCACGATCGATTCCCATTCGATCAGAACAACTCAGATGAAGATATGATTAATGACGAGGCCATTACTCCTATTGCAGACTGATTATCCTCGCTTGAAATCATCTGAGGGTAGTCATCGCCATCTCTTCAACTCTTTATCCATTGCATCCAGGCGCAAACGCGGTTCCGGCATAGAAGGGTAGGGCAAGGTTTAATTCAACAAAACAAGCAAGCATTTATTTCTTTCCAAATTTGTTTCACTGAGGGGATCATCACGGCTATACATGCAAGGAAGGCGTTTACTCAGGTAATACCATGGTTATTCATATTCCCGGGCTATGTGCTTTTGCATTTTCGAGATTGTTTTTCTTTTATGGATACCATTGTTCTATTCGAGAACTATTTGCTAGTGACATTAATCAATATATTCCATCCCTCGAAATTATGATCTTGTGGCCCAATATCCGTATGTTCATGATATACACATCTAATCATACATACATAATATACACGTATCACTACCTATGTTCAAGTCAATTCAGCGCCTCTTCGCTTCTATCCTAGCACCACGTCCCCTCAGTACAGGCTCAGACACAACCCCAAGAACCTCCAACCCTTTCAACCCAACCACAACACCCAACCCAATCACGCATGCAACCGTTAATCCATGAACAGCCCACCAGATATGCTGCACTCCAGCCGGACACATCTGTATTTCGTAGCGCCACTGGTTCACCTCCGGATTCGTGTCGAACCATATCGATAACAGGGCTGCGTTGCCACCGTATTCACCCATCATTGAGCGCAGAGTTACTTCCCGGATTGAGGGATCTGTAGATTCTGTAGTTGGAGAAGATGATGGCGAGTAACGACTCGCATCCCACTGCCATGATCTGGTGTGTTCTTGTCCTTCTGACTCTGAATGGTCTGATGGGGGTGTTTCGTGGTGATTTCGCCTGACGAAATGCACAACATCACACCCCTCATGATCATGTCCCGTCAGAATCAACCCCCGTCTCCCTTTACCCGCGACAGGTGCGGCGCTATCTCCACTCATACCAAATATTCCTTGCAGAATCGCATTTGTGCTGACGTGTTCACTCAAGTGGTTCTGTTCCCGGAGCCCGTCTTTCCGCCATCGAAGCGGATCATTTTCATTATCGGGCGTATCATCCTCGTCGAAGAATGTGAAATACGGTTCGTCAACGCAGATGCCATCGCGTTTGTGAAGGGGGACGTGTGTTAGTAGGAGAGTGAATGAAGTTTGGTCTTCGACGGGGTAGGAGCGGTGAGTGAGGAGGTCGTTGACATATGTATAGCTATCGGACTGGATGGATGGATCCAATGGAGGGCCGTCAAGGGTCAGATCATTCAAATTGATGATGTGGAGAGTAGGTCGTGTATCGCTTTTATTCGTCAAAGGAGGATGCGCAAATCTGATATCCCAGTTCGCGCGACCAAATATTCGCTCGAAACGTTCTAGTCGTGCTCGCGAAACGTCGCCTGCATATCCGATGTCATGGTTTCCGGCAATGTTGATTATCCTTTTGGACCAGGAAGAGTTATAACGTTGCAAAATCTCCAATTCTTCCTCCTTGCTACCCTCTCCGTAAGACTTTTCTCCTGTGATGGTAATATTATCATCAACTCTCTGCCCGCCGCGAAACACGCGCTCCCAAAATCTCCAGCCGCGATTTTCGAATTCTTCATCCGTCACCCATTGACTACCAATTAAATCCCCCAGTACAGTGACATGCGTCGGCCGACTCCACCACGACAATGTCCTATAGATATGTGCAAGATAATAATCATTCCCTAGTAGATCGAGCCGTTTCCTAGCCGCACGAAAAGCGAAGGGTATATCCTCTAAAAATATCGTTTGTGCGGTATCTTTGATATTAGTAGCAGCGTCCGGCGTAGACAGGAAAGCCTGGACATTCTCCCAATGCCGACTTAATCGTGGTATAAATTCATCGTCCGGCGAAGGAAGAGAACTATCGCCTTCAATCTGCGGATCGGCAAGAACTAGTAAACGGAATAAAGCTGCTTCGTCCCTCTCTCCATTCGCAGTCAAATTCCAATCGGCCGCATGCTGATAGAGAGTGTTTATAACGCTATTGGACAACCAAGATCCTTCGCGCGTCTGTTCATCGGCTGCGGTGACGACCGCTAGAGGAAACGCGCATCCCTGGAGCACGGGATATAGATAGAGCCAAAGCGCCGATGAGACGGAGAGAGGTATCAGGACGGTGAAGAGGATTTTCTGGAGTACGGTGCGAAGGGACATTGAGTCGAAGTTTTGGTAGCGAACGTCATGAATTGGATTCGTTAAATGTTCAATGCTGGAATATATATATATATATAGAAGAAGATTCAGAAATTTAAAGAACAAGAAAATGAGGATTCGAAACAAGAAGCGTGCATTGCTGCGCTCTTGTTCGATATTATGAAATGTTTTGAAGGTCGAGTTCCGCGATTAATCAATCTCTGCAAAGAAATGAGCTCCTCCGTTTTAGCCCTAACCCTAAGGGGTCAATCGTAACTACTAGGTCATTAAAACTTGTCTAGATATGGTTTCATTATTTGTTACAACACTTAAATCTGTTGAGTAATAAGGCTATAGTATACTACTTTTTTTGGCCATATAAGGAATGATCCAAGTACATATGTATCTGAGCACTGGCACAGCCTATCAGAATATTGATACAACGACAACCCTCGGAGAAGAAGTCTCCAACATTTGATTCTAGTAGGTATGTAAGCTGAAGTAATCCAGTTCACATAGTCAGAGCCAACTAAGTTTTTGGTAATTTCTATTAGAGCTGTTGTCACCATAAGGGTCTCAACGTTCGTGAGAAAAAGAAACATGCAGAGGCTGTAAAAATATTGGAAGTTATTACAACGATATTCAAATGCCAAATAAACGATGATCAGGAGATAATGACATAGCGTCTCCATCCAGTCCTCTTATGCATACTCTAAAAGAGTGGATGGGCTGCTTTCGTCTCGTTATTGACGTGCATTTCAGCGTTCGGCGTCTGGCGTCTTCTGTTTCGTTTGACAACGTCACTATTCCGGAGCTAGGGAACTGGGAAGTGATGGAATTTCCCGGTGCTTACCCGCTCCATAATATCTCCTAATTGTGAGTCATTTATCAATAGCAGTGATCAATACTGGCAAGGACTTGAAGGTCTGAAACGGCTGAAAAGGCTGGCATTTATAGACAGGGGCTTCGTCTGGACATGATGCTTGTACGACAAGTAGCGTTGGTCACATTTCGGTCTATATTCGATTGGATAGGTCCTAGGTACAACAATGAAATGAAATAAATACATGGTACCAGACACGTTGCTGCCTTGAAAGCTATGCACCGCGTATCTTTATCATGTATTCATTAGGTATCTATATGTAGTGTTTTCAGGGCTTTTTCTTCTCCTACCATGCCATCTTCCAAAGATGCTGCGCACTGGAATCAGTAATTGCAAGTCTTGAAAATCATAGCCCCCAGTATCATCTACCATGGCTTCCAAACTCCAGCTCGAGGGCGGCATTGCCCTAGTAACCGGCGTAAGGGTCTTCACTTCAAGGAAAATTCAAAAGCTTCGAGGCTTACATGCTAACGACTGTCTCATCGCCTGATAGGCTGCCGCGGGAATAGGCAAGGAGACAGCTCTGGCCTTCACAGAAGCTGGCGCAGAAGGCGTTGTACTGGTTGATTTGAATGGTGCCAGCGCAGTCATCGAAGAAATTACAAAGTTCGCTAAGAATGAGAAGTTCTATGCCATTGCAGTGCAGGTAGATGTCTCAGATGAAGATTCCGTAAGGGCCATGGTCGATACAGCCGTCAAGGAATTTGGGCGAATTGATTACTGCGTTCATTGCGCTGGGGTAAGTTCCTGTCTCTTACCTCTGTTATAAACGACGAGATATAAAAGCACGATGCTGATCTGGCTGCCTGTACAGATGGGCAATATCTCAGGCGCTACAACCGAATACCTCAAGACTGAGGTCTTTGACAAAACAGTCGCCGTGAACATCCGGGGTACCATGCTCGTTGTCTCAACCGTTTCAAAGGCCATGGCTAGTCAGGAGCCCCGCACGTGTCAAAATCCAAGCGCTCGAAACCTAACAGCGACTCGTGATCTTGGTCGTGGTAGTATCGTAACTCTGGCTTCAGTCAACGCGTTCGTTCCAGCGCCCGGAATGATGTCGTACACATCTTCGAAACATGCGGTGATTGGAATTACGAAGACGGCTGGTAAGAGGCTCAATCATTGATCTGCTTGGAAGATCCAACACTAACTCACAGATCTGAACAGCACTGGATAATATCAAAAACCACATCCGCGTAAACGCCGTCTGCCCCTCCTGGACAAATACCCCAATGATGCAAGCCAGCTTGCAGCGAATTCCGCAGCTAGGACAGACTATTCGGAAACTGTCGCCGCTGGGAAGGGCAGCTTCGCCAGACGAAGTGGTAGACTATATCATGTTCTTGTGTAGTCCATCGGCGAGTTATATCAATGGCTCGTGCCTTGTGATTGATGCTGGGTTGACGTTGACAGCGCATGGAGCTGCGAGTCTTTGACTGTACGAGCAACTGTTCGTCAAATATCGATATCATGCGATAAGATCGGTCTATTTGTTCTTTATATACTTAATATCGTTCTCGACACTCCAGAACCCATATCTTAGATCCTCGAGCTGGAAGGGTAAATTGGCCGTATCCGGCTGTCTGGGCATGCCGAGGTACTGAAGATCGTTGTTAGATCTGGAATGATAGACACAAATTCAGTGATTTATCTCAACCATTATCACTACCTAAATCTCACATAAAAGTCGCAAACGTTGATTTCCTCATATTCCCTCGTACGTCCGTACAAAGTAATTAAACAATAAATGTATGATCAAGTAGAAAGGTGGTAATTCGAGCGGAAGGGGGGTATATGTGAAAGGATCAGGAAAAAGAAAGTAAACGCTGAAGAAAGAAAATCGAAAAGAGAAATAGATATTCCGCGCCATATGTATTTTCCTATCGTCGTATGTGACGGCATGCTGGGTAGCAGTGATCGCCGGGTTGATAGACAGTTGTGAAAAAAAAAAAAAAAAGTAAGAATTGGAAGCTGAGAAAAGCATCATAAGAGTTCAACAGGCTGATTCGGGTCATGACGATTCAGCTCACGAAAGGAAGGATTCTGAAGGTCGTGATAAGATGTCGTCTGTAGGAATTGCCGATATATCTTCCCCTCGGCTAGCGTCAGTGTCACCCTCATTGACAAGACCGTTGCCATCATGAGAAGAACCATTGCTATTCGTTTTGTCAAGATTCAGTCCTTGAATCTTCAACCCCCCATCATCAGCGTCTTGTTCGCCCGTCACTTCTCCCACTTCTTTGTTCTGAGGGATGGGCGGTTCTGGCTCCATCAAGGCGGGAGGTCGCTGATTCATCATCCGTGCCTGCTTCAAGCTGATGGTCTTTTGCTTGTTGGTGGTCTCCACAGGCCGACTCAAGTCGCGATCAATAGTCGCTTTCATCAAGGCAGCCATCCAAAGACGTCCTTCTTGAACACTGTCAACTTGAAAATAATGGATCGTGGGTCGTGTGAATTGCACGGTTCGCGATGTACCGCTCTTGGGAGGCACTAGCTTGAAGATGAAAGGTCCATCAGATGACTTCGGAGAACCAGCAGCATCGAATGCTTTGTCCATCGGAGATTTGATTGAGCCCTCTGGCGAGGTAGGAGAAGCTTTCGCTCCAGTGATTGTCGCGTGAAGGGCAGTCAGCGGATCATTGTCAGCACGTAAGACACGATGCGCAGTTATATCAATAAGACCACGTTCCTCTGTATCATTTTCTGAATAGTAATAAGACAGACGTCGGCCACGCAAGACGAACAAGCGTGGCTTCCAGGTCGTCATCAAGTTTGCCGAACGTTTCTTCATCCAACCGCTGTACTCGCAGCCCACCATTTGTTCCTGGGGGCTCTTCTTCTCCAAGCCACGCATGTAGGCGCTAGTGTGCTTCTTGGTTTTGCTGCCCGTCTTCGACGCGACTCTTGGGACAGGGAAAGGCACGATGCCGTCGACGGCTTTGCCCGAACCGTCTGTACTGTGGCGCTCGGAGCTCTTGGAGGTTGCCGATGGTGTCGTAGAACCAGTCCTACCAAGTCCGAATGGAGTAAAATCTCTGATGGGCGATATTGGTGGCGTTGCTTCTTGGGCATTCAGCGCTCCACTGGTGCTGTCTGACGTTGTGCGAAGCCCGACAGCACGGCGGAATCTGGGCCCGACGTTTCGAATGCCGGAGAACGGTAATGGGGAGGAACGACCAGTTGTTTCCATATCATTTCTTCCAGCAAAGGGTGAAAATGAAGGAGGTGTGCCGCCGATTTTTCCATCCAACGATGCCATAGCAGGATGCCCAGAAGCGGGATCTGCAACCTGACCTCCGGCGCTTCGAACTCGGCCTTTCATGGAACCGCCGTGATAGCCCTTGGAAGCCACTGACACTCGGGACGTCGAATTCTGTATAGAATCAGTGCTCCCAATACTTCCAAAGCGAGAGTGTCGGCGAGTGGACTTTTCATCCACGTAGCTGGACTTTCTTGAATGGCTGACGCTTCCAGCACCTGATTCGCGCTTCCGTAACAATTTGCGAGTTCGACGAGTCTCCACTTCTCCGCCAGAAAAGTAGCCACGGTCAAGGCTCTCGTAAGGCACTCCAATACGTGGAGAGTCCTCCTGTGATGTGTCAGCCTTGTCCAGAAAGTTCTGCTGAAGCACAATGTCCTCGTCTGTTGCTTCAGCGGCAGTCCCAGGTCGACTGGCAAAAGGTGGATTTCCATTTATCATGGTCCATGAGCGATCAAATGATCCCTTCTTATTATGGGCAGCGGCAGCTTGACTGAGGTTGGGGGATGAATCCATTGATGAGTGACGGCGAGTATGGTTAAATTCACGGATTGAAGCTGCTGAAGGACGCCCAACTAGTTCTCGACCCATCGTAGCAGTCGATGGCGAACTAGGACTGCCTTGGAGCAACGTCGACATGCGTCGAGGTGGTATTATCGCGGTACTGGGTCGCTTGTCGCCAGAAAGACTCGGAATTCGGGGTAGGAAAGTCGAGTTTTGCGCGGCGCGGCTGGAGGATCGCTCTGGTTCGTCTACTGGATAGTAGCTAGATATGGAACCTGACTGGGGCTGCTGGATGCCTTTGACTTCTTCTTGAAGAGCTTTGATTTTATGCCAAGTTTTCAGCCTCCGTCCCATGACGCCAAAATCGAATTCTTTCATCAGCAGAAATTCTTGGCCCATTTCCAGCAGCACATCACCAGTAATCTCTTGTTCTTGGAAAATATCGCAGTGATGTGCATCAACACCTAGACCGCGTAAGTAGCGAGCCGTCTCGAGGTGGTCCCATCTGCGAACTTCGTCCTCCGTGAGATGGCCTCCTTCTTCCTCGTCGGTTTCATGACCGTTGATGTATGATAGGCGATGTCCAACATGGCTGCTATATTCGCTTCCTGAATCAGTGACAGCTTTGGATTCTTGTGTTACACTGTGACGAGGAGTGTTAAGGTCGGTGATATGTTCGTCGATCACACTGAGCGTTTCGTTCATCACAGGAGAGTCGCCGCCATTCAAATGGTTACCAAAAGTCTGGCTGATTGTGCGCTGAATGCTGGTCGCAAGCGAGGGTGATGATGGAAGAGGACTTGAAGTTGAACGTTGAGGTTGTTTGAGGACTGGGGACGCGACTTCCTCCATGCTATCCAGATTCAGATCCGGAGCCTCGGCAGCGCTAACACGCCTTGAAGCCTGCGGGGTTGTTTCGCCTTTTCCTTCAAACTCGATCGGTGAGGCACTGATTCCTTCCGCGCTGATGCCTCCAGCACTATCAGTGGTACTGGCGGTCTCGGAAGCACTCGACGAGGCGGTTGCCGGTCGTCGCACGTTCAATCTCGGGGGGAGGGTAGTGTAAACTGGGCAAAAAGTCAGTCCAAAAGTGTCGCGCAATGTAGCCTCGAGCAAAGATGAGTTGTAAGTACCTCCTGGAAATAGACCGGTCTTGCCTGTCGCTGTATGCTTCCCCAAATACCATCCGTCGCCGAAGCCCTCGTCCAATTCGACCAATTGGACCTTCTCACCACGTCGCAAAGTGAGTTCGTCTTCTCCACGAGCATCAAAATTATCTATAAAAATAAGAAAACGGTCGTTCAGCAATGCCATAATATCCAACGATTTTCTGTGTCAGGTACGTACGGATCACAAGTAGAAGATCGCCGGGCTGAGCCTGGCGAGATAGAGGTGTCTGGGCCATGGCGGAGACCTTGTGCCAACGGAGGACGAGGTCAGTCTACCACGATCTGTCGGATCAATGCTTGATGAGTCGCACAGCAGCCACAATTCGAGTGGAAGGAATGAGGAGCGACATGGAGCAAAAGCAGGGAATCGACAGCCGGGTTCGGACACAGAGGCGATGGGTGGTGGATGTGGTGTGTTCGACGCGGCAGAAGAAAAGGTTACTTTGGGAGTTTGGACGGTTCCGAAGGCGGTGGCGCTGGAGGTATTGACAGAAACAGCAAGCTGCACACACTGAACGCGGGGCTGCCGATGCGCACCAGGTATGTGCTCCAGATGATATGGATGCAAACAAGTCCTAGGAAAGACAAAAATAAAACAAAAGCGTCCGGTATGAGAGACGAGCTGGAGATGAACTAAAAGCAGACTCACATCAGGGATGCGAGAGAGCCGGCATGCTTAAGTACGAATCGGCGTGACTTCGGGCAGCGGGAAGGAAGGAAAGGACAAGGAAAAAGAGGAGACGATGATTTCACTGCTCAACTGTTTAACTTGTTAAGTAGGACTCCATAGCTTAACTCAATTTGGTGCCTGGGCCAGCACTGTCAGGCTTTTCGTTCCGCCGGCACTAGCGTTTACTTAGCTTATCACTGCATTAACTTAAAGTACGTAACTATGTACTAACTTGACTAGTTAACTCACGAGATTTCCTGATTCCATGTGATGGCTTTGCTTCGTGTTTACTTACAGCTTCAGTTCTGCAACAGAAAACATGTATACTTTCCAATTTCAATCCCAATTCTGCATGTTGTGGTCGTGTTACTCGGATTAAGCTGATGACGACCAACATCTCGTTTCTACTAGGAGGATTTTTCCGCATGAATATTGTACCTTTTGGGAAACCGAGACGGATCCACGTGCCGTGCATGGCAGAGGCTGGAGACTATTGATTTTTAGTATGCTACTCTGGTCTTAAATCCCATCATATAAACAACTCCGGGAGATGCGCTTGTGATAGTTACTTCGATACCATGTTTTACTGAAGTACCTAGACCGGCTCCTTTCTGACCTTTGATTGGATAATCCGTTCAAATTCAGCTTGCACTCTGCATTCTCCCTTTCAGAACTCATAATCAGATTATTCGTGTAATTATTCACCTGGGATGCATACGTGATACGGACCAGGGTAAGCGACATTGTAAAGACTTAGTCGACCAATTATAGCTCCCGGGCTGTGCGGAGCTGCCAGCAAGGTCATGATGTGTTCGTTCTATGTACTCGAAATCTGGACAACGAATCACCGGTGGCACTGCATTATTATTAGCAGTAGCTGATAATCGAATGATCAATGGTCTCTGTGGCTGTAGTGAGTGCCCGCATACGCAGACGCTACTGCACAGTCTAGAAAGCGAGTTGCTTCCATTGAATGCCTGACCACTAAGGCACCGAAGTCCGAGTGAGTGAGTAAGGAAGTCATCAGCGGGGGCATCCTATTTTTGAGCTGCAGCATCAATAAGCTGCGCCTTCGTATCCTACAGTGCTTTACTATATCGGGTATTGTTGATGGCAGAGAGAATGCTTTTGATGCATCAAATGACAGATCAGATCGTAACTCCCCGCAATGAGATCCTGCTATGCGAGTCAAAAGTCTGGACTGAACCGAACATCAGGTCTGTCGATTATGTTCAATGCTAATTTATGAAAGATTGCCTGGACCAAAAGAATCGGGTACGTAAAATGTATGAAGTAATTTTATAATCTTGATCAAGACAAAGAAGTGTTTGCATCCACGGGCCAGCCTCGCCAAGATTGCTTACCGCAGAGGGCCCGCCCGTTGGCTCGCTCCACTCCATCTTAGATCTTCCATCGCCATCCGCCTCTAAACTTCTATTTCTTCCGTCACGGCCCAGGCGAATTCTCCCCGGAGACTGGACACGTAACATTTCTCTCCGGTTCTGTGCAGCGTTATAGAGGATGGTGACCCCGATTTTGCATCACTCGTGGACTATAAGGTTGGCTCGTTGAMCCCCGCAACGCCTTCTCGCTCATCAACAAAGTTCCCGCCTGTCTAATTCGCCATTCTATCGACATAGATGACCACCAGTTTGGCTTAAATCGCCTGTCGTCTTGTATACGAATACGACCAACACAGCAATACTCTCTCCAGTCTTGGTGATATCCAGTACCATGTCCTGGCGTCATTATGAGTCCGGCGCAGAATCAGTCGGGGCGACAACCCTCATCTCTGCTTGGTAGTCAATTCGCCTCGTCCAACTCAACCGCTAATCGATTTCTCGGTTCAACGCAAAGACCTTGGATGACACATAATGGCCCTTCAACAGTACCCTCCGGACGTTTTTATCCCAAGTATCCCAATTCCGCGAATACGCAAGCAACAACGCACTTTAGCGCTCCCTCCCGACAATCGACGACACAGCCTCCCGCGCCTATCGAGACCTCTGAGCGGTCTCTTGGAAGTCATTCATTGGGCTCGACGAATACTCGTTTCACGCAGGCTGCCCCAGTGTCGCCAGTGACACCCGGCACAGGGTACTCAGATATTGACATACAGCCGTTCTTAACGAAAGTGACCAGACCCGACTGCGCCGTGTCCACGGCATCCTTTCCCACCCCTGAGCCCAGCAACGCCTCAATAGCCAGTCCGGTCGTTGCCGTCAGGGAAAGAGCGGGCTCTTCCAGCAGAGATGCATCATCAACGGCAGGTGCGAATGTGTCGCTCCCGCAGCCTGCTAAATGGGAAGGTGCGACCCCAACACTCCCTGCCGCGACTTCCCTCAGTCCAGCCCAGCAGCAACAACGGCAACAACCCCAGTGGAGCACGAGTCAGACCTCCTCCCGGCCCTCTCGGCCTCCATCTCAACCACAACCTCAACTTCTACGATCGTTACACGCACAATCGCCACACCAGCAGCACCAGCAGCAACAGCTACAGCAACAGCAAACTCAACATCCATCTCCTTCCCCTCGGGGGCAGATCTGGCAGCATGCTAGAGCCAATCTTGATTCATATATACTACAATTGAACCGCACAAAGCATTCGTCCGACGCGAACAAATCGGCCGAGACCGTGGAGTTGCCCCGTGTGCGTATATTGGAGGATGCCTGTAGAGAGGAGGACATGTTCTATCTAGCTCTGCATCAAACCTTCTGTCTCAACTCTGCAGATCCGAGCCAACTAAGTCAAATCACACACCAGGCAATCCTGCCCGGCGTTGGCTTCGATGTGGTCGCGCAGCTTTTGGTCGACAATAAGAGACTGTCTCCAGAATTTCTGCGATGGTCTGTTGAGTACCCTATGCCTCTCCGAGTGCTATTGCAGTTTGAAGAGTATAGGAATGCTCTCAAACAGGTCTCACATTGTTTAACTACGATTTCCCGTTATTGGTCTGTCTTTGAAAAGGAGATTCGCTCACGTTGCCACCCGCCCCAGGTAGACGAATTAGTTGACAGCTTGGGCGTCGAGTCGCCCGTGTTCCAACAAATCGTGTTTACTGCGATCTGTCGGCGTTTGTTTGGTGCACGAGAGGAACCATACAAGGCCTGCATATCTCTTTTCGAAGAGGATCAAAGAACCTATAAGCAACGCTCTATGCTTCCTGTTAATGCTAGAATACAGGCTATATTCGACTTTTTTGAGAAGTACAAACAGATTTGTGCATACCTGGCAGTGCCAGAGTCTTCAGACGATCGAAAAACGTTTGCGCCACGCCCAGTTCCATCTTCTGTTCAACCAGCAATGTCCATGACGAGGACGAGTGGGAATACGCCACACCATCAAAATCTCACACCGAGCAACACACCCACGAGTCTCCCTCATCGACTGCCTTCGACAGCCCAGAATGTGTGTGGTCGGCACGTTCACTTACCTGCTAACCCTGTTTCTTACCCTCACGTGTCGCCAAATATGGTACCAAATGCTGGTCAACAGCGACATCACCAGCAACAACAGGCTTCTCATCAAAATTTCATGCTGAACGCCGGCGCTGTTCAATCTGCCCAAGCGCCTCAGCCAAATCGTTTCACACCGCAATTCTCTGGCTCCCTTCCTCCACCTCCACCTCAATATACAGTTGCCTCGCAAACTCCTTTGCCAGCCAATATTGCAGCGCCACATCAGACGCTACCACCCACTCTCCAGAATCAGCCAACTTTTCCACATATGAGACAGAACTCTACTGGTCATCCCGCGTCGACTGCTTTACATCCTCAATACATCTCTCCTGTCGCCAGTCCCAACATGGGGCCTAGTATCAGCTCACCAATTCAACCAATGTTCTCGCCAACACAGCCCCCGCCTAGCAACACAGGACAAAATCGACGCCAACAACCTCCTCAAAGAGCTCCTCAACCAGGCCCAGCTACTTCTTCGCCATTAACAGTGCAGCTTAGTGGCACTTCATTTCCCCTATATCCTCAGGTGACAATCCGACCCATACCTCCTTATCCTTCACCACAAATACCCAATCAACATAGCCCCAACGCAAACCCACTTCCAGACATTATCCAGTATTTTTCGGGATTCTCCGTTGCTCCACAGCGACTTCCTCCTAACAGATCCTCATTCACCTGGACTTTCACTGTTTCACGTGAAGCACTACGTTTGAAGCCGGATCTCGTCAGGCGACCCACTGGTAATGGATTTGTGCCGGCACTGTCTGATGGGAATATGTCATGGCGCCTTCGCTGCATTAGATATCAGGGACGCCTAGACGTTGACTCGATCGCTACATGGTCACACGCTGAAAGTAGTTGGCCCGATGTCGTATACATTCACGTCAACAACAAGGAAGTCGTTCGCTCACCGAATATGAAAGGCTCGCCAATAAGTATAAACAGTTTCTTGGTAGACGGCACCAATGAGATCCGAGTGAATGTTTTGCACACCAAAGAACAACGCACGTCAAATATTTCATACGCTATTGCGGTTGAGGTTCTAAAGGTGAAAAGCCCAGAAAACTTTCGGAAACTGGTCAAAAGATTGCCAGCTCAGGAGACGCGCCAACAAATCCAGGCGCGTTTGTCATCTAAAAACACTGACGATGACGAGTTGATGATAATGGATGACTTCATCTCCATTGATCTTCGTGATCCCTTCACCACACGAATCTTTGAGATCCCTGTTAGGAGTTTATCGTGCACACATAGGGAATGCTTCGACCTCTCTACTTTCTTGCAAACGCTTGCAGTCAAGGCTATGGGGGAGAAACATACGATATATGTCAGGTGTCCTATTTGCAGGAAGGATGCGCGGCCTGACCTATTGGTGGTTGATGATTTCCTCAGCGAAGTGAGAGCCTCGCTATCCAGGGAGAACAAGTTGGAAACCGCAAAGGCTATTCGTGTGAAAAGTGATGGTTCTTGGTATGCTGTTTTGGACACGGAAAGCGACAATCGCACTACTACAAGCCGGAAACGAGACCGCAGTTCTTTCGAGGCGGACTTTATCAAAGATGAGAGCCTTCCTGCTTCTACTCCACTGGCGACTGCGGCGCCTGAAGTCATTGAGCTTGACTAGGGTTGATACATATTTGCATATTTCTGATTCATGATTGTTTATAAATAGAATTCTTGATTCGACTGCTACAGGCGTTCATTCATTTGCCTCAGTCAATATGATACCCAAGCTATTATCTTCGGCGTTCACATGTTACCTTATTTTTGGCGTTGAGCATTTCATTGTTTAGCAATCAACTGATAGAGTTAGTCCATCTGTGAAATCACACTTTCTTCATTTGATTTCTTATACAAGACTCTTTATTTTCAAAATCTATGCATGACTGTTACAGGTGTTTTCCAAATTACCCTCTGAATTTACTAATCCAAGCAAAGAAGCACAGCATCAGGGCAACAAGACAAAGTCATGATCATGCGCCCCTTGCAAGTAGTCATACCCATCCGGCACCCACTTGATCTTAGGATCAACCGAACCCCAATCAATCTTCCCTCTGACACTCATCGGCAACACAATCTCGAGATTACTCCTATACCACTTCGGAAACAGCACCGTGACAATCATCACCCTCGGCTCATCTGTCTGATTCGGTCTACCTGCATGCCACAATCTGAAATCTCGGATGATCAACGACCCCTTTGGCAAAGAAGGTTGAACCGGCGGGCGAATTTTTCTGCGCTCTTCTAGGAGCTCCTCGCGTATCCCGGGTTCTGTCTCGGACACGTCATCTATCGAAGTGCTGAGATGCGTACCGGGCCACACCTCCGTCGCCCCATTTAGCGGCGACGTATCGACAAGATTAATATTAACGCAGTACCCAAAAGGGACACCACGCGGGAAATCGAAATGGACATCAATATGTGGCGGTTGACGCCCCGTGGCTTTGAACGCGGTGTTTGCGCTGTGGAATCTGAGTGCCGGCCCAGGGCCGACCATGCATTCGACGACTTGAGTTGCGAATGTGTTTGCAATCACATCCGAAAAAATGTATCCGTCTTCGAGGACAGGTTCTTGTTGGATGTTTCCCGTAAGAGGCCCGAAGTTGCGGTGCGTGGTTGATTTGGCGTATAGGGTTTGGGCTTCGGAGACCATGCGGGCGTTGAGTTTGTCGAGGTGGGTTGTGTCGATGGCGTTGTTTAGGATGACGATGCCGTCGTTGTGAAGGGCTGTGATGGCGGCTTGGAGATTGTGGGATGTTAGTGTTTTGGTGCTGAGTTCGTAGGGGGTTAGGTGGATGGTTGTTATGTCGTCTTGGACTGTGGTTGTGGCCATATTATGGACTTTGCTTATACCGTGATTTATGTTTATTATAGAGCATTCGCGATTTGTAGACCGTTCGACGTTATGGATATCAGCGAATTGCTACTTACTTATGTAGCACCTTGAGTGACTTATTTAGGGAAATATAAGAAGATAGATAAACTTGAATCGAGCATGTAACCCCGCATCGATGATGTACTTACTCAAAGCGAGCAAGGTCTCCACCAACAAAGTGAATTAGCTGCCCAGGTGCTTGTAGCTTGATGCTAGAATGGTTCATTTATAGAACGGACATTGCTGGCCACTAACCTTGGAAGACAGAACGACAGTTCCCTAATTGATGCATTCCCATAAACAATTACTGAAGATTCCACGCCATCGCTGTGCAACAAAACAGTCCATATTACTGAACAATGGTATATAAATACAAAATCCGAGTATTGAAAATTTCCCATGCTCAAGCCCGGAATGTGCAGCAAATGCCTTGACTCTCGCACCATGTTCGAACAAGCGCAACGCCGACTTCTCGGTCTTCACACACCGAAGCAAACCCTTCAGTGTTCAGCCACGCCGAAAAGTCCTCTAGTATTATGGGTTCATAAAGTAGAATCTTCTCATGCCACGTAAGTTGTGGCGAATGTGAACTGCTACCCAAGAATCTTTTAGGTCGAGCCTGAAGATGAATGGCCTTTGTGATTGAACATTGTAGCTCTAGAATAGTAGGTTCGTCAAAGGCCGAAGCCTTGGTTTTCGTCGATGAACGTTTAGTCTTGTTGCTGAGCGGAAGGGAACTGATCGCAGGAGTAGTTTGACGGCTACTATTCTGTCGTTGTATACGCATACGGGTTGGAGAGGGTATGATCTCTTCTTCAGAGTCTTCAATCTCGTCTGCTATATAGGTCGATGTACGTTTCGGTGAAAGAGCTTTCTCTGCGACTGTTTCAACCTTGCGTGCCGCTGGTTTGTCGGCGATCTTCTTTTTTCCAGCTCGATTACTTGTTTTGGACTCTCCTTCGGAAGATTTCGTCTGTTTCTTTCGGACTGGTAGCTTCTCGCTGAACTGGGTGTCAGAAGGTCTGGTAGTGGAGACAGACACCGTCGTACTCGTTGCTGTCAGTGAAGAGGTTTCCACATTCTTTGTGAAAACCGCTGCATTGCCATGCTTACTCTGCCAGCACTTCTCAAGCACATCAATCATCTTCTTGCGCCCTCTGATAGCTTTTAAACCGTAAGATTTGATTAGTTTCTTGAGCTCTTCATCGGTATGGCCGTTATAGTTGGGCATATCCGGCACCTGTCTTGTAGGTTTCGTGGCAGAAGGCTTAATCATCGACTCGACGTTGTCAAGACTAGCACTTTGAGACCTAGGCATAAGAGCGGTTGACGGTACGTCTACTGCAGGTTTATTGCTCGGTGTGATATCCTTCTCGATCAGGGGATTAGTCGCCGGGGCGGGTTTAGCGGAAATCAGTGATGCCATTTTTGGTGCTTCTCGATTCATCTCCGACAGTCGACTGAGAGCAGTATCAACAGTGGGCGAATCGGTCATGTCTATAATCTCAGGTTGAACCACAGCACCGCGGAAATCTCGAGCTGCCTCGGACCAATGACTCTTTTTGCCAGTGTATCGAGAGGCGAATCTCGTGGTTGAAGGGCCCACGGATATTGTCTCCAAAGTTGTTTTCTCAAAAGCAAGACTCTCCGAAAGCTGCAGAGCCTTTTGCGTTTCTTCGAAGAAAGTCGGTGAGTCATCTCTTTCCAATTGACTGCAAGTCCCAAACATGAAGTTCTGGTCGTTAAGAGACTTCGTGGCAGCATCCGGTGAAAGTATAAGATATGCCGGTTGTTTCTCTTTTACAGTTGTTTTCCTCTTTGATTTGGCAGGTTTCTTGAAGCCCTCGCCACCTTCTGATTCCTCATCAAACACAAATAGTCCCTCTGGCTCATCAATGGGCTCATAGAGTGCAGTCATGCGACCTGTTATAGTTTTCGGCTGCTTCTTTGGCTTAGCCTTCGTTTTGCGAGTTTTCTCGGCATCCTTGTTTTGTGTTTGTTTCAAGGATTTTCGCTCTTGCAAAATCTCAGACTCAACGAGCTGTTAATATTCGTTAGTGAGACTTATAATACGAATACCCTGGTAATGCATACCTCTAGTCGCCGGCGCTTAGTAGGGTTGCCTTCCTTCCTTGGTAGCATTACCTCCGAGACACTGTTTTCGCGACTATAGTGATAATTGCGTAAAGCGTCACCAAAATTGGCTTCCACGCCACTGTTTCCAGCTGAGATATCCTCATCCAGTGAAACCACTGCTGAAGCTTTAGGTGGTGTCCAGTCTGATCTCCTCTTCAAAGCTTCTTCTAAGTTGAGCCCCTCCGAATCCGCGACTTTCTTAGCTTCTGCCTCTTTTGCAAGTTTTTCACCCTCATTCTTGCCTATCGCCTTAGTTTTGTTGATTTCAGATTTAAACTTCGAAATAGTTGTACCTTTTGCTTTCGAGGATGTAGTAGCTTTTGCGACTCGGCCTGTAAGTATTTTGTTCTGCGGTCCCTGCGACGTAGAGCTCTTCCTATTTCGGACCGTCTTTGCATTCGAACTTCCAAGTCGTCCAGTCTTTGTAAAATGTTCGCTTACCACCGGTGTCTCCGCAGTGACTATCGAGGCTGTTGCTCTCCTTGCGACGGGAACAAGCGGCGATTTCGAGTCATTCTGTGTTCCAACCCTAATCTCCTCGAACAATTTAGAGGGCGATACTAGCGGAGGCGGAGATGAGCTCAGAGGAGGAAGCCCAAAAAGACGTGCCGGCGTGCATGGCGATACAGATCGAGCCCAGTTCTGCTCTGGGGACGATGGAGGGATCACAATGGTTTCGATTATTGAGCTCATTTTGGCCGATTGAGTTCGCCTCCTGCGCGCCCGGATAATAAGCACCAGTCATCTATCAAAGTCCAGCGGTATACATATTCTGTTTCGAGTAGGAGAATCGTGTTCGCCACGTAACCAGTGTTATGTTCGTTTTCGTGAGAGACATTGATAAAAGGCCGTTCGGTGGCGAGCCGCGCATTGAAGGGATTGGATAAGGTCTTGGCAAAGTTGGGGATTTTCCCAGTTGGGACGCACTGGCGGGGCAACCGCAACCAATGTAAACACCGGCCCATCAGCCCTATCGATGTGACCTCCACCAAGTACTCCTCCGACCTTTGATTCTTTCTAATATTTGCTATCCCAATCGGATATGCAATCGATATTACATTCATGTAGCAGTCATACAAGTACAAGTTCTTATTGCAACGACCGTCAGAGCTTGCTTCGAAGCCGACATTAACATATCTTCCGAGCTAATTGATTCGCGAAAAACCGTAAGGAATTTTGGGTATCATGGAACTGTTTAACGTTTCTTTGATCAATATCAATAATCGAGGTCTCATGTCGCCCCACGAATGGCTATTGCTCCAACAATAAGAGGCTCTAAAGCCCTCACAGCATTGACCTGGCCATCCGCAGATTTCGAGGTCGGCTGATTCAGTTTGTATAATTTCCGAACCCTCGCGAGATCTGACATCGAGGATAAGGTGTCATTGTCAAAGGGAGCCGGTGTAGCTTCCACGGAGCTTTCCAAATGTTTTGCGACGGATTCATGTGTAATTTCCGGCGTCACGGATAGCTTGACGACGAGTAGGTCTTTGGTAGCGTCGGTGATGCCGAATCTTCGAAATGCCTCTGCAATCTGATTACCTTCAGCATGGTGTATCCTCGTATCAATAGACTGTGCCCGAATACTCACATTATTACTAGGGCCGAGAGAAACGACTATCTCTGAATGAACATTGTGTGATCTCAATCGATTATTCAAATAATCGTTTATAGCTCTAAATACCGCCGCAAAGATGTGTTGTCTCGATATAATCTACTCCGTAGATTAGCATCTCGGATCAAACGATTTGAGCTTGTATGCCTACCGTGCTGGCATCAATGAAAGCATATTGAAATTCTGCGTTTCCTGTTAGAAGCTGCTCCCGCAGGAAGCTGGCATTCTTCAGGTCTCTATAAAGGGCGATATGAACTAGTATATTCTCAGGGACATGAGAGAGATGGATGGTTTCTAGCAGCGACATTTTTCGAGTAGCTTGATCGTAGCAATGATATTGTGGAAGCGGCGAGGGGTGTCGTAAAAGAAAGGTCAATCGGTTATCGATAAGGCCGTCGCCACTTTTCTCCCGCCTGAGGCAGATATCTCATTCCTCAGGCATCTGGCTTAGTAATGAAAAGTGGCTTKTGGAGGATCACGTGGGGCTCACCTTACGAATTTGTTTAGCGCTTCTGGAACGTTCGGGTTGCCGGAATGAACGTCACTCATACCGATAACTCCGTCTGGATGACACTGAGGTTTCGATATATAAGCCCAACAGGGTCCGTCTTCCTTTCATCAACCCACGTCATTAACTCACACATCTTTCATCTCAGTCAACATCTCAGTGACTTTTATTCGCCATGGCATTCATGCTAAGGCGGCCGTTTGCCGTTGCAACGGCCTTCAAACAAGCTGCACCTCGAAGTGCAAACCTCAGCGCTCGATACTTCCACAATACCCCATTCAAGAGTTCTTCAGCTTTCAAGCCATCGACACCTACACGCCCATCTTCCATCCTCGCACGATCGCGACAGACCTTCCAGAATGCTTTCCGCCGCACATACATGCAAGAGACATACCAAGTCGACCGCGGTAATTTGACTCAGAAACTGCTGTATGGAGCCGCGATCGTTGGTGGAACTATTTTGGCCACGAACCTGGTCTTCAACCGCGAGACTCGTGACGATGGCGGCATGCCAACTTACGAAAGACAATACCTGAACGAAACATTCATGCACACTGGTCTAGGTCTTGGTATTATTGCTATTGCCGCTCGTGCTTTACATAGCAGTGGGTGGTCTGTTCGCTTGATGGCCTCAAATCCATGGGCTGTCGTTGGTCTCGGACTGGTTGCCAGCATTGGTACCATGTACGGAACGATGTATACTCCTCCTGAAAAGTAAGATTCACAAAAATTTCTATGAACTGGCTTATGCTAACGATCGGTTGCAGTTACATGCTCAAATACGCCCTATGGACCGGTTTCAATGTCACTCAGGCTGCTCTCTTGTCGCCTTTAATGTTCCTGTCGCCTGCTCTGCTCGCTCGTGCCGGTCTCTACACCGTTGGTATGATGGGCTCTATTGCCTTTGTCGGTGCCACTGCCAAACAGGAGAAGTACCTCTACCTTGGCGGCCCTCTTCTTGCCGGTGTTGCCGTTGTCGCCATTTCTGGCTTTGCTCCTCTCGTGCTTCCAGCCACTGCCGCTCGTACGTTGATGTGGTCTGAGCGTATCTGGCTCTATGGAGGTCTTGCTGTCTTTGGCGGTTTCACGCTCTACGACATTCAGAAAATTCTGTATCATGCTCGTCTTGCTGAGCGTGGTGTAGTCCGCCGAGACCCAGTCAATGAGAGTGTCAGTCTCGAACTTGACTTCATCAACATCTTCGTTCGTATGGTGCAGATTCTCGGTATGCAACGCAACAACCGACGATAAACAGTCTACACTTCTGTCATACTAGACAAATCTCCTATTCTCGTTGCATCGTTCTATCTTTTCTTTTTTTGTGTTATGACTCAAAATGTTACCCCACTATACCTCCTGTCACTCAACAGGCTATTGTACATATTAACCTCAAAGTTGAATTATAAATCAACAAGATAATCAGTCCTTTTTATCCACTTCTCATTAACAGACAGGCAAAACGTATCTTGATGTGAACAAAGTGGCGGGAGGCTGGTCGTGCCAAAATAGGGAAAGCGTTGATCTTCCCGCCTAGCCCAATTGGGTCATTGAATCGTAGCACGCAGAAAAGTACGGCTTGAGCACCTCACCATTTTACTCACTTCAACTCAACATATTACTCTCATCAGCTCTTTCTCTACATCATAAACACACAGAGGGTCCCAATCTTGTAATCATGTCATCAGCCGAAATGGAAATCGATCCTCCAGTGGGTGACAACGCGGCTCCGTCAGGAAGCTCGGAAGCAAAGACGCAAGCTGGAGCTGTCGCAGTGCGGAGTATCGAGGGATGGATCGTCATCGCTACAAATATTCACGAAGAAGCTTCTGAAGAGGATGTGACGGATTTCTTTGCCGAACATGGCGAGATCAAGAACTTCAACCTCAATCTCGATCGTCGTACCGGTTATGTCAAGGTGTGTTGTGTTGCTCGATTGACTCCCACGAAATGGGTTCTAATGCTTGAGTTCTTTCCAGGGATACGCACTTATTGAATACTCGACCCTTCCCGAAGCTCGCTCTGCCATCGAGGCCCTCAATGGTGCCAAGCTACTCGACCAGACTCTCAGTGTGGACTACGCTTTTGTACGGCCGCCCCCAGGAAACAAGAACAAGGGTGGCAATAATCAGAGAGGAGGTCGTGGTGGACGACCACGCAGCAGAAGTCGCGAGCGCAGTCGCAGTCCTGGAGCCGACAATGGAAGGGAGTAGAGGGGTGGTTTATGTCACAAGCGATGCGCCCATTGTTCATTCCCGTTGGAGGGATATGACGTTACTCGAATAATCAGGAAGCCTATGCCACTTTTGAATGCGATACAACATACGAGGCATAGAACACAAATAAGAACAAGTTGTAAAGACTTGCATTACGCCGGCGGTCTTCCCAGTTCTCGGAGTGCTTTTTAGCTATAACTGCATTTTGACGCATGGGAAGTCTTGTCGGCACGTGAAATTCTAAGACGAACTGTAAGTTGACTGCCACATCTTGCTACGATATATCATATACTGAAAGATCTCCAGGTCCACTCAAAAATGACTTGGAAGTCAACATAGACAAGCTCCATGAGTGGTCTAGATAACGAAAGGCCATTGCTTTTATGTACTTTGATATACGCTGATGAAAATATGCAATAATGACTATCTACTGAGCTTTACACACTAAAAAAGTAAGCCGTAGAAAATGAGCATAACCGCCATAGTATATAAGCCGCCAGTCCGGTGACTGTAGCCCCCGCGAAAGGCTTACGTTGGCGTTCCTGGGGGGCCCAAGCGAGCCTACTCTTAGCGGACCTGGCGTGCCAACTGCCATCTTTCCCCGCAATGCACGCGACATCCATGCCTTAGCTGCAAGGCCTCTCCGTTCATCCCCTTGTACCTATCTCTAACCTTCATCCTATATTCTACTCTTCTTTTACTTTAGATCGTATCTGCATTGAGTGCACATTCGGTCGACTGGTGACCCAATGTCCTGTCGTTATCTGAGAGTATAGCGGGTTGTTGAGCGACATTTCCTGCATTCCTGCAACAACAAAAAGGATGTGCATATCGGTTAAATTATATTGACAAGGTGTTTCACAACGTCTTGAGCCACCTACAGACCACTGACGACTACAACGATGATGACAATCTTTTCTGCAGTGGTCGTACCACTGCTTGCCCTGCCACTCGGCACCTCTTTCGCTTTGCCGGACTTGCGACAAACTATACTACAGTTGAGCGATGCAAACCGGGATGTTACTGCATCTGCCACCCAGAGGCAAACGCTAAAAGACATGATATACGCCCTCGATGTTATGCAAGATAGTTACTTTGAGCAATGGCTCGGTACGTGGCCGGATGCAATAGACTGGACTGCGGCAGTCGTTGGCACTCACGTATCTGGCGCCTTATCATCATTGACCATGACATCACCCGAACTGCTATCCTCGCCAATCGCAAACAGCTCTGTCCTTGAACAGACGCTTGCATATGAGAATCTCATCAACCGCTACTTTGATCAAGTCTCCAACTTCTATTTCGGGGAGAATGCTTTCGCCGTTCGAATGCAAGCATTTGACGATATGCTATGGGTGGTTCTCGGTTGGTTGGAGAGCATCAAGTTTCAAAACCTGCATTCGGAGTTACATTACGAGACTATGAATTCTACAATCGAAGCGCAATGGCATGGAAAGCAGCTTCAAGTGCCTGCAGCGCACAGAGCTCGTATATTCTATGAGCTGGCCTCTACCGGCTGGGACAGCGAGCTGTGCGAAGGCGGGATGATCTGGAGCCCCTACCTAGAACCATACAAAAATGCGATAACGAACGAGCTGTTCATCTCGGCGAGCATTGGAATGTATCTGTATTTCACGGGCGATCCAATCAGTGCGCCATTCATCATGCCTTCCGGTCATTACCGTGTGCACGATCCCAGTTTTCTAGCTGCGGCAGTGCGTAGTTATCAATGGCTCAAGGATTCCAATATGACTGGAACTGGTGGTTTGTATGCGGATGGGTTTCATATACATGGCTACAAGGGTGTCAAGAACCCTGGAACCAAGAAATGCGACGTGCTCAACCCCATGATATTCACTTATAACCAGGGCGTCGTCCTCAGCGGACTGAGGGGTCTGTGGCTCGCCACAAGCTATCAAGACTATCTCGAGGACGGACACGAGCTCGTTCAGCGCGTGATGCGGGCTACAGGATGGCCCAAAACCAATCGCCGCAACTGGGCCGGTCTTGGACGAGGCGGCGTTCTCGAAGAAGCCTGCGACTCTCACAGTGACTGCTCACAGAACGGACATACCTTTAAGGGGATATTTTTCCATCACTTGACTGAATTCTGCCATGTTCTGCGACCTGAAGAAGTCAGGTTACTTGCTCTGTTTGCCGAGCCTGGGGAATCAATAGAAGAGAAGCAAGATACATTCAATAAATGGCATCTGGCTCAATGCCGAAAGTATGGGGATTGGGTTGCGCATAATGCCCAGGCGGCACTTGCCACTAGAAATGAGCAGGGGAAATTCGGCATGTGGTGGGGTGTGACGTTTCCCAGTGCACACGTTGATATTACTGGTACCGATATGGAGGAATCACATATACCCGCAGGAGCTATAGATTATGTGAATCATGGGGAAGCAGGTCCAGACTCGGAGGAGCTTAAGGGTCTATTACGACCGGCCTCCGGAGCTGATTACAGTGAAGATAATAGAGACCCGACAATACCTTCGAAGATGGGTACACCGCTCCCTCTTACTAAAGAAGCCACTGCAGGACAGTATGAAAATGGCAGATGGGTGAGGGATGTGAATGATCGGGGTCGAGGTCGCACTGTCGAGACACAATCCGGTGGTCTTGCCGTGTTACGTGCTTGGTATCAGTGGCAGACATCGTCATTTTTACAGTAGAAGTAGTTATAGTTACAGGAATAGTGATGTATTACCACCATCCAACTATCAATTCATTGTAATTCCTCTTATTCCCGGCTATCAAATATACACAAAACTGAACACGCTAAGTCGTTCAGAACAGGTGAAATGGGAAAGGTTGAGCGGAGAGTATTCTGTAATTGTTTTAACTTCGAATTCCATCATTCTGAACGACGGAATAAGATCATGCGGTAGTTAGATGAGATAGATGTATCGGGCACCTAGTTCTGCTCGCCACCTTGTTCCTTGGTGAGTTGGTCACTGTGATAAGAGTCAGCGAAATTCGTATGACAAAGCTCGTATCGGCCGGATTCGAGGGCTGTTGGGAGAGTCCACATACATGTGCTTATCGAGTTCGTCGAGATGCTTGCGCTGCTCCTTGAGCTTGGCCTTGAGTTCTCTGAGCCTATTGATGGACAAGATCGTTAGCTACTGAATACATGAACGCGAACAAATGAAATGCATACTTTTGGAGCTCCTTCTCCTTGACGTATAGGTTCTCTTGGGCGGCTTCGCGCTTGGTGAAGGAGTCACTATTCGACGAATTAGTCTCTGTCTCCACAACGAAAATATGCCAATTGCTTCAACAACAGAAAGTCTCACCCTGCAGCAGAACCACCGGAACGGGGAGCACCAGTATCGCCCTCACCCATTCTGACGGAGGCTACGGAGAACGAGCGGGTAGCAACCAATCGCTGGTTGGCGCGGAGAAGAGGTCTGGCAACGGCGTTACGGAACATTGTGATCGTAGAAGTTCGAAAATTGAAATCGAGATAGAGATTGTCGATGTGTTGAGGAGGGATGATCAATTGCAGAGTTGGAGTGTTGGAGTTAAGACTGGCTGGTTACGGTGGATGGATCCAGATGGCATGACGTTTACTTCTTTACGCCTAATTGCTCCGACGAATGGTGGCCTGAGGCATTCACAACGCCATCAGGTGATTGTTTGTTTGCACTGTTTGTCTGGCTACCCAGCAACGCTGGTCACATGACTCAGCTAGAGAGAATATCAATTTTATGCATTTATATTTTCAAGTCAAGAAGCGGATCACAGCAACTATGTAGATGCAAGGGACGGAGTGTTCGACGGCTGAAGATTCTGACAGTTGGATCTGACAGTTGGAGGGCAAGCACGTTGAAAGTGAGCATAATGATCATCGAAATGTGAGACGAGAGCCGGCCACGATACCAACAATCTCACCAGGGAGAAAGCCCTTACAGAAGGAGTCTCAGATAGACCAACTACTTACTGCGTATAAAAAATAAGATTGCAAGATGACTTGCAGCATCTCGATTTGTTAACCAGTCTACGCCTCGCCCATGCTTAGTCTCTTCCAAGACGCGCAAGTCTCTTATCTCGAGCAAATTATCAGCGACCAGTATCTGGCTGTTCCCTGTCGGCTGTTCAGCTTTCCACTGTCACGCGCCGCACAAAGCACATCATGTCCGGGCTATATCACAGATATATCACAGACTCGAGAAAGCCACCACATGGGACAGGAACGAGGGATAAGGCGGCGGAGGGGCAGCTACAACAATACACTGCACGAGTAGCCATACAACACTATTTGATAGACACACACACTGTCGCTAGAATCTTTTGTAGTGGATATAAAAGTAATAATATTCGAAACGTGATAATATGTGTTACTCTTTTGTAGAAGAGTCAATGACGGTCGCTTGCCGCCTAGCAGACGGGCCAATGAGGGCCCACAAAAGGGGTGGGCTTTCCCAAACAAACAAAACAAACGCTTTCCCTTTCCTCTCGTCTCCGTGCCCCAAACTCATCCGCCTTCTTTGCCCAAAACACAACCGTCTCTCTACCACCACCATCCTATCTCCAACTCCAAATCAATCCTCCTTTTCTCCCTCATTTGTTCGCTTGACTACTTTCGATACCCCAACTCTCCGATCCTACGCACACTCTCTCATCCTTCCAATCCTGTTTTTCTTCGGTACGCGTTACCATCCAGGTAAGCCGCCATCCCCCTCTTTCTTGTGCCCCCTGCTCCGCCCCTCCACGGCCACCTCCATCATCGTCGACCAGCCCTGAGCCATCGTCTCGGAAAATTCGCATCGCCTTGATATCTATTATTATTCAGTATGTCGTCGCAAGACAAATTCTGATCAACTGGGTGTATCCGAGCGATGCAATTTCTTCGCTTGTCTTAGCGACGGGCCAGGCAGAGAGCGGTGGTGGTGGATTGCGTGTCTGGATCGGCCCGAGTGTGTGACGTAGGACGTCAACCACCATACATTCTACGATCTTCCACCCAACGGGCCTCATTTTGTGCCCTATCGGGAATCATTCCTACGTCGCAAATTATAGTTATTTGAATAAGAGGCTCTTTGGCTTGATCCGGTGATTGGTGCCGGTGGGCAGCAACAAGGCTACGCTCCGAATACTATATCACTTTCGAGTCGCGACATCGCTGCACCCATTTAGCCTTGCCAACATGCTACTTTGCTCAAGCGATTATTTTGATACTTGCGACTGACTTGCGTGTTTTTAGAATAATCAATCACAATGGGTCACGAAGATGCTGTCTACCTCGCCAAGCTCGCCGAGCAGGCTGAGCGCTACGAAGGTTCGTCAGTCTCTTTTGATAATCTCTGGGCGCGCATTAACATCTCTCAGAAATGGTTGAGAACATGAAGGTTGTCGCCTCCTCAGACCAAGAACTGTCCGTCGAAGAGCGGAATTTGCTTTCTGTCGCCTACAAGAACGTCATCGGTGCCCGCCGTGCCTCTTGGAGGATCGTGACCTCGATCGAGCAAAAGGAGGAGTCCAAGGGCAACGAGTCTCAGGTCACATTGATCAAGGAGTACCGTCAGAAGATCGAGAACGAGTTGGCCAAGATCTGCGAAGACATCCTCGAAGTTTTGGACCAGCACTTGATTCCTTCCGCTCTCAGCGGTGAATCCAAGGTTTTCTACCACAAAATGTAAGTTCTGTCAGGCGCATGTTGATCACAGGTTCTAACAAGTGACAGGAAGGGTGACTACCACCGTTACTTGGCTGAGTTCGCTATTGGCGACCGCCGCAAATCCTCCGCCGATGCTTCCCTCGAGGCTTACAAGGCTGCCACCGAGGTTGCCCAGACTGATCTTGCTCCTACCCACCCTATCCGTCTCGGACTTGCCCTTAACTTCTCCGTCTTTTACTATGAGATCCTCAATTCTCCTGACCAGGCCTGCCACTTGGCCAAGCTTGCATTTGACGATGCTATTGCTGGTATGTTCGCCAAAAACTCTGCAGTAGACCTATACTGACATCTGGTATCTAGAACTCGACACCTTGAGCGAGGAGAGCTACAAGGACTCCACCCTCATTATGCAGCTCCTGCGTGACAACTTGGTATGTGCAATACGGGCCTTTCATGTTGGGCATCATGCTAACGTATGTAGACTCTCTGGACCTCTTCGGAGGCCGAGACCGCTCCTGAGCCCGCTACCGCCGAGAAGAAGGAGGAAGCCCCCGTTCCTTCTACTGAAGCTCCCGCTGCCGAGTAAATTTCATAAACAACATAAAAAGAAAACATGAATCATGAACTCGTGCCGTAGAGTGGATTGAGTTTGGGTTTCAGATGGAAAAGGAAGAGGTTTGTCCGTGTCAGATTCCTTTGAGCGGATTGGAGTTTGCTGTTTTATTTTCTGCTGTTTTTCCCTTTGCCTACGGGTTCGTTCGGATACACGCGAGAACTTGGGACATGAGAAAAGGAAGAGAGAAGAAAGAAACGAGAACAGGGAGCAACGAAAAGACATTCAGAGTTCAATCAATCTATGACAGGAACGCGATTCTATGATACTCTTGTTGAAGGGGAAAGATGGCAACAATATGATAAATCGATATTACTTTTACCCTTTATCTGTTCGAGCTTCCTTTCGAGTCTCTTGTCAACGATGAATTATACCATCGCGATCCCGTTTATTATGACATGATTATCTTTGTCCTTTACTCTTGTCTCCCGATCCTGTTTCTATCTAATATTCTTTCAATTTTTTTCTCCATGAACCTCGATTTTTACTCGCTCTGTCTTTTTCTATGCCCCCTCGATTCCTCAAGTAATGTATGCAAGTCTCCATTATTCTTTATTTTCCATACACAATTACTCCCTCTCTTTATACAATACAATCGATCAATCGATACAATACATTGCAATTCGGTTGCAATATGATTAAAACTTGACTCTTACCTACCTAGTTGTATCCTTCGTCGTTGGTAGGTTGTTTCATATGTTTGTAAAGGAGGATGTCTGCTTCTCCTTCTCTAACCTCTGCCTGCAAGTCAAACAGACCTGCCAGCTCATCTACATAGTCTCAGGGAGCGCATCTACTGGACTCCAGTACATATCTTTCCCACGCATCGACGGCTTTACCCTACAATCGGATTGCTATTGAGCTTAGTTTGTACCCATAGTCCTAGTGAATGAGTGAGGGTTATCCAATACTACACGTAGGCCTTACTCCGATGCATGCACCAATGACTCTTCAATCTGAAAGCATCGAGGCTAACCCGTGTGTATATAGATTGACTCGATGTTAAGACTTCAAGTAGCACCGGTACATATGTGAACTACCTACTACATATGTAACAATGTCGATAATCGCCTCGACATCATCCCTGCGCCGTGTTATTTAAGCGGATCTGCATAGTTTCGACTACCTATTGTTCATCCCCCATGTGCCCAACAATTCATGTGAGATTCCCCGGAACGTCAAGACTGGATAGTCTATGGGCATAGACATGGATGTACCACCAAGACTGGGGAGTTACGCGAAGTAGTACTCTGTCGACCACTGGTATATCAAGAATGAGTAAACCTATTACCTGCATCTTTTGATCACATCGCCATAGTATATGCCTCACAACTGGTCTAACACGGAGGCATGTTACATCTGTACTACGATAGAAATAGATCATTTTCAATGGTTCATTGATGCTATGCGAACTATCAAACAATCCGCTGCGCTATGCATGCACATGCTCGTATGTATAAACAAGTAACAAATCGAGGAGAGAGAAAAAAAGAAGCAACACCCACCACCCAATGAACTCCCATGGCGAAATATGCTCTTGGAGGAAAAATATGATATTGTGTACAAGGTAGAATGAAGAAAGGGTTGAATGGACGTCGGTCGATCACGTGTTGCTGCTCGGCATTCATTGGCTTAGCCTCTTCCGGGGCTGTGGTGGCGTTGCACGGTGGGAAAAATGGTTAAAGACGGGGCAGCTGAAACAGCCGACGTCATTTGGGAATCATGGTCGACATACGTCTTTCAAGACGAAAAGAAAGAAAGGAGAAAGAAAAAAGGAGGATGCATGCCGAACCCACTGTGACATCAAGCGGCGGGAAAAGAGCAAGGAACCATGCAATGCAGGCGCATATAGCATATGATGAGTCAACCGCTAAGGATCGCTTGCTTTTTCGTAGAATAGAATAAAATGAATGCATCGCATCGCATCGCATCAACAAAAAGAAAAAAATCGCATATCCCTGTGGCACTGCGGCAAGGCACGAGCCGACCTTGAATATGACGAAAGCGGCAAACGAGTCTTCCGCCTGGGAGAAAACACCACGCCGCCAAGTCGAATCCCTGATTCAACAGATCAACGCCTAAACGTGCAATGTAATAAACGCCGGAACGAGGACTGTCTAGCAACTCAAATCACCGACGTCTCAAGTAAAATTGAGGTCAGACAGATTGCCACCCAAGCTAGAATAACGAGATAAAAAGCTCTTCACGAGCAAGAGTAATAAGGATATCATCCATCGTGATAATGTAGAAGAAAAAGTTGGTAATCCGAGAGGAAGATGGTACTGATCGTAGTACTAACGTCGTCATCGCGTCGCTGTGGTATGTTGAATAATTGAAAGATCGAAAATGGCACATGCTGAACTTCATGGTATCACTGTAAACCCGACGAATGCTCAAAAGAAAAGTCCGTATGCGATGTCGAATCGCTCAAAGTATGTTTCTGGCTGATTTTTCTGTGTTTTTTGTGTTTGATGATTTTGGCTTTCCCACATACGCCGCGGTGGTCGGCTAGCTACTTTCGATTCTTCTTCGATTTCCCCCCGGTGGTTGATGTGATCTCGGATTTTGATATGGTTTGTGTTAAGCTGCCAATGTAGTCTTGCAAATATCGGTTCTCGCTTTCTAGTTTGTCGTGATCATTCTTGACCTCTTCGATTCGTTGCGCTAGGGCTTGAAGAGATAACTGTAGGGTTTTGGCTTGTCTAGAACGAGTCAATAATTGAAGAATGTATCAGTGCGATGCTAACTCACTCTTGTAAGGTCTGACGAGCTTCCTTTCCCAGACGCTCGACATCCGCGGAGTCACGTCGAGGACTCATCGCACGAGCATCATCTGGAGGAAACTCCTCCTCCTCAATCTCGATCTCGGGGTGGTCTCGTGGCACGAGGATCGACGCACTGGGTTTTCGGCTGGCCATTCGGGGACGTTCCAGTCTTGAGCGACCGCGTTCAGGCTCGCCGTCGGAAATGGAAGAGGACGAAGAGGATATCGAAGCAAAGTGCATGCGATTGCTGTCAACGGGATGAGGAACTACGGGCACTGGAGCCGCGCCTTGCATGTCACTCGAGACAGCAGTCATCATCGGATTACCCACGCCCCTTAAAGTCCTCACACACAAAGAGCGACCAATGCTCGAAGTCCGCACGGCGTCGTTCCAATCGGGTAGGTTATCCAGGATAGTCGGTTGTGTTGGTGGTCGCAACGGATGACGTTCGGAAGCCAGCGAAGATTAATGGTGGACTTGAAAAGAAAGGGCGGTTGAAAGTAATAAAGGACACCTCGGTGGTTGACGAAGTGAGGTCAGTCAAGGTGCCTCGTACTTTTGTTAAGTGAGAAGGTTACAGCGATCGATTGAACGGTCGTCGAGAGGTCACCCGTTAGCTAAACTGCACGAATTTCATGTCTTGATTCTCGTTCGATTTGAAATCTGGCAGTCGAAGTGGAATGAAGTGGAAGGTCGATTGTTGTGGTAAATTATTGTAGGCTTGACAGTCGGTCGGTCGGTTGCACGTAAGTGAGTGAGTCAGGTCGGACTCATCGAATGATTCCAGTCGTGCAGTGAAGGTAGTGCTTTCAGGTACACTGAGAGTTCAGTGATGCAACGGTGAACGATGTCTTTCTAGAAGGTTGTGGGACAGGCGAGGTCAGCGATATTTGTTGCTTGCAAGGAATCAGAGGTTGGCGAGAAAAAATGGTTCGGGAACGGTAACGGTGGATGGAGGAGGAAGGTTGGGTGTGGTGGTGCTGTTGGTGGACACCAGAGAGAGAGCATTCGGAACCAGGGAGTGGAATACTATGTAGAATAGGGATTAGGGAGCCCCAGTGTAATACCGTTACCGCATTACGTACTAAGCAAGTTAGTAATAACGGAAGAACTAAGCATTGCTAGGTTACTCAGTACCCTGGAAGTGAGTTAGCGGGTACAGAGTATGTAACGAGGTACTGTAATGCCGGACGAAGACTAGTTTACTACGCATAGTATACGTAGCACTATGTACTAGTAGGAGTAATAGTAGACTTCGAGAGAACCCACCGAGCTAAGTCGGGTTCCTCTTTCCCTGTCCCAAGCGCGCTGCCTCAGCCAGTAGGATCGCTCCCTTTCTTTCGCTCCTCTTTGACTTCCTTACTCCTTAGTCTTACATACTATATAACTACTCGTCAATCGTATGTAGTACGCTCTCGGGTGCCGGTCCAGCAACCGAGGCCAAACAAGGAAAAGCACATACCCGATGGCATCTCTTTCATCTCAACGGCATTACTGCACCCCGTTCAGTGCTCACCACTCGACTCTCACAAGTACACTGTACGGAGTATAGCAGATACAATGGCAAGAGGGGTACGTTTCACTGCTTTGAGTATTCATTACAGACTAATACAGAATGTCCAATCGACGAGCGGACATCGCTTGGTGGAGGGGTGGACGAGTGGGTAGCAGATCAGCCAATGACACGCTGCTGGTGGAGTCTCCCTTTGCTTTCGAGGTCAGCAGTTCATTACCGTATCGTCATATTACGCCCACTGCTGTGATTGCCATTGATTGGTGAGAGGTTACCGTCTTACCAGGCGTATTATATAGTAATGTAATTTAGTCATATTATAGTAATATAATACTATGTACATCCCCAGATCCACGATTGGCCGTACAAGGCAACTCAGCTTCCGTGGCAATGATGATCAAGCGAATAGATTGAATGAGATTACATTTCTACTGAATCATATCATGATACAAACAACAACAAAAAAGTATAATCGCTACGGAGCAATCAAATACATCTACGAGCTGGTTTTATCGTTATATGGTACGCTATCCTAGCCCCTCCCTACGTAGGTATGACTACTCCACGGCGGAGTCCCTCGTCCTCGTTGCGTGATTATCTCGAGAGCTCTTGGCCTGTTGTTGAAGATCCTTATTACATAGTAAGTCATTAACAGTGCGACGTGGGATCATCACTCAGCATGTACTACACTGACTAAACAACGGCTTCTTCCAACACCCGTCTGCCGTAATCTATTAGAAAATGAACGAAGGCATATTATTATGATATTAATCTAATAGAGTAACCACTAAAGCATATCAAAATCTGTCCTACGTAGTAAGTCATTCGCCGGTTTTCGTACCATGAAAGTATGTATCCATACTAGTCAGGATTGAACCAAAGTATCCACTCGCACAGGCACAAACAATAAGGGAAATCCATCGGAAAGATAATCGATCGGCCATCAAATACGCCAATGAACGATTTGCTTGACGATGATCTCCAGCGGTGTTGTTTTACCATTGCTCGATTAATTTCTACACCCTCTATCGCATGCTACGAGGCAATATCTGGTACTGATAACGTCGCAATCATTGGTATGATAAATGAATGTATATTGCAGCCAAACCCCAAAAGAGCGATTTAAAGAACGGTACGAACTATCTCCATCGGAAAAAGACAAAAAGAGAAACCTCCCCGTCCACCAATCACATCGCAGGATAGACAGTTCTTGATCTAACATTGCCTGAAGTGGTTAGACAAAACGATCGGAATAAGACATTCTAATTGGTTGATTTGGGCAGGCTTCTAACCTTACTATCTTAGTGCGTATCAATGTTACAACACTGTAAACTGTAATACAGCGGAAAACTTGTGCCCAGTAAGCCTGCTGTTAGGCTTTTAGCCCATTAGTTTTATGGGGTTTCATGGATGGCGAAAGATGAAACCTCAATTTCTCTATCTACTACTGAGTATGTGGTTTCGCACCGTCTGCAATTCCATGAGCCTCCTGGAAACCATTTCCATCGCCGTGATGATCTTACTAATCCTACACTATCAATACGTATGACGATGTACGTACAGCAGCCGATCGATGAAGTCATCGGAATGTTGATCAACTGCGATCATACACATTCTTTTCGTTCACGTCCAACAAAAAAAGCTGAATGAGACGCCTTTTCTGGTACGAGTCAGATTGAGAAGAGCGAGCAATTAATCTCACGAGTGATTAAAAGTTCTTCTTCATGCAGCCCAATTCTAGGGGGACAAGGCAGTCTGCATCCGCGGCCGTCCCACTGGCACCGAGCCGCTGGTTCGTGGCTATCACCTAATTAACTAAGTACGGGAACTGTTCAGTGTGTCAATTACATCCCTTGTATTTTGCCTTCCAAAAGTATGGAGCACACTGGAGACTGCAAATTTCAGGCAACGTCATCTGTTTCAGTCTACGTACATTTTTAGAAAAGTGCAAAGTGCAAGTTGAGGCGAAACGGTGTCACAGACAAGGGCAATTCTACATATGCCATGTAGAATAATCTCCGTCGCCGTATTCCTGGGTAACACTGATTGATCATCTGTCTGGGTTGTGGCCACTTGGAGTTTCACCGAGAGCGGCCATACGGAGCCCACGGAGTCCGCCTGCACTACGAGCACCCAACGATGGATCAAGACAGCAAGGCCAGCTGATCTCTGCTACTACTGCTGATGCTAGTAGGTCTCCGGAAGAGAGGAGCATGCTCCGTAGATTAGGTGGCATCGTTAGTAGTACAGTGCTAGATACATCGTGAATAGAGGCAAAAACGTGGTTGGATAGAGTTGGGTCTAAAAGTGCTGAAGAAATCAACCTTGGTGGGCGCTATTCCGCTTTCTGTGCAGAGGTGGGGATGCCTTGTCGACTATTGTTTCTTGTGCCTAGTATTTATCTTAGGGAGGATTATTTTACTTGGCCAGGAAACGGCTCAGGTCTGCTGACATCAGGACGGATTGATTTGATCTGAAATCCAGTCAATTCAATCAAGAACTATTGTCGATGTTGGCTACTACCAAAAATAATAATTGCATCATCTTCGTATCGATCTGTCGACGGTGATGTATCGAACAAGGTTCAGGTTCACTGCTGTACAGGGACTAGTTAGATATCTTTACCTTCACCGCTGGATGGATTTATCCAATAGGGGATAATGGTGCGACCTCACGTGGATGCAACAGAATCAGTAGGCGGAATACCATACCGAAAGTGAGTGATACTACGAGGACATGCCAGAAAGTACTAATAAATTGTCTACAAGTAATGGCGATAGAAGAATACAAAACTTGAACCAAAAAGGAAGGAACGTGGAAGCCAGCGACAGCCGTTGGTTACGCCTTCCATCGCGGCGCCACATCGACCAAGCTTTTTAGCCTCTCTTTATTCTCTCTCACCTTTCACTTTCAACTTCAAGAAGAGTTGTCTGTCTCGTATTACAAGTGGTAAATTTAACGAGGCAAATGGCAGGCCAATGGCGACATCCACTCGCTAAATTTCCCGCGTGACATCTGTTGCCGCCCCCTTGGCAGATCACCGTCTCCTGGATCGTTGAGTTAATGTCTTGACTATTGACGTCTGTTCTGGTCGGACACTGCTCCATCTAATCGTGTCAAAGAGTCGCAGTCTGTGTGGTCATCCTCATACGCAGTTTGAGTGGCAGTGTGTAGGGGGTATAGGATCGACATATCTGAAACCGACCGATCGACACGAGAACTGCCGCTGCCGACAGACCAACCATGATGACAATGGTGCCATGTACGGTCACCACGGTGTGTCTTTTGAACAACCGCGATTACCCGGAGAAGCATTTTGCTACAATCGACTTAATTCACAGTACTACGCATAGTTGGGCCGCAAACATCTATTCAATCAACTAGTTCGGTGAGTAGTGCCACCTAACTACTCGGCTGGCTACAGCACTCACGGGAGTGAAGAAGGATCCAACACCGACTCCACGCCTTTTCGGAGACAACCGGCCATGTCCGATGGTAGACTAATATCAAAAACCTGCTACGGGGTTAGCTTTTACTACGTAGTTTACTGCCAGGGAAGTACAGACTACGGAGTAGTGCCTGGTCTAACCAAAAGCCGGCATCAGCGGCACCGTATTAATTTCAGGGATGACCTCCGGGATATAATCTCCCCCACGCTTTTCGTCCGTTCTTGATGGCAAATGGTCATATCGGGCCTTTATCATGCGGGTTACTATACTAGGGCTCTCTCAATGTTTCTGGATGCGGTAATAGGTGCTTCTACTAGTGATCCTTTTGATACAAATACCCAGATACCGGGCTAACTTACACAGATTTAGAAGTTGCGTAGAACAAAGGCATTATCGAATTAGCAATGGGATCCCTGTCGCAGCGTGGCCGCTCGGTACAATTTGCCTGCAAGAGAATGGGGCCAAGCAGGAGGATTTCTGAATTAGCTTACCACATGGCGTGTTGAATGGCACTATGGAATTTGTGCGAAGAACTAATTAATATCTCCGACAGTCACTTCGTACTAATATGAACATTTCATTGTCGCATTGTCCATGAGATTCATACGATACTGAGGTAGTATCTACGGAGCGACGAAGATTATAGCAGAACCTTGGAAGTTGGACGCATTCAATGACATAGATACAGCGTACTAGGTAAGGGAGAAACAGGTTTCGCATCCTGACGTGTTAGTTGGTGGGCGATATGCAGTCACAGCAGCTACTGCACATAGTTGCATACATTACCACAATCCCTAAAGACGCAGCATGGATAAGGCTACATATCTAACGGCTTACTCGTTTCATTTCAAGATCAGTGATACGTACTACCTAAAGGTAACCCGAGTTGAACCCTTCCTGTTTTATTATCTCGGTTCTGTTGTCGTGGCCGTAGCCGACTGCTGCGGGGACGCTAGACACGCTTATTCTGATTGTTCCTAGATAAGTTCCAACTCTCAGTCAGACATACTCGTAGCCTCAGGTCCTCTTCTGTGGCGAATTGTCGCCCTCATACCAGGCAGCATTCAAACAGCCGCGCTCTGATTACAGAGATCATGTGCCCGCGTAGTGACTGCACGTAGCTGTCATGCCGTTGGACCAAGATATGAGACATATCACGTGGTAAAGATGTACATACATAGCTGAACACTGATACATCCCCACAGTCCATATACACACCCTCAACATACGCCGCGGTTACCTAGGTAGACCGTTTCCCCGTCATCTCAAATCAACAGAATGTCAGTGGACGAATATACTAGCACAGCCTCAAAGTCGCAATCTGTCGTGTGTCTGCTACTACAAGCAGTAAGGCTAGTCTGACGCCGAACCATGGAATCATCGTGAAGTTATTGGATTTGAAACTTTATAAGTTATCTATTGAGATTGAGATGTAACTTACTTTGGTGTACCGTAAGATATGAAAGTTGTACCAGTATTGATCAATAAATAGTAGGATACATACAACGACTTACTCAAGGTTTCTGTGGTACATTCAGCATGATACACACATACATATCCTTGTCGCAAAGGCTAATATATTACCTACCCCTCCAGTATAAAATCCTCACCAACCACTGACAGACCCCACCAGAGCCCAATATCAACAGTGCCCACTGTACCGTGCAGATTTAATAATTAACTATGGAGCTTGGGTATGGATAGATGCATATCCGTGTTGACACCACATCGAACCCATGTCTCATCACACTCTAACCAGGCATAGGTCAGGGTCTGTGCGGTCAATTACTTGCCTACTATGTAGGGTATGCACATGCATGTAAACATCCCGGCAACTAATACGTATAGTAATATAAAATCAGATGTTGGTTGACCGAAGTACTGCCTACATAGGTAGTAGTACCTACGCAAGTGTGTTTATTAGGGTGCAGATGGTTAGGGCTATTTTGCCGACACGTCGGATACAATCTGAGCCGCGGAGTTGTGCCAAAATGTCGTGCATAATCATTCAATAACGAGCGTTTTGATACAATGTTGCTCTGTCGATTGCGGTATAGCTAAGCGCCCATTCTATCCCTGCTCAGCATAATATAGGAGGATATTCCAAGGGATGTGTCTAGATTAGGAGAGCACCAGAACTCTTTTTGATTGCTCCATTGAAAATACGAAGGCAGCTCGACTTGTACCTCCCATATCGCTGCTGCAAACTTTTTCGAGGTCGTCCTGACTAAAGACAATACCACTCTCGCCATCGTTTGCAGCTCAGCCAACAAGCCTTTCAGCATTGATTACCAACGGGAGGCCACCAGAGATATTGATACTCTGGCCCTGCTCCCGTTGTATCTGAACGGTATGTGAGACCGTCGGTTCCATGGTAACGTCGTACTCTCATCTCTCAAGGGTGATACCTCGGCGTACCTGATCAATTGATACAGTTACAACCGCTTGACCTCACCGTTCGACGTCTTGAGCCACCACAGCACATCATTCGCAAGCTTCCGCTTTCCATCCTCACACCCAACCTCAAACACAAGTGTAGGCCCCCGAGTCTTGGTTCTAGGTCTCGGAGGATATTGCGGTCTATACGCTTTATCTGCCCTCTTGCTACGCTCAGGCGTCTTTGAAGAGCGCCGCTCCCAAGGAATCGCGCCGTTTATCCAGGTCGTTCATTGCCGATAGCTTCTTCACGAGGGCAGGCCTAAATCTTTCCTTCACACTCGCATGCGCGTCCATTGCGAGTTTTACCATGAAAACCTGCGAGCGAAAATAAACCATTCAAAGGAAGTCCAGTCGGTAGGATCCTGAAAATCGCGAGAGAAGCGTTCTTGATTGAGGTTTGTGAAGATCAGGTACTCGCTTCTTTGGTCCTGTTGGTATCGGAGGAGTTTTGCTTCGCGGAAGACGGCGGCGGAGTAGTGCTCAGCATCTTGGTATTCGTGGATGGGTATATTGGGACTCAATCCTTGGGGCCAGCGCTCGTCGCTGTATTCCAAGGCAGGTATGACACGGTGACAGCTAGCATTGAGTCTCACCACACGATTTTACTGACATCGTGAGCCCTGCTGTGCGTGCAGTCACAAAGAATTCGCTAGGATTTGACTTGGGGTACTTTACGCATGATTCATGATGACGCGTGTAGACTTGGATTTCTCTGATAGACGAGCAAGGATATGAATCGCTGCTGCTCCTCAGGAAACAGTACGACGCCAAATTGACCAGCCAATATATGCGGAGGATCTCCGGGACAGGTAAAGGATGTAGATGTAGATGTGGATGTTACACGGCTTCAGATGATGTCAACTGGTAGTGTATGCCACCGTACACGTTTTGTAGGCACCAGATGGTACATGTTACGAGCAACTCAATCTCCAAAATACAACACGATGAGAGCTTCCTGTAATTAATTCCTGGGTCAATTCTCGTCACACAGATACGCGGCTTAACTACACCCCAGCGAATGCATACACACAGACATGCATACGCATTGGCCCTCCAACCGACCGACAGCAGAGCGTTGATCGGAATCCATGCCTTGCGCTTCCCGTGAGACCAGATCTTCATTACCTCAGCATCCTGGAAATAATTCTAATCCCAACTGGACCGTTTGTTGACAGCTGATCTCGTTTCGGACACGAGAGACGGTGGTGGGTATGTGATTAATTGCCTAGATGGGTAATTAGTTTCCGTTTCGGGACATGGGTTCAGAAGCTGTCTGTCTGTATGTATGAGTACGGTATGCATATGCAACAATCTGTGCGTGATCGCGACGAATCGTTTTATGGCTGCAAGTAGGATCCAGGTTGGTGGCAGCGTTTCGATGTCCCCCGGTCTTGGTAAATATGTCGTACATCATGTCAGATTGACAACATGAAGTAGTTACACAAAGTGTTTCGGGTGTCGGGGGATAATTTTCAGCTGCGCTGATCTTATGATCATTACATGGACAAGACTAGCGAATGGCTTTCCGATTCTTATAAGACTCTGATTTCCAGGCCTTTGGATATCCATGTCCATTTCCAGCTACAAACAGAAAAGATAACACCAACCCAATCAACCGCTCTGTATTTTAACTTCGGATCAAATGATACATAGTGCAACTGCAGTCATGAAACAACAAGATGAAGCTTATCGGCGACCCATGTACGACCGATAAAAGTCATCAGCTGCACTTCCTCCGACTCCAATGCTGCCTCCGTTCTGTCCGTAACCACCCAGTCGCGAGCCCAATGATTGCCCTGCCTTTTGTGCTGCGCTGACCTTGGCCTGGAGCTCGGCTGTGCCTTGGTCGATCATTTGGAGTTGGGAGAGATGTGAGTTGAGGATGCGGACGATTTGGGAAATCTATCAAGTCAGTATTCTCCTTGCAATCAATAACCGGATGTTAGGACTCACCGGTTCATCCGTCTTGTTGGTCTTGCTCAATGAAGAAGATGCGTTGTTGATTTCTTCAATCATGCTTCCTAGATCCTTGCCCATTTCATCCAAGCGCTCAGAAAGCTTCTCCGCGAGTTTGTAACTATACCATATTAGTAAATCACTTGGATAAAAGTCCGGCAAACACGTACGTTCTCTCGCGCTCCTGATCAGGTCCCTGAAGAGTCTCGCCTGGACCAACCTGCTTCGATAGCATCTCATCGACCTCCCGCTCATATCGATCGAGCCATGCGTTGAGTTCTTCTTGTTGTCCTTCAACCGATGCAAGTTGACGTTCGACTTCCTGAGTCGCACGCTCTGCATCAACTGTGTTTCCGAATATTTTCTGCACCTTGCCGCTATTGGCCACAAGCATGCGATCCCATTCCGCTACCTTCTCAGCTTGCTCCTTGAACTCCTTTTGGTATTTTGTGAGATCGGTGGCCCACCGCGTGATAATCTCGTCCATAGTTTTGTTCTTCAGGCGTGACTGAGCAGGTGGTGTGGGTCCGAATGTCGAAGCTCCAAGATTTGGCGTTGCTGCTTTGGGAGCACCGCTAGGAGCTGCTGGAGCTGCGGCAGCAGGGGTTGCCGTAGTCGTAGTAGCGGGGGCAGTAGTTGCAGTTGTGGCCGGCGCCGCTGTAGTTGTAGTAGTTGTGGCTGCTGGTTTCGCGCCGAATAGTCCACCACTTGGCGCCGTCGTTGCCGGGGCTGCTGCAGTGGTCGGTGTGCTAGTTGCAGTAGTTTCTGCTGGCTTTCCGAGGCTAAAAAGTGAAGGAGCAGCTGCAGGTGTTGATGAAGGAGTAGTAGACGATGTGCCACCTAAACTGAATAGACTTTTCTGAGGAGTGGCTTCAGATGCAGCCGTTGTTGTGGGTTGTAATGGTGATGCGGTTGCTGCTGGAGCACCAAACGGAGAAGCAGGCGCATTGCCTCCAGCATTGGCAGCAGGGAGCTTGAATAGACTGGATGGTGCTTGTGTGGTAGTTGTAGGAGATGCCGCCGCAGCGCCAAAAAGAGGTTTGGCAGCGCCCTCTGATGTCGCTGGAGGCTTAGGAGCACCAAAAAGAGTACCTCCGCCTGTGGTAGAAGGTGCAGCACCGAATCGCGGCTTGTCGGTAGCGACGGGAGCTTGTCCAAATAGACCACCGGCGGGKGGCTGAGATGTCGTGATTGTTCCAGTAGCTGTCGTTTGTGAAGTTTGTCCACCACCAGGCAGTGTTTGTTGAGTGGTCTGGGCACCGAAAAGAGACGGTGCCGACCCTGTAGTACCACCAGGAGGGGGATTGGCTGGTGTTGTGGTGAACATGTTTGAAGCGGGTTTTGTCTGAGCTGGAGTATTGCTGCCGAAAAGACCACCGCCAGCACCAGGCTTCGCACCAAACAGACCACCAGCTGTCTGCGTCGGAGCAGGAGCGGCTGCCTCTGTGGTTTTGTTTGGAGTTTGGTTCATGCCGCCGAACGGAGATGCTGCGCCACCGAAACTGAAAGCAGGAGTACTGGCACCGCTTCCAGCACCTGTTGTTTTGGCACCAAAAGGATTATTTTGCGTAGAGCTGGTGTTTGCCGTGCCAAATAGTGATGGAGATGAAGCGCCGCTTGAAGCACCTCCTAGATTTCCAAACAAGCCGCCCCCAGTCGTGGCTGTTGGTGTTTTCGACCCGAAAAGCCCACCACTGGGAGCTCCAGTGGATGATGGCGCGTTAAAAGAAAATCCACCCGACATGTTTGTTATGATCCGAGGGTTCGATACTGGGAACAAAGAAAGTCAGTAAGAGTTTGAAGTTGGAAGCTTAGAGTGTAGCTCACAAGAGCGCAAAGCGCGCGGAAAATAACAAGAGTACCCTACGAATCAGGCAATGAATAATTCTCCAATTCTTCAAGCACTGATGATATTTGAAAGTCGAGCGCGGTGTTTAAATCCAAAAGTGATGATTGTTATTGACTCGCAAGTTCTAAGTTCTATTCGATTTGAGTAAGTTAACGCGGTGATTGAAGGTCCGAGCTTTCAGTTGGCGGCCTGAGGTGTCAGGCAGCAAGGCAGTAAGGCATGAACGAAGTGTGGCATGGCCTGGGCCGCAATCGACCAGATTTATTAACGAAACAACTCAGCTCGCTTTCTGTCCCTCCCACGACATCCGGACGGCATCCGACACTCCTTTACACATTAAATGCTCCGAATTGCCAGCCTCAATGTCAGATAGCTCTCACAGCTCTCCCAGCTCACACCTCGAGCCGCCGCAGAAAGGCCCTGAGCTTGAGGACCCCGGTGCTCAGGAGTCTGGTACGTCATTACCCCATTCTCTCGTGCTATTCGTGACTCACAGTTCTGCTACCATAGCCAGCGAAGACGATCACTTCTCCGACGCCAGCGAAGGCCAGACCGAAGCTCGGTCAAGAAAGTCCTCCAGAGCAGCTTCACCCGTGCCGATAACCCGCGTGGAAAGAGTGGACGACGAGCCTCGTCACGGAGAGGTGCCGGGCACTTCGGCTTACGACAAGAGGACCCTAGATGCAGTCCCGGATGAAGTAGAGATCGTTCCAGAAGGTTCACGGAGCCGAAGTTCGTCGAGAGTAGCAGAACCAACCAGTCCCGGAGGAACTCCCATCCCACGGACCATGGTTGTCAGAGTGGACGAAGACCCAAGCTACGGAGAAGTGCCAGGGACAGAAGCATATGATAAACGAAAAGCAGATGCCGTTCCGGATCTTGTCTTGAAGACACCCGGAGACGAACAAACATCAAGTGAATTACGCGGAGAGGACTTAGACCAAACAGTCCCTGAGACTCGACTATTCAGAGTGGATTCACTCCCCAAGGAGCCAGGATCGCCGGGACTTCACGCCCACCGCAGGAGCCCAAGTGATGCATTGCCAGACGTTATTGAGACCGTGCATGATACGACCGGTAAGCCTGACATCTATTAGACACGCCGGATTGCCGAGTAGCCTGTGGTAATCTCATGCTCTTCTCTTGGACCTGGATTGCTCAACACCCGCTCTCTGGACAATTTGGCAGCGTGTTTCCTTCCCTGAGACTACCACCTTGGCTTCTTGCGTACAGTATGACCCGTGCTAACGGCTCAATGAAGGAGATGATGAAGATGAAGAAGGCGATGACGATGACGAATTTGGTGATGAATTTGATGATTTCGAAGAAGGCGCCAATGCGGCAGCAGATGATGATTTTGGCGATTTTGACGAAGGTTTTGGTGAACCAGTAGAGGGCGCAGTTGGAGATCAACCGGGAGAAGGGGAAACATTAGAGCAGCCTTCTACGCCGCTACCTCTCGTAAGTTCTATATTGATCTTCATTTTGTCACACGTTATTGACCCTTTTCAAAAAGCCGCCGCTATTAGATTTCACCTCCACGGCATCCTTGTCCGATCTTTTATTCATAACTAACGACTCCCTTGATACCCTATTCCCCGAAACAAAAACAGTCCCCTCATTACCATCATTGGAAGCAATACCAGATTCTGCAGCCATTTTCAACAGCGAACGTTCACTCTCTTTATGGTCACAATTAGTCGCGCCTCCGCCATTACAACCTCCAAACTGGGTGAAATCCCGGATTCGACGTCTTTTCCTTGTGTCTCTTGGTGTTCCAGTTGATCTAGACGAGATATTGCCAGCATCAAAACAGAAAAAGCTTATATTGCCTTCCATCAACCCAGAAGACTCAAGCACATCTGTTCGCACAAAAGCAATAGAGAAAGCTAAGCAAGGGGATGCAACGACCCCGCAGAATGACTCTACAACATCAGTCAATTCTACGATCTCGCGGCAAAAGTCCAGTCGACGTCGCGGCCAGCCAGCACCTCCAGAGCTAGATCTTTTCGCAGTGAGGAGGTTGTGCGCAACCACAGATGCAGCTTTGGGCGGATTTACAGACTCTGAACTCGAGCAACACGTGGTATCGCTCGAGACGGCATCTACAACGGCAAAGGACGTGCTCGACTATTGGGTTAAGAAGACAGATGGACTCATAGGCGAGAAGGAGGCCTTTGAGGGCGTGATTGAGAACCTAGTCAATCACGCTCGACGAGCACGAAAGTAAAGACTTGAAGTGACTTTTTTCGTTCTGTTGACTAATGTATAATTACAATGTTGGTGATGGCTGTTAGGCGATCTGGTATCTGGCCTTTAATGCTGGGAATGGGAGTAAGGATTCGGGATCAGGTGACGATTATATTCTGTTCTTGTATATACTATATATTATAATTATCACCAACCTTTTTGACTGCTAAGCATCAAGTATCTCTTTTTTGAAGCATCCTAGGCTACAGACTACTATCTACTGGGCTGGAGACTGGCGGCGAGACTGGACTTGAGCGTCAGCAGACTGCCAATCCACCGTCCCTTGCGCAATACCCTCCTGATCGTGAAATTCACGGATCTCAAAATCCCCTCGACTAGCCCTCATCAAGTGATCCTTCTGGGTCTCATTCAATTCCTCCTCCACTCTAGTCCAACTAGGCCAGATAGGCTCCACGCCTCCATCATCCTCGATACTCTTCCCTTGAACAATCGGAATCTGAATCCCAGCGGAATATAAGGCATTGAACCATAGTTCTTGCTTCTCATTCATCCGGCTAGCCCATCGAGGCCAGTCAGGCATGTAAAGTATGTTGGCAGGTAACTGTCCCCCGCGGTCTGAGATCGTTTGCGCCCACCAGAGTTTTGGGTTGCTGACGCTGACGACATTGGTCTGGAGTTGATCCGCGGCGGATGGTTGGGTTGGATTAGTGGAATCTTCAGGGGGGTATCTAAACGTGAACGGGTATGCTGAGGGGTCGCTCGGCTGGTTCTGTTCCTCTTGTATTGCGGAGACTGATGCATGTTAAAGTTATCCAAATCCAAAGAGGTTGATATCGACTTACGTATTTGTTGCTTAATTGGCCTGGTGGTTCTAGTCGAGCATGTCTGGCCTAGCTTTCTACCGCGTTTGGAAGGCCCGGCTAACGTCTCTGCGGTTTCATTTTGGAAGGAGTCTGAGATGTCAACACAGCATTGAATACACAGGATATGCTTGATTCGAGACTCACATTGTTTTGAAGGACTGGACCCCGTCTGTCGCTGACGTTTGGCTGGCTGCGAGGGCTCGGCATCATTTGATTCGGCAGGTGCTATGGCATGGTCAGAATAAGAGAGATGGAAAGAAGAGATGACCTACATTTCCGCTTCACTGTCGAAATCGAATCATCACCTGCTGTAGGCGAAGGCAACGGTGGTCTAGGAGGGTGTCCGCGGACCATAAGAGCCCAATTCTGACGAGCCAATTTCTGTGTCGGTGGTCCATAGCCCGTAATGCCAGACAGCGGATTCTCTGTACCAACTGAGACTGTAGACTTTTCTTGGTACTTTGCAAGTTCAGCTTTGAGGGCAGCAATTTCATCCAACTTGTCATGAATGAGCCATGGGCGGATCTGTTTGTCGCCGGAAAAGTTCTCTTTGTAACGGCATCGTTGACCTGTAAGGGCGCAGGCGTTGCATGATGCACTACCTGGGATGAAATGACATGCCTGTTTGCCAAGCTGTTCAATTGAGATTGTTTCTCGCGTCAGTATTAGTTCTGTCTGCGAAAGGGTATACAAGGAGACTGAAGTCTAGCCCTAACGAACACAGGATCAAGAAAATTTACCTTACAACGCCGACAAGCACGAGGAGCCTTCGCGTTCGTGGATAATCCTTTCTTTTCTCTCTCTACTCTTTCTTTCTCATCATTAACCCGTATTGCGTCGGAAAGCGAATCATCACCCGAGTCCAGGTTGTGCTCAGGAGGATAATGACGATTGCCCAACTTTCGGGGCTTCCGAGGACGATATTTCTCTTTCGCCTCGGTGAATTTGCGCACCGTATCGAATTCAACATTATCGCGTAGCTCTTCGAGTCTTGTGAGCTTTCCTTGCACCCTAAGCAGGTCATCGCTCGTCTTCCTGACTGTTGCCTCGGCGTCCGTCTGGGTTTTGCGAATCTTCTCGAGTTGATACGCGCCCATTTTCTTCCCTGCATACCCTAGTCTGAATCTCGTTCTACTATCCGCAGCGCGTGCTTCGGCCTTTGCCTTCCTCTCGCCCAGATCTGCGATTCTTCTGTTGGTCGCCTCAATGTCCGCATCTATCTTCTCGAGCTGGACACGAGCCCATTCGTTTATTTCTTGCTGTAATGTTACTGCTTGTTCATTCCCACCTTCTTGCCCAAATATATCAAGCATCTCGGCGTCTTCGTCACCATCTTTAGCACCCCCGCTATTTCGTGCTCGTTGCTTGCCTTTATTCGTATCGGCGGCTACGGGGGCTAGGTTATGTCCCAGGGGCACCGCATACTCTGAATCCAGTTCATAAGGGGCATCTTGATTAGTATCTTGACTCTCACCGTCACTTCTGTCAATACTAATGACAGATGATTCCTGGCATGAGTAGTCAGTCAGCCTCCGTCCTATAATTAATGCTCATAGATAACTGACTCTATAATTCCTGTTTGAAGCAAGCGAATTTTTGCTTCTCGTTGATCTAGTCATGTCGAGATTCTTGATATAATATAGGTTATGTATATGCACAGTATGTTTCTTTGATTTGTTTTACTTTTCTGCTTTCATCCCAGACAGGCGAGTGAACCTCTACTTATATCACAAGAAAGCCTACATTGCGTCGGAAAATTATCAGCACTGACCCGGATCAGCCTTAAAGGATTCGACAATACGCATTGTTTGCAAGACATGGATTGCATTGTATTCAGCTTTGTATTTTTGTGGTGACAAGACATACGAAAGAGGCATGAAAGGATTCGGGGAGTCATCGATGGGAACAAAGATGCGAATCCCGGCCGTACGCGGAGTCGCTCTTGGACTCTGGGGACATGACGGAGGTACACAGGAAGGATAAATGCCTTGTTCTGCTCGATCGTGAGTAGAATGCATTGTATGGTCTTGGTTTCCGGAGTTTGCAAGAAAGAAGCAAGCTACATTGTTGCCATATATGGGGGATACATACCCAGAATGGGAATTTGATCAACCCTAATCTGAAGATCACTCAATCCGTATCTCAATGTTAGATGAAATTTTGGTTTTATTCTCGAGCCGAAATATAAACATTAAAAAAAAGGGGTAAAATAGGTATCACGGCGATATCGAAACCACCTCTGGGAACACCTCGACGCCTTCTCTTCAAGAAACTCCACTCTCATGGATAACAGATGTGCTAAGTGCTTGAAAAGTGATAAATAAGACAATCAAAACGAGTGACGAAATATGAAAGTCATGTCAAGTAACATGTCAAAAGATCAAGTATAATAGAATAGGTTACAAATGAAGCCGCTAGAGCAAAATCGTCATGATAATCATCAGATACAACATGTCCTCGAACAGAAAAAGGCAACAGAACTCAGAAAAATGCCAATATCCAGATGATGAGTATGCAACATATGACTCCAAACCGAGTAGCCCAATATATGCAAATATAGATGCGACAGCCGCCGAAGGGAATAGAGAAACTACCTGACCCAAAATGAGAAAATCAACGAAACACGGCCTTCTTGGCAACAGTCTCAAACTGGATTTTATTTTGATACCGTAAGGGCCCGCCGCGCTCGAGCCATGGCTGAAGATTTTTGCACTGGCTGACGTTGAGGTATGAGAGATTTTGGCATCCATCTGCAACTGCTTCAACGCCTATACCTGTCACTCTGACACAACCCCGGACAGATAGTTCTTGGAGGAGCAAAAGGTGCAGACTCAAACTTCTAAGGGAAGGATCTGAGACAGCGGAGCCGCAGAACGACATGTTTAATTTGAGTAGCTGTGGGCATTGCAAAGCTAAGACTTCCGTAGCAGTGTCTGACAGAGCACAGCAAAATGACTACTCGACATTAGCATAATCGGATCTACCCAAATGAGAACTCTCACATACCAAATCTAGTTCTTGTAGATTCTTCGCAGCATTGGTTAGACAAACAATGGCATGATCTGTCAAATATGTGCAATCGGCTAGACAAAGTTTTCGTAATCGTGTGAATTGAGCGTTGCCCCAGTATTGAAATCCCTGGTCTGTAATGGTGGTACACCTCGTCAAATCAACCTGTTCAATGCGAGGAGCAGCATGAGAAGCGATGTGGTGCATTGAGCGGTCGGTGACATGTTTGCAATAGGATAAAGTCAGCTTTTTTAGCTGTGGACAGCCATATACTGCACCTGCAGCAGTCTGTATAGTGGGCTTTAAGTTGTTTTTTGCGGCTATATTACTGTGTTGGACCAGCGTTGCCGATGGAACTACCCATCCAACTAGTCTGGCCAGGAGCGTGTCGCTCACTTTTCGACAGTTACTTAAATCAACTTCTTGCAATCCTGTCGCCTTGGTTGCCATTTCTAGTATGGCCGTCGCTGTCACATCCCACACACTTTTCATTTTCCATGCTCGGACATTATGCCCGCATGTTTTGACCAAAGTACTAAAGCCTTCGTCGGTGATGTGGAAGCAATTATTGATATCGATGTAGAAAGGTCGGTCTTTAACGAATGGACAGATAATGGTAGATAGTACGTCGTCGGTGACTTTGCGATTGTAAAAGCTGAGGTCCAGGTGTCGACCAATAGTAGGCGATTCCGATAGGATTTTAGACCAATGGACACAAACAGCACGTAGGCGTAACAAATGATGCAGCTCCAAGTACTCAAATATGCGAACAAGTACGCTATCTGGTAAGAACCCACGATTCCCCTGCTGGTTCTGATACAATAAGCTCGTAGAACGTGGTCTTGTAGGTGTACCGTTCGTTTGGGACATAGCTTTAAAGGAGCTGCCAGGTCGAGGTTCAGTTGGCGTCGTCTGACGGGAACTCTCTGCGCTGGAAGTATCTCTAGGAACAATGATTCCCACAGAGCCTCGGCGCGATTTGAGCTTGACATTGTCAAGTCCGATATTGAGAAAAGGATCAGGATCCGATGGACTCAAAACAGGCATTTCCTGCTCTCCGTTCGTCTGATGTGTATTATCTAATTCGGACTCGGTCAATGTCACCAAAGGCATTGATTTCCTTCGAAGGCTGGTGACTTTGAGCTTGTCGTCTATGGTTAGCTGGTTAATTGGTGGCGTCGGGTCTTTTGCATCCGGCATCAAGACATCGGTATCTGTAGTTGATTCAAGTCGCTTCTTCGCTGTGACTTCAATCTGCTGTCGTAATTCATCCGGACATTTCTGCCAGAACTCTGCCAGCACATCCCCGCTGAGCATTAGACATTCTACAGACGTTACGGATCTCACGGTAGCAGTGCGACGAGGCGTCAATGACAAGCTAACAATTTCCCCAAAGTATTGGCCCTGTCGAAGTCGAGCCTTAACCTCGACGCCATGGCCGTGGTTTTCTGGGCCTCTGCGAAAGTCCGAGTCTCTGTTCTCGTTGAGAACTTCTACCTCGCCTCTAACAATGAAGTATATTTCGCGTCCGAGAGAATCTTGTTTTATGATATCGGTAAAAGGAGGATAGGATCGGGGCTGTAATTTCAGACCCAGGTAGTGAAGGAGGTCGGGAGTGAGACTGGAGAAGAGAGGCATCTCCTTCAACAACGAACGCACATTGACGGATCCATTTGCAAGAGCGCTTGAAGATATGTCGGCGATACCCGGACTTGGCGACTTCCGTTTCTTGTTCGCGTTCAAAATTCTCAAATCATTTTCCTCTCCTGGAGAGAGTCCGCCAGAGTTACTTTCGCGCAAACGCTTCGAACCCCGTCTATTCATGCCCGCGGTCTGTTCTGCCGCATCATAACGCTCTTTGTTCTTCTTTTCCAGTATGGATAATCGTTCCAACGCTTCTTCACGAATGGCACGTTCGACTTCAGGGAACCGGGGAAGGATTTTTCGAAAATCTTCCTTAGTGAGAACGACGAGCAGACAGCGACTCCGTGCAATGATCGTTGCCGTACGAGGTCGGTCCATCAGAACACCAATTTCGCCGAAAAAGGCTCCGGGCTTCAATTCTGCATGCACACTCTCTCCATCGCGGGATGTCACTGCCACAGCACCTCTCACAAGCCAGTACATCGCTTTCGCCTCATCGCCCTCGGTCACAATGTAGTCGTTAGCCGCATGAAGCTGCGGGCGCAAATGCAAGCCCACTTCGGCGAGGAAAGAGTCTGGAGTTGACTGAAATAGAGGGAATTTGCGAATGCGCTCGATCAGGTCCAATGGCATGCCCTGGATCTGCGACGACGCCAATGGCGATGGACGGGCAGGCCGGTTCGGATTCAAAGCCGAGTCAAACGAGTGTATCAAGGAAACAGCTTCCGGTATGGGGGCAGCAGCTTTGGTGGAAGCACCGCTGCTGGAACGGCGTGATCGCCGCATGGCTGTTGCTCAGCTCGGGGTAGCTCTGCGCAGCTCTTTTCTGCGTCCTGGCGATTGGCGGTATATTTTGTATGTATGTGAAGGATCGTTGAGTCTCAAATTGTACTTCCAATCGGAACTCAATCGGCGTTGCGAAGGCTAGGGTATACACATGATGCGACGATTGCGCACGAGGGTTAATGACGTCGACGACGGTAGCATGGACCGTTAAAGGTCAGCGATGCGGAGGATGTACGGTAGGTACCGTTACTAATCCATATGTTAGAGACGACAGATGAATGATCCAAGTGTTGGTATGGTTGAGTACAGATAGTCTGTGGTGAGAAGGACTGGAGAAGAGAAAGCACTTACTAAAGACTAGGTATGGCGTGTAGAATAATTCTTGAGGGAAAGACCAGCCCAGGTGCTTGGGATGGCGGGGAAGGAGCGAGCGCTGTGAGAGCGGGAGATCCACCACAACCAAACTCTAGCTCTCTGAAACACCGCGCTTAATCTCTCTTTCTTTCTGTCTTGATTCGAACAGATACTGTTGAAACAATCGCTCGAAGCAAGCGAAAGAAGAAAACGATGAGACGGGAAAAAAATAGGAAAAGAGATCAGAGCGTGTGGGGGGATCAAGAGAGACACAATCAACTACTACTGCATTGCAACACTGAGCTGGAGGTGATCGAGTGCGAGTGGATACGGACGGCTAGGATATCGAATGGCTGTTGATACAGACACTACAGTCTAGTACGACGGTGCTAGAGGCGCCACGGAGAAGATCGCGGAGGGTATTCGCTGTGTGCGCGGTTTACTCTAACTGTTAAGAGGTGAGAATCAAGTGCTTCTCATGTCGAGATCGAAGACCGACGCTCTCCTCGACGACCGTTTGCATCAATACCTTAGCACAGCTGGAAATAAGTAGAATGATATTTCGAAAAATCAACTATCTTCAGCTGAGAGACTAGCTCCAAGCAGTTGGACCACTCGCTTGTCGATGAGATCACCGTAAGCTACTGTGATCGTCGCTGTATTAAAACGTCCATAAGTTCGTGTCCTTAGTCATGGCTCAGCCTAGTTGGGAATCTGGATTTCATTCGCGCCAATACATGTCTAGACTCGATGTCGTACATCGTGCTACTAATCTCAAATCAATTCAGTTATTTTTAACTTGAATGCACTTCTATACGGAATCTCTACTACGTAGGAGGAAATAAAAGCAAGATGAGACTAAGCTAGGGCTGGGTGACCCACGAGCATCCCCACTGTCTGCGTGATGAGGGAATAGATTGCGGCCAAATATACGCTCCGTACTGCTGCAGTCCAGAGTCTGCTACCTAGGTATATAGCTCATTGGCCGGAAAATCAAGAAACTGAGGCATCGCATCCTCGTAAAGTAACCAAAGAACCAGAAGATGCATGGAAACGTCAAGGACCTGCGCTAGTATTTTCTAGAAGCTTTCTAGAAAAAACCTTGTCTTGTGACGCAGAGCACACTCTGACACGGCGTCCAGTCTAAATAGATGAAAATAGATGAAAATGTCCACTTCTGGGCATGGATGCTTCGTTCCTCACCTTCTTGTTGGCTAGATCCATCAGTCCAGTCCGCACGTACGGGGMCCGCGAGTCAAGCCACTAACGGCATCCTTCCGTGGGTCATGACAAGTGTATTTCTTTCTTTCGTGAAGAAGAGCGGCGCCTTTGAATCTCGCAGCCTGTTCGCTATAGTCTTACCAGGCTAGAGACGAGGAGGTGGGATGGAATGGGGGCCATCCTGGTATTCAAAGAATGTGAAAATATTCTAGGCTTTCCTCGTTTCTACGTAATATGAATTTCTTTTTGAGAGAATCAATGCGGTTATGATGTATACAAGGTCATTGTTCCCTTCACAATGGAACAATTGGAATCGACATCGCAGCTGTGTCTTCCGTCCCTAAACGCAAGTTTGCTCAACATCGGCCCCAAATGGATGAAACCGCCCCCACTGACGTTCTACCAACATCATGGCATGCATTAGCTTACACTGACCTCTCAAAGCAGCAATGGCTTTGATCTGTGCCTGAAAGGTTGTTGGCTGCCATCGTCCAATCCGTGTTGGCTTTTCGTAGGCATGGTTCTCGAAGCAGAAGTGTGATGATCAAACAATTCCAGAAGAAAAGGTCAAGTGTCGATCATTGTCACTAATGACCCACGTATTTGTAGTTCTGCCAAACCTTCGAGGTATACCTACGAAGCCGAGCCGAGCCGAAGAGGCAGTGGTAGTGTGCCGTGTACATTCGATGTTCCATCCCGAGTCGCACGATGTTTCACTCGTCCCTCAAACGCCTTGTAAAATCATATTGACCGTCCGGAAAGAACCGGACTAAGTATTAATTGAAGGACAGATAACGTAGAGGCAGGTTGAAGTGTCTCTGAACTGGCTTTCGTGCCGACCGAGACATCGATCGCTCCCTGGATGTTTTCAGCCCGGCAAGCTCACACAACCTTGGAGTCATTGGAAGCGCCCGGTCCGAACAGATATCGAATGTACGGAGGACGATTGCCCTTCATTGTAGCGAGAGCATCCTGAGTCAATCCGTACACCAAGCTCAGCTTTAGTCCCAGTTTCGTCGTGCGCGCCGCAGTGTAGATATCGTGACGAGCTAGACAGTGACAACAGCATTAGCAAGTTCAATCAAGCTATGCTCCAGGTTAAAGATAATTACCTAGCAAGCTATAAATTCCCGAAAATGACAACCCAGCAATGACAGTTGAGAGAAAATCTCGACGGTCATGACGAGCACAATCCACAGTCTCTTCAAACAGGACAAAAGCCATCGCTCCAACACCTAATCTAGTCCCCAATCTGACTCCATCAAAAACACCACCAACGATGGCCTTGTAGTTCTTCGTCTTGTGATATTGGAACCATCCGGTGGAGGTCGTCGGGAATCTGTGGGCGTTTTCCGCTCGAAATTGGTACGCGGCTTTTCGAGCTCCGTGGTTTGCGCCGACACCGAGACCAACAGAGAATGCAGTGAGTGCTGTCAAAGGTAGACGATTTTCGATATCCATGCCGAGTCGGGGTGGTGTGGTCGATTCGAATAGCTTGTACCAATGTAAGACCTTGACCAGACCAGGTTCCTCACCCCAGCTGCGTTCTGGATGAGTGTCTGCCATTTCTTTGTAAAATCGAACAAGGTGAAAAACAAAAAAGTAAACGACGAAAGCTAGTGATGGAGGGCGCCGAAATGTGCAATCTGGAACAGAAATATGACAAGCAGTTCATGTCTGGTTATGGGGGATCTCGTTCGAGCTAAGACAAAGTTTAAGCTTGGTGTTCTCCACACTAGCCTGTTTGGATCTCCCGATACCTAGGTCATCGATGAACAATTATTTTCCGGTCAAACTCCATTTACCAAGCCTCATCATGGTAAGTGCTGTGCAAGGAGATATATCTCTAAAAATCAACCGAAATCTATCCTCTAACTGACGCATTCACAGTCTTCAGATCCGCTCAGCTGGACCTTGCGATTCAAAAAGCACAAGACAACCGTGCTTCTGATGCTCCCAGCTCAAGAATCGATCCAATCTACAAAAGAAAAACTACACAGTGCACTCAAAGCGCGCGGCCTTACGGAAATAAATGGCGATCTTATTCCCGAGGATCCTTCAGAGCTAGAATTCGGAACACCCATCGATCGAAATGAGCTCGAGAAAGGTTGGGCTCGTTTAGACGTTCCAGCTAAAGAGAACAGCGACAGCGCAACAAAGAAATCAGGCGCAGGACGACCGAAGAAGAGCTCCTTGACTGATAGCTTGCAAGCGGCCGATATTCGTGATGGACAGGCTATTGCATTCCGGTTCAGGAAGGTTGCACATGGCGAGGATGAAGATTCGGATTTTGAGGATCCTGGATGGGATGTCCTAGTACCATCGCTTGATGATGATGAACCTGAGTGATTTATGGCGTTTATAGCCGTTGGATGAAGAATTCATGTCGTTATGCTCTGGGTAGACTGGCAACAGGTCGATGGTGTTGGGTGGCGCATTGATTCACAGGGACGGACTACAGCTGTGTTGTACAATACATATCTTCATAGATACAGCTATTTCTTACTACTGCTCTCTTTATGCTCGGCCCTTTTCAACCACTCTTTGGTCTAAACCGACCTTGGAAAGTCCTTGTCACGATAATCGTTGACTGTAGCTCGTTTCAGATTAATTCGTGTCTTATCAGAAAGTGCGTGGAAATTACCGTTAGCTAGCGGCAAGGAGGCGACTCCCTGTACATAAATCTCCGCCCACGCACTTTGACTGGTTGCCCCGACAACAACAGCCAACACGAGCAACATCAGCAAACAGAACAAACAAGGCATTGATCTCATCAAACAGATTAACCTATGCTCCACCTCAGCATTCCTTTAATTACACAATCCAACCTTCTCCTCACTTTGACATCTTATCTTCGTACTGTCGATATTGCTGTTTGACTCTGACAGCTCAAAGACACCTCAACTCCTCCGGCAAGAGGAGGCATCCGACTTACACCATCGGCCTATCGACACTGCATTTCACGCACACGACCACGACAACTCAACTGGATTCACAACGATAGAAGAGGTCCAATCTCGACATGGCTGCCTCTAGCGCCGCGTCATCGATCTCGGTGACTGTCAGAGTGCGGCCCTTCACCATTCGAGAAGCTGCACAGTTATCCAAAAGTGACGAGACACCGCTGTTTCTCGGCGATGGCTCGCTGGCTGGCGTACCTAGCACCCCAAAGCTCGCTCAGAAGGGTATTCGACCTGTCATTAAAGTCGTTGATGACAAGTGCCTGTATGTACTTCCACGAGAACTTCTTGATATTTTCGCTCACAAATAATAATAAACAGTGTTTTCGACCCGCCCGAAGATAACCCGGTTCAGAAATTCTCTCGAAGCGTCGTACCCAATGGCAAACGGGTCAAAGACCAGACGTTTGCTTTTGACAGAATCTTTGACGAAAATACCACACAGGCCGAAGTCTACGAAGCGACGACCCGAAATCTTCTCGACAGTGTTCTAGATGGGTACAATGCAACAGTCTTCGCCTACGGTGCTACAGGATGTGGTAAAACACATACCATCACTGGCACAGCTCAACAACCCGGTATTATTTTCTTGACCATGCAGGAACTTTTTGAAAGGATCGAAGAAAGAAGTGAGGAGAAAGTGACGGAAATTTCGCTCTCATACCTTGAAATTTACAATGAGACAATTCGCGACTTGCTGGTTTCTGGAGAACATCGAAAAGGTCTGATGCTGCGTGAAGATGCCAATCAAGCAGTGTCGGTAGCGGGTCTATCGAGTCATCATCCGCAGAATGTCCAGGAGGTCATGGACATGATTATGCGCGGTAACGAATGTCGTACCATGTCGCCTACTGAAGCCAACGCCACTTCGTCTCGATCCCACGCCGTCCTCCAGATCAATATCGCACAGAAGGATCGCAATGCAGATGTGAATGAACCGTTGACCATGGCTACTCTAAGCATCATCGATCTTGCCGGAAGTGAACGTGCCAGCGCGACAAGAAACCGAGGCGAGCGACTGCAAGAGGGAGCAAACATCAACAAGTCTTTGCTTGCTTTGGGAAGCTGTATCAATGCGCTTTGTGACCCTCGTAAACGGAACCATATCCCTTATCGAAACTCGAAGTTGACCCGTTTGCTAAAATTCTCTCTCGGCGGAAATTGTCGTACGGTGATGATTGTCTGCGTCAGTCCTTCAAGCCAGCACTTTGATGAAACTCAGAATACGCTCCGATATGCAAACAGAGCCAAGAACATCCAGACGAAGGTGACAAGGAACGTTTATAATGTCAACCGCCATGTTAAAGACTTCTTGGTCAAGATCGACGAACAGATGGCTCTTATCAACGAACTCAAGGCTCAGCAAAAGCAGTACGAAACAATTGCTTTCGCTAAATTCCGAAAACAGACGGAAAAGAAGGAGGCTGTGGTCCGTGAAAGCGTGGCTCGTTTACGAAATGCCTACGAGAACGCCTCGACAGAGCGACAAGAGAAAGCAACAAGCATGCTCAAATTGAGACAAGTCAGCCGAAGAATCACAATGCTGTCTTCTTGGATTGCTGCTTTTGAAGAGGTTTCCGCGTCATGCGAGAGCGAAACACCCATGGAAAACTTGCAAGCCATTCGCAAATCGGCGCAGGGCATTCTTTTCGAGCTGGAAAACACTCGTCATCATTTCAACCAAAGAATTTCAAAGAACAATTGGGATAGAGCCATTAACACTGCTCTCGAGCATGGTGTCCAGCAACTCAAGGAATTTGAGATTAGTGATAACTCGGATATCGCCAATCTCACCCGAGAGGCAGAGTTGCTCAAATCAAACGCGGAACGGGAAATGCTGACTTTGGTCGCCGACCAAGACAAAGCAGGTGATGTATCTACCGTGCAGATGCTCCTCCAAGCGCAATTTGAGATAGTATCTTCGATCGAAAACATCATGCAGCTCACAGAGGCAGAGGCTGTCGAAGTCGGCAAGAAGATATTGCACAAGATGCTGACCTCTTGCATTTCCTCCGTCTCCAACGTTGTCAAGCCAGACGGCAAGATGCCTACCATTGACATGCCTCCCACCCCCAAAGCTGACACCTCATTCCGCCGGAGAAAGTCCAGCCTTGTTGCAATTCCCTCTAGGCCTGCGCGGCTAAGCATGTCTATCCCTCCACAAGCACCCACTTCCCCAGTGAAGAACACACCACGGCGACGTAAGCTAGGGATAGCAAAGAAGGGGGTCAGCTTCACCCCAGTCAAGGCGCCAGCTCCCAAAGCAAGCAAGCGAGCTGTCAGATGGAGAGACGATGAGACAGACGGATCTCTTGCCGAGTTCGAAAAGACTCCTCAGAAGGCTATTGTGACTGTGATCGAGGCCACTGAAGAGCCAACTCTTCCACGAATTTCCCCAATGCCTAGAGACATCCCAGTCTACAACCCGAAGCTCGAGGAGTCGCTTCGTTCCTCGTCTCCGGTTCCGGAAGCACCAGAGGCTAGTATTGTGATACCCAACAAGAATAATCGGTTCAAGGCTGGGTTTTTGTCCAAGAAGCCTGAATCGCCGGTGCCGCCCACGATGTCGAGCCTTTCACTGGAAGAACACTCCCCTCTTCGCAGCATTGAGAACAGCAGCTTTTTGAACAGACCAGCGGTGGAAAGACCCTCTCGTATAGCCGTGCGATCACCTAGCGGTAGCTACCTCGGCAGCAGTCCCGTCTCTGATAGTGGGAAAACATCGTGGAAGGCCGACAAAGAGGACGCAATGAGAATTAATGCCGCGATGCGACGCATCTCCGGAAGTCAATTCGGCGGCAGCACATCCAGTGTTCCAGTAAGCAGAGCACACCGACGCCGAAGCCCTACCGCAACAGGGACACTCGGTAGCTCACCACCAGAAAGCGCCTTGTTCTCTGCTTCTGAAGCTAGACGCATGGTCAAAGGCGAGAAAAGTCACGACTTCAGACCAAGTGTCCTTGGGCCACGTGCTGTTTCAGTAACGAAGAATTCTCGACGTATTACCATGGGCGGCGACTTCCGACCTCGCGACATCAGTCTGGGAAGCCGTGATGCGGCCAGACTAAGCCTGGTAGCCGGAAGTCCCGAGTCACGATTCAGCCTTGGCCCGGCCATTCGAGGCGGCGCGTTAAGGTGAATGAGTAGGATGATATTGTATAGTGTTATGTCTGTCTTCAATGGGTGCTTGTTCAGTTTTTTCCGCCCTTATACATATTTTGGATGATGGCGTCTATGTCGTAGGCGCATACCGGATCAGTCTCGGCGTATGCTTCCTGCGTTCGTTTCTTTCTTTATACATTCTCCTATGTGTTTATACGATTCTTCAATTTTAGCAGATATGTGAATATTCTATTCTATTCTATTTTTTTAGTGTCAATATCTTCTTACTTCTGATGGCGTATTGATTCCGGAATCTCTAGAGTAGGTTATGATTGGCCAGCGAATAAGGTAGTTCAAATGACGCCACCGTTCTGAATTTCTAAGCTTCCAACTGCGACAAAAAATTGTTCCATCTCCTACTGTTGCAACAATTGACAAGTTGTCTTGCTATCTCATAATAATCTCGCATTGAGTGTATAGTACACAGTACGCGCATTCAGAAAGTCAACGAACCGCGTGACAAAGCTTAGCTAACAATCAGCCTGTGGAAGCTCTCGATCTTCGAAGCTTTAGAATTTACCGGAGCTTCTTTTCTGATCGCCACCCCGATCTATATCACCTCATATATCCACGTCGTACGTACCACCTAACCCCTTCGACATTTTTCATACTCTCTCTCTACATACACTAACTTCAGAAAGATATGACTTCTTTCCTTTCCCGCCTCTTCCGTCCTCTCTCCACAACCGCCGCACCCGCCTACGCCGTCACTCCACGCAAAGACATCATCATGCCTGACAACGCGCAAAAAGCCACTGTGGCTGCAGGCTGTTTCTGGGGCGTTGAGCATTTATATCGCAAGCATTTCGGGAATGGGAAGGGTTTGATTGACGCCAAGGTTGGGTACGCCGGTGGACATTCGGATTCGCCGACTTATCGGGCTGTGTGTTCTGGGACTACGGGCCGTATGTCTTTCTCCAGTTCTTGGAAAATGAAGTTGGCAGTTCGGCTAATGATGATACAGACGCCGAAGCATTACAAGTAATCTTCGACCCCTCCATCGTCACCTACCGTCAACTCCTCGAATTCTTCTACCGCATGCACGACCCCACGACACAAGACCGCCAGGGTCCCGACGTCGGAACCCAATACCGCAGCGCAATCTTCACACACGACGACGAACAATCCAAGATTGCGCGCGAGATAACCGACAAAGTGGCCAAGGAATGGTACAAGCAGCCCGTTACGACGCAGATTGTGGCTGCGGGACAGTGGTGGGATGCGGAGGAGTATCATCAGCTTTACCTGCATAATAATCCGAGTGGTTATGAGTGTCCTTCTCAGTATGTCTCGCGTTTTTCTTATCCTCGCTGACCATGGATGGTAGCTGACTTGTTTGATTCTAGCTTCTTGAGGAACTTCCCGCCTCTCTCGGACTGACTACGCTCTGGGCTGTAGATGAGACCGGCTAGGTCATACGTGCATAGCAATTAAATATGTTTTTCTCCAATGCCTCAATATCTTTCAGCCGTAGACTGTTGTTGTACACGTTCGTGCATGCGGCTCTGCGAACATATATTTTTGCTTATCCATCTACCCCGCTATCGCTGATAAGCATTCCACACCTGACGAAGCCATGAAAGAATATTTGAAGCGTTAAAGTAGCACTCGGGTGTATGTAAACATTTTTCAATCATTATATTCAAGATGTCAACTGGTGAGTAGCATACATGAATTGATTTCGTGTACAAGAGTGGGCTGTCCGGCCGTGTGTATATCCTTATCTACTCGGGCTTCGTTCACAGTACTTCAATACACCTCAAAGTATTATTGATCAATGGTTATCAATTGATCATCCTGATATCAAGGTGGATACATTATACTTCTTTCCCACTTGAACTATTAATTATCCGGCCAGTTAAACAGCTATCATAACCAATTTTCCTCCAATCGACCAGTTGATCCATCCCCTCACCCAAACTACGGTGGAGATGCTGAATATATGTCTCCACTAACAGCGCATACACCATACAACTTATCAGCTGATTTCCTGATATATTGGCAGCAGTCAGAATGACACGATCCCGGTTACTGCTCAATATAAATTGGTGGATCAACCGGGCCGGTGATGCTTATCCAGGCTTCCCCTCATGCCTTAATGGAGGAGGTGATCTAATTACCCGATCCGGAAGGGGTATTTAGCCCACTTCTTAAGACTCTCTACTTGTAAACTGTATAGAAATCGAGAGATTCAAATAACTCAAAAGATTGCTCCGCCTGATTTGAGAGGTATATCAGATATGCACCTGTTGAGGTCACCGCTGGGCGGGGGCCGGAGTATCATAAACAGAGCTCTGGTGCAGACTTGTTATACTCATATCGCCACGTATAGCTCATCGATATCTCGACGCCATGATCACGTCGCAAAGACCAATAGTCATGGAATAGCACCAGCAGCCGGATCAACTATTGACATCAGCCATTCTACAGGGCTCAAAACCGAAGGCACAGAGGAATCTTACAAGGACGACTCCTCACCACTGTCAATCCTCCCCCTGAGTGCCGTCATACGAACCCTGGCAATTACAACATTCACCTCTGTGCCGTTCTTGCTTGGTCCTGCTTTAGCGTCACTTTCCACCTTATCCGACTCGAAATCACCATTGCTAAATCCGGACAAGAATCCAGTCCTCAATGCAGTCCTACGCCAGACTATCTACACACAATTCTGTGCTGGGGAGACGCCGGCAGAAGTTCGGAAAACGATCGCAGATCTAAAACAGTTGGGATATGCCGGTGTGATTCTGGGGTATGGTAGGGAAGTCGTCATGGATGGGGACGAGACGTCGATGTTTGAGCACCAGCGTGAGAAAGAGGGCATCGCATTGGCGGCTGAAGAAGAGGTGATGCCAAACACGGAGCAGATTCTGCGAGAAGTCGGGGAATGGAAAGAAGGCACGATGCAGACCGTTGAGCTCGCCGATGAAGGGGATTTCGTGGCTTTGAAGTTCACGGGAGCTGGTCGTGAGGCACTTCGACATCTGGTTCAGGGGCTACCACCATCTCCAACCCTTCAAGAAGCTATTTATGAAATTTGTGATCGTGCCAAAAAACGTAGAATTCTGCTCCTGTTCGACGCTGAGCAGCACGCTGTTCAAGATACCATCGATTCTTGGGTTCTTGACTTGCAGCGGAGATACAACCACTCATTCTCTATTCAGGGTAAGCCTCGAGCTCTGATATATAATACATACCAAGCATATTTGCAATCCACACCAAAGACACTAGTAAGTCACCTTGCCGTTTCACAAAACGAGTCGTTTGTCCTAGGCGTCAAGCTTGTGCGCGGAGCATACCTCAACAGCGATCCCCGAGACATTTTCTGGACCACCAAACAAGAGACAGACAAAGCCTATGACGCCATTGCACAGTGTCTGATGACCAGAAAATACAATGATATTGTACAGTCAGCGCAAAAAAAGACTCATGCTTTCCCGCAGGCCGATCTGGTGCTGGMAAGCCACAATCGGGCGTCCGTCGAACGGGCCCGCGCTATTCGTGATGACCAAACAAGACGAGGAGAGCCATTGATTGAGATGGTTTATGGACAGCTTCAAGGCATGGCGGACGATATTAGCTGTCCGTTGGTCCGACAGTCCATAACGGCGTCACGCGTCTCTAGCTTTGGGCAACAACAGCCCCGTGGGGAGAGCCCTAAGCCATATAAGTATCTTGTCTGGGGCACAGTTGGAGAATGCACAAAGTATCTGCTGCGAAGGGGCCATGAGAATAGAGACGCAGCGTCCAGAACGAAGGATACAAGAGCGGCCATGTTGAAGGAATTGAAGCGGCGTAGCTTGGGATTGATGTGAATCTCAGATTGCATATGCCTGGTACTTTTGATCTCTATTGGTCCAGCAAACCCTTGATTGCGCGATTTCGATTCTATTTGTTTGCTTTTGGTGAGTCAAATTTGTAGACCAGTTCCTGAAATCGAGTATATAAAGAATTTAGTGTTTCAGCATCGCAAGCCACCGAGCCATTTCCACTGCCTATTTGTAGACAGCTTGATATTGGGCCCTTGAAAAAGCCGAAAAAGATTCTGAGCACAAGGCATACTGCCGAATCGAGTAAACCAGATATGCAGCTACCATACATATAGTACCGGATCACATATTCAGATATACCCACTTGTCGCTGATCATATGAAGATGGGCTACACACAAAAGACGCCGGATGAGGGCTATATAGCTAACAGATCTCCCCAGTAGTCATAGACAAACAGATGGAAGCCACACGTTACGCTATAATTTCCCCTGAGCAATTTTTTGCCGCCGCATTCACTGTGCACCAATAGGAGCCTCACTGCTGGCGATATCTGATATTCCGGAACCATCTCTGTTCACACCTGCACAGAATGCCTTTGTTTGGTAGAATGGCGATGTAATTCAGACAAACAGATCACTTGACCAGTGTTTGTTTGTCACCTAATAATGGTAGATAGCATTTAGTCTCTTGTTTCACCACCCACATCCACCCCCGGCGACCTTTCCCTCTCACACAAACATTTCTCTACTAGAGCATTTGTCAAGACCCATCCTTCCCATCTCTTCTGATCGCCCTCTTTTCGCTTCCTTTCCCTCTGTCGAATCTTCAACGAGAAATCATCATCTGTTTATTCCAGTGCAAGTCATCTGCTTTTGTCAAGCTAGAGTATCACTTGTCACTCGAGACTCGACACGTCGACATAGCCTTTTTGGATCTCATCCTGTTCTCAAATTCTGCTCCTCTTGGATCCAATCTCTGTACGCGTCAACAAACTTTTATTTTCTCTTGGATCGTCCTGTCCTCGAAATTCGCTTCTCCAGTATCCCATCTCTTCACGCGTCTGATTCGGACGGAGATATCACAAGAAAATCACGTCAAAGGCTCTTCTTCTAGGCTTCATCTTCAATGGATCAACGGCTGCTTCCTGGAGTCCCCGAAGGCCTTGAAGCCACCTCAGGGTACATGTCTACTGCGTTACATGCGCTGGGCCTGGTAACTGGCGAAGTAAGTAGACCGCACGACAAATTATGCTTATCGTTCCATGACATATCATAGACTGACTTTGAGTAGCTTCGCATTTATGGATGCCACAACGAAGCGAACGAAATGGGTAGACTCTCTCATGAGGTCATCCAGCAATGGTACCATGCTGTAGAACGTATCAGGGCTGTCGCTGCCTCACAGCACGCTCATCAGTCTATTCCCGTAAGCAACGTCCGTCAAATTTCGGAACTTTTCAGTTGCATGCAGAAAACTGACTGTTCTCTCAATACCCAGGGCCTCTTTCCTCTTCCAAGTTTCGCTGCCGGACCACTTGTTGTGATCACGAACGATCAGGCGAGTGAGATTAGCACTGAGCGAGGCCATGCCGAGCTTATTGAAGATGACCAGAGCCAACAAGCCGCGTCTCAACTGCCAGAGCCTAAAGCAGAGACCGAGCCAGTGCCTGCGGGTGAAGCGAGCTGGGCTCACATCGCTTCACTCGCAGGTAGGCCTCAAGTTACCGAACGTCCCGTGTCCCGTGCGAACCGAGAGGTTAGACACAATGCTAGACCTCCTGCCATAATGCACGCTCCTAGCCGTCGCGCCACTGCGCTTGGTGGTGTTGCAGAAGCGTCTTCCAGCAGAGCTGCAACCCGCCACACTGACAACAACGGTAATGGCATCCTTGAAGACGGCAAGGCAGGGATCGTTGTGATCAAAGGACCGATTGAGACCATCAAGAACATCCTCAGTTACACATCTGTACGCATCATTGAAGGTGCGATTTACGACATTTCCATCAACAAGAATGAGGAGATTGTCGTCATCTTCCAGTATGCCCTGCACGCGCAGATCTTCGTTGACCGCAACACCGAGTCCGTTGCTACTCGCGGCGAGTCTGTCTTTGGACCAGGGGATTGGGCTGTCACGCTTGGCAAGCATATGGAGTGGACTGACACACTTCGACGCATGGCCCATCCTCATCGTGAGCGACGTCGTCTCACTTTCGTCAAGTCACGTCTTTTTGCCGACAACACCAGCTTCATGAAATGGGTTCGCGAAGTGCAGGATGTGGCGGGKTCTAGCAATGTCGACTTTGTCTGGGCCTTCAATACTGGAAACGGTAAGTCACCACTATTTTAGCTGGACTTGAAAATGCTGACTTTGTTGAATAGCTACCGCGGTGTTCTTCAGTGTGGCCACTGCCCGTAAGGTCATGCAGACTTTTTCCCACTGGCGCGCCAGTCGTAGTTGCTATGAGGACTTGGTTGTGTCGTACTCGTCCGATCCATGCGAGAAAGACTTGCAGCTGACTACTCAGCTTCGCTACCATGTGCAGCCTGCCCACCGCCGTCGTCATCACTACTACCACGGCAGGAAGTAGATCGAAAGCTGCAGGCCTACTGAACCTGGCCTCGAACCTCAACCTTCAAGTCAATCGTCACGAGTTTTCAGTTTTTTCTTTTTCTGTTTCAATGCTGAGTCTATCATGACCTTTATGTTTACTTTTCTTGGAGTGCCGGAAGGGTTGTCTTTAAACAAGATTAAAGGATCGTCGTCGACCTTGTTGACTGGACGGTTGCTCAGAGTTTCTTCGTCATATGACTCTACTTTCTTTTCCTTTGTTATGATGCTATATTGGCAATCCATTTAGGTGAAGCGGTGTTTGCAGATCATATGCCATTGTCCTTGGCATTGCGCATTAGATATAGGTCGAGTTGGATGTCAAGCGGTGGTTATGTTTTCTTTTTGATGGAGTCTCAAGGTAGACCAAAAATGCAATGACGAGTGTGACGATTGACAACAAATCTTGAGTGCTTATTAATCAGGAAGTTGCCTAACTACAAACAAAATCTCCCAAATCGAAGGAGCGATCCGATATGCACCGCACAACTCAATCAGCGCTATCGACTTGACATCGACTTCTTTCATTATTTATTTGCTTATACACGCTGGAGGCAAAATGCCAGCCCGTAAGTGCCGGTATCTAAGTAGAGGTGTCGTCTACGTGAGAGCAGGGATCTATCTAACACTGATATGCCGACAAACTGTATGTGGCAGGCACGTGCGTAGTAACTATTTAGCTATCTACATAATGATTGATCATAATTTGACTGCTGGAAGTATACTCATGAGTAATGCCTGAAAGGGATGAAATTAGGACTCCCGTTGAAACGAGGTATTTCCGGATCGTGTGGTGTCTCGACTGTGGATGACATTGTGGTGACATTGCAATTGGGGGCAGGAGCCATGACTAAACGTATAGGGCAAGAAGCATACGCGACTGGTTTCCATCGGCGCGAGGTGTTAAAAGTTGTTGTTTTGGCGGTATCCCTTGCGCTGGCTCGGACATTGCACACGTCTGTGATATGCGCGGTAGACGGATAGGCGTAAGCCAATCTTTGACGCGATGTGCAAAGTTTGGAATGGTGCAAAACAGCGATTGGAAAGGATGTTCATGATTTGATCGACGAGTAGCTATTTGTGATGGAAAGACACGAGATGAAAGGCCTGACGAGACGGAGAAGAGGGACGATTATCGAGTTAATGAATGGGAGATGATGATGTAGGAGACAGTACGCTAGCTCCCCCTGGTTTAGCGGGGGCGGTGGCATGTCTCACAAAGGTTCGCAGCGTCACAACCTCAGGTCGCTCCTTCCTCCGGCACTCTGATCCCAATACGGCAAGTGGGCACTCGCTCCTGCCAATAGCTGTGGCCCCTCCCTGCCTTGGTAAGCGCGCCTCGCATGCGGACCGGGTCATGATTGGCTGTGATGATAAGACCCCGTGGTCAAAGAGAGATGTTTCAGCCAATCAGCGATGTGTATATGGGGCTCTCGCTACTATCCTGTCCAATAACAGAAATTGAAATAATAGCGCTAGGCCTGTTCCTGGTTAGTTCAGCTTGAAATCCTCTGCTAAATTGTTAATACAATTTCCACTTCCACTCTCGGATAGTCGGACAACCTAACCAAGACATCGCCTGAAACTAGCTGGAAGGAGGGCCACTGACCTTTCTATTTGAATCCTCCCTCATCTCCCTGCCAATCTGTAACGTCTCCATCCTTTGGGTGTTTTGCATTCATTATAGACGCCGCTCGCTTTTCGCCATCCTTGTCTTCTTACAATCGTTTGGGTCTTTTATTTCTCTACTTTCCCTCTTTCTTTCATACACGTACCCGCAGTTCAGCCTCCAGTTGCTCCATTGTCGGCGGATCACGCGTCGATACTGCGCCATCCTCGCCGACCGTACTTTTCGATATACCGGACTTGGTGGAAGTTTTGATAGATTCCTGTGCCTTCCTGACCTTTCGCTACAATGGTTCGTTTCGCTACTCTGGCCGCTGCAGCTTTGACTGCGTCGGTAGCTTCTGCTACCGTCAGTTGTGGCAGCGGCAGCAAGTGCCCGGACTCAGCACCTTGCTGTTCTCGTAAGTTGCATGATTCGTCCATCGATGCCATGAGCTGATAGAAATTGGATGATAGAGTACGGCGAGTGTGGTACCGGCGCTTACTGTCTTGGTGGTTGCGATCCCGGCAACTCCTTTTCCCTAGACTCTTGCACACCTGAGCCAGTCTGCCAGAGCAAGACTTTCAGCTCCTGGGACAACACAGACAACTTGGTCAGCAACGAGAAATACCTCGGCAATGCTACCGAATACGACTGGGTATATAGTGGTGACCCAATCGTTCACAATGGAGACCTTATCCTCACCATGGGCAACGGAAGTGTTGGTACTCTGGTTTCTTACAACCACTATATCTGGTACGGAAAAGTGTCAGGCACCTTCAAAACTTCTCGTGATGCTGGTGTTGTCACTGCTTTCATTTTGTTGTCCGACGCCAAAGACGAGATTGACTACGAATTCATTGGCGCAAACTTGACCACTGCTCAGACCAACTACTATTTCCAGGGTATCCTCGACTGTAAGTCTGATCACGTTTCTACATTTGAGACTCAGCTAATTTGATACAAGATGACAACGAGGTCAACGCTACCATCGACTCCGACTCTTTCGAAAACTTCCATACTTATGAGATTGATTGGACTCCCGATGCGGTCACCTGGTATCTTGACGGAAAATCCGTCCGCGTCCTGAACAAAGACCAGACGTACAACGCTACTACCAAACAGTACATGTTCCCTCAGACTCCTTCTCGTCTCGAATTGTCTCTCTGGCCCGGTGGTCTTGCCTCGAACGCCAAGGGTACTATTGATTGGGCTGGTGGTGAAATCGACTGGAACAGCCAGGATATGCAGAACCCTGGTTACTACTATGCCATCTTCAGCAATGTTAGCATCACTTGCTACGACCCTCCTTCCGGTGCCAATGTTGCGGGCAGTAACTCATACGTCTACACCAACTCCGCTCTCACAAACAACACCGTTGAGATTGTCAACAACAGCACTGTCTTGACCAACTTTGCAGACACTGGTCTTAACATGACCGCAGGTGCTTCCACCTCTACTGCCTCAGCAGCTACGTCGAGTTCGACTGTTGCAGACAGTATTCCTGGCCAAAGTGGCGGTGATGCCGCTCACGGCGCTGGTGACTCGAGCAGCTCATCAACAACAGCATCATCGAGTACGGCCACCTCCACTTCGACTGGTTTCAACCAGGGCTCAGGTTCTGGCAACACCAAGACTGGCACTGCTTCAGTCAACGAGAACATGTTCCAAAGCTCCATCTTTGCTGTTCTCGTTGCAGTCGTCGCTTTGGTTGCTCTGTAATCTTTTTTCATATGGTTGATGTATATTTATTTGCGCAAGAAATTGTTTGTCGATCTTTCGTGTTTCAAATACCCGCTTCTTGACGCCAAAACCTGATATACGTGGCATAATCTTTTGAGTGTACTTTTTGACATCTTGATTTCCCCATCTATTGTCTCTAATACTTCCACTGGAGATACTGTAAATACATTTCTATGACGAATGCTTTGATTTAAATGATTTCTGCTTTTTTGAGTAAAAATGAATTCTTTATACAGCCGAAGACTTTACCATCGGCAGTCTGTGTGGTCAAAGATGGCCATCTTTTGATATGAACTTGTTACAACTAATGGCTACTCCTGTAGGCCTGTTTTCAAGTAGGTAACTGACTGAGATTTAGCCTCGTCGATATATCAAGTGCCTGATGTTGGGATGCTAGAGCTAGCAAACCACACTTACGCAAATAGGAAATCTTTTGGTCTTTCCTATTTGGGACACTTTGTGACAGAACATCCAGTATTCATATTGAGCAGTTAACATTGTAAAACCAAGGTACAATTTTATATATTTTCTTAAAATACGAGTTGCTTTGCTGTGCATCTCGCTTTACTTAGCAATCACACTTGATCGTTTGCTAGCTAATTTGATTGTTTTGACCATTACCTAAAGCACAACACCACACACATCGCCAGGACGATGAAGTCACACGGATTAGGCAGGGTTTTCACAGCTTCATTTAATAATATTTTTTTTGTTTGTCTTCCTCCTGCCCCTCTCCTCCTCTTTCACCCACCCTCCACCCTCTTTTTTCCTCAGACCTTGACCTTTCCTCGATACAAAAATAACCTCTGCACATCCTCATTATCGTACAGCTTCAATGAACCCAGTCAGACCCGTCGTACATTTTAGTGTCGGTGTGGGTCGTATGCCTCGTTCTGAATTTTGGTTTGGACTGCTGGTTCTCGTCCTTTTCTTCATCGTGGTAAAGGGGTTTGTGGATTTGGTCCGCGAGGTTGTCGAGTTCTACTAGACTATCAAAGGCCTTCATCGAGTTTTCTGCTTGAAGACTGAGAAAGACAGATATAAGAGCCCTCTCACAGCGACGATTCAAGACCTTGTTCGTCTCAATCAGAAAAGAAGAGGGCCAAAATGTGTCAATTCGCTGCCTATTTTCATGTTGCATGTCAGCATGTAAGCATCCATCCCGCTCAGATGTGCGGAGCTGTCAGGACCCAAATAGCTCGTATCAATGAGCAATCACAGTCTGCTGCTTCAGGTGCCTCCTTCGTTCCTGGTCCATCTTGTGTACCTCGTTTCCCTGAACCTGGCGTGCAATCAAACGTCACTCAACACTATGTTGTTCAGCCAGATCAGGTCAGTCCAGTGGTAGCAGCCAAGAAGAATCGACTTGAACTGCTTAGGCAGAGAGCACAGGCTGTGCTGTACGATCCACTTGGGCCTCATGGACACGCAGTGCCCTACACACAGGCTTATCATCAAACTGTTTCTTGGGTGGCTGCTCAGCAGTCTCAATACCAACCTCATCTTCAAATAGCACCTCCCACTCAGCCCTTTGCCGTTCCACGCCCTCTATCTCCACCAATCGCGGGCCTGTGCATTAGCTGTATAGAAAACGTCGAGTCTGTTGGAAGACTTCAACAAAGTCAGCCAAACTATGGCTTAACCGAAGAAGAGGTCATGGGTACGGAGACATGGCATTTCGTCGTTGAATCTTACCAAAAGGCACAACGACTAGTCAACAACTGGATTGAATTTATGAGTGCACTCAATCCTTTCAACACTCGTTTCGCCTCCGTTGACTTCCCGAGTTTCCCATTCCACCTCGCTCTTCCACCTTACTCCAGCCCTCCGGATATCAGCATCGAGCCAATAGTGGAAGAAGTCTACCGAGAAATGATGATGCGCAAAGTGCATACAATGATCCTTAAGACCAACGCTGAGATTCAAGCCATTGAAAATCGGTTTGCTGTGGAGGGTTCCGCCTACTATGAGAACAACCCTAATCGCTTCGTCAGCCATGCATCTGCCCACGACCCGTTCACAGTCGAGCCACTTGGCGATGTTCCAGAAGTCATCCACCCACTATTGCGTAATCGCCCTCAAAGTGAGAACTATGTCATGCCAAAGTCAAAGGTCAGCAGGGCGGTGCGAAACAGCATCGACATCCGGGACGCTCAGAACAGGTCCCCCACCCCGGCGTCTAGATCCATGCACGAGAGCAGTCTCCTTGATGCAAACATGGCTACATCTATGGACATCGACGAAGCAATCGAAACTGGTCGATTCGCAGTCACTGGTGACACAACCGACGATGACGCAGAGGGGGAGACCGAGGACGATTGCGACACCCTGGTATACCCAAGCTCGATCACAGATCGAAGCCCCATGGCTATGAGTGGCACTCCCGCTCTGACTATCGACAACACGCCATCTCGTGCCACGGTCAACTCCATCGCAACACCTACCACGGCCCCGAGATCGCGCAAGCGTCAGCGCGTCGTGGATCCTTTGCCTGAGCGTTGGCGTAGCGCGTTAAGACCTCGCCAGCACATGCGTGAAGAGTCTATGGATGGATTGTACCTTGACTAGACCAGTGCACGAAATGCAGAAAATACGTTTTGACGGTCTAGTTGAAAGCAAGGAGGAGAACAGATTGAGAGAAGAAGAAGAACAAACCGAGAGAAGAATGAAAGAAAATGAGAAATACATAAAACAAAGTATGTCGAGTCAAGAGCAGGACCTTTTGCAACGAAATTCTCGTTTTTACGAATGTATTCGGGACTTCTATTGTTCATCACTGAGGTGGGCGCTGGTAATCAAGTAGTCCTAGAATAGAACAAATTTCTCATCAAGGTGGCCCTAACACATATACATAGTCCAAAGTATTTGAGTAGGTCTAATGTCCAACCATAGCCTGATGAACAGCCCCATATCGATTCCCAGCCGGCTTCGAAGCATCAATAATCCTCCTCATCTCCTGGAACTCCTCAGGCGTAAACTCAATCTCCCTCGACGCCCAGTTCTCCTCTAACCTCTTCGGCTTGGTTGTGCCGGGGATAGCAATCATGCCCTGAGCAGCGACCCATGCGAGTGCAATCTGGGATGTTGTGACGCCCTTTTTGGTGGCGAGGGACTTAACTTCTTCGACGATGGCGCGGTTTCTGTAGAAGTTTTCGCCTTGGAATTTGGGGGCTGTCACGGCTTGTCAGAAATATGATTGGTGTGTAATTATGTTGATAAGGAAGGGCTTACATCCTCGTCGGAAATCGTCCGGTGCAAAGTCGTCTGGAGAGTTGTAGTCGAAATTGTCCACGAGCCATCCATGTCCGAGTGGGCTGTATGCTACGTAGGCCACTCCGAGCTCTTTAGCAGTTTCTATTAGGCCGTCTGTTTCGTGGATTGTCTCAAAGGCTGAGTATTCAGCTTGGAGAGCGTCGATTTTGGCAACTACCCCTTATTAGTAGATACCCTCGGTAGGTGTAGCAAAGACTTACTAGAGTTGGCCTTGCGTAGCGTTGCAGCAGAACATTCAGACAGACCAATGTATTTGGTCTTTCCTGCGCGTCGAATCTCATCAAGGGCGGGGATTGACTCTTCAAGGGGCGTTTCTGTGCAGACATTTAGATGTAGGCTTCTTTTAGAGTGATCGTAGACGTACTAGGATCAATGCGATGAAGGTAGTAGAGATCGGGAGTAAAGCCGAGTCTCTCAATCGTTCCTTCGATATATTCCTTAATATGAGCGGGGGAATTGGTAACGCTGCCGTCCCCAAAGGCGTTGAATCCGCATTTAGAGGCAACTGCAGGTCATGGTCAGTGGAGTATTTCTTTTTGTCGTTTCTGAGTAACGTACTGAAGATCTTATCACGGAGATTGTGCTTTCTGATAAAATCGCCAAGAAGCTTCTCATTCACTCCGGCAGCATACACAACCTGAGCAATCGTCAGTTCCAGCAGCAGGGACGCAAAGAGAAGAACCCACCGCAGTATCCCAGAAGGTGCATCCCAATTCCACTGCCTTCAGCAGCACAGGCTCAGCTTCTTCATAGGAAAGTTTGCTTCCCAGCCCGAAACTAAGACCCATTGCTCCAAAGCCGGGAGAGGGGACTTGGATGTCGCCGAAGGAGAGTGTCTTGACCATTTTTGCTGTAAGGGGATTTTTCGGTTTCGTTTCGTTATTGCTGAACAGCGATTGAATGACACTGAGCAAGACATGGTGAAGCAGTCCTACTTATAGCAATACTGTCTAGATGGTTGAGGATGAGGTTTGTCTCGTCGACATCATTTCGATAGACAACTGGCCGTTTGTGGTTAGCGCGTATGCAGCTGGCTGACACTTGCAGAAGCCCTTAACGCCGCAACTTACGATAGACCCGAGCCAATCAGAAGACAGGGATCCATCTATGCGATATATCACTCGATGAAAATAATGGAATACATGATATGGTGATATTCGGAATTGTATTCCGCTTGGTTTAGGTGCTATTACTCCACATTTTGTTGAACTTGATGTTGATCGTCTGAGCGAATCAGAGCATACACAAGGAGTATTCTTATTGGTATATTGAAATTTCTTGCAAGAATTTCTCTGTTGATGAAATGAATCTAACTACGATGTAAACTACGATGCAGATATAAGTCAGCACTAGTAGTCCCACGCTAAGACTCCGCGATACCTCAATCTCCCTGCCATGAGCTTCTCCATCGCTGCGGTGACACACTTTGAGAGTCATGGGTGACTTCTCAGTCAACAGTAGATGTTGTTGCGTGCAGCAAAGTCCACCATTTGGTTCCTGGACCAGTCAGCCTAATTCTTACATCTTTGAAATATCACTTACTGTGCTAAAATTGGAGTTATGCAGCTTCTAATAATCTTGATCCCCGCCACAAGGGTCTGATATTTATGGCGCAACTAAATCTCCTCCATCAACAGAAAAGCGGAAGGATGCTAGCACTCTTATCTAAAACCGGATAGAACAAATCTAAGTTAAGCTTTGCCGAAGAAGTGATAATCAACCGGTTAATAGAATTTGAGATGCCTAGCTTCTAGTAATCCGATACACCCTTTGTTGCGTAAAACTCTGTCGCGTCGAGTCTCATGCTTTTGTCTTTCTTGTCGTCTGTAGACGAAAAGACCACGACTTCACAGCCCATTTTGGTGGCAAAGTGAATGGCAAGATGGCCCAGTCCGCCAACGCCGACGATGCCAATGCGATTGCTGGGTTTGCAGTGGTCGATTAGAGGGATCTAGACCGTTCCTCCGCCGCCTGAAATATCATTGTTAATTCGTGCCGATACAGGAAGAAAAGTTGAGATATACACATCAGAGGGACCGCATGATCAGAAGATAGATTCTCCGGAATCTTGAAAAGCCTTTGCTCTTTACGGAGTGCGTAGCTGCACACAGAACCCTGGACATCATAGTCCTGAGCATTATATGTCCTGGCCTCGGGACAATCATTTTCGTATCCACTGAGGCACATGTTGAGTTGAGAGCTCCCCATCCTATCCTATCGCCGATTTTGAGGGCACACGAAGAGTCGACTTCCTCGACGATGCCAATGCCCATGGCCCTGTTTTTACGGCGTTGTATAGGATCAGATGATGGCCTGCCCTCATGACCGAGCACTAACGGCTTGGTGAGCTGGTGCACATCACTGCTGACAAGCACTTCATCCGCTTTGATGCTAAGCGGGCAGCGTAACGTTTGCTGGATGATCTCTTCAGCGGGAGAAGCATGGAATTGGATTGCTTCGACAATTTTGCGATATGATTGATACAATCTAGCTAGTCACTTCGATGCTGTATATGAATGACATGGGTTTAGCAGAGAAGCGACTTGTTATATGTATATAGGAAGTGAATATACATGCGATGATCTCAGATCATGATGCCCATTGCTTGAAACAGTATAGACTCCGCTGGGTGTCAGCTAGTTGCAGTGAACGGGTGTAGTGGAGTCCAGCCATGCCGTCAAAAGAATGCCTTCCAGTGCGTCCTAGTTGAAGATTTTCAATTGACATCATATGCTGCTTGGAGTGACATGTAAACCACTTTCATAAGGTGAGGAATTTGGTGGTCTCCAGCTAATTGCGGTACCTCCGAGGCTATCACCGAGAGACCCCACGCAAAGCCTCGAAACTTTGGCCTGTTCCATGGGCGCCGTGGAGCACAGAAACTTGGCTTATCGTCGACTAATTTATTAGTTACGTATTTAAGTGGAGGAGGCTCTTCTGCGGTTGTCAGCTTTTAATGAGATTTTACTATTCACATATGCACCTTATCTACACGTCCAACACACGATGGAAGCAGTCATACCAGCAAGCCACGCCTCATCTATGCAAATCGAGTCACCCGTCAGGCTATTGGATAGCTGGATGGGGGTCACGGACCCGCAAAAGAGAAAGACGCTTCAGAATCGACTTAATCAGCGCGCTCACAGTGAGTTGCCACTCGAGATTCGTAATAGGGTTAGGGTTATGGGTATAGATTGACAGTACACAGGACGCCGACAGCGCGCTCTGAAAGCACAACAAAACAAGCAGCAAGATGCCGACATTGACGTAAAACAAGAGCCCGATACAGACGCTCGGCTACAGACAAAGTCGACAAGTCCGCCTCGCTCCCTCGACCATGTGGACTTTTGCATGCCCACCAGCACCAAACATCTCGAGGACCTCGAAGCCCTAATCCGCCTAGAATTCGCCAGAGGCTCACCTACCGCCGATTTGCTTCTCGGGCTGACTCAACTCAACATAATTCGCGCCCTCCATGCGAACAGGGATATCCTCGGTTACAAGGCCGAGGACATGCACGACGACGCACTGTCCGCATTCAACATAGGTCTGAGCATAGATCTGAATTTTATAAGTCAATCAAGCGTCATTAGAGCAAAATCGAATCTACCGTTCTCCTTGACCCCAACAACGACTCAGCACAAAGTCCCGCATCACCCATGGCTGGATTTCATCCCCATCCCGAAGATGAGGGACAATCTGATTCGGGCGGGTGACTCTATCGACGATGTTAAACTATGTCACGACATGTGTGGGTATCGTGTATCTGGGACTGGAATCCTAATATGGAAGGAGCCCTGGGATCCGTCTGGGTGGGAGGTTTCGGAGCGGTTCCTGCGGCTTTGGGGGTGGGCTGTAAGGGATTGTTGGGAGTTATTTGAGTCGACAGATCGATGGCGACGGAAGCGTGGAGAGATGCCGTTGTTCAATTCACCCAGGATGTCTCAATAATGTACAATGTCTCAAAATTGAAGTTCAATATGAATATGAATATGCATCAATTGATATAGCATTAACATAACTCCTGTATAAATAGAGAAATTCTAAGGATGAACGAGAATCTTGATATCTCCGGCATGCTTTTAACGCCTTGATGTCCCCTAACAATTCAAACAGATCTAATGCTGACCACAATCGCAACCTACTTCGCGCTTGCGGAAATCCCCGTGATAGCTATCGAAATCGCTCACTCGGACGTCGGCTCCAAGCGGATCACCCAGCCACGACAACGTAGCCTGCTCTTGTAGCTTCTGAGTGACAGCTTCTACATTGAGGTCCAGGTAGGCAGCTAGGAAATCGCCGACTTCGGTGTTTTCGTGGTTTCCATGTAATGGCCATGCATCCTTAGTGGAAGATGCGTAGATGTTGACGTCAACACCTGTACGGTTGTTAGTCAATCATACAATGAAATTAGATGTTTCTTGGCTCATATTGTTTACCTGAGTGCCCGTGTGTGGACCAGCCCACTTGAGCACGTCGACTGATCATATCAGCAAACACGTAGCTCGACTGCACCTCACTGTCAGGATCGAGCAACGAATCGACCTCTTCATCAGTGGCATCTTCGATCCCAAGACCCTCCTTCAACAGCGACTTGCGAATATAGTCACGCTGCTTTTCGCGACTATCCTTCTTGCTAGACGTAGTGAGATATTCATTCAGCTTGTTTTGAAGATACTCGCCAGAGTGGCTAGCCTTGGCCAAGACATCTGGCAGCCATTTGTATTCGGGGTATGACTTGTGCAATTGTCGCGCAACAGCGAGCCCACCAGTCTCATGGTCAGAGGTGGCGACGAGTACAGTCGGGATATCTTCTTTCTCAATAAAGTCCAACACAGCAGCGAATGCCTTGTCGTATGCGAGAACTTCGTGCACTTGAGCGGCAGGGTCGTTTCCATGGCCAGCATGATCAATCCGTGAGCCCTCAATCATGATGAAGAAACCCTGTTCACTCGACTCAGTTGCTTTCTTCAAAGCAGCCAGCGCAGTACGAGCCATTTCTTCCAGAGAAGGATAGGTGTCCTCTTGGAATCGACGATCAATTTCGTAAGGAATATCTCTTTCTGCGAATAGACCTAATAGAGGAAGTTTGGCAGCCTGGCCAGCATCCAACCCATCGAATCCATTGCGGTCGGAGATGTAGTGAAAGCCTTTATCTTGAGCGACCTTGGTAAGATCCCTATCATCTGCACGACAGCCACCCTCGGCATCAGCCGGCAAGAAATGACATCGTCCACCTCCGAGAATCAAATCCACAACCCGACCCAGAGGATGTTCGCCAATTTCTTGTTCCGCGATCAGATCTTCATATTCGCGTCGGTTTGCATGAGAGGCGAAGCACGCAGGTGTCGCATCCGTAATCCGGGTCGTAACCACCAGTCCCGTCATGTATCCCGCAAGGTGCGCCGCTTCCAACACAGTACCACAAGCGGTGTGATTTGGTAGCACAGAGATTGCACCATTGTAACTCTTGTGTCCACACGAAAATGCAGTCGCACCGGCGGCTGAGTCCGTGACAAGACTTGACGACGAACGTGTTCGCGAGGTACCGATGTGGTGTCGATCCAGAACCAGTGTATCGTTGGCCGGCAGACCTAGCTCGAGCTGGCGAAAGCTCCTGGTCAGGGACAAACTTGTCGGGCCCATACCATCCGAAACCATGAAAATAACATTTCTCTTTCCCTCCGGTTTACCTCCAGGTCCCCAGACAAGATCGTCTGGCCCAGGTTGTTGCGTTGTTACTCGATGCTGGTACATGACAGCAAGGATGACGACGGCCATGGTTGCTACGAGTGACCACACAAACAATCCAACCTGTCGCCAAAACGACCAATCTCTATGTGAGCCATCCTGCGAGCGATGCGTGCGTTCGCCTGTCAATAGGGCGTCTTCTTCATCTTCGTTTCGGATTGAGGAGTGTTCGGAGGACTGGCGTGGAGCGAGCAGTGGCTCCTCGCGTGACATGTTTCCGAAGGCGGTTGATCGCTATCGTGATAGCGTCAGTCTTTATGTAGATAGTAACATCAAGCAGAAGACGAGTAGGAGAGTGTCTGTGAAAGAAGTGGTAGTTGAGTAAGTAAGTTAGGAGGTAATAGATTGATGGCGATGGAGTAGAGTAGCTCCGCATAGCGATCGCCGGGACGAGCTTGTGACCTGAGCCAGACCCATCAGGAGGCCTATCCGCAGTGTGTCACTTGGCACACCCCCCGAATGATTAGTTATCTTGTTTCGGATTACAACTACTCAAGTATGATCATCCCTAATTCCATTTTCTTCGGGTTCTATTTTTCAAATATGTAGGCAAAATATCTTGTACACATTATGATCTGACCACAGCATCTACCGAGCACTCCAACCAAGTGGAATCATAGCTGCCGCAACTTCGGTGACGCCACGTTCAGTAGCGAGCAAGTTAAACTGTGCTGACGCATTGCGAGTATCCTGGATCTCGACTCTCATTCCTAGCGAGTTGATGTGTCTCTTCGTTTGGGGTGACAAGGGTATAATGGTAGATCCCAATCCTAAAACCAATATATCTAGAAGGGGGGAAATGAGCACAACTGCAGCTAAACAGCACGATAGCAAAAATATCACCTACCAGGACGAGGCCAAACCAGACTGAGCAGTCCCCAGGCTTCTTCCGGTAACTCAAACTGTCCCTTCTCATTGACCATGGACCGTTTTGGGTTCTCCGTATTCTTCAACAATTGCCATGGCCGCCAAGCAAACGCTTCTCCAGCGACAAGCAAAACACCATCGCCATTTGTAACCTTGACACCATTATCTAGATGGAATCCATCGTCCAAGCATGCATCCACCGCCGTTGCCGGGGTTGGTATATTGCCAAACACGTTCAGCTCGGCGAAATCAGTTTGAGTCTTTTCTTCGGAGCGTGGTCCGCGATCGTGTGTCTGTGGCTTTGCGGGTTGCGAACGGGGTGCGACTCGAGGAGGTCTGTGAGGAGTGACGTTCGTGTTTCCATTGCTGTATTTGCGGTATGATGATAGCCCGAAGCTCAAAGAGTGGCGAATTGGGTGTGATTGGCGAGAAGCGAAGACATATTCGTTTGTTAGAGAAGTGCGCAAGGCACGTAGGAGCTGTAAAGATGGCGAATGCATGTTTTTAGTGTGTCGCAACTGTTGTAGAGCTAGGAATAGCCGGTGATGAGGAAAGTGAGGTGATTAGCAACCTCCGAGATTTGATTGGGATGATTCAATAGCTTTGCGCTTGGCCGTTTTGGGTCTAATCTCTTGCTGCTTTATTCGCGTCTCCACAGTAAGCCGACTTCCATATCAATCCATATCAAGTCCGTATTAAGATTCTCATTTTTGACCTGCAAAGCGTGTATAATGGAGATCAGTAAGTCTCCTCGGATAGGGCAAAATGCCGAGAATAGCCATGACAGGCCCCGGAAGTACATGAGCAAGGGCCGTCGTGCCTGTGACTTTTGCCGTTCAAGAAAGTCTGCATGTCAGATCGAAGTAGCTCCGCCATGCCGTATGTGCAGAGCTCATGGGCAGCGATGTGAGTTCACTGATCGGGTAGTGCGCAAGAAACGGCGAGTCGCGCAGCCGGAAGAAAGTGATCACGTGGCAACATGGCAGCAAGGACCTCGACCAAACGATACGGATCTGCTGTGGCCGCAGAGTCTAGATTTTTTGTCAATGTCGCTGCCAGAAGGTGGTTTCCCTCAAGTGCCATCGGCCGAAGACCGCAGTATGTTAGGTATTGGTTTGAACCAGGAATCGAACGATCAGCTGCGCGGCGGTTTCGTGTCTGGGCCAGAGACTGCAGAACAATTCACGCTAGACGACCTCATGCTAGGCATATACGGAGGGAAAACGCCGTCTGATATTTATCAAGAAACAGGAGACGGTCACAGCTCTCTTGATCATGCTACTCTGACGTCTCAAATATGTGGGTTGACTGGTGATATGGATCCCTACGTCTTGCGCCACTACCAGTTCAACGATAAAAACGAGGTTGTGTTTTCGAAGCTCGCCATTCGCAAAGTAGAGGAAGGGTCATTCCCTGTGCAATTCTTGTTGTCAAAGTCAGAGCTCAGTGCCGATTCACGAACTCAGACTGACCTTCGAAATGGATCCCACGCAAGCGAGACGCCATCGCGGTCAGATGAACTTGTGCCTCAAGAAGTTGGAGAACGATTGATCGAATTGTAAGCACATGGGCCCCCAAGTTTCGTTGACCTTTAAGTTCATCACTTTATTAACTAGAATTACAAAGGTTTTTCCGTTTCATAAACCCACAATTTCCAATACTATCAGAGACAAATAAACCAAGTCCCCAGACTTCGCCGACTCACCTGCTAGCTGCAATATACTCCATCACCCAGCCATTTACTCTTTTCGATGACTACTTGTCTATCGAGCTGGCGTACAGTCCACCATCTCCACAAACCCTAACAAATATTGCATGGCGTTCTCTCAACGACGAGATCACCGAACCAACTATTCTTTCCGTGCAAACCGCAATCATTCTGCTGTTACAGCCATCCAAGAATCCACTCTTGCTTGAAAGCCCATTGAAATGGTCGCTACTTGGGCTGACAGTTTCGATGGCACAAACCCTTGGCCTTCATCTGGACCCTAGCGCGTGGAACCTGCCTGCTGAAGAAATCAAAACGAGGAATAGACTATCCTGGCTGGTCTGGGCTGTTGATAAGTGGTTTGCTTTTTCCCTGGGCCGGCCAAGTCATATATCAAAGACCGACTGGCTCGTCACTGAACTGAACCCATCAAATGATGCGACGGACTCTAGTAATGAATCTTACACTGCGCATTTTGCTAGACTTACTAATATCCTGGACACTGTGCTGATGGAATTATAGTGGGTATCACTGAAATTCTCTTTTCTGAAGTACACTAATTGAGATATAAGTTCGATACGATCAGTGTCTGTCCTTGCTACAGATTCTCAGAAGACGATTTCCATCGCACGCCCAATCATGCAAACTCTCGATGAATGGCACAAATCATTCTCTGCGCACCTTGAAGTCCATAGAGACAGTGAAACCAATGCCGACCTTCCAAACGGCTCAGCTTCGCTCCATATTGCCTTTCATGCCGTAAGAGTCCTGGTTTTCCGCGCATTGTTGCGACCGTTCAACCAATCGAACCCAGATCTCGCTCCCGGTGGCCAAAACTCGGAAGACTGGCTTGCTGCACGAACTCAGATCCGCAGTAGTGCCACGGCCGAAGTGTATTCGATACTCAAATTGATATCATCATTTAGGCAGGAACATTATCAAGCTTTTTGGGCACCATGTATGTCATTAATCTAGCTCTCACTAAGTTACATGTGTCTTCTGCTGACAAAGACAGGGTCCAAAACTTGCTTTGCGCTCGTTACAAACATCCTTCTACTTTTATCGGTGACTTCAAATCGTGATACCGGAAGACCAGATATGCCCAATTTGAACGAGCTACAACAGCCGTCACCTGAAGAGACAGCGACTGACGAGTATACGGAATGTCGAAAGCTGCTTGATCGAGCACGAGCCATATTCAGACTACATGCAAAAACTCTCGATATGATCCGGTTTGCGCTTTTGCGTATCGACGCTGTCTTCTGGATTGGATGGGAGCGAGTCCTGGGTTACAAGTAACTGAGACCAGTATCAAAGATCATGTATGTATATATGTACAGTCGGACTCAACCTAATTTAGAACCCTTCTGGAAGCTAAATCGGCTATACTAACGACTTAATTTAGACTTCACAAAGCTCTTCGTCTTAGCTAGAATGCCCCTTCGCTCTTCCATGTCGTCCATGCCTCCAAGTGCCTCTTTCCGGTCTGATTGCAGATCCACCTCTGCCAGATTGACGAACTTTGTTCTCTTAAGAACCTTCCAAATGACAAAAAGCCCGACGAAAAGCACAACAATAATGTACGAGAATACAAAAGCAACCGGCTGCCAAGGCGTCAAGAACGTTCCGTAACCTTGGATCAGAAGCAGGAAGATATTGAGAATCGTTATGAAATAGGCGCCGTAGGGGAAAAGGAATGCGCGGAACGGGAGTTCATCCGGGCTGTGACCCTGAAGCTTCCATGCGCGGCGGAAACGAAGATGCGTAACTCCAATGCATGCCCATGCAATGAAGGCAGCGGCGCCTGCAATATCGAGAATATAAGTGAATGCTGTTCCAGCGCCAGTTGCAACATTGATGAGCGCAATGAGTCCCATCAAATTCGACAATATAGCAGCATAGATAGGGACGCCTTTCGACGTGGTTTTTCCCAATATTGCAGGGGCTCGACCCATTCCTGCTAATGAGTGCAGAACTCTAGACGCAATGTAGATGGCAGAGTTCATAGCAGAGAACGAAGCTGTCAAGATGAATACGTTGATTAAATCTGGAGCATTTTTCCAGCCGGCATTTTGCAAGGCAATACTCCATGGGGATTTGCCGGCCTTGGATCCCGCGGTTAAGAGGTTGGGGTCGTCCGAAGGTACGAGGATACCGGCGAAGAAGATCATGCCCATGAAGATGAGCACAATGCGGTAGATGGTTTGTTGGATAGCCTATGTTATGCTCAGTTAGTCCGAGTCCTTCTCCGACTGACTGGGGGAACACACCTTTGGCACATCTCGTTTTGGATTACGGCTCTCTCCCGCAGTGATGGCAATCATTTCGGTTCCGGAAAAGTACACTGCAGCCAGGACAAAGGACTGGCCAAAGCCATTAATACCATTTGCAAAGGGGCCGGGATCACGCCAAAAGCGGAAGCCAACGTAGTCTCCGCCGATTGCACCTGTGTTGACAAGAATTGCGAGAAGATATCCGACAAGCACGCAGATGACCTTCCAGACCGCCAGCCAGAATTCCACCTCTCCGTATACGATGACACCGAAGAAGGAGACACATTGATAAATCGCCCAGAAGATCAAGATCCAGCCGTACGACGGGACCTTATCGGTCCAATATGTCAGTACGATGGAGATCATATTGTACTCGGACATGAGGTTGGCCACCCACTATTCCAAAAGATCAGCCTTCCCTTTTCGCTAAGCAATATTAACTGCCTGCAGCGACTTACCATGTACCAGTAATTCCATCCAAGGGCAACCGACACGGCCGGGTCGATGAATCGTCCGGCCAATTCGGTGAATGCACCAGGGGTTGGATACATCGTCGACAACTCTCCCAGACTTTGCATCACGAAGAATACATCAAGGCCAATCACCGCAAAGGAAATCAGTGCACCGATCTATTTTCGTCAGCCTCAGCTCGACTAATGTCATGTCAATAAGACAAGATGCAGCATACCGGCCCTGAGTATGAGAGTGCAGTTCCAGTTCCATACCAGATGCTTGCTCTACATACGTCACGAGAGTCAGTAAAATACATCTGATTGATGATATTGAAAGAGGACTCACCCAACAACACCACCCAAGGCAATCATCTGCAAATGACGCTGTTTCAGCGCCCGATGCAAGCCCTGGTCGACCACAACACCATCAACATTCTGAATATCTCCGGAGCTCTTGTCAACCGGATTGCCGGTGACCGAGGCCTCGTTCTTGGTATAATCGCTGTTGTTGGCGGTTTCCATTTTTTACGATGGACAGACTATACACGTGTATGCACACCGGCTGAAACATCCGCCGATAGATGATTGCCACATGGGGGTGATCAAGGACAGACAACGTTTCTTTATAGCAGATGCGTTTGGCGCGGTCTTACCTCAACCCCAGCTTGATAAGTCACAAGAGAGCATGGTGATAAGGGCTGTGGACGTACCCCAGTTTTTGTGGGCCAGATAGGGCTTTTGGATGCCGCCAATAAAAAGTGATGCCGACATTGCCATTAACGAACCCTGATGCTAATCGTGTCTGAGCGCAGAATTTGATCATGGATATTCTTGATATTCTCCTAAGTTGTAAAGCAAGCCATGCAGTAGTGATGTTATCGTATGTACAGCCACGTGGAATCATACCGAGGACCATACGTACCGAGATAGCGGGCTTTTTCGGGTCAAGAAAAGCCCTAAGCCCTAAAGGCCTATTCGAGCAAGTACTGACAGAGAGCCAGATAGGATAATGCATGTAATAAAACAGTATGATTCTACCAATCTAGCTATTCTACACAAATCTAGAGCATCGACATCTGGCCCCATTTTCTCAACTCGTCCGTAGCCAAATCAACCGCATCCACAGCCATTCCAATGCCAGCCTGGAACCCAGTTCCACCAGCTCCGTAATTATGTATAACAATTTTATCCAAATCAATCTTCTCCTGCTCAACTCTAGCACCTCCTTCCCTAGATGGCCTCAGACCAACAACTGCCCTGACAATTTTCACCTCCCCATTCAACAGAATCGGTAGCAATTCGCCTGTCCTCTCCAATATAGATGCTGATTCCTCCTCTTTGACATTTGGAAACGAATTTCCCTTTTGCATGTAACCCCCAAGAATCACGGTACCGTTAGACAATGGGCGCGGAATAACATACGTCTCATACCCAGCTCCATGACGCATGATATTCTGCTTCACAGATGGAGCCTTGACCACTAAGATTTGTCCTCTGGTAGGATAACATTTACTATCCGAGACGCCGGATAGTGTAATGGCTGAATTTCCGATGCAATTGAACACGAGTTTGGTATTTTTGGATATAAATGCATCTTGCAGTCTAGAAACTCGCCGACGGAGAAATGGGACTGAGCCGTACTCGGGCTGCGAAAGTAGATTCTGAAGGTGTTGGCAGTGAGCAGGTGCGTTAATGGTGACTGTGGTGAATTTTATGCCAAATGCTACTCCGGCAGGAAGCTCGTTTTTGGGTATTATCACCAGCTGCGTAGTGTTAATTTTTTATGTCTTGGGTTTGAGGAATGAGTATAAGGCATACGTCTCTTAGATACTCAGTCATACTCTGAATCTTATCCGGTTGGGGCATCTCATCCCAATACTCCGTAGAATCAGTCTTTGCGAGATATTTCGCTTCCGTCGTTTTCTTATCAATCATCTTCATCATGAGCGTATAGCCCGCGCGATCCCAGCGTAAAGCATTGGCATCACCACCAGAGATTCCAGAGAAATTTGCGCCTGCCCTTTTTTTTATGTCAAATTAGTCACTGTCGATTTTCGGGCAGGTAGTGGTCTCACCATGGTGATGTATAGTCGATTGAGGAGTCGCCAGGGAGATGCTCGGCGATTACTGTAACATATTTCCCATATCCGCGTTTTGATAGTTCGATGGCGACGTCGAGGCCCACGATTCCCGCCCTGTGCACTGCCGGTCAGCACTGTGTCTTCGGAAGAGACGTAGCTCGTCATTTTGCTCACCCCAGGATCACGATACTATCTCTCATCATTGAGATTTACTGTTATGAGTTTAGGATTGCCTTATCTCAATGCGTCTTCTCCCCGAAATCTTTTATATTTGGGATCAAAGCATCATATGATAGGTTGAGTTACAAACCGGCTCTCTGATTGGCGGCATCCGTGTGGTTACGGCTCCGGAAAACGGTTCGGCGTTGATAATTTGCATTTGTCATTACTGGATGTCTTTAATTTGATGAGGACTTATAATTGATGAAGCTAGAGATAGCATATGCCTAAAGTGGTGAAATATTGATTGACTACTATTGTACAGCTTCTCATCAAAAAATGGAGATTCTTTTTAATTGAGTCTAACTAAATGGCCGCAGAAAGTGGCTTCGACGCCTTCGCATGAACATGCGAGAGCAGTCTAGCCGTATCTCTAATAAATTCATGACTTTTGCTCAATCCCCTTGTTGGATGGTTATAATGTGCAAAAGCATGAGGCATCCCGGCGTACCGTTTCATGCTGACTTGATTTCCGGCAGCCTGTAGCATTCTTCCATAGTGTTCCGCTTCATCACGCTCAACGTCATATTCAGCCGTTACGATATGCGCAGGCGCTAGATCACGTAGACAGGGTGATAGCACAGGCGTCATGCGCCAGTCACTCAGAATCTTTGCGCGAGTCTCGGGATCCTCCCCAATGTAATATTTCAAAAACCAGGACTCGCGTTCCAGAGGAGACCATGGAAGATCAGAACAAAAAATCGCACTCGGGTACTGACAAGTTTCAGGGGTCAATCTGACGCGCTCGTCTAGCGATATGGGGATGTATCGCATATCCGTAGCCGGCACAATCATCAATTGCAGTTTCAAATCTATCCTAGGAATGGCATCCCTAGCAAAATGCGCCAATACAGCGGTATTCAATCCGCCAGAAGAGAGGCCCCCTATAGAAGTAGACGTCGGGTCGATGTTGAGCAGTTTGGCGCTGGAGGTTGCCCATTGCAGAGCAGCCCAGCAGTCGTAAATAGCCACGGGGAAGGGGAATTCAGGGGCAAGTCGGTAGTCCACATCAATCACAACAATGCCTGCTTCATTGCACATAGATCGACACCATGCAGCCTCCGTCTTAAGGCCGCCAAGGACCCATCCTCCACCGTGGAAATTTAGATGCATTGGAAATGGACCTGGGCCAGAAGGCGTATACACACGGCAGGTAATGGTGCCCTCCGGATCCTGGACGGAAACTATGTGATCTTGGACATCGTGTACATCAGGTCCTATAACATTCAATGAGTCTAATACCACTTAACATAAAGGAAATATATGACTTACGTACCATCCCAGATAGGGTATGTAAAACTATATTTTGCCGGACACTTGCGTAATTCCTCGATGGTTACCAGATGCGCTCCCACGACATCTTGTCCATGCTTATTCCACATTTCTTTCCATTCTGAGTCCAGATTATGCAGATATTTTTCTGGAATATGGTTGACGGATTCCTCTTGCATGATCTAAAAGCCGCCTGGCGCTGAACGAGCGGAACAAATCGAAAACAAGGCAATGCGATCGAAAAAGGACATTTAGATGAAGGCACTTGAATATTTGCCTTTGGTTTTTTCCAGGTTGGTCCATTGTTCTGATATCTCGTGGAAAATCCAGAGTCATTAAATCGATTTCTGATTGGCGGCATTCAGTTCGGAGGACGACTGCTCCTATCTCTCAGCTCAACACCGTCGTTCACCTATCTCGAAGTGCGAGCGACTCCACATGATTATCTGCGCTGATTAGGATCGCAAAGACTCTTGAGCCTAGCAAGGAGAGATAGGCCTGAATAGAGACCATGGTAAACAAGCAAGAAGAAAGAAAACATTCCATATATTTGGCAATCTGTAGCGATAATTGGAGCTAAACTGTTTTTGGACTTAGCCTTATGCCGCTTTAGGTAGAGTAAGCTGACCGTACAGCTTCAAGCTTCGAGTAAGCATCATTACACCTCTGACCTTTTCAGAATGACTTTTTGTTGGAGAACGATATTTATAGCCATGGTTCTGCAGTGTAGTCAGAGTAATCATGACCGGTGATTTTGACAGTGAAGCCAGGTATAAAATCGCTGAGAATAGCACTCTTAAAATCAAGTAGTACATGTATCAAGTTCAATCCAAGAAATGGCTTCCACTATCGTCCTCATTACCGGTGCCAACCGTGGCATTGGCAAAGGAATCCTAGAACTATACCTCCAAAAACCAAACCACACCGTTATCGCTGCAAACCGGGACCCGAACCATCCAACGTCCAAGTCGCTAGACGATCTTCCCAAGGCAGAAGGAACCTCTTTGCACGTTGTGAAAATCGAAGCAACCTCTCCCACAGACTCGGCCGATGCTGTCAAGGAGTTGGTGGCTGTAAAGGGTATCGACCATATCGACATTCTGATCGCGAATGCGGGTATGGCTCTCGGGTGGCCCACGGTCGAGGAAGTCCAGGTCGATGATATCCAGAAACATGTTGATGTCAACATCTACGGTTTCCTTCGTCTTTATCAGGCGTTTCTTCCTTTACTTAAGAAGGCCAAGGATCCTAAATGGGTGACTATCGGGTCAAGCGCGGCTTTTTTGACGGTACGTCCTCTTGTCATTTTCAAGTATGATGAGATAATTTAATCGCTGATATTTTGGACCTAGTGAGTTTGAAGAAAGACTGTGTAGCGAATTTGTCGTTTTAATCATTGCTGATAGCAATTATCTCCCCATTCGAAATGCTGCATATGCCCCGACTAAACTGGTCCAGCATTGGTACACCAAAGCGATCTCCGCAGAGGCCCCTTGGTTGACCGCGTTTCCAGTCGATCCTGGGTAAGTCTTGCAGTGTTTCAATTGACTACATTGAGTACTATATCTAATAAGATGCGAACTACCATCAGCTGGGTTCAGACAGAACTCGGTAACAGAGGCGCCCATGCAATAGGAGTTGAAAAGGCAGATATCACGGTCGAAGAATCAACGAAAGGCATCGTCAAAGCCATCGATGCATCCACCCGCGAGACGCACAGTGGGAAGTTGTTCAAGTACGATGGGAGTGAGGTGCCGTGGTAGTCGACAAACCATCTCGAGATATCTAGAAGACGAAATGAGAACCACAGTTTCACTTCGTCTGAAATGGGCATTTGTGGGCTTTGGCATTAACATCCGCGCCCAACTGTATTAGCATAAGCATAGCTGGTTCAAAGCCCCTAAAAATAGCCATATGTAACGCTGTCCATCCCGTATTGTCGTACAAATCAATCGCAACCATCGGCTCGTACTGATCGCGATGCTTCAGTAGCATCTGTAGCATCGAAAAATTCCGTCGTAGTACAGCCCAATGTATACCCGAACGGCCATCGCAATCTAGAATTCCAATTTTTGCCCCGTGAGTTAGGAGCAGACGCACTGTAGATTCGTGATTCTGCATGGCTGCGTGCAAAAGTGGTGTGCGTCCATCGCTATCTTGCTGGTTGACATCCGTATTGCCGCTTTGAAGGAGCACTTGGAGGATCTGCTCATGGCCTCTCTGAGCGGCTATGTGAATGGCACCAGTCCAGCCTTTTTGTTTTGAGAAGGTGATGACGCCTGATAGGGATTCGTCGTCGGTTTGGTTGGGAAGTAATTCGTGGCCGGAAGTTGAAGGTGTCAGGTCAGGTCTTACGTTTTGTTTTTCATTCGATGCAAATATGTCGGTATTGTCACTTGAGAGACTGTTGGGGAGTATATTCCATGACGTTGAGTCCCATAATGTTGTCTCTTCTTCTGGTCCAGAAAGCACTGAATCTAGTGGAAAAGTTGCCATGTCCGGTGACAAGAACATGGTGTCGTGAGTCTCTTGATATCCAGGCCGGTCAATTACTTGAAAATCGAGCCCTGTCTCTGCAATTTCTCGATCTTCATTACTGATTGGCTCGGTTGGCGCATTCAATGAAGAAAGCATTGTCGTAGCACTCAAGACTGGATCCCCAGTGCTGATATCAGCTCGTGGCGCAGATGCCTGAGCAGGTCCATCCGAGCTTTGAGTGGTGTTTGAACGAATGTTTTCTGCTGCTCGTCTCTTCTTCTCTGCTAATCCATTTCAGTGCTGTGGATATGCGATCAATGGTAACAACTCACCACGGAATTTGCGCTGCGCCAGCCGATTTTGAAGCCGGCGTCGTTCAACCAGATCCGACTGAAGCTCTGTATTGATGTCCATTTCTACATTATAGCGTTGTCAATAACTTTCAACAATCTGAAGATGTAGGTATATCATTGAAAATCCTGAAAAGAACAGGTTTTCGAGCTTTGGAAGGAACACTTAACTACTAGAACAGTTGATTAGTAATGGCAAACTAGACAAATTACGAAGACGAACCAATACGAGTGACACTGTATTCATTGCTGATACCAAGTGACAAAAATAATGAATCTATTTACAACCCAGAAATATACTTTTTCCATCCTGATTTGACGCATAGTCACAACCACCGTGTCAAACATAAATGCAATTCGTAACTGGGACTGTCGAGGAAGTTAACATGGGTAGTAGGGCATGTGAAACATCATACCCCGACCGGGTAAGTCAAGCATCATATAGTCGCAAATCTCGTATAGTCCATTTCAAAGGTCAAGGCCATATCATGGCTCATTATGCGTAGGTAAGTGAAGTCGCAAAAACTAAATAAGCAAAAAGGTATCAAAAGTATAAGACAGAATAGGTGAATAAAGTGAGAAAAATAAAAATATCCGGGAACAGCATATAGACGAGATTGGAGACTGGCAACCAGCCATGTTCCAGTTCTAGAACATTAAATGTGTGGGTTGTGACTGTCGGCTGCTCGACTTGAACGTCGAGCAGTAGACTCACGGTCAGGTACTGCATTACGTTCCTCCTCTGATTGACTGGAGCTGTCGTCAGTTGCCGTTGCACCGCGAAGCCCTGCTGCTCTTTGTGCGCGTATCTGCTTGCGCCACATGCTGGCATAGCGACCATTCATTTCACGAAGTTCATCGTGAGTGCCACGTTCGGTTACTTGGCCATCGTTCAGAAGCAAGATCTGGTCGGCATCTGTGATGGTGCTCAATCTATGAGCTATGACAAGCATAGTGCGACCCTTTGACAGTGTGGCCAACGCATCTTGAATTTGCTCCTCGGTTTCCGTATCAAGAGCAGCGGTTGCTTCGTCCAAAAGAATGATGCGAGGATTCTTCAATATTGTACGAGCGATTGCCACACGCTGCTTCTCTCCACCGCTGAGGCGAAGACCGCGCTCTCCAACCTTTGTTTGGTAGCCATCGGGGAATGTGAGGATTTTGTCATGAATGCTAGCTGCGCGGCATGCTTCATAGACCTGCTCATCAGTCACTCCCGGGCATGCGTACTTCAGGTTGTACATCAAGGTTTCGTTGAAGAGAACGGTATCTTGGGGTACAACACCAATGTGACGACGCAATGAGTCGATGGTCACATCTTTGACATCTTGGCCATCAACGCGGATGCTGCCGCTTAGAGCATCGTAAAATCGGAAAAGAAGGCGGAAAACCGTCGATTTACCACCACCAGATTCTCCAACTAAAGCGGTGGTCGTGCCAGGCCGACATTCGAATGTCAATCCATTGAGAGCCGGTTTGCGGCTGTCATACGAAAAATGGACATCCTCAAAAGCAATTCCGCCATTGCAATGAGTTAGTGGCTTCGCACTGGAAGAGTCGCGGACTGTTGGCTGCTCTCTAAAGAGTTCCAACATGCGCTCCGAGTTGATCAGCGCGGACTGAATCGACCTATAGAAAGTTCCGAAGAAGTTCAAAGGTCCTTGAAGTTGGGCCATGTAGATCAATAAAGACACAAATTTGCCAACTTGTCGTTCACCCGCGGAGACCTGGTATGCTGCGATGAAGCAGGTCACCAACAGGCCGAGCATGAAGACGGTGTTTTGACTCGTATTCATCAATGTCAGCGAGAAGAGGACGTGATATTCGGCATTTTGGAAGTCACGGACAGCGCCTCGGTACCGATCAAATTCATAGGATTCCGCATTGAAGTATTTAACGGTTTCGTAGGAGACCATAGAATCGTTCCTACAATGATTGGTCATGTCAGCAAATAAGAAGTCAACGGAATATCAAGATTGTCACTCACTTGACGGCATCCTCCTGACGAGACGCATTCACCATTTGACGCCTTATCTCGGCCCGCCACTGGGCCATGCGAACAGTCACATAGAGATAGCAGAATGTGACAATGGCCACCACTAAGGCATAGTATGGATCGAAGAAGATGAGTAAGTAGCCGATTGCAACACCGACGTCGATCAACATTGGCACAACTTGAAATGTGACCTGTTCAAGAAAGGTATTGATCGAGTTGCCTTTACTCAAAGCCGATAAAACCTCTCCAGTCTTTTTTCCCAAGTGAAAATCCAAGCTCAAGCTATGAACGTGTTCGAATGCGGCTGTCGACAATTCCATGTAGGAGTACTGACTAACCGGGATCCATAAACTAGACCGCAAAGATCCGATGAGGCCCTGGTTTCCTTGCAACCAGCGGTAGAAAATGTACACGCAGATCTGAAACCACGGGATTGGTAGCCCTTTTCCTTCATCATCTGCCAAAATATCCGTAATAACGCCCACTTGGTAAGGCACCATCACATTGATAACCCGTTGCAGCAATATAAGGCCGAAACAAATAACAACGACAAATTGGAGCCTGCGGGACTTGGACGGCCAAAGGTAGGGGAAGAAAAGTGAATAGCCACTAAGATATTCCCACCAGCTTGTCGATGGTACGGTTGAAGGTCGCACCCATGGATCGATCGGTTTTTGTGATGGTGATGCGTGTCCGTTGGCATGGGTCGCACCATACGCAGATCCGTTAGAACCTGCAGTTCCTTCGCTCAACAGACCCCTGGTTTCGGCTACATCTCCAGCTAGGCGCGAATCAGCCTTGCGGCCACTTGAGCTCTGACTTGTCGACACAATGTAAAGGAAAACGAGAGCCAGAAGTGTGAGTACACGGATAGCATTCGATGCGACCTCAATGGCTTCCCAGCCGGTCATTCCATTTCTCCAAGGACCACCCCAAAGATCTCCAACGACTGGCTCGCGATGCGGATTGGTGTATATAATTAGAGAAGCCACCCATATTACGACATCGAGGGGTACAGCTAGCAACCATGTAGCGAATTGAGCACCTTGAGGTGATGGTTTTGCATCGACCAATGAGATCAGAACCAAAGCATGTACAAAGAAGCAGCCGACGATATAGATCTATAATTCAAGAACGAGAATGCGACTTTAGCTGGTTTTGCAATATATAGAGTGCGACGAGATTTACTCACCACCGTTGCCTGGCCTCGCCACCAGTGCTCGGAACGATCGATAATGGCGTGCGAAACATTGACCGCGGCATCAACCAGAAATGTCAACAACACAGCTAATGAGAGCCATTGGAAGACGACTCGGAATCGAGGCGAGACGTTTCGCTTGTCTTTCATTACTGCCATTGTACTCCGTGTCCGCTTGGGTAGCGGACGTCCTCCAGGACCACATGCTGGTGTAGTAACTGGTGTCAACTGCCTGGCAGACGATATTGAGCCGACGATAAAGGCAATCACAAAGGCCAATAAGAGAGTGATTGGTGAAATTATCCGTAAATATTGCAAGACACTCTGGGCCGTGTCCAAAATGTCCGAGGGCAGTGTCATTTCGGACGATATCAGCGAATCGGGTTCGGCCATTGCTCAAGACTTGTCTTTCCTCTCCCGTACAGGTAGTAGTTGTGGCACAACACTCAGTGCAATTCCATGTCACTCAGCCCACACTAATTACTCCTCAACTTTGGGGTCACACTCGGTAGCGACAGTAGAGTATTGCGAACGGACGCGGCGAAATTCAATGTATCAACGTCGTGTGATCGGCGACTGAGCAAATAGTTCCCGAACGAAAGAACACGAGGAAAGCGAATTCGTTGCGGATAATAATTGGTAGCAGCTGAGGTACCTCAAACTGATGTAAGGTGCAGCTATAAAGATCCGAGTAATATTAATTTCTGTACCGAGAGCTCGAACGTGATGCAGACCGGGGTATAGCTGTAGAGGCGGGCCYAGATGCAGCGCAAAGGCAAAAAAAGCAGCAGATTGATTAGACAACAGATGGCCACCAATGAACGGGATATGCGATATGCAGAAATAAGCACAGGGGAACACCACAGACAACCCGGGAAGAAAATAATAATAAAGAGTAAAAGAAAATAGAAATAAAGAGATTAGAATGCAATTGACGGAGACGCACGACCGAAAGCGACTATTAGAGATTAAGAACAATAGCAGTAGCAATAAATAAGCAGTAGTGGCAGGAGGAGGACGATGGAAATAAATAGATGCTGCTGAAAGTACCTAGAGAGCAAGTACTGGGTACCTGAGGACTAGTAGGGAGCTGGAGAGCAAACAGACAGCAAATAGTTGATCCTGCGACCAGAGAGAAAGAGGTTGGAGATGGGGAGAGGGAGATGGAGAGAAGAGGAGGTTGTAATTGGAGGGGGAAAAGAAAAGAGCGAAACGAGGCAGGTGATGATGCTGCCAAAACCGAAGGAACGACTACGGGAGGCAAAAGTCTGGGAAGGTGCGGGACGGGCTCGCGCTCAACCAAACCAAGTGACTGACTGACTTACTTTGACCAACTTGTCTGGTCTCACTCTCGTCCTTCTCTGTCCTTATTTCTCGCCTCCTCCTTCGTTCTTCCTGTCGCTTAACCTTGTCGATCGACTTTCATTCATTCAAAATGTGTGAATCGCACGCGCACGCTGATCTGGTCTCCACACAACTGACTCAAATCGCCTGTTCGTCAAGTCGTCTGGGTAAACAATGATTGGCCCGCTGCCCAGTGGCCTGGCCTAGTCTTTGGATATGGTGCCGTAGTCAAGGCCTAGATCTCCAATAAAAGGCAGGACAAAGACGATTGTGTTATGCTCGATATTTTGGACTGTGCCCTCAGTCTGCTTCGATGCTCAGATCCTGGCGCTCTTTCGCCTCTTATTGAGAGCACTATACGCGAATTAGATTGGCAAAACCATGCTCGGCCCTTTGGTTCTCCTCACCTGGGTCCCGATTTAGGCCAGTCCCGTGAACGCTGAAGAATGTGGATTCCGGGTGCGGGAGGGAAGTCACCAGGACTTCTTACCAGCCAGTCAACACCACCCAATCAATTTACTGGATGAGGGTTCAAGATCTGATCAGCGACACGCTCCCAATACGCTGTGAACCGCTTTCACACTTGCACAGAGCACTCAATCAGATTGTTTCGAAGTTGAGCCGAAATCGTGCAAATCTTGCGGGCGATGGAGTCTGCAGCTCAAAGGAGCGGGACGAGTCTGGGTCCTTCAACAAGACAGAAACAGAAACAGAAAGGACAGAAATCAGGTAAGGAAGGGAAGCAGAAACAAATTCCTTGTCTTACCAGCCGAGGAAATTGAAGTAACAATTCTGGAAGGCGACACGACATATAAAATCAGTCAGAACCCAGAGCACACGCGAGCGCTGGCTATACCGCTCACAAATATATATGCACAATGTGCTAGTGCTACTGAGATTTTTTTTCTCTCCTTACTGCAATCATACTAGTCATGGTAGAGTCATATGAGTTTTTCGGACTATATCGTCAAGCGTATGAGCTGTCCTTTACAATTCATATTCCGGAGTAGTCCACCCCAGTTCATTCTGAACATCGAACATGCCTGCGCGCTTATGGTTAGTACGGTCTGCAGCCCAACCCAAGCTTCCTTTTTATTCCGAGATGAGATCGTGGTGGAACTCGAGACTTTCCACCCCTGGAGGTTACGGGTTACAACTGGAGAGTACATGTCTTTACAGTATTCGTCCATGATGTATCATGCATATTAGTTCAAGTCCTGACTCGGCATAAGTCACATCTGAAAGAGTCTAGGCTTGCACAACCCCAGTTAGTATTCTATCTCGAACAGAAGGGTACAATGATTCTTTCAGTGCTCAAGCTTTTAAAATGACATGTCCATATACAGCCATACCCTGTATCGTACATGCAGATATTGGCGACGTGGGAATGCACTCTAACCACCTTTATTTCATCATGACATTATCGTGCCAATCCATCGGCGACACGGCTCAGCCTTGTAATGCCTGAGCTGTGAGACTCAAACACAATGCTGGTTTCCGATACTCCGTTCATTGCTATTAGTCGATCATGGATCAACTGCGAGTCGATTTCAAATTGTAACATTATCGTCACTTCGGGTCTACTAGTTTGGCAAGTCCAGCACATCCATAACACTAAACACGGAGGCATATGCAAGTGGACAATGCAATTTCGTCTGTTTTGTCCAGATGACATTGGAAAGCCTCTAGATAAAAAAGGAAAAAAAAAAAAAAAAAAAAAAAAAAAAACAACTTGATAAACGGGTCGTACGGATGGCTTGTTTCAGAAATACAAGACGATTGCTTCACCGTCGTGCAGGCGGCGCGGAACGTCCCGCTAACCCTAAGTACCTAGGACTACCCAAGCTGCCGGAGTTGCACGCTATGCCCGAATTTCTAGCGGTCGGTCGCCTTGGTCCAGATTGAAATATACATAGTACGTAGTAGATACGATGCGAATACCTTGGTAATCGCGTATCTATGTAGCACTTTGTTATCCGTTCCACATGGGCTCTATTTAACCTTGGAACCATCGAAGAAGAAACAAAAATTGGCCGGGACAAATCGGTTTTCTGTTCCTTTGAAAATTTCATAGTGCAGGTTTACGATGCGGTGAGTGAGGATGGAGTACAAGAAAAAGCAAAGAGTTGGAACTTTGATAGATTGAGAGCGGATGCTGAGTCGTGACAATGGGATTATCCCTTCGATGTTCCAATGGAATGAATCGACTATGCGAGCGGTGTGGCTCAAACTATCGACCTAAAAAGCTTAGCTTCACCATCAACGAGACTAAACGGGGATTGCAATTGATTTGAAAATATGATCTCACTCGTTGTAGGTACTCCGTCTATGTATCAGGATTTCTCTTCGACGGGAAAATATCCCGTCACGGATGAAAATACGGGAACCTACAAGGATGCTTATTATCAAACGCACACCATATCCCCATTGGTGAGAATTTTCTAACCATGGCTATGAAAGTAGAGAAAATAAATTGGATACATCCAGAACTTTAGGATCTAATTGACCCCGGTACTTGCGTTGGTGACTTGACTGCATCCCGTTTCACACACCGCTTCATTTCTCGATCAACACGGAATTTGGAATAGTACTGTCAGTTACCATCCCAAACTACCACTACGTAGTACTTTCATTGATTCAATGTTATTCCTTTCCGGGGCAAAAGTACCGACTCATACTGCAGACTATCCTGTTCTTTCACATTCAGTCACAGAACCTCCGTACATAGACTTTACAAGTTTACATACGTCCAATGTACATAGGTAACTATCGCATCCTCGGATGTTCTCCGAGGCACGAAATTCCTTGTCCGTTGACCCATAGTCTACTTCCTAGGCTCACAGAAAGCGGAAGTCGAAGGAACGGTGAACAGAATCGAGAATATGCTTACCTACTTATTCGGGACTTGAATCCCAAAGCTACGGGGACATGTAAGTTGTCTGCAGCTTATGAAGGTCAGAAGCAATGCAGCCGGTCATCGGCGCGGGATTTAGTGCGATAACTTTGTCTACTATACCCAGAAAGAGGTATTTAGAAGTGTGTACGATTTGCAGGGGAGTTTCCTCATGGAGAAATCACACAATTAATTGTTCAACGTTTAATTCCGTACGGATACTTGTCGGTTATTCTGGGGTCTAGACTGGACTTTTGCAGGGAGTATTCCACACTAAAATGGTATACAACAGGGATTTCTGGATTTGTGTACCTAGGTACAGACAATTGATGCACTAGATTGACAACAAAGTGAAGCCATCTTGACTCTTGTGTCAGCGTGAGACGAAAATCCCTGGAGTAGGAGACGGAGCAATTAGGGCTAGAGAAATGAGGTCATTGCACAGTGACACTGACCGCACAGAGCGACATATCAGATCCGAGTCAAAGTCACATCGAATTATTGTTTACGCATTACAAATCCTGTACTGCACACGTCTGTTTGCCCCAAGTCAGGCATCCATGCTGTCCCTTTTCGCGGATATAATTTGACCTCTCGCATTTTGACTAGATCTGATCGCGACTCTAACATTAGCGTTTTTACCTCGTTGGCTTTTGTGGCTGACACATTTGCCTTGACAGAAAGCACAACAGGCCAAGAAAACTTAAGGAAACTCTGCCTTTAATGAGACATCGAATGCACAGATTTAGTCCTATGCGATAGATCTGACATGGCGTTGGGCTCCCGGCACATGCTTGAGGTGGATGTATATGCGTAACTTGCATTGTACATAGCGCTGCTGTATTATTGCTGAAATGGTATCAATTTCCAAGATTCTGTATTCCCTCGCCTCGCTTAAACAGAGACCCAACGATCTGAGCACCATGCAACTTACCTGTAAGCGTTGAGCATCACATGAAGCTGGTATACCACCTAGTGCCTAGGTATAGTCCTACACTTTTCTTAAAGCGATTTCGTAACTGATCCATGGGAGGTTCCGAAATATTTTCTTGCCCATAGCCGTAGACAGCAAACAGCACTGAAGATATCGGAATTTGATACAAGGTGTTCCGGTAGGTGTAGGATTCTTGTGATTTCGACCCTCTGAACAACCGAATACTGTAGTGGCAGTGCAGGTGTCTGATCATGTAAATAGGTTTATTGTTTTCTGCATGTGGCTGCAGTTCGAAGTGAGGCATCTATGTACATGCCTGTCGATATCTTCGACCTCTTCCGGAAACCATCCTATGGGAGACTGGTCAGTGGTAGTGGTTCAAACTCAAATACATGTATATGTCATGTGAACAGCAGCTTGAAAGAAGGGATTGATTGCTGAAGCTGTTGAAACTTGAAGGGCTGAGGGATCGCAGGTCAAAGTGTTTATTGTGGGGCTCGGCGCTGATTGCCTGCCTGGCTGCCTCAGGATCCACCTCCGCAGTCCAAGCTCTTCGAATCGATCAACCACAGCCCTGTGAAAGCTTCCTCCATCGTCCTTCGTCCATCGATGACCGGCCCATATTCGCCTCTGTTGCTCTAGATCCCCTGTCGCGTGACCTCTTTCAGCTCTGCTTGTCTCTAGGAAATGGMCCAGCCATTCTGATTTCGGTCCCTGCACAGCCGCCATGAGAGATCACGATGGCTGATCCACCACTTGCTTCAGGAACCCCTCAGTCGCCMCGGCCMCCCCCGCCAATATCGCAGGGTCAGGCGCACAAGCTCTACCAGAATCGCGCAACTAGCGCTCTAGCTAGACTAACGCAACCATTTTTCACCGGATCGCGTTCCCCGAGCCCATCAGATGTGTCGAACCGCGTGCCGGAAGATGATCACCATGTCAGATTGACGAGGTCAAAATCCTTGTAAGCATGCTGGCCAATACTACCCCCAAAATCCCAGCTTCAAGACGCCATTGGAAAGCAGTATAGCTAACTGGAAGACAAGGCCTGGGTCATCGCAAACAGTCACACATCGTACCGGCCTATCGATCGCGTCGCTGGACATTTCCCCGCAGAAAACGCATGCCGTTATCGCCGGCCGAGAAATTTTCAAGACCATCCGCGTATCCCAAGACGGTTCTTCTGAAGAATTCAACCTTCGCGATGCGATCATCAAGACTTCGTCCAAGAAACAAGCTTTGACTGGCCTAGCGTCGAAATTCAAGGATCAATTGGCCATAAAGGATGTGAAGTGGTCTCATGGCGATTTCGATACAGTCATTGCAACCGCCGCCGCCAATGGCCGTATCATCACATATGACCTGCAGCGAGCAGGGCTGGAATTGTCAAGGCTGAATGGTCACAACCGTCAGGTCCACAAATTAGCTTTCAATCCGCATCGTCCGGCTTGGCTGCTATCGGGGAGTCAGGACAGCACAATTCGTATGTGGGACTTGAGATCGGCTTCTCCTGCAGCTACTATTCAGAGTATATCTCGCTATAGTAGTAACAGCGACGCCGTCCGCGACATTCGATGGTCTACCGGGGATGGCACGGTATTCGCAACGGCAACGGATAGCGGAGCAATTCAATGCTGGGATTATCGACAGACCAAGGCGCCGCAGCTGAAGATCACAGCACATGAAAAGCCATGTTACGCTGTCGACTGGCATCCAGATGGGAAGCATCTCGTGAGTGCCGGTACAGATAGGCAGGTCAAAGTCTGGGATTTCTCTTCGTCAGCCGAGCGTAGGCAGAAACCGACTTTCCAATTTCGAGCTCCTCAACCAGTTGTGAATGTGAGGTGGCGACCGCCTAGCCGGGTTTCTGAGTTCTCGGATGATAGAAATTGGCAATCGACGCAAGTTGTTACATCTTACGATAAAGAAGACCCTCGCGTTCATCTATGGGATCTTCGTCGTCCACATATCCCTTACAGAGAAATTGATCGATACGAGACGCCTGCTGCTGACCTACTTTGGAGATCAAATGACTTACTTTGGACCGTTGGCGAAGCAGGAGCGTTCACTCAAACGGACATTCGCTTCGTTCCCGAAGTTGTCAGTCGACGACCAATGTGCGCAGTCGCCTGGAGTCCTACTGGGGAGGTTGTTGCAACCATTCAGAAGCGGCCACGGCGCCGGCCATTGGCATCCAAGAACCCCGAGTTCTTTGGCTTTGACGACGAAAAGGATCGGAGTTTCGAAAGACACCAGAGTTTTACAGATAGTAGTGCCATAGACGATCTGGTAACAGTGCAGCCGAAGCAACAACGGGGAATGATGTTGGGTATATCAAAGTCGCTGGGAAATACGCCTCCAGACCCAGCAGACAGAATTACCGTCATGCCTCTTGGCGACTCTTTATCAGGCGAGCTTCCGACACCGCATCAGCTGGGTATTGTCGGGCGAGTTGAAGGTGTCGCATCTGATGAGATGGTCTTTCGCTATCTAGCTGAGCAGTATTCTGTATTGATGAAGGATAAGGAAGCTACTCTACGTCCTAAAAATCAAATTCAAGCGGTTCTATCAGATCTAGACTGGAATGCGGCACAAGCGGAAATGGCTGGGCAACACAAGCTTGCTCAGACTTGGAGTATCGTGAAATATACTGTTCTGCAAGAAATCGACCTTCGAGCGGAAGAGAGAAGTCGAAGGCCTAAAGAGAAGACGAACCAGGGCCACAAATCACCACATGCGCGTTTCAGTGATCGAACGCGTGTTCCTGACGGACCAAAGTCAGCCAAGCTAAAGTCTCATCTTTTCAAAGGAGTCATCGAGACAGAAGCCTACCGACGCGGGCCGCCGGAGATTGAGAGTACATCCAACATGACCACTCCCCTTGCCCAGCCGCTTCCAGATTCTCCTGCTGGTGTTGATTTCTCTTCAGCCATTCGTGGGGATTCCGTGACAGACGATCTCATCGACATACAACCTTTACCACCTTCCGTCATGAGTTCACATTACAGTGCCAGAAACCAGATTGATACTACAAGTGCACCGAGGATGCAACGCCACAAATCAGGATCGAGCGAATTCATGCCATTTTACTCGGGCAGCTTCAACTCAGAGCAAGCCCGGGAAGGCCAATTTGATAACATCGAAGATGACCAGAGGTCCGCACCTCGAGCTATAGCTGGTCGTGCCGACTGGCATCGACATAGGCCAAGTGACGTTGCGGCGAAGGAAGGGTCCGGAGACGAGTATGAGCAAAAGGTCGAAAGTAGAAAAGCCCTTCTACGTGATTACAAAGCTCCCCCGAGGAAGGTTTTAAATCTCGAATCTCTTGCTCATGAAGCAAATCGCCCGACACGTCCCGCACCTTATCTTCGACATGACTCTACTGAAAGTTTTCCAATGTTTTCAGCTTCGACGGACAGCTCGCAACGTACAAAGTCTGTTGATATCTCGTTATCTCCACGAACCAGTGCGCTTGCTTCGTCAAGAAGGGATAGTGTTGGCTGGGATACAGAAGAGGATGCCATTCTAGAGGAAGATGAGCCGGCATCCTCTGATGCTGCCAGTGTCAGTGTTCCTGATTATGGATCATACAAGGATGAAATCGTTCCCGATAACGCGTCTCCTGACGATCATCAAATCCATCTTCAGCGCCCATCCAGCCCTGCTCCAATTCTAGCAGAGTCGGACAAAGATGAAAGGATTCAACAACAACAAAAGCATGCCGAGAGCAGTACAGAGCACAACGAGGACTTTCAGTTCCCTCTTTCTCCCGAATTATCCGCAAGTAAGCCTTGGGGCGCACAAGTCATTCTGAGAGAGGCAGTGCGACATTACCATAGTACAGGTCCTGTCGATATCCAGATGGCGGCTCATCTACTTCGGACAGTGCACTCGCTCTTCTATGACTGCGAGACCATCTTACCTTATTATGAATGTGAGCAGGTCTTCAAAACGTATAATGAGCAACTCATTCAACATTCCATGTACGTAGAAGCCGCCGAGCTTCGAAATTTTTGTGTGCCATTGTATCCGTCGGTATACGAGTATGCGCAGACGGATACACACATCAATGTCTATTGCTATACCTGCAAGAAGCCTTACGAGAATCCCGTCAAAGATAATCGACGATGCCACAGATGCCGTACGCCGCAAAACTCTTGCCCTGTCTGCCTCAACTTGGAACCACCTTTGGAATGGGTTGTACCCGAAGCTGATGGAAGCAATGACGAAAATGTGGAGAGCCAATCCCAAGATTCCCTCCTTTCTGATCAGACCGAACCTATACCAGACCTGGATATAGAAGGCCAAACTCCTTTCCGTACTCCAGGTTCAGGCTTATGGTCATGGTGCCAAGGCTGCGGGCATGGTGGTCATCTAGCCTGCATGAAGAAATGGCTTGGTGACTTCGAAGCAAGTGAAGGCGGTTGCCCTACACCTGGCTGCGTGCACGACTGCGGACCCGGCCCACGACGACAAGAACACCGCGAAGTCGTGCAAACCGTAGCCTTCGGACGCAAAATCACATCAAACACAGCCAAGCGCGATTCATGGGCAACCGGCGAAAGCAGAGCAGTCGAGAAAGTCCGCGGGATGCTGACATTAGCGGCAGCACCGGCATCGTCTGGTGAGATTTCATTAGGAGGCGGTGTGAGTAGCGGCGGTAGTACTGCACTTAATACGTCGTCTGGTGGTGGTGGAACAATGGGATCATCGAAGAGAGTTCGATTGGTGACTCCAATAGAGGAAGGGTTGCATAAGGATATGGATCCTTTGATGCGTGACAAGGAGTCTACGTCGGATCCTTTCCCGGGTTAGATCATGTTTTTTTTTCCTATTTCGTTTCAGGTTAGGCTATGTTTTTGTACTTATTTGATATACCCCTGTACTATATACAATGTTTTGATTCTTAAGACCCATGTATTCAGGTCAACTTTGTAGATGCAAACTACAACATCTAAATCTCGCACAGTATGACCCAATCACTAATCAAAACTTCCTCTTCTTCTTCGTCGGCGCTTTGCTCTTCGCTTCCAGCTGTCTCTTTAACTCCTCTCGTTTCTTATTCGCTTTCTGTTCAGCCGATAATTCCGGTTCGGGCTCAGCCTTCGGGACGCGTTTGGGTATCGGCGACGGTGATCTGGATTCGGCAAGAGGCGGTGATGGTGATATTGATGGTGCTTTCTGCCTTGGTTTAGGTTTACTGGACCCGGCGTCTAGATCATCGTCTGTCTCTTCCTCTTCGGGCTGTGGTTTCTTTTTTCTGCCGCCAATGAGGCCCAGTTTCTTGCCCTTTTTGGGAGATGCTTGGGGCTTGGAAGGAGCTTGTTGTTGTAAATCATCCTCGTCACTTGTAGGTTGTCCAGTATCGCTGTCAGCGGGGGGCTCTGGAGTGGGCGCGTTCTTAGGTGCTGGGTTCTTGCCACCTATTTTACCCAAGCATCCTTTCTTCTTGGGGGGAGTTTCGGTGGGATGGTCTTTCTTGCGTTTGGGTGGGCTTGGTGTTGACTTCCGTTCAGGTTCGGAATCTGTATCAGTCGCCGGAGCGCGTTGGTGTGGCTTGGGCTCTGCCTTGGTTGGCTCGTCATCAGAATCCGTCTCATCCGCAACAGAATCCTTTCGTGGACGTCCCAAGGGGACCGCTTTCGGTCCTCCAATACGGCCCATTACCTTCTTTGGGGGCTTCCGAACAGTTGCTTTTATGCTGTCTAGTCCATCATCTGACTCGACATCTTGATCTGACTCGGTGGCGAGATCTGATTCATTCTCCCTGGCTGGCTGTTTGATTTTTTGATTCTTTTTCTTCTTGAGATGTGGAGGCGTCTCTTGACGCTGGAAGCAGGAGTTATTAATAAATTTATCTAAAAAGAAAAATGTGCAAAAGGTAATAGGTACCTGAAATTCATCTTCATCTTCGGTGCTCACATCATCATCTGCAGCCATTTGCTTTCGAGTGGCCGCTCTTTCTGATAGGCTGACCTTCTCCTTTGTCGCTGCTTGGGGCCCCTCTGGCGAGGGTGGGCTTGTACCATCAACATCGTCGAGGCTTCTCCACCATGTGGCATCTCTTGTACGTGGGTTGTCTAAGGAGGCAATCCCGCCACGTGCATATACAGATTCTGTAAGACCGTTTGCAAGATTATCTTCATCAGCTGAACTACCTCGCCACGCTTCCTCGTCAAACTGAGTGGCGCCTTTGATATGCCTGATCAAGTCCGATGTTCTCAGTTTACCATGACGAACACCAGCAGTACCAGGAAACATTGAGGTCAATTGCGAAGGATCAATCTTGTCAAATATTTTGGAGAGAACATTATCCTTCTCTTTGATATGTTCCAATAGAGATTGCTCCCGCTGCTCGTGGTCTCTCTCGCCTTTCAGTAGAGGAAGAAGCAAGTGTCGCGTGACTGCCGACGAAGGTTCTTTCGACAGCGTAAATATCCACTTCAAAGGATTCAATCCCGCAGGTAACTTTGTACTGGTAGCCACTACGATGGAGTCGGACTCTGAACCTGAAGCGATGCTCACAGTTGTATTCTTCGCGCCATCAAGAGCATCTTGGATCTTTCGCATAAAAACGTCATACTGATTTGTGTCTTCACTGGGATCAATACTAGTCCCTATGTCTTCGGCTTTTTGTAAGATGTGGTTGTATTTTAGCATTTCGTGCCATAGGTGCGTGAGATCTGTGAGGAAAATCTCATAAGACTGTGATGTGCAGATGAATCTATAGAATAACGGCGGCGAAGATATATTTCGCGTGGGGAGACTGTTCCACCTCGGTGACATTTGCGCTGTGAAGGTTATCCTCCGCGCCTGGTAAAAGTGCTATAAAAGGGGATATCATGTATCTCTGTCGAATAATGAAATAAATCAATAATATTCAAAATGAGGCTGAAGACAGTCGAGGAAAAGAAGTAAACAGTGACACAGTATTGACCCACTTTCAGCGCCTGTTTAGGGAAGGAGCCTAAAGGCGGCTATTATCCAATCATAGTGTACGAAGCTATCGCCATCCGCCAACGTCACTAGCAGCATCTTTGTTCTTTCCTCTACGAGAATTTGTCAAATTTCCTACTTGTACGAGAGTTGGCCCAAGATTTCTATATTCACGGCCAATACTACCATGTCGACGCATCACTCCGATCGCGCAGGCTACAAACGTGTCCGATCTCGCTCTCAATCGCCGCCATGGAAACGATCCGAAAAAATCCCGCGCAGAGATGACAGACGACCGCCCGGCCAGTGGAATAATGATGGCGCCAGATCTGGTCAGCGAGACAGAAGGGATCAAAATCGGATAAATCAGTTGCAAGAGGACGAGCAAGTGCGCGAGTGGGTCGCTCAGGAAGATGTTTTCGTCCTGAAGCAGGCTAAGAAGAAGGCAGAGATTCGCGTTAAAGAAGGCCGCGCAAAGCCCATCGATTGGTTAGCTGTCACATTGCGTGTAATCGACCCTACGAGGAACCCCTTAGACGATGAGATCTCCGACTCGGACTTGGATCTTATTGATCCGGAGGGCGTGTTCGAGGGCTTGTCGCAGGCTCAACTAGTCGAACTGGAGAAAGACATCGATACCTTTTTGAATCTTGAACAAAGTCAGAAGAATCGTGATTTCTGGAAGGTGAGTCCCATTTGATACATTTGACGATATATCTCGCCACAAGTGCTGACATAGACTAGACTATGAAAGTTGTATGCCGTGATCGTCAAAAGATATCAGCTCCCGAAGGCCGTGTTTTAAGTTCTGTGGCCGCTGACATCAATAAAATTCTCAGTCCAAAGACTTACGAGCAATTGGAGACACTTGAGGTCCAAGTGAGACGCAAGCTAGACTCAAACGAGCCGATTGATACAGATTATTGGGAGGAACTTTTGCGCAGTCTCACTGTTTGGAAAGCAAGGGCAAAGCTGAAGAAGGTCTTCCAGGCGGTCATAGAAGGACGAGTACAGGTACTTCGCAAGCAACAGAAGGAGGAAGCAGAGTCTGTGCGATCCAAACTTGCTCCAATTGCGCCCGTCATTGGCGAGGTTGTGGAAACTCGAGAGTTAGACCTGGACCCGGAGGCTTTACTTCAGCTAAGACCTGAGGACAAAGCGCTTGAAATTATGGACGAATCAGTATTTCTAAGTCGAGTGGTGTGTTACCCTTCCCTTTATTTTGACACAAGTGATGTATCAACTGACCTCAACTAGGCTCAAGAACGGCAAAAGATTCTAAAGATGGGATTCGTGCCATTGCGGCAACGAGGCGCAGAAAGACCCACTCAATCGTCGCTTTCTAAAGCAAAGAAACCCGATTTGGCGGATACTCCTGCCGACCGATTTTCTTCGTTGTCCAACGAAGACTTCTCTCAGGCCACAAGAGCCTTGTATGAGCGTGAAGTAGCAAGAGGGGTTAGTGAAAACGAGGAGATATTCACAGCAGAAGAAGCTGTCAGCAGTAGTACTTCGCAGCTCGCGTGGGCCAATAAGTACCGTCCTCGCAAGCCGCGGTATTTCAACCGTGTGCAGATGGGATACGAATGGAACAAATACAATCAAACACACTACGACCACGACCACCCCCCTCCAAAGGTCGTCCATGGCTACAGATTCAATATCTTCTATCCCGACTTAATCGATAAGACAAAGGCCCCAACATACCGTATTGAACGTGAACACGGACGGAAGCGTGGCCAATCTTTCGTCAAAGCAGGTGAAGAAGATACTTGTCTCATTCGGTTCATTGCAGGACCGCCATACGAAGATATCGCTTTTCGTATCGTGGATCGAGAATGGGACTACAGTGCCAAACGAGACCGGGGTTTCAAGAGCAGTTTTGAAAAGGTAAGTTCAGTCTATGGCTGTTCACATCATCCAATACTGAATTCCGGCTTACCGTGTTTTCAGGGTATTCTGCAACTTCATTTCCAATTCAAGAAGGTACGTACTGATTGGTTCTGAACTTTGAGCATTACTTGATCTTTAGTGATACTAATTTATACTACAGATATACTATCGGAAATAAGAATATGCTGTTGCATGGATCGCAGCGCCTCTTAACGGTTACACCGCAAAAGACGTACATCGTTTCAGCTATTTGCATTTCGCATGCATAATCAGCGGATCATATCCTTCTACGTATGGCTTATCGCTTAGTCCGACCCGGAGCCGGTATGGAAGTCGCTTTATGCAATTTAGATGAGCAGCACGAGCGTATAGTATCTAAATCGGGATACTGGAGAGAAGTCTGCCTTACATCGTGTGTCCCTCCGATTTACTTCTTCAGTGATGTCCAAATGCCGATCTAGTCTGAGCTTATGAGTCAAGCTGAATGCTTTTCAACCACCTCTTTCATAATCGACTACATTTAGAGACGTGATATACGTTGTACAATGCCAATCTAAAATTTCGGAACGCTGTTTATTTTCATCCGCCTATCACACTCCCATTCCTCCATTGCTGCAGCCAATCGGGTAGTGGGTTGATGTTGACCGACTATCCAACTCGTTGTCGGGACTCCAATATCCTGCATCTGGTCCAGTTGTATTTTCTTTTCAAAGACGTGGCCTAGAAGATCTCTTTAGCGTTAGTGTGTTGTGGGGAGCCTCGTGCTGCAGTGCTACTAGGCTAACTTGTAAGTCGCATCACTTCCGTTTACGGTTACTCCATCACTCAAACACTCATCCTCTACTTCACAGTTTTGCTTGTCTTTAGACACAAGCAAATGGTGCAATGTGATTCTGTAGATTATCGTCGCCTGAGTCTTTCGAAAAACTGTATCCTTTGTTCGGCGGTGTGCGGTGGTGCAGAGGTGAAGAGAGTTATACGGTTTGCTACGCACGTAATAGTGAATGCAGCAATGCAGGTATCCATTAGGGCTAGGCTTTCCAACCATGTGGAAAGCCCATCTACTTCCAGGGCTGACAATGCTTCCATAAGCTCGTCTTGGTCAATATGCCTCCTGGATCCCTTTTGAATCCTCTTGTTTCCCTTGTCAGGTGGAAAGACCACCCGGCCAGCCACCAGTCCCCTCACCCAGACATAAAGACCACCTTGAATCTTAAAGACGATGGAAAAAAACCAACGACAGCACCGCGGTGACCTTCAACAAAGAAGTTACAGAACAAGTCCAGGCACCATAACGATATCCGCGAGTAGTTCGTCGAATTTTCCGACGATAGCCGAACACACAAGAGCGCATCTAGAGGGGAACAAACCTTTGTCCAACATGTACTCGTTTGCGCGACCTCCGGTCGCGTCTAACATCTCTATGGAGCCATCAATGCTCATGGCAGGCTCATTGGAGCCCTCATTGCTAGGTCTACACTCAGACAGGCAGATCATGGCGCAAAATCGTGCTTATGTTACGAGTTCATACAGTTATTATTCGGCACCATATCAGCAGCCTGACACTACTCCTTTTAAACACAGTGATTTTCCTCAGGATAGTTTTTTGAACCCGAATATCGCGATATATGAGTCGCCCTTGCTCAGCAGCGACAGCGATGATTCACTACTGCGCAGACAGACTTCGACTCTCAATCGCGAATCTCATCCACTATCACACGTTCAGACACCATATGGCTCGCGTTATCCTCCAGCAACTCGAATGCAAAGCAGAGAATTAGCGATACATCCTGGTGCTGTCAACTACCCAAGGGAAAGCACTAGCCCTGCGCGTCTTTTACCTACAGTAACGCGCTCAAAAGGAAGTCACGTTCAGCCATCTAAAAAGCCCTCTGCAGAGGATGCTGGGAATCACGACAGACCTTACGCATATCTTTTGTATGAAGCACTTTGCTCTGCGAAAGATCACAAAATGTCTTTGCAAGAAATATATCGGTGGTTTGAGGTGAACACAAATAAAGCGAACGATCCACAGTCCAAAGGCTGGCAAAGTAGTATTCGCCATAATCTTTCAATGAATGAGGTAAGTTCCAGATCCGTGGCGACTCAAAATTTGTGAAAATTGACGTATGTTCGACAGGCGTTCATTTTGCACAACGAATATTCTGCCCGGGGAAAATCGAAGAACAATTATTGGACACTTACAGACGAAGCCCTCAAAAATGGAGTTCAATCGACTACTCGCTACCGTAACATCGTTTCGAAGAGACCCCTTGCATTCAATGACATGACACGACAACATAGCGAAGCTGGAAGGAGAGGAGGAAGTGAATTGGGGCATGTTTCAAAGTTTCGCCGTATCGGTCAATATCCGGAGTCCGGTCCCACTGAGCAGTTTCGATCGAGTCAAGGATATGATATTCAGCAGCGATTGGATCAGCGACAACCGCCGGGTGATGCGCCCAGGCACAATCTGTACTATCAAGATCCAAGCATGTTCATCATTCAGAGCTTGAATCCGAGTATTATCATCACCTCGAGCGTTGATTCTGACTGTTCGCAGTTTGGTTATGTAGAGACTCATCGCCCTGCTAGTCAGTTTGGCCATGATTTTACACATTTCGATACATAGCACACATACACTTTCAGGCTCATGTCCATTGTACAATACATACTTTCGGACTATGAACGTCATATATTGTAGACTTGTACTTGTGCGAGCCTACAACATACTAAATGTAATTGAAGCTGGTGGCAACAGAGCCATATACCCTGACACTACCTGGGCACGGTTACAAGTCATCCTCTTAACAATGTCAACTTCAAAGTTTGCTCAAATGTGTTCATGGGCCGTCGAGCATTGAATCAGTACTCAATCCCGTGGTAGGGCATTGATTTGACAACTTTGTGTCACCAAGTTCTGGTCTACGTTGTTGCAGAGGTTTAGAATTCATCAACTGATATTTTACTTTTCATACCGGTAATAATTGTAGACAATCGGCCCCATGAAAAGAAATCCGGAGACCATCGAAAAAAAACTCGCCCAGATTCGCCCGAGGTCATTACTTCGCATACAGACATGCAAAAATGACCCATTATGATTTCAAAAAAAATCTGTAGCAAGATGAGAGGGTATCATCTTGTCTAGTAGTGACTTAACAATTATCCGGCCCACCAAAGGACCAGTAACGCCCCTCTCACACAATCATATCTTTCTTGCTGACTTTTGTTTCACATAATTTTTCAAACGCAACAACCAAATCCCCGATTCATTCTTCGGCATTGACTGATTTAGCGCTTGCGGGTGGCGGCCTTTTCCTTCTCTTGGGACTCCTTGAGCACCTTCTTGACGATCTTCTGCTCCTCGATCAAGAAAGCACGGACGATGCGGTCCTTGACGCAGTTACCGCAGCGAGAACCACCGTAGGCACGAGAGACGTTCTTGCGAGGACGGGAGATCTGAGAATATTCACGAGGGCGGAGGGCAGGGACCTAGGTTGATTGTTAGACCTTGTTCTCGCTCTGGGATATGTATTGCGATTTTCGTCCAATAACGAGCGTCTCGAGTAGATATTGTCGACTAGTAACCTCGAAATGCACGAAAATCCACTAGGCAGCACTCACACCAGGGAGCTTGACACCGCAGTCACCGCACTTGGGAGCGGTACCCTTCTTCTTGATGTGCAAGTAACGGAGGTTACCACCGGGGGTCTTGATGATACGGACACGGTTGGACCTCGTGTTGTACCTATATCACACAGATATGCAATAATCAGCATTGATTTCCTTCGCTTCGCGATCATTTGAATTTTTGTAAATGAGGACATACGGGTTCCGTCGGCGCTGGTAGAACATTCAAAATTAGCATCCGTCATCCATCCAGGTACAACAATTCGAATTTTGAGAAAAACTCACGTATTGCAATCTAGTGTTCGCCATTGTAACTGTCCTCGAATCTAATTGTCGACGTTCAAGGAATCAGCGGCGTTGTCGTTGTATCGTCGTAGTTCGTCGAAAATTCAAGATCGGGAAGACGGATTGTGTGGGCTTTTTCGCGACCGCACTAGGGCTCTTTGGCGAATAAACTAACCAAGGAAGGACTAGCGTCAAGCAATCGCAAAGATTTGCAGATTTATTTTCTCCGCTGCTACCGCCTGCCTGATCAGGAATAGTCCGGACGCCAGAATCGCGACGGTCCAGAAAGGATATTGGAGGCTTTTTGTCGACATTTTGCCATCAAACTTGCCCGCAGCCAGAAGGAAGTTAGCTATCCTTGGAGTGTCTTTCTTCCGGGCAGTGTGTCTGTATATCATTTTTCACTTTAAATAAGATCATCAGTTTGTTTTTGCGACAAGTTTACGCCAAACACTGTCGCGAGAAGCCCTTCGATGAAGCGGATCAACCTTGCTTGATCTCGCATCTCGACGAAGCTTCGACTTTTTATCGATAGAAAGTCACTATGGCTTCGCTTCCACCTCCTCCCCCTCCAGGATGGGGCCCAGCTCCTCCTCCTTCAATGCCTTCGGCACCTCCGCCACCCGGATATCGACCTCCCGCCGACCCCAAAGTCGCAAAGTTCGCCCAGAAAAAGACAGAATGGTTGAGGACTCAGCGCAACAGGTTTGGCGAAAAGAGGAAGGGCGGTTTCGTCGAGTCTCAGAAGACTGACATGCCGCCTGAGCATCTGAGAAAGATTGTCAAGGATATTGGTGATGTGTCGCAGAAAAAGTTCAGCACCGACAAGCGCAGTTATTTGGGAGCTTTGAAGTTCATGCCTCATGCTGTTCTTAAGCTACTTGAGAATATGCCTATGCCTTGGGAGTCAGCTCGTGAGGTTAAGGTCTTGTACCATGTAAACGGTTGTCTTACTCTTGTCAACGAAATACCGCGAGTCATCGAGCCTGTTTTCCATGCTCAGTGGGCGACCATGTGGGTTTGCATGAGAAGAGAAAAGGCAGACCGACGCCATTTTAAACGTATGCGCTYCCCGCCATTCGACGACGAAGAACCGCCACTCTCATGGTCCGAGAACATTGAGGATGTTGAACCTTTGGAACCTATACAGATGGAGTTGGATGAGACTGAAGATGCCGCAGTTTACGAGTGGTTCTACGACCACAGACCTCTTCTTGATACGCCTCATGTGAACGGACCGAGTTATAAAAAATGGAATCTATCGCTACCTCAAATGGCAACTCTTTATCGATTGAGCCATCAGCTATTGAGTGATGTGGTAGACAAAAATTACTTCCACATGTTTGAACTAAACAGCTTCATCACAGCCAAAGCTTTGAATGTGGCCATGCCCGGAGGACCTCGATTCGAGCCTCTATACAAGGATATCGACCCGAACGATGAGGACTTTGGCGAATTCAATGCGATTGACCGAATCATTTTCCGCTCTCCTATTCGCACAGAATACCGTGTGGCGTTCCCTTACCTTTATAACTCTCTTCCACGAAGTGTCAAGCTCTCGTGGTATTCGCACCCTCAAGCCGTTTATGTTCGATCTGATGATCCCAACCTTCCAGCCTTCTACTTTGACCCTGTCATTAACCCGATCTCCTCACGATCTGTCGCGCCAAAGAATATCACCATCTCTCACGAAGATGAGATTTTCGGTGAGGGCAACAATGAGGATGATGACTTTGAGCTTCCAGGCGATGTCGAGCCTTTCTTAGCGGACGAAGAGCTATACAACAGCGATACCGCATCTGCCATTGCCCTTTTGTGGGCTCCTTATCCATTTGACCGCCGTTCCGGTAAAATGGTTCGCGCTCAAGATGTGCCATTGGTGAAGCAATGGTACCTCGAGCACTGCCCACCGGGCCAGCCTGTCAAGGTCCGGGTCTCGTACCAGAAGCTTCTGAAAACATATGTTCTCAACGAGCTGCATAAGGCCAAGCCCAAAGCTCACAACAAACAAAATCTTCTGAGAACGCTCAAGGGTACCAAGTTTTTCCAGACTACGACGATTGACTGGGTTGAAGCAGGTCTTCAGGTCTGCAGACAAGGATTCAACATGCTGAACCTGCTTATTCACCGAAAGAACTTAACTTATCTCCACCTTGATTACAACTTCAATCTCAAACCAGTGAAAACTTTGACCACGAAAGAACGAAAAAAGTCTCGTTTTGGTAATGCTTTCCATCTTATGCGAGAGATCTTGCGCTTGACAAAGTTGATTGTCGATGCCCAAGTGCAGTACCGACTCGGCAATATCGACGCTTTCCAGCTCGCTGACGGTATCCTTTACGCTTTCAATCATGTCGGTCAATTGACTGGTATGTACCGTTACAAGTACAAGTTAATGCATCAAATTCGATCTTGCAAGGATTTGAAGCATTTGATCTACTACCGTTTCAACTCCGGTCCGGTCGGCAAAGGTCCAGGTTGTGGTTTCTGGGCTCCGGCATGGCGAGTTTGGTTGTTCTTCATGCGTGGAATCATCCCATTGCTTGAAAGATGGCTTGGTAATTTGCTTTCTCGTCAATTTGAGGGTCGTCATAGCAAGGGTGTTGCTAAGACTGTGACAAAGCAACGTGTGGAGTCTCACTTCGACTTGGAATTACGTGCTTCAGTCATGGCTGATCTCATTGATATGATGCCCGAAGGTATCAAGCAGAATAAGGTTAATACGGTTCTGCAACATCTGTCCGAAGCATGGCGCTGCTGGAAGAGTAATATTCCTTGGAAGGTGCCAGGTCTTCCGGCTCCTATCGAAAATATCATCCTCCGATACGTTAAAGCCAAGGCTGATTGGTGGATTTCTGTCGCCCACTACAATCGTGAGAGGATCCGGCGGGGTGCTACTGTTGACAAAACAGTCGCAAAGAAGAATTTGGGACGTCTGACACGATTGTGGTTGAAGGCGGAACAAGAGCGACAGCATAATTACCTCAAAGACGGCCCATATGTGTCGTCCGAAGAAGCTGTTGCCATATATACCACAACTGTTCACTGGTTGGAGTCTCGAAAGTTCTCACCTATTCCCTTCCCCAGTGTGTCTTACAAGCATGACACAAAGATTCTGATCCTGGCTCTTGAACGTTTGCGCGAGTCTTACTCGGTCAAAGGCCGTCTCAATCAGAGTCAGCGTGAGGAACTTGCCCTCATCGAACAGGCTTATGACTCTCCTGGAACTACATTGGCCAGAATCAAGCGTTTCTTGCTGACACAGCGAGCGTTTAAGGAGGTAGGAATCGACATGAACGACAACTACAGCGATATAAATCCCGTTTACGACGTCGAACCAATCGAAAAGATTACGGATGCTTATCTGGACCAGTATCTGTGGTACCAAGCTGATCAACGTCATCTGTTTCCCTCTTGGATCAAGCCTTCTGATTCTGAGGTTCCACCTCTGTTGACTTACAAATGGGCTCAAGGAATCAACAACTTGTCCAACGTCTGGGAAACCGCTGATGGCGAGACGAATGTTATGATTGAGACCAAGCTGTCAAAGGTTTACGAAAAGATTGATTTGACTCTGCTTAACCGACTTCTTCGTTTAATCATGGACCACAATTTGGCCGATTACATTACTTCCAAGAACAACGTACAGTTGAACTACAAGGACATGAACCATACGAATAGTTACGGTTTGATTCGAGGTCTTCAATTCTCTGGTTTCGTATTCCAGTACTACGGCTTAGTCATCGATCTCCTTCTTTTGGGTCTTCAACGAGCAACTGAATTGGCTGGCCCTCCTCAGAGTCCAAACGACTTTTTGCAGTTCAAGGACCGTGCTACTGAGACCCGGCACCCTATCCGTCTCTACACCCGTTACGTCGACAAGATCTGGGTTTTCCTCCGTTTCAGCGCAGATGAATCTCGAGACCTTATACAGCGGTTCTTAACGGAACAACCAGATCCCAACTTCGAAAATGTGATCGGCTACAAGAATAAGAAGTGTTGGCCACGTGACTCAAGAATGCGTCTCATGCGTCACGATGTCAATCTCGGACGAGCTGTTTTCTGGGATTTGAAGAATAGGTTGCCGCGATCTATTACTACCATTGAATGGGATGATACGTTCGCCAGTGTGTACAGCAGGGACAACCCAAATTTACTCTTCTCTATGTGTGGTTTCGAAGTCCGCATACTTCCGAAAATCCGCAATCAGAACGAAGAATTCCCTGTGAAAGACAGTGTTTGGTCTCTTGTGGACAACACGACTAAGGAGCGCACTGCATATGCCTTCCTTCAAGTCACAGAAGAAGATATCCAGAAGTTTAATAACCGCATTCGTCAAATCCTTATGTCTTCTGGCTCGACGACATTCACCAAAATTGCCAACAAATGGAATACCGCTTTGATCGCTCTCTTCACCTACTACCGTGAGGCTGCTGTGTCAACCGTGAACCTTCTTGATACGATTGTGAAGTGCGAAACCAAGATCCAGACACGAGTCAAGATAGGCTTGAACTCCAAGATGCCTTCCAGATTTCCTCCGGCGGTCTTCTACACACCCAAGGAGTTGGGTGGTCTTGGAATGATTTCTGGTTCTCACATTCTTATTCCTGCAAGCGACAAGCGATGGTCTAAGCAAACTGATACCGGTGTTACTCATTACCGTGCGGGTATGTCGCATGACGAGGAGACATTGATTCCCAACATCTTCCGGTACATCATTCCTTGGGAGGCGGAGTTCATTGACTCGCAACGAGTATGGATGGAATATTCTCAGAAGAGACAGGAGGCTAATCAACAAAACCGACGCCTGACATTGGAGGATTTGGAGGATAGCTGGGATCGCGGTCTTCCGCGTATCAACACGCTGTTCCAGAAGGACCGAAGCACCTTGAGTTTCGACAAAGGTTTCCGTGCTAGAACCGAGTTCAAGATCTATCAGATCATGAAGAGCAACCCATTCTGGTGGACCAGTCAGAGACACGATGGCAAACTCTGGAACCTGAACGCTTACCGCACCGACGTGATACAAGCACTGGGTGGTGTTGAGACCATCCTTGAGCACACCCTGTTCAAAGCAACGGCTTTTCCATCATGGGAGGGCCTATTTTGGGAGAGAGCGTGTCTCGCCAATGGGACGCGTCTCCTCCGGTACGACCATACGGAAGTCCAAGTCCAGGATGTGAAAGAGGGAGACTTGCTTCTGGGACCGGACGGAGGTCCAAGACGCGCTTTCAACATCGTCCATGGTCGCGAACGTCTCTTCCGAATTAAGCTCGGTGGACGAAAGGAGGACCTGGTCGTCACGTCCAACCACATTCTAGTCCTCCACCGGTCCAGTCACGCCAGAAACGTCTATTCTGGACCGTCCATTCGAGGGCATGCTCAACGGTTTGGAGACAGATTTGGAGAGCTCCCCGTCCCGAGTTCCAGTCCAGCTGCCGCCGACCGTCCAAACAATGTGACGAAACAGCGTGGAGACTTCACGTCCGCTTTGAAGAGTGCCATTGCCTGGATTCTTAGTGCGGAGCGGAGTGGAACCGGAGCCAATGTCATCCGGAACGTCCTGAATGGAACCATTGGACTTACGTCACTTCCGGAGTCCTATCAAGTCAAGAATCCGCAGGAAAAAGGGACGTATTTCACATACGCCTGGGGCAATCCGAATCGGACGAATCAAAAAGGCCATCCGAAGTTCCCTCCTGTCTTCCTATCGTCCAAATCCGCTTGTTTCGAGGCGGCTGTAGCAAAGAGTCGCGAGCTTCATGCTAATGACGAAGTCACTCTGGCCACACTCCGTCAACGATTCCTTGCTAAGTCCGCTAATGGAAAGGGTGGAGAAATCCGGGTGGACGCGAACTTGCCCAACCTCTTCCTTCTCTGGAATAAAAACGGATCCAGTCTGAAATTCCGGGTGTACTGTTCTCGGGACTACAAGAAGTACTCGCGTGCCTACGCTTTCGAGGCTTTACCAAGTTCGGACTCCGAGCAGCAAGTGGACGAGGACGTGGACGACCTGCCTGAGGTGTCGGCTGCTGAGCGCTACGAGACGGTTGAGATGACTGCCGCGGACTTTGCTGCCCTTAGTCCAAAAGAAAGAAGTCTGTATCGAGTCTTCCGATCTCCTGGTTACGATTTGCCTCACCAAGAGGTTCCGGTCGACCCATATTTCCTTGGACTGTGGCTTGGGGACGGAAGTCGTGCAAACACTACGATAACCAACAACCACGAAGCGCCAGTCCGTGAATTCCTCCAGAATCACGCCGCCGAACTGGACATGCACCTTTCCCATTACGCCCCTCTGGCGTATGCGACTGTAGCTCGTCAGACTGGCCACCAGACCGGTGTTTTCCCTCCAGCTACCGAGGAAGAGGTCAATCGTCCACTTCGTCGCCAGGCGAGACAGACTTTGCGGAAGCAGCGCCTTGCTGCTCTGGACTCTGGTCGTCCTCGAGCGTCCACTCCGCCCCTTGATCTGGAATCGGAAGTTCAGGTGAAAAGGTACATGTCTTCCAGTGTGGAGAGTACTCCTCGTCATAAGCGTCAAGCCGTTCTTGTGTCCCGGAGTGTGTCGCGAGCGCCTAGCTCACTTGCGTACGAGGTGTCTCTTCCGGAAGACGACATTTCGGTCGTCCCAGAGTCTATAGGCAACGATTCTCAACTGGAAAGCAGACGCTTCGATTCCGATCTAGTTCTAAACTCTACTTCTGACGCCGAGTCCACTCCGGTTCCCACCTCCCAGCCCATTTCGATTCCTAGGTCTGATCCAGTTTCCTGGTCCGTGTCTGTCGTCCAGTCCTCCCCAGATTCTGATTCGGATGCTGTTTTTGAGCCATCTCAAGAGGATCCCGAGTCTGCGTCCGATTCCGATTCCGGTTCTATCCATGAGTCCATTCCGGATAACGCTACAGAGTTCGGATTTCCTGGACTGCCAGAAACAGATATTCCAGATATCTTGTCTCAACTTAGCATGGATTCGGAACTCGTCCAGCTTGCTGCACAGGTGGAGCAGGCGGAGCAGTCCAAGGACCGCATCTCCAGCCAGAGCTCAACGAAGGACGTCCTGGATGGTCCGCTGGAAGATTTGAAACTTGATCTTGACATGTTCGAGACCGAGAGTGAGGATGAGGACAGCGATGACGATGACGAAGATGGGCCTGCTATGGAGTCTGGTAATCCAGCTGACGTCCGTTTTGGCGGCAAGAGAGACAGTAAACCGTCCGAGCCATCTGTCCCTGGACTTCCTGGTCGTCGACGCCTCCATCGTCTAAAAACCGGTTGCCGAGCCTATGGGGAGCTGGACGCGGACGAGGAAGAGCAGCTTGTAAGCGAGATCGTCCACGAAAGTCACTGTGGTTCCGTGAATCCCCTTCTGGATGCGCTCAGGGAGCTGAAAGTCAGTACCCGTGAAACCGGTCCCACCAACGACACCAAGCATATTCCTCAAGTTTACTTGAAGAACTCTCGGCCCGTCCGCCTTGCTGTCCTTGCCGGACTCATTGACAGTGATGGCTGGTACGTCTTTCCGGAAAACATGATAGGCTTTGCCCAGAGTGAGAAATGGCACAAGAGGCTTTTTTGGGATGTCGTCGGCTTGGCACGGTCTCTAGGATTCAGCGTTTGGACGAAGCGGAGGATGATGTGGGTCCCTTCTCGCAAGATACGGACGCCTTTGCTCGTCGCCCAGATCTTCGGAAACCTGGTTGAGATTCCCTGTCTCCTTGCCCGTAAGAAAGCTTCGGAGCGTTACATCCCGCAAATGCATAGCTTCATGATCAAGGATATCTCTCTGGAACCAGTTGAGACAGCCTGGTCCGGTTTCCGGGTGGACAAAGATCAGCTTTACTTGCGCCATGATTATCTGGTCTTACACAACAGCGGTTTTGAAGAGTAAGTACCCCTTCCTTTTTTGCATCTACTCTTTCCATTTACACGTCCATTTGCTTCCATTTTCATTTTGCTTTGCCATCCATCCATCCATTCTTCTCGTTTGTTGGTCCAGTTACTTCATCCTTGCTTTCATTCGTCCACGTCTTCTGTCCTGGTATCCTGCCCAGACTGCCGTTCAGAATTGTTGTCCAGAACGATTACCGGAACGGCTGTATAGGACTCCTGTTGAGGACTTCAGTCTTGATTTTCAGTCCAGACATCCTTTCCAGGACTTCTTTCCAGGACGTCCATTTCCCAATCTACTGCCCTCCACTCAAGTATACCCTTTTTCATCATTTTGCACCTTTCTCCATCTCATTTCATCAAATTTCGATATTCATCAATCACATATCGTGATATCACGTGACATCCTACCGAGCCCTATTTCCCTACACAAGCACATATCATTTCCTTGGGCCCTTCACACTCATATCGACGGTATAGAATGATGGAAAAGATCATTCATTTCGTATTCTTCTTGCATGTCATCTTCCCAAGCCCTTCACTGCACAATGATACGTGTCATCATCTCAATCCTGCACAAAAGTTATCATTCTCTGGAGATCTCCAGATCCATACCAACCGTGTCGAATGATATGTTCTCGAGTACTTCATGCTCATATTATTCACGTCGCATTTCATCTACAACATGTCTTGCCGGGCCCTCCACATCCATATTGCATTTCTATCGAGCCCCCAAAATCCTTTTGAGTCCCCTCTAGTATACTTTTCATCACTCCCAGACCACATAATTCACTCAATTGTGTGATTGTTCAGTATGCTAACTTTTTATCTCTTAGATCGATGAAGTTTAAGAAGCTCACCAACGCCCAGCGTTCCGGTCTTAACCAAATCCCAAATCGTCGATTCACTCTGTGGTGGTCCCCGACAATCAACCGAGCCAATGTCTATGTTGGTTTCCAAGTCCAGTTGGATTTGACTGGTATCTTCTTGCACGGAAAGATCCCCACGCTTAAGATCTCCCTGATTCAGATATTCCGTGCGCATTTATGGCAAAAGATCCATGAGTCCGTCGTTATGGATCTTTGTCAGGTCTTTGATCAGGAATTGGAAGCTCTTGGTATTGAGGCTGTCCAGAAGGAAACCATTCATCCTCGTAAGTCATACAAGATGAACAGCTCCTGCGCAGACATTCTGTTATTCGCGACAAATAAATGGAATGTTACTCGGCCATCTCTACTTTTCGACACCAAAGATGTCATTGAGCCAACAACAACAAACAAGTTCTGGCTTGATGTTCAGCTTCGATATGGCGACTATGATTCTCACGACATTGAACGTTACACACGCGCGAAGTACCTCGATTATACAACAGACAGTATGAGTATCTATCCATCTGCTACTGGTTTGATGATTGGTATCGATCTGGCCTACAATCTTTACTCAGCTTATGGCCAATACTTCCCCGGTTTGAAGGCGCTTGTTCAGCAAGCGATGGCCAAGATCATGAAGGCAAATCCGGCTTTGTATGTGTTACGTGAACGTATCCGCAAGGGTCTGCAACTCTATGCTTCTGAGAACAACCAAGAGTTCCTCAACTCTCAGAACTATTCCGAGCTATTTAGTCCTCAGATCCAGCTCTTTATCGATGACACAAACGTTTATCGTGTCACGATCCACAAGACCTTTGAAGGTAACTTGACGACCAAGCCAATCAACGGTGCCATTTTTATCTTCAACCCTCGTACCGGTCAACTGTTTTTAAAGATCATTCACACAAGTGTTTGGGCTGGTCAGAAGCGTTTGGGTCAATTGGCAAAATGGAAAACAGCAGAGGAAGTTGCAGCGCTTATTCGTTCGTTGCCTGTTGAAGAACAACCTAAACAGCTTATTGTCACCCGAAAGGGCCTTCTTGACCCTCTTGAAGTTCACTTGCTCGATTTTCCTAACATTTCCATCCGTGCATCTGAGCTTCAACTTCCGTTTCAAGCTGCCATGAAGGTCGAGAAGCTCGCAGATATGATTCTCAGAGCAACGGAGCCGCAGATGGTCTTATTTAACCTTTACGATGAATGGTTGAAATCCATCTCGCCCTACACTGCCTTCTCCCGATTGATCTTAATTCTTCGTGCACTTCACGTCAACACTGACAAGACCAAGATTATTCTTCGACCAGATAAGACCGTCATCACTCAGGAACATCATATTTGGCCGACACTTTCAGATGACGACTGGATCAAGGTTGAAGTTCAGTTGCGTGACTTGATCTTGAACGATTATGGAAAGAAGAACAACGTCAATGTTCAGAGTTTGACCAGCAGTGAAGTCAGAGATATCATTCTTGGTATGGAGATCAGTGCACCTTCGTTGCAACGCCAGCAAGCAGCAGAGATCGAGAAGCAGCAAGAGGATCAGAAACAGCTTACAGCTGTTACTACCAAGACACAGAATGTTCGCGGTGAAGAGATAATTGTGACAACCACCTCACAATATGAACAGCAATCGTTTGCTTCAAAGACGGAATGGCGAACTCGCGCTATTGCTACATCTAACCTTCGTACTCGCGCCAACAATATCTACATCTCATCTGATGACATTCGTGAAGACGGTCTATACACATATGTCATGCCCAAGAATATTCTGAAGCGCTTCATTATGATTGCCGATCTTCGAGTCCAGGTAGCCGGTTATCTTTATGGTAGATCGCCACCTGACAACGACCAAGTCAAGGAGGTTCGCACTATTGTTATGATACCTCAGGTCGGCAATACCCGTGATGTCCAGCTCCCGCAACAGCTGCCTCAACATGAGTACCTCAATGGTTTAGAACCATTGGGTGTCATTCATACTATTTCGGGCAACGAGCCATCATATATGACTGCACAGGATGTTACTCAGCACGCACGTCTCATGAACGAACATCCATCATGGGACAAGAAGACAGTGACCATGACCGTGTCCTTCACTCCTGGATCAGTCTCTCTTGCAGCATGGGCCTTGACTCCTCAGGGCTACAAATGGGGCGCCGAGAACAAAGACACTAGCTCAGACCAGCCACAAGGCTTCTCCACAAGCATGGGTGATAAATGTCAGCTATTGCTAAGTGACAAGATCCGCGGATACTTTCTGGTGCCTGAAGACAACGTGTGGAACTACAGCTTCATGGGTAGCTCGTTCAGCAGTGTCGAGAAGCGACCTGTCTATGTCAAGATTGATACGCCTCTTCGGTTCTACGATGATCAGCACCGTCCTCTGCACTTCCAGAACTTTGCTGAGTTGGAGGATATTTGGGTTGATCGTTCTGATAACTTCGCCTAAAAGTGATGATGTCTAGGGGGGATTCGTTTCAAGGCGTTGTTGGGTAAAGCGTGATATTCTATTCCTCATATTGTGTTATTTGCCATCGGGTTTTCGTTCTGTCAATGTTCTGTCAATCAGTGCTTCTGTACTGATAGACATCGTGTTATTATTACTGTAATCAGAAGATAAATAGAGGTGTTGTATAGTACTATGAATAAGATACGAAGTTTTTCTGTTCAACATTTGATAACAATCCCCTAGATGAGATCGACGTGTCAGCGGCGTAGCGACTGGACCCCACATCCGCTGCGACTTCAAAAAAAAAGGTCACCCCGCAATGCAGCTTGACTCATTCAACCTCTCCATACACCATCATTTCAACCAGTTCCACTGTCGCAACAGTAGTGGAGTGATCATTGGAGTCGCGTATTTCTAACAATTGGAATTGCGCTCATCTGATCACCATGGCAGAGCCCGGAGCCGAGACGGTACTTCCTATCCGTGAAGGAGAAGGCGTGAAGAAGGCCGCTGCAGAACAAGAGATCAACCCTTGGGACGTGCAGGCTGCAATCGACGAGCATGGAAATGCTCTCGCATTTGACTACGAAGCTATCTCAAAGTACGTCCACCTCGAAGTCATCGCCCGGCGAAAGCGACGAAGAACCTAATACTGACGGAACTATAGAAAGTGGGCGACGAAACTTATCGACGACGAGCTTCTCCAACGATTCGAGCGTCTTACGGGCCACAAACCACACCGCTGGTTAAGACGAGGGCTTTTCTTCTCCCATCGCGATTTCGACAGGATCCTTGACAGATATGAGTCTGGGGAACCTTTCTTCATGTACACTGGACGGGGTCCTTCGAGTGATGCGCTACATCTGGGACATACAATCCCTTTTTCCTTTACGAAGTGGCTGCAAGATGTGTTTGATGTTCCTTTAGGTATGTGGCTGGAAGGTTGTGGTGATTTGCAGTTTTAACTAACAGTGCCTTAGTTATTCAGCTTACAGGTGAGACCGGACACTGTTCCGATGATCTGCTCGCGTCACCTCAGCTCGTATACTGACTTCGAAAAGATGACGAAAAGGCTCTCTTCAAGGAGAAGCTCACATTCGAAGATACTTACAAATTCGGTCTACAAAACGCCAAGGATATCATCGCACAAGGCTTTGATCCCAAGAAAACATTTATCTTCAGCAATCTGGAATATATGGGTGGCCCATTCTTGATGAATACCTGGGAGTTCGCCAAATTGGTCACATTCAACCAAGTGCGAGGAGCCTTTGGATTCAACGAGAGGTCAGACCAATTTATTGCATGCCTTGAATGATGCGAAGTGATCTAACGTCTTGTGTAGCACCAACATCGGACGAATCATGTTCCCGTCAGTACAGTGGTAAGTCTCTACCACCATTCAGGTAATCGATATGTTACTCACGTGTCGTACCAGTGTGGCTGCATTTGCGACGTCGTTCCCCGAAATCTGGTCCGATCCGCCTGCAAAGGACCGAACAAAGGCAATCGCGAAGATTCCCGTCTTGATTCCTATGGCGATTGACCAGGACCCTTATTTCCGACTTGTACGAGAAAACGCTCACCGCATGCGATTCCCCTCGCCAAAGCCCGCATTGATACACTCCAAGTTCCTCACTGCTCTGCAAGGCGCTGGCGGTAAGATGAGCGCCAGTGACCCCAAGTAAGTATGTCCACAGAATGGTTCGTATCGTTACGGCTTCTGATATTCGAAACAGTTCTGCAATCTTTATGTCGGATACACCGAACCAGATTAAGGTGAGTTTGGCAACATGCTATGTTCGATCGGATGCGGACGTTGTAAGCTGACTTCGACCCTAGAACAAAATCAACAAACACGCGTTCAGCGGTGGACGAGAGACTCTGGAAGAGCATCGAGAATTAGGCGGTATTCCGGAGATTGACGTCGCATTTCAATGTTCGTATTACCTATATTCAACTGTTAATATTGTCAGCCTGGTCACATTCAACTAACGCTAGGAAATGACAGATATCTCATACTTTGAAGAAGACGACGAAAAACTCAAGGACATCGAGAACAGCTACCGACGCGGAGAGCTACTCACCGGGGAATTGAAAAAGATGGCCATCGAACTGATCCAGCAGTACGTCAAGGAATTCCAAGAGCGAAGGAAAGAGGTCTCGGACGAAATCTTGAAACAATTCATGACACCTCGTAAACTGGAATGGAAGGGAAACCCCAATCCGAAACCGAAGGAGACTGCCAAAAAGGAGAAGGAAGCCAAGTCGGAGAAGAAGTGACTTGAAGAAGGGCAGGAGTACATAGTAATTAGGTCATGTTACCTACTACGCAGTCTAGTTCTACAGATTAAGATGAAAATGAAATCTCAGAGAACGGGTTTGCGTCAGTATCGGCACTCGAGAATGTGGGACCTGTATGTTGGTGTAGCGAATTCGACAATCACTCTATTTTGCGTATATGAAAGGATATGACTAGGGTTTCTTCAGCCTCACCGGACGTCTAGACTTTCAAGTCCATCGTCGCGTCAATCCTACTCTCAACGTTCAACACAAGCATGACGCTTGACCGAGCCCAGCAGCCAAACAACAAACATTACCAAAGTAGGTCTGAGTAGCCTCCCTAGCTGTGTACGGTAGTGAGTATGTAAATGTCATAGGAACGACCGAAAACATGAAAGCTCCCTGTGTCCATCATTTGAATTTGGGACCTCCCGAGAATCCTCCGCGCCCGTTTCGCTAACTCCAGACCGGCTAGTACTATTGACTCTACGAGATCAAAAGAGAGGAGCCGCTCAAGAGACGGGCTACTTCCTGAACGATCGTACTTAGGTGGTACGTATGCACTTTCAAGCATAATTTCCGAGGTAGCACCCAGTGCGCCAACCCAACTGCTAACGACGATCTGCCATGGGCCATCATTTATGCAAACTTAGACATTTTCCAGAAACGTGGAGTTTGAGAAACGAAAAAAAGAATAAAACGGGCAAAAAAGCATAAACAAACTTTCCTAGAAACTTCTGAAATTCAATATTCATGCACTAAAGCAAAACAACGTGGGTAACGTATGTCATGCACGGAGCTGAGGTACAAATCAGTCATAGTGTGTCCTCCGTAAGTACTATGTAAGAATCACTCGGCAATGTGGAGGAAACGGTTCCTTCGACCTTGAACTATAGTTCTGTGTCCTTATTGCGGATGTACGAGCGTAAATATTACTGAAACTAATACAACGACCTTGTTGGACTTTGTTGGAAGGTAAAAAAAGAAACTATACTCCGAGCTAGGCGGAGAATAGATTGGGTGGTGATAATCTAGTCATATTGCAATGTATTATGCTTCCAGGTTCACTTACATGGCGTAATTAATTGACTTGGAGCTTGCGAACTATTGATTCAGATATGTATGAACCAACAAATCTGCACAGTAGAGTTCATGCCACTTCATACCTAGCCATATTCCAAACAGATGTTCTCAATCAATAGTCAATAGCCATAACCGTACCTAGGGTCGCTTACACGAAGCGAAAAGCCAAATAAAGTGAGGTGCGGGAATGGTATCTAGGCTCGAAATCCTTCTGTTCCACGTGTGGAATGTTCAGTGTTGGGACTATTAACCAAGTTGGGTACTCCGTGAAGAATCAGAAATGGATCTGAGTTAGGGTTATCTGGCGTCTGAGACTAGGGCACATAATCTTAAATCAGTCCCGAGGGAATGGGCACATTGCAACGCTCTCTGGGTCGGCATTGTTAGTGATGCCTGCTACTATAATCGCGATCATTAATGCAATAAATGATTAATTATTGCGATTGACTTTCGGTTCCTGGCATAGTTTAGGTACGGATAGCAGATTTCGTGGGATTCGAAATAAATTGTTCAATCGTTGTTGGTTAGGAAATTAAAGTAATTTAAGATGGAGATGCCGCGGAACATTCCATCCGAGTTGGCACAGGAGTCAGGAACGCAGGGTTTCGCATGTGATAAAATCGGATCTCGATGTCAAGAGCGAGTCTGGGGACAACCATAAACCAAAACTCAGACCTGTGGCCGGGGACATCTGTTCAGTGCTAGGATACTTTTAGTACTACTACGTACCACTAGTTCTCACTCGTTTCACGTTCAGACTACTTGGGTCCCTATTTGACCAGGAACCATGACCAGATAGCTGAAGTATCTGTTGGTTCATGCTTCGGAAAGAGGAGAGTTTGCTGTAGTTGAAGAGCTCAAACTGTTGGTTTGAAATATGTACCGGTATGCCTGGCTCCACGGGTTCACATAATTCGATGGTCTCATTGATATCTCGCAAATTTGTTTTTTGAAATTTGAAATTAGAATTTCAAATCGATTTAAGATCTGCGATGATGAAGGGCTGACCGATCGTACACACACAATTCTTACTGGTAAAGGGAAGTTACTTATGTTGCTTAATAAAGCGGAACGCCAACAAAACATGACTGTGGAAATTCAATCCACTGCAATTCAACTTCAGCTGCGCCGCACGCACTCCGAAAGTTTAGACACGGGTGGGTGTCCACACCGTCGCGTATCTGGAGAGGTTGCCGACGCGATCGATCTCTTGTCGGTTTTTATCAACGATACACCGCAGTGAGCGGCACAAATATTAAGGAGCGAATAAATCTTGAAGGCGAAAAGTCGGTCATGTTCTAATACCGCGCACGCGGATTCGTCAAATCGAGATTGTTGCGAGTTTTATGCGACATTGATACATGTATCCAATCGCATCTTCGAAATAGCAATGTGTTTAACTTCACGCGATGCACCTTCATTTCACAGCCTAGACTGCGGTCGCGTCCTCGGTATGCACGCCCTAGCAAATAATTTGACCCGCGTACTGTGATGATAGATTGTCCATCAATAAGAACCTTGGCCTATCTCAATGTAGTGGCGTGTCGTAGTTCAGACCTTTAGAATCTTGACAAACTAATTTTTTGACTCGGCAGTCGAGTTAAGCCCCAATCCAGTCCTGAGATGAGGGATGGAGGTGAATTTATTCTGGTTCACATCAAACCTGCTGGGATCAACGTTTCTCGCCATGGATACTCGCAACAAAGCATTTTCTGAAACAACTCCGCATTTCCGGGAGGTCGCTTCCATTGGCTCCGGCAGAAGGGAGGAAGCTTGAAGCATTAGGCGGTTTCTTCGTCACAACTTACTCAAAAGAGAGACAAAGCCCTCATTGTTGCCAAATTGGTCAGGTCGCTGGCACGGTCCAAGTAACAAAAATAAGCATACATTGCATTGCATCGTCTTTGGAGTAAAATGCTCCATCGAATGCACCCAAGTGGAGCTAAACAGGCCGACGGTCCAATGGGCTAAAGGACAACAAATGGAAGACGTTGATCTGGACGAGAGCATGCTTACGGAGTTTTATCACTCGAGTTAGACACGGTACGGAGCTTCGCATCTGATCCGGTTAGCATGGGTCTTGACTCTTGACCAAACCAACGCCCCCATACTCTGCGCTTTGCCTTGTATGGGAAAGACGCCGCAAGTGGCCGGGACGGCGTGGAATAGGATCATAGGGAGACGGTAAGACCTCTTCAGGAAGATCCCTGTTAGCGCCATGTAGAGCACGTTCGTGACAACTTACAAGCGTTCCTTTGTCATGGAACTGTGGACTGGAGGACGAAAGGACAAGCAAGAAGATCCGGAGTCGCCGGCGGATGGTGTGTGTTCGTCTATCGGTGGAGAGATGTTCCATGCAAGAGAGATGCTCGTAAAGACTCCATCACATCACGCATAAAGGAGAGAGACGCTGAAATTAAGGACGCGAAAAGTGATTGTTGACAAAGACAAAAATCATTTAGGCAGGTGGAGGCGCTAAGTTGGATGGAGAGACGGTAGTCGCGCACCTGCCACCCGCAGCGGACCCGCGCACCTTCCTGAACAGCCTAGACTGAGTAGACTGCAGACTGAGACTCCTTCCCCGTGCTTCCCGACTCCGTCTCGCTCCTCTTACAAGAACACTAGTTACACTACTCCATCTCTTCACTCTTCAGCCGTCACCACGCCTGGCACGCCAAGATCAAAGTATGTAATTGACATGGCTGAGAGACACGCTTACTAAGTTGCTACTTCGTAGCTTGCCCGGCTATAACTCGGAGAAATTGCTCGGCTAGATCCCAGCGTCTGCTATCCTCTCGCGGCCTGTATGACGACGTCAATATGGAAACCTAGGCGTATCGCTCTATCGGTTCGAATGCCTCGTCTCTAGGCTAAACCTCCACCGAGTCTAACCTGTAGTAGACGTCACTCCCATTCACAGCGCGCTCGCGATATCTGATGCACCCGAAACTCTCGAGTCGCGCACCGCTCGTCGTGCCAATAGCCATGCAGCGGAAAAAAAAAGCAAACCGACAGAAATTAGCCGGCGCCGCCCATCACTCCTTCATGCAAGCAGCAAATGTGAAACAACGTCTGGTCATTGGACGACTTCGCACAGTTGACTCGCATGGCAGGACAGCGACGGTCCACCTCTAACGGCGCCAAGAAGCCAGAGCGGACGAGCATATTTCCCGGCCGTTGACTACCGCAGTAGCGTCGCTGTTTTGCTCCAACGGCACCCCTGCAGCTCTCTGCGACGGAGCCGTCTGTGACCTATCTACTGTCGAGGATGGCGTGGTGTGTGTCCACCTGTCCAGCAACCCATGCGAATCATGAATGGCTGGTGTATGGGACTAACCTGTTTAGCTGCCCTTGACTTCGTCACCAGCCAACTTCCAATCAAGCTGCTTCCAGCTAAGCAACTGTTGCCTGGATTCGGTTTCGGAACCTCCCGTATGGAGCACACCGTAATTATTTGCCTTTTATTATTGTTGGCATTAAGTTTCTTGAAAGTCAGACCCCATCACCAAACTCTGATTCAACCATGATCCCGGCATGTGATGCTACCGAGGATGGACTAGACGGTAGCTCTCCCCAGCGCCGGGGTCCACACGGAAAGTCGTACACTTGAGGAATAATGATCTCTCCACCTCCAGCATTCCTAGGCCAAAAGCATACCAAATAGTGGTAACAAAATAGCTGGCATGTCAAGCGGAATATTGGAATAGGAGCCGTACACGTGCGAAGCTACGAGCGGAAATCACTGTGGAGACGAAGGAAATTCGAGGACATTAGGTGTCGAACGGTCCAGATACAGCATCAAGGGAAGACCGCTCGAAATGCCAGACAAGAAGCAGCAGAATGCGACATGCAGACATAGTGATCCAGAGACAGCAAGCTATCAAGGACGATACCTACTCTGCTCATAGTGCTCCTGCTGCTGTCGAAACGTTTTTCTACTAGAAGACCCACCTGTCAACTTTTTAGGCTGTCAGACTTCTCTATTTTGGGTTTGGCTCACAGAATTGGCGCAGATACTAGCCCGTCTCCTTCATTTCGCAGCTACTTGCAGGGTGCAACTGCAGTCCACTCTCGGACTGCGCATTTACGATTAGGGACAAGACAACCTGCTTTCGCCTTAGCTCGGTCTTGTTGACCCGAGCACGTACTCTGTACGATAATTCTTTGTCCAATGCCTAGAGCACCTTAAAATCTTCACTGCTCATGTATTGGCCTACCGATGACCAGCGGAAAGGATTTTCATCCTGTCTATCTAATCGAGGACGCATCTTCCTTATTGCTTGCCAACCCTGTTATTCTGTCTCCCATTTGAGCCGGAGTCCACATCCCCGTTAACACACCAATCACGACTCCACCTTCCGACTCAGCCAGAGTCGATCGCTGTCATATTCTTGAAATAACAATGAGTAATGATTCCCACCTATCTCGCTGACAGGAGTAAGCCTCACATACCTGATCGCAGTAACCACACCATTGGAAATCCTTCTTCATCTCCCCCTTTTCTTTAATTCATGCTTCGACAACGTCAGCTCAGCTTAGCGGTTTCCATAGAGACTCGAGTCAAGTATAAGTTGCATTGAGCGACCCGGACCAGCGATCGTTAGAGCTCATTGGATGATCTCAACAGTCTACTCACACCGTTTCCTCGGTCTGTCGGCATCCTTTGAACAAGCGCACTGAGCTACAGCTTCATTCTTCTCAGACAAGCTCTCTCTCCCTCTTACCGGCGAACTGACAATTGGGTCGCAATAAAACGAAACCCCGTTTATTGTTTACCATGAAGAAAGCGTGACGGGAAACCTTAACACCATCCTCCTATACTTCACCTACTTCCATATTGGTTTAGCGCTGTCTTCAGGGCGGGGTCTCGACCTTTTATGCTTAATATCTGCAAGGACAGTTTCCGTCTTCAATAATAACAATAATATTCCTTCCGCTTAGAAGACCAGCCCTGCGAATCAGACGCGGATAGTAAACAACAACACAACAACACAACATCAAACCACCATATCATTCGATCAAAAGGCCCTGTTCATCTGGCGCGAACAACGAACAAATCTTTTCATCTTTTCTTCCTAGTGATTATTTGGAATTTTACGAGGCCTGCCAGAGCTTCTCCAAGCTCTAGCAGGTCCTAGGGTGAAAGCCGCGACGCTGGCGGATCCGTATCGAAGTTATTCGCTTGACTACTCCTCACAAGACCATAGCAAGTCCCAAGAAAAACCCGGTTTGCTTGTCTACCACTCAAGCCAGCCGCAGGTCGTGCACCATGGGGCCCCTACCGACATGCCATATGTGCCCCGTGGTGCGCAGCAACCTCAACAACACCAGCAGCATCACCATCACGTCGGCTCTCCAGCTCTGAGGGAAGCAGGAGGTCTCCAAGATGTCCACCATCAGCCATTACTTCTCAACCCACATCAAATGGTTCCTTCTCCGATGTCTTCCCATTATGGCTCCAATCCGCTTCATTTCCAAGCTCAGCGTACCAACAAACGACCTAGACTAGACGGGGCCGACGGCAACGAGGATGATCATCGATTGGACCTCCATCTTGGAATGCTCAAACCGGACTCCCATACAGAAGGTACTCCGTCGCCAGACATGATGTTATCGGCCCATGGAGACCAACAGCGAGCGGGGCCACACTCTTTTGCGCTGCCACCGCCTATACACCAACAACAATCGCAACAACACCATCATCATCGATTACCAAATCAAGCAGTCATGCATACGATGCAACAAACCGGTGGTGATGTTAATTCGACTTCTGTGCCTTCAGGGCTCCCCAGCGTGGTAGGACAAGCAGGCATGCCTGATCCGGCGCCTCGCCCACGTGGGCCAAAGCTTAAATTCACTCCGGAGGAAGACGCGTTGTTGGTGGAATTGAAAGAGCACAAGAACTTGACTTGGAAGCAAATATCCGACTTCTTCCCAGGAAGAACCAGTGGGACTCTACAAGTGCGATACTGTACCAAATTGAAAGCCAAAGACACGGTTTGGACAGACGAAATGGTAATCGGATCTTCTCTTTGCAGAATTGGTCTCCTATGACTGACAGTTTCAACTACAGGTCCAACGATTACGGAACGCGATCCAGGATTATGAGAATGACCGCTGGCGGATCATAGCAGGCAAAGTCGGGCACGGTTTTACACCAGCAGCCTGTCGAGAAAAAGCAACGGAGTTATAATCAGCCAATCTTATTTTACAAAGATACGATCAAGTTGTCCACGAGGATCCTCGACAATACACTACGAATTATTGTTTCAAGATGCTTAATGAAGAAGCCCCGAATCACAACCGAGAAGGGTGTGACTACTTTATGTCTTTCTTCTTCTCTCTTTTCTTGTTTCCTGCTTTGGCCATGGAGTTTTTTGCTCTTTATGTGCGTTTTCATGCTAGATTACTACTTCTGTGCTGGTCTCTTTTGTGTACTTGGATGGGGAAAATCGCTGGTTGTTTCTGAGGAAATCTTCATGTCTCTCTCTTTACTTTTTCTTTCCTTTTCGCAGCATAGGGGTTTAAATTCCTCTCCTTTATACCTTCTGGTTAGGGTGATATAGCATCAAGGGCATTGCGTGTTGTTTACGAGGCTGTGAGGGCGTAATAGCATGCGATGAATGAATCCTTTGATTACTCTTTCCGATTATCTATCCAAACTGCGTGCCTCGATTATGCCATTTGTGCATTTCTCGACCTGGGACTATCAATCGACGTGTGAGTTGATGGCCTCGACTCAAATCTATCGTGCTTCAAACCTGATCTGATCATAGAGAAATATCAAAGGCCAGCCGAGAATACTAAAATTCAGGTTTGCTTTTTGCTTTTTATTGGCCTGACATGGAACTGCGTTGTGCTGCTCAGCCTTGCCCCTCCATGCCTGCCGATTTTAGCGTTCAGGATCAAAGCCTCGCTCCACAGCTGTTTGTCGTTCCTTAAATTCCATCTTGTAAACTTCCTGATTTGATATCTTACGAAGTTAAATTAAGGCCTCATTAGGATTGACTGCATAAGCGACATTTCCTGCCAGTGATCAACAATGGACCCAGTGTCTGCTGTCAGTTTCGCGGCCACCATACTCACCGTTGTCGACTTCTCATGGAACCTTGTCAAGGGCTTTTATCAAATCCATCAATCTGTGACGGGGACGGCCACTGATGATGCGAGATTAAGTACAGTCCTAGACGACCTACGAAAAGTCACAGACACTCTGCAGCACAATGCAGCAGGGGACAGCCCTCACCTTGAAGATTTACGGCAACTCGCCGCCGGCTGTGCTGAGGTCTCTCAAGAGTTGTCATTGATAGTCGAGAAACTCAGAAGGAAGGAAGGAAACAAGGCGTGGCGCAGTCTCGAGGCAACATGGAAGCATATGCGGAAGGAGAAGGAGGTTGCGGGCATTGAGCAGAGGCTTAACACTTACCGGTTACAACTTCTTCTAAGACTAAACCTTATGATGGGGTAAGACTATGTTCTACCTAACGTCAGATAGTTTTTTTTTTTTAGATTTTGAACTGACTTGCATCGCAGCGAACAACAATCATCAGTCAAAACTCGGCTAGACGAAATTGAAAACAGTGGACTCACTCTGTCAGCAAAAAGCTTAGATAGTCTCACTGACTTGGCTAAGGCCGTTGAAAGCCTGGAGCAGAAGCTGATCAAAGAGCTTTCTGCTTCATGGAGAATGAACGATGACGAGAAAGTAAATTCGTTAGCGGTAATTGGCAGTTCTCTGTCGGCAATACTTTCACAGATAGAGGCCATTCCAAAATTCAACACCCCAGAGGAGTGTATTCTTCGACGGCTTTATTTTTCCTCCATGCATTCTCGCTTGGATACTGTGTCTGAGGCTGAAATGGGTACCTTTGCTTGGCTACTGGAGGATGAAGCGGAGGAGCTGCATCTAGTAAAATCAGGACCAACAAAATTCACCACCAATACAAACAACTCTTCTCCCAAGAGCCAGAACGAGCCGAATGAGCAAGGCACAGATCCAAAGATAGATGAGGAATATGAAGAGGATGAAAATTCCGCGGGGGCAAATCACCCTACTAATAAACCCTCCATCAAGTATTCAGACGAGCAGAGATTGAAGGAAGAAGCTCGCCGGTCTTTCTTGGAGTGGCTCAGATCAGGAGACGGAATCTATCACATCTCTGGTAAAGCTGGTTCTGGAAAATCTACTCTCGTGAAATTTCTCTGTCAAAACCCACGCCTGACCAACGAACTCGAACAGTGGGCTGGGAAGCAAAATCTCGTCTTTGCGAGTTTCTTCTTCTGGGCTTCCGGAGATAGGCTACAAAGATCTTTAGAGGGGTTATACAGATCGCTGCTCTTTGAGATTTTGAGCCAATGTCCTGAGCTTATTGAGACAGTTTTCCCAGAACAGTGGGCGAAAATGAGATCAAACCCTACTAAATGGGTAGGCATGCCGTTGTTGTTTTCTGAGTTGAGACAAGCAATGGAAACCATAACAACTAAATGCAGCTTTGCACATCATCGATTTTTCTTCCTCATCGATGGACTTGACGAATATGAAGGGGATAGCACCGATCACCTCGCGCTGGCTAGAAGTCTCCAGAAATGGTCGTTTTCGGCCGACATGAAAATGTGTGTAAGCAGTCGACCTCACACCGAATTTCTAGATGTCTTTGATAGCAATCTACAGATGCACCTACATCACCTGACACGGGCAGATATTGAACTGTTTACTATGGCAATGTTTGAAAAAGAATCGAACTTCGACAACACAAATGAAGGATGCCGCGAAATTGTTCGAGATATTGTCAATAGCGCTGAAGGTGTCTTTCTGTGGGTTCGCCTTGTAATCCGCTCAGTTCTCGACGGTTTCAGGCATCGATATCCCGTAGCGCACTTGAAGCAAAAGCTTGAAAAGATGCCAAGAGAGCTAGATCTTTTATTTGACAGGATCTTCAACAGCATCGATTCAGGTAACCGGGAGAAATCTGATAAAATGCTTCTTTTGGCTGCTGCTTATCCAAATATTAACGTCCTTATGTTCTCGTGGCTCGATGATCTTGAGGATTCGGACTTTCCCTTCAACACGCCGATTGAAGCATACTCTGACATTGAGATACGAGATCGACACGATGTCGTGCGCCTTCAGTTGGATGGTCTATGCAAAGGCCTACTAGAAATAGCTGGGAATTTACGAGAAATTCCAACTCAAGTAAAAGACATATACTTTGACTACCAAGTCCAATTCTTCCACCGTACCGTGAGAGACTATGTAAACGAACCTGCCAGATATGCAGAAATCGAGGGGCGACTTAGCGATTTTGATGTTGAGGACGCATACCGGCGCCTTCTGCTTGCAGAATTCAGATTTGCTAGGACAACAAAACATTACTTCGAAAGTCAAGCACTGGGACAAACCCAACTGGTCTCGTGCTTCCACGACTTTTTTGAACGAGTTGCAGATCAAGCACCGTTACGATTTTGGAAAGAGTATGATTGGATTCTCGACCATCATCGGCGCCAACCATTCTCCTTTCCGGGGGATACACAAGAAAATCCTGGAGTCATTGCTTGGAGCCAGCGCCTTGAATCACAAGATTGCGGTGGTGCACTATCGGGCGACGATATTTCTTACCTTCATTGGGCAGCATCGTACGACCAACGAGAGTATATAATTGAACAGCTGTTGTCCAATCCTTCATTACTCAACACCACCGACGATGGGCGAAGTCTTCTATTAACAGCTGCTATATCACCATCGAATCATGACTTGGTTCAGGATCTGTTAAAGTGTGGCGCATCCCCAAGACATCAAGTGCCAGTCACTTATCAAGAAGGAGAGACTTTCATCGCGTCAATATGGGCGGTGTTCCTTTTCATTGTGGCTCGAAGAAGCGAGTTAAGGCGGAATAAAGATGTTGAAAAAATGTTCCCGATTATGGAAGAGCTACTAAAGTCCGGTGCTGAAAGCAATGTCTATTTTCTCTTCAAACTCAGAAGCCAGGGTAACCTTGAAAAAGGGCCGGGTCATTCTCAGCCGGACAGTGAAGATGGCATACGGTTCATTACCTTGGAGGATTTAATTTTAAAGGCACGCCCGCCCAACATGGATACTCTTTTAGGATTGATACTGGACACAAAACAGTCTGAGCTGTGGAACGAGACTCTACGAGCATTAAAAACTCTCGTGCTCTGGAACGGAAGCTCTAATGATGTACAATCTCGCTATAAGCGTGCTCGCATTGAAGAAATCGATTCGAATTACGTATTAAAGGGCGTCGATGTTTCGGGGGAAAGCCTGGAGGGAGAATTCAACGTGAAATGGTTTTGAATTCCATGCTAGTGTGAATAGAACAGTATCCAAAAATTGAGATGCTACGACAAATATACAATATTATCATTACTATATCGATGTACAATCGAAATGTAGACGAGATAACAGAGCTTCGACCAATCACAGACCGCGTAATCCGTGACTAAGCGCTCCCTCAATTTTTGCAATCGGAATCGTTTTGAAATGCTCTAAGCCTTTTCAGGAATGGATGACGGGCCGGAGCGATGGGAAACCTCACGCAACTCGCACCTCACCCGATCTCTATTCGAACCTCTCTTTTCGCACCTCTCGCCAATTGCTCTCCGCTCCCACCCACTACCTCTGCAACTTAGTCAGGAGTATTGACATTGGGTATTCTGAAATTACAACAAGCAACAATGTTCGCTACTCGCGCTGCCTCCGCTCTCGCTAAGCGCGCCCCTGTCAGGGCTTTCACCAAAGCTCGTCCTTTCACCTCATCCGTGTCTTGCTGTACGTAACTCTGCTGCTATTCGGGAAAATACATATCTTGATATGCGTCAATTGTGTTTCCGGTGTCAATTGAAACAAGAGGAGGAAATTTTGTGACGTCAAAGTGCGCTGTTTACAAGTCGGTCAGCTAACGGGTGTTTTCTGTGCAGTCGATAACAAGCTCAATGTCCCGGGAAAGATCATCCCATATGAAGGTTCGCCGCCTCCCAGTCCCTCAATCTCTCTATATCGGATCGATCATGGAAACTATCCAGCTCTTCAGACATGAGCCTGTACACATGAACGCAATATCCGAAATATCACCGCCGAAGTGACGTGACCCGAGGCTAACTCAGATCCTTTGATACTATACAGATGTGAAGACCGAAGATGATCTCCTTCCTCCCGGTGGTAAGCCCGGCCAGGTTCCCAGTGATCTCGAGCAGGCTACCGGTCTTGAGCGTTTGGAATTGCTCGGAAAGATGCGGGGCATTGACATGTTCGACATGAGGCCTCTTGATGCTTCCCGCAAGGGTATGTTCATTGTGCCTAGATTGTGTGATGTGAGGAGACTAATGTGACTATAGGAACGTTGGAGGACCCCATCCTCGTCAACGGAGCTGGTGACGAGCAATATGCCGGTTGCACTGGCTACCCTGCCGACTCCCACATTGTCAACTGGTTGACTGTAAGCTTGTCTTTTGACACAATTTCATGCGGCAAGCATTGCTAACAACAGTCAAAGGTCTCCCGTGAGCGCCCCATTGAGCGCTGCCTCGAGTGCGGCAACGTTGTCAAGCTCAACTACGTCGGTCCTCAGACCGATGCCCATGCCCGTAAGCCCATTCCACAACATCATCCTCCATCCAAACGCTAATGACACTTGGAAATCTAGATGACGATCACGGCCACGGCCACCACGCCCCCTACGAGGAGCCCAAGACTTTCGCAGACTACGTCAAGCCCGAATACTGGTACCGATAGATTCACCAACCCTTTCCATACAATATATCTTAAAGGCAGACCTTTTTTCATAATCTCGAAATGGTCTTCTTGACTGGTTTAGAGTTGCGTTGAACATATCAAGGACTAAGTTTGCGAAAAACACACAGACAAGACAATTATCTTTTTATATATTTCCTTTGTTTCTGTTTTTGTTTTACCTTATCTGTTCAACAAAACTTTTGTAGTATAGTCGAGCGAGGGGATGAAGAATAGAGCAGATCGTTTTTAGATTTTTTATCGCTGGAGAACATGAATAGATATAAAAACGTTTGACTAGGATGCATGTGACTTTCTCTGTCGATGAATTTCATGAGGGTCACGAGTTGATGACATCGCATTGCTACGATCTACCTAGGTAGTCGCCGTTACTTAGGAGAATATCGAATGATACCTAGGTACCGCGTCGAAAGTACATGGATCACCAGATGGGCTAGAAGCAAGCAGGCATTAGACTGTCTACTTAGGTACAAAGTCGAGTGTTGAGACTTGGAATGAAATAAATGATCGAAACTCCTCTTAACGCTAGTAATACATGTCCTCAGCTACACAAAGAGCTCTGAAAACGTGTAATGTCGCATTGACGAGTGATAATTTGTTTGGGAATATGACAATACTTAGACAACCGGGATGGTTGATTCACTTTTGGTCTGGTCTGTTATCATGACAAGGATCAGTCAGATATATCAGAGATTTGTGTGGGCGGTGGTTGTAATTCTGGCAGAATATTCGGAAAGAATGAACTTCAGCCCAGCGTGTATATTCCATCCCAAACGATAAATCATACTCTATCTTCCAAAGTATCGCAGTTCGAGCCATCGGAGAGGAGGGTAGACTAAAGCCGCCCACGAAAATCCGATGTAGTTGCCCATCTAGACACAGAGCCTAAGTATACGGTCACGTAGGGCGGGGAGAGGAAACTTACATCAGCGCCGTAATCACCAACCAATTTAGCGATCGGTCCAATATACCAAACTTGAGCCATGCAAATGACGGCGCCAGCCCAACCAACCAAAAACGCTGCAAATGCAGCAAGACCGACTGGCAATTTGCTTGGGTCATCCCATGCTGCCCAGTTATATCCGGTCTGACGACGGAAGATGTATCTTTCCTCAAGAAGGATGGCAAACCAGATAGCGACCCAGTAGCCCATTAGAGCCAAGAAATTGGTAAATATCTCTGATAGATGAGCTTGACCAGCGAGAGCGCAAACAGTGTAGATCACTACTGCAATTGTGTTCCAGATGATTCGGGGCACCATTTCAGCGTAATGACCGAGGATCTGGAAATCGATACCGGAGGAATATGTGGGTGGGATGGTGTTGGAAATTAGTCCCAAAGCTACCAAGACCGAGCAAAACTTGCCAAAGCCACCAAGAGGGGTGAAAGCTTCGACAATTAGGGCTCCAGCACCGACATTGTAGGCGTCGGCATATCCTGTATCGCTAGCAATGCCACTGGCCAGACCAATGCCGACGATGAAAGCCATGGTAAAGGACAAAGTTAGACCGAGGAAAGTCAAACCAAAGCTGACTACCTTGGGAGTGTCGGGTGGGTAATACACGAAGAAATCTGCGGCAAGAGGGGCATATGTGATGGCAGCACTGAGACAGATGGAGAAGAAGCTGAGCCTGTTACCGACGATTGTCAAGCTGTCTCCGATAGAAGGGGATACGGTATCGTATTTTTTTGCCGAGACGCCGTAAAGAATGCAAACTACGACGACTTGGGGGAGGAATGCGTAGCTAAGACTGTCGTTAGTTTGTTCCTGAGCTAATTGAGGATGTAGACATACCGTTCGTAGTAGTGGAAGAATTTGATTCCAAATGTGGCAATAAACCAAGTGATGACGGCAACGACAACAATGCCTTGCAAATTGTAAGCATGAATACATGGACCAGAGAAGAAGCGAAGGTACGTACCAACTGCTACCGACATGTGGTAATCCGGGGAAACTGCAGATAGGATTTGGCCACCGACCACGCAGTCAATTAAACCGTATCCGATCATTTGGACGATGTTCAGCAAAACAATAATCTTGCTGGGCCACCATCCCATTGCATAACGACCAAAGACCTGTTTACCATTGTAAGTATTACTCGGTTTGTGGTGGCTAAGGCATAGTTTCTTACCAAAGTGCGGTTTCCAGATATCGGGCCCCAGGTAGCAGACCAAGCAGCAGCGAGAGAGCCGACGATGGCACCAAAGACAGAGCACAGAGACGAGTCCAGAAAGCTGAGTCCATAGACAGACGGACCGAGCATACCAAGAGTAATGTTGTTCGCTGCAAGGTTGATGGAAACCCATAGCAGGAATACCTGGAGATAAGTGACCCAGGTGAGAGCATGGCGCTCCTGCTCCTCAACACGCTGGATTCCGCGAGCTTCAATGTTGTACTCAAGGAGCTGCTGCTCGAATCGTTTCATGTAGCCGGCGAGACGCCGACTGACGTGAGAATGCCAATGTTGAGCATTACCATCATCGGTGATGGTTTCCCTTGCTCTTGTGTCGTGATTTTTTTCGATTGATCGAGCCTCTTCGATCGGATCAGCTAGGCTGATTTCCGGGTGTTGGCGTTCCATTCTGTAGCGAAGACACGGTGTTAGTGATCACAATACTGACGGTGTTCGCCGTATATGCAATTGATTCGTTTGCGCATGAGATAGCAGCGCCGAAGCATCGATATCTCACGACAGAATCATAGGAAGGAGGGAAAAGAAAAGAAATATAAGCGTGCACAAGTTCTTTCGCTGGAATTAACCAGATCAAGTTCAACCGTATACTCTCAGAACGGAAGGGTGTGCAATCAGCAGCCAAAACTAGTCGTAAAAGACAATTGAATTGTTGCCGTTCCCCGACTGTTCTGTGCTATCCGGCACACCCTTGCCGAACACCGGTCTTCATGCATGCAAGTTTTACCTTGATACCTTGATCTCGCGATGAACCCGAGTATCTGCTCAATCTCATATTTGCGTATTTTCTTTTCGATGTCCTCTTGAGCAGAGGCAATGAAAGGAAGTCGGATAGAAATGGAAGAGGTGAGATGTACTGAGAGCGGATGGAGCTTTAATCTACAGGCCGCGGGGAGAGGCGAAATGAGTCAGCGAGGTGCGAAAAATGACGACTGGTCCGAGCCTTCACAGGGTTGATTGGATTGGGCGGTTGGAGGAATGGTGAGATTGAGCGTACCTTTGCAAATGTCCAGACACTTGATTTCCTTTGGCGGTTTAGAATTTCTGCGATGTTGCGAGGAAAGGAAGCAGAGAGAGAGGGAGAAATTTCTTCGTCCTGTTGGAGGGAAAGAGCCCGATAAGAGCCCCGCGGAAAGCTTATCCTTCCTTCCCGATTAGTTCCTTTTCTCTCTATCGACTACGAGCTATACGAGAAGAAAACATGCTGTATTTGATTTTGCATCATTGCAATCGCTCACTATCGCTAGTACTATCAGGCATCCCAATCCCATTCCCAGTTCCATTTGGAGTACCCTCAAACAGAAACGCCGTGATCCCGGATGCGAATCGCTGTACTCGTCGCATCCTCAAAACGCCTAAAAGATCAGCTGATATCCCCCCTTTGCCACCTTCGAGCTCTTTTGCTCATTGGAACTGCATGTTTTTCATGACCATGAGCCCGTGATTGTTGTCCGTAATTTCCTACATATCTCGTTTTCGCATAATTTTGTCACTGGTAGCGTTCGCGTGGCATGCTAGTTGTCCTCGTTCGGTGACCGACGCCATTGCGCGAACGAAGTTGAACTTCTCAAAGATTTTTGAAATGCTCTTTGGCGTATTGCTCGCATGCCTGTATGATTTACCACGATGAGTATTGACTTGGCGCATTGTTATAGCTCAGAGCACAGAAAGATGACTGACCTTCGCTGGTTTCCCAATTTTCTGGCCTATGAACTTCCACTTATTTGCCTCATACTCTTTGATGGCTTCGCGCAGCGCTATGCTCTAGGTGTCAGGTGTCGTTAGCGATAAGAAATGAAAGAAATTTTGGGGGCGACTACTTCATCTTCACCGAACTCAGCGTAGTGCATGTCCTAGGAGGGCTGTCAGTTGAGAATGGGAATTGCGCGACGATGGTTTGGACATACCTTGTACCAATGCTTTTTGACGCTGCCTTCAGTTCGTGCTGGAAAGGTCTATCGAAAAATGAGATTCTGACACTTTCCCACGATATGTCGCATCTTACCTTCGCAATCTCACTCCAGCTCTTGCCCAAATCGCGCATCTGTTTGAGCCGCTGTTCCTCCTCCGCAGTCCATGGCGTATTGGTCCTGCCCTTTTTCTTGGGTGTAGTCTCCACCATTCCTCCAGAAATATCAGACATGGCTGGTACAACGACTCCTGAGCCAGGGATTGCTGATATACCTGTTGCTGCTGTCGTCGCTGAGGGAGGTGAGCGTCTTTTCCTGGGATTCACCTGCTGCTGTTGCTGAGGCTGAGGTTGGAGCTGATGATGAAGAGGCTGAGGAGGAGTTTGCGCAGTAGAAGCAGTGATAGGATAAGCGGGTGCTAGGACAGACGCAGATAAAGCAGCCTGCTGTTGCTGTTGTTGTTGACCTGATGATCGATTCAGCGCCGCCGAGCCTTTGACACGTTTCGACACCGGAGAGGATCTAAGATAAACCAAAATTAAAATTAGATTGGTTCGTAAGTAAACCTTAGAGAAATTTGTCTTGTATGTTGGGTTTCGGTGTTTGGTGAGCGTACAAGAAGACTACAGCATGAGGAGAAAGTGAGAGAGACCTGAGATGATACTCTATCGGGAAATACCAACGGAGTACATCATGTGATGTACATAGAACTTAAGCGTACACGAAATAACAACAAAAGTAAATAACAAGAGTAAATTAAAAATGAAAGGCGCGATCAAAGGAATAAGTTTAAATAAAAAATTGCACTCACGACATCATGGAAAATAGGGCTGGTGTCTGGAGATGATCGGAGATCTGGAAATTCATCTGATACATAACACAAAAAGTAAAATAGAATTCGGAGGAAGAAGATACAAACAGGATGTTCACTCGCAGGAGCCTTGTTTTGAGACTCGAGAAGAAACGGAGCAGAAGTGATGCTGGCCTTCAGGGGGTTACACAGGTGGCGAGCGGAGAGGGTTGTAAGGCTGACTTTGGCCTTTGACTGGCTCTTTCACTGCGAAAGGAAACCCTGAGAAAGTCACTGAGAGCAAGTTCCCCGACCGACCGGACCGAAGAGAGTGTGACAAGAGACACGGACGGTTGAAGAGTGTTTGTCAACAGGAGGAGTAATCCGACTTGGATGTAAGCAATGTACACTGGGCAACGACTGCGAATATCAACACAACGAGACAATCAGTACACAACTCATGTAAACACAATGGTCAGATCTGAGTAAACAGGATGAAGTATACGCAGAGGTGACAAGGCAGGTGTAGGGAGGGGTTGAACAAGAAGAGGGGTAGGTAGGCGATGTAGCTATATTCTGGCTGGTCAGTGGTCACGCAGCGAGCATGGCGACGACGAGGGAGCGAAGTGGTGAATGAAATAAGTAGAGATAAAGTCGAGATGGTCTGATCAGAAGAAATCAAGTGACAGGTGTAGATGTGATGAACAGGCCGAGTCGCGTGTAGGGTCGTGGATGTTTACTACGTAGTAGACAGTTAGGGTAGGAGTCCAGACTGGTCGGTCGTTTACTTTGTTTAGGCTGTGACCTCATTCTCTGGGGTTCCCCGGGGGCGGGCCTATGGTGGGCCGGGACTTGCCTTTAGTGAAAATTTAGGCCAAGTTAGGGCTGCGCTAGCTATGGGCAGTCCTGCCATTGGCCAGCGTGAGAGATCGAAGAGCATATACTTGAGTGCGTTTGGCAAGATACCGATTTATTCACGCCATTGTCCGTATGTATTCATTCATCAGCAAATCAGGCTGATTCCGTGCACTTCCAGGCCTTCGGAAGCCATTTGAGTTAGTCGGCAATGCACAAAATGGCGTTTGTCTGCATAGTCTCTGCATGCGAGTCACAGTGCGAGGAAGACCCCGTCAGCTCTATACACTCTGACAGGACACTTGAACAGGGAAATCAATTTCCTCGTCATTTTTTAACCACTTTGTAGCTTATCTCGTATTGCGCGGGAAATGGGCAAACCGAGGTGAGGATACGTAGTTGGAGATAGGGTCTCCGCGATGATGTGCTGCGGTCATTGGTAGCATCGTATTGGCTAACCCCCACCAAGAGGCTCGAGCATAGTCTCTAATCGGTCACTTTCACAAGCCTTATTTGTATTAGGTAGAACCCTGGAACACAATACGTTAGATCAATATGATTGATCATTAACCCTGAGGGTTGATCTGGTTTCAAGCGATTCATCAACCATCATGCCAAGAAATCTCCGACCAAAACTCATCGATAGAAGTCCCGACAATGTATGTTTGAGGTCAATGCATGCATGGTCAGAACATCGCTATCTTATCAGTAATCGTGCTAATGTGATCCAGGTCGTGGGCGCTTACGTGACACACACTGTCTACAAACGTGCATACATCTGAGCAGAATGTGGGGACCTTCTACATAGAGTGTCATCAGGTGAAACACTTTAGTGGTGGTGATCTTCGAGAAAGCACGGGTCACAGAACGTAAACAGTGCTGTCACTCATTGCGCTTCCCTAGAGATGGATGATCGAGTCGTCCATCATGTGAAGTATTTGGCTAGGCCACCAATACGAACGAAGCGAGAGCTGGCGTACAAGCCTTGTGCTTGGTCTGGTGTCAAAGACAAAACTGTGCTGTTGAAGGTAAACCGGCGACATTGAAACTTCAACTTCAATTGCTCAGGCTCGAGGACAAAGCAATTGTTCTTTTGGAGGAACTCTCGTCCCTGCCGAATGCCCGGTTGAGAAGCTACTCAGCGACGATTTGAATCGATCGATTACACCACCATGTAGTGAGAGCAGACCGTACGCAGACAGTAATAAGGACTGAAGTGTCTCACCCAGAAACACAGAGAAAAGCCAGAAGAAGTCATGGATTGAGAAAAGGTTTCACAGCGATCGCGCTAGACCCTATACGGAAGCTGCGGCGATGGCGGCCGCTGATTGGGCAATTCGAGAGTGACGGAAATCACAGGAAGGAGCCCGGGGACGCCTCCGTCGCACCTTCCTCGGAGGCACAGCAGAATCAGCCTAGCCGCAGTTTCACCCTCAGCGCTAACCTCTTCTTTAGCTTCTCCCCTCACTCTGGCTTTTGCTTTCTCGATGGCGCATCCTCTTCATCTCGCCGCATTGAGCCTTATCAATAACTCACTATCGTCACTAACTCCAGTACCTGCACGGTCCCTTACATTAGTCGCAGCATCTTGGAAACATGGCAAGTCGCAGGAAACTCACATTGAAACCTTGTCGGCCGAGGAAGCTGTCAGCGCTATGTCTCGACACCCCGCGAGCGACTCACTATGAGGCACTGCGCTGAGTGACAGCAAACAGGTGGGTTTTCGCGAGACCGTGCTTCTCGTAATTGCCTGTCGCCCGCTGACAATTGACTACATAGTGACCCAGTCTGTTGATCATGGTGGGCGCAATCGAATCAAACCGGTCTGCAGCCCCAGCTGTCTTGGAACAAGGAGAACAGACTACCTGTTCGAGCTATATGACCTCTAGCCCTAAGAGTCTTAGACAGGAGACACTTCTTGTTCTTGGGCCTCCCAAAGGAGTAACTTGGAATAGAATCCCAAACTTGGCTTTTAAGCCTCCTGTTTACTTCATACACGGCTCTTAGGCCACACTGTCTCAGACCATATGTCATATTGCCAGAAACGGAGAGAAAGATCAAACACTAAACCGATTCAGAGATTCCAACGTTTCTCATCCATATTCCATATACCGAAAAGACGGGAACGGAGCTGTCATATTACTGGTGCCAGAGGCTATAGTGTGTCAGCCTTCAGGAACACGGGGTCAATTGATCTGTCGGGCAGACTCGCCACCAATACAGCGAGCTCAAGAAAGACATAAAAGCACTCGCTTGGAACATTTCAGAGCATTGTTTTCTATTCATTATTCAGTAGGCTGGTCCACCGTTGTTTCCTCATTCACTTCTCAACACAACCCACTGGCTGGGCAAATTTAGTGCATTAACTTATCTTTCTATCGTTTTATTACTAGGAGGTCTTAGCGATCCCATTGCCTTAATCACCAGACTCGAAATTACTCGACACAGTTCCATATCACCATGTCGCCAGTCGCTTATCCCAGCAGCTCTGAAGTTGAAGTCAGCAAGTTGACAGTCTCAACTATGGAACAACCAGAATATCGGGTGCACAAGCATCATCGTCGGGTGTCCTCGACAGGCGGAGGCAGAGCATGGACTGAAGAAGAGGTATGATAGCGGCAGAGAAAATTTCAACAGAGTGACACTAATACATTACAATTAGGAAGCTTATCTAGTCCGAACTCGAATGCACAAGATGCCGTATAAGCATATTGCCGCGCACTTGAAGAAAACAGAGTTGGCATGTCGTTTGCATTATCACCAAATGTCATACGGAAACAACGGCCGCCGACGCAGTGAATCTGTCTCGTCGATTGCATCATTCAACTCAATCTCTGCTGGCGGTGAGCGGTCTGATAATACTCATCATACTCGATTATCTCCAGTCTTGTCTCCTCGCTCTAGCCCAGAACCCTCACAGAGAGCTTCATCGGATGACGCTTCACCACAAACCCATCGTGCGCCGGTTCCCATTCTCCCCAAGCCAGACAGGCACAGCACGCCGACTACCTTAGAGCCATCGGTGAACCGCAGCTACGATAGCTACCGCAAGGAGGACCACCAGAGCTACATTGACATGTCTCGCCTACATGCCATCTATGAAGCATACTCGACCTCGTTTTGGTCAAAGATTGCTGCCGAGTTTTCTCGCGATAGCCGTGAAATCAATCCCAAGTGGGCGGAGAAAGCGATCCTGAGCAGCTTCTCTCACGGCCAAGCTCGCGGACATCTACCTCCCACGCCCAACGGCAGTCCAGCAGCATCACCAGAGCCACAGCAACACGACTTCACATCGAATACATTGCCGGCTATTAGTCAAGGTTTTCGAGCTGTCAACGAAACCAAGCCTGAACCCATCCGCCGAAGCTCAGCAGACCGGTGTTCCGTTTCTGCCTTGTTGACTGTGGAAAGAGAAGTGAGGCCATCGCATCAATAGAGTGTTTTGATATTTTCTTTCCTTGTTGTTATTGTATGGGAGGCCGAATTGAGCTATACGAGTTACGGATACAGGCGTTTGGATATTGATATCATGTTATTTCTAGTTGGAGCCATTTGAAAAAAAGGCTACATGTAGTTGATCTCTGGGATTAGACGAGCTTGATTTGGTGAATATCAATCGATCATGCAGCATTCGCAACAATCTCTTATATATCATACCACGCAAGATAACCTTGAAAATGCGACAATCTATCAACCCACCTAAGTACACCAAGCTAAAATAATATCATGCATCCAGTCGAGGTGACTGGGTTTCAACTGGTCAGAAAACTACGCAAACGCATGACAGGTTGTTATAAGATTACAATGGCTTGAAAAGTAAACATCGCTTCCAGTACAGGGCCCATACATGGGCCAAATATGGTGCGCCTTACAGTTCGGCATTCATGATCATGTCTAAATGCCTTCAAGCTGGATCACTATTCTTCATATTTTGAAATACGGACAACCAACCGGACCACAACATTCTATTGCACCGAGTTTGTGTCTTGACTGTCAAATGGATTGATTTAAAGAGTATACGACATTTGATCGGAGGAAATATGCCATAGCTCTGAGAGGGCGTGCGTTTTGGGTATGAAACTTGATTAAGCAGAACTCGTTAACTGGTTCTTTTTTTTTCAAGTGGAAAGTATGTGCGAGGCTGCCGATTGTGCCATTGTCAGATAGGCGAATCCTCCTTGATATTAGGCAATTAGTCAGGGGCATGAATTTTTGTTGTCAATGCAGGTGCAGTCTGGACGGGAAAGTGCCTGTTTCAATAATGCATTTGATAACGTTTTGTGTTTGAATCGACTAGAGCAGAAGTGTTCTAGTAAAAATAGTAAGTGGTTGATCACACACATCTCGTTTCTATGCGCACACAAACACCGAGTTTCTGTCCATGACAAATGACAAAACACAATGCGTATCGTTGATGTTTATGATTCGAATCATGTATGTTTTGATGAGTGATAAATGCGTTTAAAGACTAAGCCTGATCTACGCTTCTCTGCCACATGCAATTTGCATGGGTACAATTATCAGTTGCTTGCTTGTGACTGAGACGTAATCCAATTTGCGGCACAGATTATCCAAATGTATCTGAAAAGACATATGTACTCTAAGTGTCATCATCCGTCGAGGTTGAGGATATGCTAGATTCGGTATGCTTCTGACTGTTTTCCGTTTTGGGTCGACTTAGCCCTAAGAAGCAAATACTGTACACTCCGTTCCCCACCCATATGCAACTCTTCCAACATGTAGCTCTCTCTGTTGGTTTTCTTGAATGCGAAATACTCCGCCATACTCAAAACAAACGTGGCTATGTTACTCTACCTTGACTTCATGCACGGAAATGGTCATGACTCAATACCCATGCATGAAGCACTACGAGCGCCAATCCCGTCATGCTCGTTACCGCCACATTATGTTCTTAGCTATTCAGGATTCAACGACCAATTACCAGCGAGTATGACCGGCATACGTTGGTATACGACCTGCAGAACCAACACCTCCGAAAAACAAAAGAAGGTTATTTGAAAAGGTAGGTACTGACGGGCTTACGCTGTGCACGTGGTTGATCCGTGCCGTGTACGTCTGCTTAGTCTAGCCCTTGAAGGAGGGTTACATAATACGTAGTATGTATGATCTTGACCAGTCGACGGTCTGGCGGCAAGTTGGTTGTTGGGAGTGGCTAAAAGTATAATATATATAAACTACTTGAGTCGTTAGTTGCAGACTGTAGCTCAGTGTGAGTTTCCGTAATTTGTTCTATATCTGGAGTCCTATATGTTGGATGCATGTATCCATGTGGCAAAGCATGGCGGAGTACTCCGTACCTAATTCATGGACGGCGGTGCCGAAGGTCAATTTAGTTGTTGTTGGGTCTAAGATAAGGTGTGGTTTTCATGGGGATGAGGGCAGGACATCAAGCAATTCCTGCAGTGAATGTTGGTCTTTCTGCAGAAGTTTAATTTGATTGCGTTGGGTCTAAGTAGGGTGTGATCACTGTGATGCGATTTTCAAGCAATCATGAAGATGGAACAGGATTTCAGGCAAGATTCGTGGAATACATGCCTGTCTGTTGAGTCTTCAGGGATTTGTAGTTTCTAGAACGAGGGAAGTTTAGGGCTAATTCACTCCCCTTGCTGAATGTATCGTTACACATGCTGTCATCGTGTTGGTTGCCCTTGCGAGGCTTGCATCTTGGCGCAGTGTTGAAGTCAATTTTAAGTAAATGCGTTGTTGATCGGCTTTGGTTTCTGCTTTTTATAAAGTCCAAATATCTAATATCGAATCGGCTTTCGGATCTGAAATCCTAACTCGGACCCGAATTTTCTGGACGGACCCGAAAGCAATACATACACCGTCTCGGCTATGTTTGTATTCCTCCCGTACCACACGATGTATTTCTCCAACAAATCACTTCCATCACTCACCCTATCTATAGTTAACTCTATCCAGAAATGGCCCCAGTGGATATCGCGCCTTGACCCGTGTGCAAACGACAAGCACCGTACGGATATTCGGCTACGTAAATGATACCGTAATTACAGGGTCCAACGCTTGCGTGTAATAATCGTATCGTTTGGGTAACATAATTTAGCACGAAAGTCAACCTAGGATGGCACCAGAAGTCGCGTAGCCCACCCCGGGTCAACGAGCTACCAAAAATGCCTTAAATAGGCTCAATCTACGAAACTAGTCCCGGGCTGACGTTCCGCGGAGTCCGTCTATTGCCATCATTCGCTAATTTGCTAAATCGTTATGGAAAACGTGTGACTGCACGAAGATAGCTCGGCTAGTGCACTGGCGCAAACCCCATCTGAGCACCTGGGAACCGCAATTATTTCTAGACTAGGTATCTTTAGTTTAGATTTTCAATTTTGGTATGAGTTTCATTTGATTAAACTCTACACTAAGTAGAGCTAGGTATTGCTTAAAATAGACGAGACGTGCTTCTCTAGACAGTTCAGAAGCATGTGCGCGTGTTCCGGATCGCATTCGGTTTCAGTATCGTTGTTTTCCTCTTTGGGTCGGTTATACGGATTACGAAGTATCACTGCTGTTCTTACGTTACGTCAGAACCGATACGTAACGAAACCCATAAAACAGAACACGAAACCGTGTTTCGACATCGACTATATTCATCACGCGGTGCCTGCAAGGATCATCGATTTGAACGTCTATTATGCATTCTCAAGCATGCTCCAGGCAATCTTCATACTACGGTACCGCTATGTCAGAGGCTTAGAAGGATCGATCTACTTCCTAACGCGATGATTGGTCCTTTTTTACGCCAGTCAGAAGGTAATTAGGGTTCATTACACGACGCTCCACAGACCTAGTACCTGGCTTTACGGAAATGACAGATAATACTACCCACTATGCGGAGACCACTAGTAACTCCAGAACCTGAAAAAGCGACAGAGTGCCAACACATGTCAGTCATTCATTGATCTTTGACGCTGAGTTTTCAGCTCTGTGTCGAGTTTCATGATCTCATGATCTATGTGCATCCAGGGCTGGAGATTCTTTACGTATGGTACAGTGATGCATGCAATCAAACGGTTTTAGTTCATGATTCATACGTACCATGCTGCTGAGCTTGGCCAAGGCTAATGTGAACTAATTTAAACCCCATCAACGCCACGCCGCGCCAACTGATGATTAAATACGTGCTCCATAGATACCCAGACTTTCCAGCACACCGTTTAATTTAAACCGGACCTTCAAACCCCATATATCCGTAGTCCGTACAGTGCACTATATTGGGGGCTAGGCCTCATCGAACTAAACAGGGTTGCAGGCTTGTAAACTGTGGATCTTCCAGCACAGGCACCCTGGTCAGAGTAGCGCAGCGTTTACGCTTGTCGATGAGTCGACTTGTAGGTGTTTTCCGTAGTCTAAAAAGTCATGAAGCGCTTATTTGCAGGCTATAAACGTTTAGGTTATCCCTGTCCTTGGGAAGCTACTAGTAGGATTGTTGAACATTGCACCTGGAACCTAAAAGCATACCTACATACATTAGGTTACTGGATAGATAGCACTTACAGACGGCAAATAGACGGATACTTGCTGCTGTCCAGATCTCTTTTGGGGCAGTATTTGGTGGCACAGTACCTCCACGACGGTACTGGTTCCCACGCTTGCGGAAATTATTGAGGCCTCTGAGCCAGTCATATCCAGACCGAGGACATCAACCTTGCAAAAACGGACTGCCTTGCATGTATAGGGTTCGACGCGCTTCCAGCTGCTATTCAGTACTCAACGCATTCTTGGAAAATTTTCGACTTCGAGAAGGATATATATGCGCTCGTGTTATTTCATAATTTGCCGTCCATTAGATTACCCGAGTGACTGGATCAAACATCAACACAACAGCAAGAGTCACTCACTGTTCTTGCTGATTGTCAGTATTCTCTATATGCTGCTCTATTTGGGTAATCATTTGATTCTGCAGGTCCATGTTGTACTGACATCGCCTCCAGAAGTGATCACATCAAGCTCCAGGGCTTGCGTAAAAGCCGGCCAATCACCTTTGACCCCCCACTGGGCTCAATATATTTATACATAAAGAATTGCCTGTCTCTATCTCTATTTACTTTTCTGCCCCTCGTCTATCTCAGAAGCACATTTCATTCCCTTTTCAGTATTGACTGCCAAATATCTTGACTGGTCGAGTCTACGGGCAACGTCATGCTTCTATCACCAGCATATTCTGATACATTCGAAGTTATGTCTGGCCCTCCGGAAGCTCCAGGACACTTGTCCCGCGCCGGGGATTATATGGACCCGACGGACCCTCGCTGGTCTACACTTCACTCCGTATGTTTAACCGCCTTGGTCGTCTGAATATCCTCTCAACGTCGCGTGTTGGTTTACTGACAGAAGAGTTTTTCACAGTCCCCTTACCTTGGAGTCTCTCATCAATACCAAGGTTCACAGCATGGATCGACCGTGCTGACACCCGTCAGCGTAGCTGAAAGCCCATATATACAACCTCGTCCGAGTCCTGGACTGAGTCATCATTCTCAAGAGTATCCCTACATCGACGATACAGTAGTTTCGCAGGGACTTGGCATCACGAGTTCATACCACGATTACATCCCCGCTCCAACTTCATCTCCAAGTTATGGCTACCAGCATTCCCACCAGCAGCAGCAACAAAATCATCAAACAATGAATTTTTATGATTACGGCTCGGCACATGCTTCGTACGCTTTAGATCAGCCAAGTTCTAAGCGACCAAGGCGGCAAATGACATCCAACACAGAAGCATCGCAGCGCAATTCGCCGGTGAGAATACTTCCACACCCCGACGGTCTACAACGACTTGAACACGAGCGCCGCGGAGGCCAAGTAATCGACCCGAACCAAGCAGAACCACAGAAGACTCGCCCGGGCGGTAGAGGCCGTCGCGACCCCCAGGCCGAGGAGGAAGACGCCTTTGTTGAGAACCTTCGCGCACAGAATTTATCGTGGAAGATCGTGGCGGAAATGTTTCGCGAACGGTACGGCAAGAATACTAGCGAGGCACGGCTCCAGATGCGCATGTTGCGGAGGAGAAAGAGTGCAGCGGCGTGGCAAGACGCAGATGTGAGTATGTGTCACCTTCTTATCGAGTCTCAAATACTTTTCAGGATTCATAAATTAGCTAACAATCTGTCCTTAGATTCCACTACTTCAAGAGGCGCATAAATATTGGCGGACGGAAAAGTACCGAATAATTGCAACCAAGGTGAGCCATTTTCGAATCGCCTAATTGACACGAATGATGACACTAATTAGAAAGAGCATAGTTGCAAGACCTAGGGGCAAGCCAAGAGTACACCGGAGAACAAATACAATCGCAATTGAAGCGCTCACACGAGGACGCTTCGGATAATGAACTCGCGACAGTTGTTACAACATCTCCGGAGCTTGAGCATACGGGACTACGCAGGCCCGGAACCACAAGTTGTACGAACAAGAAACGGAAAAGACGGCTAGACGATGAAGAGGACCAAGGAGATTGACGACAATCAATTACGGAGCATACGGCGCATTCCGTATAGTGACCCATGATTTGGAAAAGTGTGATCAAGGAGGCTGGGACAGCGCGCGTCATTGGTGGAGCTAGCCGCCAGCGCAAGGGTTAGCCTTTTCGAGCTTGGTTTCTTTGTTGTTTACGGAATTACGGCCCGGTCTCTTGTCTTACGGTTATGGCATGCATTGGGACACGCATTGTGTTGGCTTTTTGATATATATCCTTCTTCTCAGATGTAAATATTTTGATACCTTTTTCACTTCTCACGCTCTTTCTTCTTGCCAAGGTTGATTCTAAGTTCCGTTCATCAAAACGTACGATTATTCGACTGTTGGTACCCAAAATGTGGATGTATACCTGCGTAACGATATAGGTTTAGCGAGTATCCGTAGTTTCCATACCGACGTAATACGTGGACCGCGATACCATTGGCCAATGACAGCTGTTAGCGTTCCGCCAGCAATTTCAAATAAGGTTGAAAATGCGAGTACGTACTGTAGTTTTCACATAAATTACAGACGGCCATACGAGACTAGCTTCGTGACGTACGAGACGAGTAATTCACCGGAATTACCATTTAGAGTAGGCGAGACGTCAGCTTGAACACCGTGGCCCTTAGTGCTCCTACAGTACTCTGTCAGACAGCTGAATCATGGTCGCCGATCAGGCGTCCATTACTAACCATTCTGGGACTCTCGTTTCGGGTGCTCTATGCAGAGTATGTAGAAATCAAACTAGAGGAAGCAACAATATCATAGAAGCCCAGAAACGCGGAAAATAGGCAAGACTGAACTTAGTTAGAAATGAGTACGGAACAATTCTCGCGTAAATTGAAATGCCTTCAAATTTTGATGACATATTCCATGAAGAGTAAGCTAGGGTTTGCCATGTGCTCTTTGCATGACTGCAACGCTGACCCCGGTAAGAATCTCTCTAGAACACTTCTAGAATTCTAGAGATCTTTCCGCGTACCCTGCAACCACATACGTATCAAGCGACTGTCCCTTGTCCAGTCTGCAGTACAACCCGCTCTACATGCTGGCTTAATCATGTGACAATGTTTATGTTGACAGTACGTAGTATCAAGACGAACTTTGATTTCATGCACCAATTTCTACTATCTAGGGCTTGATGACCAGACATCCGTTAGCTCCAGCTGTGCTTTGACAAACAATTTAGGCTCGGCCCGACTAGTAACAATATTCAACTAAGCGATATGCTTTATAACTAGGATTGTTGTGACTATTAACAATAGGTCGCATAGGCGTAATGATTTAGTTTCCAGGGTCTGAAGAAACCAACATACTAGTCATCTAACATCCAGACTCTTACAGGTAGAGCCAGGTTTCGAATCATGTCGTGTAGTGAGGCAGTATCCAGAGATGATAATGTACTTGCCTAGATCAGAGTACACCTATCTGTAACATACCACTAATGCATCCCGAAATCTTGATGTTACCATATCCTTGCGAATACATTTCAGTATACAAGCCGAACGCCGCCTTTTGGACTATCCTTATGGCTGATTGATGACCAGCCGCTGATACCTTGCAGACAATATCCCATGTCCTATCAGGTCCTGAGCAGGCGTAATCTCGGGGCAAAGCCACTGTACCGGTTACAGCAGGATAAAATCCGACGGTATTGTAATCCGAAGGTTCTGAAATTCAAGAACTCGGAGATAACTCAATAGATTACAGGTTACACAGTTCCATCTACTAGGCTTTAATAATCAGCTTCGGTTAAGCATCTCGAATCTCAAGCGGGCGTTCTGTTGGGTTTCCCCGGGATCATGTTGGACTGCTGCAAGCCCCATCATACCAATCGGCTGGAACCGCCTTGATATGCTTGAAAAAGAAGTTTAAGAGCCAAAAAACAAGCTATCGCCAGCCTCGTTCTGAGTCACTAGTTTCCAACAAAAGAGCACGCTGTCGACGCAATTTGAATGATCCCAGCATCGGACGCAGACATACGTATACCGAATAGCTCAATGTGATTGGTCAGTCTATCAAGTTTGTATTTTGTACATTTCAAGAGTTGTGGAGCCACGCCATCCCGAATTTCCGTTCAGTCGGCATCTGCAGCGTTGACACTGCCGCCCTGTGATATAGTAGCCAACAATCTTGGCACCGCCTCTGCACACTCTCATCCTTGAGGCTGATTCATAAGCTATTGCGGCTACGGCAAGTGCGGCGACGGGTAGTGCGGGATCATGATGCCGCAAGACGTGCTACCTAAAACCGTGTAATAATCCGTAGAACATGTGATTATTGTATTGATCCATACGATTCGTCGGGCCACGTGCTCACACCTCAAGTTCTACTGCTATTTTTAGTTTCTATCCAGGGACATACATATAGCCCCCCTTGATGATCGACTTGAAATTTTTGTCCCGCCCCCTCACGCCATGATAGTGATAGACTCTTGGAATCTCATCGGCGTTCTATCATTTAGTATGAGAAGCTTCAGTGACTTCAAAGCCTAGCGTTCTAGCGTCTCTGAGACATGTACCCATACGTAATCTCTGATGAACCGCAAACATCTCCGTCCCAGTAATCAATATTTCAAAACTAATATGACGAATATCTTAGATTATGGCGAGTCTCAGTAAGAACTGCAGAACAAGTAAGATACCGTAGATTGCCGTCAAAATCGACATGCGGAGTACCTCGGTATAAAGTTTGTCTCCGAATTAGATACCTGATTAGTCCATCTAGATATTTTGGTGTATAATACCGGTGTATCAAGGCATCAGTTCGTATGGTAATTAACTATTTCAGCTCTGTAACCGAGTTCATACAAATATAATACATCGTAACTTTTCGACCCAGTTTTATGATTTACTACAAAGGGCCAACAGTGTCATTGGTCCTAGGTACGCAATCTGCATGTTACGACTAGTCTAATCAACTGTTAGTGAACCATATATTTTACATTTCAAATGTCAAATAAACTATCCACGCCATTCGGAGAACTCCGTGCAGCGATCTATCCTAGACCTCAAACTAACTCTTTATGTAGAATAACTAGAGTCTGTTCCTAGGTACATATCCAACTATGCTCGGAACTTGATCTTCAGCTTCCTACCGAGATACGTTATCGAATTGAAACATTAGGTTTACACGAATCACAACTGAAACAGTCCGTTCAAAGTCCGGTTATACAACCCTACCACGTAGTAATTTTGAGCAACGCGACGATCTCGTTCACGGTTTGGCACTTCAAGCCTCTGGTCCAAGGATCGGTGGGTCCTCTAGGGCCTTAAGCTCTTGTAACTACGTATAAGGTTCTCTCGGCAGGACATAGTTGTCTAACTGGCATCAACTGCAAAACTTATGGGGTATGTGTGATGATACGTAGACTGAAGCTGAATTCCAAATCTCAAATAAACTTCAAGGCATGCATACATAGTATAGTACGCACTATTTTCAAAATTGCGCCAAGATTTTGAGGTGGTAGTCGCAGAATATTCGATATTTTCTCGCTAATTGATACCCCTAATTGTGGTTTTCTGTAAGCCGTGACGAATGCATGATTCCTGCCCAGGTTTCGGAACTGACACAAGTCTTCATTCCACTCTGGTCTCCTGCCAAAATGGTTCTCTCTATCATGAATCTTTACTCCAAAAATAGCACGCAAACACTGGTATAATCAAGTAGATGAGTTTTCCATATTAAACTTCTTCAGGCTGCTCGGGTATATGTCATCCCATACCAAGATTCCTCACGCTTCTAGTCTTCTGTGCCCTAGCTGTCTGGGTAAGAGGAGAATGATTAAAGTCCGACCCTCCGATCCTCCACATGCACATATCTTGCATTGTTTTTAAGCTGGTCAGCCACAAAAGGCTAATCGATAAAGCCAGAGGAAGCATGTTAGCTTCGCCGTCTTTTTAGTAATGGTGGATATGGTTCAAACACACTAGATCATGTACCAACTTCCGCATTTGCCGTTTATAATATGCCAAGCAAAAGCATAGCTAGTTTAGACAAACTACGTACCGCCGTATTAAGCAAAAGGACCCATGTAACAAGCTTTGATTCTCTGCTATCTTAGTCCTACCCTGTCTGAATTTGGCAATTCGGAAGATAATGAGCCTTAGTGACGATCCTGGAGCAGAACCTGTGACAGTCTCCATAAGTCCATGCTCCATTGACCCCATAAGGAGATTTCTCAAATCATAGACACAACAGGTGAATTAGACGACTTATCGAATCAGAGCCGAATCAGGAGAGAGCTGAATAGATGACGTATAGCTAGCTGACCAATAGGATATGTAGATCTAAATTGGGCTATGGAGCATCATTGATCCAGTATTAACTCGTGTTCCAATTTGACTAGTTTTGGCCTTTAAAGCTAATTAGGGTTTTAGATTTCTGAATATTACCGCTAACTTAGTAATTTAACTAGCTTCAGGCGTCCAATTATGGGGTATATAAAACTCTTGTATGAAGCTAGTATCAACTTACCCGAGCCCTGTAAATAACCCACCCAAGTCGCGTCTTCACTAACCCTTTACATTACGCTATTACTTTGTTTGTAAGGTACCATGTATGTCGTAGTCTGCACCAATCATTGCACTACATCCTAGTGCTTGCATTTCTTCTTATCTGAATTAAAGTAGAAAAGCCCTAAAGGCCCAAAAAGAGATTCTAGAATTATTTGTCATTCAGACATAAACTTTCCGTTTAGACAGACTCCATAACTTGGTAAACCTTCTTCCGGTTATTGCTACGACATGACCTTCTCTAATATTACGTCGCAATGATCCCGTGGTCTACGGACGGATTTGTTGGAACTAAGCCAGCTTTTTTGACGCACGGAAGTTTTACTATCTATTAAAACATGAAGATAGAGTTCTGACGTCGATCCAGGGGAGTATTCCAATTCTGTCCGGATCTTCGTCGTTTGTTGCCTCATCAGTTTGTTATTTTGCCAAAAATAGGTACGGAGTATTGTGCGAGATGGTCCATGGGTGGCGTGGGGTGTTTTCTTTCGCGAAAGAGCAGCGACGCCACTTACTACCTAACTAGACGTTTGGGGCTTGATGACTGTCACCTTTCGGCCGATCAAGAACATTCCCTGGACTCTCCAGGTAGGTTTCAAGGCGAGTCCTGATCTTCTGTTGGGCTATGTACGCCAAGTGGAAGAGCGGACTCGAATAGGCCAGGCCGGAAGCCTCCATAGCAAAGCTTTCATGCGTATACAGTAAATTTGACTCCATCATGCAGTCTACTTTCTCGTATGTCTTCCAAGATAGAGACATCAAACTCATACGATCTGTCTCACGCCAGGCACGTAGTCTATCAAAAATTTGCCCAACGCAAACGACCCTAATACATTACCAGTTCCCACAATAGCAGTCATTATAACAGACATAGCCATTCTTCCGTATCTGCTTTCAAAAGCTCTATCTCTAGCGACAAGTGCGAGGAACCTGTCAGCACCTAAGCCCATAACAACAGTAATCGGTGTATGAACCAGGAATGCTGCATACGAGTACTGTGGGTAGAAAATAGAAGTACTCCTGACTCGGTGATTGTAACAAAGAGAAAAGTATTTCAAGAGACTGGGCCCGATTAAGGAGAAGGATATCTCGTTCCAAACAGTGTAGAGGAAGGCAGGAAGGGTGAAGCCTCCGCCGATGAGACCTAATGGGTCGTGATGAATCGAGGAAGTCGTGTAAGAGTCGGAGAAGAGTTTGTGAGAAAAGATCATAGGAAAGGTAAAAAATGATAAACCAAAAGAAAGAGCAGGAATTGAACTGATTGATCAGTGCCATGCTCAGGAATTTGTTTTTGAATGTCTGACTCCGAGGAGGACTCTGGGGAGGATATTGCATGATCTTTGAGCAATTTGTTCTTGTTCCATGGGGTGAGAAGTTGCGGTATTTCAGAAAATGAGGATAATAATCCAAGTGTATATGAAAGAATATACTGGGGAAGGAAAGCTGGTTGAACTGCGATCAGAGGAAGCGAGGTGCCAACTGGCCAGAACAGTCGAAAGACAAAAGTAGAAGCAGTCGATGACAACCACAGCAGGGGAACAGCAAGTCGACTAGAAGTCAAGTTCTGAGAATATTGAACGACTTTGGATTTCGTGTAAGGTATACACAATGTAGCGAGCGTATCAAAACTGAGAAGTGTTGCGAGGTACCACACTGGACCGCGTATACTACGAAGCTGCCTCCAATAATCAAATTTTTAAAATGATGTATTGACGGTGCTCGCCACAACATTCGATCCTAGATTGGACGTAAGAAGCACGGACAGTGGGTGGATCATACCAGTATAGATAGCTGCTGGCAGTCCCAGATGATACCATTTAGAGCGCAGGAAGGACCATCTCGACTCCTTCGTGGGGCTGTTAGATAGGCGATTCCCCGATAAGAGACCAGAAAGCCAAAAGAAGAGTTCCATGAAGAAAGATTGGTTTATAAAGTTGAATGGCACAAGTGCTAGACATCCACAGTTGAAGAATCGGGACTTAAACAGCCATGACCCAGGTCCTCCGTAAACAATTGCTGTGTGGTGGTAGATTACGAGAGCTGTTAGAAACGTACGCGTATTATCTAGATCGTGTCTGCGTTTTGAAAGGGCGCCTGTGGTGCTCGGCATTGCGATGAACTTGATATAATCAATCTCAAAGCGATAAAGGATAGTGGTAGCTGATCGAGGAATTTTTGCACTCAGCGTCGAATTTTGAAGCATTGGGAATTTTGGAAATGCAACTGCCTGAAGGGTCGGCTATCGTAACTAGCGAGTAGCTAGCTTGCGAGCGACCAATTGTCAAGGGGACGGAATCTAGTACGGTGGAGAACTTGAATTGCTTATCTATCATGGTTAATGACGGTCGCGTTGATCATAAAGGAAATTATACAGTAGTCATCGGTCAAACTTTGAAGATTGGACGTTTGCATTGATTATTTCCTTATCGGGCCATTAGGGCTAGGGCATTGGATCTGGCAAGCCCTAATCGCGGCCTAGTCGGTTTCAATGTCCTGTTGCATGAGGTATCAATACTTGAACGCATCGCATCATGACAAAGATTCAATAGAGGAGAATAACTAATTTATGAAGTAAAGCGTGTGAAAGTCACTGAAAAGAGTGTATCAGATGAACGTGTACCTGAGTACTTACACTAGGGTGTCAAAAACAAAGATTCCCAACCCTCTTTGAATCATGTTTCCAGTGCCACAAGGGTTTGGTGCTTAGAGATGAAACTCTTTACGGCTTTCACAAATCTTTCCAACTCGGATGGGGGTGTCTCCAGGATCAAAGCTATGAACCCGCGCAAAGTGACCCAGAATCCAGCTTCGAGCATCTCAAACCAGAATAAAGTCTTCAGCTCTGGGATTTCTTCGACATTATCAGCACAATCAATATGCCGAGGCCCCTTTGCGAGAAAATGTGCTGTGGCGACTGTTCCTACGCCAGTGAAGTAGATTCTAGTACCATTCGTCACCTCATTAAGCTTTTCCCTGAAGCTATCCCCAGCCTCGGTGAAATGCCGCGCTACCTCCGGGGTGAATACCGTAGTCAAACCAACATGGCCGACGTGGGTGACAAGAGTATTATTATTGAATGTCCCTGAATGAGAGATGTACCCGTCCAGTCGAGGATCGAATGCTGCCATGACATCTGCTCTACCGCCGAACGCACCGAACGCCAGCCCTCCCCCCAAATATTTGCCAAAGGTTTTGAGGTCTGGCTTCAGGCCTCGCAGCGCAGCGAGACCACCTTCAGATATGCGAGATGTCATGACCTCGTCAAGGATAAAGAGTACGCCTACCTATGGCTTCACGTGTCAGTTTCTCCAGTGCTAACAAGAAGGGCTTTAAGCTGATACCTCTGATGAAGCTTGCTGAATGCCATGTAAGAACTCTAAAGTCCCACAGATGCATCCATTAGCACCTTGCATTCCTTCAACTAGAACCGCAGCGACTCCGGGACTTCGAATGGCTTCCTTGGCTGCATCGAGATCGTTGTATTTCACTACAATCCAATCGTCCATGTCAACGTTATTTGAAGCAGGCTTGCCACCAGAAAATGTCAGAACAGCACCATGATAACCTCCACTAAACGTGACAACTTTTCGTTTCGAAGTGAATTTCCTAGCTGCTGCTAGAGCATGTAAATTAGCTTCTGTGCCGGAATTGGTGAACCTGAGTCGTTCCAATTGGAACCGTTTGCAGATTTCATTGGCAAATAGTCTTTCCTGAGCTGTAGTGGCCCCAACATTCATTCCAACATTTTGGAGTACATCATTCATAGCAGAGAGAATGACTGGGTTGGAGTGGCCATATAGAGCTGCCGTAAACTCTCCAGCCATGTCAATATAGCTGCCTCGGAGTCAGCCAAATTATAATAGATCTTCAAACACATTCACTCACGTAATACCATCTTCCGAAGTTACTTGATAAGATTTTCCATGTTTTATGTAGATAGGAAAGGGATCTGTGTGAAGTATAGTCCTTGTATTGCCACCGGGCAGCACGTTGACAGCCTCTTCGTGGAGTGCTTTTGATCGAGCATTTGAGGCGATATACCGAGCTTTAGCCGCATCAACTGCGATCTGTAGCTCCTTTGTAATATATAGCTGCATTTTGCTCAGAAGCGGCTATAGAATATGGTTCAATCAGGGTCAAACTACTTGAAAAATAAAGTGCCTGGTGTGGGAAAAGCTCAGAGGTCTGAGAAGAAATAAGTAAAATATGAGCAGGTCGAGGTCAAGTGAATCTACACTGCCCTCCAAAGCCGGTACCGGTCCATAGCGGGGTATAAGGCAGCTGGTCGGATTTCCGGGGACTATAGAAGCTCACCGCCGGCCTGAAGAGACAGGAAATAGTTAACCAACTCTTAATTTGACAGCCTGGTTGGGAATACTATCCGGTTTCCATGAAGCTGACAGGTATTTTTCGAGAACTCAATCACACTTGACAGATTTAATTATGTATCATCTACAAGAAACCTGCTTGCAAAATGCTTCCAGTCCTGAGTAGCCAATGGCGTTCGTCAACTGTGAACCACAGTAGTGGATTGTACTTGAATCTCGAGCATTCTGTTTAATTTTTCTGGTGAACTACAGTAAGATGTATATGTAAAAAAATTTCTCAAAGGATAGGCAAAAATGGTCTGGTTTTGTTGGAAGAGACGCCAGTAAGTGAATGACAATCGTGATCAAGTGATCATTGTTTCACCTTAATAATCCGCCGCATAATCATACCCCGAAGCAACATGAATTTCGACTGTGCCAGCGGTGTCCTGTACTTTGATGTAAACTAGATCTAGGAGTCCATCGCCGTCCCAGTCAATCATTTGCCAAGTGCCATTGTCCTCAACAGAGAAAGTAGTCGCTACGCTTTGCACAGTCGTCTCGTAGCCTGAGGCACCGGAGACAATCGTCACCTCAACGTAGCCGGAGGATGTGTTGATGTTTTGGATGTAGACAAGATCAATGTTTCCATTGTTTGCATAGTCCACAATTTGCCAAGTCCCATCATTTCCGATACTGAAAGATGTTGTGATGTCCTTCGTCAATGTCTTAAAGCTGGATGCACCAGATGCAACCTTGATTTCGACTTTGTTGGAAGCTGTGTTGCTGTTCTGAATATATACGAGGTCTAGGCTTCCGTCGCCGTCGTAATCAGTCATCTGCCATCTTCCGTTGATTTGTGAATCAAAGACAGTTTGCGTCTGCAGTATGAGAGTCTGGTAGTTTGAAGCGCCCGAAGCAATTTTGACTTCCACCTTTCCTGATGCCGTGTTTCGATTCTGTATGTAGATTAAATCCAAGTTTCCGTCATTGTCGTAATCGGCAAGTTGCCAAACTCCATTGCTTCCCGGTAGGAATACAGCGTTCTGGTTGTAGACCAAGTAATCGTACTCGTAAGCGGCAGCGGCGACTTCAACTTGGACATTGCTGAGGCTTGGATTGCTTGTCTGGATGTAAACCATGTCGGCATCATAATAGTTTTCGTACCAGGCCATCTGCCATGTCCCATACTCTGCTGGGGCCGGAAAAGCTGAGCCATGTTCCATGACTCGATACTGGTAAGGTGAAGCTGAGACAAATTGAATTTGCCATGCCAATCGAAGCAGTGCTGGGAACAGTGCTTGCTTGAGCATTGTGATCAATGTATCAGCTGCAATGCAAGCCCCCAACAAAAAGTAAATTGTATCAAGGAAAGACGTTTATAGGTCCTGTGAAGAGACGTTGGCGATTGCACGCGGAAGCGTCGGATTGACTTTATCAAAAACTACGGTTACTTAAGGGTCGTTTTCAAAGAAAGCAGTAGGTCAAAATCCATCACGATCCTTCTCCATTCAGGGGCCAACCAGAGAAAACCCCTCTTACACTTCAATAGTCAGGTTGAAAGACCAAGCGTTCTCGGCAAAAGAAGCCAAATCGGACATTGATAATTTCACACTGCACTGAGGCGTTTCCCGGGATTCTCCCAGTTTTAATTCAATCCTACTCAGCCAGCCGAGTTCACTTAGCATGCAGACTTACTAAGTACAGTGCACAGAGCGAAGCCACACAGTGGAACCTGCCTACGTATAAAGGTAGCCCTTCGAGTCAGATCCCGTGGGTCCCATCTTCACAATCACCGCTACTAGGCATGCTTTTGGTCAGAACTGACATTAGCTCTATGCAGGAACCCGGGAATAGTACAACCCCTTCTTAAACGCCAATAGCAAGTCATAGAAGATGTTTGCATTGTCTCTAGCTTACCATATATTTTTCTCGGCGCTATTAGTCTTTCTGAAGTGATAATAGCAACGTAGTAACAAATCAATTTCGAAAGATGGGGCTTTTTACCCCCGTTCCGGCTCACTTTTTTTTAATTTTATCTTGGCGCCAGGGTGACTGGATGAACTTCCAACATAGGATAAAAATCGAGTTTCTAGGGCTGAACTAAGCAATGCTAGTCGGTTGTTTTTGCCATGTGCCAGAAGCAAGCGGAGAATTACTGACTTTTGCCCCGCTGAGCGGAGCCGGTGCTTGCGTGTCCTGATAAAAGAAAGCTTTTTTAAGCACAAGCCTCTCCAGTATACTGACAAAAGACTGTACTGCTATTACTGCGTACTCCATAGGTAGGGGTATTTCATGGTCTATACTTCTTGGATCATGATGGCCGGCCTGCTCTGTAGCCATGTTACCCGAGGTTCTAGCCCTAACCTGCAATTTGAGAGTACCTAGCCGAGTGCCAAGCAGCCATGACAGGTACAGGAAGCTTATTTATTCGCAAATTCATCGTTTACTTTAAACCTAGTTTGACTCACGAGGCACATTTGCCCAGGTGATCTCGGTGATGCCGAATAGATATCCGACTTTGAGGGAAAGGGGGGATCTGTATAGACTTTGTTGTGAGATACGGGTAATAATTTCATGTCTCTCTTTTCTGTGAGTCTGCTCTTTTCCCCCAAAAGATAAGTAGGCAATGGCTTTATTAAGTATGAGAAGATCATGTCATCTCCTTATAACCTGGCTATTCTGGTCATAGCAGTAAAGCGTCTGTGTCTACTATTGTCTGGTGAGAATTTTTCATCACAAAATACATAAATCCACTAATAAGTTGCTCCGTGGCTGGTCTACTGTAATTGAGCTTTTTGAGCCGGAGGCTGTCAAAATGTCGCTAAGACCGATTATGTTGCCCCACTGGAACTCCGATGCCCTGACTGCTGAAAGAGGAAGGGGCAACGACCTCTGGATTGCTTGATTGTACCTAGTAAATCCTCTTACCGCTTATACTGGGAGTTACAAATACTGATGGGTTTTGAGCTCCGCGTACATTCTCGCTTTGATTTTTCATGTTGTTGCTCTTTTCATGTGTTTAACCACTCTTTTGTTCGTTTGGATAATTTAAATCACTTACTATGTGGTCGTCGCTCTTTACTCTCTTGAGCATATTGCTCATTACTACGTTCGTTTCAGGTCTTTCAAAGGACAATATTGACGGTCAAAATGACGAATCCTGGACTGTTACAATCACGAGGACTAGCTACACTACAATCTGCCCCTGTACTACCGCTGTTCTTTCTCTCCCAACAGGACTCACTGCATTCCCAACATCTGCTGGTTTCGAATACTCGTCGGGCTCGTCGGCAACGGTAACTGATTCCGGCCATTCATTAGGAGCAACCTCCTTGGTATCCGGAGAATCAGGAAAAGTCAGCACATATAGCCACTCTCTCACTTCACACTCTTCTAGACCCAGTCAGTCTGCCGTATTCTCTTCCTCGGMTGTGAATAGGAATTCGTCTAGTAGACTTCATCATACACATGCGCATACTGGCACGACTATCCCTTCAAAGCCGGGTCACTCGTCAGGCTCTGTATCACGTTCATCTGCGCGCATTTTGCCTTCTACATCGTCTGCCACGCATGGCTCTCATTCTTTGTCTTCTATTTCATTGTCTCAAACCGCGGGCTCATCTACGAGTATGACTCTGTCTGGTGGCTCGCAGCCGTCAGCTTCTTCATCAGCTATTATCAGACCTAGCTCGAGTGCACGTGTCAATCCCTCTCAAACGGTACAATCATCCAGTGCCATACGTGTATCACCGTCTGCAACACAGACACCCTTGGTACTATATGTCGAGCCAAGTCAGTTGAAACGCAAACGACAAATATATAACACCGCAGTCCTGATTGGATCCGGATATGTGACAGCCTCTTGCTCGGATGCAGATGTTTTCTACGTCGATGGAACAAGTCTGTACGACGGAGACCTGTTGGTCTCTACAGATGCCGGTGTATCCCAGATTCAGTTCGTTGGATCGCAAAACCACGGGGCAATTACCGGCACATTCTCTGTGGCAAATGGCATTCTTGCTTGGACAAATGCGGCCTTCCCAGCAGGCCAAGCCCAATTTTGTGTTATGGACAGCACTGTATACGCAGTTTTCGATGACGAACTACCCTTAGGCTGTACACAAGTCACTATCGCCGCAGTACCATACTGTAAGTTATTCTTCAGTGTAACCAGTGTCTTATTTTAACCCCAATGACTAATCTGAATATTGGTAGCCTCCATATGCCCTGGCGGCACTGCGTCAACCACCTTCCATCCGATCACAACGACTCCTACCCCTACACCAACAGCAACAGGCATTCCTACTTGTGCTGCCAGTTCTGACCCCGAGCTTAGCACTACCGTCCTGCCTGCTATTGATCCAAGTGTTGATTTGTCGTCGCCCCTCAATTTGCCCCCTTCCATGTACGCTACACTATACTATGCACAACCTTCCGGCTCAACTATCGTGCAAGTCGTTTACACTATGCTTTACCCACAAGTCACACTGGAGAACTCTCAGGACATTGATACTGTTACCTGCTCAGGTGGTGAAACCATGACCATAGTTTTGTCAACTAAAGTTGCATATAACATTGTCAGCCAATGGCCTCAGTCTGACTTAATCCTGATCACCAACACAGCAAGCTGCAACTCCGCATCTCAAAGAGGAGTCTATATGGTATCATCTTATACAGCCGATGAGTCCAGCCTCACTGTCACTTTACAAATTTCTGCAACAACTTGGGCCGACGTTTCTGAAACTATGCAGATCAGCTATGGTACTGGTAGCACCAATTCTGGAAGTTCAGTCTCTTACACGCCTTCTTGCTCAGCTCCGATCGCAACTTCCACTTCGCCTAGCTCTGCTACTAGCACTGATGTTTCGTACGCTGACCTTACACCAGAGGAAAAGAAGATCGTGGCTTATCTCACGGCCAATAACACATATGATGACAACGGCAACATTGCTGTCACCATGCCAGCTTCGACTACTAGTGTAACAGCTCCGTCATACGATCCAAATGCAACATCCAACTCGACTGGACAAGCGGCTCTGGAAGATGCACTCCAAGCAGCCGGCCTTCCATCACCTGCTGACCTATGGGGTCAGACTGCAAACAGCCTAGCTGGTTACTGCTCTAATGGTGTATACGTCCCTCCTACAACAGTGTATTCTAAGCGTGATCTGCCTTCGGCTCAAATCGGCCCTGTACGCCGTAAAGATCCAATGCATGTCCTCGCCAAACGGTCCGACGACGTCAATGACGAATCGTGGTGGGAGTATCTTTGGGATGTCGGCTGCAATGATATTGTGGATGAGATCATCGGCGCCTTTGATGAAGAGGTTGGAGAAATTGTTGAGCTAATCTGTGATATGAAAGAGCTTTATGATGATGTCTCGGAAGCATATGCCAACCGTGATGCCATCAAGTGTGTCTTTACTGGATGTTATCTTGAGGAGACCATTGCTACTTACTGGAACTACACATACGTTTGGGATACAAGCTTCTCCATTCCTGCTCAAAATATCATCACATCCTCTGTCGGTACTGTCAGCTGCGTCGACTGCGCGCTTACCATCTCTGAAGTTCAATTCGTCGGTAGTGTCATGATTGCCACCTCCACCGGTGCGATTGAGAGTGCATACATGACTCCCACTCTGAGCTGGGAAGCAAATATTGTCATGGGTCTTGACACGACTGATGCTTGGTCTGGTGAATGGGACTACGCGTTCCCAACGTTGAACTTTGACGACCCTATCACGGTTCCAGGAGAGTTTACAATCACGCCTGCCATTACATACAGTCTCGGCGTTCAATGGTCAACTTCGGCCGCTGTTAGCTTTACGGGTGGTGCGTCCATCAGTGTTACTGGCGGTACTATGTATCTCGATTTCACACAGAGTGCTGCTTCACAGATCTCCAACTGGTCCCCGAGTGTTCAGTACACCTACCCCGTCTTTACAAAGGCAGCTACCGTTTCATTTATTCCGATCATGAGATACTCTCTTTCCATCGGCGTCAATATCGAGAATCAAGCATACAAAGCGCAGCCGATCTATATAAACAGCGCTGAGGCAGTAGGATTCAATGCAGCCCTGATTGAGACTGACGGCGGTGCGTGCTCTGCTGGTCAACTCGAGATGACATCTTACACGAATGTCACCAACAGCCTCGTTTTCACTGGAGGCTCTTCAAAGGTTCTTTCGTCAAATGGGGATGTTGCTGGTCTGACAAAGTGCTTCACCGTCCCCAACGACGTGCCAACAGCAGATGAAATCAGCTCCATGCGCAGTCAAGGTGCAGCATTCTGCACAGCGTACCTTGATTACAGTCCACCAACAAGAGTTGCGTATGCTGTTACTACCACCACGACTCCTAGTACTACACAAATCACTCTTCCCACGACCATCTCAACCGCTTCGACCATTTATCAATATCCTACCGTTACGAGCGTGTTCACTCAAACTACCACTGTGAATCCTACCTCGTACGTCACCTCCAGCGGGTCCCAGTCTCTCGGTGACTCGTACATGCGCAAGAGAGCTCTTGAAACTGCTGCGCCTACAAATCCTTTCAGTGTGAGAGGCGCCGCACCAAAGTCCACTGGAGCTGCTCATAAGTTACGTGCACGAACTGTGTCTGAGCCGGCTTTTGCTTCTACCTGGGATGCAACCAAACTCTCTCTCGCCTGTTCACAAGTTGCCACCGGAACCGTGACGAAGACGTTCTATAGCTCGACCGCAACTGCCTACTCGGGTGTTGTGACCAATACCGCTTACAGCACCGTAGACGTTCTCGGAACACTCTACACCGAGACCTTTTCACGTGCTGTAGTCTCGTACACTGCAACCACTGTCACTGCTTCCGCAACAAGTACAGCAACCGTCACAACGGCAAGCAATTGTCCACTGCAGTCACAGGTTTCCTGCTTCACCATTAGCGCCTCAGGAGCAGACCACATCAATGGAAAACAACTTTACATGGCTGATGGTCACTCTTCCCCAGTTTGGGGTGGATGGGGAGCCGGCTACGAGCTCGCTACATTCTACATGACTTGCTCAGGAGACCTTGTCGCTTTGCCTTCTATGCAGGTCCTGACGACAGCTGAAGATATGTGGGTTGAGTTCGGCGACTTTACGAGCAGTAGCGCGGTTACGAATCAGAAGTGTATCCAGGACACGGCTGCTGGTACATTGAGTTGTGGTGCTGGATGGTATGCCATGACACCTGTTGCCAGGGATATCAATGACTTCAGAGCGTTCAGTGGGTATTGGCAACCTATCTGGAGCGATGGTTCAGACACGGATACGCTGACGCCGGTGACTTTGACATACGAAACTGTGACTTGCCCATGTCAGTATTGATCGACTATGCATGGTTATTAAGCTGTTTACTCAGCAGAGATGAGCCAGTAGTACTTCCCGATAAGGGCTTCTAGTGTATTTTACATATTTAGTGTTATTGGGGAATAATGTTGGTTCGAGTAATATTAATCATTTGATACAATCCCGAAATAATGTACAATCACATCACAGTAGCAATCTTGTGACAATGCCCGTAATATGGGCCAAATTCGATCTTGTCATGTCCATTTCTAACCCAGCCATGAACGCTTCTGTGGCACCGTGCTCTGAGCTGTAGGCCGAGAATTCTTATTTGTAGTATTGTTGGCAGGGTTATCTTCAGGGACTCGAAGATTCGTATGCTCAAAGATGGCGCGATAATTACCTTCTCCAATGATCTTTTCCAAAGGACCCTTTTCAGATAATTGATTCAATACAGATCTGGCCGCGCGCACTCTTTGAAGCCATGCGTTGTAGTGTGAAACAAGCATAGCGTTTGTTTTTCCGACACGTAGTCTGTGAGGCGAGCCCTCTTTGATAGTAACTAATCTGAAGTATGACCTATCGAGTTGCTGTTCCAGGTGTTTCCGGCGTTTCTCTGGCATTGCGAAATCTTGAACCTTCGATTCGTGATCATCGATGAACCGGCGCAACCCCATGCAATCAGAACAAGTACATCGGATGGTAGTCCTGCTTTTCCAGTCTGCTGGTGGTGGACGAACTTTTTTGACATAGCCATCCACGTATACCCTCAGCAATTCGATGATGAAGTTCTTTTCGTCGGCAGTCGGAGGTCTGCTTGTCTGTGCTATAAGCTCACATATTGTTACTGCCACAGGAAATAGAAGCTCGTGGAAAGCAGTGCTCGCTGCGCTACCCCTGACATTATTGGCATATTTGAGAAGAGCGCTCATTATACCTTGGGTGTCAGTATTTTCGGAATTAGCAAACTTGATCAAATTGATCGCCAAATTCGGAGAAACACAGATACTCCCTCGCTTAGGTCTTTCCCAAATACCAAAGCCAAAACGATATTTGCTGTTGTGGTTATGAGTGACACGGAAAGTCAAGTCTATCTCGTGTTCAATCTTGAAAGACTGGATAACTCTCGGAAGAAGGCCTTTAATCATCCTGCCTACCGCATTCTTGTCTAGGTCGTCTCCTAGTAAGTCTTTTGTGGATAGAATGAGTGACGCGGTAAAAGTGGTATTCTCCACATGGCTGAGCAACCATCTTTCAATTCTGCTGATGTTAGACGCATAGTTTCTAGAATCAGAGGAATATCTCACTTTTCAAGCGACCCCATTATGGGCATCTCCCTCAAGTTTTGTGCTACCTTTTGTCCATCCGACTCCAAGCCTGTGAGTCCTTCATGAACTGCCGTAAGGAACGTCGCTTGTTGCCATTCTACCACCTCAGTCGAAGGGGTTAGGTTTCTCTGTGTACAGACCGATAAATATTCTCTCGTGATATCATAAAGGAGTCGCAGATCTAGGATATCTTTACGCCCATACCCGAAAACATCCGTGCCCTTGAGCTTTGTGTCTAGACTAGACTTCAGAGTTAGTACAATAATTCGACCCATTCTAGGACTTGGACTTACGCTGAGCGTATTGGATTTAGTCCATGATCTGCAATAGCCTTGGCGATGAAGGCTTTGTGAGAGGATGAGAGGTATCTATTGAGCAACAGAGCCCGGTTGAACAATTCAAAGTCGGCGAATTCCAAAGATCTCGTGAGAATTAAATCTATGAACCTCTCACGAGCTTCTTCGTCTGCATGATATTCCAATCCAGCCAAGATGCTGCAGACGTGTGCCAGTGCCTTCTTCACCAAGATCTCGTCCGATTGCTGCGTCAGCATGCGTTCACATTCTTCCATAATATGCTTGACATCGCCCTGATCTTTTTTCAACCGTTCGATTTCGAATAGAAAGCTGACCGCTTTGGGCACAATCAAAAGGCCCTATAATACTGTGAGACGTGGAGAACAGAGATAGGGGTGATTTCCGCAGATAAACTTACAGTCGGTCGGTAAAAGTGAGTCGCATGAGCTCCCTCATTGCCTGTAAAACCTTCAAAGTCTTCATCATCCGGATCGCCTTTAAAAAGCGTCATCTTGGATTATCATGTTCTCGGAGAATGAGAGATTTATTCCTGCCACAACGCCTTGCGTGTCTACAACATGAAGTAATTCGAGACTGTCTTCATATACGTCTTCGAGAGTATGGTAATCTTCATTGTCAAGGCTGCGCCCACGACCGTAATAGCCGCCGTAATAGTCATCGTCTTGTACTCCTCCCGTAACAGACTTCTCAATATTCGCTAGGTAAATATCACAGCCGTTCTTCAGGCAGGCCTCCTGTAACTGGACGAAACGATGTCGATCGACCCCCTTGAGTTTAGCAACGCTGAGCTCTGCAATCGAATACTGGTGATCAAGTAAGTAGACAAGCGCTGCAGGGCACTTGTCTTCGACTTCAGAATCCCAACTCTGTAGACGGTGCTTTGAGTTTTCAATGGCGAGAGTCCACGCAGCAAACAGCTTGTTGAGGCTTCCTACCTTATCACCACGAAATTTGATTAGTGCTGCTGAGGGACGATGAATCAAGTTGTAAACGGACACGATTCTATAGCCGGATCGGACAGGTTTCACTTCATGCATGACATCAGCATACCAAGCAGCCCATGAGAAGCCGTATTCAGAGTTTGAGGCTGTACAAAATCTTAGACTTTCGCCCTTATGCGAGGCAATGACTTCACCACCTTCATGTTTTGAAGGCAGACTGATGACAAGTGTCGCAAACATGCCATCTGCCTTTTCAGAGTCCTGGTGTGGTAAGAAAAATGCGCCTTCTTCGTAAATGAGCAGCTTATAAAGTTCCACCTTGACCTCTTCTGGTTTCGCGGTAGTAAGACCAAGACCAGCAATAGCCTGATCTTTGTAAATACCCACTTGTTTTTCCCAAAGCGGGTTTTGAAGGGAAAACTGATTGGCGTCAAGCTGCCAACTCTTGCGCACTGTTTCATTGACCAGCGTCTCTGTTCCCTTACCGTATGGACTCATCCGAGAAGATTGGATCATTGCCTTCGCACTCTCAATTGTTATAGGAAGCCCGATGGCTCCAACGCCGGGTACGTGAAGACCAGGAATAACCGCCGAACTTAGTGCTTTCTGTGTCATGAAAGAACCGCTTGATTTAATTTCTGACAAGGCAAGGTCGAGATTTTGTTTGAGGTCAGAGAGATCTTTCTCCATGCTGTCCTGGCCCGCATTGGCTGCCCTCTTGTTTCGCATGGAAGTATCATTCTCACTGTCTGAGGCAGTGAGGTTAATTGCACACTCTATTGGTTCCATTTTGGCCTCAGACCTGACAGTACGTGTACATGTACTCGGTAAAAGTAGAATTCACAAGGAAAACAGAAGTAGGGTGACGTCTAAAGTGTATGGCAAGACCCGTTCGGACTTCTCCTTTTCCTCCGCGTCTCAACGCGTTCAACGCGTCAAATTGGTCAGGGTTAGGGTATCATTGATGGCTGCGATACACATTTATCGAGCCGAAAGAAGACTTCATTTTCAGGTTGTAAATATATGATAGGTAACCATACAAAGGTGCTGACATAACCCGTCTAATTTATGCATCATCCAATTCACTGTGGCAGTGGAAATGAATCGCCTAGCGAGATCGAAGTGGAATGTACCAGGATTTAGTCACCAAACACCAAAACCAACATAATTCGGGGATGTTTCAGAGAACTCCGGAGAACCTCTTTCAAGCCAACAGATCGCATGCTTGACCCAACTTATTAAAAGAACTGTCCTCCTCTTCAGAACACCTTACACCCTTCAATTCAATAATCTCGATTCTTCAATTTCCTCATACAGTACGATCATCGCTTGTCCTCATCACAATGGCTGACTCTACCCTCGTCAAAACAGCTCAGGTCTCGGCTATCGTGACCGCCGCCGCTGCCTCCGGTATGTACCCATTTAACTCCCTCGAAGCATCACTGACATGTCACGGCGTAGGCGGCATCCTCTCCATCTCCCTCTTCACCATCCCGTCCCTCATTCTCAAGCGTGCACCACAAACCAACGGTCGCACCGCAACCACCCTCGGCGCACCGCTATCCCACATCGCGCGCCAATGGCATTCTGCCTACGACCTCGGACATAAGCTCTTCCCCTCCATGGCCATAACCTCCAGTCTCCTCTACTCATTCGCCGCATACACACTCGGCCGCGAACGTGGCGTGACAGGTCGTCAGGTTGGTTTGCTATACACCGCAGCCGGACTGAACGTCATGATCGCACCGTTTACGTTATTGGCCATTGTGGCTGTTAACAATGTTATCGTGACGTACACTTCGGGAAAGCATGATCTCCCCGCTGATGGCAAGGAGGATGCGCAGGATGAGCAGACTGAAAAGGAGTTTGTCGGTCTGCTGGAGAAGTGGTCGCTGCTCAATGCGATTAGAGGTCTTTTCCCGTTGGCCGGGGCTGGGTTGGGTGCTGCTGTTAGCTTTGGATTGCTGTCTTGAATTTCTGATCTTGCTGGACGCTGGTTGTCTGTTTATGATTGATAGATACCCTCTCTGCTCTCATGGCGCGATCTCTCCTTGAATACCTAGGTATTATCAGTTGAGATATGTTCATTCTGCATCGTACTATTCATTCCAGAGGTCATTATTAACTTATAAAGAAAGTCAACCTTGGAATGGATATTGTTCTGACATTCCAACAACGAATGTTCAGGATCGTGATGACGGAGTGTCTCGTATATATTTCGAAGAATACATACAATTAATTGATGAGAAATGAATGTGCTCTGATTAGCTCCTGCCGAAGTCCGCAGTACCCCGCATTCCTGCCAAACGGGCTTCTGGCCGAAGTCACCAGTTAACCCCAACACTTAAATATATTTCAATTGAACGCACACTTTTTTCATTAAGATCGAAAATAATTGAATTTTAGCACTACTGCATTTCATCGACAATGCCTGAAGAGGCAAAATACATCGACTATTCCCCCGCCCCTCACGGCTCAAAACACGAGGATGGCGCCCCAGTCCTGAACAGATATTCCACTGTTCTGACTCGCGGCCATGATTCCCCTGCCGCACAGGTTGTCTCTATCACGTCAAACTATCGAGTTATCTGATCTGATGTTCGATAGGCAATGCTGTACGCCGCCGGCGTCCCTGATCAAAATGCCATGAAAAAGAGTCCCCAAATCGGAGTTGCGTCGGTCTGGTGGGAAGGCAATCCGTGTAATATGCACTTGTTGGATTTGGGAAAGACGGTGAAGAAGGCTATTACAGATAGAGGATCGATTGCATGGCAGTATAATACTGTTGGTGTTTCGGATGGAATTACCATGGGAACCGAGGGTGAGAAGATAGCGCAGACTGGGTGAGGCTGGAGATGCGCTAATACAATGCATAGGAATGAGATTTTCTCTGCAAACTCGAGAATTGATTGCTGATAGCGTTGAGACGGTCACTTGTGCGCAGTATCATGACGCAAATATTTGCATCCCCGGTTGCGATAAGAACATGCCCGGTGTGATTATGGGCATGGCTCGACACAATCGACCATCTATCATGATTTACGGAGGTACAATCGCCGTCGGATACTCTGATATATTACGAAAGAGAATCAATATTTCCAGCTGTTTCGAAGCCGCAGGTGCTTATGCGTACGATACGCTCCGCCAACCGGACGATGGGGGTGATACGAGCAAAAATAAAGATGAGATTATCGAGGATCTTGAGCGACATGCCTGTCCCGGTGCGGGTGCTTGTGGAGGAATGTTCACGGCGAATACGATGGCCACGGCTATTGAGTCTATGGGATTGAGTCTTCCGGGTTCTTCGTCTACGCCGGCCGAGTCACCCGCGAAGATGCGCGAGTGTGTCAAGGTAGCAGATGCTATCCATGTTTGTATAGAAAAGGATATTACGCCACGGAAACTTCTCACTAAGCGCTCCTTTGAGAATGCCTTGGTCATGACCATGGCCCTGGGTGGAAGTACGAATGCTGTGTTGCACTTTTTGGCAATGGCACGAACCGCCGAGGTAGATTTGACTCTGGACGACTTCCAGAGAGTCAGCGACAAGATCCCATTTATTGCTGATTTGGCGCCGAGTGGTAAGCATTATATGGCTGATTTGTACGAGGTTGGAGGTATTCCATCTGTGCAGAAGCTTTTGATTGCTGCCGGGTTGCTGGATGGTGATATCCCCACGGTGACGGGCAAGACTCTTGCTCAAAATGTGGAGTCTTTCCCCTCACTTGCTCAAGATCAGGTCATTATTAGACCCTTGGACAACCCCATTAAACCTACCGGACATATTCAGATTCTCCGTGGTAATCTAGCTCCGGGAGGTGCAGTGGCCAAGATTACGGGCAAAGAAGGATTAAAATTCACCGGTAGAGCCCGCGTATTCAACAAAGAACACGAACTCAACGACGCCCTCGCCAAGAGCCAGATTCCTCGCGACGAAAACCTGGTCCTGATCGTCCGCTACGAAGGTCCCAAGGGCGGACCCGGCATGCCAGAACAACTCAAAGCCAGCGCAGCATTGATGGGCGCAAAACTCACCAACGTGGCTCTACTCACCGATGGAAGATACTCAGGTGCTAGTCACGGCTTCATTGTAGGCCATATTGTGCCGGAAGCCGCGGTTGGCGGCCCAATTGCCCTTGTGCAAGATGGGGATGTGATTACGATTGATGCGGAGACGAACGAACTCAAAATGGATGTTTCGAAAGAGGAATTGGAGAGACGATCAAAGATTTGGCAACCACCTAAGCCGCAGGTGACACGGGGTGTGATGGCCAAGTATGCTAGGCTGGTAGGGGATGCATCTCACGGGGCATTGACTGATCTTTTTTAATTTCAGTCAGCTGATATGATTTGTTGCTGACTAAAATTCAACGGCTGTCTGTTGGGCAATACAATACAGCTCACAATAGTTGGCACTGCTTAAGGGGCAGTCCCAATAAGTGACGACGTTCACCTCTGGGTGGCTCAATCCTTCTCTATAAAACTAGTGTAAAAACAAAAACTGGACTGCCTATTGAAGTATCTGAGGCGGACTACGGCGTTGTTGTGGAGGCTGTTTAGATGGTGAAACTGCGTAACTTATGTGGAACAAGAAGAAAAAATGGGAAGGCGACGTTGAGGGATGCCACTATCAAACAACATAGGGCCATTACGTTACGTACTATTTATAGTCGGCTAAATGGCAGAGCAAATTTTAGGATTTACCGCTCGCAGACTATAACATTAAAATTGCAGGTACAATCAACAGAGCAAGGCAGTGGGCGCTTGAATAGCTGAGAGAGATATGCAGAATACTTTCCAATTGCAAGTAATTTAACACAAAGAAAGAAAATGGAACCCATGAAGACCCGAGTAGCAATTGCAGGGGGCGGCATCGTCGGTCTAGTGCTGGCTATTCGCTTGATAAAAAAAAGCCGCACCTGGAGGTGCACGTATCATACGAAGCAGCTCAGCGATATTTCGACATTGAAGCGGGCCTCGCTTTGCATCCCAATGAAATTGCTGCCATGCCCTCGATTGGGGAGAAGGTGCGAGATGCCTATTTCAACGACGTCATCAATATCGGAGATGAACAAAGATATTGCTCGACCGAAGTGATTATCACTCAGGGTCCCATGAAGGGTCAGTTGGTTGCTCGGCTGAGCAAGGCCAAGGGGTGCAGGGCCATCAGTCGCGCAGACCTACTCCACACTTTTTCTGCACTGGTTCCCAAGGAAAACATTACCATCGGAAAGAGACTTGATGTCATTCGCAAGGTGGATAGCGGATTATCCTCACATTTCAGGACGGTAGCAGAGCCTCATCTGACGTCCTCATTGGAGCTGATGGGAATAGGAGCGCGACTCAAAGTCACTATCTGGGCCCTAAACACCCTATCACCCTGCCCGTCAACCACGACGGCTGGCTTGTCTATAGAGCTGGGTTGTCTTTTCACGATTTCCCTGATAAAGTTGAAGAAATTAGGCTTACCACGTTCCCATCATGATTGGGCCGCGCTATTACTTTAATGTATATATGATCAAGAAAGGCACACAGATGAACTTAGCCGTAGGCATTCACTCATAAGAACGAGCGGTCAAGCTTGATATCGTGAACTTTGACGGCAAATTCGTGGAAGCAGATACTACAGTATCCGCTCTGGATATATATCTCTTCTATCACTACACTGAGACGGCTCAACAGCTAGCCAGACTAGGTTTCGAGCAGGCTTTGCCGCCATGGGCGGCCACAGAGCACAACCCATCATCATCCTACGTCAGTTTGCAAGGGCGAGCATGTATGATCGACGATACGGCGCATGCTACGGCCTCCCTGGTCCGGCCAGGGCGCCTCGCAAGCGCTCCAAGACGTAGCAGTGATTAATGCGATCTTTGATCATGCTACCGAGATCGATCAGATCACGACGGCTTTCAAGGCGTATGATCTCACGCGCCGTGAAAATTCCCAACTGGTTATAGAGATGACCAGGAAGATAGGGCGAATGTATCTGTTTGCAGAGGGTGATCTTCATGAGCACCCGAACTGTTTAGATGCTCTATTCACCGATTATGCAAAGCGTACTACCTGTATTGACGTGGAAAGGGAGGATGATGAGGCTGTCCAACCTTTAAGTCGATACTTGTCCATCAGTAATCTATTAGAAGAGAGATTGAAGGGAAAAAAATAGAATGATGTGACCAAGATCCCTTTCCAGGATCGAGTTTGAAAGTTTGTGTAATTGGCCACTTCTAGTTTCCTGTTCGCTGGGATGCGTTACATGGGTATGACTGGGGTATTTTAATGTCAGTCAGCTGATGTGATTTGTCGTATATGCAAAGTCCACGGCTGTTTGCAGAGGCAATAATAATAGCGCCGAGAGAATAAGGCTGATAAAAGGGGCAGTCCCAACTAGGGCAACTCAATTCACGTGGCTGCATCGCGCTTGACTATTCCCTGGCTGATCTGTCTTATATATGGAACACGTATGCCATGTAGTGGAAAAACAATGTTATAGCAAATACAGGACGAATCAAAACACTGAACTCACTCACACATGGGCGGATATATGCGCCGCCACAGAGCATTCCTAAACACGGGGAATACCCACAGGTGGCGCAATCCCAATCATCCAAGCCGTACTCTAGAAGCCGGAGCTTGACACTGGCTTCCGCAGAGAATCGATTGTTTAATGGGCCTATGGCTAAACCCTATCCAGATAGGATAGGCTAAGGATATTACCAGGATCAGGGATGATCGAGGAAGCAACGTCTCACCGACTCTTGTGTCACCGAGCCGAAGGAATAAGCAATACGCAAGGGGAGTCTGGGGTCTCTCGTCGTTTCGATTCGCGGCGTGGTTTGTTGTTTGGATTTTATGCGCTGCTACGTACTCAGTGTGTTATTTGTTGGTTTGGTGACAGCTGACCGACTGTTCCGGTGAATCCTGTAGGCTCGAGTCGAACAAGTGAGTCTTGACCATCTAAGTAACAGAAACGTACTCCGTAGAGAAGGAGAAAGAGAGAAGGGGGGTGGGAGTGACGCAATAACAGAGCTAAGTGCCGCCTCGCGTTTCCGTCGCTCACACTAAACCTTTCTCTTTCATCTTTTCTTATCGGCTCTCTGGAGGCACACTCTCTGCCAGCGACACCAGCACCACCCTCGGTCTACTCCCGCCATTGGCCCACCGATCGTGAGTGTAACTGCGTACAACATATACTACGCAGTGCGCTGGCCGTCGTCGGGGGCTCTGTCGTTCATTCTTTCTGATCCCGCCTCACTCTGTCTTCTGGTGGTCGCGCCAATCTGGTGGTCGCCCGAAAATTTCTATCTGCCGGCAGGTGCGGACTTGGTTGACTCCAAGCCTCAACTCCCCCCCATCGGCGCCATTTCTCGCTCGCGCCTTTAGTGTCGCTCTTTATCCCTAATTACGTATCCACTTTCTTTTCTTTTAAAATCATCCAATATTAAAAAAGAAAGGAGATCGATCCATTGAACGAATCACATTGCGCGACTACGAAACGCTCTCAGATCTATTGTCCGTCCCGCTCCCGAACGCGCCGGCACAAACGCAATCACAAACGCTGTTGGTGACAGGCCTAGCCCTCAGTTGCGATCCCGACTCCTGGGTGCTGGGAATCCTGGAGGAGAAAAGCTGCTGAGTCCTGACTTCATTGGGGCCGCGCCGCTAATCGTTATCCTCCGCTTTCCTCATACAGACAATACAGACCACGGACTACGTTAGAGCTGGGCTCATTCGGGTTCGGTCTGACACATCGATTCTCTATTATTACTTGCTTTTTTTTGGGTTTAGGTCGGGTCGCCTCACCCCGTTCTAGGGCTAGGATCCTTCATCGATAATGGTTGATATCAATCGGCTTTCCTCATATATCCGTTCGGCCTCCCTCCACCCCCTTGCGCTTTATTTTCGTGACCACCAGCATGATCTATATAAACAACTGATACGTCTGTGCCTTTACGACGCTGATACCAATCATGTTCGAATAAACCTTCCCGGTCTCTTGTTTTGGACTACCTGTGTTGCTACAATGGCCGGCTGTGGCTTGTTGTCGAGTCGTCTGTTCCGTCGGTCTGACACCGATCGGCCGTTGGTGAGGAGGCGACATCATCGTAAGAATACGAATTCGACAATGACATCATCTGAGGATGACAGCGATGGGTGTTCGACGTCGACACGGACGGCGGCTGTGGTTAATGAGAAACAGTTAGCGGCTACATACCGACGTTTCTCCCCTAATGGTGCGCAACCCTTTCCAATTGAATACCAAGTATTCATGCTAATAATGTTTTTTAGATGAAGATATCGACCCGGGTCTATTGAAAAAACACTGCTCACACCTCTCCTACACAACCTCCGTTGCGACATACCCGGCCATCAGAACATTTTTCAGTCCGCACCCTCACATGGACAAACTCCCCTCAAAGCCTTCACCTATTCCCATGCTCGTCTTCGTTCACGGCTTAGGCGGCAGTCTCGCGCAATTTCATCCGCTTTTGACGAGTCTGTCAAACGTCGGCCCATGTTTTGGAATCGATCTACCTGGTTGCGGATTGTCCTCGTTCGCTCCCACGAACTGGGAAGCATACTCGATTGAAGCCCTGGCGGAACTCATTGCAGTCGCAATTGAGGAACATCGAGATAAAGCGGCGAATCAAGGTGTAGTATTAATTGCGCACAGTCTCGGGTGTTCCCTGTCTGCACTGTTGGCATCATCCAGCACCACATTAGGCAAAGAGCTGAAGCCGCATATCCAAGGTGTCATTGCCATCTGTCCCAAAGCATCACCGCCAAATGCACAAGAAACAGCACGTGCTCGACAGCTTCTTCATATACCAACCCCTATATTCAATTTGTGGCGTCTCTGGGACCGCCGAGGCGGTGTTCAAAGCAAAAGTGTCCTCCGATTTGTCGGTGGACAAGCCGACCCAGACACAAAGCAGCTACAAATACGATTTAACTCACAAAGCCGAAGTGGCGTCTGGAGGAGAATGGCGTGGGGAAGTCTTCCGGTATACAACAGCCACGGAGAGGCTGTGGGTGGCATGCCTGGCCAGGCAGTCTGGGCAAATGTTCGAGTACCCCTTTTGCTTGTTGCTGGCGAGGCAGATGCAATTACCAAAGCTACTGAAGTAGCGAAGATCGTTCAATTTATGGAAGGCTCTGACGTTGATTCGACTATGCGGACCGGATCCCAAGACGCAATCATTCCTGATGCGACGCAGGTGCACGACACTCGAAGCTCTGCATCTACAGATCCTCGCGCCGACGAAGAGCTGTACGGACTCGATGTGTCAGAGAAGCAGCAGCCAGATATTCAGTCGTCCAAGGGCAAGGTGGTCAGGACCAGAATCCTGCCAGCTCCAGCTTCTCACGCCCTTCTATACGACCGCGCGACCTATCGCACCCTCGCAGGGTTGATTCAAGACTTTTTGCAAAAACATATCGATAACCGTCTAAGTCTAGGCTGGCAATTGCAGCATCTCAACACTTCTGGCAAGTGGGATGTCAAGAATCTCGCCAAATGGCAGAAAGTGCCCCCCACTTCGACACCCATAGCCAGCACATTCATAGCTATGAAGATGCTCCGCGGAGTAGACGAAGTGCACAATCCAGTTCATTTCTCGGCACAATGGGAGAGTAAAATCTATGCTGTGATTGACATCAGTCACGAGAACCCGGTTTATGACCCCCAGGAATTGGAAAAGGGTGGTATTCACTACCACAAACATCCCACAGTCTCCAAGATTCCGCCCACACCCGATGAAACCAGGGACTTTATCGGGTTGGTCGATCAATTGGAGAAAGAGATTACCGAGAAGACGGGCAAAGAAGTTGGCGATCCCACTCGTCCTTTGGTCGGGGTTCATTGCCACTATGGCTTCAACAGGACAGGGTTTCTGATTGTTAGCTATCTGATCGAGAGGAAAGGGTATGGCGTTCAGGACGCCGTTGATGAATTCCAACAGTGCCGGCCACCGGGTATTCGACATGATCATTTCATTGATACATTATTTGTTCGATATTGTGTTGGGCTCAAGAGGAGCACGACGCTGGAGTGATTTTATTTTAAGGCATGACATTCCACGGCGTATAGGGCTATGTACGGAGCTTGGCGCAAGCATAGATGGTATTTGATATTGGATGGTTCAGGGCAGCAGGAGGCTTAGTTTGGAGCCTGGGGATGATTGTACATAACGACTTATATAATGCATTTTTTACTTATTCTTAATGATCTATTTCTGTATTACAACATATCATGTAGTCTCAGGAAGGTTCTCGCATCTAGATTTCGAGAGAATCAGTACTACTTTTTGTTGATGCCTCAGAAACCAGGCCCAAACCACGGGAAGCTAAAAACTACCAACCAATTAGGTCCATGAGGTTCAAATCTAACCGTAACAGGACAAGCGAAACCCGCTCCCGCACAAAATTCACCGCTTAGCTTAGGTAATCCCACAAATCTTCGCGCTCCATCGCCTAAACCAGCAAACTCGGCCACCAAAGTCTACCTCTGAATCTGAAGACGACGACGACGAGCTTTTCGACCAGCACCGCGACCCCCTTTCCTCGTTATTCCCTTTCTTCGACAACAATCAACGAAGAATAAAAAGTCTGCAAATATGGGTGGTGTCACAGTCCGGGACGTCGATGTAAGGACATACTCTTTCTATGCTTTTTAAAGTGTTGGTGATGGGGATTTTGCGGCCTTGTGGGAGGAAGGGATCCGTGAACGAATTGTCTGGCTGTTGTTTTCTCGAATCTCTCGTCTATATCTGGGATTGCGCAGGAGGTGGAAAGAAAAGGGATATGGACGTCAGGCTCGGGTTGTTTGATGCAGTCATGGGATACAAAAGATGTTCGTCAGATCATCTGACACTACGACGTTGCATCGATGATATGCGGCGAAAGGGCACCCACGATATAGACGAGAGAACGTGAAATGCGGAGCGGACAATTGGAGCAATTGTGTGATGACAGTACTTTGAAGACGTGGGACTAACAGTCATTCTCAGGCCCAAAAGTTCATCGGCGCTTACTCCGCTTTCTTGAAGCGTCAGGGAAAGCTCGCCATCCCTGGTAAGTTGCAATCAGCATACTGCGATGAATAAAATCTGACTTGAGCAGGTTGGGTCGACACTGTCAAGACCTCTGCTTCCAACGAGCTTCCTCCCCAGGACGCTGACTGGTATGTCGAAATACCTCGCACCGAACGATAATAGTTTCTGATGGTTATAGGTTCTACGTTCGCGCCGCCGCTGTCGCTCGTCACATCTACCTCCGCAAGACCGTCGGTGTTGGCCGTCTCCGCAAGGTCCACGGATCCCCCAAGAACCGCGGCTCCCGCCCCTCCCACCACGTCGACGCCTCCGGCCAGGTCGACCGCCGCGTTCTCCAGGCCCTCGAGAAGATTGGTGTTGTCGAGATTGACGAGGAGAAGGGTGGCCGACGGATCACCCAGAGCGGTCAACGTGATTTGGACCGTATTGCCAAGACCACCGTTGACGAGGAGGAGGAAGATGACGAGTAAATTATCTAAATTTACATCCACATGCCCTGTGAATGAATAACTGGTTTTTCTCGCATTTTTCTTATCTTTCTGGAGTTTTCCTCAATTGTTCATGGTCACCATTTTCCCATTTTTCCTCGACACAAGGAAAATCTCCGCCAACCTTTATCCTCTTAAAACCTTTATTTCCTTTTTATCCGCTATCTTCGTCAGTTGATATTCAATTGATCAAAAATCGGTGGGCGGTTGTGGACGACTACATAGACGTGCTGCTACATGATTTGAGCTTGGAGAGCGGTTATACGATATCCTTTTGATAGTCGAAATCCGTACGCTACGTGGTTACGATGTCGAGTGGGCCTACATACAATGCTATTCAAGTGAGAATGCTTGGAGAAAGTCTGGTGATAGTTTTCTGAATGTCATATCGGGTTTCCGTTCAGAGCTTCATTGGATGTATGGTATGGGGTCTATGTCGGCTATTAAAACAGAAGTGCAATAAATCTCAAATATTCAAAAGCATCTCTCGGTAGGATTTCAAGATTGTAGACTGTCTTGAGATTTCGTAGTACAATTGCGGCGTAATATCTTTTCGAAACGATCTACGGTTTTCACCGCCCGAATTCTGCCATATACTTCGGACGACGTTTGTTTACCAATATCCTCTTTCGTCCTGTCGGACGATAAACAAAGTCAAATGTGATACTAATTACCTTTTCAATAATATTGATCTATATTACTATCGATGCCTTATCTTCTCGACCCTGACGTCGCTCCTGACGCCTACAGCGACACGCTCTCACAAGCAGAACCCTGCAATGCCGCAACCACAGAAACAGCAACCACGGCGCATCCTCGAAAAGTCCCGGACAGTGCGCCGACGATACCAGCGATCGAATAAACGTCTCGAATTCAGTGCTTCGCAAATCCAGCGTATTGAAAGGCAAGAAGAGCGAGAGAAGAAAGCCAAACAACTCCGGGAACGGGAGCAAAAGAAACTGGCGAATAAGAAGAAGAGGGCTGAGAAAGAAGCAAAAGAGCGTGAGGAGAGGAGACGGTTAGGGATTCCGGAGCCGAATGCGTGTAAGATTACGGCTAGTCAGCCTTTGTTGCTGAATTTCTTTGGTGCGGGGAGTAAGAAGGTGGATGAGGTGAGGGAATCAATGGAAGAGGAAACGGAGGGTTCTGAGATGACGCAGGAGAGTGAAGCTTCGGATGAAGACGGATTGATTGAAGATGCGGAAGATGAGAGCAAGCTGGATAGTCTTTCTCCCGTACAGGAGGAAGAGCCAGGTGTGATGCAACCACAATCACAACTCAACAAGACAGACGATACAGCCAATTGTATCTCGGAAGAATTCAGTGACCTAGAAACTGAGCTTGGAGATGACTGGCTGGACGATCCTGAATTGAAAAAGCATATGGCAAGCATAGAGAATACCCAGCAAAGCTTGAGTTCTTCCGCTGCGACACACAATGACCAGCCAAGGGAGCCTTTGCAAGGTACGACGAATAATTGGACCGGATTGACTGAGTCTTTTGAAGACGATACTTCTCTGATGCTCCAAGCTCTTGATCCCACTGTTCTTGAGAAGTTTGAGATTCCTCAGCCGAAGGTGGTTTTATCAGTTAGCCAAAGCATCAAGATATATCCAACCCAGAATGTACATCGTCAGCCACACTTCGATGCAGAAGACGAATTCGGAGATCTGCCTCTATCTACGCAGGATGTGAGAGACCTCGACAATTTGGTTGGCCTTGGCTGATTATACTTGAGATAATGGATGAGATGCAAAATGGGAGAAGAATCCCGTTGTATACCTATCGCTCGGGACTTTGAAGAATCCAAGCAATTGCGAAATACTTGCTTGCGGTATATGAATCGGTTATATATCTATCCAATATCGCTAATGCGCCTCAATAGCATGTTGTTGGTCGTTATGCATGTTATCATCATCATCGTCAGAACCAAAATCTTCTTCAGCAACCGGAAAGGTCAAAAGTGCAGCAACACCACCTAAGCCCTCGAGTCGTTTGCCACTCTCATGATCAGAACTCAGTACGCGAACTTCTCCGCCTTCGACTTCGCGGACACGATCAACTAGCCCGACCCATCGCTTTCTCTCGGCCACATCTTGCGAGCGGAATAATCTATTTGAGATTATAAGCACGCCACCTCCTCTGCCGACAGCCCCTTGTTCTACGGCGTGTTCGACTTCTCGTGGTCCGTAGGTTGCTTTGTTGGTATCTTTGCGGAGATGGTCTAAGAAGTCGTCCATCAACTTGGTTTCTCGAGCATACTTCGTATCCGAGAGTAATGTCTTGACGGATGGTGACTGGAGCACTTCGGAGAGAGAATGAAGATATCCAGAAGCCGAGTGCACAACCACAATGCTCGGTAGTAGCCTCTTCAAAGCAGGAGTATTTGTCGACGCTGCCGATTGTATATGTTTTTGGAAMCCTGCCGCAACGAATCCTGGCGAGGCTAGGAGAATCGGTCTCGCAGTTTCGTCATTATTGTTGCTGGCTGTTATACTTGTGTTGAACTCTATTTGGCGGAGCAATGTATCTAAGGTGACTTGGAAAAATTTCGATAGTCCCTGTATGATGTTAGTCGAAGTATGTTCAGCCAATGAAAAGAATATGAATGACCTTATCATGATCTCCCCCTCCAGCCCGTTTCCGCGGTATCGACATTTCAACTTTCTGCTTCAATATCGTTCGAAACTGCGTGATGAAACATATATGCGCCAACCCCTCCTGCATCACAACGGCAACAGCCTCCGCCCTCCTTTTACCGCCTTCATCTACCGCATCCTTGAGCATATCAATCGCAATACTATCCCACCCAACCCCTTCCCCGTCCGCACCCACTTCTTTCTCCAGCGTGAAATTGCGATGCAATTCCAGATCGAGTGTATGATGCTGCCCTATTCGTGTATGTTGTGTCTCGTTCATGATTTGTCCACTAACGTGGAGCTGGGAACTGTTTAGGTCAAAATCCAGCCCCTTGACACGGATTTGGAGCATGAGATGGACTCGTTGCGAGACTGTTGTCCCGCTGTCTTGGGCTGTGGTGACTTTGCGGATTGCGCTGGCTCGGAGGAGATCGTTCGGGCGGATCAGGTTGTAGGCGTGCCACTAAACAGTCCTAATTAGTGCTTTCCTAAGTGAATGCTTGGTCGGCGAAACGTACCATGTCTTCCGGCTCTTCGGGGCATAATGTCACGGCGCCGGAGCCATTGTGTTCAATGCTGCTTTTGATAAGCCGCATGTTGTTTGATCAAAGCTGATTATGTGGAGGAGCCGGCGAGCGCGTTGAACTGAGGATTCCCTGAAAGTTGCGCTCAATGAAACTGTAAGTGCCAAACCAGAAATGTGTTGATAGTCTAGCAAGTTGGAGCTCTCAAAAATGACGCGGGGAAAAGATCCCCTCTCTTGAAGCGGTTAGACCGGGCTGGCTCGAGGTCCCGCTATCCGCCAACCAATCAAAGCCAGCCCCACTCAACTCTATTCTGCACACAAAAATAATATGCGCTAACCAAATTTGGCCCTAAGCGAACAACACACAATCCAATCTGACTTCGCGGCTTCCTTCTTACTCCTTGCAATCTGGAAGTCGACAACAACAGACAACAACCGCCGCCATGCCTACCAGACTCACCAAAACGCGGAAGCACCGCGGTCATGTCTCCGCCGGTCACGGTCGTGTCGGAAAGCACCGTAAGCACCCCGGTGGTCGTGGTATGGCCGGTGGTCAGGTATGAACTTTTTAGACATCGAAAATGGGAAGTGAAGAGATAGCTAACAGTTCGAATAGCACCACCACCGTACTAACCTCGACAAGTACCATCCCGGTTACTTCGGTAAGGTTGGTATGAGACACTTCCACCTCCAGCGCAACCACTACTGGAAGCCCACCATCAACCTCGACAAGGTAATTATATCGATCCGCCAATTCTCGAAGCGATTATCGTGATGGGAGGATATTGTTCGTCGGGACTCGGCTAATTTTCTTAATAGCTCTGGTCTCTCGTCCCCGAGGAGACCCGCGAAAAGTACGTTGCTGGCAAGGTTCCCTCCGACAAGGCCATTGTCCTCGACCTCCTCTCTTTGGGTTACGCCAAGGTCCTCGGAAAGGGCCGTCTCCCTGAAGTCCCCATCGTTGTCAAGGCTCGCTACGTCAGCAAGGAAGCCGAGCGCAAGATCAAGGAGGCCGGTGGTGTCATTGAGCTCGTTGCTTAAATCGTCGTCTTGTTCGAAATTATGGTTGCGGGTCGGAATGTCTGGATTGAAACGAAATACAGAGGATGATAACGACGGACATTCGATTGAGAACATAGGAAACACTTTCTCCAGGCAGAAGAACATATCATCCTCTTACGTCTAATGAACGAAAAGTTGCCCTTGTTCGATTGGATAGACTGCATGGTCATGAAAATGGCTGTCTACCAAAGCTGCCTCAGGATGTTCTAGGGCAGTCAAAATTTCTACACAGGTCTCTTAGCAATATAAAGACTATTTGTCCTGTTTCTCAAACCCATCTCTTTTCAACTTTTAGTAATCCGATCCTGAGGACCGTCATATCTGGGTGCAGTTTCATGCCGAGTACCACACCACCCGTTCTGATATAATAATTAGCACAATGACTAATAACACGTAGATGCTAGCTAGCCCAGTTATTGCTAAATGATCGCTCATAATGTCAAATGTCTAAGGATGGTCACGTGTAGAGCTCTGATAATGACTTTCTATTGGATCAAACGATTGCAATGACGTGGCCCAGCTTGCGAGCCGCTAGGCTTCACTCATCTTTCGAGCTTCATGTTACATGTGCAACTCCAAGAATCTCCAACCCATTTACTGAAATCTCCTTCGTGTTGTTTATTACTATAATTTGATCTCGGCAGTGATATAACAGTTTAAACGACTTCGTCCCAGCGTCACTGTTGAAAAGTGCATTTCGTTATCAGCCATCTGGGGATGCCCCTTTGGTCCAGCTACTGGCTTTGACACACATCCGATCTAGCTTCTCTATGGGTTTTCGTCTATAGCCTCTATAGAAGAGTAACATGATGAACTTGAATATCTTTCGAATACTAGCCGATTTGGCGCATATTTCGTCGAAATGTATCTTGATCTGGGCTATTCATCGGAATAGCAGCTCCGAGGGTATGCAATAACAAAACTTCTGTGGACACATTTTGCTGTCTTTGTCGGCTCAGCTAACACTGGCGATATAGGAGTCTCACTCCTAACACAGGTTCTATACGCTTTCGTGTTCCTGACCAGATATCTCGACCTCTTCCGTGACTCGCAATGGACACCCGACCACGCATACAACATTTTCTTTAAGTTATTCTACATATTCTCGTCCATTTACATCATCGTCGTGATGATATACGTTTTTCCCCGAACACGTGAAAGAGAAAAATCTTGGAAGCTGGCATCGTGGTGTGTTTTGGGCGCGTTGGTTGGCGCACCTACTGCACTTGGACTTAATGCGGCTGCACTGAAAGAGTCTTATCCTCGTCATTGGTTCACAGAGGTATTACTCCAAGACAATAGTGTCAATCCCTACAAATATGTTCTGGGAACAGATTCACTAAATCATCTTCGTAGACATGCTGGGCTTTCTCGATTATTCTCGAATCCGTCTGTGTCCTGCCGCAACTCCTGTTACTACGCCAAACAACCGTGCCGACGGTAATTGATTCATACTACTTGGTTGCTCTTGGCTCATACAGAGCCCTGTACATCCTGAACTGGTTATACCGCGGTTTCGGACCGGAGCATTACTGGGATCCGATTGCCGATATTTTTGGCGTTGTGCAGACTTTGCTCTACCTCGATTTCGCGTGGGTATACTACACACGTCAGCGCGTGAAGCTGCGACGTGGCGGTATTGTGGACTCGGAGGACCTTCGAAAAAGTTGGTTTGTTGGTAAGATCTTGAATTCACGGAGGATGAATACTCACGATGATGAGCACGAACCGTTGGACCCTGAGGCTGCGGGAGAAGAAGAGTCTCGTCCTCGCTGGGGCGGAAGAGGAATTTCTGTGTCAGCTGACGATACGCTTGAAAATCATGGCCGACGTTCTCCAGAGTCATGAGCTATGGTTATTGTCCAACGCATAAGGCGATTACTGCAATCGTTGCATAAGCAAGACTTGATTAGACATGAAAAATGTCTGCATTTGCGCTATCTTCGAATACATGTATGGCGTTGGGGCTCTCTATGTTTGCAATGATGTATGATTCGATCACTACTTTAAGACAAGTCATACAATTCTCTACATGAATAATGCAGGTAATCAGGCTAGACACGAAACAATACTATTGAGTGGTAGCTTGGTGCCTTGTATTCACCCTAGCCCTTATCTTATCAACGTGTCGTGATACGACTATAAGTCGCGGAATCGAGCTTACCGGAAGACGACACTTCCGGACATTATGAAAGGTATGACTCTATCAAAGAGAAAGTCTCGAATTATTTGTCAAGTGTGAGTGCGCACGAAAGGGGTCCCTTCATGACGACCAGTATGATGAGCGGTAGCAAAATTGATCCTGGTCTGCACATCCTAAGTCTTGGGATCGTCAAGCTTCCTATATCGGACAAGAACGCGAAAGCGCTTATAAAATCTGCCAAGTCATCCGGCAAGAAGTCCAGATGGGTGACGGATGATTTAAAGTAGGAGAGGTGGCAACTTGATCCAAATGAATTCTCTCTTCATAATCAAACTGGCAGGCACAGCTTGATAAAGTCAAAGGACAGGCCCTTGTTGGCCTCCGGATTACCACGCCGCCAAAGAAGGTGAAGGCGTTGCTCTCAAATACTCACTCTTATATAGACAGGGTGCATCGTATTCGCGTGAGGATATGGAACGGGCAGACTCGCGGTTTGGGACATTGGCCATCAGCCTCCCACTGAAACATGAAGGGGCCAATTTGATCATCTCGTAGAGGATCTTAGGCAAATATCACTATCATATGTTTGAGACGGTGCCCCAATCAAAGTCTGGCTTCTCATGAGCTACAGTGGATGTACTTAGTCTGCCACCTACACAGAGCTCGGAATCGAGACATACTGCAGGTGGCCGGCCGTGACACCAACTCCGGGCATAGGCGACGCATAATGTCATCCAAGCTCAAATTCGACGCCATTATTCCAATAGTGCTAGGGTTGTCAAGATTTGACCCGAAGAGAGCTAAGGCCGCGTAGAGGTGTGCATAGCAGTTGTTAAAGTTCAAAACGGTAATTTCAAAGTGTTGTATTCGTACGACGCTTATGAGAATCTTTTATAATGCAGTGGATGTCATGTTATTCTGTGGTGCCTGGTCCATTAATATACTCAAGCGATTTTCTTAGCATTTCAAATGCCTCTGTGGTCTGACCGACGACAGTGTCTCATTCGATATGTCCATTGATCGCTCCCCTCATAAGAGAGAAGAAATATGAACTCTGACATAGAATAATCTACCGTATTATACGGCCCTTTGTCATCTCTAGAATCCATGCTCTACCTCCCTCGAGAGGAGAAGGTCGGTAAAATGGGAAGAGGAATGGGAGCAGTTGTTCAAGGCAGAACGTGAGCAGTACAATATCGGGTTGCTTGCTTTTATGATTGTTGATATGCCCAATTGCACAATCCGTCTTAGAGGATAAAATTAGGGAGGATACCTCAAGCTCCAGCATTATTGCACTTGTCTGGATATCTATGATGTGCCGGGAAGATGTTGTATACCGGAGGCGTTACATCCTTGCGAAGGTTTCGAATATCGCCTGTGCGAGGTTCAGCATGTGGGACTCGCTGATTAGCAGCAGCACGCTCTCCACGCCGGCGTTATTTCACTTCGCGCTTCAGTCACTCGGCCATTTGTTCCTGCTTGAGATCGCCATCCATCCAGTCTGGTTTTGCCCGGCCAAAGAAGCAGGTGATGTGGAGTGCGGAGCAGGCGTCAAACACGGGCTGGATCTCGCCGCATTTCTTGCGGCGGAATTGATAAGTCCAGCATCCGTGAGAGCTCGGTGCCGTGCTGCTGAGACGAGGACCACAAGGCAAATCTATATTTGAATGCTCGGGTCCCGGTCTCTTGGGGCGGCCGTAAGGGCGGCAAACCAATAAAGAATATTTGTTTGGGTGGAAGAGAGAAATTATCTAGCTGGGTAGTGCCGCTCGGCTGACCAGGCTGATGCGTAGAGCGTAAGGCGCGCGGGGGTGATTGTTATTGGAATTTTGTAGAACTTTAGTACATGGAGTTTAGGATTGATGATGACGATATCAGCACCCCATGACTGATTGGGGATTGCTTGTAGGGATTTATAATCAGCGTAGCATCCTTGAGCAGCGATTACCTATGTATACCCATTTCCAATATTTTCAAGAACGCAAATACGCGGCTCAAGAATAGATTTTCTGTGATGGTGCGGACAGACCGAGGAGCCTGGGTCCAATATAGGTATCCTGTGCATGCGGACTCACCGAACCCCGTAGTCGCCTTGCATGTTGGTAGTAATATGACCTCTTTGTAAGATCTGGGGGCTAGTCGAAATAAGACGCCGAACGGACCATCAAATAGGGTAATTTACACATGTCGCTGCAGCATGGTAATTGGCTACTTCAACTGTAGGTAATCAGGAGGATATGCAACAGAGAATAGGAAGAGATGATTGTCATATAGCTTGCTTATGCCTAGGTATAAACGTAGGTCAGAAGCAAATCGGAATACGGACTAACTGTTCTAATGAGTGACACTATCTATCTGCTGCGAGGCATTATCATGCTGAGATCAGCTTGGTATATGCCCACTTCTTACTAAATCGTAACTTTTTCTTCAGGAACAGGCACAGCCTTCTTCCCAAAAGTGCCAAACTTGTAGTTGGGACACTTCCATAGTCCTCCAAAACTGCATGTGGGTTAGAAACCTCAATGGCCCAGTCCCTCGGGCGATCATATCATCTCGAAATTCGGTCAACAGGGCAGTATATTCAGCCCGCTTGGCCTGTGCATCTCTACTGGTGCCTATTTCGACGATCAAGACAAATTTTCGCAATTCGCCTAAGATGCTTTTTTCCACATTCTCTTTACTAATGGCGCAACTCAAAATTTTATTTGATATTGACTTTCTTTAACAAACACGGCTTTTGATCGTATATTTATAAACACATAATAAGCCTACATATCGCCTTGAATATGGCCTCGAATGTGTGCTTGAATATGAGCGTGAATATGGCCGCGGATACGCGCTCAAAAGGACAGATACGCGAAACGCTTTGGTATATTAAAATAAAAGGCGGTTAAAGCTGGAAATATATATTGATCCCTAATATACTTAGTCTATCTAATCTATTATTATTTTTAATATGGGCGCTAAAGCGTTTAGCGCCTTTTTTTGACCGTCCACCTGCATTCATATTTGCACTTATATTTGCACTCAGATACTACCGTAGATACGACTAAGCATTTTTGCCAAGCTGAAGGGCGTTTGTGAAAGCACAGACACCGGCCTCACCCCGGACTATTCAAACTTTAGTTAGCTGGTGAGTTACCATTGTATTTAGCCATCAACAAATAGAGTGGGCCGCATCTCCAATCGCCATAACCTTTCCGATAGGCAACTGATCAGCTGTTAATTGAATGCCTTGTAACTGAATACCGGGCCTTCTGTATCCTTCCACGGGTACCTAGTCCAGAAAAACACGGAGATGACCAGGGTATGCCTTGACCTTTTCGCGTGCAAAGGCAGCTAATTCTTCCTGCGATACTCCAAGAGTCCAGGTAGGATTCTCGTCGCTATGAACACCCACTCGCACCTCAGGCCGAGTAATATCACAGAACGCGAATTGCGCTTGGAGGTCAAGAGGAAGTAAATGGCTCGTCTAGTCGACTGGCCCTAATTCTGCAAGCATAGAGGCTTCTAGCTCTGAAAGAGCGGAGCTGGACAGGGACAAAGCCCGACCCTAATTGCCGGCGTCATGGGTTTGATCACGCTCGAAGATGGAAAAGGAGATGTTGTTTTTTTTTTTCAATTGGTGTGCAAGCGTCAGGCCGCCCATTCCAGCGCCTGCAATAAGTACGTGAGGGTATGAATTGGGGGCCATTTTTGCAAAGAAAAAACACTGTTTTAGATTTCGGTATTCGCGACGGACTTTCAACATACGCCGAAAATACTTGACGAGCGAAATATCCGGTCAAGCAGGGCCATGAGTACTGGTTATATCTACTCAACTCAGAATTTGTCACTGTATGTGCTCGTAAATTGCACAAGAAGAATGGTTGAACCTCATGATGAGGGGGCGAATTCGCAACGCTTCTTGCAACCGCCCGTACGAATACCGCGCGCGGTGTATCTATGCCCCGGGCGCTATGTCGAGTTTGGAGTACTTAGGTATGCATGGTACAGGATAGGGAAGTACCTCGGACATGCTATCATTATGGATAGGCTTTGCGGGTCGGACTCTGGTTTAGACAACCCTGTCTATATCATGGTGCCTCTTAATCAATTCTACGCTGCAACGAATGAAATACTATATTTGTTGCGAATCTCACGCTTACTATAAGACATCATGTTTAATTATCTTAGGCTGTTGGATACGCTTCGATTCTTCCATGGCACATAAACCAAGTTCCTAATTTGGATAAAGCTGATTATGTTGGCGTCTCAAGCCCCTATCGTTTTGTTGCCCCTCATTAAATAAAAATGATGCGCCTTATGCAAGTTTAGTCAGAATTCTTTTCTACAAGCCAAGACATGCATTAACCTATCTAGCAACATCGGACTTTTGTAAAGGGAAGCAACAGTACATTGAACAAGTATCAATCCCGTGTTCGTGGTATAGGATCACACTTGATTGATTGCCACGGCTTAGCGCCTCTAAACAGTCAAAAATGCTCGGATGAAATTGTGCAGATCCGCGTAGTAATGATGCTTTAATCAATATTGACCATTGTTGACGTGAAATGGACGCGTTAGGCTTTATGATTTCGGGAGGCATGGTTGCTAAGATGACACAAGCCCTTGTCCTCCTTGTTGGGTATAGCGGGTCTACATGTGTCTTCCACCATACAGAGAGAGAAGAGATGTACCTCATTCCTGGTTTGATTAATTTCAAATTGATATGGATGTCAATTGTTGGAACCAACAAGGCTGGAAAACCGCCTGCGCATAGTGCAGGAACACGCTGCGTATCATCACTCAGCATTGTTAATCAAATCTGTTGGCTCTTAAATCTGGCAGTATAGCCCTGCCGGGTGCTATACAAGACCGCATACTGCAGATACGGGAGTTTTATCATATCTATAGTAGCAAACTGTTCGATATGAAGATTAGATTAACACACCTATAGGATGGATGGATGAATAATGGCGTATTGTGTTAGGGTTATATACACCTCACCTCACGGCTGAGTCTGCATAGATTACATGCCGACCTTGCATAGCTACTTTCGGTTTATCATCATGAAAGCTTATAGGTTCAAGTGTTGATTGGTTCTATACTATATAAGGCTATCCGAGAGGGCATTACATTTACAATTGTCGAACCACGGTTAGGTATAAGTCTAATTATAGTACGAAATTTATGCTATCCTTCACCACCAAGCCCACCTTTCCCGGTATCTGTGTCTCGTCGTTGCCGATTTGATCTGGAGAAGAATTTGCTGGGACTTCTCGTCATTTCAGTTGTAGAGAACCCAGCCAAGTATCTCCAAAAACAACTGAATCAGATCTTGATGTCTAGGGAACATATTCTAGAATGTCGGGCCATCAGAAAAGTGTATTTACATCGTACTTCACTACAAAATGCCGCCACTAATTGAGAAAATAGAAACAAAAACACTCTGGGGATTCCACTTCGGACCAAGCATGCACTCGCTGCCGTGAGCGCAAGATTCGTTGTGGCCGTGAGCTCCCACAATGCAATAATTGCGATCGAGACGATAGTGCGACCTGCGTTTATCAAAATCCCACTAAGAGAGTGAACCACCTAAAGTCGCTGTGAGTTCCGCTACTGCCCTTTGTATAATGAGAACAAGTTTGACTGGTGCCCAGATTTGACAGCGTCAACGGAGTCAAGGAGCGCCTGATTAATATAGAATCGCTTCTCAGTCGTATGACTGTTAGCATCCCACAGAACTTTGAACAGGACAATTCTTCCTCTTTGGGCGGAAGCTTTGATGAAAAGGATGATGAAGATGCTTCTCAGTACAGTGATGACTGTACTGACTCGCACGTCTTCCACAACCAGGTAGATATGACCGATTATTATCACGGACCAATGTCGTTGTTTTTCCTCTGCAAGCAATTTCGATCTTGTGCCCTCTCTGTATGTAATGCCGAACGTGGTGCTTCTCTGCAAGATATACTGCAGAATTTGTGTGAGAAAGCTGGTGTGCTTGAAATTTTCCCACCCTTTGGTGATCAGCCTGTTATCAACCTCCTGCCCAAGCAACTGGCCACCACCGTTATTGGGCATTTCTTCCAGCATGTTGATTGCGTGACCGACGTTTTCGTAAAGAATAATCTCCTTGCCCATGTTGAACGTATATATTCACAGTCGACGGAGCCTCGGGACGACGTATGGGTTATCTGCTTACAGGCCATTACTGTGCTCGTTTGGGGTATGGAAATCTCTGCTCAAACTGGGAACGGTCTATTTGGCGACTTTGCACGTTCATTCTTCCCTAGTCGGGCTGCGCTGGTCAGCCAACGTTTACTGTCCACACCCAGACTCATCAACGTTCAGACTTTGATAATCCTTGTATGTGCCGCCTCAATTTAATGTCACACTAGCCAGCTGACTGCTTGTCTAGAGTGTCGTAGCAGAACAATTCGATCCTCCTGGATGGGCCGAGTTTATCTTCACCCATGCTTGTGGACTTGCAAGAGCCATGGGACTCCACCAAACACAACTCTTTCCCCACAAAACCAGTGCATATGATACACTCGAGAGGGCAAAAGTCGTACAGTCATTGTACGTTCGGGACAAGAGCCTATGCACTACTCGGGGTTCTGTGTCCTGGATGCCGACTCACGACTGCAATATTGCTCCCCAACTAAGCTCCGTCGTAGAGCGCCAGGTGCCTTATTCAGAGAAACTCCATCTGGCAAAGATCCAGGATGATATTTATCGCTTGACGCATACTGCATCGTTTCGGACGAGTGGACGTAATAATTCACAAACTGCAAAGGCCTTGCGATCCATCGAGCACCAATTGGAACAGTATACTCGGAAATTTGGTATTTTCGACTGTCGGGCTTCTTCTTATAATTATAGTCGTGCTATGTTGACGTTGGAGTTCCTGGCAACCCGTATTCTTGCGCTACAGCACGGATCCGAGCAAAGACATGCCGAGCGACTACGCTCCGATGCAAGGACCAGCTGCCTCCTATTGCTGATAGCACATGGGGTTCAAGACCGTCAAGTCGTCGATACTTTCAATGCTCTGACTTGTCAGCGGGCCGCTCAGTCTGATCCGGGTGAGAATTTGTCCGCCATCGAAGCAAGTACAGTCTCTTTCGCCACTGTGCTCGACGCCTTCTCGTTGCCCGCATTCTTTATACTCCTCAAAGACTTTCTCCGGTGCTCAGAGAATGACAGCCGGTCTAGCGCCGATCTTGACTTGCTGCGGAGAGTGTCTGCTTGCTACATCATGAGCACAGAGCGTATGCAGTCCAACAGCTACCACCGCAAGGTTGCGTGGACCTTCGAGCAGCTGCTTTCAATAAGTGATCTGATCAAACCTCCCGAACAACATCAGCTGGCATCTGTTACTACAACATCATCCATATCTCAGGTGATGCTGTCCCACGATACGCAGACAGAGGATTTCTTCAGCATCGCCCCCCCACACCCCATCGGAGACGGTTCAAGTTTCTCTTGGGACATCAAGTCATCGGCCCCATCTTCATTAGGGCTATATACACCGTTTGGCTCAGCGAATTCGGTGGATATCTCTGAGACTGGTATATCGGATATGCTCAATCAGTTGAGACGCGGCGAACCCAGCGGCAGCCCGGAGTGGTCTATGTCATGGTCTGATGTCGCCCCGCAGTCTCCTAACACCAGGAAGCGTTTGCGGGCTCATGAGGATCCAGACATCGCCACCGAGAAGGGCGAGAAGGACGGGGGATTGTCCATGAAGTTTTAATAATCCCAAGCATGGAAATTTCTTTCGACCGATGTTGGCAAGAGTACGCCACTGGTTTGAGAATACAATCTGGACTACGTCGGATTGCGCTACCGCAAGAAGACCTTCAACCACTTGCGCCTTTGCTATATAAAATGTGCTGTAAAATTGATCAGGGATAAATTACTGACAAGCGAATGAATGTGATGAGCACAGCGCATATATCCATTTAGGGTTAACCAGACCTCGTTATAGGGAATTGCCAAGCAATCCCCTTACTAAACTAGCGCGCATGGCCTTGCCATATACTCTTGTAGGTAGCGCGATGTAGAGATGTTTTCTCTCTTTCAGTTAGATACACAATACAACACATTTACGCGTTCCCACTCGATTCCTTAATTACGAACATCGTAAGAAATGAGGAGAATGCTGTTTCAGCGCCGCATCTCCACTATGCAGCAGGTTGGTCCCCACAACCCGCGCGGCATTCCCGTACTATCTCTATCTTAGTATATTTTAGTGTACGGGAGATTAACCTGCATCGGGCTCTCGGCTTTACCATCTCAGCTCTATGATATACGACGTGATATTGTGGCGCCGCAGTGCGCCATTTACCCCTAGGGCTTCATAAGCTTACGGGAAGGTGGTTTGCGGTGGTAAGTTGACTTGTCCTATTTCACGGTTCCTGTACCTTCGTTATCTTCACTCCGAGTTTCATTTTGCTGGAAGTCTTTCGCTTTGCCTCTTGAGTATAAATGGAAAGTAGTACGCGACAAACATGCAGCATGATCACGAGCTCTCTGGAACGCTAACGCCAACACGACCGAAGGAAACCTCCCATTCTCACGAGCTGGCCGAGGCTGATTGTGAAGAGGGACCACCAGTTGAAAATGAAAACGAGCAGGAGGTATGTTCGGAAGATGAAAGCTTCCAGATGCCAGTAGCTGATCGTTTGTGTTCGTCCTAGATCGTGACCTGGGATGGAGCGGACGACGCTGCAAACCCTAAAAACTGGTCTTTTAAGCGGAAATGGGGCATCACTGTTCTAGTATCGCTGATCACATTCATGACGGGCATCTCTTCTGCTATCATCGCGCCGGCTAGCAATGTAATCGATGACGACTTCAAAATCCACAGTTCTTTTCAACAGCAACTCAATTTCTCCATCATCCAACTTGCATATGTTATCGGACCCCTAGCATTAGCTCCACTTTCTGAGATATACGGACGTTCGTTAATTCTTCAGCTCTCCAATGTATTCTTTTTGATCTTCAATTTGGTGAACGGTTTTGCGAATAGTGACGGCGAGTTCCTGGCCTTCCGCTTTCTTAGTGGCCTAGGCGCTTGTGCTCCGTTGACAATTGGTGGCGGTGTCCTCTCAGATCTATGGCGTCCAGAGGAGATTGGTATGGCCATAGGACTTTACACTTTAGCGCCTTTGCTTTCTCCTGCCCTCGGCCCCTTACTTGGAGCTTGGATTGTTGAGAAATCTACATGGAAGTGGTGCTTCTTTTCCATCACCATTTTCGGGGTGATTGTGCAAGTCCTCGTTTTCTTCACGTTGAAAGAGACCTATGGCCCACGAATCTTGCAGATGAAAGCCCAGAAGCTGCGTGAGGAGACCGGGAATGACCAATTGCGAACGACTTTCGAGCTTAACGATTTGCGCCTCGTCTCTATCATGCGAACTTCGCTTGTTCGCGTCATTGTTCTGCTTACCACTCAACCAATCATAATTTTCCTCTCCGTCTATTTTGCGATGGTCTATGGTATCATCTACCTTATGCTGGTGAGTACTTATTGAATATTTCATTCTCAGTATTTGATGAAAAGCTGATTTGGGCATTCTCTTCGATAGTCTAGCTTCCCATCATTGTGGACGGCTTACTATCACGAATCAGTTGGGGTTGGCGGTCTCCACTACGTTGCTATCATGTGCGGTTTAACCATCGGCGCACAGGGGGGCGGTCGTATCGTAGACTACCTATACAAAACCCTCAAATCTCGATCGCCTGATAAGACCGGTTCGCCCGAGTTTCGTGTGCCGCTTCTCTTCCTCTCCACCGCTGTAGTCGCAGTGGGGCTTTTCATGTATGGATGGTCTGCCGAGGCAAAGACTTTTTGGCTTTCCGCAGACATCGGTGCTGCTATCTTCTCTATAGGGGCAGCTATGACTTTCACTTCAATACAGACATACGTTATCGACTCTTATCCATTGTTTGCAGCGTCTGCGATAGGTGCAACAGCGGTGCTGAGAAGTTTGACTGGGTTTGGGTTCCCGCTCTTCGCCCCTACTTTGTATGACAAACTCGGTTATGGCTGGGGKAATAGCGTGCTCGGGTTCGCCGTCCTGGCCGTTGGCTATGCCGGGGCTCTGATTCTCTGGTTTTACGGTAGCCGGCTGAGGGATGCGAGTCCCTACGCGAGGGGATAAAAGGCTTCAGGAACTAGCAATGGAGTAATGCGCGTTGATTGCCCAAACTGTAAATTAAGACTCTATGAATCGATATGGATTCACTTATTTAGGAAGCTTGGCACTAGAATACTAAGACAGGGAGAGAAGAAGGAATGTAACAAACAGTCGATATGACCGAAGCCGCGTGTGATGGCACCTGTTGGCTAGGCTATCACACATCGTCATGTATCGTATGAGGCTAAAACGAAAGCCAAGTGGTATCGAAATGAGCGAAAGCTACAGCTAAAGTCTACAGTAGTCAAGCAGAGCATGAACTTGAGAATGCAGGAGCTTTCCTCGTCCAGGTCAGAAAATGGGGTACAGCGCTTCGCTCAGGCTGAGAAACCAACCTCCATATTCGATTGAGGGACTGATAATCTACATAATCTTGTTCATTATATTATATAGGTGGTAGCCGTAAGGAGGAGTGAATAAGCAGAAGGCGATGTCAAGGATAGGATTGCTTTCAGTATTTCGACTAATAAAATGCGAATATTTACCACTTTTGCATCATAAACATTGACTAAGAGCGATTTATCTTGCATGCCATTAGACAATAAGGAGCAAACGAGCTATTGAGACAATCAACACCTAGAATTTGACATAGCCTTTGTCCTTGACAAACGTTGCATGCCACGGGACATTCTCCGCACCGCTGGCCGCCAGCTGCGAAAAGAAATCGGCATGGGCCGGTCCGTTAACTGTTGGGCCTGCGAGCTTGCCATCTGCCTGGCGCTGGTCGGCATAAATGAACCTGAGAAAGTCAGAATGTCTGCTACACTTTGTGTGGATGGAACATAATTTGGAAAGAGAACTTGCCGGTAACCCTTTGCTGCATATGCCCCGTCAGCAACACCAAGCCAGTAGGCGGTTGCGGACTTCCCCATTCCAGCATTCAACAAAAGCGGTACAGGCACTATAGCGACATTTGTAATATTGCCTGTGTAGATGAACAGCTTCTTGTCCTCTGTGGGAAGAGATGCCCAGTGTTTGATAGCTTCTTGTGCAGCAATGTAGGGACTGACAACATTGACGTTCAAATCGTTGGTAACACGAGCCTGCAGAATAATAAAGTTAGCATTTTCTTACGACAGAAGGTTGGTTTTGGGAGAAAGAGTGTGCTTCCATGTGAGGAGGATATAAGTATGGAGGGCTGAAGGAATGGGGAATCAAGCTTGACTTGCACTTGGAATAGACAAGACCGAACTCTCATCAGGCGGGGGAGTGATAGACCCAGCATTGTATATGACTATGCTAGGGGGCGCGTTAAACTCTGTCTTGACTTTGTCGAAGATGGAAGCCAAGATGCTGGGGTCGGTATTGGCAAAATCGGCCTGGAGCGATAGATAGCCTTTCTCATTGATCGAATTTGTTCCTTTTCTTGAGACAAGGGCGACTTTGTATCCATCTGCTGCGAACTTTTCAGAAACAGCATCGCCGATGCGAGGCCCTGAGCCGAGAATGAGAACGCTACGGGTGGCCATGTTTTTCGAGGATGTCAAATAGCTTCGTGTATGAAGCAGCAGTTTTGCAGAGAATGATCGCATGAAATTAAAGTATAGATAAGTGCTGGGTGATATATCGTGAACGCAATCACAGAGGAAAGATGCTTTGCTTATATCAGTAATCGCTTCTGTAACTATGTAACTATATAAGCCGCGCGGGAGTGAGACCCACAMCCCGCGCGGGATTCTGGAATGCAGCCTTGCAGTGCTCATACAAAGAAACTGCCTGTAGCGTATGCAGCAGGATTCAGGGCGGGGCGTCTTGAATCAACATAGCCAAATCGAGTCTATGCTTTTTTGATTCTTCCATTGTGCCAATGTCGTTGCTCGGATTCCGGAGTCCGGCTCATACAGTAGGTTCTCGTCTGTTCAAAACCGTAAAGGCAGGATATCGTTTAGCCAACAACCTCCTGAAGTTCGGATCATATTTCCGGAACAGATATAGGACCAAAATTTCCTTATAGATCGTCGATTACTGAAGATAAAACGAACTGAAGAAGTTAGGTTCACATTGGAAATGTCAGTTTCCTGGATTTTGGAATTTTGTACGAACTAGAATGGGCTCCAAGAACTATTATTTGTAGGCAACCCAGTATTACCAACATATCTTAATAAAATTTGATCACATTTTCAAGTCGACGTGTTGATCATGTAACAATATGATTGACGACACTTTCAATTCTTTACCGGACGTACCATGAAGTACATGGAAGTACTGCAAATGTCTCTCTGTTTAGAGCCTTGACTACTGAGCTAAATGATGCAATGGCTTGTATTGCACATCTAGCTCGAACCACTGATACAAGAATATCGAACATGGAAAGTACGAAAGAAAAGGAAGAGCTTGCATTCTATCCTCGCTCAAGGCAAGTGACTTCCCAAAAACAGCACCGATGAGATTACTCCTACAGGCCAGCATCCGCATAGAGATGCACTTGCCGTCGTCCCAGGTGCCAATAAATCACTTCCTCAATTCTGCCTCAACGAAATCTCAATGATCGAGTCAGTACTATTACGGGGCGTCTGCACAATAATAAAGTCAGTATTGCCTAGTATGGAAGTCTCTGAAGTTGATGCATGAGTTGAGATATTATATTTGGAGCAAAAAATGCCCTCAGGGTAGTCATATGTCAAATTATGAGTCAATCGGATTAGAGTCCTTACGATAATGCGGGTCAGCTCGAGACGGGAATCTGCTGCACTAACGATTTCCCTCCACTCAGACTCACTTCGCTCCTGTGCATTCAGTAGCTGAACCATGTTAAGGTCCCTGATTCTAGTGAAGCATTAGCGAAGAATAGTTGACTGCGAAGTGGAAAAATTACCGCAGGTACCGCTCTGCGATACTAGACATCGGTCTATCCGATGGCGAAACAACAATTTCCACTAGCAGAATCTTGCTCTCAGGCTTCATGGCTGGTACAATCTGGCGAAGGATCTTGGCGCTGTTTTCGGCAGACCAGTCGTGGCAGATATGACGCAAAATGTAGACTTCGGCACCCACCACCGGTTGGCTATCAAAGAAGTTATGCGACACGAACTTCACTCGCCCGGCCAATTCGGGTGGCAATTGTGCGGCTCCCTGCTCAATGTTCTTTTTGTAATCTTCTACCACCATTTTCAGGTTCGGGTATGCTTGCGCGAGCTCTACACTCATGAAACCGGAGGAACCGCCAACCTACATGATATGTCAGGATTTCAGATTGAGAATGAAGAGCAAATCGAACTTGCGTCGACGACAACAGCCTCTCCGAGTTCTGCCCATGGATATCCCGTTACAACGTGTCTCTGACTTTGACTAGGATCCTTGCCAACACCCTCCATCGCACCAGCGAATCGAGCTTGCAACTCGGGACGTTGCTCGAGGAACTGGAATAAGGTCTCCTTTGTGTTGAAGGCAAGACCGAATGCGGTGTCCTCAGCAGCTGTGCTGTCTTGGTATTTCTCCAGTGCCTCGGCGAGTTTTGCGCTGGTAGGGAACATCTGCTCAACGAAGAACCCGAAGTAGTCCATCATGCTACTATTTCGCACAAGAAGGGCCGAGGCCGCGGTGTGAACAACATGATCAGGGATGTCTTCTCGCAGCATACGGTTAAAGGCTGCTTTACGCACAAGGGTTTTAACTTTCCTCTCAGACAAACCGACTTTTGCGCAGATTTCTGTATAGGTAGCACCGCCCTCCAGTGGAATCGCTTGAAGAATGTTGAAATGGTAGATGCATTGTTGGGCAGCATTGTCGAGGGACTAGGCACATGTATTCTTAGCAAGCCACGTTTTATCACTTGGCAAGTTTACTTACACCACCCCAGACCCGAGCCAGGACTTCTCGTGGACCAAGAAGCAAGTCATGAAGGGCGCTTGTGTCGTCTATAATCGCCAGCCGTGCCGCCTCAATCTCGAGCTCATCGGCAGTATCAGGGAACTCGTCGTCTGCATCCTGCTCGAAGGACGGCATTCTGGCGCCCTTGTTGACCAACCATTTCTCGACTATAGCCGAGTTGCTGGCAATTCTTTCACCGAGCTCTTTAATAGAAGACATCTTGGATATATGCAGGACTTCCTGTGGATTCGGCCATTGGAGTATGTACCTTTCGCAATACTATATGTATCTCATACATTAGACTATAGCCTTGCATTTCGGTTTTGGCCGGGTCTCGGCCGTCCGTATTTGGCTGATCCTTCGCTTCGGCCGGCCGGCCAGTGTAGCTACATTCAGAGCGGCTATTTTTGGACATTTTGAGCTTCTATTCGAAATTCTGGATGAATCTATTGTTAATGACCTAGGTCCATGCCCGTATTCCCGATCCCAAGCCGGCCGGATCCAAAGCTGACTTTGAAGCCGTCATATCCGTCAAGACAAGTAATAATGCGCGCTCTAAGCGTTAGTTTAGGCCTTCTTCGCTCTGTATGGTTTACTTATAGATGACTGGCAAATAACATGGTGAAGATTATATCCAAACGTCTGTATCGTCTTACCGCAGTAATCTGTCATCCCGAAATAAATTAGAATCCATGCTAATTGCTGTATCCTTACCCTACCAGAACTATGTGTGAAGTGTTATCCAGCCTTGGAATATGTAGAACTATCATATTGAGAATGAAAAGGATTGTAGCAATTTACTTATGTCCATTGGCTGCTAGTCTTATCCGAGACAAGAAGTAATATTTTATCCGGATTTATCCCAGAAGCGATGCCTAAAGAGTATTTACGCTACAACACTCAGATCTGATGATACCACAGTCTTCAGCGGTACCGGTATCGCCTCCCTGCCGAATGTAACAAACTTAGTTTCTTCGCCGTAGGCCTCGAGTACCGCGTTGGACGCCTTGATCGCCGACTTGCCCCGTACAATCATGTCTCCGTTGAACGCTGACACGAGACCCCTCAGCGTTTCGCCTGACGCCTGCATGTTCCGGGCGCTCGTGAGGACTTCAGCGAGCTTGAACGCGTCGACGAAGGCCGTGTTTGCGGCTAGAGCACGGACTTTTATTCATATCATCAGTATGTTGTTTAACAAATTCGGGGGGAAAGACTTACATGGAGCCATCGAGTGCGCCGCATCGCCAATCACCAACACTCTTCCAGCTGGCAGCTGTTCAAGCTCTAACTCTACACCCTGAAGCTGGAAGCCGGGGGCGTTGTATCCCTCTGTAGGGATCTTATCCACGAGGGAGCGGAGATTCTTCGGGAAATGACTGATTTTCTCGCGTGCAAAGGCCGCCAACTGTTCCTTTGACGCCGACTCAAACCAACGCTTCTCGTCGTGCCCCTTAGGAGCCTGAAGGTCCACCCAAAGGAGGATATAGTAGTAGTATCCAGTCTTACCATCGGGGCTCACTCGGTTGAGAGCACCGAAAATGACGGCCTGCTGGTCAGGAGGGAGCCTAGAGTCCATGACTATGTAGTTTGAATGAGAGAGCGTGAGCTGCTGTAAAAAGTCATCGCCACTGAGCGATATCTCGCCGAAAATTGAGCCGGCCGGTAATGGTTTCATCACGTCCTGGCCTTGGAGGAGATGCCTACGCACCACACTGCGTGTACCTTCGGCGCCGACCAGGAAGTCGCCTGTCGCCGAAGTACCGTCCTCAAAATATGCCGTGACTTTGTCACCGTGCTCCTCCACGCGGAGCAGACACTTGTTGAACTCTACGTTAATATTCTGCATCAGCCAGTCGCGCAGCCTTCGGCGGTTCGCTCGGACGGCCTTCAGAGTGTCATCGACGACGACTCCGGCCCGGAAGTCAGGGCGGTTAATGTCATAGAAACAAAACTGTGGTGGGAGATCCAGGGGAAGCAGAACGCTCGTCTGCTCCACAGGGCCCAATTCCGACGGCATCCTAGTTTTCATCAAGTCATAAGCTTCTCCGAACAAAGAGAGTGCCCAACCTTGGCCGCGAGAGTCGTTGCTCGGATCTCGCTCAAAAACCGAGAAGGAAATGCCGTTTTTCTTTAATTGTTGTGCGAGTGTGAGACCGCTCATGCCAGCACCAATGATAAGCACGTGAGGGGATGACATTTTGGGCGATGTTATGTTATGCGTTAATGGAAAATTGAAGTTTTAACAGTATTCTTGCGAGTCAGCGCTTGCGTCGATATTAGTATATATTCATATATTCGTCCTAATATTGAACTTTTTCAAAATCCGGTCCCCGGGGTCCGAGGGGATTATTTTTACACTTGTAACACGGAAAGACTTTCAGTACGTCCGCAGTATCCCTACGGAACATTGAAGTGACATGGGTATGCTTTGTTAAATCAAAGCTTGTCCAGTAAGGTCAGCACACACGTTTACAACCAAATCCTACCATAGGGTAGTCTTGACCTAAGCGATTTCAAAGACATTTAGTTTATGGCAGGKATCGGACGCATAATTGTGCTGATTATGAAAAGTGAAATTGGATTTCTAATCGACTTATGCTACTGTCGCAGAAATTATACCATGGAAGAGCTCGTGGTCGTATACATTGGCATCCTTAATCACCAAGCCGACCTCCACAAGCAGATCCTTCCACTGCTGCCCGGTCCTCTCCAGGCTACCACATGCACCTAGCATGACCAAGTCCAGCGCAGTGGCATACGCCGGAACCTGTGTTTCTGGAAGGATCATGTCATTTATAAGCAGTACAGACTGTGGTGTCATGGCCAATTTGATTTGGTGCAAGATGGTCTTTGCTTTCTCATCGCTCCAGTTGTGCAGAATCCAGCCCAGATGATAGAACTTGGCACCTATGAAATTACCACAATGAGCGTGCAGGTTCAAAAATTAGATTCTGAGGCTTTTAAGTGTAATTCACACTCACCTTTAATTGGCTGCGGCTGGAAAAAATCGTGTCCTAGTTTCTCGACTCCTGGCGTTGGCAAAGAATGAGCCAAAGTGCCAGGTAAATCTTCCAACACGATGCGGCCTGGGATTTCAGGGAATGTCTTTTTGAATAGTGCGCAATAATGTCCTACATTGCCACCAATATCCACGAAAAGAGCCTCTTCGGGGTTTGGGTTCCAGCCCTGTGTATGCTTTTCAAATGGGTACGCCTCTAGCCAGCGACCTCGCACGCCTTGCTCCAGACCCATGTATTTTATAAGAGCCTGCAGATTCTCGGGGTGCTGAGAAAAATATGTATAGGTATCGAGGTCGGTATTGTATGCGGATTGGAAGATAGTGGCCTTGCCATCTGTAACGTCTTGGTATTTGTTCTTCCGCAAGAACGCTGGCATTTCCTGGAAGAGGGGTACGCAGTTCTCGAAGCTGTATATGTTCAGTTACAACGCGCTTACGCAAAATTTATTCAAAGGAGGCACATACAAATGTGTCACGATCGTAATAGCCTCAGGCGTCGCAAGGTGGTGACATTTGCTGTTTGCTTCGAACCTATCGGCCGCGGTCTGGCGGATCAAACCAACAGAAGCCATGTATCTCAGTAGACGGTCTGATAACGAGATTAGCCAAGTTTTGGGAGTCTTGGGGATCAAAACGCACAAAGAGTCAGAGGGTGGGCGCCTGTCAAAGCCTGTAGCTCTTTGACAGTCAGAGGACCCTGGGTATCCAATGTCTGGAAAATCTTCAGGTCATGACCGATTCGAGCTGCTGCGGTCTGCAAAGGCTATAAGACGAACACAGTTAGTGGAAGCGTGCGCCTGTATAATTGATTAGACCTACATAGAGAGATCTTTCCGAAGTCAGCAGAGTGCTCCTTTTCAATTTGAAGTGCAATTTTCTAAACTTACAAGCGGATTGCCGTCTCTTTGGGTGTCTCGGCAGAGGCAATAGTTTCGTGTAACTCGCGTTGGAAGAGTTTTCGCGAAATCTCATCATCGGAGGTCAAACGTTTCTTAACTTCTGCCAAAAGATCTGCCATCGTGTTAAATTTTGCAGTCGAGATGCTGGTGCAAATAGCACGGCTAGAGTTAGAGATCGACCGGAAGTATGTTTCGAGTTAAGTAGTTAGCATTAGTATCTTACTAGAAGTATGCCTCTGAAAAAGCAGGGTGCCAAATTCGAGACCTTACATTCCTTCAAAGCTGATATCCGGAATAGCCCTAATAAGCTTGAAGTCCAATATAATACAGCTCCGGGGTTCGGCCGTCATGGACTAACCACCACGGTAGCGGGCTTATGGCCGCCAGAAAACAAAAGCGCGGCATTCGGCTGTCACTGATAAACGGCAAGTCCAGCCTGGATTCGGATTCCGGATCCCTTTCATTTTGACTAAATCACTTAAGATAGGCGGGTAAGTTGATACGTTAGTCAATATGCTCCTTGGCCGACTCATTTCCTGGGAGAAGTCCTTTATTTATACTAAATCGCCGTCGATACTTCGCATTGCAAAGAGCCTATTCGAAGTATGAGAACCATGACGCGTGCGAAGATCATATATTTGTCTGGCGAAATCCCTCAAGGGGACCCTGAAGGGGACCAGCGTGCATTGTTCAGAAAATTGCATCTACTGAGCAAAGAGAGAAGTCACCCTATCCTTGCTTCGACTCTCGAGGCGATAACGATTGCTGTGAAACAAGAATGCCGGCGGCTGGACAGGCCTCAAAGGGAGTTGGTCCCTGTGTTTGAAAGTATTTTAGACCTGACCGATGGAGTTATTGAGCTCAGGAAGACGCCGTTGGGAGGAGCTATTGAGCGAGTTCTCGTTCTCGTCTTCCAGTTAGGTATCTTCATTGCGTAAGTCAAGATACAAAGCAAAGACTTCGAGCGCTGACCCATCAATCAAGCTACCATGAAACTTATCCTCTTGAATATGACTTTCGATCGGAAAATGCCGTGCTTATCGGACGGGGTCCTGGTTTGCTCTCCGGGGCGGCCATTGCACTCTCTCCATCTCCGCTGTTGCTTCCAGCCATGGCCGCCGAAATTACAAAAGTCACTTTCAGATTTGGACTTATTGTAGATCAAGTTTGTCGGTCACTTGAGGTGTCGCCTAACGAGATCAATGCTGAAGGTGTAAGCAATCCTTCGGAGTAAAAATTTCTAGCCGAAGGTGATTCATAAATAAGACACTGTGGTATGAGGAAATATAGGGGTTTCAGGAGAATTTTACTCTAGAAGCAACTCTAAGACAGTATCTTATATACGTTTCAACCCAGAGGCTTCTAAATAGGAAATTGCTTACTAACCTTTATCTCGCAGGCTTGGGTGTACTGCTCCTACGGAGCTTCATTAATCGAGTCTGAGCAAGCAGTTGCAGATTTCAATGCGAAAAAGGTAAGCTCTTAGCAAACTGCGGACTCAACGGCCACTAATCAACAAATCATCTCAGGCATACCCTGAGGCTAGCATGGCGACGGTTTTCAACGCCGACGATAAATCCGTGAGCATTGGCGGCCCACCGTCAACTCTCAGATCTCTTTTTTTAGAGTCAGAATTCTTCAAGCACACGAAAAACGTTCCAATGAAGAAGGTTCAAGGTATGTGGCATACTAATAAAGCTTATGGCCCAGAGCATGTCAAGCAGATTGTCGAAGGTATTACACCAAGCGGTCAATTGTGCTTCCCTATCTTCTCGCCTGTAACCGGTCGACCCTTTAAGGCGACTGATGGCACATCACTGCTCACAGAGATGATGACGGAAATCCTGACACAAACTATCCGGTGGGACCAGACCATTGATGGCGTGTCTGCACATTTAAAACAACTTTCACCGAATGAAGCACAGCTGTGGAGTTTACAGCCTTCGCATTATATGTCGAAGGTCCTCGAACGATGGAGCACTGAGCTTCCTGCCACAACTCTCTCACACCAGATGATGATGCCTGCCGTGATGGGCCTGAATCTAGAGCAAAGCCCACCACGAGATGCAAAGACGGCCAAAATCGCCGTCGTTGGCATGGCATGCCGATTTCCAGGCGGCGCAGACGATCCTGAGAAGTTTTGGGAGCTGTTGGCACAAGGTCGGGACGTCCATACGCCTGTACCAGCTGACCGCTTCGATATCGCAAGTCATGTGGATCCCACAGGAGAGAAGTCTAACACGTCTAAAACACCCTACGGTTGTTTTGTAGACAATCCAGGACTTTTCGATGCTCTTTTCTTCGGTATGTCTCCACGTGAAGCTGAGCAGACTGATCCTATGCAGAGATTGGCTCTAGTCACAGCCTGCGAGGCTCTAGAAAATGCGGGATATGTTCATAGCAGAGGTGCTATTCACCAGCGTCGCGTTGGCACATTCTACGGATGTGCTAGCGACGATTACCGTGAGGTCAACTCTGGTCAGGATATTGGAACTTATTTCATTCCTGGCGGATGTAGAGCTTTTGGTCCTGGCCGTATCAATTATTTCCTTAAGTTCTGGGGGCCAAGCTACAGCATTGATACAGCTTGTTCGTCCAGTTTGGCAGCCATTCAAGCTGCCTGCTCTTCGCTCTGGAGCGGTGACATTGATATGGCCATCACAGGTGGTATGAACATTATCACCAACTCGGACGTCTACGCTGGCTTGAGCAAGGGTCATTTCTTATCATCCACTGGAGGCTGCAAAACGTGGGATGAGGGAGCAGATGGCTACTGTCGCGCAGATGGAGTTGGCAGTGTCGTTCTCAAGCGACTCGAAGACGCCGAAGCTGACAATGATAACATTCTCGCTGTCGTTCTTGCTGCAGGCACCGATCATTCGGCTGAGGCTGTATCCATAACTCACCCCCACGACTTGGCACAGGCCCATCTTTATAACCAGTTGGTCAAACGAGCTGGTATTGATCCATTGTCTGTAGGATATGTCGAGTTGCACGGAACAGGCACTATGGCCGGGGACCCAACCGAAATGAGGTCAGTCACCAGTGTCTTTGCGAACGGGCAACCCAGAGCCACAAGCCTACATATTGGATCCGTAAAATCCAACATCGGGCACGGTGAGGCCGCCGCTGGTATCATGTCATTTATTAAGACCATGCTGGTTTTCCAGAAAAGCATTATCCCTCCACATGTTGGTATAAAGACTGGGCTAAATCCGGCGTTGCCCGAGAATTTGGATAAGAAGGGTGTTTTTATTCCGTTCACAGCCACGCCGTGGAAACAGAGCAGCGATCTGAAAAGGTTGGCCATGGTGAACAACTTTGGAGCAGCAGGAGGAAATACAGCAATTATACTGGAAGAAGCGACGCCGCGTCCAAGACTTGGCAACGACACGCGACTTACACATCCTATCACCGTGTCGGCAAAGACGCCATTCTCTCTTCAGGAGAACCTCAGACGCCTTATAGCATTTATTGAAATGCGGCCAGATGTCTCCATTGCTGACCTCTCGTACACGTTGACTGCAAGAAAGAACCACTACAATTATCGGGTGTCGGTACTTGCATCTTCCCTCACTGAGGCCGCTAAACTTCTTCGTCCGCATATCGAAACCGCGCTAGACCAGCTACCTACTTCATCCAAACAAGCACCAGTTGCTTTCGCGTTTACTGGCCAAGGGACATTCTACATCGGTATTGGCTCACAACTGTACCGCGACTCCAGCTCGTTCCGAGAGAAACTGGACCAACTCGACGGTATTGCACAACGGCAGAGGTTCCCTTCCTTCTTGCCTATCATCAAGAGCACCTGTAATGTTGAAGACGTACCCATTGTTTCTATGCATCTCGCTATCGTGTGCGTGGAGATCGCTCTAACACGAATCTGGGCCTTATTTGGCGTCAAGCCTAGCGTCGTTATAGGCCACAGTCTAGGGGAGTATGCTGCATTCAATGCAGCAGGTGTCTTGTCCGATAGTGACACCATTTTCCTCGTTGGAACGCGTGCGGCGTTGCTGGAGTCAAAATGTATGCCTGCTACGCACGGCATGCTGTCCGTTCGAGCCTCCCGCGAAAAAATCTTAAAAGCTGTCGATGGCATTCCCTTTGAAGTGGCTTGCATCAATGGTCCCGAGGAAACAGTACTTGGAGCCACAGTGGCAGACCTTGATGCTCTTTCTACAGTTCTCAGGGAAGCGGGCTATAGGTCCGTAAGGCTTAATGTGCCCCATGCATACCACACAAGCCAGATGGAAGCTGTGACGAATGATTTTGTCAAATTGACACAGGCGGTTGTGTACAAGCCGCCCAGAATACCCGTCATTTTACCCCTCTACTCCAAAGTCCTTACTTCTGATATTGATGTAACATACTTGGCTAAGGCGACTCGAGGGACAGTCGACTATGCTGGTGGACTCAACGCGGCTTGGAGATCCGGCGTTCTTTCGAAAACCAGCCTTTGGATAGAGATCGGCCATCATCCTTGCTGCGTCAGCTTTATCACAAAGACTTTGTCAGATACACGATTGACATGTCCAACATTGCACCGAGATGAAGACAACTGGACCACGCTCGGCAAGGCGCTCACCGTGTTGTACAATGCTGGCCTAACCATAGATTGGACAGAGTACCACTTACCCTTTGAGAAGGCTCTACGACTGGTCGATACCCCAACATACGCGTGGAACAATAAAAATTATTGGATTCAATACCGTGGAGATTGGAATCTGACCAAGGGCAAGGCGTCGTCTCATCCCACCTTCACCAAGGCCGCGACTCAGATCAGCGCCTTCCGCACTACAAGCATCCACGAAATTCGTTCGGAAAACTACACTGAATCCTTAGCCCAGCTCGTGACTGAGTCAGACATTACCGACCCAGCGCTCAAAGACGTTATCGACGGCCATGCCATGAACAACTACGGAGTTGCTTCTTCGGTAAGTTTTATATTCTTAGCTAGGACACCTCTTTCTAACATCAATAGTTCCTGCATGCAGATATGGCGTTCACTGTCGCGAAACGTATTCTTAACAAAGGGCTTCCGAATTCAGCTAACATTGGCATCAACATTGCCGACTTCGAGTATCATGAACCTGTAGTCAAGCACCGCAACCCAACTGAAGCTCAGCCGATTGTTGTGAGTGCTGAAGCCGATTTAGAAAAAGGGCTGTCCCATATCAAATGGTATAATCCCGCTAAAGACCTCTGGTATTGCCATGCCTCCATCTTCTACGAAGATCCCTCATCTTGGTTGTCAACGTGGTCCCGTTCAACAGGCCTTGTGACGAGTCGTATCGCGGCCTTGAATGATATGGCCGCCAGCGGCGGTGCCGATAAATTGACGACCAATCTTGCATACAGCCTCTTCGGGAAATTAGTCCACTATTCGGACATTTATCGAACAATGAAATCTGTGATTCTCAACAAAGATGAAGCCGTGGCCGAAGTGGAGTTCCCTGCCGATACTGGTGGCTCGTGGACAGTGCCTCCCCATTTCATCGACGGATGCGTGTCCCTGTCCGGTTTCATTCTGAATGGAGGGACCCATTTCGATAACGACAAATACTTTTACATCACTCCGTCTTGGAAATCCATGCGGTTTGCGAAACCGCTCGTGCCTGGCGGGCGATACCTATCCTACGTGCGAATGATCCCTGCTGACAACAACCATGACTTTGTTGGCGACGTGTACATCCTTCATGGCGACGAGATTGTCGGTGTTGTCGAGGCGATTGTGTTCACGCGATGGCCCCGCATCATGCTAGATCGCTTTTTCCGCCCTCCAGTTATCAAGGGTGCTTCTCAGGCTCCGGACGCATCTCATGCTGCCCTCCCTCTGGCTTCCTTAGGCTCAACTGTAATTCCATCCAAGATGCAGTCGGTTCAATCATCACCCGTTCCGCCATCGCTTTCTCTGGGCGACTCTAAAACCGCTTCCGGTCTGTTGACCCCCCAATCCCCGGCACGGAGCGTCCAAGCACAAGACAGTAAGGATGAGTCAATCGTAGCGGCGCCGGATTCGGTTGTCCGTGCATTCAAAATCATAGCTGAGGAGTTGGCCGTCGACGTTCGGATGCTAACCGATGATGCAAACATTTCCGATTTCGGGCTGGATTCACTTATGTCTCTCGTTCTATCTCAAAGACTGCGTGAGGAGCTCAAAACCGAAATTAGGGACGCCTTCTTTTTGGAAGTATCGACTTTTGGGGATTTGAAAACCTTGCTGGCGTAGTTGTACAGTTTTAGGGTTATTGAGCTTTTGGGTCTGTGGTGATATCAGGGGTAGAGGTGGTATTTTCCCCTTTTTATAAATTAGAATTAAATAGTGCAATATTAGATTCTTGTAAGGCAGAGAGCTACGGATATAAGGATAGCTCTGCAAAGTCATCACAGATGTAGAGATAGGATGGGTTGAGTGTTCGATACTCGAATCCCAAACCTTTGATAATTACGCTGGGTTGGATAGAGTTTATCCACTTGGCCCCGATAAATTTATTCAAGTAATTGCATCACGCTGCCTACAGCAGTTGTTGCTTGTCTGGTGTCAGAGCTCCGACTTATGGGAACCTGAATGGGAATGAGCTTCAATTTTACGTATCTAGTCTAAGACTATCCCTAATGTCTCTGAAATTAACCGGCTCTGGTCCACGATTTCACGGAATCGATTCGCGCGAGGGAGGGATTTTTTTTGATACGGAAGGGCGGGGTGTGGTTGTCTCCGTACCTCAGACCATCCCTCGGTTTTAAAGAGCCTGCAATAAATGTTAGTAAATTGTATGCTTCTTAATAAAATCTCCTTTGCGCCCTAGCGAAGTTGGTACTAGTGCGGCAATAGATTCTGCTGATTGCGCGATGGTACAGCCTAAGACGGGAAAAGACATCTAAAAGATCTCGAAATCCAGATTTAAACACATCACATCCTTCAATATTGGGTCACACCGAAAACTACCGTGTTGCATCAGAACCACGCATAATCTAACACCGCTCTTACCTTCCAATTATCACCACGGCCGCATTGCGAGCTACTCCACCTTCGGAATGAAGAGTTATGACGGCTGCTGGACATGCCGGCTGAGGAAGAAGCGGTGCGATGAGACACGGCCAGTGTGCAGAAACTGCTCCGCGCTGCATATTACCTGCCACTTCGGCGAAGAGAAGCCGTCTTGGATGGACAACGGGATTGGACAGAAAGAAAAAGCCGAAGAGATCAAGCGCGAGGTTAAGAGTGCTGCCGCGCGACGTCGCGGGACCTTGCCCATGGATGTCGTTGCCAACAATGACGATGAGTCGATTACGGGCGGGCTCAGGCGATGCAGTGCGTCGACAGAGTGCCCGCCATTTTCCGCTGAGTCGAATTCGAATCTAGGCTCTAGTCCTGGTTGGATCCCCTCTGCGCATACGCTACCCATCACAAGACCGAGTAATGGCCACCCAGACTCCTGGAATAAGCTGAATAGGCTGATTATAAGCAATACATCTGGTATGGAACCGGAGGACTCAGAACTAGACCGCCGCTTCATGATGTTCTACCTTGACCACTTCTTCCCGTTTCTATTCCCTTTTTACCAACCCCCACTACTGGAGGGTGGGCGTACGTGGGTTATGGAACTTATTGCTAGCGATCAGGCTATGTGGCACACAACACTTTGCCTTAGCACATATTTTGTTTCCGTCGCCCTGGATGGCGCTGTTTCAGGACCTAACGTATGCAAGTCACTCGCTTGGGAAAGGCTTCTGAAGCAGATGGGTATAACCTTTATGATGCTCCAGCGCAGCCTCCAGGAAGTTACTTTAAGCGGTACGCAGGATCTAATAGTCAAGACCTCTCGAATTATGGGAAGCATTATTCAACTACAACGGTTCGAGATCTCGATCGGGAACTTCGAGAATTGTCAAAAGCACCTTGATGCGGCCATTACACTATTCAGACAGATCTTCAAGGCTGCGGAAAATGTAATCGACCGGGGCGAGCTGGCTACTTTCCACGATGTCTTGAGTCATATGGGACGGCCGCTCTGGTCTATAACATCTCAACAGTGCGGGGCGTGGAACTCCAATCAAGCCGCTTTCCGATTTTACTCTGCGCTTCTCATCTTAGACGACATTATCGCCAGTACATGCATAGAGGAAGCACCTAGGTTGCGCCAGTATCACACTCAACTCCTAACTAAATGCAGCAGCTCCGACGAGAGATTTCGTCTGAACCTCGAGGACTTTATCGGCTGCGAGAACTGGGTTATATTGCAGATCAGCGAGATATCTGCGCTCGATGCGTGGAAGAAGTCAATAAAAAGAGCCGGGAAGCTCGACATGATGGAGCTGGTGGCGCGAGCGACGCCAATCAAGCAGGCACTGCTCACTAACCTCGCACGTCTCGACACCTCGGTCAATATGCCAAAGACTAACTGGCTCGGCTTGTTCGTCCTCTACAATTACCAGTTACCACCTGTGCCGGGTGGCTGCACTGCATTCACCACCCGTGTCTGGGCGCATGCCGCATTGCTCTATCTCTCAGTTGTAGTCTCTGGGTGGCAGCCCAAGAGTACTGCGATCCGGGAGAACGTGTTACGGACACTGGCGCTGCTGGAGCAAATGCCGGCACCTGAGTTGCTGCGGACCCTAATTTGGCCCTTCTGCATAGTCGGCTGCCTGGCTGAGCCCGAAGAGGAATGCCGCTTTCGGGCAATGGTAGAGGCGCTGGTCCCGCATCAACTCTTTGGAGCCGCGCGGAAGGCACTGGAGATTATGGAGAACGCCTGGAAATGCAGAGGCGAGCTAGCCATCGATACAGACTTTGGGATGTGCGTCTGCAGCTTGGGGTATCTATCCGTATTGGTCTGAATGCTTGAGCACCGGCGCCAGCCGTGATCTCGCGCACGACAGCACTCAACCCTGTGATACTAAGTTGAAGTAAATCTTTAGTAACGAGGCAGACATTTAGAAACTAACGTCGCCATTCGTCAGTCCAGAGAGCACATGCGAATGCCTATGTCCGCGCTTGAGAATCAATGACATGCTGGATCTCACACACAGCAACTATAGCACCATGTCTTCCACACAGTTCGTCCTCGCCTCGGTTCTGGTCTTGAGTTGTTGCCGCCGTCGCCAAGCGATTTGCGAACACAGGATATTCGTAGGTTGTCTTGATATGTTTTTTGTTTTCATGGAGATCTATACTCTCTCTTAAAGCAAGCGTCTTCCAGTAATTTTTCATTCAACAATTGATTGCTTAACAGTGCTCCTATTTCTTTGTAGACATAAACCCTTGGAAGCATCTCTATGTTTTGGTTGTCTATCCAGAATAGGTTACTCCATCTCTTATGGTTCTAAGTAACTGTAAGCATGGTTATTATAAGTTTAACTCTCTCCTGAAGTTTATAAACCCCTGTAAACTTTGTAAGCAGCAAAGGAATCAGACACCTAACTAATTATCTTACCGCAGTCATAAACATTACCTAGACTAAATGGAACGATCAGCATTTGGGCCTGATGTATTTCTATAGAGTCGTATATCTTACCAACTGTGCCAAAGGCAATAAAGGTTTTCCGTGTAAGTTGTCTTGCGCCTACTTCATCCATGGTAATGTTGGCATGAAGATCCAGACCTGGATTTCTTAAGGAAAATCTGTGTTGCATATCAGAAAAGTGCATTAGACGACTGAGATTCTCTGCTTAAATAATGTTGCTTGCTAACAGCTATCAGCAGGATTGACTAATAGAGAACGAGACCACATTACCTTTAGACAATGGCATCTTCTAGGCCCTCTGTATACTCTTGTCAGCGTAAAGATCTCTAGCTCTTAAGAGTATTAGCCGGAGCTGCTTAAGGTATAATTTTAGATGTCGTGCTGGGAGTTGATGGAAAATATCTCATAATTTTTCACGCATGTCTTCCCACTTGCTTTCTTCCAAGCCTTAGAAACACACATCAACCTTGATTCTCATATTAACCATTCTACATGCCTGATCTATATCGTTAATTACCATTACCGTCCCCTCTCCTATAGGCTAGCTATTAAAGATTTCCGCTAATTATCTAGAGAAAGCTCATACTTTGAAGCCTAATAATCAAGATCATCCAGCTAGTAGCATAAGCACATTAAGTATATCGAAAAGTTCGATTATTTGTCTCGAAACTCGCTGGACCTCTCTGACTCCTCGGATCCTTTAAAACCTCTACCGCCTGATGTTACGGGATATTTTCACAATAATCGTCAGTACAATTCACAACAATACACTCCACCCTCACATCAAGACACTGAAATGACAGAGTAGAATCTTATGACTCACATAGTTATATATATCTAGGTACACATATGTATGTGTGTGTGTGTGTGTGTGTGTGTGTGTGTGTGTGTGTGTGTGTGTGTGTGTGTGTGTGT